TTGGCTAATATAGAGTAATTAATAAGACTAATAGGGAATCCGGTATCCGGATATAATATAATCGGGATTCCCTTACTTATATATACTATAATACAAGTATTAGTATTTAGTATATACTAAATACTATTTAGGAGTACTACTAAAATAGTTTTTCCCTTGGCTGCTTTTCGGAATAGTTTCTATCTAGTAAAAAGAAGTTCTATGGCTTTAATAAATCTTTAAGCTATATTTTTAGAAAAAAGACTATTTATTAAAGTCTTAGACAAGTTCCTTAAGATCTTAGCTAGGACAAGTTAAGTAAAGTTAGATAGGAACGGATCTAGTAGAATTATCTAGGTAACTATTGAGTTTAATAAATCTTCCGGGGCTATAGTTTCAGAGATATTACTTAGGGATTCTATAGTAATATATAGTAGATTTATAAAAGAGACTCGGGAAGCTTCCGGCTTCTTCGTTTCTTATATAGTTTTAATCTATATAGTTAAAGTTTTAGGAAGTCTTAATTTCTTTTTTGAATTAATATAAATAAATCTATTATTATTTTTATTTTTAGAGGCTAATAGCTTATATATTACAGGTAGTATATAGATCTGTTTCCCAGAAAAATATAGGGTTTCTGTAGTTTATAGTATATAAATAGTATAGCTTAATAATTTATTATAAGAATAATCTATATTTATACTAACTAGATTCTAAGGATATTATAATATAGGTAATAGAATATACTAATAAGGCAGTTAGTATCTTATTAAGAACTGCCCTAGAAGTTTCTTTCCTTAGTAAGTAAAAAAAAGAGTATATTATCTATATATAGAGTTCCGGTAATACTAGGGGTATCCGTATAGAATAGTTAAGATCTAACCAGAAAATAAATCTATTATTAATAAGAGTTAAATATCTCTTTATTAATAAGTATATATTTCTTATAGCCAGAGTTAGTATTAACTATTATTATAGTAACTAGCTAGTTATTAAATTAATTATAGTTATCCCAATTACTTTAGTTATTCTAGTTATTTCGGTTTTGGTTATAATTATCCTAGTTATTCTAATTATAACTATCCTAGTTTCCTTATCTATTATACTAATTTAATTAATATACAGGTTATAAGTATAGGTATTTATACTAAGGTTAATAAACCGGAGCCGGGGTTATAATAACGGGAGGTACTATAACTATATAATATAATTAGAATTTCCCGAGAGTAGCTTATTATTATTAATTAGTAGGGCTAAAGCATCTAATAAATAGAACTATAATTATATTAGAGTTTCCTAATTCTTTCTGGGTATTATTAATATTCTTTGGTTTCTCTAATTACTATAGTATAATAGTTAGAATAGTATATTATAGAGGTAATTATATTTAATCTATTATCTAGTTTTGGGAGTATAGCTATTAGTATAATTAGTTATAATATAGAACCTATCCGGAAAAGTATTCCTGGTATAATTATTTTATAGAAAATCTGTTCTCTATTATTTTAAACTGGGCTTAAAGCTAGTCTTAGAGTTATTAGTATTAAGCTCGAGCTTTATATTTTACTAAATAGATCTTAGAATAGAAATCATTTATAGTATTATAGCTATTCCTCAAACTAATAGTTAAGGCCAGAGTTAGATCTAGTCTATTATAGATATAGTATATAATTAGATCTTTATCCTTTTCTCTAGCTACTATATATAAACCTTATTTTTTGGTAATATACTTATATATATCTAAGACTAATTTATTTATAAATAAATATTTTATTATATCTGCTTTTAAAAGAGCTTATAAGGTATTTATATTAAATTATCGAATTAATTAGATCTTTTATTCTTTGAGACTCTCGGCCATAAGTATAATTATGTTTTTATTTAGTCTAGAGAACTAATTAAGGGCTTTCTCTCTTATATAAAGCAGAAGGGTTATAAGGACCGGTTATTTACTATAGGTTATAGCCAAGAATATAAGGTATCTATAATATATAATAGCGGTTATACCTAAAGGAGAGCTATTAAAGGTTCTAATATTATTAACTTATAGGTACCGGGTTCCTCTAAAGGTTCCTTAATAGGAGTTACTATAATTATTTCGGTAATTAGTAGATCCGTAATAGTATTAATAATCTCGATTACCTCGGTAGGAGCTTTAATAGGATCCTTAATAAGATCTATCTTTAGAGGAATTAAAGCTATTATCCGGGTTATTATCTGGGTTTCCTTAATAAGTATCTCGGTAAGTTAATTTATAAGTATTCTTGTCTATATAATAATAATTATTACTTTTCTTATAGTAAATATAGTCTTAATTACTACTATTTCTATTATTCCGGTTATTTTATATCTCCTTACTCTTTCTAAAAAGAGATTTATAATCCAGGATACTATAATATTTACGGTTCTAGTCAAATCTATTAGGTAGGGAATTATCCGAGTTATCTTAGTTATTTTCCGGGGTTAATCCGGACTTAAAATAATCTATAAAATATATAAAGAAATTAATATTATTAATATATAAGATTTGAATACTAATAGTATTCTCGGTATAGTCCTTAAATTCCGTTCTGGTTTTCTTATTTATAATTTTAATAATAGTAATGGCTTCCCTAATATCTTTATTCGAGAAATAGCTTTTAAGATATAGAAAGGCTCTAGTATTTATTTTATTTATAAGAATAATAATAAGTATAGTATTCTTCTTCCAAGATTACTTAAAGTAAAAGTTATTCGGGGTACTAAAGCTTTCTCTTAGACTATTATTACTGCTTAGTCTAGCTAATCTAGTTATTTTAATAAAGAGATTCCGTACTTCTTCCGGATTTAATTATAATTACTTTAATAATAAAGTATAGTTAGATAAGTTAGGAATCTTACAGGAGATATTAGAAGTTATAGATAGTAATTAAGGTAATAGTTATCTCTGGATAAATACTAGATTCTTGATATATTCCTTAATAAGGAAGGCTTCCTTATAAATCCGTTAAAGGTCTAATAGAAGGAATATAATCCGGTAATAGGAGATTTAATATTATTTCGGTTATATTAGTAAGGAACCTTCTATAAAGGAAACCGTTAATATAAGGGCGGATTAGAGGTCCTATAACTCTTATAGCTATCTGTATTCTAGAGGGGAAAGAGGAGAAACTATAGGAGTAGGAATAGGTTATAATATAATTACGGGTTATATTATATTAGTCGGTTATATATTAATTAGTTACGTAATAGTTAGTTATACCGGGCTGGTTATATAAAGCCGGTCCAAGAGACGGTCGGGAACTAGTAGTAGCCATTAATAGTATTTACTAATAATGAGAGATAAGAAAATTAAGGATTCGGGAGATTTAGACTTGGATTTTTTAATAAATTAACTATTTAATCCTCTTGGTTACCAGGGTTTGCCTCGGCCCCGGCTATAATATATAGAGGGGTATTGGCTTAATACCAAGGTCGGATAAAGCTATAAACTAATGATTTACTCGGGATCCTGTTTAGCTTCTATAAGAAGGCAAGTTCTGGATCTACGAGGTGATTCTGGATAGAATTGGTTATGGATTTCGATAATTTGAAGTTCAGTAACGTATGGTTCGCAACCGGACTTGGTCGGGTGTGGTATTTAACTAATTAATAGACCCAATTGAATTACGTACTCGAGGGCTCTTCCTTGGTACTTGATAAGGAGCCAAGGTCTGGATTTCCTCGGTCCGTAAGATGGCCGGGAGATGGTTATAATGGTTCCTTTAATAGATTAATTGCTCTGTGAAGTATGGTTGGTTGTGGCGGAAGCAAATTTATCCGCGTTCGGGGAATTTTTGTATGGTACGGAAGCGCGTAATCCCTTCTTGATCCACGAAGGATTACTTGATGTAATTAACCTTGCATTGCTACCATGTCGAGGAAGAAGAAGAGATCAAAATGTATGCATTTTGATAGACGAACCGCCACTGCCTCTTAAGGAGGCTAGCGTGGATGCCGCTGACTAAGGTACAGAAGGTCTGGTCCTTCCCATGACAGGTACTTCGCTCAAGAGTCTGTCCTAATCAACCAACTCTCGATTCTAGAATTTTGACGGGGCTCAAAAAAATCTGAATCACCTCAATTTCTATGCGACTACGAATGGGAAGCTCATCTACGGAGGTAGTACAGATTGAGGAGAACACGTCCCGATTAGGAAAGAGGGGTCAAGGTCGAACTCACTGTGATGACTAAACCTCCAACCTCACATGATAAAAAACCTCTTCACAATTCATTTCTCGTCACATTCCGTTGGCATATTCCCCCAAGACATCAAGGAATTATCAAGTTGATGAAGGGTTGCTAGAAGGTCGTTTCTCTGTCAGAAAAATGCCCGCCTTGCGTTTGTTTGATGCTTGAGTTCGCATCTGCTGCTCTTGGAATTTTGCCAGCTCTAATTCTCAGTGTCAACACTATGCACCATTTCCACTTATTATCCAGTGATAATAGTCAATGTCCAGAATATTTCTGCGGTCAGAGAATAGCCACAGCTCATTGTTTGAAAGTGTTCCAGGAGAGTGTGCTGAACATCCGATTCAAGTCGCTTGAAGTGTGCGCGTTGAAGCCAGGGACGGTGAAGCGTTGATACGGAACCTACAGACACTTTTGGTCGCTCTCCGCGATGCGATGGGGGCAAGCCTGTCGATTATGATATTCAAAGTATTGTAAGACTGGGTCCCATGAATTCGATACACGGATACTAGTACAATGTCATCCAGAAACCAAGAGGTGATGCCAGAAAGTTAGTTCAAGGACTACATTCACTCAGCACACATGAACTACTCTGCGTTGCCTACTTGCCTACTTTCTCAGTGGCGGCCTTCTCAGGATCATCAACATCCAGGTAAGCCTTCCCCACAGCATGTAGGTAGGTGCACAGCCAAAATATGTGTGTTCTGTAAATTTAGCGCCAAAAGCGCACGTTCTTACAAGCAGGTATAAGAAGAGTTTAGTGTGGCTACAACACTGTCAGGGAGAAATGGTATGCATGTCACCTACAAGAACGCAGCTTAGACTTTGATAAGATTTTCAAGGATTTAACATTACGCGTGCAGCACCCGCGACAGATGGACATTTCAGTTACTCTCGGTTGTTCTGGACTCTGAAGCTTCCGTCATGAAGACGATTGTCCTTGACATTCGATTTCTCGTCTTGAAGGGTCGTAAATCGTGATAAGCGGTCACACAAAGCTGCCCGCGAGCATCAAATCTCTACACGTTCCACGTCGACATATACGTGCTTGGTAGTGCCCAGAGGCGAGGGAAATGATGAGCTCTGCCTCTTCGATAATTGCCTCCGCGTCCAATTTCTTGGTCGATAGATTTCCCTTCCGCTTCAAGGCCACATTGAAGTTGGGAACTCGGGATGTCCTCCCCGAGCGCCATAAATCCGACTCAAAGCATCCCCAAACATCTGTGGCCCATCCAATTCGTCATTTTTCTGCGCTGTGTAAAAATGCCTCGCCAACGCCAGATTCCAAGCCATACCCGAATGCCCCACACCAGCGAACTCAGACGCCTTCGAAAAAACCAAGAAATCCACGATGGCTTGCTGATCTGGTGTAAACGTATCCAGCAAATGCTCTCTATCTTGGCCTTTCAAGAGATCGAGCTTAGTGGTGACCGTGATGTTCTGAAGGCTGCCATCTTTTATGAATTCTAAGATGTCGTGGCCAACTTCAGATGCAGCATAAATGAGAGACAAGTTGGCCGACAACGCTTGGTTCAGATAGTGCTGGGATTGTACTTGATAGCGTGCATTCTTCTGGTCTGCTTTTTGAAGGCCCTCCTCATCTGTGCTTAAATATACCCCGAGGAATGCCTTCTTCAATATCGGTTTTGACAGACGAAGCGGGAGATTGTAGAAGTAGGATAATGTGCGAAGGGCGGTAGTTGCCAGTATCCGAATATCTCGACGAACTTTGAGGATCTTCCCGAAATGCAGTACGAAGTTATCATCGTCGCCATAAATTGGATACTCGAGGTATGACCGTCCAAGTCGGACGATAATCGGGCCCTGGTTATCAAGGGCAACGTACTGTAAAAGCCAGTTGTAGAACAATGCGCTCCATTGTCCTGCCTGTTGAAAGCTAGTCTTGGTGAGTTGTTTTGTGAGGCTCTCAGGAACGAGTGTTATAGGTCCGTAGGCATACTGCCTATTCGCAATGGTCGAGGCAGCTTTATAGATTCGCATTTGAGGGCATGAAGCCATGAGGGAGTTGATAAAGTGGTCCGTTTCAAACATATAATCGAGTTCCGTTGTATTGCTCCCAAAATACTCCTCGTATGCCTCGCCCACGGTGATCCTAGGCACAACAAGACTTCCTCCTGCCGCAATTGTGTAACGCACACAATTCAGTATAGAATTTCGAACCTCCGCAACACCACCAGACGAATCGTCGCATATAAACGTCACACTCTGATTCCATTGTGTCCTCGAGCAGACACGCTTCATCGCAGAGGAGTCGAGGGGAGGATAGTCGAAAACATCGAGCGCAGGCCGCGCTTGAGGGGTGCCTGAGTAGATGTTCCACGGCACATGACTGGGAAAGGTGTAGGGTCGATCGAAAGCTACCCAGCACCATATCGCGAGGAGCAAGAAACCTGCCAAAGAGGCGTATCTGCGGTTGACACCGGCCGGGAGCTCCATTGCAGAGGAATTGGCGTGCTCGTTGGAGAGGGAGCTGCAGAAGAGGGCAGAGAAGCCATCTCATAAATGCGGAACTTCATTCCCGGGTAAAGCATTTTCTATGCGCGTCGAGTGGGAGGAACGAGCGGGATGCCAGGGCGTCTTCGTGATATGATTGTACCAAACAGGGTAGCTGTAATTCCCCCATTCCCCGCATTCAATTTGGGGGCGCTTGACGTCGAATTAAGGGGTCCGAAAGTGCAAAACCGGCTTTACCGAATCAGGATATTTTGCCGAGGATCTAACTCTATTTGATTCAACAACTTCCAGTCTGATTCTTTTCGATAATAGAAGACACTTATTCGAGAAGCATTAGATCTAACAAGGAAATTTCAACGATGCCTCTCATAGCATGGCGGAACAAGAGAGGAACGCTTTAACGTCTGTCATTACAAAATGCTCTTTGTTCACAGCAATATGATTTGAGCTTTTAGCCAGCTCAGAGCAAGTGTCTCTCCTCGAACAAAAACTGCCATTGCTTGAAGAAAAGAACATCGCTTGTGAAAGGTATCGTGCCTTCGTAGAGATAAATCGAGACACTTCTCTCTTCGCTTCTATCTTCCATATTCTCCATCACCACAATCATGTTGGCAGAATCAGTAATTACGTATTGCTTGACTCCTAGGTTGTTCGTTTGCACGATCTCGCCATAGGTTTTTAGGATCACTCGGTCTGTATCTTCGGAGTCTCCTCTATTGATAATTTTGAATCTTTTCAGGGATAGGTCGATACCGAGGAGGGGATCCCAATGCCAGTATCTGGCGAGTATAGAGTAACCAGCTTTTCGAGCCGCGAGACTGTACGATGACTCCTTGATGACACAGGAAAGGAAGTATATGAGGGTTGCAGATTGCCATTACGGAGAGGACGCCATATTTCACTGTGAAAGCTTGGAACATGTTGAATCGATGAGCAGACTGATTTTCGTGCAGTGGGGTAAGTGCTCAGAAAATTGCGAGAACGTGAGACGAATGTATGCAATGAAAAGCGACGGTCTCTATCATATACCTTCTATTTTAAACTTCGGCCCAATGCGGTAGGCGGGTTGGTGTGAACTGGTAGTCAGATTTATACCAACACTTGAAACCATCTGACAGGTCTGCAAGGGCAGGATAAGCTCAATCGAATCGCACGTCTTGCTCGTATTCAGTTGGTCTGTTTCGGGATTAGCCAGGAGACTCTCATAAGCAGATATAGGCACTTTACAAGGGAAGCATACATGCAAGCAATGCAAACATATTGCAGATCAAGGATAGCCGGATAATCAAAGAATGTCGCAGGTCCCATAACTTATGGGACGAGACTTGATACAACAAGATGATTAGCTTGCAGAGCGTGGAGAACAAGATATGTACAAATTCTCTGTGCAGTGATGTTGTCAGATATCAGCAGACCTGCAACTTAAAACTCATCGTCTATCTCCAAGCATTTAAACGCCTCCCATGCATGACCCATATGATTTAAATCCCATCAGACCTATATATTCAAGCCCAAGCCCCCACTAACGCCATCAGTGTAGCGCCTCCAATTACGGCGCAAAAAGCTTCCAACCTCCTTCGTCCCTTCAGAATTCCATAACTTTTATCGCTCAAAAAATCTTCGGCAAGCAATTGAACAAGGCCTGCGAAGAGAAGGAGTCCCGAAGAAATCCCATTCATAAAGCCAACCATTAATAAACCCGCTGCACTCTGTGGGTCATATAGATTATGCACGACCAAGCCAATTGCTTGGCCAATTGGTGTCGTAGTGCCATACGCAAGGACCATAATCCACGGTCTGGGGGAGTGATGTGGGAAATTGATGGCTGCTATTCGGGAGCCAAGCGCGAGCCCTTCGAAGGACTGATGGAAGGCGATTGCAATGAGGAAGACCACAAATGGAGGGCCTGTGGCAACTGAAACTGCCATCCCTATGAATATACTGTGGAAGAGAATACCCGCTTCGAGAAGTAGGCATTGTAGTATTTGTCGTTTTCGCTGCTCTTCTGGAGAGAGACCCGCTTTTGCCAGAGGAGCTGGTGCAGAATTCGTTCGAGACGGGGGACTGAAGGATTCCGTTGTTGGATCGAGCTCGTCGAGATCGAGATCTGAATCGTTTTCGTCATTCCCGTCGTGGTATTTGTCACCACCATGATCGCTAACATTCGGAGTTGCGACAGGAAGTGGTGAAAGTCCAGCAACCAGTCCTTCCGTTGCTTCCATGTCCTCCAAAGCTATATCTTTTGGTCGATTATTTAGACCTAATTTCCCCAATCTGCCATTGGCAATTTTCCTTGGGGGCTCTGCTGAACCATTAGTATGCTGAGAGTGGTCTTCTTCATCGCCTTCTGGAACAGAATCCCACGGCCCACCATGTGAGTGTGAATGTGAATGCCCCGCCCCTCGTGTTGTCAAGAACATCTCCAGCCCAACAACCACCAGCGCAGAGAACATTGCTATCAGTCCTGCGAGAGGGTGATATCCAAAGCTAAAGAAGTAGGGGAGGCATGGGTCGGTAAGGGATATGAAGGCCGTTGGGAGAAGATGGACGAAAGCTGTGGCAATCAAGACTCCTGTTCCGAAATGTTGTGATAGGAAGACGAATCTGCTAGGTCCGGCGGACTTAGATGATCGACGAGATATGAGGGGGAATCCGCAAGCTTGACAGACGTTAGCTAGTGAACCCAAAACAGCTAGGAGTTGCTAGCATACCAACTGTGCTCAACACCAATATGAGGATCAAGGCGAATACATGGGCGGCCGTGTTATAGCTTCCCTTAATTCCCGATCCGCACTGCGGCTTCGCAGAGCCCCCATCTCGTCTTGCCAACTCTGCGCGAAGGAAATCTGTCGATATGCTGGACCACGAGGGTACTGAGGCGTGTGTTAGCTACAAGTCCCTTGCTTGGAATGCGCCGGAGTGCCCGGTGGTTTCCTACCTGCGTTCGCAGCATCGCGATCGACCATCTTTACGTCCAGATTAAAACTTCGAGGAAAACCGCAATATCATTATGCTAGTCTTGATGGATTTCACATAACGTAAACGGACAAATTGCTTCTTTGAGGAGGCAAACTTTCTTTACGCCGAGAGGATGAATGTCGGGATAGTCCACGTTTCGATTGAACAGGACTAGCTTCCACGTGACAGCTTAACCTCATTCAAAAACTCTCAATCATTCTGTATCGTTTCTCACGTTAATTGTGCCCGAGGGCTCTTCATAGACCGTGTACCCAATAAGAAGCCTTGAGGAACTCTCTTCTCAGGGATATTGGACGCGTGATGAGAGAGCCACCCCTTCTACGTTTCGATGTGGTTGCGCATGTGAGCTGAGTTGAGCTCCGACCCCGGTTGCAAGAAGCCTGCGAGACAGTCTCGAGCAACATAGTGTATTTGCTTTGTAACTTGAGATAAACATCGCAACCCATTTTGATGTTCTGCTTTTCCCCAGTTCATTCAACAAGCCTCTTCGAACAGGACAAACGGGTTCTGTGAAGCCACTTAGACCGGAGTACTGGGGCCTGGACTTCCAGTTTGAAATTCTCTTCCTTCGAAGGAAAAAGGATCATATAGACAAACTGTCCCTATACCTTCTCTCCAGCAGCGAATGACTGTGTGTGGTCGATCTGGATTGCAATCTCACGCTGATATCATATCTTTGCTAGATGTCAAGCGGGAAAATACAAAACGGGACTTCAGATCTTTACAATGGCGAAATTAAGCACATTTGCAAGTGCAAATGTTCATGCCCTTGCCTGCGTTGTTGATGTCCTCGTGAATATCACGGAGTTTGAAGCCGAACTCGCCACTCGCAACTTCCATTTTCAAACTTCGTCGTTCGTCATGGAGCCTTTCGCAGTGACCCTCCATCAGGAGCAAATGAATCCCCACAACGACGTCGCGACTTCCTCATCCGGTCTGTCAAATTTTGGTGCAAGCAAGATGTTGCTCAATTTCCTTCCTGCAAAACGTCACCTCCAATCCAAGCTCCAGGAAAATGGACATTGAGAAAACAATCAAGCTTGGAAGCCCATCACTCTTACTGTATCACCACCCGCATACTTTAGCTAGCCTGGCGGCCAGGCTTTGTATCGAAATCGGGAAGTCCGCACATCCCGATGCAACGGCTCACATCATTCAAATCGAGGTCGTTCTGGACGAGAATGGGAACCTTCCGCTTGAATATCTCAACACCAATTCCAGCGGCGCGGTAAGTTCAAGTTCTGCACCAGGTTTCAGAGAACGCCGTGGACGAGCTGACTGTGGTGGCAGGTACCTGCCCTGATTCGACCTCCACCCGAAACGGCCATCAGCTCGAGCATTGACATTGTCGACGTGAGTAGTTGAACAGCAGTGTGCTTCCATTTCTAGATGTCTCCAAAATGGCCCCCATACTTCTCCAGTAGGCTTCGCTGACTTTCAATTTCCAATTAGTATTTTGCACAGAGAGATTTTCCGAGCCTGATTCCAACTGCCCACATGGACGAGATTGAGCCCTTGCTACGAAAAAGGGAGATATTTGAGCAAGATATCCTACTGCTTACATATTCAAGAACGCCGCTTGAGAGCTATCCTTTAATTGGTGATATTGTCTCTCAGGTGCGCGAACAAAGCTTCCGTGGAAACTACGAGTATCAAGTGGCACTGCCGAAGAAACTCAAGTTGTTAGTTTCCCTATGATTCAATTGGCCTATTATCTGACACCATGGAGGGAACGTGACGATATCCACCACGCTTTCGTGTTTCCAGAGTTGCATCAAGCAGAAGACAGAATCAAATCTTTCTTCGCCAAACTTTATATGATTCGGTTGAGGCACAAGAAAGCAGGCAGTATATGGTTATTTGGGACCCAGCACGGCACTGCGCGTAAGAATGCCTCGTCCCTTCCGCAGCATTAAGTTTCCGTGGCCCTAGGATCTTGAAGTGGCTTCTCCCGTCCCATTTTCTCTCAGGCATCTATTTCGGCAGAATGGACTGACGCTCCTTCCCCTAGTCGACGCCCATGCCGCTGTTTTGATACATCGTTTGCTCGACATCACGAGAGTAGAAATGATGCCAACGGAGTTGCTCTGGTGGGCACTCCCTATTTTTCGATCTCCCATGTGGCAAGAAATCTCCAAAGGGAAAGATACAATGGGTTGGGATGGGACGGAGTCGTTACGGGACAAGATGACTGTATCGGATACCGATGGAGCTTCGAATCTGCAAATGAAAGAAAAAAGTCGAGCCGAATAATGAGAGGTCGTGGTATTGGTTACAATCATGATTTAGCGAGGGCATACGGAGATACCCTGTTGACTGTCAGATCAATTTGTTGTGGGTTCGGGTGTGGCTGCATCCCGCCCGCAGCCCAACCAAAGTTGGGCCGCAACCGAATCACTTGAACGTCTTACCCCTTCGTTCGCACTCTTTCCCGCCATTCAAGCACGTTTCACTAGGTGAATGCTGAAGCGGATCGGAAATGTTGGGTTGGGCATGAACGATGTCGGGCATACACACAACCCGAAATGGAAAATTCTGCAGGCAAAGCTGCCACATCACGTTCCCCTGGGCATCCTCCGGGCTTGTGCGCGCTTCTATTGCACGAAATTTGCCATAGTCAGTCTTGTTTCAAACCCTAGTCTCCCAGCGGGGGCTGAACACCGAGAGCGGATATTTCAATAGGCTCATTTGCTTCCCTGACATTTGGCTGGGAAGGCTTTACACCTGTCAGGCTGTCCTCATCGTCAGACATTGAGGCAGACTCGGACACATCTTCTCATATTATACCAGAGAGGGTGCTGCTCTCACCGTTAACGACCTTTTCCAACAGCCTCCGCCTTCAGTCTCTTGCCCATGCCGTTTGAAAGGTAGCCGCAGCGAACCCAGGGCCGTTCCGTGGAAGTGTTTTCTCGTCATTTCCTCTCTCACCGTTGCATTCCACCTAAAGATCGTCGAAGCTCCAGGAATGGCCACGCATTATGGATATACAGATCCAACCCAAGGGCAATCTCCAGTTTCTCTTCATCCCTTTCTCCAAGAATCAAGGTCAGCCTGGCCGGCTCGGATGGATTTTGAGCGGACCCATCAGACCCAACAGATTTTCCACGCGTTTGAAGCACAGCCCATGAGCATCCCGAGAAGTCTAAGCCCTCAAGGAGCCTACGGAAGTCCTCGCATGACAAGTGGGCCTGAGATAATGATTGATGGTATTGCTGCACGACCTCCACCGCCGATCGAAAGGGACGTCTCAAATCTAGGGTCAATGAGCAGGTAGGCAATTTTCACTCGGTTGGAATAGAAGAGTGAAGGCTTCGGAGGCAAGATCCGAGGATACAGAAATCTGATGCCTGTAGGGAACTGGCCATTCATCACCATGATCATCCACTCCCAAGAGTCCCTCGCAGATCACCACCTACATGGGGAACGTCTCGCTATCGCCAACAACAAAACCAGCGATATCGACGCTTCAATCATCACCCTCCAACACTCCGTATCCCAGAGCCAAGTTACGACCCAAGGAGACAAACTGCCTACAGAGAAACAAGCCAAGACGCAAGAAGGAGATCACCCGATCCTCGTTACCCGCCCTCTCGGAACAGACCTTCTCCCCCTCTGTCATCCCGCTGGCCAGCCAATGCCCATGACCTCCGGCACTCCACCTCCATAAACTTCTCTCACTCTAGACGATATAGCCCATATCCACCCCCAGGCCACCGCAGACGGAGATCCTCGTCTGACAGACGGCGCCCTGAACGAAGGACTTCCAGCCCGGGATACCACCATCGCCCGGAACGGGAGAGGGAGCCTTCTTTCCAGCCTCGCCGGCAAGAGATTCGTGAGAGAGGCACACCTGGTGCGTCGGCTGTGAATGCTTGATGCGGTCGTTCCGTTGTCCTGAATAAAGCCAGGACGGCTACTTTACCATGCATAGGATCATGAGTGCCTTCAAGGTGAGGTGCTCGCCAATTACCCAGATATACCAGAGGACCCAGCCCCGGAATGCGCGAGTTGTTGTTATTATTTTGGATTTCGTCAGGCAAGGACCTGACTTCAGTTCCCCTTCTTCTCTTGGAATGGATCATTCTTATTCGTGCACCAGCACGCAGATCTGCGAGATGCTGGAATGGACCGTCTTCGTGAGCACCAGCTCCAACTTGCGTACCCCTTGAATCTTTCGGAAAGGAACCTTTCTATCAGCGCGCCTGCGCAGGAATTTCAGGATTTTCCCCATTCCCCTACTCGGATAGTGATTGGTGCAGAACTGCCACGTCGTGATTATTGGCCTTGTGGATGGATCTCTTTGTTATGATGAGGCTTGTTATGTGAGCGGAAAGAGGAAAGACAAACAATGGCATTTCCGAGGAGTTGAAAGATTCATTTGGGCGACATCCAAGGGTCGTCATTGCTGGAGTAATAATGGATTTCTGTTCAAGGGGTCGATTTTGATTTTTGATACAGTAGTGAGAAGTGAATGTTCCCATGTCCTTTGTACAAGGGCTCCCTTGTCGACTTCGAGCCCTCAAAGTCTTGCGAAAACCGGATTATATCTCAAGTTGTCGCACCCTCAAGGATATCCAAGTTGCCTTTTGGACTCCATTTCCTGTTTGTGCTTAGCAATTGTTTTCTTCTATACTTACCCAAGCCTACATTTATACCCTCCAGCCCAGATAGAGCTAACCTTCCCTTTCGTACTGCTGTGAGATATATGCTAGGACTTCAAGACGTCATGCAAGCTTCATGCGAGATCTCTCCAACACCTCTCTCGGCCAACAGGAATAGGACTTTCCGTGTACCAGTTTCGCGTCCTGTACTTCAATTCAAAGTGACAAAAGAAACAGAGCATGAGAACATTCACTTACCCAGCAGTCAGCATATTCTGGTGAAGTTTCCAGCCCCTTTTTCTTCACTGCTCTAGGCGAGGCACGTAGGTCTCCTAAGGGCCAGCTTTGAGGATATAGGCTGTATTGCACACTTTTAAACAGCCCTAGTTCAAGGCAATCTGTTGCCTATCGTATCAATGTTGGAAGTTCGACTGGTAATCTTCCAATGAGGATTTCTTTGACTACCTTGGAGGAGGGAATGTGGAATGTGATCCTGAGCGGTGGTTTAGGACCGTTGCTTACAGATTCCCGAAGTAGCTAGCATGGTCAGATGGTTGTGAATATTAGAAACCGAGATACACACTTCAAACAACGACTCCAACTCTAACCCGAGTTAGGAACCCGCTAATTAAACAATGAAAGTCGTCAATTACTCCCCCTTTCCCGCTCCCCGCTATACAGCCAAGTTTTTGACTTCCCGAAAAGAGTTTCTGTACAGTGCCTTTGACTTCGCTTTCCCAAAAATCAGGAAACCCATCTATCCCAATATTACACAAATCTCCATGATATACACCCCCTTCCTTTTCACGTCGTTACGTCGGCGGAATCGTCGTGCTCTCAATCATCCACGCATCCTCCGTGTTAAACCCCTGCAATCCACACCCCTTATGCCCACCCCACTTACTCTCATAGCTCTGAATCCCACACTGCACGACCCTCTCTAGATTCTCCGCAAACCCATGCGGCTCCCTATAAAACGGGTCTCCCTTGCCCCCTGTCTGCTGCCCCTGCCACGAATTCCGCTCATGCTTCGGACTCTTCTTCTCTTCCACCGCAGCCAAGATCTCCTTCAACATCCTGTCATACCCTTTCCCGGCCCGCTCATCCTCGTCCAGCGCATCGAGTTCCGCAGCCGTCTTTGGCGGGAAATTCGGGTCGATTTTCTTCCGGAATAAGAGCGAGGTGTTGATCGAGTTGCCCACGTCGCTTACGTTGCCGGCGTCGGCGGTCGCGAGCTTGATGTTCGACATCTTGATCCTTTCATGCATGTCGCAGTCCGCGGTGTAGTAACTGATGAACGTGTCCCAGCCCCCTAGATCAATGAACGCCTGCACATGATTTAATGCTAGCCAGTCGTAGGCGTAGAAGCGGATCGCCCAGTCCTTTTGGTCGCCGAGCCATTCCTTTGATAGTGTCTCGCGCAGGTGGTCTACGACACGCGAGTAGAAGGACCCTTTGGTGTTCTCGTCGGTGGTGATGATGACGTCCATGTGCGACCAGAAGAAGTAGTCCCAGCCGTTCTCGAGGGCGGTGAAGAGGTAGTATGTTTGCAGCTGGGAGAAGGTCAGGAGGGTGGGTGTGATGAGGACGTTGACGCCGAAAAGGTCGAGGCGCGTATGGTTTAGGAAGAACGGGTTTTGCAGGGAGAGGAGGCCATTCTTGTTCGAGTGGAGTGTGCCGGTATTCTCGACGACGTAGATGTCTTCTGGTGGCCAGCCGGCGGTTATGTAGGAGAGGACGACTTGTTGGAGCATGGGCCACTGTGGAGAGGGGAGGGGAGATCAGCATTGTTTGCGCAATAGGCTGAATGCTTGGACTATGGATTGGGAGCTGGGGAAGACTTCTAATTGAGTAATAAGGGAAAATCGGGATGTGCATACAGTTCGCGTAAAGCCAATGAACAGTGGAGTCTTCTCCTTGACATGCGTAGCAGGTGGCCGATTCCAAGACGGGATCTTTGGGAAATCTTTGCGACTCTGCATCGAATTGCCCCATGGGAAGTTATCCTCAATCGGGGGGTACGTCTTCTCCTTGGAAAAGTTCTTGTAGGTCTTCCCGTCCTTCACCACCTTGCCATCCTTATTAATCCCATCCTTCACCTCTGCCTCTGCCTCTTTCTCTGGCGGAGGAGGATTGTTCTGGCCCACAGGCGCAACGACGCTTGACGGGTCTGAGACATGCGTCCCCAGGAAGTACAGCGAGAAGAGAATGCACAAGGCTACCCAGAACGATAGCCCGCTCCAAAAGCGCCTGGGAATCATTGCGACAGGTGTGCATTTGCTGGGGATGGAAGTAAAGAAAAAAACCGCGACGTCCGCGACTCCTGAGTGACTGCCACCTGAACGCGGCACGGCAGGTTAATGCTCCGTCAGCTCCTTGGCTGCGCCCGATCACCGTAAACCTCGTATTATTAACCGAGATCCCTAGTCAATGCACACCCCAAGCGAATGCACACCTCACAAAATATTACCCCTCCATCTTCAAAATTCGATAAAATGGTCAGCGAACAAGATATTGAGAAAGCGATTAATGCGCTAGATAGGTAATTGATCCCTAATTACAGTCAAGTGGCCAGGGATTTTGGTATTAAGCATATAACCCTCATGCGAAGGCATAAAGGCATATGTGCCTCTAGACAAGAAGCAACCTCCCTCTACCACAAACTCCTTACCGATACGCAAGAAGAGGCTTTAATTAGTCAAATCAACAAGCTTATAGTCCGTAGACTTCCTCCTACCTCGCAGATTATCAGAAACCTTGCAGAGGAGATTATTGGCTACGATATGAGCAAGAATTAGACAGCTGGTTTTGTTCACCGGCACTCATCTCGCCTGAAGAGCCTTTATTTACGCAATATTAACAATTTGCGGATAAAATCGGAATATGGGCCCCATATCCAGTTCTTCTTTGATTTGGTAGCGTTTAATTTTAGTGTTTCCCCCATATTTTTGCTTACTTTGTGGATAAAATGGCTAATATTCCTCTCCCCTACTTAATTAATTAAAGCAATCGAAGATTATAATATTATGGCAGAAAACATATATAATTGGGACGAGAAGGGTTTTTTGATTGGAATTACACGTATGATAAAGCGCATAATAACGAAAGAAGCATATGATAGTGGGAAAATTACTAAAGCAAAGCAGGATGGCTCGCGAGAGTTTATTAGCTTACTTGCTTCCATTTATGCGGATAGTACAAAGATTTCACCGGCTCTCATTTACAAAGGAACTTCTGGGGACCTTTAGGATACTTGGTTAGACGATTTAAAAGAGAGGGAATATACTTGGTTTATGTCTAGTGCGAATGGGTGGTTATCTAATGCCCTGGGCCTGGCATACCTTACCCAAGTTTTTGATCCTGCTACCCGTGCGAAAGCAGGGCGTGGAAGGAGGCTTTTGATCGTGGATGGGCACTCTAGCCACGTTAATATGGAGTTTATTCGGACATGCGATCGGCTTAAAATTCTGCTTCTTATTTTACCCCCGCATTTAATATACCGTCTTTAACCTTTGGATATGGGCTGTTTTTTACCACTTTCTACTTGCTATTCTACCGAGATTAATAGGGTTTTGAATGCTAGCGAGGGTATTACTTGCTTGACAAAAAGGACATTTTGGTCTATTTTCAAGCCTGCTTGGGACAAAAGTATGTCTGAATCGAACATTTTATCCGCTTGGAAGAAGACGGGTATATGGCCCTACTAACCATCGATTATCTTGTTAGCTATCGCTTCACTAAGACCGCAAACTCCTCCTGAAGCTTCTCCTGATATAATTTCAACTTCTTATACTGCGAAACGCATACGGTAATTCTCAAAAATACACGCAAAAAACCCGTCTAAGGTTGCTTTTCGCAAGCTCACTAAAGCGAACGAGACGAATGCTACAAAGGCTTCTATTACAGAGCACCGTACAGAGAGTTTGAAGAAAGCTTTATAGCTTGAAAAGAAAAAGAGACATCGTGGGAAAAAGCTCAATTTGACAGGAGAGCCATCAGGAAAGGCCCAGTTCTTTGGAACAGCTGAAGTACTAGCTGTAGTAGCACGTGAGGATGCGAGGGTTACACAGGCAGAACAAGATAAATTAGATAAGCAAAAGGCAAAGGAGGATGCAAAGATTACTAAGGCTATAGATAATGCCTTGAAAAAGCAGGAGAAAGAGTTGGAGAGGCTTAGGAAAGCGGAGGAAAAAGTAATTGCTGATCAAGTAAAGAAGGAGAAGCATAAATTAGAGGTTTTGGAAAGGGCAGCAGCTAGAAAGGCGGCTACTGTAGCTAGAAATGCTGCTAAAAAAGCCAAACCCTCTCGTATAGTAATATTGAGGGTAGGGTCTTCGATTTTATCGAATTTAGGGGCTCAGGAAGCGGTAATAGTGGAGGAGGACGATTCTGAAGCTATAGGGGTGGTGCAGACCTCCCGATCGGGAAGGGAGATTATTCTACCACAACGCCTTAGAAAATGAAAAATCCTGATTAGCCAACTTAATGCGCCTAGTTCAATTGCTTTATATTTTTAATTTTAGGCCGATTGATTATGTGGTTATTTAATAATTAATTAATTAAGCTCGAGGTCGGCTGAAAATTTGGGGTGTGCATTCGCTTGGGGTGTGCATTGACTAGGGATCTCGGTTATGGTGCAGCCCTTGCAGGAGGCTTCGCGGGATGCCAGCCGCCGGGGTCTGAGAGCATGCTGAGCCAATAATGAGGGGCTCTCTGCTGACGCTGACCCCTGGTGATATGGATCGTGTAACCTTACAGGAATACAGGAATAATTTGCTTGTATTATAACCAATCCTAGAAGATTTACCCTTCTGGTGTTTGCTATTTACATAGTTAAAGACGAGGCGGCATTCCTCACGAGACGAAGGACACTCTCCACCTCCACATGTGGCTGGCACCCTCGCCTATCCAGAGACAGACCAACGGAATACAACCCCTGTCGGCAATTCATCCGCATCAACTCCATCACCTAAACTCCAACTTGGAGGTTCCTCCTCGTGGCACCGTATGGCCCGGGAACCTTACTGGTTGACTCGGGTTTCCACACCGAGGCCCGCAAAATGTCAAAAACGTTCAGCCTCTCTCTCCACTTTACCAGCCCCTTTAATCTGAGCCACGCGAGAAGCGAGTCCCTGTAGCCACGCCACGGCCCGCAAGCCCTGGTGTCAAGCCCAGCCTCAACTGTCATTTCCAGCTTTTTTCCCCCTCCAACTTCAAGAAGTCAGCAACGTTGTCAATCTCCAGTCGTTCTCTTCAAAGAACTAACTGCCAGAGGAATCAATGCAGTCGTTGTAACCGTCGTCACTGCATCGCCACCGACAACAGTCTTCGTCACAATCTCAACCCCGTTCTCAAGTCTGGCATTTGCAGAAGCTTCAAGCGTGGTGGTGGTCGTTCCGTCTTTCGAAGTGGTGATGACTACCTTGATACCATTTCCGTCTTGCCCTCTCTTAGTCCCATCACTGCCTTCTCCCGCTACCGCTTGATTCTTACCCGTCACTCCTGAAAGTATCGCCTGTCTCAAAGAATCATCAGCGCCAGAGCAATCCGACCCCTCCGAACAAACAGTCGAAGACCCCTCCGTCTCCCAACGATGCTCGACCCCCGACCATCCAAGGAACCTGACTCGTTTCCGCTGACGATTATAATCCTCGACTTCTTTCCATAACACCCTCTTGGGTAAGCAAGATGATGGACCCCAGGGACTGGAGAAAGAGGGGATGCTATCTTTTGATATCTTGTTCTTGCTCTTTCCGTCTTCTTCATCAGAGTTTCCTTTTCTCTTGCCAACTTTCTTTTTTTCCTCTTCGTTGAGTGGCAAAGAGGAGTGAACGCTGCACCCTGCATGCCGTGCTCCGCAGCGAGCGAGATTGCGTTGCGTCTCTTGCAAATTCATAGCTTCAGTAAAGAATCTGAACGGCGAGTTGGAGTGAGGAAACGACTTATTTCTCGCCGGTAGTGGTACAGATCGCGGCTCTGGGGAATTTGCAAATGGCTTGCGTTGATCCTGAGAAGTTTTGGCATCGGAGGTACAGGAGTAAGTCGACGCTCGTCCACTGCTCCGAGAGTAGCTGGCGAATTGGTCGGATTGCTGGGCTCGGGACTAGTCACACCGATCGCTGGTACCGGGTCTCCAAGGGGAGTAGACGATGACATGTTGAGGCGGTGCTCGCTCTAGCTTTTGTGAGAGCAAGGAACATATGTACTAGATAGTCGTCCGATCAACTGGCAAACCTAGTTTGCCACTCCGACACCGAAAGCTAAGCTGCGAGTGGGGCTATATGAATGACCTAAGCCGGGTGAAGCCGGGTGAGTAGTGACTGTGTCGCGGGACTAAAGGAGCGGGTTTTAGTTTCGATGTAAGTACACAATGCCTAAATGGCTGCTTGCTTATTATCAACTGGCTCCTATTAGCCACTTGCATCTCCGGGATTAACTGCCCAATTATAGATTAGAAAATGCCCCCTTGCCCGTTGCGCGAAGGATCATTTAGATGGTGGCTCCCAACTGCTTACAGAGCCTCATACAGCTGGTAAGCTTCCTCGATCCGAAACCGCGCGCTTTGCGATTCGTCGTCCCAAGCGGTCACCGATAGCCAGATAAAACAATCTGCAGTCAATGAGAGGATATATGTTATAGCCGATAGGACCAACCATGCGAAAGCCAGAAATGCGCCTCGATGGTTTGCTGTAGGTGTCCGTGTACCCAAAATGCAAAAGCAAGAAGGTGACTGCTGAACCCAAGCTCACCAATCCTCCTCCTCTTCCCCCTTGGGAGTGAACCAACCTGGAACAGTCACCAAGATGACAAACTCCTTCAAATCCGGCATGTAAGCCTTCGCCTTCTCATACTGCGTCTTGACATCCTTTCTCATATAATTGAAGTGATCTTCATTCCCTCTCAACACCTCCGTCGCTTTCGGCACCGGCATCGCATCCTTGAAGGTGAACTTCAAGCAAGGCGGGCCGTGGGGACCGCCACATCCGGTCTGTGTCGAGAACCAGGAGAAGAATTCCTTGGTGTCGACTTTCGGTCTGAGAACGGATTTGTCGAAGGGAGCGCTGAACTTCCCCGCACCGTCTATCTGGAGTCGAGCGATGATTTCGACGGAAGAGGTACAGTTGGCTTTAGTTGAGGTGTTTGAGTTTGTGGATTGTGGGGTTTCCGGCTTTGGGTTGGGTTGTAGGGAATGCTGAGCAGACGCAGGTGTCCGTCGCTTGTAGTAAAGAACTACTGCATCTCCGTGGATCATGCAGGTTTGCTTTGCTTGTATGTTGATTTCTTGGTATCCATCTCCGGTTTCATTTTGTCCCGTTATGACATTTTGCGTGATGAAGCCTTTTCCTGTGACCGTCACCAAGCCCTTGCCGCTATTCTTGTCGACTATAGCTCCGCACACTTCTGCTCCAGTCTTGTAAGGCAATTTGTCGTGGACGGTTGACTCTTCACCGAAAACTTCCATGTCATTTCTTCCAACAAGCTTCAAACTGTTAGTATCGCTGTGGATAATCAGGAACGGGATTTGGACGCCTTACAAGTGAATTGGCATGATACCGGAGCATCGTCTTGTCCCACAATGTTCGATTCACATTGACTGGAGGTCCAGGCGGTCCATGAATGTACTCAGAAGGGCGAGGAACCCGATTGCTGCAGCTGCTGGCACCGATGATGGAGGATTTTCCAGTCGACTGATTAGTGGCAGGTGCTGTTGAGCGTCTGATAGCTCCACCCTTCACCTCTTTGACCTCCTTTATATTCAAAATATGCTCAATATTGCTCGTCCTACCTGTCGAATTTGAGAGCGGGGGCTCAGCCGGTCGAGGGGAAGAGGTTGCTGCAAGGAGCGTCTGAGGTTCTGCTACGACCATTATATTCTCAAGACTTGTGACAGCAGAATTTCGAGGTGGTGTGCTTGTTGAATTGACTGAATTCCAGGTCGATGGCTGAGATGGGAGATTTGCGCCATGAGAAGGAAAGGGCGAGATCGAAACTTGGAACAAGGATGGACCATTGTTCAGATTTGACGCCACCCAGAATAGATCCCAGACGTATTGTTTCAGTGTCCGAAAGTAATTCAGATTACCTTTTGGAACCACATATACTTTCTCCGTTCGCCGTTGGGCATTTACTAGTTCAAATCTCAAAGGTCCAATCTCGGTCGATCCAGTTGTTTCTTCGTACCATTTGTAAAAATCAGGCAGGCTTTGCCACATGATAACACCGATAGGGTAGACGCAATGCGCGGCGGATGGTTGGATAGGCGGTGTGATGACTCTGGCATTCTTTGTAAATTGTTCGATGAACGACTGGACGTCGGCGGTGGGCATCCTGCTTTCTGCGCGATTATCAATCGTGAACACCACAGCAGGAGGTCGATATTTCTGCAATAGCTGAGGGGATGAGCCTGGCGGTGGGGTGATAGACGGTCTGGGAGGAAGTGTGTGATGAAATTTGGGAGGGATGTTTGCTAGTTGATTTATGAGCGGTGTTCTTGCACAAGGTTGAGCTGCATCCAGGCTCGGAAATACTGTTCGCGGTGTATGATCAAGGGACGGCAGTTCGCGTGGTGGCCCATTTGTGTTGCTGTCCTGCTTTGGGCTGTTGGTCAGGCTGATCTGGTCCGAAAGCCTAGTGGCAGGAGTGTTATCATTCAACTGACGCCGTCCAGCAGTAGTGATATTCGAAGGCTTTCTACCTCGTCGCTTCACAATCTTGCTGCCGGCATCTTGACCCCAGTCAGCTGATTCCGAGCTCAAGGCTGTTAAGTTTGACGAAAAGACGGTGTAACTTCCTGAAGGTGCTCCTCTCGTTATTCTCTCTTGCGCCCCCAAAGTAACTCTTTTTCTTGGGAGAGTCCCTGGGTCATCTGGAATCAAGACTATTGAGGCTGGCGAACGAGGTCCAGAATGAGACCTAGCACCTGTACCAACAATATCACAAGATGATGCAGCACTTGGTGATCGATGTCCCGAGTAATTCCCACCAATGCTCAATGTCTTCATTTGAGGGGAGTCCGCGTAAATTGAGTCTGATGAGACACGCCGGGAATCCAAGCTTTTTCGTTTAAGATTCGTGTCGACTGTTAGATCAGTAGAATGCTGCTGTAAACTACCAGCTGGTTCGGCCTGGCCTGGGCGGTGAACCATAGGTGTTTGTTGACTGTTCAGTTCCATATCCTGCTTGGTTTCGACAAGGTTTCTCGTGGAGTTAGATTCTTTCCTAGTTGGCAGCGGCGTTCGCTGCATCCGCTCAGCCAATGACGAGGGAGACTGTTTTTGGTCCCCTGAACGGAGTAGAGAAGGCACCTGAAAAGAAGTGCGTGATCTCGGGGATAAAGAGCAAGCGACCGAACTGTTCTCACTAGAATCTGATATGGATTTGGGGGTTGCAAGGTCAGGGCTTCGAGGTCCGTCACTGTGAAGACTCATCGAGTACTCGGAGCCAGACATGCAGAGCCTTTCGTGGGGCTCGTGAGCTGGGTTCGAATGGCGAATATCACCGTCACCGCGATCTTTGCTGGACGATGGCGCCACTGAGACAGACGGCGAAGAATGAGCTGCCCTCTCAAATGGTAATTTGTCGTCCCCGAGATAATCTTTGAAATTTGTCGCATCCGTCGTTGTCGATTCGCGCTTTCGTAGAGCTCTCTCACTCTTCCACTCCGTGCTATCGGACTTGTGATCCAATGCTCTCCGACTCAATTTGGAGATGATATTCGACTGGGGAACCGAACTATTAGAAACACACTCTGGCGAGAGACATTTTGCGACCTTCGATCGGAGGCTTTGATGGTTTTGTTCACGCACTGCGCTGTAGGCCACTATAATACAGCTCTCAAGGTCGTTACCCTCGGGGTTTGGGCGGGATTCGTGGCTCTTAACTCGCTTGCAATCAGAATAGATTGTTTCTTCATCAAAGGGCCTCTATTCAAAGGAGTCAGCAGTCAGCTCAACAATAACATGATAATCAGTTCACCTTTCCTGAGGAGTTGTCTTCGGAGAATGCACGTATAGCGGAAGTGGAACCGCTGCCCGACATCTTTTAATACATCATCAGATTCCGCCACAGAAGGGAGCTTCGGAGGTGCCGATCTGAACCTTCACTTCTCAACTATAAAGTCCAGAATTTGAGATTTTGCTGCGTTCCGTCTACCCTTTCAAGCTGTAGATAACAAGGTGGCGCCTTGGACCGAATTTTGGACGAGCCAGCCTCGTGGGATCAACTCCTGCGTTTATTGTCAGTTCACAGAAGTGAAACCAGGGCAAGGGGAAACTACTCCAAGCCGCGATGTCTTCACGACTCGAAAGTTTTCAATCTCCCGAGCTCCGAGAAGTCAACTAAGAGACACTTCTTGCAGATAAATTTCTTAGCACAGTACGGGGCAGTCTTCCTTCCGGTGCACAAAAGATCAGCAGCGAGGAAACCCAAATATTTAACAATGATCCCGGTCCACAATCATCGGCCGACAAGGAGGGCCAGATCGTTGGCTCGCAGGCCACCTCGATCCGAGACAACAAAGACAAATATGCAAACTCGAGGCAAATCATCGATGACCTCTGAATCTAGCAGGGGTTCGATAGCTAATATAATGCAGCAGAAAAACTGCCGCGTTAATTCGGATAAATGGCTGCATTTAGTGATTGGGAAGGTTTGTACGGCTCAGCATACATTTCCCACTCCTCGATTGGCGTTCTCGGGAGCAATAGGCCAATAGCACGGGCTGGCCAATTGGGCTTGTACCCCTGCAAGGAAGCCAGGACCGTGGCGCCCCTGAACTCGGAGAGTGTGCCCGAATTTCTTGACACTTGATACACAAGGCACTGCCGTTTGCAACATCAGTAGCAGGGGATTACGACTGAATCTCTTTGATAGGTGACAAAGTAACCGCATAGGAGACACTTCCCCCACGGACACACCATGATAGGTGACAAAGTGGCCGCATAGGAGATACTTCCCCCACGGGCACACCATGGAGGAGAATGGTACTTCGGCTCTCGTTTAGTTGCTAGTCAAAACAAGAAGAGACTGCTGACTCAGATGGGTGGAGCAAGACCCTGTGCCTCTGTATTAAGTTCTGGCAAAGACATTCTCTGTGCTCGTGTGTAGGATAAAAAAGACCCTACCCTGAAGTGTGTTTCTAGCACGTTCGCCTCCACAAAACTTTAAATTCTAGCTGTCTTATTCGTTAGTACCCCATCTTGCGGCGTCTGTGGATCCAGACAGGGCATGGGTTTATTTACTCAAGTCACCAAGTAGGTCAAGCGGCCTGCATACACATTCCCTTCGCAGCGCCACGATCGATCCATCAAATTGACTTCGTGAAACCTTGGCTCCTTCCGCCTTCCGGTTGGGAAGAACGAACCGGGACGGGGCGAGGCTGCTCGCGCAACTTTTGAGTGTATCTTCGTCCTCAACCGTCACGTAGCCCAAGCCTTTTTGTCTCGTCGGAACACAAACTCTGCTATCTTTTCCCACGGAGGACCTGTGCTCATTGCAGCGGGGAGGCAGTCGCACAAAGCCTGTCACAACCTCACAGTTCAAGTGCTTCTTCGGCACCTCAACTTTGAGGTGTGGTGAGGGCTCAAGCGAGAGTAAGCTCGCTTGGCATATGAAAACGGGATCGACCAATGTGCAGCTTTGAGTCGCACCATCTATCCAATAGACACATTTGGCGCAGATCCCTTGCTTACTACGTACTTGTACATGGTGCTTTAAATGTTAACTAGTATTTAACTGCATATACTATCCCCCCCTTGAATACTTACGGTGGGCTGAAGGATAACGCCACCCAAGCACTGGCCATCTCAAGGGTGTACAGCCAACATCGATTCTGGAAAGCACCTGATATTTCCTAGTTGGGGGGTATAAACGAGGCTTCAGGGTGGCGTTACTAAAGGACCCACTGTAAGTCTTCAAGGGGGGAGACAACGTCTCTAGTACAGTAGGGAAAATAATGTAGCGAGACAGGGGTGTTCCGCGCTGGTACGGACCAGGGAGCAAACAATACGAACTTTTAATTGGCTTTTACCCCTTGTCTGTGGCTCTCTCGCTACATTATTTTCCCTAGAGACGTTGTAGTACGTGGTTGAACGAATTGATGGCGCACAGACCACAAATCATGAAGAAGTCACTACCTTAATAAAATTATAAACACGGACCCATCTATATGTGAATTTAAGATTAAGCGAGGATCTTTTTTTTCGAGGCCTAGTAATAATTTAGAAAAGATAAGATAGATTTGTACTAGAATCATAGAATAACAATTAAACCTTGGCCTAACTTTACCTTTCAGGAAAAAAAGCTAGAGGTTTACTAATAGGACCACTTTAAATTTGATACTAATTTAAGGATTTCTCGCTAAACGACGACGTGCGCTGTCACTTCGTGCAACCATGTTGCATGACAACTGCAGCCCGGTCACGTGTGCTTATTTCACGTGACCACACTCAATGTATTTAGCTCCGGCTGTCCGAGGTACAGTCGGTCCGATCCAACACGACAAAATGAAAAAGTTTACCAAAATACTAATTGATAAATTGTATAAATCGGAGTTATCATATATCTTATAGTAATTAACTCTTTGTTCTCCGATTTTTAATACCTTTAATACCGCGGGAGTTATAAAGCACGTGATCATTTTTATCCGAGTTTGCTATGACGGCTGACATAACCACATGATCTGCCGGGAATAGGAAACAAGCCTAAAACTGGGAACTAAACTAAAGGTTGGGCAAAGCACTATTAAAGGTCGAGGCATTCCCCTCTCTTTTACTCTCTAGCTTAGTATTTTCAATATATGAGATTCTTTGAACTTTGAGCCTTCGACTATTGTATTGATCCCGCCGCCACACTTGCATATTTATTTTTTTCGCGTTTTGTATAGTAAAAAAAACATCCGTCCAATTTAAAACTCGATTACTGATTAACCACAAATCGCATTAAAAAATCTGATCAATAGATTTTGTTCGCCTGGTGTGACGGCAGGAACAGAGCAATGGAACGAGGCTCAAAGATTAATGATTTCCTATGTCTTGAGAATTTAAAGCTAAGGAGGACAGGAGTGAGGGGTGGCAGTGGATAAGTAGGTATGGCCAAGACCACTGAAACGCCGAGCTTTGGAAGCGAGCTTGGTTTGAACCATAGCTTGGAACCTTAGCTGAAACCAACCCCTTTGGCTGAAATCACCGACACCAGCCGTCACACCTGGTTCTTCTCTATAAATGCATTACTTAATATTGATTAATCGGGGTTGTGGATAAAAGTTATTGTGGGCGCAAAAGAGCGACTGTTTTGTAACTTTTGTTGCTTTTGGATCGGACCGACTGTACCCTCACTTCCTGCCATATCTTACATTAAAATAATATAACCAGCATTAACCGCAACAAACCACTAGTGAACTTCAAACTCTAATAAATTGCCACAAAATAATGATTCCCTTAATTGCTTTAATAAGATTGTAGGTGACCCTTTTGCGCAAAAAGTATTCCCAGTTTATTCCTTCTATAACTATTGTTCTGAATAGGAAGAGTTAGATTTATGGGACTTTGATGTTCCTTTATTTTAGCAAGGTGCAAAGCTGGTGGTACCGCAACGGATAATTGGTCGGCGCCTCCAAAATCATGATATATTTATACCGTTCCATTGGACATTCCAGAAAAATCCAACCCTTGTCGTTGGGTCAAATGCGTCTATTGAGGTCAATTATGTGTCGTTGCACGAGGTGGCGCAGAGCGAGTGGCCCTGCGGCACAGTCTTCTCGTCTTGTACTGCGCGCAGACTCCTTGGATTCACCTTGGAATACGGAGCAATTTGTGGTATTCTATGCGAGAACCGAAAGCGGGGAAGTTGTGGGACATTTTGCTCACCGCTTCCGCAGACAGCCAAGCTAAAAGTTGCGTGATTTGCCCGTCCGTGATTTCAGCATTCCTCGTTCTTGAAACCTCTTAATCATACTACCTTTTCTTCAAGTGGGAAGTGACAAACTTACACCGATATCACGGCATCAAGCGTGACATTCCATTCCTGACCAGGAGTGAACAGATTGGCTTTGGCGCTCGCATCTTCTAGTGAAGACCCCTCTCTAAACCTGCTAAGAATTTTAGGTTGTTGAAGCTTCGGCGATAGACCCCGACGTCGTCACAGTGGGGCTAACACTGAATCTTCCCACATAGGACGAATGAGATGAAGTTCCGCATCTTTGCTTTCTGCAAACTGCTAAAAGTGTTGACGTCGGCGTAGTGATTGTCTCGAGCACCATTTCAGGAGTTTAGAAAACTCCAAATAGCAGGCAGCTCCTTCCTTTGCCCTCAAAGTATCTCGTCGACATTGATATTGACGCGGAGTTCCTTCACAATCCATCACTCTTATACCAGCACACAACTTTGGTCAATTCCTTCTTCTGCCTCATGAATACCATCTCAGCCCTCCCAACAATCCTCAAGAATACCACCCAAACAGCTATTTCTAATATGACATCTCTTCCCAAGACCTACAAAGCAGCCATCTTTGAGAAGGCCGATGCCCCAATCACCATAAAGAATGTCGAGCTCAAGCACCCCTCTGCTAGTGAAGTCCTAGTCAAGGTCATCGCCTGCGGAGTCTGTCATTCTGATGCGACGGTTCAAGCCGGACAATTCGGTAACGGCTTCCCCATCATCCCCGGCCATGAAGTAATTGGAAACGTCGCAGCAGTTGGCGACGGCGAGAAGAGGTGGAAGGTTGGAGACAGAGTCGGTGGGCCTTGGCACGGAGGTCACGATTCAGTCTGCAAACAGTGCCAGCGAGGCCAATTCCAGATGTGCCAAAATGGAGCAGTAAACGGTGTCACCAAGGACGGCGGTTACGCGGAATACGTCCTTCTTAGAACCGAAGCTGTAGTCAAGGTTCCCACCGATGTTGACCCTGTGGAATATGCACCCATTCTCTGCGCCGGAATTACCGTCTTCAACTCAATCAGAAAACTCAAAATCACTCCTGGTGACATCGTTGCCGTTCAAGGCCTCGGTGGACTCGGCCATTTAGCAGTACAATACGCAAACAAGATGGGCTACAAAGTCGTCGCTCTCAGCTCCGGAAATAAGAAACGAGACTTTGCCAAGAAGCTTGGTGCTCACGAGTACATTGACACCTCAAAAGAGGACCCGGCCAAGAAGCTGATGGAGCTGGGCGGTGCCTGTCTCATTATTTGCACTGCGCCAAATCCTAAAGCTATCAGTCCTTTGATAGGAGGTCTTGAGCCAGGCGGAAAGCTCTTGATCTTGGCTCCGTGCGGTCCAGTTGAGATCAACTCCGTGGATCTTGTGGTCAAGGCCGCTGCTGTACACGGATTTCCCAGCGGCCATGCACTGGATAGCGAGGAGGCAATTGCCTTTACCCAACTGCATGATATCCATTGCATGGTTGAGAAGTTTCCTCTTAAGGATGTGCAGAAGGCGTTCGATCACATGATGAGCGGGGAGGTGAGATGCAGGAGCGTCCTGGTCATGGAATAAACCTCTTTGTTTTAATGTGCGTCAGCAAAGCATGCACTTATCCTCTTACCGAACAATTTGTTTGACTTCAAAATTCATCCGCTTCATATCATTACGTGACCGAAGTCGATGCATAAGGTTAATTGAACTGTGGACATCCACCTATCTCGCTTAACAAAAGGGGAACGAACGAGCTCTCCTCTTTTACGTCCTAGTTCATGCCCGCCTGGAACAGTAAGCTAATCATCTTCTACCACTCGCTCTCTCTCCCATTCCAGGATCCTTGCAAGTTTGACGCCATCGAAGTTTGAAGACTACGCCAGACGCCAGCATAAGCGCTAGCTGGCGGAAAATGTGATGAGGCATTGAGCCTGCTCACGCAAGGAGCGAATACGAAGTCAGCGGACGGGTGCAATATGCGAGGCGGGAAAATGGGGAGTGTCGAGTCGTCTTGGCATGTGTGTAGGTTTAGTTTGAGAGCCATGGGCGAGACATGGAAGGGGTGATCTGGGTCCGGGAAGTGGGGTGATTCGGGTACGAGGTGTTTTGTTTTGTATGATGTCGGCGGCTTGGTTGACCTTATACAGATAAGATCGTGATCAGTGTCTCGAGTTCCCACAATCGACGACTAAGGAAAGTTGTGTCACTTGCTGTTGAGCATCCAAGCAGAGCGAGGCGGCTGATCCCTTGATTGTGAGGAATTTCTCACTCTTTTTATTTTATTTTATTTTATTGAATAAAGGCTGCAAAGCAAATCTGAATGATAGGAATGATAGGCATCAATGCCTACGGAGCTGAGGAGAGGAATAATGGGACATCCAAGCACCTCGCTTGTCAGGGCAGTGGGGTTTCAGACCATCCGCAGTTAATCTTCAAGGTCCGCGTCGGCACTAAGATGGAGATGTCAGCTTAATGTTGGAGTTTATTTCTCGGATAAGAGGCATCAAATTTTCATCTGGCAAGGTTCCTCAAGTGAATTGTACCCGCCTATGCCTGGTTTTGTTGCATTTCGCAGCTGTGTTTACATATGTTTACATGTTGTCTCGCCTTCCCAAGTCATTTTCGCACAACATATATACAATATTCACTCCATCTCTTAAACCCTTAAGATTTGTTATACATCAATATTCCAAGTTTTTTGATATATTGAGACCTCGAGATATCTCCGGCCTTGCGTGTCAGATGAAGAGCTGCTTTCATCTCACTTCGTAACTCCAATAGTGTGAATACGCTTGCACTCCCTTTCTTGGCTGAGATGAGATTAATGTCAGCCTTCATTGGATGACTGGCATCAAGAGTAAATCCAAACCGAGGGGTTTTGCTATACATCGGCAATAGCTATAAGTTGAAAACGTCAATTTAATTGAATCTTACAATCTTGTGATCAGCTTGACCTAGTATTCTTTACAAAAGCAGGACTCGGTTCCTGAAAGACACCGCACAGATGCAAGAACATCACAAAAAGATGAAAATTGCTTTGGAGCAGTTGTTTGTATTAAATTTTGGAGATATTCATAATTTCATTACGTGTCAACTAACTTGTCCAACATGATGCCACGTTAGTAGAAATACTAGGCACACTCTAAAGGATCTTCCATCCTTCACCTGGCACGCATAACCACTCCTTCCAGCAGATGCGTGTGATATTCACATTAGCCTTGACGCCCTTCAGGTCGCAGTCCATGGATCTCAATTCAAAGGTCCATGGTAGGGCTAACTCCTTCCCCAAGATTCTCCTTCTTGTGGGATCAGTCAGCGGTGTCTTCGCGTCTTCCGGCGCGTTTGCCTGTTTTCGCCATATCGCTTGGATGAAGTTGTCGGAGACGGCGATCTCGCCACATTTTGCCTGTCCCTGGACGCGAGCAGACGTATTGATCACACGGCCGTAGTAATCCCATCGATCGGTTTTGGGATCCTTGCGCTGTTCGTCTGGCTTACCGTAGTGTATACCCATTCGGATGTTGAGGCCTTTGTACGGAAAGGAGGTGTGCGTCTCTTCTGAAACTTTGTTTGGCCTATGGTAGTCCTTGATTTTGTCGATTTTTTTGGGCCAGCTATTATCGTTGTGCAGACTTTTCTGTGCGGCGAGACAGAATTTCAAGGCTTGAAGAGCGTCATCGAAGACTACATAGAAGGAGTCCCCACCAGTTTTTACTTCGTAGCCGTCAAATTTCGTGATCTCTGCTCGCATCAATTCATCGTGCTTTTTCAGTGCTTCCCACATTTGTTCATGTTCTTCTTCCCATAGATTCGTTGAATCTACGATGTCTGTGAAGACTACAGCCATGGAATGAATAGGTTCAACTGCGGGCAGTGGTTTAGCTGCAGACATTGGTACAGCTGCAGGCATTGGTGCGGCTGGATAGCTAGGAGTGGAGTGCCGTCTGTGGACGGTTGTTGATTGACCAAATTGCATCTCTCCGGAGGAGTTCTGTTTGTGGGGTGTCCTTGAGTCGGAGCTTGGGGGGGGTCAATATCACATCTATCTCTTCGATAGTTAGAGGCATTGCAAGAGGTTTAACACACCTGGTGAACGATTTTTGGGCGGTTGTATCAGACAATTAGCCAGTGATAATGATTTGGTTATGCGGTTGATGAAGTCGTAGCAATGCTGTGTGTTGGAGAGAATTGAGAACATATTGAAGGCATTTTCTTATATGAACGATATCCTTCCCAGTGTTCGACCACTGGTATCTCCAGAGACAATTGCGTTGTTCTCAAGGGGACAAAGAAGCGAGTATCTCAAGGAACATTGAACAGAGTGGGGACATTGTTCTCGGGCCCCACCATAGGGACAAAGAATAGTGCGCAGCATTATATAAACAGAAATTGTCTCGCGGAGGCACTGACCAATAGGAGGAAGGGCTTATCGTGCGAGATACTGAGACATGGGAATGCAATGAGCTGCCCTGTCATTGGAACAGAACGTGGTCAGTGAGCCTTGCTGAGGAGGGCAAGAGATACGTTTCCTGGCGTTGTTAGATTCCCGGCGGTGTTCTCTTCTCAAGCCCAAGGACGATTTATCATCAATAAAATCTCAAGGTACCAGAAGACTTAGATCGACAGATGTAGCATGCAGCAAGCTCATCCGCCTGCAGATTCAGAACAAGAAGACAAAACAACCTCCCATCTAACTCGAAAACATAAACTCCAGCCCCAATGTATCAGAAGTACTGGAACATTGAGTGCGGTATGCAGTGAGATGACCAAGGCAAGCTGCCGACTTCAATCCTTCAAGCTAGATCTGACTCTGCGTGAAGGTACAGCTCCCTCAAGTGGCACTTGCACCTCGATCTGCCTCCCCGTGATAGAACTGCCTCACGTAGAAAATAGATTTCCAAAATGCTGCAATAATTATCAAAGAATCACCGTCGATACAAGAGAGGACAGTTTAGAAGAGTGAGACCAAGGTCCGTGCCACACAAGACAAAGGCTCAGTTGAAGGAACCAAGATCGCAGCACATCAGAACCTTTGAAGTTGGTTTAGTCGACCAGAGACTTCTGGCCACTTGAAAGATTAGGTTCGCAGAGATAGGATGCTGCTTCAGAAATGTTTCGCGATGAGAAAGTGCTCTCCAGAGGAGGAGGAGGAGAAGTTGGTTGGTAGCTGCGGCTGATCTGCAACGCCAGCGAATGACAGGCTACATGACAACATTGGGACAGCTTGTCTCGAACTTCACTACTCTCCTCTCAACCACCTCAACACCAACAAGCTGCGCAATTGATCGAGTTCAACAATTCTAGCTGAACTCCTTCTCATCAAGGGTGTTATTCCGCTAGAAAGCCAGACAGTAGGGAACCGAGATGTGCAAACGTAGCAGCCTATCAGTCGACGCGTAATCAGGCTGTGATCCTCCGAAACATATCTCGGACTCCCTCCAACCTCACCTCATTTTTTCTGACCAATATCGACAAATCGGCCAAGATGGCGGGCATGAACGTGAGCAGCTCCCTCCCTATCCGTTCTGCCAGGACAGAGTACTGATCATCGTCTTTGTAACAGATATTCCGTATCCTCGCCGACATCTCCCATACGCTCTCTAAATGCATTCTCATTTATGCAATCCATCGAAACTCCAGCACCGAGGGCGTCTCGCTGATAACACAAGCGCTGTACTGCCTTGTCTTCGTATCCCGCTATCTCGACCTCTTCATGCCCAATACGCCATGGAACACGACACTGAAGATATTCTACATTCTGAGCTCCATCTACATCCTCTTCCTTATGCTACGAGTCTATGCGCGAACGAGAGAACGTGAAACGGCATGGAAATTGGGGGCCTTCTCTCTGGTTGGCAGTGCCATCGCCGCGCCGTTCGTAATGATGATCTTCAAGAACAAGGCGATTTGGGGCTTCACTGAGGTATGTGTCCTCCACTTGCTGGTGCTTACGGCGTATGCACTAAATCTAACAAATCCAGGTCGCCTGGGTCTTCTCTATCATCCTTGAATCCGTCTGCGTCCTGCCTCAACTTGTACTCCTCCGACAAACCACCGTTCCAACAGTCATCGATTCCTACTACCTCCTCACCCTCGGCTCATACCGAGGATTCTACATCCTGAATTGGATCTGGCGTGAAGTCGACCCGAATGAAACCCGTGCCCCCGATGCTGTGTCCATAATCTTTGGCGTCATCCAAACGGCATTCTACATCGATTTTGCATGGGTCTACTATTCGCGCCAAAGAGTCAAGCTACGAAACGGTGGCATCGTGGATGCGGACGATATGCGGAATAGCTGGCTGCTGCGAACGGTGTTTAGACATAAAGCTGTTGTTGGACATGACGATGAGGAGAGCGCGCCGGCTCTTGGAGGAAGCCCTACTGGGAATGGAAGGCCAAATGCTGGAGGCAGGAATGGCTCAAAATGGGGCGCCAGGGGAATCAGTGTTTCTGCAGATGATGGTGTCTTGGAGGGGGAACGAGAGAGGCAAAGTGGCTTCCCTGGCCAGCAAGATGGAGTTATTGATACTCTTACAGGCGAGGAGATGGATCCTGATGCTAAGATGAAGGATCCTGATGAGCTGGCGAGGATTTTGGATGATGATGACGATGATGACGATGGAGTTCTGCCTGAGGGGGAGAGTTCTGAGAGAGTAGGAAACGGCTCGGAATGGAGGGAAGGAAGCAGGAAGTAGGATGGGAGTAAGGTAGAAGGGCGTGGAGTTTGTCAGTTTTTGTATTTTTGGTTGAAATACCCAGCAGCTGCTATATACCGTTTCCACTGCCTTTGGAGAACTATGCCTTGGATCCGTTGCCGAAAGTCATCCACAAGCAATTGGCAAGCGCGTTCCTACGCCCCCGCGCAAATACACTTCTGCCAATGTACAGCCCCTGCCTGAACATTGAGAAATAGCAAGCGCATTTCATTTTTGCCTACTTTGAACCTGCATTTGATTTTGGCTATCTGTATTTGATTTGAGTGATTTCAAAGACTTCTGCTTTGACTCATCAGCTGGAGTGCGTAATGGGGTAGAAGAACCGCCACATTAATTAAGGATGCACGCAAAGACTTCGATCTTATCAAGATGATTATGCAAGACGGAAGATTGGCTTGCACGAGGAGATGTACTACGCAAGAAGAAGTTAATCTGCATCAAGCTACCGAAGTCATCTTCCGTGTCCCGAATTTAGCGTGGAATTCGGCATAAGATCGCTGTATCTACATTCCTCAATGTCCTATGTAATTCAAGACATCCAGATCCAATCAACGCACGACTGGAATAATCTCTCCAATTTGTTTATGTTGCCGCGTGGGGCCTCTGTAGAAAGAAAGCAGATCAATTGCAGCACTCTGCTCCAGTCTCCTCATGATGCTGAAAAATTTGGATACATCAAAGTCCAGATCCGACACAACTTCTCGTCCACCACCGCATTGTAATAGTGCTATTCTTCGGCCATCGGCTGGGCACGCTTCATATCCACCCTGATGTCCAACTTCCTCAAACCAAAGCTCTCAACGTCGTGCGCGATCTGTTGTCAGACTAGAAGGTGACAACTCGTGTCCTCTTCCAAATACTTTTCCGAGCATGCTCTGCATTTGCAGGTATATCGTATCAAGAACGCATGTATCATGTCATGCAGCGACAGCCCAACATAGTAAAGAATTCTTGTATCACGATTGACAATATCTGGCCTTTCCCAGATCGTGATGTGGGGTTTCATCTTGCTTGTTGTGCGGGATAAGGAGAGCCGCTGGTCGATGGCCATGCTAGTATCTTCGTCTTCACATATCATCGGCCAGTAGACGCCGGGCGTATCCAGAAGACCGTTAAACATTATTTTGTTCAAGGTTTAGTAGACTTCATCAAGAACCAGCCAATCCTCATTTGCAGGGTACTCCTGTCCGTGTTACATGTGGCGTCTCTCTCTTCCGGAATAGTTGAGGGTTTCTGTGAACCAGTGTTCCAGAGAAGCTTTGTTGTAGTCCGGGTCGTCGTATGTTTCACAGATCTTGGCAGGGACTCCTTGAGCTTGGCGAAGCGTGCGACTCATGACAGGATGACTGTTGTCTGGGAGAGCATTTCGGGCGAGGAACCAGGTTGGATTATCTTCCTCCATATTGGAGATGCTTTCAGTGCTTATCAAGTGAACGTTACGAATTCGGTACGTCGTTCGGTGCGTCTGAAGAGAGTGGATTCGCTTGCTTCGATATTCAGGGGCAACCCAATTTTTAAGCGAGTTAGTCGAAGCGAATTGTACTGGACGATTCTGGTAAGATCTTACATTGGGCTCTCGCAACTAATCAGACTCAAATCGAGAGCAAGTTGACGTTTGAAGAACTTCCCAGAAAATTGGAAGAAGTTCAATCTTCCAGACCCCGCGTCTGAAGTTCTGAACAATGCTTGTTGCTATACTAATATTCTTCGGAAGCCGATTGGTCTCATTGTCCCAGCAGCTTCAGGCACAGTGGCCGCTCGACGATTAAAAGAAGTACTCACATCTCACATTCAGATGTAATAGACGTCACAAAATTGATTCCTAGTGTTTAAGATTATTCTATCGCCGAATCTTTTTAGAATTTAGCTATGGAAAAAGTCTTGAGTGAGAGTGAAAATCAAAGGTGGAAGGCATGAATCAGTCTCCATTATCTGCAGGAGCAGGAAAGATCACGCTCGACCAACTGCACACTCCCTGGGGAGATGTAGCTGCCGGTGTCAGAAAGGCCCCCTTCTCTCAAGTGCATCCTTGAGTTCACCAAATGTAAGATTACCTAGCTTGACAGCGACGGAGCCATGCATTTCTTTATGCCCTCGGGCTTACCACGAGTATACCACACTTCATCCCAAAAGTCTGAATAGCAGAGCTCCAGTTTTTCGTAATCATTTGCCACTCCATAGTCGTCGCCCAAGGCCTCGGAGCGCAGTACACAGATCTCATGCTCCTCGGAAAGAAATAACACCCAATAGATGACAACATCGTAGACCAAAATTAGCTCTAGATTAATGGATTTAAGCTTTTGCAAAATTTCATCGTTGCTTCCGGGAAGGTTGAGTTCTCGGAAAAGCTAATGCATTCCTTGTTCCCTAGGGGAAGTGCTACCATTCCAAGGAGTCAGCACTCAAGTTTTTACCCGAAGCCTTCGATTCTTCCCCTCAGCAGTGCCTTGAGGAATGTGACATGACCCATAAAGATTGGTAATTACACCCGTGACTTGTGCCAAATCCTTCGCTGAGCGCTTGCTCGCAGTCGAGAAGCCAAAATCTTCCACTCCCCAGAGGAGTTTAGGTATCGCATAACCCTTTGAACTCTCGATGATGCCATCAATTTGGGCCTGAATTGCAAGTCGAAAAGCAACACTATGTGCAAGCGGGTGCTTTGGGAAATACATTTTTTTAGTAATAGGTCTCAGATTTCGTAAGTGTTGTTGCTGTATGAAGTTACGAAGGAATATTGAAATGAGCAAAATTCTCCCGTAAACGTGAGTCAGCTGAGAAATTGAAATACTCTTGTGCGGTGAGCCCTCTGATTTACGAATCTCTAGAGATAGTGTTTGTTTGTAGAACAATACAGACGGAGATTTCTTGAAACCGTGCATTTCTTATTCGGCTATCAAAGGAGTTGCGACTACCCACCAAAGCTTCCTCGAGTTGAGAGTTAGTTGTATGCCTTTGACGTTCTAAGACATGAGCCATGCTCAACACAATTTGATTCGAGTTACAACAAGATCAAGAATGTTGGCGCCAGTCGGCAGGGTGATTCCACCAGTTCCTTCTTCTGATTCATGACTTATCCATCACATATGAGCATAGATGATCATCAGGCACCACAACGGCACTCAACAATGCCAATAAAGGCAAACAAGCTATTTTGGGACAACGTTATCCACGAGATACTCACCCGAGACACGGTTTCACTTCAAAGAACTTATCCTGGCATGATTCACTTTTGTATACAATGCGTATAATAGAACCCAGGTAGCATCTGATACATTCTGAAGAATCCTTATTGTTCATCTGAAGCTAAGAAATTTTCCAGGGGCTTGCCCGGCTGGCTTCCATTAGATTCTTGGTTAGCTGGCTGTGACTTTTGAATCAATTCCAGTCAATGCCTGAGACTTGATCAATGCCGGCAACTGACATGAAGGGAATATAATATAGTACTGTGCTCCTTAGAAAGGGCCTCGCAGCTTCATAAATTTCATCTCTTCTATCAAACCCAAATTCGCGCCGGTCGCTGTTGAATTTCATCTCTTCAAGTTCACTTGTCGTGTTTCGCCACGTTTGTTTTCGTTTCCCCTCTGAATTAATTCACCGTCCTGAAAGCTGGACTATGCCTCGCAGCTCTTGGATCAGCCGCGAAGGTGGCTGTGCAGGCGGTGTAGAGAACATCGACAGATGGATTCCTCTTTCACACACACATGAGGAGGTTCAACAACGTCTCCTCGAGAACGAGTCAAAGCAGCGACAATTTGCTGTTGATTATTTCTGGAACAAGAACCTCGAAAATTTGAACATCTTCCCGACGAGACATGCCTTAGACAGCTGGAATGTGCAAAAATACTTCGAGTTATTCAACAAGATATTCTTCTTCGGCGCCTTGACGAAAGATTTTTGTGAGCTAAAGTTTGTGGAAGAGGTAGGGGTCTCAAGAGAGGAATGGCATCGAAATAGCACCCACGAAGATGTTGAAGGACACACAACAGATCCTCGACGACATAGGCTATGCTACCAAGGCTGCACCAAGATCTCCATCTTCGAGCAGAAGGATGATGTTAGCAAGGCAACGTTGCTCCGCAGATACCTCGGAACATTGCTCCATGAGATGATTCATGCATTTATTCATATTTATATATGTTTATCTCCCAGCTGCGAGGCTCGAACTGCTCAGTTGGAGGGATCGAGAGGCCATGGAATAACTTGGCATCGGCTGGCAAAGGCCTTCGAAGAATTCGCTGAGAATTGGCTTGGTCTGGGACTCGACCTTGGAAGGGCCGAGGTGGAAAGCGAACTTGGAAACGGGGAGTCGGATCTCTCAGCTGTCGATTCGTAAATCCGTGGACCGGCTCGGAGGAGGAAAAGAAAGATGACTTCGCTACCGGTCTGAACGTCGAAAAGAATCCCAACAAACCTAATTTTGTCTCCGACTCTGAAAACTCGGTCCTCGAGTATAGGTACTGAATGTGAGATAGGAGCGGAAGGTGCTGATAGACTTGCAAAGGACGAAAAAATGGTGTTAATTTTCGATGTCCCAAATCAACGCTGGACATTTATCTGGAATGTGATTTTGATGTACAGGAGTTTCTGGGACATCCAAAGGGGGCAGTCTTCGAATGTGCAATGGTGTAGGTGTAGATTTGGTGAGGAAGTATTTGCAATGATTAAATTTTTATCACGGATAATAAACAGAGTGCGGGGTTTTCTTTCCACAGGAAGATAGAATTGAAGGGTTAATCTCGACCATTGTGCTTTTCTTGGAAACAAGCAGTGCAATTTTAAACATTCCATAGGAATTCCATACATATTTCACAACAACAGCTTCCAATGCAAGATCAAAGAAGTTGAGGGACATAAGCACGATTTTCGCTTATTCCACCACACTTTTCTTTGTCTCCTGACAAGTATAATGTGGGCCGGCAGATGAATAGCTCTTGGTCTAAATCGTGCCAACCCACAGTGAACGGTAGGTATTCGTCAAATTTCTGGTTCGCCAGGCGGTATGGCTCAGGCATCTGATTCTCTATCCCACAGTCTGCATCATGTATGAAATTTGGAAACACTGATCTCCGAAGATAAACAATTGAAAAATGATATAGCTTTGCAAAGTTCTCTTTCACTTGGCTTTTCTTCACTTCAAAATTAGACATCTCCACGATATCAGCACACAGCCTCAGCAAATTTCCCAGCCCACGACTCCAGTACGTTCTTCCGAACGGTCTTCGAAGGCGACCTCCCGATCATGCCAGCGCCACTGCGAAATAAATGCGAGGCTAAATCTGATCCAGAGAGCGTACAGAGGTCGAGGCATAAAGAACCGGGAATACAGGGCATTTTGACCTATAGTACTCTACAGGGTACGGATTGTAGGGCAAGAGTTCGCTATAAGTCCCTATAACTCCAGGCAGTACTCCATAAATCGACGTAAAGAGGCACTGTAAGACATTTGCAGGGATAAGTAGATCTTCTAGGGTTATGCTTCCATAGCGACGACTCCTTTGTCAGTACAGGGGAGAAGACCTAAAAAGGTATGGCAGCCCTTGTCGAAGGCGCATAGGCTACTTTTAGGGAAAAGCCTGAAATAGGGCCTTAGCGAGTTTGCTACCTTGATCTGTACGCTAGAGGGTCAGAGAGTCGCCCAATGCCCTATAATCCCGATTCTTTATGCCGCGATCACCGTAGAGATTGACTACCTGGAAGATACATAGTCAGATTGATCTGACTGAAGACAAAACAGGCAAGAGATTTATCGAGGCCCTCTGAATTGGCGTCACCTGGTCGAATTCCAAGTGCCAGTGGACCGGATACTCGATATGTAGATTTGTGGACTGTGCTTCGGATCTTCAGACTTGCAATTGTCGAAGAGAGCGAAATAAAGAATACGGGTTGTGCTCTTATGAGCGCTGCGGAGGAAGGGAAAGAGCGTTTAACCATGTTAGAAAATGAATGAGTTGAAGATTTATTGCGTCGTTCCTCCCGATTCGTGTAACATCCAGGAAAATAGCTGCCCAGACACTGTCCGCCGTATAGCAGAGTCCTTGATGACGTGTATTTGTCTTAGTCATTCTTAAGTATAAAATGGTGACCGGATTGTCTTCGGATCACTTCGTAGAAGGGCGAACGGCCCTTCGAACATGTCTTCCCCAGAAGTTTCAAGCACAAAGAATGGTTAAAATTATTCAGGCGTTAAAGCGACGATGCTCATTCGAATTGTGGTAGCGGTTACTGATGAAAGCAATACAGAGGGATGAAGGCATCGGAGGAAAAGGAGGCGGATCGATGAAGGCCGAAAAGTCAAAGACGAAGGGACGAAGTGATCGGAGGAGCCTTCTGGAAAGCAGCGCATTCGATGAGACCACTGGATAGAAGTATCCACTTGGAATCCTAACTTCCAATGTACCAAAACCCGGAAGAACATTGCGTGCAGGTGCAAATTGAAAATTTCGTGCAGCGTGTGAAGTTGAAGAAATCAGACCAGTCCGCATTCGTCCTAGCGTGAAGAAGCTACATGCAACGTCATGGCCCAAATTCCACTATCCTGGAGCTCCTGTTGATATCTGGTCATGATCAATTGAGTTCCTCAATTAATCACAATACCCAAAATCTCAATATGTTCGCGAGACAGGCTTTCAGAGCGGCTCAGCCGTTGAGAACAGTAAGTTTTGTTTATGTTTAAAGCTCCTGTGATGGCGCCACATTCGGAAGGATCCTCTCTAGGCATTGAGTTCCACTGAAGAGGTCGAATCAAAGCTGATAACGACCCATAGCAAACCCGTCGATATGCAACCGAACCATCAAGCGGAGGCTCGAATACCCTGCTCTATGCCGGAGCTGCTGCACTGCTTGCTGGTGGAGGGTACTATTACTACAGCCAAGGTGACAATGCCGCAAAAGTCAAGGGTGCAGCGAAGGACGCAGAAGCCAAGGCAAAGGATGCAGTCGCCGCAGGTAAAGCAAAGTTGGAGGGTATCTCCGCCAAGTCTGCCTTCAAGGGTGGCGATCAAGGATTCATCAGTTTGAAGCTCGAGAGCGTCGAAGATGTCAACCACAACACCAAGAAGCTCCGCTTCGCATTGCCCGAGAATGATCAAGTCAGCGGTCTGGTCATTGCATCTGCCATTCTCACGAAGTTCAAGGGGCCTGATATGGATAAGCCTGCGATTCGACCTTATACACCTGTTAGCGACGAAGGTAAATTGCTTTCCAAATGGTGGTTCAGATTTCGTTGACAAAGTTAAAGATGAAAAGGGATTCTTGGATCTTCTCGTGAAGAAATACCCTAACGGTCCTATGTCCACCCATCTTCACGAAATGCAACCTGGCCAATCCCTCGACTTCAAAGGTCCAATTCCAAAGTATCCCTGGACACCAAATAAGCACATTCACGTTGCTCTCATTGCAGGAGGCACTGGAATCACCCCAATGTACCAAGTGGTCCGCACGATCTTCAACAACCCAGACGACAAGACCAAGGTCACACTCGTTTTCGCTAATGTTAAAGAAGAAGATATCTTATTGAAGAAGGAATTCGATGATCTTGAGAACACCTACCCACAACGATTCCGCGCATTCTACGTTCTAGACAACCCACCAAAGGGATGGAAGGGTGGAAAGGGATTTGTTAGTAAAGAGTTATTGAAGACAGTCCTCCCAGAACCGAAGGAGGAGAACATCAAGGTTTTCGTTTGCGGACCCCCTGGAATGTACAAGGCTATCTCCGGAGTCAAGAAGTCTCCTTCAGACCAAGGAGAACTCGATGGAAGTATTCTTGAGCAGTTGGGCTACTCGAAGGATCAAGTCTACAAGTTTTAGATGCGGATACAGCATTTGGAAGAATTGTACAAGTACGATAGGATAGATGATGAATGAAAACCGCATAGACAAAGGGCTTGGGTGCCCAGCAATAGCATTCTTCCCGCCCTCTGACACGAGCTTCCAACAGTCACGCAGCCCACCACACACGACTCAGGCAAGCCAAAAGATCAACCTTTTCCCCAACGATTATAAATTTTAATGGACCGCGGTCCAGTTCCTGAACCGGAAGATCAACAGGGATGATTCTCTAACCTCTCCATTCGCAGCCGTTATACCCGAGAACAACCCCACCTTCCCGCGGATGGTTGCCGCAACCACTCGGGCCACTCAAAACCATGATGTCAACATCAACTTGTGGAGATAATAGTCGGACTTAACGTCGCACTAAAGAGGCCATTCCCTAATTACAAAGCGCTATTTTTTTATGCGCTACACCATGAGTCTTACTTTTGCGCTATGATGGAGGCGATTGCAGCAAGATAAGTTCCAGTTCTTCTCATCCCTCTTTCCGTTGTCAATTGCCTTGATTTTGGATTTTCATTCGAGGGAAGCATAAGTGGGGGCTCAAAATGCAGTCATATCTAGCCTACAAGCGTTTTGGCAAGCATGCGCGTGCTCAGTATGAAAGAGACGAGAAGCGTGCTGAGGCCATCGAGCGAGGAAATGCTGAGAATGCTGGAAGCGGCCAAGGTGGGGAGGAATTGGGACACAAAGAATCCTCAATTGATGCTGGATCCTCAAGCTCGGATATTCCCTCTGGAGATCAGAGCCCCGACTCTCGTGATCCGGAGAGAGCAGAGCAGCCAGGAAGATCGGACGAGAAAGATGATCGAGACAAGGAAGAAGAAGAGGAAGAAGGGATGGAAAGGAATAACACCCTCGCAACGATCCACACGTCTCAGAGCTTCGGAACAAGAATGGGGCATGCGATGACTGGTATCGAAGTCAGAGAACTTTCTAAAGAGATGACGAGGCGAAGGACACGAGCAAGCGGTCGAACGAATACCAGCGATAAAGCCCCCGAGCGGGAAAAGGTCTTCGTCGTTGGGTATGAGTCTGAATCCGATATTTTGAACCCTCATAATTGGTCCTATGGGACACGCATCCTCGCAACGATTATGATCGCATGGATCGGCTTCATCGTCGGTTTTGCGTCCTCTGTTGATTCGGCAGCCCTTACGCAGGCTGCTGAGGAGTTTGGTGTCAGTGAGGTGACTGAGAGCTTGGCAACTGGGTTGTTTTTGGTGGGATTTGGATTTGGTGCCTTGTTTGCCGGACCGATTTCTGAGACAGTGGGAAGGAACCCAGTTTATATCGTTACACTGGCTGTGTATATGATCTGGATCATGGCTTCTGCTCTTGCTCCTAATATCGGTGCCCAGCTCGTTTTTAGATTTCTTGCTGGCTTCTTCGGCTCAACTCCCTTAACCTGTGCAGGAGGATCTATCTCAGATCTCTGGGATCCAATGGAACGTGTCTTTGCCTTCCCTGTCTTCGCGAATGCCGCATTCATGGGACCAATATTCGGCCCAGTCGTGGGAGGTTTCGTCGGCCAGTCAAGCTTGGTGAGCTGGCGGTGGTGCGAATGGATAACCCTCATCATCTCCGGGGCCATCCTCATCATGGTCATCCTCTTCCAACCCGAAACATTCGCTCCTATCCTCCTAAAATGGAAAGCTACGCATCTCCGCAAAATCACAGGCGACAACCGCTACGTAGCAGAAGTTGAGATCCGCGCTGATCCATTCTGGAAACGATTGCTGCACGCTCTGTACCGCCCCTTCATCTTGACTGCACGAGAACCAATCGTCATCTTGTTTGCGTTGTATCTGACCGTTGTGTATATCATTCTTTTCACATTTTTGGACGGATATACATACATTTTTGGCAGGACCTACGGCTTCAGCGAAGGCATAACCGGTCTCTCCTTCCTCGGCATCGGCATCGGTCTCTGCTTTGCCTCTCTCTGGGTACCTCTCATCCACCACTGGGCAAAACGGGACCTCGCCATCGCGCGAGAAAAATACGGACCCAACGCACGCAATCCCCCTGAAAAGCGGCTCTGGTTCGCTATGCTTGGCGCCCCAGCTGTTCCGATCTCGCTTTTCTGGATGGGTTGGACGAATTATAAGAGTGTGAGTTATTGGAACGCGCTGGTGGCGAGCGTGTTGTTCGGTTATGGCATTTTGTGCATTTTCATCTCGAGTTATCAATATATTATTGATAGCTATGAGATGTATGCTGCCAGCGCGTTGGCGAGTTTGACGTTGATTAGATATGTTGCTGCGGGCGGCATGGTTGAGGTTGGGATTCCGTAAGTTTGATGTTTGCCCCGGTTTTCGAGACGATGGATGCTGATGATGGATAGATTTTACGAGAATTTGGGTGTCCACTGGACGTTGACTATTCTGGGTATCATTTCGACGCTCATGGTGCCAGTGCCGTATGCGTTCTATCGTTATGGCCCGAAGATCAGGAGTTGGTCGAAGTATGCAGCGAATGTTGATGAGTGAGGGGTGCTGAAGGAGGGAGAGCTGTAAAAATGGTCCATTGGTCCACCATATGAGACTTTGAGGAGACTTAGCAAGGCGTTCTGGATGTATTGAAATAGCGGAAGGCTGGAATATGATTTTATTGAATAATACAGTATTTGAGGCTTGAAGTGTCTATTATGTAGACCGTACCTGTACTTTGCGATATGAGTTGTGAAGACTTGCTTTTTCTTGTGAAACATGAAATAGATTAATTGGGTCTCCTGATCTCGCCCTCATCAGCCCATTAGCCATCTGTCAGCCTTAGACACGCAGCTTGCTCTCGCGATCTTGATTGTTGAGATAAGTATCAGCGTGATATGTGGGCTGAGATATCTTGGCGGCTTTCACTGAGCTGTGTTTTATGCACGAGGAGGGATATCTTCGTAAGACTACAGCTTGAATACGTGTGGAACCCACCTGGGAGATGTGCAAAAATTGTAGTATTCTCTTTTCGTTTTGTTAAACGGACTTGATTTCTCAGCATGGCGTTTATTGGTCCTATTACTATGAGAGATATCTTTGACGGCATCGATTGGATTTGCGACCTCATTGGGAAGTGTCGGCATAGGGCGAGCATCGTGACAGCCGCAGGCAGAGAACTTCAATGTGTTCAGGTGGAACTTTCGGAAGTACAAATGAAGCTTGACAATGGAGAAGTCTCACAATGATGGTAAGTCTTGTTCATACCACTGTACTGAACGTTGAACTTGAGCTTCTCAACTGAGAGATTTCCTAGGAGATAATGCATTGAGCTGGCCTTTCCACATCTCCGTCGCAGTATCAATGAGATTGGAAGCTTAATCAACGAATGCAAAAATGCAAGCACTGCAAAATGATGGGGTTTCATAGCAACCCGCTGCAGCTTCAATGCAATGTCGAGGGGGTTCGAAATATCTGTGGAAGAACGCACCGTCATTTTGACGACGGTATGCTCACTAAGATGGTGGCAGGCTTCTATAATTACTGAAAGAGCAGAAAAAGGAGCACCAAGTTTTGGAGAAGATACTGAAATGCCTGGAAGAGAAAAGCAGAGACTCGGTAATCGATGCGGTCAGAAACCGCAACCCAGAAGGTTGCGACAATTAGAGTGTGAGCTGCTTTGTCAAAGACTCAGCAAAGACGAGATTGCAAGGCTCATGACACCCGGATAGACAGCATCAGAAACATCAGCACATCGATTTCAGATCAATCCACTCACGAAGCCACGGCCAACACTACCAGTGGGAACTCGACGTCGACTGTCACGCCCAATATCAGTCCTCCACAGAATCAAACAGTCACTTTCCAGCCGATCTTTCACATGCACTTTAATGGTATGCCTACGGTGTGGCCAATATCTCCTCTTTACAATTCTCCTCAAGCTGGTCAAGCATTTGATACGTATCAGAATGCAGCTTCGAGGCAACAAAAGTTAATTTACCAGGACTACCTTTCTTATTCCCTTCCAACTCTCAGAGTTGTTTACCAGCCAAATACTACTTACCTGGCAGCACCGAGAGAAAATGGATCCTTTGCATCGATGAAACAAACGGAGGCAAGCATTCTGATGCCCCGAGAATTTACCCGTCAAGGACTACAGGCTATTCTAGTCCGCTCCATCCCCGCACAAATGTTCTTGGAGCTCAATCGCTTTTGGATTGCAAACACATCATCCCAATGGCTTTTCGAACGAATTGAATCAGCTAGGGCCAATATCAAAACAAACCTCCCAACCACCCACCTTCCATTTTTGAGCAACCTTTCCAGGAGCAACAACAGCAGGCTCAACAGCAGACTGGCATAACCAAGTAAGTGCTGAGCTCGTTGACGCTTCTGACCACTATCAATCTGACGATTATCCGTATGAAAAACAGACAATCATGGATCGCATGAATGTTCATCAGCCACGAGGAATTGAGTCACGACGCTTCGAAGACCACTAGTACATACTCTGCTGTTTTTACGGCGTATGTACCACGCTGATCTATCTCCAGCAAGCATGGAGAATAGAGCATCTAACACAGTCTTGTGCCAAAATAACAAAGGTTGCTGCTCTTGGGCTGCTCGAAACTGGGCTAGGAATTAAGAATGAACTTGGTGAAATAATTCCGGGGCTCAAAACCGCGATTCGAGGATTCATGAGCACGGACCTTGGGTGGTAGGAGCAGTTGGTGATAGAGAATGGAAAATGGATCAGGCCGGGGACGGGGCAGAGAGAGCGGACGTTGATGATGGTTCTGTCAAGGAAGAATACAGCTTGTATCAAAGGACGAGAGTCTGAGCTGAGTAGAGAGACTGTGGTGAAGATGAGATGGACGTTGGGGGTGGGAAACATCAGTTGGTTTGCTTAAGTGGGGAAAAGGGTAAGTTGCGGGTTTCTGAGCCTGACATGATCTTTAAGAATACCTTTGCTAATACTTCCGAATATGCATCAGCCCAGCCCTTTCTGCAGATATGCGCCGCTTGACCTAGCTATGCATACAACGAAGAGTGCAAGAGCGTGCAAGAGGACCGCAACGCGAAAGAGAGCCGATTCAACCCTGAAGGCCTCGAGCTTCCCTTTTCTGGCCAACTCGCTCACTTGAGTATCAAATAGTACAGCTCAAGGCCCCGAGACTTCATCAATCAAACCTGGAATTCGTTTCATGTCCGGCCCGTATCTGTGCTCTGACAAGATGCTCTAACGTCACAGCTCTTCAGAAGGCCAGAATTGATCGATCTCCGGCTAAGTTACTATCGAAATAGCAGTCTGACTCCTCGAACAAATGGTCACCCTGGAGTGCGCACGAGGAGTTTCGAAGAGCCGTTTTGTCAATCCAGTTTGTCCAGAAACCTCACAAGCATGAATCAACGGGGTCGATTTGGGAAAAGTGGTCGAATTGTGATCACACGTGAAGAGTGACTATCTCAGCAACATGCCAAATCTAGCCCATTGTTCTCCACCCAGTATGTGTCTCTCCCATATCCCAGCCCATGCCATAACCACAAATCTGCAACCGATGTTAGCTGCGCTGCTCCCAAACTCGCATTCCAGGCAATCGTACCAAGAACTCCCCAATATGCAATTATCGCTGAAGGCTTCCGCTCCACACATTTTTCAGCAGACCATCCCGTTGTGCCAATCGGTTCAACGAATCGTCGCTCTCGCCCATCGCTCGGACGAAGCCGCAAAGTGCGTAGACTTGACTCTCTCCGGTGAATCGGCCGTTCTCATCGACTTTGCCAACTGAGATTTGCACGGATGCGTGGTCCTTCGCCTTGATGATTCTGTTGGTTGCGCTGCACTTGCGGGGGACGTAACTGTGAAAGTTGCAGTCAGCTTTCGTGATTTTCTCCGTGGTGTTCTGTTGTCGCAATTATGTTCCTGGAAGCACCTACAGGTCAACGAGTTCTCCCTTATCGTTTTCCATGATGACGGTTTGTTTGCAGTGAAACTGGTCGTCGAAGAAGCGTTTTGATGGTGAGGTTGCGTTCAAGATGATTTCTCGAGATTCGACGTTATTTTCCGTGGGAGGGATTGAAGCTAGGGCTGGAAGATCATTGGTTGAGCGAGCGAACTTTCAGGTTGGTCTTCTGGCACGTGATTTCGAGACGAATTCGCGACTGCCCATGTTGTGCATCAATAACATCGCCAGAACACTTCACCTCGAAGTCTATTCCGCCACGAATTACTGGAATGTGAGGAACAACATCGCCCTGTCGTGCCTTCCTCACTTTTCGAATTGCGCCCGGCGCAAAGGCTGGACTCTAGGCATCAAGATGGCTTCCCACGACATCCTGGTCCTTTCGTCCTCTCCTCCGAAACCGTTCAGAACATACAACATGTCCTCTTCTCCCCTTCCATCATTCAACGAATTGACACAAAAGAAGGCCCCAGTTCTGCGCACAGGAAGCCGCGCAACCCAAGTTCCCCAAACTGCCTCGGCATCGTTCACAAGCGTAGCGTCGCTCCTCAAAGCGACATCTGCGAAGGACTTGCTTGGCGTGGATGCAATTGGATCTTTCAGGATGGAAGAGCATAACGGAGACTCAGTTGAAGAGCTACCGAAACTCCCGAAGGCTAAACCTCGAAAACCTGCTACAAAGAAAGTCGGTGTCGGCGAGGAGAAGGTGGCAAAGGCTCCACGAAAGAAGAAGGATACCGTTGAAGGAGAACCTAAGAAGCCACGCAAGCCAAGGGTGAAGGTGACAGATCAAGCCGTTGGAGGAAATGATACGCCGAAGGAACCTGCTCCTAAAAAGCCCCGCGCGAAGAAGGTAGATAAAGATGCCAATCCGGACGAAGGGATTAAAGACAAGCCAGCTCGGAAGCCAAGATCTAAGAAACCAGAGGGCGAGTCCCAAATCATCCTTGCGAAAGGTCAGATCACGAAACCTTCCAGCAAATTGACGTCTGATAGAGTGGACAAGGCAGTGAAGTCCAAGAAGCTGGAATCTGCTATAACAGATCCATTTGCCGACCCGGTTGACCTGGGGCTAGTTGAAGCTGTCCAGAGACGTACTGACTGGACTCCACCAACGGCAACAGGGAAGACGACAGGTATCACTCCTATTTCTGGTGATCGATTAGATTTCGGCTCGACATCTTGCGGATCGATTCAATCAGGAGAGAGAAGCAAGACGTTTACAGATCTGTTTGGTAGCTTTGGATTTTCGAAGCTGGATAATAACGATATTGGGAAGAAGTCCTTAGAGACTGAGAAGCCACGGAAGAGAAAGCTCATCGAACTTGTCAAAACGAGTGTCTCGACAGCTGCAGCTACATCTCTCAAAGAGAAAGCACCCAAGAAGAAGGCAAGGACAATCACAGGCCTGGCAACATCTGCATATGCTGAACAAGAAGAAATTACTGCCAAACCGGCGCCTCTACTGCAATACTTTTCTCGACAAACCACAGAAAGACCTACAAATGATGGATTCAAAGTTCCTCCAAAACCACGGTCGAAGAGCCTGGTGAAGGGGGCAAAGCCCAAAAAGGGATCTGCAGACGCTCCAATTCTTCTCTCGCCCGAGTCAGCTTTAAAACAGAGCGGAAATCAGGATTTCGTCTTTGGAACCTCGAGCCAACTTGCAAGAGAGGATTCGCCCAGGCTTCTCCGTGATTTACATGAAGCTATGCAAGCGTCGAATGAAATTGACGAAGACGACCCATTTGCGGATTCAATTCATGCGTCTGTGTTTGCAAACCGTGGGAAGACATTGGCCCCGGCTAACCGCGATCTCTGGTCTGCGGCAGCCCGTGATATGGCTGGTGATTTGTTAGAAGTTGAGATGGTCGACCTCGTTGACTCTCCAGTTGCCACAAAACACACAATACCAACAATCATGCCTGGAGCCACTAAGCCTTTGGTGAATGAAGTAGCTGAGGATGTTTGGTATGATATTGAAGAATTGGGCAAAAATATGGATCAAGACCTTCAGACAACGAAAGAAGCGACAAGAAGAATCGGACCCGTAGAGGCAGCAATCAGAGCTGAACTTCTAAGCAGCCCTGCGAGCAATCCTAAGTCCAAAGAATCGACTCCGAAAAAATCAAAGAGAGAAAAGAGAGACAAGTCGCCTTCTAGGCGGACTAAATCCCTAGCGAAAGCCTCTACCAAGGCAGCCAAATCGAAAGGTGTTGGCATGCCAGATTTTTCATCCTACACAACTGCACAGCTAGCGAAAGAGATTGCTTCATATCGCTTCAAGCCCGTCAAGAGTCGAGATGGGATGATAGCATTGCTGGAAAAATGCTGGGAGGGCAAGAATCGAATAGCCTTAGGTGCCCTAGGGGCTAATGTCTTGTCGCAACCTCCTCCCGAGTCATCCAAACCACCAGCTTCAAACCAAGTGTGCGCAGCTTCTCCGAAAAGACCTCGAGGAAGACCGCGAAAGGAGAGTACAACTTCTTCGCCACCAAAAGGCAAAGTTGGGAGACCGAAGAAGTCAACTACTGTGGAATATTTTGAGATGGACAGTGACACTCCGTTGTCACAAACTCGGACTCCCAAAAAATCAAAGAAAGGGAAAGAGGCGGTTGTCGAAGATATCTCTGACTCCGACACCGAAACCCGTCCCTCCCCTCCTCGCCGGCAAGCATCTCAGACCAAAACTCCACCACTCCCCTTGAAGCTATCGACAGATCTGGAAATCGACACCAGCCCCGAACTCTCTCCCCTCTCATCCCGAGCTTTACTCTTCATGCATATAACCCGTGCCATTAAGAACGCACCGCCTTCCAAAGACCCATCAAAACCCTCCTGGCATGAAAAGATTTTATTGTATGATCCGATTATACTGGAAGAATTAGCGGTGTGGTTGAATACGGGGGCACTGGAGAAGGTAGGGTGGGATGGCGAGGTGGATGTCAAGGAGGTGAAGAAGTGGTGTGAGGGGAGGAGTATTTGTTGTCTTTGGAGGGAGAACTTGAGGGGTGGCGCGAGGAGTCGGTATTAATGAATAGATAACGAGTATGAAGAGCTTTGAATATTGCATTGAATACGAATTGCTGTTTCGCTTGAATTATATGAAGAAAGATGGGCTCGGAATACCGAATGCTTTCTAGACGCTATTATGCTATGCAGTCTGTCTAAGCCGTAACCCATCATCGTAATCATCTCTCATCTCATCATCTCAAGACCCGATGCCTTTCTCTCCCTATGTACTCTCTTGTCCAAAGGCCAATATACATCCTTCGTCCAATTAAGGGCCCAGCCTAATAGCACTCTTCATCCGTCTCCACAGCTCCGCAGCCATCGCATTCCTCCCCTCCAGCGTCCTCTCAACCGCATCCCTATTCTCCTGCGCTCTCCTCAGTAAATACTTCATACACTCCCCCGTCGTCCCCCACACAAGGTACTTATACGCTTTGGGTACATCGACATCCACCTTCATCCCCTCTCCCTCCTCAACCATCCCAGCTTGCACCAGCTCACAAGACACTTCATCAGCCATACCTTGCAACTGTGCGTAGACTAGTTCGGTCTGTGGCAATCCCTGTTGGGCTTGGGAAGTGCGGAGGCTTTGGATGCGGCGGACTGAAGTGTGGTTATGTCCCGCTAAGACGACATTGACTCCCGGATATTTCCCCTCACTCTCTCCTGAAGCTGGTTTGAGGATGGAGTTGTAGCAGCGGAGAGCCAGCGATTCGGCGATGCCGTTATACGCAGCATCTGTCTGCGCTTTCGTGTCATAGATCAAATGACGAGGATCGGAGCCTAGGTAGGCACCGCGCACGAGCTTGACGCCTAATGTGAAGCCATCTTGACGTGCGGTCGCGAGGTGCGAGGCCAGGACGGAAGGTGTGGCTTTTAGATATGCTTGGTACGTTCCATAGATCACTGCTTTCCCATTGTTGGAAGGGGAGGGCTTGTTGTATTTGCGCATGTATCCTAGAGTCCAGGCGTCGATGCCAGCTTGCACTGCTTGCTGCTCTGCGTCGAATAGTAACCGGACGCCCCGCTCAGCGGCAAGGTTGCAGACGGAGTCTATTGCTTCTCTGAGAGGAGGTGACGGATCCCTCTGGTTCGAGAGGTCGTATAAAGCTTGGCTGCCTGCACCTGTAAATTTTAAGGCGACGAAATCGCCGGGTGCGGTCATACGGACAGTCTCGAGGGTGCCGTTTGCCCAGGGTATGATCTCGTTACGAATACAGGCTTCTGCTGTCTCGGAATTGGTGTCTGAGCAGGAGGAGAGGGAGGCCGTTTGTGTCTCATCCATTACTACTTCTTTTGCGTAGCCCAGGATTACGCCTTTGAAGCCAATGGATTTTAGGGAGTCGGCTGTGTGTTTGACTTCGAGGGCGTTTTCGCCGGCGCAGAATTGCCGGTAGAAGGTTCGTTTGAGGAAGTATCGCAGGAAGAGGTTGGTGTCGGGGGAGAGGAGGGGGGATGTGGAGTGTGCGAGTCTGGACATTATTGCTAGTGAGGGGCCGAGGAGGAGCTGAAGGGAGTTAGAAACTTGGTGTATTGGAGAAGGGGGGTTAACGAACAGGCGAGGAGGAAATTGACGTTATCGCCAACGATCTGGTGATTGAGGACAGGGGGAGAATTGAGAGAGGAGCTGCTTTGGGAATTGTGGGAGGAGGATGCGCCAGAACTTGCGGTTCATCGAATTTCTCTGTTGAGCCATGGTCTGAAGTAATTGACACTTGACGAGGAAATGTTCGGGACGACATTGTTCTGGAGGAAACAGTGAATGACTTTGTGTTTTTGAAGAGCATGACGCTCTTGGTTGGCCCCGCCATGTCAGCGGAATGGTGGCGGCAGCTACTGCGCCAAGGGAATTGTGGCAATTGAGTATGGACGACTTGATGAAATTCAAGGGATGACAACGACGATGTTAAATACGCGCTCAATAATACGGATGTACCGACTTCGGCGTTCTCGTACACAGGTACCTTTCGTCAATGAGGGGCAATCTTGATGATGCTATCGCAGCCATTCAGAGCTTATCTGGCTGAACCGAAGGAAGCCGCACCTTTGTTGTTGATAAATTGATAATACCCCCCTCTAGCGCCGCGCTCAATGCAGCATTCTGCACCAGAGCGGTCTTGGTTGGATTGCAGCAGTGGGGAGGCAATATCAGCAGGTCGACCGTGGTCCATTCGTGTTGATCATGCCATTTCGTTCTTCTCTATGGCCGCTTTTCGTCTCCCTCCGCGCAAGATGAAGTCCACATAGCCTGGCCGCCTTCCCCTTGCGGCTCCTATTGCATCCTGAGCAAGCCCGTATGCCAACCCAATGGCCAATCCACTCTTGGCCGTTCTCGCTGCGGTGGTTACTGGGAAGCGGTCTGTACGAATCAGTGTCTGCGTCAAGACCGCGGGAGAGTGGCATACTCCACAGACTGAAGCCGCCAGCAACAGACAAACTTGCAATGACCGTATTGACGAAATCCTTCGTCCCTCTATATCGATCGAATATCTCTTCCACACTGAAGAATGCCGCAGTCCAAAAGCTGACTTTGGCGCCCATCTTAAATCCCTCCTTCACTCCACCCAGCGCCATATTGTAGTTCTTGCTCTTGTGATAGAGATACCATCCCGTCGGAGTCGTAGGTAACCTATGCGCATTCTCTGCCCGAAATCGTAGTCCTGTTGTTTGGCTTCCGTGGGAGAGACCCAGCGCCATCCCGGCGACGAAGGAGAGTGAGGCCACGACGGGGAGACGCTTGCCCCAGGGCAGAGAAAACCTCGAATTCTCCTTCAGCACTCTGTATTCCTCCCGCTTCATTTCGATCCATTTCTTGCGCTCCTCCTCCTCCATTGCGCTCGCCATGGCGGTATCGACTGACGTTGGAAAAAGGATGGACGTTGGACAAGGCTGCGAAGGATCCATGTCTCACAAAACCCGGTCTGTCACGGGAGAACGTGTTTTTCGCGTGGGGATTTCAGCCGAACTCGTCAGGCTGCACATCTCCTTCCAAGCTCGATTCCCCCAACACAGTGTGCTCCATCCTACGATAAGAGAAGGGACATTTACAAGTCGGCGAGATGGTGAGACGAATTCTATATTTTATAATCCTCATGTTCTAACAGATCTAGGCTCGAGACGACGACGAGATCCAAGCCACGGCTTTCACCCTCCACTTCAAATACAGCAAATACACCGTCCTCCTTTTCGCGGATCCCTTAACACCCTTCTCAACCATTAAAACCAACCTCCTCGTTATCCTCAAAGAGCGCTACCCCGACGGTCTCTCAAGAAGCGACTCTCCCAGCCCCACAAAAATCCCCGATTCGATACTAGACATCGTGCTCGGTGTTCCGATAGATCCTTATGAGCTGAGCAAAGGATGGGATGAGCTGGACACGAGGGGCGGAGGCATGATAGAGACGCCGAGAAGTTTGGGGCTCAAGGATGGGAGTAAGATTGCGTTTGCGTTTGTGGAGAATGACGAGGACAAAGAGGCGAAGGAGTTGTTTTATGTCGAGTACCCGGACCTTGATGCGTTATATCCGGAGGAGGGTTAGATGGATGAGATATTTAGGATGGCGTTAGGCGTACATAGGGAGGTCATCTAGCTTAGAGGATGGCAGCGCATACAGCCGCATGAGCTGTCGGGGGCTACAATATGAGCAAGATGCTCGGAGAATTACAAAAGGTGGCTACATCAAGCTCTGAAGCTCTTTGCCCCTACTTTACTTTGTCAAATGAAACTCTCTTCTTGCCAGAATTGACGCTATCACCAGCCACTTTTCTTCCATCTAGCAATATTCTCTCCGATTTCCTGATTTGTGCAAACACAAAGGGGTAGATCAAGTCACAGATTAAAGCTGTAACCCACAGTACAACAGCAAACGGGTTCATGAAGTACCTAAGCAAATCAGCGTCAGAAAACTTTTTCGGAGCCAGAGAAATTACTCATAAGCCTCTCTCCAGTGATACCACATCCACCCATAGTTTATATACAACCCCTAGGTAACGGGGGAGTTAGCATTGCCAGATTAAAATTGTTTCGGGAGAGGACGTTGTCTCCGGAGAAAGACAGGAAACAGTTCGAAATAGGAAAGGGTTTCTCCCCCAGCGCCTACAATCACCGATCCCAAAGTCCTCGAAGCCCTAAACCTCATTAACATCTACTTTCTCTCTTCTTTTAAATCACTCACCAAACTCCCCAACTCACACCGCCAGTATGCTGCCTAATCAACAACTGCGCCAAGCTCGCAACACTCAAATTCGTCTGTGCCACAGTAGCACTCCAAAACCCCAACTCCGTAGTGTCAGCCCCCACAACCCCCCGATAAAACTTCCCCTCCCTCTTGCCCACTTCATTCTCAACCCACCAGCTCGCAAACGCCCAATGGGCCACCACACACCAAACCACTCCCACGGCAAACAGCTTCCCCAAATTCCTCTTCACAAGTGGAGCATGGTCCCACTCCTCCTTCCCATACATCAAAATACCACAAACCATGCCAAGATCTAAGATTAACCAGATCGCGAATACGATGCGTTCTAGAGGTGTTTCGGCGATCAAAAGTGCGTAGACGAGCTCCCATGCGAAGTTGAAGGACAGGGCAAATAATGGCATGCCGTAGGAGCGGTCAAGGAAGGAACGGTGGGCGAGCAGGATGTAGCAGAGTGTCCACAAGGCGCCGCCGGTTTGTAGGAGGGCATTAGAGACGGGGATGAAGTAAGAGGGTACGTGGGAGGGGGGGATGTCGTTGGAGCCCATCTTGAGTCCCTTTCCTTGAAGATATGGTAGAGGGGGGAAAGCGAGTCAGGAAAGAGAATTGAGATCAGACGCGATTAGGAAAAATGAGGCCTGCAATCGAAAAACTCCCCTGGGAGTTCACTTTACCGTTTCAGGTAACAATCATCAGGGTTCAGGACTACAGTGCCCGCTGAGTAAATTGACCAGAAGGTTAAAATCGTAGGCAACCGCTCCAAAAGAAAAGTTGGAGTTGTATATAGCTTCCTTCTCCCGAGATTTTGTGTTCGAGGGAGAGGCAACACAACAGCTAGCATGCAGGGGGGTTGTCAGTGTCATTTCTTGCTTCTTGGCCACACTTCTGGACCTCGGCACCCCAGAATTTCTCAGCCCCGCAATCCAACCCAACGTCAGTAATCACCACCACAGAATGACAACCATTCCAATGCCGCCCAATGCATCTCAAACGACTGAGTTGCACCCCTTCGAGACAATGGACTGGCGGTAGCACCATCTCCCTTTCAAAACGAATATATCCCCTCATCATACCACGGGCCACTTACACGCTGGATTTCACTAGAAGGCTTCCAGCGTCAGCCTTGTCCTGCCCGGGACGTCCCCTCGTCATGGCAAAGACACCTCGCCCAGATCTGGAGAAGCAATACATGTCTTCGGGATCGAGACCCAAGAGAGAGGTTGCAGAACCCAGACCTAGTGCTTCGTAATACCCCTTCTCCCTCTTTCCAACCATCTCAGCTAACGTCTCCTAGGATACTCCTAATTTCCCCCTCGAATGAGATTCTCCTGTTACATCGAGTGCGAACATCGTCTTCCTTCCCCTCAGCACACGTATTCCCCGGCGGGAATCTAAGTGCTTCGCAAGACGGCGAGATTCCCGGCCCGAAAGATGCAGAGCGGCATAGAGATGGGCTGGCTTATAGGATGGGTGCTATAAGGGAGTGTTTTGAGGAGAGTGGGATCCTGTTAGCGAAGAAGAACTCCGATTCATCCTCTTTGTTGGAAATCGAGGAGAGTGAAAGGGAACGAGCTAGGAAGGAGATTCACGCTGGGAAGCTGAAATTTGGGGAATGGGTGAAGGAGAGTGGTGGGGTTGTGGACATAGGTTTTCCCCTTTCCTGATTGCTTTGGTAGGAAAATCAAAGACTGATAAGAAGATAGATGGACTTATACCGTTTACGAGATGGATCACGCCGACGAACCTTCCGAAGAGATTCACGACGCAGATGTATATTTACTTCTTGCCTCTCGCTCAAACCGGACCCACCAAAAACATCGCCTCGAAATCTGTGATTCCGGTCCCGACTTCAGATGGAGGGGTAGAACATACTGCTGCGCTTTTCGCGCCGTGTAAAATATGGTTGGAACAAGCGAGCAGGAATGAGATTATTCTTTTCCCGCCGCAGTTTTACCTTATACACCTCCTGTCTCCCTTCCTCTCTCCCTCTCTCTCCTCCTCCTCTTCGCCCTCGACAAATGAGTTACAGGACCAACGGGACAAAGTCCGAGAGTTCTTGCAAGGAGATGGAGGGGATGGGAAAGGCGTAAAGTGGGGCGAGAAGGTCATGAGTCCGATTGGGATTTTGATGGGGAGGGATGGGCGGAGCGTGTTGGGGCTTGAGAAGCCAGGACCGGAATTGAAGGAGAGTGGGAGAGGGGGCGATGAGAAGAGGGTTGTGCTTGTGAGATTTGGGAGGGAGGGGCCGAGGGATTTGGAGGTAAAGGAGAGGGCGGAGGTGTTGGAAGAGGAGAGGGAGGAGGCGAAGTTGTAGACTACGATAGACGGATGTAGACAGGTATGTTGATCTTATTTGTTGAATAATAGGCAATAAATGTTCCAGAGAGTCTCAACAATTGAACCAGAGAGGACCTTGCCAGTATTATTCATTGTATATCGAGCTACGGATAACAACTTCCGGAATGGGGATACTTATTGGATTATGGGCGGACACGGAATGGTCTTGTACCCACTGTTGTTAACATGGGCGGGTTCAAGAAACTGTGAATCCCATTGTACAGTAGGGAACTGTACAATAAGATGGCAAAGCTATGAATCCCATTGTAGGGCGGGAATGTGTACAATAAGAAAATGCAAGGCTGTGACTTTGGAGGGGAGGCAGGGGACTCAACGGAAGCGAGTATATAAAGGACAAAGGTACATCCACACCTTTCCCTCTCCATCCAACCACAAAACATTGCAAAGTACTTCCTTTAAGCAAAGATGTCTTCAAACACCGCGTCGCCCTCACCACCAAGTGCTCAGATCTCAGTTACACATTGTACAGAGCCTGCACAGAACAATGAGACACCTGCATCTTTTCCGCGCATATTCACAGTCTTCCCAAAACTGCCTCTCGAGTAAGGCACTTCCATTGCCCCCAGTACCTCTAGACCATTGCGAAATAAGGCTGACCTCCCATCTAGGCTCCGGATCCGGATCTGGCGTCTCATCGATAACTTCACCCCTCACGAAATCCGCATCACCGTTACGACCCCATCAAAGGACGCCGACATCAAAAAGAGACCCACATTTAAATTGCATACGCCTCTCCCAACCACCCTCCATGTCTCCCACGAATCCCGCACTCAAGTCCTTAAGACCTACAAGACAATATTCAAAGTCAAGGACCGGAGCGGTATCGACAGAGAAGAGGTATACTTCAACCCCGCCCTCGACTCCATATTCGTGAGCATACCAAGATGTACCAGAGAATGGATGATCTACACAGGCGGCCATATACACTTGCCCAAAAATGGCATCGAAACTCCTTTCGATGCGCAAAAGCATAATATCCTCCGCTGCCAGGTGCTCAACTCGGACCCACAAGCAATATACCAGACGCATAATGTCGAAACAATAGTCGTTGTTCAGCCGACCAAGACGCCGTTGGAGGCACAGAGCAATGAGCGGACCACGCATAGATTTTTGAGTTTGGCGAGGGTGGCAGGGGAGCAATGGAAGAGCGTTGAGTATTTTGTGTGGAAGCCGGAGTGGTGGGCTGAGCATTGGGAGTTTCTGTTTGAGGAGTTGGTAAAGGAGGATCCTGAGATGAAAAAGCGCAAGTATAAGGGGAAGGGAACGAGACATAGGAAGATTGGTGGATGTCAGAAGGGATGGTGAGGTCGATGAGTAAGTCTCAACTTCTCTAAGTGTCAGTTCCAATGTCCTACACAGTTGGGGACATTCAGCTCCCAATGTACCATAACTCTTGGGACATTCAACAAACATTGGCTAATAGCTGCTGGAACTACTCGCAATGTCCCACAGCCCTGGAACATTCCACTCCAGCAATTGAACAAGTATGCTAACCCCCATTTCTTACCACCAGGCAATAGGGACAGCGTGCACTTGAAAATGGTTTGGAGTTCGGGGCATTGAATAAGAAATAATGGTCTTGGCTTAGGACGGTATCGCGGCGTAGGATGGGATTTAATGAGTACTGCGCCCATAATTTCTGGGAAGTTATGGTTGAGCAGCTCTTGACTTGGGATGGATTCGGCGTTCGGAGGGACTTGGACCGGGTCGTTCTGCAGGAATTGTGCAGTGTGTTTCATTTAGCCTGCAAGGCAAAAAGAAAAAAATTGTTATGTACCATTTTATTTTGCTACGCAAGACGGGCTGGCTACCGGCAGTACGCACTTTGTTCTGCCTGGACAGCTAGTGTCAACAGTGCTCAACGTGGCCCGGTTAGACGCTCTTGCGAATCCGCCGTTGGGTGGCAAGACCAGCACTCCGTAGAATGGTGGGCAGGACCGAGTCCACATACTCCGTAATGTATGACGGGGGACTTTTTTCATTTTAGTTTTTTTTTGTTTCGGGGTAACTACTGGAGATTTTACTATCTAATCGTGCTTGGGAAGAATACTTACAGGGCTAAATTTTTTGCGAGAAAAGATGCTTATTGATTCCCATAAGGCAAATGAACCTCTTCTTCTTGCAAACACTGTGTCTTTGACCGTGGGGTTTGCTTGTAACAGGATAAATAGGAAGATAATTCATTAGAGCACTTGCAATTCTTAGTCATGAGATAAAAGCCATTTTTCTGGTCACTATTCTGAATGAAAAGCTCTCCTTGGTGGTAAAGAAACCACCACCTTGTGCTATTCTAGGCCCTATAAAGTGTCATGTCTGAAGACACCCCTATAATCAGATTCCCTCCTAGGATGAACCCACTTAAGGCCTAAAGTTGCCTCGATCTCTGGACACCCAAGTCAAGAATGCCGGGGAGCCTATCTCATTCTTGGTATGGTCATGACGCCTCTTTGGAAATGGATGCGACGTCATTGGCTGTGTCCTTCTTTGCCATGAGGAACTTGATATTGGAGGTTCGATCAGTCGAGATATTCAATCTGAATTACACTAAGAAACTTACTTCTCTAATACGATCAATTATCTCCAGTAATGGCCCTCCAGAATTGACACCATGACCACCGTCGTTATCTCCATGGCTGTCGATGCTCATACCCGACTCCTGACCTCCCTTCGCCATCTGCTCAAGTTTGAAAGCTGCAATCTCGCGATTCATATCCTCAACAAAGGCCTCATATGTCACCTTCTCCCTGGCCGCTCCACTCCGATACTCTCTCTCGCCGAACCTTCTATGCTCATCAGCCCACTTATTTATGGCTTCTTGCCTCTGCTGGCAAGCGGTCCGCTTACAAGCCAAATATTCCACGAAGTCCTGCTGCATCCACTCAACGTAAGGATCAACTTTGAAAGTCATGTTGGCAATAGTTTCGCTGATGGGTCGCTTCATTGCCGCCAAATCGTTATCGTAGAGGCTGGTAATAAGATCAAGCTTGACGCCTACATTCGGAATCCGCGCAGGTCGCACTCGGATTTCAGTTGGCTCTTGAGCATATCTTTCAAGTTCTTGATTTCGCATATTTTTTATGTACTGGGTGGTCTAGAACTGGGGTTTGGAAGGTGTGGTATATTAAATTTGCAAAATTGGTCGCAAGGGGTGTATTTGGGCGGATGGGTTGCTACCCTCATCATCGAAATATTTGGCCCGCCTGTTCGAGAGCGACAAATGAATGTGGCCAATTACCAGACCATAAATTTCGGAATAAATATTCTGCTTTTGGTGCAGAATTCGGAATGGCTATGCTCTTGCATCGTGATTCCATCTACGGATTGTACTGTTTCGCGTGCGTCGAAGTCGCTCTCAACACTTCAAAAGTTTTCACTCATCAATGTCTTCGCAATCAAAATAGTTAGATAAACAGAGTTAGAAGTATCACATATAGCTCCAATAGTTCTCAGAGGGTCAAAACCCCATCTGAGATGGAGATAATGGTTGTGTATTCGTAGTCCCATCACGTGACTAGAGAAGACACATGAGAAATTAATAATAAACTTGAGTGAGGTTATCACATGAAAGCTAAGTCACGCCGAAGAAGAGCGTACAAAAGAGAGATTTTCATTATTAGCTATTAACAATAAAAGTTGTGGTTTACACAACACGGTCTCGAAGGTCACCTGCGCCACCTCGGGTACCGAATATCACGAGCCCCAGTGAGGGAGAAAAGGGTCTTGATATCGTGTGAGATGAAGTATTACCAAACGAAATGGCAGTATTCCGAGGCTGCTGCGTGCCAGCGAGTTCCTCCCTCGCCACATCACTGCTTTCGCTGAACGGATGGTTGTGCAGACTGAGTGGGACCCCAATGGACCGAGAAGACCGACCCACGAGCAGCCTTCTTCCTAAGATATTGAAGAAATTGATACCCTCCATCGCCTTCTTCCTCGTCCTCGGAAGACGGCTCGGAATTGTTGTCATTGGACTTGAACTTCTTGGCAACTCGTAATTTGTTTCCGAGGGATTCGACAAGCGGTATCTTTCGCTTTGGCTAGAGGGGAATTGTCTTGTCAGCAATATTATTCCAACCGGCTTCGAACATTGACTGGAAGGGATATAGTAGATTTCAGGGTGTGGGTTTACCTTAGTATCTGCAATTGTTGAGTTTCCACCACTTGCTAGCTCTCCTCCCTCTCGATCCGCAACTCTTTCTTGGCCAAGGCCGAACTTCTTGTGCTGCGCGATAACAGCCTTCCCGTTCTCCTTGGTCAACGATTCCGTCCAGTTGTACCGCTTCATACCCCGGATCCTCTCTTCATCTCGCTCCTCCTTGATAGACGCAAGCTCGGCCTTGATCTCCTCTACTTCATCCAAAAGGTACTGCTTCTTGACGTTGTAGACCTGGTCCGCTTTCGCTACGATAGCAAGCTGGAGACTCTTTTTGAGCTCAATGCAGTTCTCTCTTGGTGTATAATCGTCGGTACACTCGCTTCGATTAAGTTCTGCCTCAATGTTCTCGATCTCGAACGTTACAAGTCTGGCTACCAGGGTCGGCTTGTCTCCAGACACATCTAGGTGGCAGTCCCAGCACTTTTCCCTCAGAGCCGAAATCTGCATCTGGTCATATCTTAAATTTGACATGATGCATATCCTCAATTGATTAGAATGATCCACGTTTGGCAGAAGCTTGGGTCTTACACTTGAACGTCTTTCAATTTGGGCTTGTTTAGTGTTTGCAAATGTTGTAAGAGAGAACTTGTGAGTCACGAAGAGTATTTAGGTCTAAATAAAATTAGAAATGAAAACCATAAAGACAGATTTATGTTATAAATTTATTTTGACTTGCGAGCCTCAGGACCAAATCACGGTCTGCACTTTACCAGACGTCGTAAGGTTCATACCCCATAATCTTGAAAGCCATCTATTGAAGGAAAATATGCTTAAACTTTAATCTATGAGGGCCAAAAAAGTTCCGTGGTATTTTTTTGGGAGAGCGGTGATTAATCTATTTCAAAGCTAAGGTGGCAAAATGCTCCTTCACTGTTGAGAAGTTAAGCGAGGTGAAAAGGGGGGAGCGCACCACGACTCTCTTCTTGGACTTGGGTTTGAGTCATTTATTTAGGCGAGTCCATGCTCCTCGATATTTCTCCACGTGTACTCGTCTTCCAATCCGATTATCAAACTTCGACGGCTTGCAAACAATTACGCGCTTCAATTCCATCGCTCTCGGAGGTTCCTTGTATAATCACTCTGCCGACCAACTAATCCACACATTGAAGATTGGCAATATCACATTGTGTTTTATAGCCTCGTAAATGAAAATTGCACAACCTTTTGCCTCTGTGACTTAGAAATTAAGTAGTATTCGAGAGACGGGTTCCGAATATTGTGAAGTGATTACAGTGAAGCTTCCCCTTCTCGCTTTGCTTATTAAATTTATGCCCCTCGGCTAGTGATATGGGGTTTACATCAACAATTAAGCATTTTTCTGTTCCCCTCCGCATCCCCCATTGTTATCCTAACATCAAAATTTGTGAATAGGTAGAACATCATTATCCCCATTAAGGCAAATGCATGCATCACGGAGCATGTGCTGGGGTCTTAACTACCCCTGGTTGTGGGAGTTAGTGCCATCCAGCGGCGGGATACCCCTGGTTGGGGATTCTGGGTCACGCTGAGCCTGTTGATCTAGACTCTAGGCAGAACAAAGTTGGTGGCAACGCCTTCAAATAAATGCCACGCAAGTGGTGCGTAACAAAACAAATACACAGTGCTAACAACAGTATTTTTTTGTCTTTTTTTTTTTGGCACGCAACCTCTCTTCCTCCCTATCTTTGCTTCCTCTCGCTAAACACGAACCTTGTCCTCACCTTTGCGTCACCTCTTCCTTTTCTTCGCGGTCAAGCTCTTATCAACACGGGCATTGTATCAAGAGGGCATTCAACCTCAATGACGCTTCCTCCCTGGTAAGTCTCCTCTCCATCAAACGATCTCCAACTCACTCCTGCCGGCAGATACACCTTCATCTTCCTCAGCCCCGCCGCCAACACCGGACAACAAAGATACTTATCCCCAAACATGTACTGGTCCTCAACTTCCCAACATTTCGCATCCTCAGGAAACACATAAAACAAAGGCCTCATAACCGGAGTCCCCTTCTCATGCGCCTCCCTCATCAAGCCTCTAATATACTCCCTCAGCTCCTCTCGGATCCCCATATATTTCTTGCAGATCCCATAAACCTCCTCCCCATAACTCCAAACCTCATTCGGCGCCCCCGAAAGGCACGTCGCGCCCCCGGTCGTTCCAACCTGCTTCTGCTTCGGCTCGCGATCCCCATGCAGCCTCATCACAGGACAGAACGCACCCCACTGGAACCACCTCACAAACAACTCTCTGAACGCCTCATCACTCGGATCTCCTCCATGGAACCCACCAATATCAGTCGTCCACCATGGAATGCCCGCAATCCCCATATTCAACCCCGCTGCTAACTGATTCCTCAGACTCGACCAGGAAGAAGCGATATCTCCGCTCCAGACCAGGGCTCCATATTTCTGGCTCCCGGCCCACGCACAGCGGAGAAGATTCACGATGCTCTTCTGTCCAGTGCCCTCCATGCCCTCGTAAAACGTTCGCGCATATTCGCGAGGATATATATTCCCAATGGCCAGGTTGGAACCAAGATGGTATCGATAATTGTCGAAATCATACGCCGTGTATTCCGGCTCCGCTTCATCGAGCCAGAAGACCTTGATGCCTTTCTCGTAGTAATTCTGTTGGGCTTTCTCCCAAAGATACTTCCGTGCTTCGGGGTTGGTGGCGTCGTAGTGGATGGTGTTTCCCTGGAAATCCATGCCGATTCTGATCCCGCGGTCGGTTCGAATCAGATATCCCTTCTCCAGCATCTCGCTGTAATTCTCGGATTTGGTATCGACGGTTGGCCATATCGAGACCATCAATTCGATGTTCATCTCTTTGAGCTCTTTGATCATTGCGTCTGGATCAGGCCAATACGTTGCATCGAACTTCCAATCTCCCTGCTTGGGCCAATGGAAGAAATCGATGACAATGAGATCGATAGGCAGCTTTCGCGCTTTGTACTCGCGAGCAACGCTTAAGAGTTCTTCCTGCGTTTGATACCGGAGCTTGCACTGCCAGAAGCCAAGCCCGTACTCGGGCATCATGGGTACCGTGCCTGTAGCTCGCGCATACGCTTCTTCGATCTCAGCGGGAGCGTCGCCTGCAACCTTCACCCCGTCAGCCTCTCCCTCTCCTCACATCTCAATTCTCATCAGCTTACAATCCAATAATCAAGCACCCGCGTAGAATACGCCTCAAAACTCATAACATTCTTCCCCAACATCCCCCTGCCAACCCCCGGATTATTCCACAAGAGCCCATACCCGAGACTCGACAACATGAACGGGACGCTCGCTTGCGAGTTCCGCTGCGCAAGTTCCAGATCGCATCCCTTCAGATCCAAGACATCTTGTTGATATTGCCCCATCCCATAAATCTTCTCCTCCTTACTTACACTTTCCACTCGATACGTCAGATGATAATCACCCCCGGGAATCGGCTTAAACTCCCTCGCTTCGATCTCGAGGGCGCTGCATTTCGGATCCGCGAGGTCGCGGCGATGACGAGCGTATTCTTCGAGGAGGAGCGAGCCGCGCGAGTTGTGGATTGTGAGTTTACCGCGCTTGGAGACCGTGGCAAGGATTTTGCCGTTTGAGATCGTCGATTCGTTTTCAGATAATGAGATGTTGGCCTTTGATGATGCTGGTGGTTGGAGAGCCCAGTCGTCTGTCGGCATGGTGTTCGTCCTCGTCGCTCGGACCCGGAATGCGTTCGCTCCCCATGGTTCAATCCAGAGCTGTTCTGCATCGTAGCGGTATATCAAGCGATTTCCTTTCTTGTCAAACATTGTGAAAATAGAATATTGCTCTAATTACTTGAGATATTTGGAATATCGAAACCGTTGGATGCAGGTCCATATCTATATATCCCGTCCGTGAGTGGTTCTCCGGTGGGAAGTGCCACAGGATAGGTGAGGCGATGGAGATTTTCCACGCGTGCTTTGCTGCCACGTAAAACTGGAGCTTCTCGCGAAGGCTCGTAGTTAATTAGCATTGCTGTTGCAGATCTTGGGTCTTCGTTCGCAGGTGATTGGTCTACGACGATGCGAAGTCAGAATAGGGGCTCCGGTGGGGGCGGGGCATAGCGGGGTAGGTGCTGACCCCACCAGATCGAGTAAAATCTGAGGATTCTTATAGCAGTGGGCAATGGGCTAGTGGCAAGGTACGGCATCTTATCAAGGATAACAAATACTAAGCACCATCTCACGCGCTCCAACAAATAAAATGAAGGACTAGTTCATTCAAACTCGTAACGATCTTCAGCCGTGTATATCTACAGCGCACCGTGCATAAAGCCAACGACAGTGGTATCATCCATCCTCTTATGCACCCGCCAAAATTTCGCAAAAGAGATTTGTATCCGTACAGGACATCATGTGCGTACGCATTTTGGTCAATCAAGACTTCTCCCCAACCTCAGGAATCCCTTTCTCGGCCACCGCAGGAGGAGTATCGCTCCCCGTCTCCTTGCCCTCGACAAACGTGGCCTCCGGACCGTGATATTTAGATGGATGCTTCTTGCCAGTTACGTCAAGGTAGATCGCCTTTAGGACGTACACTAGATCCTTGCGGCCCTCGATGACAGGGAAGATTCCCACACAGCAAAGTGACCCAATAAGCCACATGATACCCACGACCACCCATCCGGTGAAGAACTTCTTGGAGAAGATGTAGCCGGAACCGTACATTGGCATGGGCCAGAGGACGAGGAGGGCGAGAGTCAGGATGACAGTCATAGCCTTGGCGATCTTGGATGCGCGGAGCAGCTTGGTTTGCTCGACTTCCATTTCGTCGGCGGGGGTGTCGCGCTCGCCGGGGATGGCCTCGAGGTCTTCGCCGGCTTCGGCGGCCAGGTCGTGGTCGTCGCCCTTGCGGATCGCAGCCATGGAGGCCCAGTCGTACTTGTCGACGCCGAAGATGAGTGTGAAAATGGGGGTGAAGATCAATGGGGAGAGGAGGGCCATGACGTTTCCTGCTAACATGGGGTTGTTGGAGCCGGTGCAAGTGACATCGAGGGCGCCGCAGGTCTTCTTGGCGGTTACGAGCCAGGTGATGACGGCGCAGGCGAGGCCGAGAGGAGGTGTGAGGGTCGCCGCCCATTTGTTGTGGCCGGCCCACATGATGGTCAATGTGGCGGGGATGACGGCGGATGATATTATGACACCCATCATCACGTAGAGGTAACCCATGCTGATACCAGCATAGAACACTGTCCATCAAGTCAGATACATATTTGCCAGCACGGGGAAGGGATACTCACATCCTACGGAGAATGAAGCCATGAACAAACCAAACCCAATAACCATAGCATGGGACATATAAATGAGCTTCTTGCCACTGGCACCTGGGTTGAAGTAGGTCTGGTAAATATCATAGGTGAAGATAGAGGAAACGGCGATGAGCTCAGCAGAGGAGGCAGATGTGACAGCCATGAAAACGATCAAGAGCGTGCAGACGGCACCACCGCTTCCGAGGAGTGCAACTGCAGCGTATGGCAAGACGAGACCGGCAGAGACATCGGCCTCTGGCATGCGGAGAGGGAAGGTGGGGAAAGCTGGGTTGCCTTCGAGGGCAAGAGCTGCGAGACCCATGGTGGTAGCGCAGAGCCATGGGATGGCGAACCAGGAGATACCTCCCATAATGTAGCCTGGGAGTGCGTGCACTGGGGAGGCCGCAATGGCCTTGTTGTAGTAGCCGTTATCTAAGAACACACTTTGAGTCTGTTAGCTAGGCAATTTGGGAGGGGAAATAGTGCAACTTACGTTCCAAAGTTACCAACAATGTTGATAACGAAGAAGATTGCGCCTTGGGTGGACTTCATGGTAAGGTAAGATCCACCTTGGTTGCCGTCAACTGGGTGGTCATGTGCAGCCTTGACCAGGAGATCGAAGACAGCCCCCGGGGATCCGAGAGTGCTGCTTGTAGCATATGTGGTGAAAGCAAAGATCAAGATGATGATCAATAGCATGAAGGTGTGGACCCAGTCCGTGAGGAAAGTCGCCTTGATGCCACCGAACATGGTGTACATAATGACACCCAATGGGAGCAAGAAACAAGCAGCTGGCGTGGGCATTCCAGTGAGGGCAGACACCACTGCGGAGCCTCCAGTCAACAGCATGGCTGTGACGAGGATGTTGGTCATCAAGCCGAAGACGGTGAAGACGAGATGGGCCTCGACTCCGTATCTGGCCTTGATGACTTCGAGGAAGGTCTGGTAATCCATCAGCAGAGTCCATCAAGGAGTCTTTTCTCAACGCTTACGTGAGCATTGGGAGCTCTTCTCTTCAACTCAATTGCAATGGTAGCAAACAGCAGAATTTGCACGGTAGCTCCACTGGCATACCAGAACGGTCCAGAAACACCATATCGATATGCAATACCGGAGCTCTGAAGCAGGGTAGCAGCCCAAGTCCAAGAAGAGACGACAGCAGATGCCACGAGACCAGATTTCACGGTCCTTCCGGCCGTGCTGAACATTTCCGAGGTTTGCAGCTCATGGTTGTAACGCTTGAGGATCCATGTGACCAGGATCTGTTCGAGTTAGTAAATTAGCTTTCATTTCTGGCGCTGGTGAATGACTTACCATACCAAACGCAAACACGGCTCCAAGACCGAGGACAATTCCATAGCCCCAGCCGACACTGAGAGGGGGTGCGATAGCCATCTTCGTGTATAGCAGAGACTTCTTGCAAAACGGTCAGGTGTAGGGAGACGCAGCTTGCGATCTTGGAGAATTTGATACGGGGTCGGACAGGACTGATATACTTCAGCCCTAGGCACGTTAATGCTACCCAGGAAGCTCCCTTGTCGAATAAAAGAGAGACAGCAGGAGGAAAAGTAAGATTTTTTTTTTTGCATCACCGATTCACGCACGCGCCGTGGGTTTGCCGCGTCTGGATCTCAAACTACGACCAAAGCAGCTCCGGAGAGATGGATCTCATGCAGGGCCGCAGTCACAGCAGCAAGTCAGCGCTGCTCTGGGCCTCTGAGCTCTGCGATGCTGTCCATCTGCAAAGATAAGGACGTTGTTGGAGCTGTTTCTCGTAATGAATATATGGCGGCATCCCTGCTATCGGGCACTTCCAAGGCGGGGAGCTATGACCGTGGCGGCATAGTGCCAACGCCATTTGCCAAGCGAGAGAGACATGATCTGCATGGCGGCCACCTCCACGCAATTCCATTGGTCAGATCCGTTTTGATAACGAGCGCCCCTGGCCAGCACCGAAGCTGCGATAAGGGGACTGGGCGAGCGGAAGCTTAAGGTCCTCTGAGGAGCAGGCTGAGGAGCATGCAAGCGACGGAGGGCTTGGAGCCTTGGGCAAAGCGCAGGGGCTTGGCACAGTGCCGTGGGATGGGGGTGCAGCACTGCAGGCTGCAGCAGAGCGGGAGCCGGCTCGCAGAGCGTGGACCGCGTTGGGGGACTGCAAGCGGCGGGCCAGGCTGGCCAGGCTGACTTTCTGGGAGCACCGTCTCGCTTGGAGTTGAAGTTGGAGTTGGAGTTGGAGTCGGAGTCGGAGTCGGAGGCCAAGTCCAATTGTCAAAATCAACCTGTCACAGGCGCTCCGAGATCGCAGATGTTGTGCAGAATGCCCGCCGCGCCGTCGCCCTGTCCATGCTGATACTGACACAGTATGAGGGGGAGCAGGGCGAAATTTTACCTTGGAGCTTTCCCTCCCCTTGCTGGCACTGGCCCTGTCCCTTCCCCATCCTCTCTCGCCAGGGTTGACATGACACATGCATCAACGTCAGTGATAAAATACATCCCTGCAGGAGCAGTTGATGTGATTGGGATTGCCATGTGGCGACTGGAATACTCAAACGGAAAGTGTACTGCATATTACAGCTCACGTGCAGGAATGCCGTTCATGGCTGACGCAGTGACGCTTGTCAATACGACCTCCCACGCTTCGGGGCCATCCGAATCTTAGCCTTCAGCCCCACGAGGCAAGCACAGAAACACGGCTGGGAAAAAGCAAAAGGAAATTTTTGATTTAAAGTCCTCAATTGGCCATCCTAGAGATCCGCTCGTCCCCAGAGATCCGCTCGTCCGAGGTGCAGAAATTTATTATCTCTTGAAACTAGCCAAGGTTTCTTCCTTCCTCTCTATCCCACAACGTTGGGCGGTCAGAATATCTGAACCAAAATAACTTCTCTTTCTAGACGCACTTGCGTGAATTGAAATGGGCTTGCCAAGAAAAAGGCTTGATCGAAAAAGGAATATAGATAACCAAAACGCAACTTTGACTAGAATCCATCACCTCTTTGTGTTCGTAAAATTCATGTATTCTGCATCCCCGCGGAGGAGGACTCATCTCCAGATCCACCCCAGGCCTTCATAATAACATTTTGCAACGTAACGCCAACCAATCCTCATTGTCGTATATTTCCAAGAATCGCCTGATTGTCCAATCATCAACCCTCCAGGCCTGTCGCAAATGAGCCAAGAAGCTCGTTCGTTACTCCCGACCAAACCGTCGGTATTCCAAGCCCCTGGGATCAAACCCCAATATCATCTGTAGACCTGCATATTTTGTTGCGGTTTTGGTTGGCCTCCACCCCCAGGGCCACCAGGCGGACCCCCTCCCCAGCCTTGCGGACCACCTCCAGGAGGCGGTTGATTCTGCAAAGGCATCCCGCCGCCCCCATTAACCTGTGCCATCACATCCTGTCTGTTTTGTAGCGGCTGGGCGAAATTACAGATCGAGCATACGACGTCTTCGTAGCCGTGGACGCTCAGCGGGATGACGGGAATGAAGCAGAGCGTGAACCAGGGATTGCGCTTGATCACTCTGGCGGACCAGTTCCCCTGAATGCCGTTAGTGGCGAAGAAGCAATGGTAGAGCGGGATGTAGCTTACGCAGTTATGGCATTGGCATAGCACACTTTCGTAACCCTTCAGCTGCGAGGAAAACTCTGGAATTGGAAGTCAGTTGAGCTCTGCAAGGCGTGGCAAGAGCCGGATGAACGGGAGGGCGCCTACCGTGCTCTCCGCAAGTGAAGATGAAGCACATAGTCGCTAATTGCCCCCGATGGCCGAGAATGTATTGGATTAGGAGAAGAGTCTAGTCTTCTGGCAGAGCAAAGAGGAGATGTTGGTGAAGCAATTCTGGGGAGCTTTGAAGTGGATTGCGCGTCACTGTGCCCAAGACTGTGGCTGTGTTGCACTGGTGGCGACAAGCTTCACTGCCTTTCTGGGTCTCCGTACTGGAGAGTCACGTGCGAGCCTCCCCCGCCAAAGCTACCTACCTAGCGCTAAACTAGCTCCGAACGCAGTTCGCGTCACAAGCATTTCAAAAATTATTTTCGATCTTCTTCCCTTCTTTTCTCTTTAGCGTCGTCCCCTTCAACGCTGCGTTTCTATGCTACAAACAGATACTTGCCGATTCAGTTCGCGCACTATCAGGTCTTCGGACCGTCCCTTTTGCATATGAGAAATTCGGAGTACTCTTCAAATCACCTTCGTCCTCGGCCTCCGGGCTGGGTGACAGGTCTGCCCGTGAGGGTTCGGCGTCACTCGACGTCTGCAATTGGCATCAGAAAAGCAGGGCAAGTCTCAATCCTACATATCGAACCTTCGGGGGAGAGAAAAGGGGAGAGTGCTTGTTCCTATGGGAGGGCCGTTGCGAAGACTGTGTGTGCATTGCGGAGCATGACACTTAAGTGCAATACGCAGCGTGCTAGTTTCTCTTTCACTTCGGTGTCTGGGAGATGAGTACAATTCGATTCCGATTACTCTGTTGAGGACGACGCTCCACCACTATTTCTTCCTAGGTAAGCTGTCTTCACGTTCTGTGTCACAAGCAGAGGATGCAAGGATACTGCTAATTGAGTCATATGCTTCTCCATTGCCAGATACGATCCAATTCGAATATCCAACCTCGACAATGTGCGAATACGTTCTCTTCAAAGTCAAATTCCTTCCGAACTCTGCTCAATTTCGCACAAGACGCGAGTGTGTCACCTTCACAACGAATCCAAAGGTTGTTGACACGGCACAACCACAAAGAAGAAAAGCCTTGGGTCAGAGCGAGGACACTCTCCCATCCGAACACCTATTTTGATTCGGATTCAGTCATTCCAGATCACTCCTCAGACGGTCTACCAGTGAGCTCCTCCTCGTCGTCGTCTCCACATTTGAACGTCTCCCTATTCACCTCCGACTCGGGATTTACTGTCTCCTTGAACTGCTGCAATTGGTTCACTAGGTGCCGGCATGCATCGCGGCTTTCCTTAGCTCTTTCCATGTAGTTTAAGAGTTGTTGTAGTTCGAAATGAGCTCTTTGCTTCAGACCTTCGCAGGCGTCGAATTTCACTCGTTGTCTTTCGGAAAGTTGGCGCCCCACAGGCATTTTCAAAGTTGAATTCGCAGCCGCTTGAAGGGCATTTGCAACCTTCGTCTCCGTCTCAGCGAAAACCTCTCTGAACGTCTTGGTACCGTTGTCAGCTTGCTCGTCGTCGCCCTCTGCCATTGTTCGTCGGTCCCTCTCTCCTCTCACTTTTGCAGCCCAGATGTTGGTCAGGTCTTCGACAGAGCTGTAATTCCTGATTGGCTGAACATCGTTGTCGTATTCCGTCAAGCACGCGTTGTACCACTCCTCAGCTTGAACCAATTCCCTGTGGAGATCCTTGAATGCACGGCGGAAAGGGAGAGCAGCACTTCCAGGTCTTGTCAATGTCAATCCTCGCTCGAATCCGTGGTCACCGTTGATGCCTGCTCTGGGTGGGTTGCACCTCTCGCCAGAGTTTCGATGTTCATCGCTGCTCCGATTCTGGTCAAAGAACCGGTGATCAAAACCGTATCCCTCTGCAAATTGATGGTGCAACATTCTTCTGACTCGAGGATCTTGGGGGTCGATTGTTAAGTCTTGGAAGAGGTCGTCGAGGCCGGGGTAGTCATAATCATCTCTGTCACCTCGAACCCGTCTCATTGGAGGCAAAGGAGGTAAACGAGGTCTACGCGGAAATCGAGATCCCATCATGATGTGCCACCACCTTGGCTGATTTGGATCAGAAGTGTGGTGATGCCGTTGACGGTGCGCCAGACTGGTGGAGAGTGGCATAGCTCTGAGGTTGCATGGGCAAAGCTGAAGCTTATGAGCTTATTGGCTTCATTATTCTTGAAAGATGCGGCTCCAGGCATGGATATATGGCAAAGGCTTTCCAATGATTGGCAAGCACTCTGCCGCAAAACAAAGAATGTTGACATGTAGCGTAGGCAGCTTTCAATGATACTCTGTTGTCTTCTTTGAACCTTTCAGCAAAGCGTGACGGCAATGACAAACTTCCCATGTGAAATACCTGAACAAAACAGCCAGGACGCTAATACTCATGCCTGAAAGAAGAATGATTGCTTCCTCAGTTGTAGCAGGGGATACAAGGCACACCCGCCAAAGCCCCTCACTAATGCAGCCTCCCGCCGCTAAACACAACCCCTCCATTCCCCCGGCTCCTTACAAATCAAAGCCGAGGGCAAGTTAACGTCATAAAAACCTCTCCCCCCAACAAGGGAGCTTCCTCTTTCTAACATCAATGGAAAAAGCCCTTCTTTCTTCAAATCTCTTGCGTTTCTCATTTGTCAAACAAATACAACCTGTCTTCTTTCAGGTGACGGGAAAGAGAAGATTCGCAGGCAAAATGTCGGCAGCAAAGGAGTTCCCGCCGGAGAAAGTCAGAGCAATCGTGTCTGAGGTAGCTAGTTTGCTGAAGGAGAGGAAGGAGAGCGTTAGTGTTGCTGAGACGGTGGGTCTTCTGTTTCTTTCTCGCTCTTTCTTGTTTCCTGCTACAGGCCCCACCTTATGTATTCTACTATCTTCCACAAGGAAGGTTGGAATGCTTTCTCTTCGAGAAGGTCATTCTATTGCTTTGGTTAGATGTAAAGAAATGGAATGGAGGGAGGAGGGAAGGCCAGGATATGTTGCTAATAAAACGCAGGCAGCCGGCGGCATTATCTCCGCTTCCCTTCTCAGCACTCCCGGAGCAAGCGGTTTCTACAAAGGCGGCTTGACTGTACGTGCCCCTCGCTCCCTTCCCCTCCTTTCCTTGCCTCTCCCAAACTGACACGTCTCTTTCCAGCTCTATACACTAGAATCCCGCGTAGCTTTCGGTACAACCCTCACCTGTCCCCCAGATTTTTGAAATTTCATGCTGATGACTGCAAGCTGGCTGGACCGATGAGAACATTAAGGTTTACAAGGGCCCCACGACTGATATTGTGGCTGGCCTGGCGGCGAATGTCAGAGCGAAGCTGGAGAGCACGTATACGATCTGCGAGAGCGGAACAGCGGGGCCGACGGGTGGGAATATGCCGAATAGAACCCCGTGAGTTGCTTCTCTTATCTTTCTGCTGTGTCCTTGCTTTGCCGGATGGAGCTGATACAAGAGTAGGGGATACGTAGCGCTCGCTGTGGCAACAGAGAGTGGAACTTACAAGCGTGAGTTATCCACGGGACTTGGTGGTGATCGAGAGGCGAACATGATTGCTTTTGCGGTTGAGTCGTTGAAGTTGTTGAGGGATGTCATTAAAGGTGATGCAAAGCTTTGAGATCATGGATATGCTAGTCAAAGGATAGGAAATGGCGTCGTTTCAGTCTTCAAATTCCGGGAGTAATTGAACGGTCTCGTCTCCCACTAGCAAGCCATCAAGATTGTTTGATTTGAGCAAGATCTGCTTTTCTCACCATCTGCCCAAGTATAATTCAAAAGCAAGCAAGTCCTTCATTCTCGAAAGTTAAACCTAGCTCGCGTCTCCGCATCCACCGTTTTCACATATAGCGCATCATATTTAAAGCTGATCCTTCTCGAAAGGTCCAAGCTTTCTCCCAACAACGGCAAAGTTGCCTCCTCAAGAGCCAATGCAGCAAACTGCCAACTCTTCCCATGTCCATGCATCCCAATCTCGTCAGCATGGCTCCTCCTACACTCTTCCCCACACAAACACTCATAAACCCCAAAATACACATGGAGCATCTCATGCAGCAGCGTACTCAAATAGCACTGTAATCTCGCTTCCTCACTCAATAACGGCGAGTTATTTGCTCGATCTTTGATCTTGATGAGCGCCGCATACCCATCTGGGATTTCCTCTCTGTGAGTCCTGCCAGTCACGGGTGTGATGGCTAATCCCAGGTCGTCAAACCCGTCAGTCCCGTGTCCACTCTGCTCCACCTCTCGGTAGAACTTAACCACGCATAAGCCCCCGAGAGAGCCGCAGAAGAAAATGTCGTTGAAGAACTCGTAGTACCTTCCCATCGCCTCCTCATCTTCTGGCGGTCCAATGTGTCCGAATCGTCCATTTCTCCTCTCGTCTCGGTAGCGCTCTATCCCGATTCTTTGCGCGCTGCTGAGATGTGTGCCCCGTCTTGAAACGAAGGTTTGGAGTGTGGTGGAGAGGTTTTCTGCGGAGTGTGCAGCGAGGAGGAGTCCTTGGAAAGACTCCGAGCCGTCTACCCAGTTGCGAGAGAGTTGTATTTGCCGCGGATGTAGATCATGAGACAGCTGCTTGTTCGCATTGAGGATTTTTTCGGCGGTATGATGCGTCTTCTCCACAATCTCGGCTTCGAAACTCTGCAATACCTCTCCTTGCTCCTTCTTGACCTCGGCCTTTGCTCTCTTGCTGCGCTTCTTTGCGGATGGGCGTCCAGGGCCGCGCTTCTTAGGGGTAGGCTCCCTCACTTCCACGTCGTTACTGGCTTTACGCTTGGAGTTAGATCTCGTAGAAGGGAACGTCGTATTTAGGTGCTGCCAGTGGTGCCATCATCGGTGCTGAGTCGAGGCGTTCACGAGTTCGGTCTAACTGGGCTTTGGCGTCTGGGTTCTGCTTATAATTCTTGCAGAGGGAGTTGTGCTCGATTGGATCGCCGAATAGCCGGAAGTACTCCTCAATGTCTGCTGTCTTCGGAGGCGATACACAGTCGACGCAGAGGTCTTTGCTTCCTTGGTTGGGCTGCTCTGACTTGCTGCAGGACTGCTGCTCATAGGATGTTCGTGGTGCAACGACGTAGCTGCGATGGCTTGTGGGGTGTTTTGGTGTAATGCTGCCAATAGAGGGTGCTAATGAGCGCTTGCGTCGAAGTCAATTGTTCGCGGAACCGTTTTTCAGAAGGGGAGTTGAGCATGGGGCGACCGTGGTGGAAGGGGGGTTGTGCGTATGAGACGCGATAGGAGGACATTCTAATTGTACCGTACGGAGTTAGGGAATGGAAGGAGACGTTCGGTGATCATGGCGGGTGGGCAACATAATCAACAGACAACAAGGAGCGGTGAGGGGTAGATCAGTATATTTATTGAAAGAGGCTCTGGCTTGATGTCCCACGGCGAATCATTACTCCTTGGGGCTCTGGGTTGGATTGTTCTGGATATGCGATGTACGGGGAAGATTTGAATAGAATAAAGAGACAGAGAAGGCTTGAGTTGTAAAATGCGCCAGTTCGAAGTTCTTCTAAGTGACGAGGTTTAAAGAGCCATTGTTTGAGGAAAAACGGATGATCTTGGATCGAGAATAGTGTCGACGCTCGAAGAAAGAGTTAACCAGGTTAGAGACTGTTGATATATTGGAAGCTAAATAAGGTGTTGAGAGTGCCTGCAGCTATCTTATAAATTTTTTGGGTTTCAAAGCCCCTAGCTGGTATTTGTGTCTGTTATTGTATCGACATCGCAAGGACTCAGGAGAGCGAATTTGCTCACGTGATGCCCCTTTTTTAACCGAGCAAGACGAAGCGAGTCTTCTCCTCATGCTTTGTTTTCTTCATACTACCGAACGTGGTCACTTCCATCTTGTTCTTGTATGGTTTAACATCAGACTTGAATCTTTGAGTAAGGTATTGAGAAAATTTGTTATCCAAGCAAGAAGCGAGAGGATGCTTCATAAGTCGGTCGCACGAGAACGTGAACTTCAGATAACCCTTAAAATTTACCACGAAGTTAAATCTAATTCCAAATCTTAACCTATTTAAATGTTTCTAGTAGCAATGGTATGCTTCAAAAACGGCATTTGCAACCTTCTTTGTCAAATACATCTTTGGTTTTCTTACGAGCAAGCTAAGATTACAGCTCGAAGAACCAGCCCCCACGTATCCTCCTCCGACAGTGACCTCCTTCCGACTTTTCAGCTTTGTGTGGTCTCAAACCTGTTGGGACTCATTCCCCTTTCCCTGGACTATTATAATTAATGACCTTTTGCCCAAGTCTTCCAGAAGGCTGACACCAAGCAGGACACTTAGCGGTTGCCTTCGACCAAATATATTTCCTTTCAGCTGGTCTTTTCTTAGCAAATATTCCTTTCGTCTTTAGACAGGCAGCTTATACTTTGAACTAAACTATTCTCAATGCCTGTTTTGGTGTGATCTAGAAACTTGCCTTGCATTCGGGTGCTCGGAGTGCGGAGGAAAACGAGGGAGTCCAGGAAATATCTTCCGAAGTCGCCGTAATATTGATAGGATAATCGTAAACACTCGAGACGAACCCAGGTAATCACACACGACTAAAATGAGCACCCACGCAATTGCAACTCCGGGAAGCACAGCTGGCCACCATGCCCTCACTGAGGTAGCTGAGAAGTTGGTAAAGAACCTGCAGGTTCCCCAAGCTGAGCAAGGTCCTCACCTGGACAATTGGTTCAACAGAGAAGCCTACGACCTCAACGGACAACTTTCCTACTTTGGGTCCCTAGATTCCGCCGAGAATTTCTCTCAACTCCTCAAACGATACTTCATGCGGTTCAGCAAGGTCATATTTGGGGGCATGTTGGGACGACATAATTGAAAGTTGACGGTTATTATGAAAGAAGGGCCTACGGCAGCACAATGGGCGAGTGCGAATCCATCTCTTTTGGGGCAGGCATTTCCAGAGATATTACACAATGGGGACAGACGGGCAGACATTGAGATATATCAACGATTCAACCGACGCGACACTCCTGAGGCAGAACTACTCGATTACTTGGGCACCCTGCTTCACGAAATGGTTCACACAGTTCTCGATATTACCCCACCGGATCCTACCATATGGAGCGATAGGTCTTTTGATACGGGACACGGCCACTCTGGACACGGTCTGCCTTGGCTGAAAGTGGCTGCGGCTGTTGAGCAGTTCGCGACAAGTACTCTAAGGCTCCCAGTTTCACTCGGTCTTCGTACTGAACTGTGGTACGAGTTGCACGACAATGGAATCAGCATAGAGGAGATAGATTTCTCACAGATGAATATGGTCAAAATAGACTTCATCTCTTATGTGTTGAGGTTGAGCGGCGTACCGGCCCACGAATGGAATTGGGTGGATCCAAAGTTACCTCCTCCTCCCACCCAATCTTCTCTACCCATTCAACAGCCTCCTCTACCCATTCAACAACCTCCTCTACTCATTCAACAGCCCCCTCCACCCATTCAACCTCCTCTACCTCCGACTCAAAATAATGATTTAGAGGAGGATCTCAGCGGTGACGAGATGGGCGAGACGGACGAACAAGAGTATTCAGGGGAAGACGCAAGCGAATACGAGGACATGGCGGTGGATTCGACAGACGGCGGTGATGTTGACGAATCAGGCGATGAAGGAATACTAGATCATTGAGCCCATTGGGAGGTTGGTGGAGGCCCGAGGGTTCTAGAATAAGAGGAATTTTGGTCTTCATGTCAGACTAGACAAGTGCTTGGAGATGTAGTTCAACGCCCAGATCTGATTACTTCCAATAGAACAGACAGATCCGATAAAAAACTATAGCCCCCGAGCAGTGACATGCTGCAACCAGTTGGTATACGATTCCAGAGGATACCTTTTCAATCTTGGATACAGGTTAATTGCTTTCGTAGTTAATATTTGTTCCACGCTCTCGCTCTACACAAGGAAAATAGGACTGAATTTTCAATCCCTCAAGCAAGCGTTGGACATTTATCAGACTTGAAGCACTTAGATGTTCTAATTCCCAGATTATCAGAGACAGAGGAAGAAGTCCACTTCCCATCGTCTTTCCGAATGAAGGTCCATTTGCAACAGCTTCTTGGGAGAGCCCCCCAAAAAAAACCCCCGCTGAAGACCTCAAAGAATGTGTCCCGTAGAGCCAAGTCAGCACCTGTATCGTGAGAGGTGTCGTCATTGTCTTTGCCCTCGTCTTCATCTTCATGGCCCTTGACTTGATAACTCTCAATGTGTTTGAAGCACTTTTCGGCTCGTTCCAAGGCCTCAAGGTCATTTTCATCCGTTCGATCCTTAAATAGCGTGCCTATTTGATACGGCGGGTAGTCCTTTGCTTTGATCTTAAAACCTTGGAACAAGTCAAAAAGGCTACCCGCCGTATCAAATAGGCACGCTATTTAAGGATCGAATGGATGAAAACGACCTCGAAGTCTTGGAACGAGTCAAAAAGTGCCTCCTGATGTAGCTCGTAATCATTTTGGTTTACGTCTCGAATGTGAGAGAAATATGCAATGGCTGAGAAGCCCCTTCTTGCAAAGCTCCGTGATCTTGTCGTAACACAACAGAAGAGTTTCGTTCAACCTATTTTCGCAGTTCGAAGCATTCGATAAGTGTAGGAGCCATCGAAATCCGTTGTCAATGGCTAGGAGCGCTGTCAAAGGAAATTTGTAGTCAAAGAGGTAGCTTTTGGCGTATGGTTGACGCGATCAGGCTGCCTATGTAAACAGACCAAAACGTCAGCAATTGGTTGACATGGGACGAATGCAACAGTTGGGATGCAATCACTTACAGCTAGTTGACGCTTTTGGTACATGTTGATAACAGTAGGTGTTCTTAGAAAGGCAGATGAGACGTAGGTCTTCTACTAGTATCAGCAAAGCTTGGGAAGTGGCGGTAGACTTGAAAGCCACCTTGAGTTGTTGATTTTTGTCGTAGCATGCCCCTCAATGACCAAAGGTGGAGTGGACAACACAATAACAGTGCAGGTCCATGTTTTGGTAGTTGGATTGTTTCCAAAGGCAATTGAGACTTGAAAAGGGGCTTAGTCAAATTTTGAAATTGCATCTAGCAGTTTTTGCGAGGGTGGTTGTGTGAGCAGCTTGACATCCTCATCGAGCTAGCGGGGGTATTGCTCACAGGAGCTCAACTCGAAAACTCCAACCCAAATCTACAAAATCTCCAACCTCCATCCAACTCTCCATGAATGAGATGCAAACCCTCATCCTACTTATCTGCAATTGATACTATCAACTGGGAAGAGTACTGTCGACCATTAGCTGTAAGTCATTCCTCCGGACCCGGGCAAAAACTGGGGAGGAAACAGCTTCATTCCACGAAACGCTGATTTTCAGTCCAACAGGAGCTATCTCGACCCGTCTGACCACCATAATACTCCATACAAACGACGAGGAGACTACAGCACAACCTCCTCTCATCCCAAAACGTCGTCGAAGTCCAGACGGATAATACCTGCGCCGGGATCTCCTCCTTCCACCACGGAGACTCAAATCAGAATCCAGACGGAACCATACCTCCCCATCCTCCTTAAGCTCCCATCTCAAGCCCCTCGGCCAAAAGCTCCGACGAAACATACCACAATGTCCACCTCGACCTCCAGATCTCGTGCGAACCCACAGACACCAGCTGCCAACATGTCTCGATGCTTTTTGGGCCCAGCCGGACGAGAGAATGGCGCGTTCAACCATTTATCGCTTACAGGAGAGCAGCTCCTATATCTGATGCAGGAGCACTTGAATCATCTTGCTGACTATATCGGTGGTTTGCATCCGGATGTCCAGGCCTGGTATGACCTGCTTTTGTCTCTTGCAGAAAAAGGTCTTTTCAGCTGCAAATTGTTAATCCCTCCAAGCTATTTCCCCGAGAACAAGCGCGAAATACACCCCTCAGTTCAAGAGTGGCTGAGAGGCAATCTTAAAGCTCTGAAAAGCAAGAATCAGAGAAAAAGAACAGTGGCGGATGACGAAAAACTCCTCCACGAATTCCATGACATTTTCAATAGAGTGTTCTTTAAGGGAGCTCTCCCTTGGGAGAAATGCACTTTGAGGTTCATTCGAAAAGAAGATGCCAGTGGTAAATGGAGATCTAAAGCTAAGGGAGTCTCAATTAAGCTTGGGTCAACTCCAGATGATTGTAGAACTCTGATTCGAATTTACGAGAGACTTGAAGAGCACTCCGAGAAGCGGCTGTTGGACTACATGTCCACGCTACTACACGAGATGACGCACTGTCTGGCGTACAGCTATTCTTGCGGTGTTTTTCATGTACATCGAGTCCCAATAACCCATGGGGAGTGACTGGCCACGGTCCAGGGTGGGTAAAGCTATTTTGCGAATTCTACGACTTCGCGATGAAGCTACTAAATATCCAATTTATTTTGGGAATATCCGACAGCGTGGCCACAGAGATTTACGAAAGCGGAAAGCAGCAGCGCCAAATTAACTGGCCTTCTTGGGAAGAGTTGGGCCTGGTCGAATCGAAAATGATACGGGCTGTGGAGAGGTACAAGAAGGAGAAGGAGGAGGAGGAGGAGGATTCTTCCAAGAGCGAAGGGACTTCCTCAAAACGCAACGAAGAATCTGCTGGAGGCCCGAGAATGGGATGATCATAAAGTGGTTCAGCAACAGCATTTTGAATGGCCAGGTTCTCCTGGTATAATCCCAAGGCCGCCCTGAACTTCAACTCGGAAATAACAAACAAGACAATAATACCCTCGGCATATATCGACTAGCAATGCGATACGATAAAACAGAAGCACCGAATACAAGGTGATATAGAAGAAAGCAGGCTCTCCTCCCATGGTACGCCGTACACTAGAAACAGGTCCAGCGAGACACAAGGCTTTAGTTCCCGCCCTTGATTTTCGACTCAGAAACATTACTCAATGTTGAGATATTGAAGAACGTTCTTTGGATGGATTGGATGTATTGGAAGGACACTTAATTGGATATTTTAGATGCAAGGTTGCCAATTCTACGTTTGTCTGTGCGCAAGGAGGCGATTTACAGTAGCTTCCCGTTAGAGCGGCGGCTCCTTCCGTTCAAGGGGGGAGGATTATCGCAAGTCACCTGATGAACAATTCTAGACAAAGCTGGCAGGATCAATAAAGACACTGCTGCAGAAGGGGACACAAGTTTTCATAACGTCGCGAATGAAGAATTACGGCTGTCATAAAATACCAGTGTGGCCTGGCGTACCCAAAAACAAAAACACACTGAAGCAGAATGAAAGAGCAGCGGGACCTTGTCGAAAGATCCTTTCAATGTAGAGTTCCAGCATCCCAAGGAGGTAGACTCAGGTCTTCAACCGTTCTGCAAGAGATGCATAGTCGAAACCATCGTCCACCACATCCCATTCATGCATGTAAGCCTTCTCTTCATTACCACCATGCTCCATGCTGTTCCCAATAACTCCATGCATGTCTCCGACCTCGGGGTATCCATTCCTCAAATTTCCAACAATCCCATAGCCACCTTCCGAATTACCAACTTCTTCGTATCCTCCTCTCTCCTCCCCATCTCCATTCTCTTCAATCCAAGCCCCTAGCTTCTGCTCGATATTCTCCACGTAACTGCTCGCCTTCACCGGACTCCCAGTCCACTCTTGCAACACCTGCTTCCCCTCATCCTCGCCCCACCTTATCTGTTTCCCATGAACATCAACATCTCCAACCCCAACCTCATTCCACCCACCATGCCCCTTCCCATCCCCACCATCCCACCCAATTGCCGGCGTGCTACTCGGAACACTATAACTTGCCCACGCCGGATCGGCATCAAAGTTCTCCGTCGCAGGAAGCACCCAACTCGCAGCACCATGATCATAATCTCCCAACCCCGTATTAACATTCGATAGAAAATGGTCGATATGAGCAGCCGTATCATGATCCACCAGCGTCGACTCACTGTCCATCGTGTTATTGCTCACAAAACTCAGATTCTCGCCGGGCAAATCGAAGCTCCCGCCCCCTCCCACATAGCCATAATTGCTCGCATCGAAAGGGGATTGCGGGCCTGCAGTATTAGGCAGCGTGACGAGGCCCTGGACAAAAGGATCCATGAGGTTTTGATGCATACTGAGCGGGGTTTCGGCCCAGCTGGCGAAGTTCTCGGACATGGAGGCTGAGAGATGGTGACTGGGATGGGGGGAGGGTGACATGCATAAACGGCGCGGGGGAGAGGCATCGAGGTATCGCCAGTGTGTGCCGTTGCCCTCGCCGCCGTGGGCTTGATGAAAGGTCCAGACTATGATTGCACGGCGAGTGAAGGGCATGCGTGGGCCGGGCGAGGATTGCACTTCTTGGTACATGGATATTTGCTCGACGTATTCGCGGGCTGGGCGAGCGTTGCTGTTGGACATTAGGCCGAGGGCTTGGTTTTTGCGCTTCTCGTCGTATTTGGATTGCAGATTGGTGAGACATGTGACGGCGTTGGCCCAGCCGACTGCTGGGAATGGGATCTTGACGCGAGTTTCGCCGTCACCTAGTGATGTTGCTTGGCAGAGGCAGGCTTCTCCCTCCACTGGAGGATCTGAATGAGGATCGCGGTAGAGTTCTGGAGGTCTGTTGAGCGTGGTAATGATACGCCATTCGTATTCGTGGGGCTGAGAGAATGACAGGACCGTCTGACAGCACAGCTCAGCTCCTTCTGGAGGATGAGACATTAGCAGATTGAGTGAAACGTCCATATGGATAATATCACAATGCAGTTCGCCTGCAGTGACGAGCTGTTGAAGGTACGGGAACCTTTGCCTCCAATTCGAGATCGTTTCAAGACTATCACGTTGCCGTTGAGTGGAGAGTCCAGTAAATCGATGCGCTACCATTCCTTCGTTGAGCAGATCTTCTTCGTGGACATCCTTACCGTTGACTTCATCCGGAACGGACGACGACGTGATCAGTAGCCAGAATAGAACCGGTCTCATCGGTGCGTGCATAGCAACCTGATCCATGTTATCGTAGTCATATTGCTTGCTTGGCAGGCGACCTTCTGAAAGGGCTCTCAGACAGGGATCATTCTTGAAAGAATCTTCAAATCCATTTTTAGGAGCCTTGTTGCTGGGGAAGAGTCGATCAACTACGGGGTGTCAATTCCACCCCTCAACCAAGAACAGGGAACTTACAGGCAGGATGGTCCCGCAGGAAACCCTTCAGCACTTGGATATGGCTCGATACTTGTTTCCGTGTACGAGCCATGTTGGGATCTGGCCGCTGACCCGGAGCCAGACTTTGGAGGTACGCAATCCAAAGATACTCCTTGATCAACTCGTTCCGACCGTGAGGTTTCCCTTTGTAAGAGAACTTCCGCCGGCCCATCGACGGAATCTCTATCAGCGCTATAGCTCGTTAGCCAGATGATCAAAGTCATCGTGAAAAGCGCTTACCATCGAGGAAAGCCATTTCGAGTAATTGTGGCCATTTTGCGTCCTCCGTATTGCCCTCTCGGGACTGGCGAGCACGGTACACTTGATACTGAGGAGAATCAACAATAGGATTGCGACTATATTTCATATGTCGTCGCCTGCGTGTGCTCTGACGTCGAGCTTCAAGCGAATTGACCATGGGTGGCCTTGCTGGCTGTGATGGCAATGTAGGCATAGAGTACATAGACCTGTAACTCTCCGTCCGAGATTGATGCGCTTTTCTCTCATGATGAATACCGGCTGGTGCCAGAGCATGAAGTTGAGCATTACCAGCAGCATCCGAAAGTGGTTGTCTGCTTGAAAGTCCGTTGACATCATCTAGAGGGAGCTGAGATGGATAGCTTTGAGAGGGAAGAATATGGCGGCGTTGTTCCATCGATGTGGGACTGGGGTTAAGAATGCTTCACCCGAGTCGAGAACTCTGCAAAATCTCTACAGCGTAGTCACCTGGACATTCAGGAACTTGTAAATTTGTAAAGGCTGTGTGCGACGAGCTTCTGTTGGTTAGAAAAGAACAAGGATTGTAGTAAAAAATGTTTGATGGAATGGCAGCAGCCTGAGGGTCAACAGTCGACTTAAGAGGAAAGGGAATGCCAACAGGTGACCTGAGAATGAAGCAGCAGATCGTAGGTTATAAGAGGGGTGTAGTCAACACAAGCGACGGACTGGACTGGTCGCCGCCTCGCCATACAGGCAAGCACTAAACCGAGAAAGAGCCCAGAAGTGTGCTCACTTCTATCAAATCTCTCGGCAACGGTTTTGGGAACAAAGGCAGCATTGGAGTGGTCGAGTTTCGATCCTTTGAAGCAAGGACGGGTCAAGTTTAGGATCGGTCTATCAACACGGATTGTTCCTGTAGCGATAAAAGGAATGCTCATCCAGTTGGAGCATGCGCGCGCTGTTTGGTCCCGATGAGGAATAGGCTCAGGTTAGGGAAAACACGAAAACTCTGAGAATGTAGCACAAGATTCGGTGAATCGTGGAGCAATATCTCCCAAAATACATCGGTTCGTGGCGCTGCTGAGCATGTGATTGACTGGCAGCCCCGCAGGACGCCTATCACTTGTGCCATATGAAAATCTCTTTATAGAAAAGTCTAAGAGCGGCAGGAGAGTTCTGGGGGCGTTGTAAGATTGCCATTGTCTCAAATCAAGGGAGTTGAAAATAAAGGTAAGAGTTCAGACATTCCTTGGTCCTTCGATGCACTGCGCGCCTCAAATTATTGAACTATCGAGGCGAGTTGCGGGGTATTGATATTTCAGATAAGGTATTGTAAAGGAGTTTCGAGATCTGTGTGCAGGGTTGAGTCAAAGAGGGTTGCAACATTTACGGCAAGGGGGATGAACGCTTGCCACTTTCGAGAGGAAATTGAATTCAGGGAGGCGAACGAATTATCGAACAAATACCTTTGGCACCCCTTCAATCTTCATCTACATTGTCGCCTTCAATATTGAATTTTTTGCGACCTCCGCCAGTGAGCTTTTGCAATGCAACGATGTTGACTTGCGAGCCGACTTTCTTCTGCATTTTCTCGATCTCCTCCTCAGCATCGAGTGCATCACCGGCGGCAAATTCTAGAACGAGGCGGCGACCCAAAAGATGAGTGTCTTTCAGAGCCTCTAGTGCATTCTCCGCTTCGCGGGCCGTGATAAAGTCTGCGAACGCAAAGCCACGAGCTGAATGATCGAACTTTTTGGGTACCCGAACTGACCGGAGCTGGCCGTAAGAACCAAACAGCGCTCGTACATCCTTCTTGGTTGCCTCGAAGGGGAGATTCTTGATGATGATCTTGGTCCGCCTGCCAGCCACTTTTTTGGCCCTGTCCTCCTTTCTCCGCTCTTCTGCAGCATCGAGCCCCTTGTGGGAAGCCTTGATTAGTAGTTTGTGATCTTCCAAAACGTAGCCATCCATGGCTTTGAGTGCCGCTTGAGCCTGTGCTTTGCTTCTGAATTCGAGGAAGCCAAAACCCATGCTGAGGACCTGTCCAGGCTTCTTCGGGTCCGTTTTTGTGTTAACACGAGCTGACATGAAACCGTCGAGAGGCTTGAACGTCTCGGTAAGAACAGCGCTCGTGGTGGAGAAATTGAGATTGCGGACGAATAGGGTAGAAGTGTCGATGGCTTCGGAGGCCACCCCCACTTCCAGAAAATCAGATGTCGACAACTTCTGATCTGCGGACTGCCCTCCCCGCTGATCAGATGGCACTGTTGTGGCATTACTGCTCACACTGGTAAAGACATCCTTTGGTGCCTTTTCCAGGAACAGCACAGAATCTTTCATGCGGCGATAAGCCAACTTCCCGAACGCAGCTCGTGCTTCCGTTGGCTGGGCAAACTCGACGATTGCGATGGTGCCGACCGGAGGCATCAGCACCCGAAGCACCTGGCCAAACTCTTCAAACATCTTTCTCAGCTCTTCGAGAGACATTCCATAGGGGAAATTCTTGACCAGAATGGATGTGTCGCCTCGCTCACGCTTCTTGAAAGCATCCAGGTCGACTCCATGCTTTGCGAAGTATTGTTTCGTTTCGTGGATGGCCGACGTTTCTGCTATTGCTTGCTTGACTCCAGAATCTGCAGATGTAGGATCCAAAAGCTCTGATTTGGACACTCCGAGGCGATCAGCAATTGCTGAATTCACAGAGTCTTGATTCATATACAGGGAATTCCAGTTAAAGGTCGTCGATGAAGCTTCTGTTTTTTTCTTAATCTGATTTTGCTTCTTCAGTGGCAATTTCGCAATCGCAAATTCATCCAATTTGTTCTCTCGCTTTGCAGCAGCGGGTAGTATGTGAAGGAGTCTACCTTGAAAGGGCTCGCCATCAAGATTGTGATAGGCTTCGGCAGCAGCGGAGGGATCAGTATACCGAACAAGGAGAAATCCCTTGCTAACACCTTTGGCATCAACAGGAAGATGTACCTGAAATAAAATAGGTATTAGCATCGAAATATCGCGAAAATGGTACAAAGATCAGACCAGGAAATGACCACTTTCAGAAAACACGAAGCATCTACTAAAATATTCGTCCAGTTCACATCACATGCTTGAAGCATAAGCTGTCCCTATCTGGATATTCATCATGAAATGGACGGATATAACAAGAGAAAAGGGAGAGATGCGTACCTCCTCCAATGGACCGAAGGGTTCGAAGTGCCGTCGTAGATCATCCTCTGATGCTGAATATGGCAAATTTCGTACGAACAATCTGCCGTTCGACTTGATTGCCTCTATGGTAGGATCTGGATTCTCTTCGCCTTGATCTTCAAGTGTTTCCTCTGCAGGTTTGTCGTTTGAACCGACAGGTTGATCGACGCTGGCGCTCGTTTCAGCTACATGTTCAACGTTTTGACGACTCGAACCCGCTGTTCTACCAGCAACAATATCCTCCGGCCTCATCAGATCCAATAAACGATTTGTACGGCTCCGAAGCCAATCATCATCGGTAGCATTGGGTGCTATAGGATCTATCGTGGGCTCTTCAAGGGCTACTGGTTGCTCGGTGGCGATTGGAGCTGGGGTAGGCGCAACGATAACTTTGGGAGGACTTTTCTTCCTTGGCTTCTGTGGTACCGTCTCATATTCGCCATCGCTCTCCCCTTCCGGTATTTCTAAAGCTTGCACCTTTGTGGGCGGTTCCATCATAGATTCATCTTCCATAGATTTCGCCAATGTCTTCAACTTGGAGGCAGGTTGCATGACCTCCAAGAACTCCTTCAATTTAGGATCTGATTCGTCGACATCACTACGCTTTCGCTTCGTTCCGGTACTTAGAAAGGATGTATGTTCTGCTTCTGCCCGTAGCTTGAGACGAGCCTTGCTGTCTTCGCGGTCTTCTTCTCGCTGTGCTTTCCTCGATTTCGGTAAAGTGGTATCAGAGATCTGTTGCGAGATGTTAGATAGAATAGATGCAAATCCAGGCCACTTACGGGTCGAGCAAGCTCCACACCAATCTTTGACATCCGTATGAATGACCGGTTGAAGTACTTGACTGCCTTTTCGGCATCCTCTGGGGTCTTGTACCCTACATAGCCAATTCTCCGGTGGGGTATCAATTTGGCATCTGTGATTTCGGATTTTGTGCTGAAGTGTTTCTTGAAATCATCCTCGGAGATGGTGGGAGGAAGCCCCTTGATGAAGATTCGTGAAGAGGCCATGATCTGTTGGGTGCGGATTCCAGTTATCATGACATGATGTTCGCTGTTTAAATCCAGAGATGCAGCAGCATTGAAAATTGACAAGGTTAAGAAAAAGTTCGGCTCGGTTAAGAGAACCGGTCTTTGGTGGACATTAAAAGCGGCACTAAACTTTAGTGTCCTTGGTCAAGATGTTATTGAAGGAGACAATTGTTAAATGATTCATGATCTCGTGGATAATCACAAGAAGTGGACTTTGCATGTACCCTAGATCGAAGGAGCTATTGGAGTGGAAGCATCTGCAATAGTTCAAGTTGACTGGCTCACAGCGGTCAAAAATAGCAGCACTAAATTCCCAATGTCCCAAGCAGAAGCTGTACATTTATTTGGAGTCGAGAAGGGCAAGAATTGATATCCTATAAGATATTGAAAAGCCAGATGAATATACGACATCGCATGTGTACATTTAGTGAGGAAAGTATCTCTAACTTGACTTGGATATTGAGCATCCAGAATTCAGCGCCGCTTTATTTGTCCACTATGAGCCGGGATAATGGTCGGCCCGTTCGCTTTCGATTCCGAAATCAAGCGGGGGTGCCCCCGCGTGAGAGGACTCACATTACTCAGCGCTTACTCAGCGATACACGATTCCGACCAATGGCGGTAGGAACGACGAACGACTCCACGGTCTCCGACCTGGGAGAGCTTCAAATCAACCTAAATTATATTGTCTACACCACTGATACCGCCTCCGAACAACCATTCCTCCGACGCGTCGCCAAGGTTGACAAAGACTTCCACACTCTCGCTCCCACCTTCAAGAACAACCAAACCCAGACAAACCACATCCCGAGCTCAAGGTACACACCCAAACGAAGACTAACTTTCGACTTCTCAAGCCTTTCAAGTAACGAGGAGACCGACGGAAGAAACCGATACAACCGCAAAGATGTCTAGTGAGAAGGCGAGCAATCCGAAGGATAAGTTAGAGGGTACGTAAAAAAATAGAGCCTGGGCTCGTCCATTCTCATTCCACGCGTCGATCTGAGAGATAAACATGCTAATACTTCCTTTCCAGCCCAGATCAAGTCGGCAGACATGGTGAGCGAAACGTTTCGATCTGACGTGATATCATGCCACCGGAAGCAACGTCACTGACAGATCGAACAGAGCGAGGACATGCAACAGGAGGCAATTGACACTGGTATGGGCTCACATTCTAACGACAAGATCAATGTAATATTCCACGGGCCACAGCTAATCGCGTCAACAGCACAAGAAGCTATGGCAAAGTTCAGCATCGAGAAGGTGAGCGATGAACCTTCCTCAGAGGCACCCCCTTTTCGAGAACTCAAAACTAACAAACCCCTCTAGGACATTGCAATGCATATCAAGAAGACCGTATGAACTCAAATCCTCGAATCCCAACCACCCGACTAATCATCCTTCAGTTCGATGAGCGCAAGGGCCCTACCTGGCACTGCATCGTCGGTCGCAACTTCGGCTCGTTTGTCACCCACGAGACGAAGCACTTTATTTACTTCTACCTCGGCCACTACGCTATCCTCCTCTTCAAGACCCAGTAAACTTCATTCGAATTCGATTCCGTTCGGCGTACAGGCATGGCGAATTCCAGCTTGGGCTGGAGGAACGGGCATTGGGTGAATATGCGGTGTTCTTCCGTCTGGAAGTCTGGAATGTTAGATGCTTTACATGCAAATGATCAATGGTCTGGAGAATTTACGCGGCAATGGATGATAACGCGATACGCGCCAATAAATGAATTGAAGCGTTGAACTACACATCTTGATTCCTGCCTTGAAATTTCGTGCGACTCTGTACATTTAAGCTTCTATTTCAGCTGTCCAAAGTGGACGGGCTTGTGTCCTCCAAAGTCATTTCAGGCAAGTGTAGCCTGAAGAGCACTGCTAGCAAGCTCCTGACCTTGTAGTCCCGTCCCCGCGTCCAGCTCAAATACTTCACTTTCACTCCATTGTGAATAGGCGACCAGGGGCATTTCAGACGTCACTCGGAGGGAATCGGTGCGTTGAGTATTAGAAGCTTTTACATTCGATGGTCTGCAAAAATCACAACAAATGGATGGATGACCACGTGATACCCCTCTAAACGAATGAAAGCGTTAAACCAAAATCTTGAACTCACTTAGAAACAAATTTTGAACATCTCTTTCACCTCGAGCACATTTGAGTGCACTTTAACTTCCTTGGTGGAGGGGCCTTCCTCATCATTTCGGCGCAAGTTTGGCTGGGCAAGCGTGCAAGCGTGCAAGCATTGATAGAAGGATGCTGATGTTTCAGTCATCCCTCTTAGAATGCTTCACTTGCATTCATTATTTCAAAATGAACTTTCAGACGTCATACGGAAAGGATCGGAGGAGTTAAATCAAGAATTCACCATGGGTTGGACTCTATTGGGCTGATCAATATTCACCTCACTGCTGCTCTCTAAGCCTGATTCAGGGTGATATCCTTCTCAAATCCTAATAATAGCCACTCCCCACCTGATGTAACGACTCAGGCCATTTCCAATCCCCAGCAACGATTTAAAGCAGAGGCGTTTTTCCATCTATTTCCATGCACGCCCCTCCCAACGTCCGTAAAACCCCCCATTTCTGCCCCTCCCCCCCGCTCTCTTCCCATCTCTCATTCTCCTCCAAACAAAACATAACTCGCATCACCACACTTATTTCAACACAGAACCCGCCACCAACATGCCATCCTCCAACGACCTTTCAGCCATCGCACGCCTCAATCTCAACAAAGACAAAGTCGACGAAATCATAGCCAGAAAACGAGCAAATATATACCCTGCAAAGGCGGCAATATATGCAGCTATGTCTGATGACGAGCTCTGGGAGGAGAACAATAAAAGGGGGGGGGGGGTGGGGAGTTGCCGAGGGAAATGGGCGGTGAGCTATTTGACATTGGGTCCCCGGACGAGGTATTGAAAGCAAATCTCAAACTCGAATAAAGTCAATAATCCTCTCCCTGAAACTAGCCGTCAATTTTCCATCCTTTCTTCTAATTCCGCCACTTACATTTTAAAGAAGTTTACTAATAGGATGGTGGCTGAGGAGAGGGGCAAAGGCGTAGATGGACACTGGTTACACTCTACTAACTGCTGGGTCCAAGGCTGGATCTATTCAAGTTACGCTCGATGGAGAAGAGCGCTAAGCTAAGCCTCCTCTGCACAAAAGAACTCGTATTTCAAATCACTCCTTAGTTGAATTCCCAGCCTTCCTCCCATCAAATATCAAAACAATTATTCTCCAACCGCCTCCTCAAGATAGTCCTTTCCTGTTCTAAAGCACCCCCTAGAAGCTCACGTTCCTGACTCCCCCTAAGCTCCATACCCTGCCGCATTCTTCCCTAGTTACTTTGATTCCCGATGTCCCATCGCCAGCTCGTGCAACTCCTTCATTTGCTCGCAGACTAGCGCCGCTCGCTCGTACGCGTATGTGGCCTGCTTGTAGGCCTGCTGCGCTTGCTCGTAGGCTTGCTGCGCTTGCTGGAAGGTTTGTCGTGCTGACTTGAAGGCTATCTGTGCCTGGCGAAAGGTTTCTTTTGCTGAGTCGTAGGATTGCTGTGCTTGCTGATAGGCTCGTAGTTCTTGGAGGGTTGCTTGCTGTTCTTGCGCGTATACCTCCAGCAGCTGTTCCACGGGGGCTTGCTGCTCTTCCAGGTCTTCCAGTAGTTCCTGAGAATCTAGATGCTCCTCGCAGGCTTGCAGGTAGACTTGTTGTGCTTGCTCGAAGGTTGGCAGTGCTTGCCGGAGGAAAGATTGCAGTGCTGGATGGTAGGCTTGTTGTGCTTGGTGGAAGACTATCTGTGCTTGCCGGTATGCTTGACGTGCTTGCTGTGCTTCCATCTGGTGTTCGGGGGGCGGATCGGACATTGTGGACTTTGGGTTTGGGACGGTAATACTTTCGGAGACAGTGCCAGTAAGAAGTGAGCTATTTGTACTTCAGAACGGGATGGTGGATGGAGGGAAGCATGATGTTAGGGTGTTAAGGAGCTTGAAAGGTGAAAGGAGCTTAGGAAGGCGCGATGGGGGGGCACAATGAGCAAGCTTACTGTGGCTACATAGCAACAGTGCGGAGGGGAAAGAGCATTAGAGGAACTCCCCACAAGGAAGACAATATCGACAGGATCATACCAGCCCCCAACCCCGGCGACCGAGACAATAATCGCTTACCTATCCAGTGCATCAAGTGATGTGAGGATATTGAGAAATGGAGACCACTGGGTCTTAAAAAGGCACGGATATCACAAGCCACATTCAGAGGAGGCAGTTTTCAGTTCTCAATGACCTTCATTCATATCGTATGGTGCCACCATGCCTGCATTCATTCGTAAATGCCCCTTCCATGCAATAGTACATCTTTTAGTGCTCATTGTTCCATGCCAACGCCAAATCTTCCGTAAACTCCATTGTACCAACACCTCGCCATGCAGTTAAGAAAACCCCGCCCATATGCTTAGTCACTCCTTTGATCAACATCGATAATACCAGCCTCGATCTCCTTCTTCATCTGGGCCAGGCGAGCATGCATGTCGAATAGATCCTTTTCTTTCTGCTTGTCGCGGTGCTCGCCCATCGAGGCCAACTCTTGATGAAGAGCTTTGTACTTCGGGTAAAACATCTTAAATCTCCTCGCCATATCCGTGACCTCTGGCTTGAGGCATCGAGATGAGCCGGATGAGGAGACGGACGAAGACTTTTGGTGCCGCTTGTGGATTGGGGAACGGGAATTCTTGGTTGAGAGATGTCTTGCTGGTGATTCGGATGATGAGGTTCGTTCGCCGGAAGTGCTCTCCATATCGGAGGCGTTCGTCGGTGGTGAGGAGGCAAGAGGTGATGACTTCTGAGGCGAGTTACCCTTTATCTTGCTGCTGGAGGAAGAGTAATGTGAGGAAGTGGTTGTTCGGGACGATTGGCTCGCGTCAGAGACCCTGTGAGTAGTGGGAGTGTCCTTCTTGACCTTCTTACTTAGAGGGATACTGGAATCACTTGTGTCGAGATCCTCATCTCTAGAACGCTTCATCGGCTTTGGGGCTGGCTTCGCCGGGACTGGGTAATCGTCTTCTTCGTCCGAATCGTTCACGAATTCTGAGGACAGAACTTTGGTGCCAGTTTTGGGTGGGGGAGCCTTCTTAGCCGGAGCAGATTTCGTTGCAGACTTCGCTGGGTTCTTCGAGAGCAGTCTCTTGGCTTGACTCTCCTTCTCGCTAACCTTCTTCGACTTTGTTGGTGGCGGCTGGGAGACTGAGCGACTCAGGCTCTCCCCCTTGATCTTGGACACCTTCTTATCCATTAAAACATCATCATCGCCGTTAGGAGTATCTCGACCGGACTCGTCGGCTTTCTGAACGTTGATCTTGGGTCCTCTGGCAACTGGTCCGGCAGCGATTTGGGCTTGGAGCTTACTGAGGCATTTGCCTGTTCCGCGTTCCGACTTCTCTAAGAGTCGGTCCCATTGGGGTTCACTGACGCCTAGCCTCATCTTATCGTACTGCTTGACAGCATTGTCGATTGCGCGCTGACGATCGGCTGTCGTGGAATATTCGAAAGCCCAAACATCGAGTTCCTTGAAGAACGACTTTCTCAACTCCCATTTCTTAGTTGTCTGGTTCAAATCGCCGACTCTCAATAAGGCTACCATCAATTGTTCTTGTCCTTCGTCGTCAATCTTCTCCCTGACTTCTTTCTCTGTCATTGGTTCAACCGCGAGGAGGTGTATCACTGGCTTGCGAACGGCCTTCGCTTGTTCCGCTTGCTGCTGAGATAGAGGAACCGAGGTGGGACCAAGCGATGGGGAGCCAACACCACTGAGAGCCGGGCTCGAGGGCATCGATCGCGTGGTATCACTGCCAAGACGATTTTGTGACAAGAACTTTGATTTATTGGAAGGCTTCACTTGACCTCGGCGGCCAGGAGCCGGCAAGCTTCCGTCCTTGATGAGCTTTGTCCTATTTTACGTCAATTTTTGTATGCTTCCTCCAGAGTATAGTACTCACGTGTTTCCTTGTTTCTTCGCGTTCTCCTCCGCAAGTGAGCTTTGGAGTGCTGCAAGTGCGGCGTCTGCTCCAGCGGTTGCAGAGGTAGCTGTTGCATTTGCCTTCGCTGAGTTCTTAACCACCTTCGGGGCAAATTTCGTAGGGTCAAACTTGACGCCAAGACTTGCCATCCATCGGGTATGAACCTTGGCTTCGACCTTTGTACTTCTATTCGAGTTGGGTCTGGAGGAGGCCATGTCTGGCGAGCCTGAAGACGAGTTTGGAGAATTGATCGTTTGAAAGAGGTCGAACTTAAAAGGTTCATGGGAGGTAGAAAGATGCTGGGTTTTTGATCCGTACGAAATATTCTATATGGTGTGGATGGTCAGTGAATCGTTCGTATTATCGTGGACTACAATAGCAAGCGAAGCAATTGTCAAAATGGACTGAACAATACAAAACCACAACCAAACTCGGCACAATATGGTCGGTACTAAACTTATGGACTGGAAACTCACGGGATGCTCTCCCAACGACAATTGGATCAGTTTCCCATTCTGCACGCATTTTATCATTTCCTCAATCACTCCGTCCGTCAAGGTCAGGCCGAAGACATCGGGAAATGCTGACGAGGGCTTGGAGGGCGGTGCCGGGAAGCTTCCCAGCGACAGCCCGGACTGTGGAATGACGAGGGAAGGCATATTGATTGTTGATCTGCCAGGGAATCGTGGAATTCGTGGAGTTCGAGGGCGAGTTCGCGGGTCGTTCTGGCTCGCTGCCAAGTCACGACGCTGGGTGACGCTCAACGCTGTCTCGACATGCGGGCGGTGTCAGAGTCCATTTGGTCCGTGAATGGAAGAGTTCGGCGGATCTCGTGAGGTAGAGCAAGTGCAAATGCAAGTATATAGTCACAGCAAAGAGGATTCACAAGGAGGGTATGTGCAGAGTGAGTGGTGAGAGGAATTGTCGTCGGCATGAGGGGAGGATCTTTGTTTGAGAACGAGGCGTTCTACTCAGCCAGCCAGCTAGCGAGGGCAGCCTTTTGCTGTGACTGGCTGCGGTGATTCGCGCAGCATGAGACTAGCCAGCCCTGGTCGCGCCCAGGATGCCACAGCTGTGGGAAAGGACGGGGACGGGGCAGTGGGCAGAGGGCAGAGGGCAGAGGGCAGCAGCCGCGGGCACTCGTGAGAGAAACGAGAGTCGACTCAGACGAGAGCGAGCCCGCCGATGGGGGTCAAGGGCTGGTTCGGGCGTGGGCGGTCGGTTCCCCCATTCCGGGCCCAGACCAGACCTTGCATCAACCAGCACACAGCACACAGCACACAGCACACAGGCAGGCGTTCTTGGGGCGTGGCTCTGCAACCTCACCCGAGGGGAGGAGGGGAGGAGAGCAATGGCATTACAAGCGCGGTCGTGTGGTGGGCTCTGAATGGACGTGAAACGGTGACGGTGGTGGTGGACAGCCAGCTGCTCCATTGGGCCTGCTTACACAAGCTCGCACATGCATAAGTCCCCTCTGAAGTCAGGTACAGCAGAGCAAGAGAGCAAGATATTGGACAGTGAAGCTACACCTGGACATCTACGACGTATATGAACATGGATTTCGGAGCCTTTCGGATGTTTTAAAAGCTGTCGATATGCATCTACCCAAGTGCCCGATTCAGCGCATTTTATTCTCTAGTATTGAAGGGCAGAGTGAGATATCACGGTCACAGGGTTTTTGAGTATCAAGTTCGACATTATTAATTCCCCGGTTTGCCTCGTCTCGTGGACGGTCCCATGCACAGCAAGTTTCCGCTGACGAGCGAACGAGGAGTTGGGAAAGAAGATGCAAGGTTCGTCTGTTCTCCTCTGTACCTGACGAATCCTTCATCCGGACTACTCGCCAGGCACAGGAAGGAAGGAGGCCAAAGTCAAATGATCCCTCGCTGAAGGGCTTCCACCGTGCCACGACGCCGAACATGTACCCCATACTTCAACCGGATAATTGCTTGGCTTCATCAAGATTCCCATCACGATGCTCGATGATGCTCGATTTATTAGACCGACGGTGCAGAATATCAGGCACAAGTCAGAACATTTCTCCCGGCTATAGCGCGAGCGCAGAGCGCGTCCGCCGACGAGGCCTCGAATGGTCGTCAAATTGCTTACGTGCTCAGGCGAGGTGAAGCGTGGAAGTGAAGCGTGCTCGTCGCCCGGCCATTCGCCCAACCACCGCATTTGAGGCCCAGATGTCTTTCCTTTTGCTCCCTCGAATGCTCATCCTCGATGCCTCTGTTCCACGCGAATGCGTGCCCTCTGCCCACCAGAATCGGGGACCCCCAAAGCGCTAAGCATTTCGGTCCCGCAAAAATGGATGCAAGGCAGCGCAGATGCCGAGTCCCAAGATGTCTTGGGAGGCCATCATCAAGAAGGGAGAAAATTGTTCGGAACTGGGCACAAGCCGCCTTCTCTCTTCTCCTCCACTTCTCACGGTTCCCTCCCGCTCCGCACCCGCGTCCCAAGAAGTTGTTGCACAGACAAACCCTCTAAAGTTTCGAAACATCGAAAAGGAGAAGCAGCCAGACCAAGGAAGATTACCGAGTCTCATCCATCCCTGATCCAAGAGCATCCAAGTCCCGAGCACACTTCTCTCCGTCAAATCTCCTTCAGCCTGATGTTTCTCTCAATCCGTGGCCTTCGCTGCATCCGCGTAGATTCTGTAACACCAATACTCTTTTTGAGTCTTTCCCATTACCACGGAACCTCCGCTACACGAGTGACCGCCCAGCCATGAGAGTCTCACAAAACGCTCGGCTGATTGTCTGAGAATACTCAATGAATTGATTATTGGGACGTTGGGACGCTTAGCTAATCTTTGCAGGAGCTTTCCGCACTGCACTGCATTACTGTCCCCCTCGCAGAAAGGGCCGAAGTGGATGGAGAGGAATAGTGAAAGGGAGGGGGAGGAGCAAATCGATCGAGGGGCAGAGCTTCGCCGACGTGGATGGCGCTTTCAAAGCACGCAGCCCATCAAAGAAAAGTGCGAAGTAAGCAGTAAAGAGCTGCATCCCACGCCACCATCAAGCCCTCAGGTCTCTCGGAAACGGTGCCCGCGATAGTGCCGCGATAGTCCAGCCAAAGTGAGGTTGGAGCTACTGACTGACGCACAGCATCCGCCTCTTCTGCCCGAGCTTCCATTTCAGAAGGTCCGCCCATGCACAAATGGACGAGGCAGGGCATTCAAAGACGCCCTCGCCCTCGAGGTAATATATTATCTTCAACATATGCCGGTACCACTATTTGCTTGGACCTGGAAGACCATAACAGGAAGTGGATTGACACTCCCATTGTTCCTGTGCCTCCGGTACTTCAAAATCATCTGAGCGTCATAGCCAACTAAAAACTCACACTCGTATCTCTTCTCACATCATGCTGCAGCGCGCGGATGTCCAAGACCTGAGCGGCGATGCATCGTGCGTGTTACACATCCATTTTGGATCGCAGGTGAGATGTCCATAAGTACAGCTCAGTCGGCATCCATTCACTCTCGCTGGAAAGCCTCACTGTTTTCGGTTTTGGATTAGACCTTCTCGGATGACTTTCACCTGATGAGCCGAGACGGTCGAACCTGTAATCTTCAGGAAACATCAACAGTCTCAACTTTGACCTCTGCATACGGCCGCTATGATATGGAAATTTTATGGAGAGCGAGGGATTCCTAGATCAGCAATGCCGTCGGATTCTACATTGCCCCTTGACGACGGCCCGCCGTCTGATCACCGCCCCTTGCACAACACCATGCTCTCACGTCCAATTGGCTTCCCCCCACCAACTGTATGAACTCTTCTCGCCGCTGAAGAACTGCTCCTCATCTGGTACCGACGACAGCATTTTGCAACTCCAGCTCGAAATCTCACTCACCCATCAGCCCACCGTACCATCGCCCCAAAATCATTGAGAGTAAGCTGTACAACCACACTTCAGCCCTCTCAGCTCCTCAAAATCTCACTCGCTCTCTCGTGCCACTCACGAGCCGCAGGCGGCCAAGCATCTGAACCTTCATCCCCGTCCTCACGGCCTCGCTTCCGAGAAATGCCAACGCTTCCAGCGATTCCTCCTCGTACTTTGAAGCTTCCTCAGCACAGCACCGCATAGCTGCAGCTTTCTGATCCGTCTCCACCATACAGTACCCTCCAACGCTACATCTTCTCTTTCTTTAGCACAGTGACAATCCTACGTTACAAGTGCTGTACCCCCTTCAATTCGTGCTTTGTTCTCACCAAGATATCGTACAGCACCTTCTTTGTATAACATCCCCATGCAGCAAACGACGAGGTCCCCGGACCTGGCTCCGGGCCGTCGATACACTGCTGCTCTTCGGTGCATCGTATGGAACTTGGTAAGGGATACGAGGGTTCTGTCAGGTGTGCAGGAACGAGGACTTTTTGAACCCCGCGGGACCGCAGCTGTTATCGATAGGCCGGCCCCCGTCCCCAAGCTCTGCGCTGATCTTCCACTACGAAGATCGCGATCTCCACGCCACTTCGGCAAGGTAAATCATTTCCTTCTTCCCTCTACCCTCTGTTGAATATCGCGCGAGACATATGGTCTCCTCGATTTTGAGGGTTTGGGGAAAGAGAAGTGAGAGAGGGAACCACCCCTCCCAATTGGCCCTCCCGCTCAAAGGAACCGAACCGCTGCGGGGTTGGCTGCAGGGCGGACATGGCATTCAGCACCACGATCCCCGATCCAGTACGGTCCCCGAAGCATCTATCCGAACTGGTAAAGTATCTCTGGTTCTGTTCCTGGCCCCCAGTTTAATCACTCCACATCCCCTCTCCTCCAAAAATGCCACTAGAGCAGATCAGAACACAGACCTTTATAATGAATATGAATATCAATCTGAGAACAAGAAGTCTCCTGACGAGGCGATCTCATCTCGCGAGTGCATTCCCAAATTGGTCCAATTTATAGGCTGCGAGCTGCGTGGCGATATAAATAAAGATCGGCTCAATTTCTTGGCGGGAGGGAAATGGGGTGATGCGGAGCGGTATCGGGTCCGGGGAGGCTGGGGCTGAGCTGGCCCGTTTTCCGTTAGGATGGTGGCTGATTTCTGTGTTACGCTGCAATTAAATTGTACAAAAGTGGACCTCAGTGTTATTGCACCTCAATGGCGAGAAGGGGCTGGCTTTCTGGTGAAGATCCCAGTTCGGTGTTGCAGGAAACGACGCAGTCCTCTTCAATATTCAGAAGTCCCGCGGGGAAGGTTTGAGAAAGACCTGTCTCTGTTTAGCTATTGCGAATCTGTTTCTATTTCCGGCTTGATCAAAATGAAGGGCTTACAGTAAGAATGCCGGGTGGTTTCTTGCAGGGACAAAAGGGGAAGTGGGGTGCCTTCTCAGAAGATCCCGAGATTCGTCATATAACTTTCTTTGAGGTAACTTTCCTATTGTTAGTAATTGTTTTTCTCATGCTATACCAAACCGGTGATGTCCAAAGTTGAGCCTCGAGATCTCGGCTGGTTGGAAATGCGGGACCTGCCAATCGCTGCTTCCAGATCTAAACGTCATGACAACCAGAGCTTGCTGGTGTCAAGTGCATCTCCAGGACCAGAACTCAGGTACAGTATGCTTCTTATTTCGTTCCTTCTTCAATGCAAGTAAAGCTCTTTCAATTTCATTTTCTTGAACTTGTTCTATCTATTTCTCTCCTCATCACCGCAATAATGGCAGGCAAAGCTCACAAGTCTCTGAATGGTGCGTCCCAATCCTTCTGATATTCAGAACAACAGTTTATAAATATCCGTCCAGTTTTCAAAAAGCCCCTGGGCCTCTTCAGCAAGGAGCCCATGACAGGCTTCTACGGTAACGGCTACTGCGACGTCGGTCCAGATGACACTGGTAACCACTCCGTAGCAGGTACTGCAGCCTCCATACCCCGCCCATTCACAACTCAACTAACTTCCTGTTCTCAGCAACCCTCACAGACCCCTTCCTGGACTTCACCGCCTCCCGCGGAAACAACCTACGGTCCATTGGCCTGACAGTGGGCTGCAAATGGTGTCTCTGCGCCCGGCGCTGGAAAGAAGCGTTCGACCACGCCAGCCAGCAGACTGATCAAGCAAGCGAGAGCGTGGTCCCGAAAGTCCATTTGCATGCTACGAGCGAGAAGGCGTTAGATGTGGTTAATATGAAGGATCTGAAGAAATATGCCGCCGAGCCGGAGGTGGTGAATGCGAGCAATGTTGCACAGAGCAGGAAAGGAGGGATGGGTGGTGCGATTAAAGAGCGGACGGAGTTGGCGAATAAGGAGGAGATGACGGGTAGGGAGTAGAAATGAGTAGGAGGGATTGGACCTTAGGAAAAAGAGATTGTTGCTGTTCATCTTACTGCAGAGAAGATGGCAAAAGCTTCTTCCTTCTCATGATCCAGGGGATGGCTTCTTTGAAAGTGCATGTGTTGGTGCGCGAGTGTTCAATAGAAGTGCCTTGTTCACGATGTAGTCTGATTCTGGGATTGATGATGGTGTGGACTGGGTTCCGATCAGGCACGACTAAGTTGTTTTCTCTGCGACGAATTTAGATTTCGGGAGCATTACCATGGCAATTGGCGCTCGAAAGTGCCTTCTCTTAATCTCAACCACTTTGAAAGTGTCATCTCAAGTTTTGCTCGAGGTTTACATTAGCGCCTGGACCGTTCCATAGCGCCTGGAACATTTTGTGGCTGTTTCCAAACGAACTGGTCTTGTTGGGAGTGTCTGCCAGTTGAAATCCGAACTGAGCACTTGGAACTGCACATAAACCCCCATTAAATCCTTTTGACCTTCTACTTCATTTCCACGTTCCTCAATACCTCTCCAGTGCCCAGGGCCCCCGATCTCCTTAAATCTTCCAGAAAGATAGGGTTCTCCTCTCGTTTTCTCTTCCAATCCAGCACACCCAATCTGCTGCAACATGGAAGGCACTGATTCACCTTCGATCATCACACTATGTCGCCTTGCCTCCGCAACCCTTCCCTCAAGAGCACGGGCCCTTTCACTCATGCTCAACTACACCGCGAGTTGCATCCAATTTCACACAGCCCCGAAGAATTATTAGGTCGCCTGCTGCAAACTTTAAAGAACATCAACGTTGCTACCAAAAATCAAGCAAAAATCGAGCTTCACAGACTATTCGACATGTGTCTGCCCTTAGCAGATCTTGGGAACTCAGATTGGCTTCTATGTTTGTTGCAAGCATACATGCGCATCTTCGACGACTTGTTCTTTTCCGGTACCTTGACGCGAAGGAAACCCCATCGTGAAACTGCACTCTTCGTCCGTCCGTTGACTAAAGTAGGCCTTTTGGGACTGACTACCCCCACCGAAGGAAGCTATCCTGACATATACACTGAGATTACTATGACCTCAATCTCTGTCCCGCTGGATGCGTCACGTAGAGCAGGACAAGCCGAATTTCGCCAGCGTCTCGGCAGTCTTCTCCACGAGATGCTCCACGCTTACTTCGAACTTCATTATTACTGCACTTGTGGCAATTCGAGCTTGATGCTCGGGGCTCGAACACACAGGAGTTACGGGATATGGGCAGTGCTGGCTACTCGCCGCGCTTGCTCTCGAAGACTTTGCGGTAGCAGAGCTGAAATTTAAGTTCGATCTGGGACGAGCGCACGCTTTGGAAGAAGACGTAGCTCATACCAGGCCAGAGTGCGACACAACCACTGGGTAGGTTGCATCTCGGCTCAGAATAACACTTGGCCTTTCTCGTATTTGGTGGAATGCCACCGCATTTCGGAAAGCATCCTCCTCGGCGGTGGCGAGAATGGAAGAAAAGCGCATAAAGGAAGGTGGAAGGACTGTCAACACACTCGTCTTTGCGAGAACGTGTCCATTTTGGAAGTCACTAAGAGAGCGGTTTCGGTGCAAGAATCTTCGAGAAAACGCTTTCGCGAGGTTGAGGTCCGTGAAGGTGGTACCTTCCCTTTGGGAAAGGGGCTCGCTTATATGTCCTCAAAACTCCTCCTCCGCGCCTCCCTTCTTTTTCCAACGCCGACCAACGTTTTCATCAACGTCTCCTTCACATCCGAAGGCAACATATCATTCTCAATGGTTTGATCTCCTCGAGGTTCCACCCTGGATGGTCTCCGATTCGACTACGGCACCATGGGGCAAGTCGCAAAGAGACTCAACTTTGGTCACGATTCTTCTTCAGATGCGGGTGCTCTTCAACGCAAGGCGCCAAGGTAAGACAGACCTCCAATGCATAAAATATGGCTCTGACACTTTACAGCAAGATGATGCAGACTTCTATCCTCCGATACATCACCTCCGACCGACAGCACCTTACTGCCTTAAACTCGTCGTCTTTCCTGCTTCGTCTTCCATACGACATTCGCAAGAAAATCTACGAGTTTGCAGGTCTATATAATGGAGAGCTTATCAAACTCAATTATCGGTCTTCGCCGTGGCTGATAGTCAACCCAAGAACAGGCTACGCTTTGAATCTGGTGCCTCCTTCGGATGATTGGGAGTTCGAGGACGAGGTTTCGGAATATTGCCAACGTATTTCCCGCTTCCTGGATGGCCCCAACACGGACTCCGATCGGAAACCTCCAAGAATAGAATTATATTGCTGCGAGGAGTACGAAGATGATGGAAACTGCGACTGCGACTTTGACCCCTCTTCGCTTCCCAGCCAGCTCCTCGACGTCTGTCGAACAATTTCCAAAGAGGTGGAGCATTTGTTCTATTCTCAGAATCACTTCAATATCTGTTCCGTTTATCCTGGAGGGTTGTTTGGTCTTCTATCCTTCACACCTAGGGCACTGAACTCGCTCTCGTCACTTTCTATCCATCTTAACATCTGCCGTTGCTTCATCACCTCAACCACCAGCAAACCAAGCTACTGCCCCTATCACCGTCGAGAATGTTACTAACTCTGCATCCCAGGGTCTGAGAAATTATGCCAAAGCGCAGCCGTCCACCACAGATCCAAAACGATAGCAGAATGGGAGAAGCTTTGCCGACACCTGGCCTCTTACATCACACCACGTCAACTTAAACTCTGGATTGTTTGCAATGGGGGTAATATCGAAACGGCGAAACAGATCGTGGGATCTATGAATCACCTACCAGTTCTTGGAGCATGTGGAATTTCAATCAATTTGGAATCGTGCCTTAAACTCCAAGATCTCGCTCGAGATGCGGTTCTCAAACTCACAGGACAATCATCCGACGCTCTTGACGCTCCGTTTAGATTCCTAGATCTCCCTCGGGAGATCCAGTTGAATGTCTTGAAGTATACAGATCTAACTACACCTTATGACATTGCATGGTGTCCGGATACTGAAGGCGAAGCGCCGAGCGTCGTCCATAGTGGTTCTATTCAATGGAACCAAAGAACCAACATGTACTGGCGGAAGTGCTGTGGAAAATGCTCCCCTGTTGGGACAATGTGTATCTGTTCAACCAGGTATAATGGCTATTCCACAACGTGTACTTGCTGGGTCATGCCGTCATCGCTGTTCTTGGTCTCTCGGAGGCAGAGGGAAGACGCGATAAAAATCTTCTACTCTCAGAATCACTTTCTCATTCTGCCGTCGGGAAAGCTGTTACAGTACGACCAGCCTGCAGAAATCCTCCGATTCTTTACTAGATTTGTTGCACGGGGAATGAAATATTTGCGGTTTGTGACCTGGCTGCTTCCGGATATGTACTATCCAATTTCGGGCACAAGATGGGACTGGGAGTGGGAACGGGCAGTTGACATCTGTGCTCAGGAAGGCAGTCTTCAGCTCTTGAGCTTTGCCATTGATCTATCACATCACGCCCGCAGACGTCGAGCTTTTGGAGCACGCTACCACGGCCCCATCCCGATTGCTCAATTAGAGGAAAATGAATGGAACACTGGCTTGCTTTTGGTGGAATCTATGGCTCGTTACAAAAGCTGGAAGAATGTCTATGTCCACCTGAGCTGGCCATGGCACAATCCCCACAATCCCAATGATCCGTACAGCTGCCCTGAGGAGGCTCAAGAGTTGCGTGAGCGTCACGAAGAAGTATTGGAGGAGCAGGTCATGGGGCCAGGCCGTATTGAATGTGGCAAGTATGAGAGGAGACATGCATGGAATGGATACATCTGCAATTACGAGGATCCTTGCGAGCAGTGCGAGGACGAAGACTAATGGGGTGTGAGGTGAGCAACACTTTGCATTTTCTATCTCGATGGCCATCGCCATGTATGGTTGGCATGATCCATTGCTCCAGCTTATCTTTGTGCTCCTTAACTAGCTATTTCCATGCCTTTCTAGCACATAAATAAACATGAAGAACAACACCATCTCCTTGTATTGTGACCTCACTTGATGGCATTGTTCTCCTATAAAGCCTCTCATCAAGCTTTTCGAAAATATTTGGACCCTCCAGTTGTTGAAAGATGCCAAGTTTATGGTCCCTAAGGCAGCTAGGAGTTGTGGGTTTGTACTTATATTAAGGAGCTTCCCAGCTTTCGATAATCAGAGAATCAAGGCTTCCAACCACCCCAATTTGACACCAGCGTGAAGCAGAATGTTTGGCAGAAAATACAGAAAACCATACGCAAATGTTGAAATGGTATGGCTTCGTAGGGAAACTGAAGGTCACGGCATGCAGACCACTTGAAAGCGACTGGACTTGAATTTTCTTGTTTCGTGGAATAGCTAAAAGGTTGGAATCTTGAATGTACAGCAAAACTTGAGAACGTTAAGAGAAAAAAACAGGAGATGAATGAACTACATTTCGGGAGGATATCTGGGGAGGGCAGAAGTTGATTGTATCTCAGTTTGCAAGGCCTGCAGTCTGTTGTGGGAGGACGTGGATACTTCAGAGCTCGAGAAACTTTCATATCTAATGGTTCGAACTCGAAGTTGGATACGAAGTCAAAGAGTTGAGCAGCGAGAAACAATACAATTGATGCGAAGAAGAAGAAGTCTATTTTGGGATCTAAGGCTGTTCACACTAAAAAAAACTTCGGCGTAGCCTAATCCCCAAGGCCACGTCAAAGAAAGCAGCAAGAAATAAGATGGGCTAAAGATATTCGTGAATAATTGAAACCCCGTTGAGAAATTTGTTGCTGAAGATATTCGAAAATTGAAGGTGCCTCTAAAATATAGAAACCGCCCAAATTGTTCCACATCTATAGGGACTACATCTAAATAGTCGCCTTGGGCAAGCAAGAGCAAGCAGAGCTGATTTGCGAGATGGCGTTCTTTGTACACTGAGTCTGGTGCGTTGGTAGAGCTGCGGGATTCGTTACTACTGCGGTTGTAAAAGCAGAACAGAATGCCGTGGCCCCGACACCGCCCTCTCTCTTCATGGCGCGGAGACAGTTATCCGAATTGCACTTGAGAAGCGCTTGGAGAGTAAGCTTTGTCACGGCTGTACTTGAGCTTGAGCTGGATCTGGATGTGGTTGTTGGCGATGGGCTCATGGAGCTGAAGCTCATCGTGGAACTACCGTAGTAGTTTAAGCAAGTACAGGCAGATGAGACCCGAGCGGAAGTGCTTCCTGTGCATTGTGTTGCATATGTTGGGAGAGCTGGAGCATTGGGTCCACCGAGAGTAAAGACAGAGCAGAATGCGCTCCCATTTCCTCTGTCGAATGCTCGAAGACAGTTGTCTGCATTGCAACCAGGACCAAATTCATGGGTAGCTGAACTGCTCATTGATGTTTGAAGAGAAGTGCTAGAGGGTGTGAACGTGGTGACTGAGGAGATGCTGGAGGATAGAATTGGTGAGGAGCTAGATGGAGAAGAGGACATGCTGGACGATAGGCTGCTGGAAAGGCTTGACGACAAGCTAGATGAGAGGCTGCTTAATAGACTACTTGAAAGGCTACTAGAGATGAGACTCGAACAGCTCACTGGGCAAGCGGGCGTCGAAGTGGTTGCCGGCATTATGGCTGGGGAGATTGTTGACGTTGAAGCCGGATAGGCACATGAGCAGACCGAGGAGATTTGAGCCACCAGAGAGCAGGCTGGAGTAGCAAAGGATGGGAAGCCATTCATAGTCAATGTTGTGGCAGTTGTAAATTGCGAGCAGAAAGAAGCTGCTGCAAGAGTATGAGCATCGCCATTGAAAGCTCTCTCACAACTGAGGATATCATCAGTAAGTTACGCCAATGGAAAGACTCCTGGAGATATGCTTGTCTGCAGCACAACCAGGTTCAGTGGCCGTTGCAAGACCTGCTGAGCTTAAAACAGCCAGTAGAAGGGATCTCGACGAGAACATAATTTCGAAAGTCAAAAGGGTTTGAGAAGAATATGATGGGATGGAAAATTGAGAATCCAAACCTGAGATAAGCTGTCATCGATCGACTTTATACAAGCAGACTGACGGATCGTTGCTATTGGTACTTGATGAGAATGTTGATTAAGATATGCCCTTTGCCCCTTGGCAAGTCCCATACAAAGTCCTTTACCTCGTGAAGCCGCATTCCTCTTTTCCAGAACCTGCACGACGAGCGTCATGAAATCGATTATCATCTTCGTTCCGGCAGCATCCGGAGCGGTGCCGCGCGGTGTTCATTCTCTCCCTTTTCAGGAATTCGATAATCCTGTGTCTTACCTAGTCGAATTTTGGTGCAATGAGTCATTCAAGGTCGTGTGGAATGCGGATTCTCATCATGTATTAGAAATGAGAGTGAGTGACTCAGACAGAGTGAATGGACTGGTGGGAATGAAGTTGAGGAAGAATGACTAATCTTCTCGCTTAACGCTCACGTGATCATCAGTAGGAATTTACCCCTGAGGCAAGGCGTTTTTAAATTCACCTTCAGACAAAGAAAGTGCGATGACAATCAAAGAACAGTGAATACGCAGGTCTGTAAACTTTAGCGATCTAAAATGACTAAATCCACGAACCAGTTACTGTACCTGTTCATGAAGTACAAAAACTTCCACTCTTGTAGTCAACTTCGTCAACCACTCCTTCCTTGATCCTCCGCTTCCTACAATCAACATCTCGAAGGAAATTAATCCAGGCAAGTCAAACTCTCCCGGCGGTGCGACAGCCAATTCTCTCGAGCTTGTATAAGACACGAAAATGGATCCAGGATCCCCACAAGCAGACTGCTTGTCGTCTACTTCATCCAATTCGGAAGACTCGCCAACCCGAGCTGCACAAATTGAAATGCCCTTCTCACGCCCTCAGCTAGATACCAGCAAGGTGACGCTACCAACAATACCGCGATCTCCCAAAGAAGTCTCAGGAGACGGCAAGATGAGTTCTCCCGCTTCTGAATTCTCCAATCAGCGCAGCAATGCAGATGGCAAGGTTTCTGGGTCTTCCGATAAACGCAGCAACGAAGATGATAAAGCTTCCGAAAACTCCGATCAAAACAGCAACGCAGACGCCAAGAGCCGTCGCTCATCCACCAGTGAGTATGAACAAGAATCATTTGAGACCTACCAGCATAAGGTCGCTCAGTTATGTCACGATATTGGTTATGGAGAGCCATCGAAGATTGAGCGAATGAAGGGTGGCGGCTACAACAGAATCATTGGGTTGACCTTGCCATCTGGTCAGCAACGTGGCTATGTCCTCAGAATCCCCCGGTCAGCTCTGGAAGAGGTCTTGATGGGTGAAATCAAGGACCAGGTTGCTGTTACTCTCCACCTCTCGAAATATGAGTTCCTCCATGTCCCGGTAATTGCCGCCTTTGATACAACCGTTAACAATGCTCTTGAATGCCAATACGTCCTCCAGGAACGGATTGATGGAGTTGCGCTTGATCATGTCTTCTACACCTTGCCTCTTGCCGAGAAGCTCCAGATTACAACAGCTGTGGCCGAAATGTTGGTGCAACTTGAGTCGATTACACTCGAGAAACCTGGAAGACTGGTGGGGACTGGAGATTTGCCTGATCGCTCGGATGTTGCGCCAACTTCCGCGAATGAGATTAAGATCACAGGTTACCGTGAGAACCCCATCGAAGACTTGCCGTCTATGGAGAAGCAATCGCTTGCGTCCTTGATCACCTATCTGCTCGAGCTCCGCAAGCAGAAGAATCTAGACTGGGATGAGATGGTGGAGAGATGTGAGCGGCTTCAGTCCATTGTGAAGGATATGGATGCTGCTGGATTGATACGAAGCACGGATGATGAATGTGTGCTCTGGCACTGGGACCTTTCTGCAGGAAATGTCATGATCCATCGAGCCAACATCACAGCCTCGGAGCAACATACTGTTCTTGGCATAGAGCGCAAGCAGGCTGTTCAGGTTGGTCCCGGTGAAGGCAGCGGTGTGACAGCATCACCAGTCAGCAATGATTCTCCGGGAAAGTGGGTCGTAAGCGGTGTTTTGGATTGGGACGACGCAATTTCGGTCCCTCTGGTTATTGCGAGAACACCTCCTTCCTGGCTCTGGCTTGATGAGGACACCCGTGGTCCGAGTTGGGACGGCGATCGTGATGCAAAGCCTGAGAGAGACTTGACCGAAGACGTGCTTCTGATCAAAGCACATTTCGATCAGATCATGGCAAAAGCAAGCCCTTCATATATCGAGGATGCTTACCATCGTGGTCCTTTGCTTAGATCATTGGCGGAGTTTGCCCTCTACAACTTCGAGGATGGTGTTTATTGGGATAAGTATGATGACTTCGTGAAGAAATGGGAGGAGTACGATGAGGCTCTGGCAAAGTAGAAATGATAGATCTATATCTGTGAATATCATGTCATCGTAGATGGTAATGAAAACCTTGCATTATGGAAAACGAATGCACTCTTGTGATGTCAATTTCACACCGTATTCATTGGTAATGGTATTTTATGAAGAGTCCAGATCATAGATGTCCAAACTGATGAATTCGCAAATATCAGGCTCTATTTTCCATAGAACTTTGCTCCCTCAAGCTCCGTAATACGCAAAACCAGGAGTGCTCTAGGCGATATTCCCTGTGCAATACAGAGGCCACCCATGTCTCAAAAAGAAAAGAAACCCCCATACCAAAATGCTGGAAAACTCCACCCAATGTGTGACCCACGCCATGCACCATAGTCCATCCATAAATGCCGTCAAAAGAAGCCGAACTCCATCCCAAGATAAATTATCCCTCTGACAACCCAAGCAAGAAGACAACTTTTACTTCTTCTTGTTCTTCTCCTTCCGATCTCTCTCACCCTGTGCCTGCTGCGGCTTCTTTCTCTCCTGCTCCTCCTTCGCCTTCTGCTTCTTCTCCTCTTCCTTTCTCTTGCGCTCTTCAGCCGCCTGTCTAGCGTCGCACTTAATGCATGATTCGGTCTTCAAGTGCCGACGCTCATCGCAGCCTTCACGTGGACAGTAGGTTTGATGCTGCGTGCAGTAGGTCTTCTTGCTGCGAGGGGTCTTAGCGGGCCCGCGGCAGTTGCCTTGGGACTTCCCCGGGCAATGGTGTGTAGTGACCATTTTGTTGGTTGAAAGAATGTACGGAAGGGTATTTTGAGAATGGGTAAAGGGAGGACTATGGTAGGAATGAGTTAGCACGAGGTGGTATTGTGGATATGGGAATAGAGTCCAAGATGCAATAAGAGGGAAGGAACTTACTGCTTAAGTCTCGAAGGACGTACAAAGCTTCTTAGTTGAAAGACAGGTTGCTTGCTCTTGGTTCGTAAGACTTGTGTGTACGAGAAGCAGTTGGGAGAGTGTAAGTGATTGTAGTTGAGCACTCAAGATTCCGAAGTGGCGTTGAGATGGTTTTGTGCTGGAAAGATAATGGAAATGGGGATTGAAGTGGTGTTGAGACTATGACTTTATAGACAGGAAACGTAAATTTGGATTGAAAGGCATCTTTAAATGCAGCTCTGGAGATAAATTTCCATCTTCTTGCTCAGTGAATGAGTTGTAAATTATTCGGAGTATGTCTATGCTGATGCAGTCATTTCTCCTCAGCGAGAGGTGGTAGTGAATGAACTGAGCTGCGAGAGCACATTGTTCAGAAGAATGATGGGATGTTGTGATTGTGAATCTCGAGAACGAGAACAAAATCAGACTGAAGGATGACGGTAGGAAGGTTTGGGTAGTGCAGCAGGTTAGATAGCGAGCTATCCTGTTGACGTACAGAGCATAGATACTTGAGAAAGGGGACTTGAATAGTATCATATAACGAATAAAATCATAGTGACCGGAAATATGCACACAAGAATAACACCGAAAGACCACTTGAAGATGCTAAGGCAGTCTTGGATGGATGTAGCATATAGCCGTGAAGTTTGTACAGCATTCTTGAGGATTGCCCAGCCCCTGACGCCAGTGCTATGCAGACTCAAACCACTAAGAAGAGCAACATATCTTACAAGTCAGGCTCAGCAAATGTCTTCCTCACAAACTCTGCACCACATATAGCTTGAAGTTGCGGTGCGCTGAAATCAGCTCTCGTCCAGTTCTTCCCAGCCATTCCCAAATGAGGCATCAAGCCAGCTCTCTCATTCTTTCCCTTCTCCAACATGCCGAACCTCAATCCTACTTCAGTAACAGTAACACCAATACTAACAACAATAAGAACGATGATGATCCACGTAATAGTGCTCATCTTCGTATCAGCAATGCTGTCACTCAGGATCTCTGCAAGTTCTAAGAATACCCTGCAACGCTCATTGAGGACTTTGATTCGGGGAGTGATTTCCAGGTACTCGCGGATAGCGAAGTACAGCGGGTGAAGAGTGGGCTCTGACTCCCAGAAGAAATTCGGTACGTCGAGGATATTGGATGCTAAGTACCGTCAGCTAAGTTAATAGGTCAGACAATTTGAAACTTACAAAGGTTGACATCAACACGACTCTTGAAGAGTCGACCCAAGATCTTGACAATCTCCTTTCTATCCATGCCTAATTTACCTGTCAAAGCTAGATGCTTAGGAACATGCTGAGCGTCCAGCATCGTCTGGGACATTTTCTCTTCGAAGAAGCTCAACTTCGTGCTTTGAGCAATGGCGTGGCTCATGGCGAGCTTGATCATATGATCTCCACTTCGGAGTGTAATCATGTCGTTGAAGACTCGGGGCCTTTCGACTAGAGGGCTGTATTCGAAATGGAGCTCTTCCGTCTCAAAGTCATCCTCTTCTAGCGGCCGAGAGACGAGAGAGATGCCCGTCTCATGCTCTGAGAAAGTCAAGTCCGCCAAGATATCTTTCTCTTGTCGTTCCGTAAAGTTCCAGAAGACGACTACTCCGTACGAAAAGACGAACATCTCTCCGAACGTGGTAGCATCTGGTGCTGTCCGATTTGGACTGTCCCCTCTCCGCCCTTGGGCAAGCACTCGTGTCTCCTCTCTGGTCCGACGTCCTTCATCTTCCCTCCTCCTCCTATCATCATCACTTTCATTCTGAGGACTCTCTTCACCACCTCTCACGCCGTAAGTATCCGTATCCTCAAAATACCCCTCATGATAATCCCTCCTCTCACTTCTCTCAATCTCCTCATCCAACACTGCCTTCCCACCAGGACTCTTAAGCACAGGACTACTTCTAATCCTAAACCCTTCTATGCCAGGCAGTAGTGGCAGATGATAGACCGTATAAAGACAATCATCATACAGCTTCGTCTTCGCCCCATGATGCTCCTTTACAAACGTAGCCGTAGCTTTCGTCTTATACCCCTGCGCAGTGCAATACGCCGTCACCCTTGCCAACTTCTCCGCTCTCTTCGCCTTCGGTAATCGTTCTGCGTAACTCTTCCCACGAATTCCTCCTCGCTTCTTCAGTACGTCCAACTCAGCATCTTTAAGCGGTCCCTCGTCTCCATCTAAGCTTAGCCGTTGTCCATGCTCATCTATCTCATCGTCTGATTCTTCCTTCTCGTTTACGGTGTCGGGAATTAGGACAAGCTTTTCGGTCACTTTTGTGCTTCGGCCAGGGACGTTTTGCTGTGCAACTCGTGCTGCGATAGCCGGTGGGTTATTCGGCCGTCGCTGGGTAGCTGGCGCAGGGCGGCGGCCTGGCGGACCTCGGGCTTGACCAGAGGGAATCTCGGAGGCATATTGGAGGACGTTGTCGACAGATATGAAGCGCGTTGGCATGCGATTGCGGACTGCGCCTGGTGCGCTGGGCGATGGGCGCTGAGAATTATTGCGAGCTGGAGGAGGTCGTTCGCGGGAGTCTGTGACCTGGAGGAAAAGTTAGTCTTATAGCTGTTAAGTCTGAAGAGTCCAGCCCGTCCAAGGAGAGCTTGAAGGGCATGTGCTGAGGTATCTGCAGCTACATACCAAGACCGAAGGTCCCCTCTTCCCAGCAGCTGTCGTGGCCATTGCGGATTTAACGTGCTTCTCAATTGGAAGGCCAGGCACACAATTAAAGATTAATGTTCTCCGGGGGTTGAGACATCTAGGTGCTTGACTATCCGTTGCAACTGGAATGTTCAGATGGGCTGATATCGAGTGAAGCTTGCTGCTGCACGCTGGACGTCATTAGTCCAAATTTGAAGCGAGGCGTCGGAAAACGGCCCCCAACCTTTCTTATCGTCTCGATAAAGGAGGCTTTCCTTTCAAACTTCTACAACATTTTATTTCAAGTTTAATTGTCCCAAACATCCTCAATAAGAGGAACAACCAGGAGAGTTTCGTTTAATAAGGGCAAGTATCTCTTGATCCTCATCCAAAATGTATTGGGACAATACACGTGACCGCCCCAAGAACCCAATCACAAGTCGAGTCGGAGGAAAAATCACGTTTCTTTGTTGCAGATCAGCATCTCCACCCAGCTTTAGCTAGGTTGAGTGGTGTTGAGACTGAGTTCAGGTGAGCTTGAGCAAGTCTTGGGCTGAGCTCACGTGGGCTCGGCGTTAATTTTGCTGAGCGGTATCAAGGCTGAGCGGTATCAAGGCTGAGCGGTATCAAGGCTGAGCGGTATCAAGGCTGAGCGGTATCAAGGCTGAGCGTTAATTGGACTGAATCGGACTAAGGGGGACACTAGAACTTCAGGATTTTTACATATGTTTATGTCTCTCTACTTCAATTAATCAATTGTGGGAGTATCAGACTCGAGATTGAGATATTTTGACGTCCAGGAGACGAAGTTAATAGCAGGTAGGAACATTTGTTCACCAAGAGATGTTTTGGCAGGTAAATATAGCAGATTTGTGCAAACCCATCTCACGAGGCTCACCCGAGCTTACTGCGTTTACCGGGTCGATAAGTGATGCTTCAAATGAGCATTATCCCAAAGCTTATATTAAATGAATATTTTCCCCCAAATATTTATGTCTGAACAGCTACCACTGCGAATTTCCTGGGTCATGTGACCTCGCGTCACATGCATGACTCAGTCGGTAGACTAGTCCTAATTAGGCTTAGCAGATTTAGGGATCGCACGATACTGCGATCCCTACTTCTAGAATACAACAACTTCACCAACTTACGCACTTAGCATTCTGTGACAGCGGGATCAATGCAATGGTCGAAGGCTCAAAGTTCAAAGAATCTCATGTATTGGAAAATACTAAGCTGCAGAACAAAGTAGGGAGGATGCCTCGACCTTTAGTATTGTTCTGCCCAAGCAATTCCGGCCAGTCCTTGGCAGATCATGCCCTTATGCCAGCCGTCACACATTCCACGCATATTACGTGACGGTGCTACGCGTTACTGTTGAACCGACAATTTAATATTTAATATTGATTTCTTTTTCTTAATTTCGAGAAACGCGAAATATAAAAAATCTTTTAAAATTACGCAAAATTTAAATTATTTAAAAAAACTTAGAAAAATAATCCTAATTGCGCAAGCGTAGTCGGACGATCCTTACGCAATTGGCGGGTTTTTACGGGAGGCAAGCACGCACGTGATGCTAAGATTATGCCAAGAGGTCTACTACTAATGGTGGCAAATACAGGGGTGAGCTAGTAGGGCATTCTCATGCAACCGGACACCTTAGGCAGTAGCAGGGTCTCTTCGTTCATTTCATATCAACATTCATTTAAGATAGAACAAATTGACATCTAACTATTCCTTTGTGGGTTCAATATCGTTGACCATTCAGACTTTGAGCTTTCATCACCATCACCATCACCACCCCCACCCACTACTCTTCCTTTCGTGTTCTTTTTGGGAGCTTCGCTTTGCTGCTCTCCTTTCTTTGTCATCTCTGTGTTCCTTCTAGATAGAGGCTCGGTCAGCTATCTATATCTCTGGGGGTTTCAGTTTAAGGGTCAAAGAAAACCAAAAACATAATCATGCATCTGAGTCACATACCTTGGACGACACCTTTTCCACCAATCCATCAAAGGCCATCGCTTCCCTGCTACCCACAGGAGCGCTTACTCTCATTTCGCCAGCTCTTGTCTTTACACTATATCCGATTTGCTGCTCTGTTGCGTATCGATGCACCTCAGGGGCCTGGTAATGCGGATTCTGGTGTACTGGCCCCTGGTGTAAATCGGAAACATAAGAGCTTGGGCCTTGTGGTGGAGCAACAGTGTACTGAGTCGATAGCGGATTTGGTTCCTGATATTGCTGATACTGTTGTTGCTCATAACTATTTTCCTGTCCGCTTTGCGGCTGGGAATACGGCTGTGCTGAAGTGTAAGTTGCATATGGATGTTGTGCCTGCGAACTCAAAGGCGCTGGACCACTGCCCACAACTTCCGATGTTTGTGAAGTAGTGGAATCATAAACCACTCTCGGATCAGCAGCGGAAGACACCTGCTGAACTCCAGGTGGTGTTTGTTGATAAGCAACAGGAGCAATCTGAGCAACTCGTCTACTGCTACTGCGTCCCAGCGTAGGAAGCGCCTTCTTGTGGCTTTTACTTTGGCGTGGATTCGACTGGACGAGCATCGCGATTTCAGCAAGCTTTTGGGCGTGAAGGCTGTTTGGCGGTGATACAGCTTCAAATTGCCTACCATCAGAATTTTTGCTGAGATAAGTCACCCTGCCAGCTGTCCCTTCATCAGTTTCGGCCGAAATGACACTAAAATCGTCGCGTTGGCGAAAGGTTTGTTGGGATGTCATTTTGAATGTATGTGAAGGAGTTGGAAGAGATGGAAAGAGCTGAGAGAGTTTGATGAGGAGTTCGAATTGAAGTAATATTGCAAGTGAGATGCTACTCTAGGCAGTCTTGATGATATCGAGACAAAGACCGCAGCCTCGCGCTTGCCACCTCGCACCCCCACCATTTCAAGGCTTTATCATGAGATGTGATAGTGGCTTGGGATCCTGCATGTATGAGACAGTGAGATTTTCCAGGCAACAAAGAAAGTGAGGCTGGCATGTAATGCAGTACACTTCACCTTGCAGAAGGAAACTTGGAAGTGATCTGCAAATGAGGCTTTTCCACGGCGACTTCTACTGCACTTGCCCTGAATACTTCAGTAATTTGTCTTAAACCCCTTTAGGTTACATACTCGGCAGCTGGTCTTAAGGCACCTTTTCTTCCTTCCAGGATCTTTCTCTCTCATCTGATATTTCATTATTTCAGCGGGCATAATCGACATCACTTTCCATCACAGACGCCCCATCATTTACAGCACTCTCCTCCATTAAACATCGATCATCATGCCAGGAGAGTGGGATCTCGTCAAACGTAGCAATGGCCAAATCACATACACCAACAATGGCCAAATCACATACACCAGCCCAAACGCTGGAATGAACTCCGCCGGCCAGAAAGTTACGGTCGCAGTTACGGGCACCAAGTCTCGCATAATGTACCAGGGTGGGGAAGGAAGTCCGCATACCTTCAAGGCGATGGAGATTGCGGAGTTGATTGCAAGGAGGCGGTAGGGTAGGTGAGTTATCATCCAAGAAATATTTTAGGAGCGCTTGCTAAGTTATATCAGGCGATGGTACAAGAAAGACAAATGCGTTCGGTTGGAGAGCATATTTGGACGATGTAACTATCAATGAAGGTAAAGCACTTGATGGGCAAGCAACCACAACGCGCACTACTTTATTCAATGCGCCATACTCCGTATCTTTATTAGATTCATTGTCAAAATCTGGATGATGCTTGAGAAATGTAAATGCAACTTCAAATTCGAATCCATCATTTATCCAGCTGCCACGAGACCTCTTCACTTGTCGCTCTCTTCGAATTTTGCCTTGCACGCCATGTTTTCCTCCCTATTAAGCCCAATGCTTCCAAAGAATCCTCCACCTAGCTTTGCCTCTCTCTTCTCTCCTCTACTCATCCTTCCTCCAACCCTATTCCCTACGAAAATTTCCAAAAGCTCCCCTGCATATTCATCGTAACGTAATATGCATTATCCCTCACATATGAATTATATTTCCTAAATGCCTCCCCCCATGGTCTTCCAGTAAAGGTCATGACGCCGCCGTCGAGAAAGTAGGCATCGCATTTAAAGTCGTCGTAGGGGTTGTTCATGCCCAGGATGTCGCGGATTTTGCTGGTAAATCGGCGGAACCAGTCACGGATGCCCATTTTGGGTTTTTTAGAGGCAGATAGAGGAACCAATGCTGAGCGCGTTGGTGAAGTTAGAACGGGGTGTTTGATTGTGATTTGCTAAGGAAGTAGTAGATTGCTGTGCAGGTGCGACTTTGCAAGTAACGAGAAGATGGGACGATGAGAGGTTGACTGGAAATGAAGTTCAGAAAATCATCGCATGGCTATTACGGGCTCTGGGTGGGTTGCCTTCCAGTTTGAGAGTGTTCCGTGATGCGCGCCTGGATAAAAATGGCTGATAGGTTGCATAAGTCTCACAGCCAGCTTTTTAAAGAACCTTTAATTGGTATACTTGCTTATGCATACTTGACAAATGGCCAAATTCCGCCTTATAACATGCATGGTCCTTCGCCTGCAAAGTCCTCTGAACGCCTGCAAGCCGCTTGATATTAGTGCAGCTTCCCCCACACCAACCTATTGAGCGGCGCTAGCTCTCACCCCCAAAGCCACAATCTAATCACTGAAATCACTAAACTCCACAAACGCCCTGCTGCCTCCGCCAATTCCGCTGGAAATAGCCGGTGCAGCGTTTGCTCGAGCCATTCCACCCTGGAGGTAATATCGATTGGCTTGTGCCGCCAGAGCTGCATTTTGAAGCATCATTGAATGGATGTCGGTCCTTATGCGCTGTTCACCCAGGCCTCTGAGGTAGCCAATTGTGAACACGTTTGGTTAGGCAAGTGTCGTGAAGGGAGTGGGGAATGGAGAGTGGAAAATACTGGTTGATTGGCAGGCTCCCCCGTACAAGCGTTTGAGACCTCTCCAGAGACGAGGAAGGATCGGTCCGGAGCCTCCAAATACTGCGCACACGACTGCCGAAACGAGGGTAATGATGGTGATTGGGTCGGCCATTTTTGCGGAAACTTGCACAACGAAAGTTGGGAGTTTTTGAAAGGTGATTGGAGGGAAGATAATGATTCAGCTGGTTGTCTTCAATGATGTGAGCTGCAAACTGTGCTGAACATATGAGATTAATGCTTTTTATATGGTCGAGGAGCCTTCAGGATGTCGAAGAAAGGACTAATGTACGCATTGTGATTTAAAGAGTCATACAGGACCTGTGCTCAAACATACTTGGTTCGGAAAACAGCCTCGCTGCATCTTGTATCGTGGTCTCCTGCAAATATGCGGTGATCGGCTCTTAACGAAGTTATATTTGATGTGTTTTGAATACTTCAAGAAAAGGGGATTCTTAAGCTGGATAGGTTCAAAATCCTTCAAGTACAATATACCTACTCAGAGAAATCTACGTTATTCCTCTGCCTGCACTTGCAAGGGTACACGTTGCTTTGGAATACAACCAAGTCATATTTTTTCCCCACGCAATTTAATGAAATGTCTACGCCTTCAAACTATTGAGCATGGTTTGCGAAGATTCGGTTTGATAATCGGGCTGCAGGAGTGTATCTCAAGATACGTAAAAAGCAGCACAGAGATAAGTCTGGCATATGAGATAGGTTTGGCGTTGGCTCCCCACATCCTCATTTACACAATCTTGCAGGAGGGCTTGTCTTGTCTTACGTCTTCACTGAGGAAATTTTGGTTTTGGTGTGGGTGTGTAGTACGATTGGCGGCGGAGAGCCGCCTAGCTTTCGCCCGGTTTGTTTGGAGAAAGCAATTGAGACAGTTTAGCTGGTTGGCTATAATCCAATTATTACTGTGTGATAACTGCTGCATAGAAAGTGTCTCATACTCTGCAACCAGTATTGAAAGCGGCAGAAATGGTAGCCAATTGAGCAAGTTGCATATAAATTCTCGCCCAGCTTGCGTGGTGAAGGCTTTGCAGGGGAGGTTTTTTGACGTACCTTTGCCACACGAGTCACCTAGCCGCTGAATTACTGAATGATCACAGATGCCATGAAGGAGTGTTTTACTAGTACACGCACACATCGAAGAAGAGGCAGCAGTAGAAATTGCCACTTGACATATCATATCATGCGTGCTTCGACGAGATCCTGAAACCTAAAACTGGAATCTGGAATCTGGAATTAAGAAAGCGGGAAGAGGCTGCACGTGAACAAGGCGGCTTGCCGTGAAAGTCTCAGCCTTAAGGGTTCATTGATCATATTGTAAAATCATATTGTAATTAAGCTACATTGCGCTTGTGCTACCTTCAGCTTCCCGCCCCATTCGAGTTCGGAAGTACCAGCCAATTAACTGACGTTACGTGCCCACGTGAAGCGCCACCTCACCCCAGGCCGCTCGGCTCGGCTCGGCTCCTTACCTCGCGCCTAGGCGAAGGCAGCGCCGCTCACCCGACTGGCGGGTGCTAGGGTCAGGACGGAGCGGAGGGCGCACAAATCCGAATTCTTGGCATGCAAAGAGAGCAGATTTGTATAAACCAATATGGCGAGGCTGCTGCTTTTGAGCTGGGTGAGCACTCCTCCTCTAACACCCAACGACACCTAATATCGATTCCCTGTTCCCAAATTCAAAAACGCGAAATGCAAAAGTTTTCGGGGGTACGCATATACTCGTACTATCCCCTTTAACTAACCTTAATTATGTGAACGCAAGCCTCACCAGTCGAGGTCTAGGCCTGCGCGAGAGCGAACGGCTAATTTACTAAAATTAGGCTAGAGCATAAGGCCAAATTAACTCGTAGCCGCACCAACAACAATGGGATCAATGCCACAGTCCCAATACCTAACGTCCCTACCAGCAATATTCTGTCTCAATCTGCTCCGGCGTAACTCGTGGTGTTGGACTGTGGCCTTCCATCTGTCAGAACGCGTCACTGCATCCAGATGATCTGGGAGGTAGTTGATCCCCAGGTTGGTTACGGTCAATCTGCAAGAGATTGGGTCGCAATCATGCAAGTTCTGCATTCGACCGTCCTGTTATCTCGGGCCACAGCGTAAGGCTCGTAGCTGCTGTATCAGAGGAACGGCCACGTTTTTGGCTTGTTGAGGCTCATCTGGTTGCTCACCTCAGTGGGTGACTGCTGGCCCTGTTCATCGCCTGGTAGTTTTGGTTCGCGCAGCGTGCGTAGTTCAGTGAAGGCTGTGTGTGAACTTTGTGGTGGAGAGACTTGAGGACTTGTGACGAACTGCGATCTCAGAACTTGCAGGGATTGCTTCATGCTTCGTGTGGCGCTGTACACGGGGAAACCAAAATGACACCTGCTACTGGATTCATGAACATCCATGATTTTAACGTTCAGACACAAAGTTTCTGCTTACTCCACTACTATATGCGCTCAGGACCTGTTTCTACATAAACACTCCGTTTGTCTCCTGTCTTCATGGACAAGTACATGTTTCGTGGGCGCAAGGTTATTCCGAACCAAGGTCTCAGCGACCAGACTTTCCTGCCAGCTGATGGCTATTGGACACGCCCGTGATTTACCTCGCGAAACCCTTAGTATGGCATTCAAAGGCTGGCTCCACTCATCCAATGCATAGAGAAACCAGATGATTGTTAAATGGTTATACCAATTTTTGGTGGGTGTAGAGAAACCCTCACACTCTCATCTCAGAGGACACATTTGTTGAATGAGATCGTTCTGACCGCATGCCTGCTGGACAGAGAGCCTGTATGTTTGCTTTGCTAACTCAACCTGTTGGAAAGATGTGTACCCAGAGATCACTCCAAAGACGGTCGTGAGGATGGTGATTAAGACAGCAAGCCAAAAAGTCCACCACTGCATCGGGTTACGAGTATCCCTCCACATTTGTTGCACTCTAGAAGGGGGGGCATTGAAGGCGTCATACAATATGACAATTTTTCTCCGCCAAAAGTTGAAATCTCCCAAGTCCATGGTCCTGGGAAATGTCGGTTCAGCAAGGAAGAATGGATGAAGCTCTTGGCTGAGAAAATCTCGTGTCTGGTCGTGTCCAAAAGGGAACAGAAGATCGAGGGACTTCATGGTCTCCTCTAAGAGATCGTTTCCGTAGACATTGGTTGTCTCATAGTGTCTCGCGAGACAGAACTTGTGGGGATAGATCCGAATCGTCCCACCCGAACCATGATAATGCCAAAACCGCCACCAGCTTCTCGGCACTGGCGATTGATCGTAATGGAGGTGGTCAAACAAATTGTCGGTCCAGGCAATCTTGATCCCGCAGATGTGCATCAGGTTCATAGCATTGAAACCGGTGTCTAACCGGGCTTCTCGAGCGGTTGGGATAAATTTCGAGATTTGGAATTGCTGTCTGCAGAGGTCCGCGAGCGTGTTCTTAGGGCCCCAAACAGCATACTCAACGGCGCCCGACGTGGGCCCGTAAGGCGGTAGATCAACCATGCGAACCTCAATTGTCAGCCAGAGCTGAGCAGCAAGTGCCATCGAGTTCAGAACTTGCCGATCTGTCTGCTGCTTGTTCTGGAACACTTGCAACTGTTTTATCGACGTCAAAGCCTCCTCGCGTGGACTATCTCTTTTGTCTCCCAGCTCCTTGACGATAGCGACGAGCTCGTCGAAGGTACGAGCAGCAAATTTAGTCTCATCGACAACCCCATGAGGCCATTTGAGGTCGTTGATGTGATCATTGAAATATCTGAAGAAGTCCGCGAAATCGTTGGGCCGCCACGGTATTCCAGGCCAAAAGGCCGAAGCCAGAAATGCCTGTGTTGGTTCGTCAGGACGAACATTGAATAATTGGGAAACCGTTGACATGGTATCAGGTCCTTTTCATCAGATCACAGAGTCCGTTACACGTGGCGCGGCCTTGAAGAATCTTTGTAAACGCTTATTCCTGGCGTCGGGAACAACGTGCTGATATGTGTATTGCCATATTGGCGGCTGATGACTCTGTCAAAACGTGCGGTTCCCGAGCCTGAGGGATGGCATACAAAACCTCCAAATTCTGCCTGGCATACAGCCTTGAATTACAAAGCCAGTGGAAGATGACATGATGGTCATTGAGGCTGGGGGCTATGCAATCCGGGTACCGCAACAGCTGGCAGTTATGGTGTGGCTTTGCAGGCCTCACTCTAGTTGACCATACTCACAGCCACAACGCCCGAGAAGCGTGCTGTTGGCTCTAAAACTCGATGGTCTTCACGCAGTGAGATGCCCTTCTCCTGCAAACGACGACAAAGATGCAACTGTTAGCGGATGGTATGAATCGCTAGTCGCATCGCCGCCGATGATGGATTTTTCGCCCATTCGACGTGCAGAGGGCAACCACCAATCCTGAGTGTTTCCCTGGTGTCTCGAGGAAGCAGGCGAGATAAATGCGAGCGACTTCATGGAATGCTACTGACGAAGGTCTAATCGACCTTGTCTTCGCATCTGACAGGCATCTCAAGGATCTTCTAAATAGGAATGGCGATGCGCCTTTGGGGTGGAGAGGCAAACACACATACTACCATCATTTAGACGTCTCCATATTCTGCGACACCATGGAAATGCTCGAGGAGCCTACCCCATATCGAGAACAGCAATGCCCTCAATCGAAACACACGGTGTCAAATTTAGAAAAGTTGCCTACGATAAAGCACCTGCCGCCGTTGGGACCTCGTCCTCCGTCATCAAAAGCGTACACTGTGGAGGAACGAAATACTGGCCCTCATCCTGCCGGTCGATATGAGTCGGTCGAAAACTTTGAGCCTCCGGACCGGCCTGTTCCACTTTCAACAGATCAGTCACGAGATGTGTCTTCGAGCATCAAAGCTAATGGTGAGCATGGGCAAAAGAACGAGCTGGGGCTCACTTCAGAAACACAGTCCTTCAAATTACTCCACCAGGCCGATTCCCATGGCATCAAGGTTAGCCAAACAAACGGCACATCTCAGGATAAACGCAAAGTCCTGAATGGTTTGCCTATCTCTGCGGAGGGCACACCACAGCCGCCGCAATCTGCACCTCTGCCAAGTCCCTCGGTTATAAAATCTCTCCGCCAACGACTTACGGGAGTTCTAGGCAGTGCTCGCACAACTCCAGGAGCAAGCCAGAAAATTAAGCAATCTGTCACACAGAGACCATTTCAGGACGGTCTTGTACGGCAGATCGAAAAGAATTATTATGAGGCTTATACGGAGGTGGTGCATATATCGCTCGCAGAAAAATGGGACAAGAGCGTTCATCCGAAGCTTCAAAAAGCTGTCGAAGCTGTCGTTCGAGGAATTGGATTACAACCGCAAGAGATGTATGTGAATTTGGCTTTGTTAATGGTCGGACCAAAAGTGGGAGATATGTTGCATCTGTTGCCGACCATAGTCATTTCTTGCTGTCACAAAACGGCGAAAACGAAAATCGAGGACCTAGTCGATTCCAATCAACTCGATTATCTCGGCGAGTTTGCATGCCCCCACCTAGTGTGTTATAAAGAACGAGAGCCGAAGCGCAGAGACCGGTTCTTTGCTGACACAGACTCATGTGAGGAAGTGGAATCCTCTGGAGACGTCAGCCCATATGACTTGTCTTTCGAGAGACAAAGGTATATGAGCTTTGGTGTGGAGCAAACCACAGGGCGCAAATCCGCATGTGGCTTGCCAGTCCACTTTACCTATTCGGTTCCGAATGTGCATAATGACGAACTCGAACGTGGAACTTCTGATCGGGGACGCTGGATAGCTAGGATTGGTGGTGTTATTCAAATTGGAGGAAAGCCTTTTGCAATGACGACTGCGCATCCTTTTCTCTTACAATCATCTGGCGAAGGCAGCAAGGCCAGTATCGGCAGCGACGCGATAGTTGATGGATATTTGGATGTGAAATCCGACGAGCACGGAGACGAGGCAGACTACAAAGCCAACCTGGCCGCGAAAGGCATACATAACAATCCATCGGTGAGAATAGGAAGAGGTGCCTTTCGTGGATATTTTGCCTTCTGCGGCCATGGTAGAAGCTTTGATTGTCAGGACCAGATTTCACTGAAGGATTCCAATTCCGACTGGTGCATTTTGTCAATGGATTCGCTCAGAGGTTTGATCAACTGCTACCGTGTTGAGGACCTAAAAGGGGAAGCCGTTGAGTTTAATGTCGATAAGATACTAGGCCCTGGAGAAGTGGCGAGACCTGGTGTTGTCCACATTCTCGACAGCCCTGAGAAGCCCATGGCGGCCTACATGACGCAGACTACGGCTTCGATCTACTTTGGAGGGAACTCTCTGAATGTTCGCCGATTAATTTCCAAGGACCCATTGTCCGCCGGGCTCTCTGGTTGCTGGGTAGTTAGAGGTCAGCATCTTTTAGGTCATATCATTGGCGGCAATGAGTTTGAAAGGACATTGTACATGATTCCAGTTCAAGACACGAAGAATGCAATCGAACAGATCACAGGTGGGAGTCCGTCCCTGGAGTTAACAAGTAATCTGGTGTCGTCTAAGGAAGTAGTGCACCGCTTCAGAGATACTCAAACAGTTCATCGCAAATCTCCATTGCAGTCTGGACCAACGACGCACTTTGAGGCCCTCCGGACAGAATCGTACTACACAAACTTAAAGAATCCTCAATCTGATCAACGTGAATCTGCACCACGGTCAGTGGGAGGATCAAGAGCTGGAAATGTGTCTCTGCAGTCCCCAATCAGTTCAGAGGCGTTCACGAAACTCTCAGAAAGGTCTGCACCCGAAGACCCCGAACCTTTACCCCAGTCCGGTACGGGTCACAGTAACGTTTGGTACGAAGACCCTGAGAGTGGGGATACCTACCGAGACCATATAAACTCAAGCAAGTAGCCCCACACCGTTCATCTTGCCTTCAGATTGCTAATCTGTGACCAGAGGGTAGGACCATTCGCACATGGCGGAAGTTACCCAAGGAAGCCTCGCGGGCTGAATCGTAAGAACTGAGCTGACCGTCAGAGGCGGACGGCTAACAATGACTACCAGGTCTGCAACACCCCGAGCTCGACGTCAATCAGTGTTCGACCGCCTTGCCGACGAATATACGAGTCGCCGCCAGCGAGAGAAGTCTAGGGGCAGGGAAAGTAGTCGAGGAGATAGACGACCCTCGTACACGGAGAGTGTTCGACATCAGTCTTACCAAGAAGACAGCGACAGATATGCAGATGCGCAAGCCGGCACATACTTCGATTCCAGCTATCAATCTTCTACCAGCTATCGTCCTCGCCACTTAAGTCCGAGTCCATTTGATCCCGGGACAGGAGACTCGTTGGCAGAGAGCTTAGATGCATTACATGTCTCAGGCGGCGGACAATATACCCACTCCACAATAGCAGCTTCTCCCCCAAGAGATTGGCAGCCTCCAGTAGCGTCTAGTCGCCACGAAGAGACGCCCTTTCTCTTGTCAGATGTAGACCATTCTCAGCTGATTTATTCGAGCCACGATTATTATAAGGAACAATCTCCAGCTGCCACACAATCGCAAGAGCAAGGACTAAATCGAGTTATTAAAGGCACTCCCGACCTTGTGGCGAGGGACTCGTCATACAGGGTTTGGACCAGGGACTATAAACAATTCTTTAAAATTGGTCGGGTGTTTAGTATCCCGTGGGCGGATTATTCAGGCAAGAATCGACACTTTATTGTTGTTCGAGAAGGGGAAAGATTTATAAGCTGTTTGCCGGTCACGTCATATAGCAACAAGGGTATCGAGAAGAGTGGTATTCGTCTCGACGAGCATGGATTTATTTACAGCAAAAACAAGCCCGGGAAAGTTGAAGGAATGTGCTTAAGGCCTCTTAAGCTTATTCTGACTGCAGGTGCAAGCCATCTAAGGGATTCATCATTAGTCAATGTAAGGCATATTCTCGTACTGTTTTGCGATTCTTGGAGTCCACAGCATGGGAGCTTCTTCCAACTAAAGAAATCCGGAAGAGTAGTCTTCTTCTGTATCGACGTGACAGCCTGTCGGCCAACATCACCTCTCCAGTTCTCTTCTTATTTCAGCGCTAATTTGCTGGGCAGTATGGCGAAGTGTATAATATAGAGACGATTGTGATGGCCAAGAGTGTTGGCACCTTAGATGGCGACTCTGCAGCCATTCTACTTCGCTACTGTCGAAGGATTTACAGCGGAATCGAAGATCCAGGTGGGGCCACGCCCAGAGCAAGCGAAGCAGTCCTGTCTGGGGTTGGGGAGGCACTCAACAGCTATCCCGCTGCCTTTCCAGCTGCCTCATATATTCCTGCAACTTCCTCAGAATCCAGATCCATCTCAGCTTCCCCCATGACTGGCTACCCACCAGCAGCATCGACAAGTTATTATGGGCCACCTAGTGACCTTGAGGCGCTTGACGGACGATCGGCGTACGATCCCCCCAGTTCGCAGCATGAACCTTCTCCCTCGGTGTCTTCTTATCAGCTTGCCTCCAGCTCATATGGAATGGACTCCGCTCTCCATCCACAAAATAGTACATACGCCGCTCCGTCCATGCATTCGCAAACCCAGTACGTTGACGCTCCAAGAGTAGACTCCCCACAAGAATTCAGACACAATTCCGGAAATATAATGGATACATCTCACCAATCCTCAATCTACCAGCCACCGGCATCGAGTTACCCTCATACTGGCGGTGGCGCTTACCGCTATGGGCAGCCGATTAGTGGATATGGCCAACCTTCTGAAGAATATTCACCACAGAGTGGATATACTGCCCCTCAGTACCTTGAGCCTGCGGACTCTTCAAGCGTATACTATGATGATGATATTGACCTCGTGATTTCTGATCCTCCTCGAGAAGCAACCATCGCCAAAAGATGGCGTGAAAGCAAGTCCGATTGACGCCGACATTAGGCGTCCTTTACTCGGTCGTTGCCTCTCCGTCGCCTCTACTCATTCACAATTCCCTTTCTATCAGTTCTACTCACCTAATATATATGTTTCCAATATCGACCTACGTTTGGGACTGCTTCATGTCAAACCTTGCCCATCTTTTCTGGGAATCCTCACCGTTGACCCTTCAACCTCGAGGTTGTCCTACCGCCCGAAGAGCTCTGGTCTATCAACCTATATTTCGCCCTCTGCGGCGTGCCACTGCCCCTACTCTCTGGGTATCTCTTGTCTGTTGGAATCTGTTCGGTCTCTACTGCGGTATCCGCTGTGTTATGTTCGATGCAATGTTTTTAGATTGAGTTATTGCTATGTGTTTGAGTACGGTTTTAGATAGTTCTTTCTCTTTTCTTTGCGCTGCATCTTTGTTGGCATACATACTTACTTCACAGCACATACAATTGTAGTACAGGGTAATGCATAGTAATTGCACCCGGCTACCACGACCACAGTTATGTCAATCGAAACACTTTGAAATCCTTAAAACTTCTCTTTATTTACTTGGACATAGAGTTTATATACTGCATTCGTTTTTACAGTATGCTTGCTTCTAGGTAATTTTGATCGTTGCGATACTCGTTGAAGCGTTGGTGCAGAATTGTACGGACTGTGATAGGGGAGGCGCTCCTTAGGGCTATATAAAACACTACAGAGAACTAAAACGCATAACACACCTCCCCAATATTATTCTGCTAGAGGGTTGAAGGCCACTCTATTCTAATAAATTCCTAGCCACTCATTCTCTCCGACGTTGAAGCAGCTAAAGTTAGCAGAATTACCCTCTCCTGATGCGGGCCACCCCGCTCTTTCTAATTCCGCTACCTACTTTTCTTTCTCCCTCTTCTCTCTGTACTGCTTTCTCTCCACATGGCCTGAGGAAAATGCATACAATGAGTTGTCGGATAATTTTGTGCCTCAAATGAGCTGCCTTCACAAGCAGTGTGAGAAATGAATAGATTAAATTAGATTAATGGCTATTAATCTAATCTATTCATGAAATATTCTCATTAATCATATTCTATTCACGAATTAATTAAGCTAATCATGAATATTCATGATTAGTTATTCTAATCGAATCAAATTTCTAAGTATTACGTTAATCATATTCTAATTAACTTATTTATGAATAGTCATAATTAATTTGATTAATGTAATTAATTTTTCGCACACTGTTCACAAGTACCAGCCCTCGTCTCTGCACCCTGTCTCTGCACCCCCTGGGAGGAGTGGTGCTAATGTGAATATAATTGACCGATAAGGGTTACATGGAGAGCGAGGGCCGCACGTATGTGCACGTTGCAAAGATGGGATTAGAGAAATTGGATGAATATGCCGATCAATGACGAACTGTGACGAACTCCCGTTTACGGGAACATTGTTAAAAAGATCCCTGGATTCAATGTGTCTCACAAGTTCCTTCGCTTCTGTTGTCTGTTTGGTATTTCGTATCTGCTTCTGTAATCTCCAAGTTTTACAAGTATTTACAGAGAGGTCAGTATCCCCTCCTCGAGCTTCTTTTCCAAAATTCCCTACAGTCCGCGCTTCCACAATGCCACTTCTCGAGTTTCAATGACCTTTGTGCACCGTCGTTCTTTCCCAGTCGAACTTTCAGAAGCCCATATAACGCTATCGCTTTAATGCATACCTTGACGGCTGCCCATGCCTACACCACTGCTATCACCGACTAAAGTATGCCCGAAGACAATCGTAAGCAAAAGTACTATAACGGCAATGTAAAAGGTATACCACTGTACTCTATTTCGATTATTATACTACTACTGAGATATGGTATGCAGTTCCCGATCGTCAAATGCTTGTTTCACTATGGTCAAGCGATCTCTCCAATACCTAGAGTTTTCTCTTCTTCGAACATGAGGACTCAATGACCACAGCGTTTAGCTGCATGGTCCATAGCCTGTGAGCCACTGACCACAAAACTGGAATGTGTGGCATATGACCCGCCCGATAAAGAACATTCTAGCAAGAGTGGAAGAATGGAGTGTAATCCACGATAGTATATAAGTACAGAACTCCCTACACCTCTCTTCTAGCTCAGTTAATAGAAACATATATAAAAGAGAAATGATGTTTATTAACGTAGTAGCTGTTTCTAAAAGCAAGTGGGCTTTATTATAAATAGTAGCTATATAAAATGTTAAATAAAATTCCGATAACAAAAACCTTTCCACATAGCGAGGGTTGAACTAGTAAGCGGAACATCAGAAGTTATAGCACGAAAGCCAGGTGGTAACTAAAGTAGGTTCTAGCCGTTCTATATAAACTAAGGCCCGCTAATACCCAATCCTTTAGTCTCTTTTACCACCTACTTCTTGACAAGATATAGGCAAGGGTGGGATCCCAGTTTTATCTACCTTAACACGACCAATGTTTGTGATCAAAATCGAGCTTGTCAAACGATACTTCAGCGTCAGCGCCATATTTGACACAAAAAATTCTCCGCCGATTTGCGCACTCCTGCTCACTGGGCATACGATACTTCATTATCACTCAGTAGTCGGCATGTACCAAAATGGATTGCCTGGGTGCGATATCTATAGAATCTCTACAAGAAAAAAGCCAAAGCTTGAAGAACACAATGCGCTGCTTTGCTTATGAACCTTGTCCGGTCGACTTATATTGTGTGGGCAGAGGCAAGAAGCGCTCGGACAGATTCTCAAAGCTCACCCGGAAGTCTTCCGACCCTGGGACTGCTCTTTGGATTGCTTGGCCCGGGTCCTCCACCGGGGTACTCGTTGAAAGCTTCGTTGACGCTGTATGTATACTCATGGGTATAGGAAGGCTGGCACATTCCATATCCGCTCACAAAGTCACTACGACCTGTTGGACCATGAGAAGAAGCGCAATATGCATACAACAAGTACGAACAGCATTCATTTCCATCCGGATCTGGGACGTGGACGCGATCTGTCGAACCGGAAGTACCCGTATACAGCACTGCACCGAGCGGGTTGGAGCTGTAGGATGCACCGGGTTGGATAGTGTTGGAAGTCCACATGGAGCTCACAGAAGTGGAAAGATCTAGAATAGCTGCCTGGCGAAGATTTTCGGTCCAATTAGGTTCAGATGCTGAAGATCTGTAATCACAGAAGAGGTCATACTGGCGATTGTTGCAAATGCATCTGTAGTGGTTGTCTGTTCCAAAATTGACGTAGACTTGATTACACGTTGGCTGTGTTGTGATGGCTCTGCGGGCAAGGGCCTCTTTCTTGTCTCTTGTCGATTTGACAGAACCGGACCGACGCTGGTTCTGGTTTAAAGCAGCTTCAAACTCATCCAGTGAAGCTGGATCTGGGGTAATAGAGGTATCGACCACAGCACCTGGTGCTTCAGTGAAAGAGCTCTGAGCACCGCTGAGGCATTCTTCAAAGCTCGCTTGCCACGAGTCTATCAACATGTGAGTCAGTATGTATCTGCAAAAGGATCGTTACTCTGAGCATCATTAGGCATACATGTGAAACTTTAAAGTCTCTAGTTATGACCAGGAGGACAGACCTTTCAATTGAAATAAGGAGAGGCGGCTTACCATTGTCCGTGTAGGCACCAGTCAAGGCCCAGTAAATTGGCTGTTGGTCTGAATCCATATCAGTTCGGGCAAGTACCCCCGAGATGGTGTTATCATCCAATCCGAAATCCATCATAACATCAAGCGCGTCGGCGGCTATGCTGTAAGTGGGAGATAGCCAGCCTTCTCCGACGTTCTGGGGCCAGAGGACTGACAACGCACAGTCGGCGTAAGAATTGATGGGTGTCCAAGTGTCGTGAAGAATTTGGAAGGTGGAATTGTCAGAGCCTTGTAATCGCGCGCGCAGCGCAAGGCAATCTGTGACGAATGGCGAGTCGCAGGCACCAGTATTGCTGGAGAAAGCAGTAGGTACGAGTTGTCCATGCGCAAGTGTAGCCAGAAGAAGGAGTGAAAAGGAGCGGGCTGTCATTTTGGCGATATTCGCGATGACAGAAGTAGATCTGGGGGTAGATAGCAGGCTGAGGCTACTGTACAAGAATGTCTTTGACAAGGGCTCTCGAATTTTCATAACCTTTGACAATACTCGATTTTAAAGGCATGATGGAGGTTTTAAATACGTGTCTATAGCCTTGTGTTCCGCAAGGGGAGGCCTAGCCTTTTGATATTTTTGTGCAGACTGCTGCTTACAGAGTAGCCAAAAAAAAAAGTTTTATATAAAACACACTTTGACAACCACTCATTCCTTCAAGCTAACATCTGGTTGGATGAAAAAAGGGCCAGGCCTAGCTGTATTGTGATATATTAATAGACGTTGGGGCGAAGGATTATGAGTCCATGCGGGCATTGGTCGCATTTCTGGACTGCGATATTCAGCCACAACCAAAGATCCTCGAGCCTCATTTTGGTCAGGAACTTGGGCGCCTACAGAAACCCTTGGCAAAGCCGTCCATTCACCGCACATCACCATGGGGAGCACTTTCTACTGCAGAGCTTCATCTGTTACTATTTCTAGCACTTCCATATAAAAAGCCGCTTCATGACCAAACCCAAAGAAAATTCGTCTTTTCATCTCCATGATATTAGTTCTTTCCACTCGAAATACCATCTCACTCTTTATCCATCCATCGATAATCTAAGTAGTGAACTCGAAGCACTTCTTCAAAATCGGGAGATCAACGGAATATAGCTTCGTCGAATACCACTCTGTAGCAAACGCCACTAAATCAAACACAAACTCGCTATCGATCGCCAACCCATTCTTACACGTCGTACCGTTCGTCAAGGCTTCGTATCCAGTCAGATCCAAGCCCTCAGCAGCAGTCAAGATGAAGTCATTCGTGAAACCTGGGCTGGCGGTCAAGCCGGTGGAAAGGTCGATCAGGCCGCCGAAAATACTGATCGCGATCTCGACGGTCAGGGAAGCGGTAGGATTGAGCTGTGCTTCAGCTATGCCTGAGATGTTGGCACTGGCGTTGTAGGTTGGGACCCAGCCTGAGGTAGCGGTGTTGGACTTGTCGAGGAGATCGACGTGCACATTTCCGTCTGCGAGACCAACTTGGACCTCGGTGGTCAGGGTTGTTTTTGCTGAGGCATAGACTTCGGCATCGACGGCGAAGATGAGCTCGGGGCCGAGAGTGAGGATGCCAGGGACGGTGAGGCCGTAGAAGAGAGAAGTTGGTGAGTATTTGAAGGTGTTGTTGTAGGAGGCTGCAATATCGGCCGTGAGCTCAAGGGTCGAGCTGAAGCCGACATCGATGTCGAAGTACAAGTCGCTCAAGCTGAACGTGAGCCAGTTGTACTTGAGGTAACCGGAAAAGGTTACGTTTGAGGCAAAGGATGCCTTATCAGCAGTTACGGTAAGGTAAGGTGAGTTCGAGTAGAGGGTAGTATCAGCAGGCAAAGCGATGGCAGTGTTGAGAGAGTAGGTTGGGTCCAGAGTGGTCGTGAAGGCGCGTTTGGCAAGATCAGTGGTGGGGATATTGCCAAATGAGATTTCGGTGGCAGCTAATTGTTGTCAGTATAATTCCCAGTTCTGCTCGAGACAGACTTACCAGCAGTGCTGGAGATGTTGGCCTTCATGGAGCTAGCAGTGGCGGTCAGAGTCGTATTGTCGAAGCTCAAACTGCTTGAAAGAAAGAAGCTTCTCTCCAAAACAGGGTCACAATCTCCCAAATGGTTCGTGACGAACACCATAGTTCCATCGGCAATCCAAGCAGCTTGCGTAGTTGCAAACACAATCGAGTTGTTGAAAGTCATAGCCACCGAGGTATCTGAGCAGTCTACACTGATGATCGAGGCAATTTGTTCAAGAATAATCGTTGGGTACTTCATCGTATGGCTGATATTGACGCTCGCTGAAGCATTGAGGTTGGATCCATAGTAAAGCGACACATTGGCTTGAGGAACGACATGAGTAATATCGTGGCGATCGATCCCCGGCGCAAAAATAGGAGAAAACAGATTCGTGCTGTTTGCTGAAGTGAGGGGCACTGTGGTAGTATTCACAACTGGCGCTACAATTGGCGCATCAACGGCCTCGACAGGGTGAAAAGTACATGTCTCTTCATCCGCAAGAACAGACGCAGCAGCCACAATGGCTACAAGACCAGAGCTGTACTTCATCCTGAGGAATTAATATATTAAGAGAGGAAAATTAAGTATGCAAAAAGAATGACTGGGAACGAGAGTTCTACAGAAGGAAACTCCCCATGAGCCGGGAGGAGGGAACGTCTTTGTACTCCCCTCTGGAATCACGACATTGAAGTGGATCAAATCGTGCGATGTCTTGCTTCGATACCGACAGAGATTCCTCCAAGCTCTTTCGAGCTCGCAACTCCGAAGCCCACCCCCGTCCACAAGCAGAGAAGCCATCTTCTTTTAACTATTTCGAGAGCTCGTATGGCTGATTCCGAGTTCGAATCAACTCGGATTCGATGCGTTGAGCAACATGCCCACCCCACTTCTGCAAACCATCAGCGTGCGTGAACCTCATCTCGCATTTGGTCCCCTTACCTCGTCACTCTCTGCGGTCGCCCGATAAGGTTCAGGAACCTGCGGACAGTGCGGAGAGTTTATGAGATGGGTGGCTCCCCTTTACCGGGGGGCTATGGCGCATCTGACCGGCCCCACTCGGAGCGAACCCTCGGGTCATGCCAAAAGAAGCTCTATAATCGAGCTGTTAAGGGGAAGTGGAAACGGTTGGTGTCCAAAAAGAGAGCGACACCGACCCGCCGAGAAGAAGCCGCCCGGCAAAGCTCCCGAAGAGCTCGGTCCATGCCCTGGGCCCTTCTTACACACGTCCTCGGACGTTACAACGTGCTCCCATAGTCAGCAGTCTTTAAATTCAATAGATTTTGGCTTGTGAGGGTTCATCCTTTCTGCACGGCAATCCGATGGAGGGGTTGATGACAATAAAGAATATGTAACATGTGAATCTTTCACTTTTTGCATTTCGTCATGAGTGTCAGATGAAGAACGGGGAGAGGAGAAGATTAGGAAACATGCGCGTCACGGGGGCTGAGTCCCGGGGTATGTATCAAAATATGCAGTCGGATATATTGTCAAGATATTTTCGTCCCGAATTTACATCCAAGCTCAGTGACACCTATGCACGCTAAAGAACAGCAAAAACAAATTCCAAAAGGACAAAGGGAAAGTTTACACAGCTTCCAGGGTATTCAAGGGCACGTAGCCGTCTTCCTCCTTTCTCCTTCTGCCCGTGACAGCCCTGGCGATATCTGTGGCTTTGCCTACGAGTCCACCTAGACCCCATCCCTTGCCTCTTCTTCTGAGTTGGCCGTTCTCCGATGCCAACGCGTCGTCCATCCATCGTGGCCGTTTCCAAAATTTCAGGAGTAGACTGCTCGCCACAACACTGACGCTGCTACCTGCCATGGCAGCCCCTGCAGCCATAGGATGAAGATGCCAGCCAAAGGGCAAGAAGAAGCCCATTGCGAATGGAAGGCCAATGATGTTGTACCCACAAGCCCAACCAAGATTGAGCTTTATACGACCAAAGATATCACGGGCTAGTTGGATGGAAGCTGGGATATCCATAAGATCGTTTGGCCTCATCAATACGATATCGGCAGCTTCCATAGCGACGTCTGTGCCCGAGGCCATGGCAATGCCTACATCGGCAGTCGCCAAAGCTGGCGAGTCGTTGATGCCGTCACCAACCATTGCGACGCATTCTCCCTGACTTTGGAGCTTACGAATAATGTCTTGCTTTTGATCCGGTGTTACGCCGGCATGGACATTCTTCGAGGGAATGCCGACAATGCGTGCAACGGCGAGAGCGGCGGGCCGTTGGTCGCCGGTCACGATTGCAGTTTTGATTTTCATCTGGTGGAGAGCAGCGATGGCCGCACGGGCGCTGTCCTTGACGGTATCTGCGAGGCACAGATGTCCGGTGAACGCTCCGTCAATGGCGATGAAGATGTTTGTGGTCCCTGCCGATGCAGCTTTGGAGGATCCGGCTGCTTTGGTATTTGCTTCTTCCGAAGCATCGATTGATTCTTGAGGTACCGTGATGTTGTTGTCTCGAAGGAACTTGACACTCCCGATCAAGATGCGGTATCGTGCTTGCTCGGCGCTTGAAGCAGGCTCGACGAGAGCGTTGATGCCCTTGCCCACAACAGCTTCAAAATCGCCAATGCTGCCGTCAATGGTGCCTTCAATACCGAGACCCAATTCTTCCTTTGCAGCAGCCAAGATAGCTTTTCCGATTGGATGCTCACTGCCCATTTCAGCGAGACCGAGAATTGTCCACCACAGCTTCCTTCGCCACTCGTTGTTTTGCCAGGTAGGTACAAGATTGGAGCTAGCCACGCTCATCTTCCCGACGGTCAGGGTGCCAGTCTTGTCGAGTACGACTTGGGTAACTTTGGTGGTTGTCTCCAATGCAGCACCACCTTTCACCAAAATGCCATTCTCGGCACCAACTCCAGTTCCAACCATAACAGCGGTAGGGGTGGCAAGACCAAGAGCACAAGGGCAAGCAAAGACGATGACTGATATACATAGCTTCACACAGACCATGAACTTCCCACCACTCGCCTGGTCAATGAAGATCTTTGGCGGATGAGTAAGAACGTGACTGAGAACCATCCAGGTTGCGAAAGTCAGAAACCCAAGGAGAAGAATTGTCGGGACAAAATACCCGGCGATCGTATCGGCCAGTCGTTGAATCGGAGCTCTGGTGGTTTGCGCATCTTGGACAAGCTTGACGATTTGACTGAGTTGTGTGTCTCTGCCGGCTCGTGTAACGCGGAAGTCCACGCGGCCAGTACCATTAACAGTACCTCCAATTAGGAGACTGCCTTTCCGTTTTTGAACTGGCATCGCTTCTCCAGTGACCATGCTCTCATCGACGTAGGTCTCCCCTCGAGTGACAGTGCCATCAGCGGGGATTTTGTCACCAGGTCTCAGGATGACAATATCACCAACTTGAATGAGCTCAGTGGGGATGACCTTCTCCTCTGCTGCATTGCCTTCTTGGGTAGACTCCAACTTTGGTTCGTTTCCTGAGCCAATTGCCACTTCCCACCCTTCCGCGGCCTTGTCAGCCGCGATCGGATCAGCGTAAATGGTAGCCATAGATGGAGCAAGTGACATTAGTCTTGACAATGCCTTTGAGGTCTGTCCCTTCGCGCGATTCTCAAGGAAGCGTCCAAGAGTGATGAAGGTGATGAGCATACTGCTCGTATCGAAGATAGTGCTGGGCCGAGTGTGAGGAGGAGCTAGGACGGAGACAATCATTGCCGCAACGCTGAAGAAGAATGCCGCAGATGTTCCGAGCACGACGAGAACATCCATGGTTGGCGACCCATGTTTCATAGAATTATATGCAGAGATGTAGAAACGCTTGCCAATACCGAATTGGACGGGTATCGTAAGTAGCAAACAAACAATGTCGCCGAGGTAGAGACCTTCAAAGACAACAACCAAACTCCCAAAATCGAGCGCCGGTAACATCATCGGGATGACCATGCTGATGAGGAAAACTGGAATGGCAAAGCCAAGAGAGGTTTTGAACGCTCTACGCCACTCTGTGATTTCTTTCGTCTTAGACAATGACTCCAGTTGGGCATTGTTGTCATCATTGTCGGCGACAAGGGCATTATATCCCTGGGCTTCAATGAGCTCAACAAGAGCTCTTAGTCCAGCGATGTTAGGTTGGTGGGAGATGTTTAGTCGCGATGTTGACAGACTAATAGTTGCTGAGTTGACACCAGGCATCGACTTCAACTTCTCTTCCAGTGCTGTGGCGGCAGCTGCATCTCTTACTCCAAAGACCTTGAACATGGCCACTGCGGCTGTTGAGTTTTGACTTAAGCTCCCCAGTTGCGTAGAGAGAATCTTAGCGTCAAATCCTCTGTCCTCGATGATCTCAGCAATCTGCTCGGGCGTTAATTTCGAGCGGTCGTGGACGACGATTGCTCGCTCAGCCAAGAGGCTGATGTTGAACTGGATCAGGCCGTCCAGACTTTGTGGGAATCCTCCTTCAACCGCTGAAGTGCACGCCCCACAGGTCATTCCACCAACAGCAACAGTGGTCGTTGCCACTTTTTCTCTCTTCCCAACACTGGTCCGCCGTGACTTCAGACTGCGGGAAGGTGCTGCGATGCTGCTTTCCACAATTGTTGCCCCGAAGCCTCGATCCTCAATAATTTCAGCGATCTTCTCAGCACTCAGGAGAGACGCATCATGCTCCACTACCGCTCTTTCTGACAACAGCGATATGCTGAAGTGCTTGAGTCCAGCGATATCTTTGAATCCTCCTTCGACCGCAGATGTACACGCTCCGCATGTCATACCCTCCACAGCTAATGTTGTTGTTGTAAAAAGCTCCTCCACCTCCTCCTCCTCCTCTTCCGTTCCGTCCTCGTTTTCATCGTATAAATAGCCCCTTCTGTTGAACATTGGCGAGGGGAGATCTGTGGCTAGTACCTCCGCTTCAAAGCCTCGATCCTCGATAATTTCTTGTATTCTCTCTGCCGCAATCTTTTGAGGATCATGAATCACCACGGCCCTCTCCATAACCAGACTGACCGACACATTCCCGACCCCGTCTTCCCCTTTGAAGCCTGCCTCCACCGCGGACGTGCAGGCTCCGCAGGTCATGCCGCCAACCTTCAGGGTCGTTGTGGCCATATGCGCTGTCGGTGTTTGCAGCATAGGCTTCGAGGTTGGACTTCGGGGGGCGACTTTTAATTTTGAAGGCGCCATCGTGAATGTACTCGATACTGCACACGGCAGTCTGCTGGGCGTGAGTGGGAGGGCTCTTGGAACAATTTATCACCCAGCCAATTCGTAATCCGTATTGACTAAATAGCCGTCAGCATGTCACTTGTCCGTAGAATGAGCACGAGTGGCGAATAAGCACACCTCCGCTCTGTCGGCAGCCAGTACTGACAGGTATGCACAATAATTAAGTAGCGATCAGAAGGCCAGCTCCTGGTTCTGGGTTGAGGTGATTGTTCTTTGTCATCAACAGATTCGGAAATCACGGCTGCAAGCCACGAAGTTCTAATTTCGGAGTCCGAGATACGTGATTTGCGGCCGCTGAGACAATCACTCAACACTCAAGAAAAGAAAATTGGAGATAGGTATATCGTCGTAGGTGGAGGATGTTGAGAGAGCGCGAACATCAGGAAAGAGTTCTTCGAGAGCGTTATGTACAAATTGAGCGGGTACAGGGTTGAAGAAGTGACGGCTGGGATGATTTCGAGGGCTTTTTGAACAGGGGTAACGTCTAACGGCACGCCCAGTCAAGGACTATGCTCCGCCAGCCCAGGTCAAGGTCCCAAATGGCAGTCAAAGCGTTCTCCTGAGAGGGTTGAAGCCTTGAAGCGTTCCCTTCCGAACCGATGGCTCGAAATCCCCAAGTCGAGAAGGCAGTAAAAGCTTCTATCGCATGTCGGCACTTGGCATCCTCATTCCATTCCTACAGGCAGATGTAAGAGAGGTTGTAAGATCCAAAGAATCAATGGCCAGAAGGTCCTGATCTCAGGAGTCCAGGACCTGCAGTATCGGGAACACAGGCGTGGGGCGTGACAGGCTCTAGCCACGCACGCCACGCTCGCTGGCTGATACAGCACAATCACGGCTAGTGAAATCGCTTATCAGATCTCAAACTCGCTCTGATACGACCACAGCTCCAGCTCCCCAGCTCCAACCTGTTTCACGCCTCGCAGTGGAAACAGCCTCGTGCCATCTTTCTTCCGGACAAATTCGGGAGAAGGCTTCCTTTCAGGATCCAGATCCGCCGGCACAGCTTTCCCAAACATCGGCTGCGGTTGGCCGTTTTATCCCCAAGCTTCCCCAAAACATTCTCCAGGCAGCGAATCACAAGCTCTGTTGATCTTCTCCCACAACCTTCACGATGGAGCAGACCAAAGCTCTGAACGCCCTGGAAGTAAGTCAAACTCTAACATCAGACTGTTTAAATATATTGATCTATTTACAGCCCTTCATCGCCCTCACGAAATCGGCATCTTCACCCCGCGCCGCGGCAGACCTCATCACACGAGCTACCTCCGCACCTAATACCTTCGTCTTCGCCGAGCTACTCTCCGCCCCTCAAATCCAAGCTCTCTCCTCCTCGGAAGAATACAGCTCCCACCTCACGCTCCTCAAGATCTTCAGCTATGGGACCTACGCCGACTACAAGTCCACCGGCTCCCTGCCCGAGCTCAACGAAGCACAAACGCTCAAGCTGCGCCAACTCTCCTTCCTCTCCCTAGCCAAGAAGCCCGCCGACTTAACATACGCGAACCTCCTGAAAGCCCTTGGTCTGGAGACTCCTAGAGAGCTTGAAGACCTTGTGATTGCGGCAATTTATGGCGGATTGGTAAACGCAACTTTGGATCCATATAACCAGCTTGTCGCCGTCTCCTCTGTCTCTCCGCTGCGAGATCTCCAGCCAAACTCCATCCCCGCTATGCTCAGCACACTGAACGAATGGTCCACCCGTTGTGTCTCCACCCTCGCGGATTTAGAAAAGCAGATTACGAAAATCAAGGCAGAGGCGCTGAAGCGACATAAAGAGGAGACGGAGTGGGCAGCACACGTCGAGAAGCTGATGGAGGGTAAGGATAAGGATAAGGAGGAGAAGGGTGGCAGCGTATTTAGCGGGATGGGTAGGAAGTTGGGAGGTGGGGCTGCGTCGAAGAGGGGTATGGATGGTGAGGATGAGGATAATATGGAGTTGGATGATGAGGATGTTGACGATGAGCGGCAGACGAGATCCGCGAAGAAGAACAAGGCGCTCAAGAACTTGGCGGGATCGTTTGGGAGCTTCGGAAAATAGGTAGCTTTGGCTGCTAGGCGTCATGAGTGATGAGACTACGATGAGCATTTTACTGGGCGTTTCCGAGGCAGAGAATCTGACCAGCATTTGAAAAGCAAGCACATGAAGAGAACTGGTCTTTAGAGATCATTAGAAGGGTATTGCATTAGGTTGCTACCAGAATGACAAGTCGTAAAGCAGCCTTGCTTAGAAAAGCAAGCCTGAAGATCGTAATCATCGGAACGCCGTGTGCCTCAAATTCCCGCCCTGTTGTACAAATGCACAGGTATATAGTGCTCCCCAACTCCGGATCATTGTCCAGGCAAAGCACTGTCCATTGAAGAAACCTTCCCTAATTGCAATGCTGAATGTACCGCTGAATGTCGTACTATTAAAGTCTTTTCCCTGGCACGAAGACGAAGAGAACCACCAGACAGGCATCGATGAAAATCGTGACTCCTAGAACCATAATCGCTCGCTTATTCAGAAGCTTGCGGACGAATGGTTCTCGGATCCGGTTGAAGTTCATGAAGGTATACTCGCTGAATCCAAGCAGGGCAAGGATGGGATCTAGGGAGTACTGCTGAGAGCAGAGAGCATAAACACCGATTGTGAATGGGAGAATGAGCTGTAAATGTTAGTGAGTTATCACCAAGGTTAAATTGGAGGACTTACCCAGAGTCTTGTGCGTCGACCATAATCAAGGAAAACGAGGATAAAAGCAACCCAGAAGGCAGCGAACATGGAGAGCAAGCCGATGACTAACCTCATCAAAACTGAGGGTGGGACGAGGTTGCCCAGAGCCTTTGCTCGGAGGAAGCCTGGGAATGCGTCACGCTCCATTGCTTGGAAGACATAGTCTTTCGCAGCATCGAACAGTTCCGGATCATCTCGACCTTGCTCTTCGATACCGGCTGTGATCTCGTGGGTTATAGCGTGGGGGAGCTGAATTTCGCGTTCGGCGCCAGGAAGGAGGTAGGTATAGAGGATCTTTTCAGCTGATGCCCGAATATCTGCTCGAGCAACAGTGTGTTCTGGAGAGTTGGAATCAGAGGTAGTGAGGACATGAGGGCTGCTCATGAAACTAGGTCGTGGCCGATCATTTGATGAGGTTTGTCTCATGTTGTTGGATCCAGTACTGCCAGCAGGAGAGTGACCAGTGTTCGCAGCGTGTTGTGCTTCTTGTCGAAGATACGCAGACATCTGTGCATCCTGATTTTTCTCCTTGTCTGACGGGTATATCGATGGTCCTCCATGATTCAAATCGCCCAACCCCTCCAACATAGCCGATGATCTCTTCGAAGCTGATTTATCTCCATCTGGCGTCCCAATCATCACCGATCTTCGTAACTCTCGTACGTAGTGCCGGCACATGGACATGTGTTGAGCGACATCGAGCCTTTAGTGTCAGTCAGTATGGTTGTCTTGTAATTTACGAAAGCCACGCCATCTCACCAGAAATCCAGATAGTCAACCGATCTTTGCTGATCGCGCATGTAAATGTAGAAGTAGAACAGGTCAACCGGTGCGAGCGTCCGCCGGCTCAGAACCTCGAAAAGGGATGGAAGCCTGTTCCTATGAAGATCTGGTTGCGGCGAGGGGGTGTTGTGATCCGCCATCTTGCACGACTGTGTGTCCTGTTGGACTGTGTATGATTCGGAGAGGTGAAGACGTGGCGACGATCCTGCTTCCAGGGATAAGGCGTCTCTCTTGTTTGGTTTGAGATTGATCTGCAGTCGTCAGGTACAATTGGTAGTCGATATGGGCTGATGGGTCTCTTGAAAGTATGTGCGCGCGATCGTCTAAAGAGAGGATGAAGCGACCTGCGCGGAATTGTTGGTGTTGAGGAGAGGATCGATCGTGTTCAGCCTCCCTCGGTATTTCGACCAGGGGATGAAATGAAGCTGGCAGTAAAAGCGGCACTCATTTTCACAACCCATGTTGAACATTTTAATTACTCCTCTTCAACTTTTTGTTTGTCTAATTGTATATTCAGAATATCTAAAAATTGACTCTTTCCAATGCTCACCAAAATTGAGGACATTGAGAATTAGTGCTGCTTTTATTCTCCAGTTGGGCAACAAAGACAAACCAGCAGTCCCAATTTTTCAAGCAATCTATAATAAAAACATCTACCTTCTCCCTACAAGTTACAGATAGACCTCTGGCGTTTCCCTCTTTGTTTGCATGTGATTTTATATAACAGAGATAGTTTGGGACAGTTTCGAGGTTGGTACACGTGACCAGCTCATACCTCTCTGCGCTAAATTGGAAGCCGCAACTCGCTTAGCGGCACACAGAATTCGACCAATTTGAAAACCAATTTTTGAATCAACGACCTCGAACTTCAACGCCAAGTCACGACACACCTACCAGTACGTCGCAGTCTTCCGAGCAGCCTAGGTATGCGTCTTTGACGGGAAGTACTGACTTTACCTAGAAATGTCGTCAAAGACCAAGAAGCCCGCCGGCAAGGCTCAACGATCTGCCATCGCAGACGTTGTTGCGCGCGAATACACAATCCACCTCCACAAGAGAGTACGTCAAATCGGAAATATACATGGATATGGAGAACAAGAGTACTGATGAGATTGCACAGCTCCACGGCGTCACATTCAAGAAGCGGGCACCAAGAGCCATCAAGGAGATCAAGGCATTCGCAACAAAGTCAATGGTAGGGACAACTCGATTCGAAGCACGAAGCAGGATTGGCAGGAGAATAGAAAACTAATAACCTCCTTTTTAGGGCACATCCGACGTTCGTCTCGATCCTCAATTGAACAAGAAGGTCTGGGAGGCTGGTATCAAGGGTGTTCCGTACAGACTGCGTGTCCGAATCTCGAGAAAGCGAAACGACGAGGAGGGTGCTCTGCATAAGCTGTATAGCTATGTCCAGGCCGTAAACGTTAAGGATGCGAAGGGTTTGCAGACTGCTTTGGTTGAAGATGCATAAATGGGTCCGAGGCGCAATGGAATGGTCAGATAGCTTTGCATACGTACGAATGCTCCCACTATGCAACCTTGAAACCTATTAATCGGCGGTACCGACTCTTGTGAATGCTAGACTACTTGCATGTATTGCGATATAGCTACTGCTAAGGGTGATACAGGTTCGTGGTAGAGCAAAGCCTTAAACATACAGACGTCCCAAATTCTTCTAGCAAATACCCATTAAGCATAACCCACAACTCGGCTTCGGCTCAAAAGTACTTTTCATCAATCCTCGATCTCAACTTTGTCAGCCCCCAAGAGCCAGCCGTTGGGCTTCCGCTTCTTGCCCTTAATGTTGGAGTGACCCTTGCGACCGTCAGGGGCATAGTGCTTCATCTCTTCAGTGATGACCTGATGCTTCCTCCGGAGGTGTTGCTTGAGGAGCTTCTTCGTGGTGTATACGACGTTTGAACGGCATGCATCCTTAAGGGGACAAAATTGTTCCTCTCTGACACCACTGTGTACCTCGGCTTGATGCTTCTTCAAGGCAGCTTTTGTTATATATTGAACTTCAGACTTGTCGGGACACTTGGGGCAAGCAGTAGCCACGTAGTCGTGATCATCCGCAAGGTGCGACCTGAGAGTAGACTCATTCTTATAACTCTTATCTCATCCCAGGTGTGGACACTTGAAGCGTTTGGTACTTGGTTCACCTGTACAATCGATCTCGTGGTCATTGAAAGCCTGTCGACTCCATGAGCGGTTTCCGCAGCCCTTTTTGCAATAGCAAAGAAACGACGTTGGTTGGTCTGGACTGTTACCAGAGGGTACGTGTTTTCTTAAGGTTGATTCCTCATCGAGGGCAAAGGAAACCTGGATCTGAAAAATGCTGATTTTACTGAAGAAATGAACGAAATCATCGCCGCCCATTATGGTGATCTGAGAGAGTTCTGCCTCTTGAGCAGGCTCTAAGAATGCCGCGCCGGAGACTGCCACAAATTCTGCTGAGGTATGGGTATCAAGCATGGCCGAATCAACGTCGTCGATTTCTGCAGCAGAGTCGGAATGGAAGTCCGCATCGTTGTTGTTGTTTGCGTCCATTTGTCTAGAATGAAGAAAGACCAAGTCTGCCAGGCTTTAGAGAGCTGCTTCCCGGAGTTCCTTCTACATCCTACCATACTCTTGCGGCTGCGCATCCAACATGTTATCAAAAGCTGCAGCATCTTGCTAAGCGTGCAAAGTTGTTGCAGACGCAGAAGGTGGCGGTGCTGAAAAGTATGGTTTCCTTCTTTTCTGTTGGCTTCTGAAGCTTCTTCTTGCTTGTCTTGCCTGCCTGAGCATTGGTCTCTTTGGCGGTGCGTGGACAGAGTGGCTGGGCAGGAGTCGCACTGATAGCAAGTGGATGAGCTTTTGCTTCTGTGCGCCATTCCTCCTTCTTTTGCTTTTTCATAAGAACACCCGCTCTCTCGCTCTCTGGCGTGCCTTTGGGCCCTCGATGTTCATGTTCTGAGTCTTCATAAATTCATCAACCTCTCATGCATTAGCACGCTCTTGTACCCATTCAGCTGAAGGTCCCTCTTGAGCAAAGGCCGGAGTTTTTAAACTCTCCAAATGACTGTCCGGTGGCCTTCTAGGGGCGATGGAGGTCGAGACTGACCAGAGTGTGGAGCATTCGAAGATAGGCTTCTATTACAGCATTGCCTGAACAGACTGTACTTGAGCGAATAGACTGGCCCAATGCATTGAAAGGCCAAACCAACTAGTAAATGGGTAATTCTTTTTCAGGGGGGCAAGCCCCCAAGCCCCCGGCCTCGCTGTGCTCGAAATTATATAATAAGGCTCGTTCTTTTCCTTCTTTGTCGCTCTCAAAAGGAGTTCGGTTAAGCGCAAGAATGGGGGCCGGGCCAGGTGACACAAACGCACGCTACGCCAGCGAGTATTGGGGGTATTTCGAGCTCAGCGAGGCCGGGGCTTGGGGGCTTGCCCCTGTGAAACAGCGATGATGCGTAGGGGATGATTCTTCATGGCATGGTTTGGATGGAGTTTACATTTGCTGGCTGGTTCATGAATAAAAGATCTACCTTGCAAAGCAAATTTGTCCGGCTATTTGGAGGTTGTTGTGAAGCTGCGTTTGGTCGCCAGGTGCGTCTCTGGTACCTTTCTTGCCAGAGGGACCTCTATCAAGTATGTCAGGGAAGTCCATTTCATACTTGTGTGATGGATTATTGCGAGACGAAGGCTGTAACGGTGGGTATTCGGCTGTTTTTTGGTTTACCTACGATGCTCACGAGTTCTTTCTCGTCATTTCTCACGTCTCTTCCGTGACGAGTAAGTCACTTCCAACTGCCTAATTGAACTGAAGTTTAGTCATTCTCCCAAAAGAGCATAGATCATTGCAAATCACACTCAATGGACCGTTCCAAAGTCAAATATATGTGAGATCCTAGATTCAGAATCCAAGCCAATGCTTGATGAGTCTTTCCTATGTGGCGGACTAGCGATACAGAGTCCGAGTGTCATTTACGCCTCCCCACCGCCGTGACAATGCTGCGTGAAAAGACCATCAGAGCCGTTCAAGGGACGTCCCTCATTATGCACATTCTCCATGCCCATTCACAAACGCCCATGCTCCCTCAGTTCAATCTAGAAATCCCTCTACTCGTCGTCAACAACCCGATGTCGTCCAAGAACCTTCTTCTTGAACTCCTCCGCATTCTTATCCCATAGTTCAGCAGCCTCGCCGTTCAATGGTGAAGCACTTGTACAAGTCAGCGTGATACACTAGAACAAGAAGGTATATTAAACTTACTTGTTGGGCTCGCCGAGCAAGCTTTGCAAACTCAGGAGAACGGTTTGGATGTTGTAGGCTGCTGTCCACTTGTCCTTCAAGATATCCAAGCAAATTCTTCCCGAGAAGTCGACATTAGGATGGTAGATTGGGGTCTTGAAGAGAACAGTCGGAGCTGCGTAGGGGTAGTTGGAAGGGAAAGCGAAGGAGAGCTTGAAGGTAAGACCAGAGTACGGTGTATCCTCAGGTCCTTCTATCGTCGCAGTCCACGAGAGAAGACCCCCGTCCGAATTGGGGAAAGCTGAGACGCCAGGAGCAGGAGAGGTCATAAGTTGCATCAGCTCGGTTTGTAATCTACAAACATCAGCAAGATGGCAGCTGCTATATGGCAAGAAACTGACCGTTTCGTCGTGCTCTGGGCATCATTACCCTTACGAGGAGCCCCGAGCTTCGCGGCTTGGTTGGATGGCAAGATACCCGGTGCTGAGTTTTGCGTGTCCTCCATATCGTAATTCATGATGAGAAGGAAAGGCGACAGGGAAGAAGCGAATTTGAGCACCAGGAAGAGCGATGAACAAAGGCCGTTAGTGCGTGCAATGAATACTGTTCGAAAGCGATTGTGTGAGCTCGTGAATGTCCAGGGACAAAGAGAAGAGTGGTGGCTTTTGTAGATGTAGGGTTTCAGGGTAGAGTTGGCTTCGGAAGGTTATGTTTACGCGCCGCTTCCGGGTGGTCGTTTGGACAACGGCCGACTCTCACGCAGCCTCGCGCGATCTGGTACCAAACCAGAGGCTTCGCTGCGCGAAGCCCCTGCCACACACAACAGGCATAGTTCTATGCCCTCCGTAATATATTTGAGAGCTAAGTTTAAATTATACCGCGTTATAATGTTATAATTTCTTAAAGTCAGTGAGTTTCATTGATTTTTAGTGAGGCTTCCTCACTAAAAAAAACCCAATTCCACTCACTGGTGGCACCGCTTCAGTCAAGCACTTTGCTACACTGGTTAAAAAGTTCAACTTCATTTCACTTCATCCAATTCACGAACTTAGGCACAAACAACCCCACTTTAATGGACATCGCGAAATGCGGACTCCCCGTGCAGCCGGTTTCATTGCGTCCTTCAAGGTTACGCCTCTTGAAATATTCCGCGTGAACAAAGGCCCTAGCATTTTTCTCAGAGAATGGGCTGCTTTTCCACCCCAGCGATTCACCATCTTCGATCTACATACATACGAGGGAAAGGTGCTCCCCAAGGCCCTAAATAAAGCTACCTACCAATGTAAATTATTCATCATATACTTATCGTCCTACCTAACGTCGATTCTAGTGCCGAATGGTGCCTCGATGCGCCCGAACGGGCGGTATCAACAAGCCTTAGTCCGACGGCTGGCGGGAAGGGATTGGATTGTTTATTCTATACCTAAAGGTTGGTTATTACCCTGAACAAAATCGTATATGTAACATTCCCAACTGATGTATAACCTCCCGATGTTGCAGATACACCCCTTCCCGAGGAATTGATCTTGGTCCATGAGCATACAGATCACTACTCTATGCAACCAGCTATCGAGATGAGTCTTGAAGGTAGAGACGAACGTCCAAATATCTCGAGTTTCCCCATTAATCATATTCTAGATCTTAACCAGCAAGTAACACAGTTCCTGCAGACAAATGGAACTCTTTATACCACGGAGCATTGGCTCTCAACATATAAGCTACCCTCTTGGTCTACTAAAAAGGCGTACGGCTCAAGATCTGTAATGGATAACAATACATTTATAGGATAATGATAGAAGTAATATAATAAAAGGAGATTTGATACGGGTATTTCCATTACTAGTAACGTTTTATTAAAAATACATATACTCAATTGGATTTAGATGCGTTGTGCTTGAGATTCCCAGAGCTTGTCGGAGGGCCAATCTCCGCTTTCGTAAGCAGATTGAGCCTCGCCACTAGCGCGGTCGATCGCGCTTTCCGTCATCCTCCGCCAATCAAATACGCGTCAAGATTTCCACTTCAAACTCGCACGCGATCAAAACAAAAGGCATTGGATATCGGAGATTTTGGTGCATCTTGGACAGAACAGACACTCGCTGGATATGGTGAGTACTTTCAAGATAAATACTTTCAATTGAGTCTTCGGCCTGAATTTCCCCAAGTTCAAGTACCGGCACAATGCTAACCAAAACGGGACCTTTCCAGAGTCAACTCGACCCTCTTCCCCGCGATTTGCCTTTCCGCATTATATCGAAAACCATCGGAAGAGGGGCATATGCATCGTACGTTTGGAAATATACCAGTTTTGACTTTTTGCTAACGAAAATCTACAGAATAAAAAAAGCTATTCCTCCAACCGATACCAACCCAGTTTTTGCGGTCAAATTCATACACAAGGCTTACGCAGTTAAGCATGGCCGAATTTCAGCAAAACAAATCGCCATGGAGGTATCACTGCATTCCCATATCGGACAACATCCAAATATCATAGAATGGTTTGCCACGGGGGAAGATTCCATTTGGAAGTGGATTGCTATGGAATATGCGGAGGGAGGCGACTTGTTCGACAAAATCGAGGCAGACGTTGGTGTTAGTGAAGATATTGCACATTTCTACTTCACACAATTAATCAGCGGGGTAAGCTATATGCATTCGAAGGGCGTCGGACATCGAGATATCAAGCCGGAGAATATTTTGCTTTCAGACGCTGGGAATCTGAAGATTGCCGACTTCGGCCTGGCAACACTTTTCGAGTACAATGGTCAGACGAAGCTCAGCACAACGATGTGTGGCAGTCCTCCATACATTGCTCCCGAGGTTATATCTTGCACGAAGAGCACACAATCAAGACAAACTCCGAAGCCCACCGGCTATTCCGCAAATCTGGTCGACATATGGTCATGCGGAGTGGTTCTCTTCGTTCTACTGGTCGGCAACACACCTTGGGATGAGCCTACATCACAAAGCTGGGAATTTGAGGAATACATGGGAAAGAAGGGACGGAGTCAAGACGATCTCTGGAAGAAGCTACCTAGTGATGTTTTGTCATTGCTTCGAGGCATGATGAGTGTTGATCCAGGGAAGCGGTTTAATTTCCAGCACATCAAGCAGCATCCTTGGTACAGACGGAAGAATCCTCTTCTTACATCCGAAGGCAAGTCGGCAGACCCATTGGCTCTGGCAACCAAGATGCTTGAGAACCTCAGAATCGATTTTACTCAGCAACCTATGGCTTCGCAAAGACCGCGCCAAAGTCAAGATGTTATGGATATTGACCCAGATGAGCATGCTGTGAAGTTCTCTTTCACGCAACCAGAGACACCTATCAACGACGTTATGTTCGATTGGGAACGACCACCACGAGTATTTGCAGGAGGATTCAGTGCTAGTCAGCCGACGAATATCAGGGATGGCGTGATGACGACCATGACCAACGGATTGGCCGGTAATCCATTCGAATCTCTCGTCGATGAGCCAAGTATGAGTCAATTCGCACCAGTTCCTCGCGTACCATTAAGCTTGACTCAACACGCTCGCCAATTCCGAGATATCGTCCCCAACTACTCTCTCACTCGATTCTTCTCCGAGCTCTCCTCACCCGCCCTTCTGCAACTCCTCAGCGACGCTCTTCATCAGCTCAACGTCCCGACTCCACCAGTCTCCCAAACGCGAGACCGCGAACATGCCGGCTGGATCAAGGTCAAAACCGTAGATGGACGACAGTGCAGTCTGAACGGAGACATCGTGATTGATACTTACATGGCCGGTGATACTGAGCTCCTGGAGGTCCGGTTCGTGAAAGTCAAAGGCGATCCTCTTGAATGGCGTCGATTCTTCAAAAATGTGGTGGTGTTATGTAAAGATGGTGTTTATGTTCCTCCTTAGCACAACGAAGGACGTTATTACAGTTTGGCGTATTAGATCTTGGCGCTGGGGAATCTGTCAAAGGTAGAGTTTTGGATTGTACTCCTGCAGCTGTTCAATGCCACGAGTTTGGACAAGAAGACAATAAAGTAATTGTGCCATTTGAGATCGAGGTAGTTAGGAGGTGGTGCTGATTGGTTGCGGAGTGAATTTCGCCCGCTTCTAACTCCGAGTCTGGGTGTTAAAACCGAACGCAGCAAAAAGGTACGAAGGTACATTGAGTCGGTGGAATAAGTATCTCTTGACACTTCACAAGTGAGGGGTGAAAGGCAAGCGGTGTATAAGACGGCTGGATTCAAGCCCCGCCACTTCAGGCTCGGAGCTGTTTGGTACAAATCTTTCAACTCCTACCACTTTCCCTTTCTACATCTGAATTATATAAGATGGAAGCACTTCCTGCATTCCAAATGTACGAAGTCACCTCAATCCCACCCCAACATCCTAACCGCTTTTCATTTTTGATTCATTAATCCAAACCCATCTCAAGACCCCAACATAAATTATCCCAAATGTCGTCCACACCCCTTCCCCTCCCTCTCACCGTCCTCTCCGTCGCTCGCCTCGGCATCGGCACGTCCGCCTTCCTCTTCCCCTCCCTAACCACCAACCTCCTCTTCTTCCCTCAACCTACCTCATCCCCCGGTTCACTATTCAACGTCAGAGCATGGGCTAGTCGCGATGCTCTCCTCGCTGGTCTTCTCTACACCGCGAAAACGCCGGAGGCAGCGAAGAGAGCGGTGATTGCGGGGGCCGTTGTTGATGCTTTGGATATCGCTGGTGCGGCGTGGTGAGCTCTGACGTCTTTCTTTTTTCTGGTTTTGATTGGGGAATCCAAGGGGGAAACTGGCAGGGGAGAGGTAGGAAGATGTACTGTCCTCTTGATTGAACGCAGTTTGTTCTGTAAAATTAGGTTGGGGCACTGTCTGTCTGATTGTACCCAAACACTTTTGTTCAGTGAGGACAATGGGGAAAGGAGGATAAGAGGCTAACGAGGTACAGGGGATTCGGGAAAGGAGAGCTAGAGGGATTGGCTGCTGCTGCGTTTTCTGGGGGAGCGATTGCATTTTTGGCACTTGCGACTGTGGGGTGGAGGGTTGGTGGATTAGGGATGGTGGGGAGGGCTGTTAGGAAATCGTAAGATTGGGGAAGAATTAGAAGGTGGAAAAAGAAATCATGGAATTGAAACAAGTGTGAATTTAGGACCTGGTGTAATGTACGCTGAGGGGGAAGTCGTTTGCAGCATAAACTCGACTCTGTTTCGAACTCTCAAATTTGGATTAATGGTCCACAGGATGTACGAGAAGAGGAAGTACGCTAAAAAAAAAAGACTGGGTTGAATTTGCGTTCATATATTTCTCGGCTCAAAACTGTACCCAAACCATTGTGTCCAAACTCAGAACACGGTCAGGATCTCAGAAATTTTACTATATACAATCTTGAAGGCACTTTTGGCATGGAGAAGAGGAGCGACTGCTCCAGAATTCCACCGCCGTTCTAAATACTTAAAAGTATTAGCCGTTCTATCATGCTACGCTTTACTTTGGTATCGATCTACGAGGTAAGAAGATTCGTGGAGCCCGCTAAAACCAGAAAGAACAAACGCCCCGTCATCAATAAGAATGATTTAAAAGCTAATGCCAAGTATGATCAGGCCTCGGGGGCAGGGCTAAAGGACGAACGCCAGACGCCTCTATATGATCACAATCAGGTCGAGGACTCTGATTACACCCCTCATGACCATGTCTCCTCTCATCCCGAAACACATCAACCCTCGGATCCACAAATTGCATCGGAGCTCTCGTCTTGTCGAAGCGGTTAAGGTTTGCTTTCATGTTGCAGAGCTCCAGGTATCCGGGATGCCACTTTTCAACCCAGTCATGGATTGCTCGGGCGATCATATGAAAGCCCTTGGTGTGGCCACCCTGCATCCTCGCCTCGAACCCACACTTGATAAACAGGTAGCAATGTATCAGTTCGTGCAAGAACGCAGAGAGAAGGAGTCGACGATCATATTTCGGGTTCTTGAGAATCGGAGCTGAGAGAACGATGAGGGTTTCGAAGCCGTCGCGGTCAGAGCAGCGCCGTAGAGCTGTGGTGCCGATGAGTTCGGTCTGATATCTGTCATCCGAGGACCATTCCCATTGGACCCGCCTGTAGAGTGTTTCGGAAAAGAAGATTGAGTCGGCGGTGGTGAGAATGCCATCCAAGGCTTGGTCGTCGATATGATCGTGTCGATTGATCAAGCTCTTGAAGATGTCTTCGTGGTTCCAACGAGATGGACCTCGTTCCATGTGATTTAGAACAAACCTCGCCGCTTCAATATCGCGGGAGGTTAACGTATGATTCGGTTCCTGCTCGAACCGAGGGTCTGAAATGATAGAATTTCCGGAGGGAGTACGCTCCATGGTGATGCCGTGTGCATGTTCTAGTGGTGTATTGAGGGAGGTGGTTGAGTTGCTTGCTATGGACATCGGTGCCGGCGAGGACCACGCCATTTGTCGCGGAGGAGAGCGCGGCAGATGCTGCTGCTCACTGTGCGCTCCCCTCCGGGACCTTGGATCTCTTCCATAAAGCTGTCGTCGCCTTGACATCGGCTTGCTGTGGCTCTCTGGTCTAGCAGAAGCGGCCATGAAATCGAAGGGAAAGAACAACAATATGTGACGAAGATACCTGGCAAATGACAACGGGACATGAAATGTTATTGTATCAGGAAGCTTTTCTGTTTCTCACGCATGCAACGAATCACTTGACGCATTGCATGGAGTTGCCATGCAGCGCTGGAAGTGAGGCTGACGAGGTGGTTTCCCTGAAGCGGACAACGATTCAACGCCACAACGGCTGGCAGGTCTTTGATGAGAGAAAGCGAAGAACGAACAGATGCCACTTGCTTTGCCTTTTACTGGCGGCCAATTGCGACTGCATGAGGCTGACTTCAAGCTATGGCCTTGGCTTCAGAGGCGCTTGATCGTGGTAAGTCCCACGCAGCAGGGAAGACACACCAAGAAACATTTGGAGGACACCCTGGCCAACGAGTCTCAGTATCTCAACAATTTTGCGGTCAACACCACAGCAGGGCCCAGTCATGCAGGACCTGCGCGTGGGCACACGCACGGTAGTCACCATATTGAAACTGGGTGCACTGGCAGGACCTGTGTTCCTCTCCAGTGCTGCATGGTCAGACGTGCCACTGGTAGCCTCCACCTTGCCAGACAAGCGGTGTACAGCCGCTAAACTTTAATCATTCGAATCTAGACGCCTCGGTCGCCTTGTCTATTTCATTGGGCTACAATCACTTCGGACGACAGCCTTTGGCGCTGTTGGACAGTGCTGGCGAGTTTTTGCCACCCGGGCTAGGGGTGCGCTTGACGTGGGCAATCGTCAAGGCTGTGGCTGCGGAAACATCTTGTTAAGTATCCACTCAGCTCCCCGTGAAAAATGCTGCCAACGGCAAGACAAAAGCATATTGCGAGGCTCTGGACGGCATTGATTGTGCTAGTGATTACTGATGGCCAGCGGTCACTTGGAGTCAGATTTCTATAAGAACCCTCCCCCCTCCAGGGCAGTGTACCTTGCCCGGAAGGATACTTCAGGGTACAAGGCCCTCATTCGCCACGGAGACAGCCTCGTGTACAAGATCGACAGATTCGGCATATCCGCCCCCGAAAAGCAGGCGACGAACGAGAATTAATTGTCTGGATACCAGAGATACCAAAGATACCGTTTGACAAGCACCAGCCTGGAACAAGGGACACGTATGACAAACGACGATGTGGAGATGCTCGAGTCCGCCGGCAACATCGTCTGACCCTTCAAAAGTTGAGAAAACAAGAACTGCTGGCAAACCTTCAGCTGGCTGTGAGATCTACTCTATCCTGTTTTATTCTAATAACGCAACACGGAAAAGCAAAGGCACAATGTATACCATCCTCAAGACATTCCCAACCCCAAGCCCCTCATCCATCGAACTTCGTTTGCATTGGCTTCCAGGGCCCTTCCCATCGTCTCCGCATAAGTGCGCTCCTCCCGCTCCGTGCGGATCTGCTCTGGAGTCTTGTTCCCAGTCTCCTCGAAGCTTTCAGCCGAGAACCCCGGCTTGCTCGAGAAACTCAGCAGCCCTATCTTGTCGCCTGTCCATAAGACGAGATCCTCGTTCACAACCTGCCCACTTCGCCCGTTGGTTGTGTTAGCTATCTTGATTACGATGTCTCCAGAGCCCGGATCCATGTAGGAATCACCCAGGGTTCCGAAGATCCCTCGTGGTGCCTCAACTGAGCCATGGGCGATGTTCCATCGTCGTGCTTCCGTGAACCCGTCTCGTTCGAGCCATTTGAGGTTTCCGCCTCCATCCGAGACGACGATTCGAGTGCCATGGTTGGCTACCGATAGTAACTTCGAACTGGATGATGTCTGCCTGTTCCTCATGACGGAATTCTGCAGGCTGCCCGCAGATGAATCGGACGATATAGTTGAAAGGTAAGGCTCTGGGCTAAGTCCATACATTTCAAGAGACCCTTTGGTATTATACTCGCCGCAAGCAATCAGGGTTTTGCCTGGGCGAGTCTTCGCCTCCCATACCTGCTCGATCGAAAGCTCACCACGCCTTGCGAGATCTTTCTCCATAGATGCGAACGGATATGGAAGGGAGGCCATACTGCATAATCGGGCCCCGGAGTGGATTGTGCCCCTCAACCTGGGGAAGTATCTGCGGTCATAGTTGAGGATGCTAGGGAAGCGACCTGCAACGTAGATTTCGCCGTTTCCATCCCACTCATTGCCGGAGCTAGGCAGATGTAAGATGCTCAACGGGCCTGGGTGATGAGGGTGAGCATAAAGAGGACTCGGCTCCGGATTCAAGAGTCTCCGGGAATCCCCTAAGCCCTGGCTTCGTAGAGAACCGAAGCTAGATTCATAGGAATCGAGACGCTCAAAATCGCTGCGGCCCGCCTGCCCTGTATTTCTTCGTGCCCGAGGGTCATGCAGATAGAGAGACAGATCAGTACCGACGGTAAGTGGTACTGGGTGCTTAGCCTCAGATAAAGCGGTAATTGAGAACGAAAATTCCTCGTGACTAATGGTCGAGAGAGTCTCAAGATCGAACTCCACAAGACCTTGTTATAGTCAGCCACGAAGTCCAACCCGTTCGTTGATTGACGAACATATTCACAAGGGAGGAATTTAAACTGGAGGGTGCTGCAAGAATAACAAGGTTGCAATCCCCACCCGAACCCGAAGTGAGCGCTTGTCCACAAGTCTAGCAATTACCAGTGGAAACGGGAAATGACAAGCGCCAAAGCAGTATACTGGGAACTCTTAAGATAATATTTGAGATGACCGTACCGCTTTGGACCGCAAAGAATGCCCGCTTCCTCCCGCTGTCCACACTCACACACTCAGTGATCCCGTCACTAATCAACTTCGAGCGTTTGCCAGTCCCAATCTGAGATCCATCCGCAGATATCAACCCTGACTTGCTTCGAGCGATGATACTTCCTTTCCGGCCCTTGGTACCGCTTATGTCCCAAATACAGACACTCCCATCATCCAATGGGCCAACCACCAAAGTTGCATCATCCTCCCCAGCAGGTGTATAGAGTCCCATTCCCCTAACTTCCAAGTATTCGTGCTCCGGACTTTCCCTGTTTCGCGGTTGTTGTAGCCAACTTGTAGAAATCGGTGCATTCCTGGCGATATACTCATCGTACCACTGTACCTTCTCGCCCGGGTAACTGGGGTCCCAGTTGGCCATTACACGGATCTTCTCGTTGGATCTAGCCTTCAGATCTCGAGCCTCCTCCCGAGGCTTGATAAGCCGGGAGTCCCCCAGTCCGTTGCCATTTGCCAACGCCCGGGCTAGGTCTCGGAATCGAAGTTCTTGAGTTGATTCGGAAGTAATAAGTTGCTGTCGACGCCGCAGATTCGTGAGGAATGATGAGGCATTAAAGCATTGTTCCCGCCACAGAGCATCATCTCTGCCGAGTTCGAGGAACCGCTTGCTTACATGCTGGAGAGTTACAATGTCCCTTGGCTCGAGAACTGCTCTTGTCAGTGAGGGAAGTCCGATTTATTGGGACACTTACAACGAGTGATATGGAAGACTATCTCCGGAGGAAGACTCTGCATTTCCGCCATGCCGTTCTATTGAAGTGACGAAGATACTTCGAGCATTTGGAAGCTTATCGAAGATGGGGCTGATGGGGGCAAGGGTGTTTGAGCAGTGGCTTGCAGCACGGGTCGCTCTGATGACAGTGCAGCTGCCACAGAGTTGAGCCCCTTTTCCGTCAACCCAGACAACACAAACTTTGGGCAACCTCTACCTCTACCTTCGAGCAGACTTGCTATTTGAGAGCAATTCTCGAGAGCAGCAAAGGACAAAGGTATTTCGAGGTCTCGCAGAACCGTTATCCTTGTCGTAGATCCCTGCAAGCTCGCTTCAATCATGGGCGTGCTACAGTAGCCTAAACATCCAAGGTATCTTTTCCACATCTCGAACTCACAAATACACCTCCTCTGTTGCTTCCAACCTCTCCCAGGTTCATAGATACAGCTGCGGCTCTTTGGGGTCGAAAGTCGCCAGGTCGACAAACTGAGAACTACTTGACCAATCTCGTAACTTCGGCATGTCAGCCTGCCGAGCAACACCACCTCTAGCTAAATGTCGACATGTCCGTCTCGAGCTCGAGCTTGGCTTTACATCACAGCTAGTCAGGACTTTCATCCCATGCCATTGAATCTACTTCACGTTCTGCCAACAGTGCACATTACTTACCTAAGGTCTCAACCACAAACGACATCATTCTAAAGCACACTCCATGGTCTGGCCTCTGCCTAGCATGATGGAGATCGTTGCATGTTCTTTCTGTGACCAACCAAGGGCTGGAGGTTCGGCTGGAGGTTCAGCTGGGTTCTTGAATAGGACTTCAGCATCAGTCGTTTCTCTGGCTGAGGAGTAATGTTCTGCTATGAGAGACTTCTTTCGGCTTTGACAATGTCAGAAACAAGGACAACAAGGGTTGTTCCCTGTGACTGTCGTTCTTTCCAGCATTTATTCAGTCGTTTAGCGCATGCCAATGGAAGGTACGATGGAATCTCTGACACACCAACGGCTGAAGTGCAGCTGTTGGAGGAAGGAACGACTTTGTCGACCACGTCAACAGCACTTTTGAATTCATAACACCATCAACCCCACAAAAGCTTTCAGCTCCACCAAGCACCTGTTTTATTTGGCCTCTGTTCTGAACACCAAAAATTGGCTACATGCAGACATTCTCTCGTCAACGCTCTTGTGAAAATGTTTGGGAAACATCATGCTCTTCAGCTGTATGTTCTGGACTCCGAGACTAGCGATCACCGTCCAGAGCTGGAACAGCTTCATGGGAGAGACGACTATATCTCTGTTGGCACACTTGCATCGCTGGATCAGTTCTGTGTCCCTGAAGTGGAATTCGCTCAAGGGGGAAAGGCAGAAAAAGGCCAACCCAACTTGGGGTGTGGCTCTTTAAGAAGTCTACCACTGGTCTATCTTTCAGCAAATAACAGATTGCTTAAGTACACCACCTTGATCCCTCCGATAGCTTTATCCGGTTATCGGCAGGTCACGAGCGATCCGAGTATAGGAGAACCCTCCTTTATCGGCCTCGGTACTGGAGAATATTCAGAATATTCACGATACCGCTCACTTTCCCCTCCACCTTATTCTGCTACACACAATGTCGATCTTCCCACGTCCTTAGTTGACCTTGCGGACAACGATCTGGACGCGATTTGAGCCTCTTGAACCGTCTTTCAATTCAAGACGAAACCTCCTAGCACCCCTTTCAATCCATCTTTCGCATCACGACGCGCCCAGAACAAAGCTGTCCTTTAGTGTCCAGCAACGAAGCTTTGGGCAGAGTTTGGCTGAGGTTTCCAGAGCAAATGAAGCATTAGAAGAATCAGAATACACAAGACGGTTCGTTTTCTCGTCACTTACTTGCCTTCAACCCATTCTAACCGGTCTACGCAGTATTTCCACAGGTGGCACCGCGTCCCTTGTTCACTATGACTTCTAGTTCTCGGCCCTTACTTCTGGAGCATGAAAGCTCTGTAGGAGGTCATGCCTTGAAGGAGCGTGCAATAATACAAGGTCGAGCAGAAGTCCACAGAGATCTCATTAACTCTTCGTCTCGGCAACCTGCCAGAGGGCAAGCTACGATCTATGCTTTTGGTTCAGGAGACTTACACCATGAGTCGAAGAAAGCTCTAGCTCGAGCAACAGTCAATAATTCTTCCACTACCGTCACGTTCAGTCGATCTGGCTTTGCTCGTGGACAGCATAGATTGGACACAAATCAAGTTACGGATATCGAAGCTGAGGCGGCGGCCGCCCGGTCCCATCTAAATCCCTTCGAAGACAAGAGCTACCCAACCTCCCTTGGATCATCAGTGTCCTCGAAAGATACCAGATCGGTCTCTCAATACATGGATTCCGAGATTGAAGACATCAACATTGCTGGTAGAGAAAACCTCGCATGTCAACCCCAAGCACCGCATTCTTCAAATACTTTTAGAAGAACCTTGGCGGCCCTGTCTTTCCCCTTTAGCAGAAACGAGTCCTCTGAAAGCTCATCTGATCCTCGCCCTCGTTCAGACGTACTTGAGCCTGTCAAGAAGCTCTCGCCTGGTACTCAGTCCGATCTCTTCCAGCCCAAGGGAGACTTGTCATCCAGGCCACCAACTACCCACGAGTCCAACCTAAGAAACTGGTCAAGAGTCCGGAATCGAGTGGGACTACCATCACTTCAAGAAGGCAGCACTATCGACAACATTGTGCGAAAATACTACCCAGAATCCGATATCGAGAGCTTTGCTTCTGGCAACCGGCCAGCCCAATCTTTCCAGCAAAATCTTGCCCAACTGTCAGACGACGAAAGCTTCTTCTCAGAAGACGAGGATTATGGTCCAACTCAGGCAGTTGCTCCAGGGAGCAGAACTCAGCATCCAAGATATGCCCGTCAAGTCCTCAACAATGGCTTGCCACGCTCGACAGCACGGAACGATATGTCATCGGTTAGGACCGGCACGGATAAGCAGAATGGTAGCGATGCAACAGGTTTCCCCGACATGCGTTCCAAATATGAGCCGCAGGGACTTCGATCTTCACCGAGGTTCATTACCCAGAACCACCAGCCATTAGAGCAAGTGATCAAGGAGTTGCGCCGTCAAACTAGTGCCAGCATTTCTATCAGCGACTCATCAAACTCTACAGTCCAGGGAAATAGAGCAGGTCAAGGCTCCCAAAACCCTTTCCGCCAGCAACAACTCAGTAGACCAGTCTCCGAAGTCATAAGCGTCGATGAAGAAACCCGGCGTTTGGCAGAACCAATTATCTTTTACAACAAAGCATCCATTGACCCTAATTGGAATTTTGATGCCAATGGTATCCGTGTCCCGATTCAACCTCAGCCTCGACAAACGCAACAACGAGCGGAGAGGTCAGGAGATACCACATCTCAGCAGGGAGACGATCAAGAGGATTGGCAAACCGTAACAACAGAAACTTCTCATCAGGAAGCATTCTCTCGTCCGCATCATGACAACCAAACCCTAAGCAGTTTTGCAGAGACTTCCGACGCTGGAACATTGAGCACCTTTGAGAGCATGAGCCGTCTGGACTCCACGGAGCGACTTGTCCAACATCCAGGAGCTCATTACGAGGGACAGTATCGACAGTTGAACGTGAAGCAAGGAATGATGCCAATCATGGCTCCCAACAAAGGCCCTTACAGAGTGAATGGATACCCTGCAAACTCGATGAGAACCAGACCTACCCAACCATATAAAGCACCTTCACCATTGTCAGTCTCACACCAGAATCCATTCATCTCCAAGCCACCAGAGGTCATGTCACCAACCACTCGTAAACCAACTAGAGATATGGGACGACAAAGCGAAAATCGGTTTCAACCTTCTTCAAGTATTACGACGGATGAGAGTCAAGCATTCCCATATGCCAAGATTCTCCCGCCAAAAGCTGCTCGAACAACACAAGGCAGGGCAAGAATGGATGTGCAAGATGGGAATGAAGCTGGCTCGATGTTTTCTTCTCAAAGCTCCTTTGCAACCCGACGCGCTCGGCAATTAGGCTACGGCCGTCAAGGTCAATGCCGAAAGCGTGAGGAATGGGACTTTTCATCTTCCTTCGCAGGCCCGGGCAATTATCAGCATTATGGGTCGAGAGGCAATGTCAATGCTTTGGGGAATAAGTTGTCGGGAGCCCAGGGAGACGGTTTTAGCGAAGCTAAGCTCCGTACTACCAAGAATAGTCAACCAAGTTATCCACCACATATACCTATCGAAATCGGCCGTTCCAATCAAGTCGGTCGTCCACAAGTTATGTTCGACATCGAAGAGCCAGACGATGGTGAGAGACATCCAAGACAAGAGAAAATCTCAATAGTTTGTCTCATCATCTGCAATCTGTTCCCACCGCTTCTCCCCTTCTTTGCCGCGGGCAAGCTGGACTCCTTCATGTCATTGCTGACTAGGCGGGAGATCCGTAAATTCAGCAAGTCAAAGAAAGGCTTGGCCAGGTATCTCACGTTCCTTTGGGCGGTTGCGCTGGTTATTGGCGTGGTTCTGTTCGCCATTCTCAAGTATGGTGGATATGCAAAGGAAGGTCAACGTCCACGGCAGTTTTCGCAACCTCTTCCATGAGACTTCGTGGATGGCTTCTACCTATTGTGTACAATTAATGTTCGACGTAACGGCCTGTGGTGGAATATGACAATGGAAGTGAGTAGAGACAGTGGGGTTTCTATATACTTCTTATGGCAATGGAGATACGATAATGGAAGCGAGTAAGGACAATAAGGTCTCTATAGATACCTCTATGACATGTTAATGGATTCTTGTACAGTAATGATGGAAAAATAAAAGCAAAAAAAACAAAAAAAAAACACTCCCTTCCGGTACCAGTGTTGTGAATCGGGTCTTCAATGACAATGCTCCTTCATGATTGTACAACGAGTGATAGTAAGATTTAATGTCTTTTTAAGGACAGTATATTGAAGCATTTATCAAATCTTGAATTTCGGCGTCCTCTTCCAGGTCATAGGTGACCGACTGGTTTACTAGTAAGTAGTCTTGAACCCTAATGTTCTTTTGCAGTACGGTACAGCGAACTTTTGTTCAACCTCAACGATCCAAGTCCAGTGTTGACTATTGAATCTCGGTTTGAAATCCTAATGCCCCAAGTGAACAGACTATTTGTGCTGTCAAGACATCGCGTCCGGGACTGTGGTCACGTGCAAAATCATTGTGGCGGTGCGGGATTTGCCTCGATTATGCTCCACTCGCGAGAACGGGAACCCTCTCAACAACCTCACTCCCCCACCTACGATCCTTTACCTGTAAATGCCGCGGACGAGAGATGTTCTCGACTACAGTCCGGAGGGCAGCCTCATCTGCCCCTCAAACAACGATTGTATCCTCCCTGTCAGGCGCGACTCCCCGAGCAATTGCAAGCCAAGCGCTGTCATACCGCTGCCACCAGAGACGATTCTCCTCGTCGAAACCTTCCAGTCCTGCTGATGGCTCGAAAGGGGTAACTGAGGGGCAGACTGTGCCTGCAGCACCTGCAAAGGCGAGAGCAGTTAAAAAGACAAAGACATCAAAACCAGCGTTAGAAGGAGAGCAGAAATCGCAGCCCAGTACGAAGAAGGCGAAGGATGTTGCAAGCTCTACAGTGAAAGGCAGAGATGAGTCGATGCTCCATCTGCCTAGTGTGCCCAGTACACAGCACATAAATCCGATGCGTAAGTAGCTTCGCTATAGCCGTTATTCTGGGCTAACAAAATTCTTTTCACAGAAATCAGCGCCTCTGCCTTCTTCTCTCTCTACCGACCGATTTCCACCACCAACAGCTTCCCCAAAACAGTCACCGACGATGCCTTTGCTGCAATATTCACACCACGAACGAAAGCCAACGCGAAATCCTCAGAAGTCATTACCACCTTATCGAACACGCTGAAGAACATCGATGCTGTGACAGGGAAGCTGGATAACATCAAGCTTGGTCCTCGACAAGAGCAATGGAACGAGGAGATGGATAATGTTCGAGCTGCCATAACTGCTGAGTCATACCGAAAAGCAGAAGTAGAACATCTCGATAATGCTCCAGAAAATGCTGGCATGTATGTTCTGTCGAATCGGTACCAGCCGTTCAGCCCACCTCCGGCCCCCGTGCCGATGGATACAGCAGAGTCGCTTGCAGCAGGAGCAGAAGCTGCTGAGTCTTTGGAACCACAGCACAGGACCTATACCGCCGTCCTGACGATCGAGGAGTCAACAGACGAGAACGGTGAGGTCACATACATGGCCCACAGCTCTCCCTTAGTCGCCGAAGACCCAGCCCCAACACCCACCAGATTCCTCGAGCGCATGCAGAACCGCAACCAGCGGTACAGGATAAACCATCCCGAGGAGACCGACATGCTAGCCATCAGCGTGAAGCGACAACGGAAGTTGAAGATGAAGAAGCATAAGTACAAGAAGCTTATGAGGCGCACGCGGAATCTGAGACGGAAGTTGGATCGCAATTAGACGGTGTTTTGTACTTTGTACTGCATTTTCATTCTCGTTTTTAAGGTGCATAGGGGTTTCTTAATGGTTTAAACGGCGGTTCTGAGACCCTTTCAGCAATAGCATCGCCTCTCTGAGGCTCGTCCAATGGCATAGATTTTCTCGGGACATTGTGAGCATTGAATTGAATTTGGTGTCGCTCCCAAAAATGTTTAGTTGTGTTCCTATTGATGTTCTCGAACCTTGCCTTGTCTAGCTGCTGGTGCTTTCCTTGGCCGTTCTTTCCTCGTTCAATGGCAAGTGCAACAGCAAAGGTTAGCAGTGTCCAAAAGTATTGAGCCGATTTGGGTCGTTTGTAAAGCACTTCCCGTCAATCTTCACGTCGATATCCTCGTAATTCTTTTCCTGTTGCAGAATCTTCCACAGCCAACACGTACATCAACTGCTAGAGAGCCCAAATCATCTCACCATATTTATGAATCCCGCAACGGGCCAGCTAAACCGTGTGGCAGAAAAAAGTGAACAAGTGCTCTTCAGGTATTGTTCCTCGAATATTGGTAGAATGGATAGCGGAGTGAGGTTTGGAAGTATGGGCATCAAAGAAATTGAGATACAAAGCTGTTAAAAGTTTATCGGCATTGATCAACACTACAGGGGCAATCGGGAAAGAGAGAAGTGTAAATACAAAGTTAAGAAATCAACCCACACATCTACGCTTCCTCTTCAATCTTAACACCGCCCCTCTCCTCCCTCCTCTTCTCAACCCAAACCCCCAACTCCCTCCAAATCCTCTCCTTCTCCGCCACCGAAAGCGTAGCAGCAAGCCCACTCGTCGTACACGCCACAAAAACCCTCGCGCCCTCCCACTCTCCACACCTCCCCAGCCGCTCTTCGTCCTCCTGCCACCCATACCGGAACTCCTCCTTCCTCATCGCCCTTCCCTTCTGCTTCCGCCATATACTCTCCCAAATACTCTTTCCCACGACACAAACAGCCTCCGGCTTCCACTTCCCGATCTTCTCTTCCAGAACCTGCACGCTGCCATCCATCTCCCCTTTACTCAGCTCACTCCCATTCCTCGTCGGCCTGCTGACGATATTCGTGTTCCCCAGCCCATACTTCTCCGGCAAAGTGCCGTCTTCAGAGGGATGTAGGCGGCGAGACGTGAGGCCGGAGGAGAAAAGGAGTTTCCAGAAGAGGTTCGAGGGGTGCGCGTATGCGTGTCCCGATGCGGCGGTTGTTATCCCGGGGTTCAGACCGATGAAGACGCAGAACAGGTTTGGGGCGAGGACGTCTTGGAGCTCGGGGAGGTGGGAGTATTTGGAGGGAGGGGCGTAGCCTGATGGGGAACGAGATTTCTTTCTTGGGGTGGGCGAGGCTGACAGGTTGCTGGACGATTTGCGTTTTGGTGTTGATGACTTAGTTTCAGATTCAGATTTGACCAAATCTGAAAGCCGTGGTTGGGGCTGTTCAATATCTGGTTCTGGCTTAAGTATTCGAGGGCTCCTGCGGAGGGGTGCATGCTGCGAGGTGGGGTCGAGTTTGGGTGAGAAATTATAAGATGAGAGGTTTAATCGGCCTTTGAAACTTGCTGGGACCGGATCAGAGTTGTTTACGTCTTCTTCCTTGAGCTGTTCGTCCATAGTGGGGTCCATGATGAAGCTATCCAGTGAGCTGTGGGGTAAAATTTGAAGCTGCAGGGGGCGGCAATGCCGCTGCAATGATGCGGCGATGCCACGCGGTGGGTCTCACAGGCTGAATAGACAGATCAGATTCGCCTTGACGTCTCAGATATAATAAGCATGAGGTGCATCCTGAACTTGCAATTCGGGGGCCCACTGCCTCTTTATACGAGGCCGTATTCAGGAAAGGAGGTGGCTTCGCTGCCTGCTGTACCGCTTCGTAGCGAACGAGCTTCAGTGACATAAATTGCTTTTTCGGTGGGTACCTGAGCTATTTAAAGAACCACCTGCATTTCCAAGGTACAAAAGCAATCGAAGCTCCTCAAAGGCTGTCCGGATTGCACCATACCATATCGGAGATTGACTGCCCAGCATGGAAACTGTCAAGAATGTCCTCCAGAAGGTGCACATTGGCGGGGAGAAAGAAGAGAGTGCCCCGCCAAAGGAGCCCACAGCAGCAGAGCTCGAGGAGCTCAAGGAGAAATACGCAAGGGCAAAGCAAGAGCAAGTCTTCGCGTTCTACGATTCCCTCAGCGTAGCAGAGAAAGCTGCCCTCTACGAACAACTATCATCCTTCGACCCAGACCACATCAACACCATCACCGACCGAGCTCTCAACCCGCCGAAACCCAAAGATGCTGACAAAGAATCGGGCCTCGAGCCGCTCCCAGACTCTGCCACAGCCAGCATTCTCGACTCGAAGCCTGAAGATATTGAGAAGTGGTATCAGTCGGGTCTGGATCTGATTGCGGAGAATAAGGTGGGCGTGGTGCTCATGGCAGGGGGCCAGGGAACGAGGCTGGGAAGCTCCGCTCCGAAAGGCTGCTTCGACATCGGTCTGCCGTCGTCGAAATCCCTGTTCCAGATCCAGGCAGAGCGGATACGCAAGATCGAGCAACTGGCGCGCAAGAAGGCGGGACATGGAGCAGATAAGAAGGTCGTGGTTCCCTGGTATGTAATGACCAGTGGCCCGACGAGAGGTCCGACGGAGAAGTACTTTCAGGAGCACGATTACTTTGGGTTGGAGAAAGAGAATGTGGTTATTTTTGAACAGGGTGTTTTACCTTGTATCTCGAATGATGGCAAGATTCTGTTGGAGAGCAAGGGCAGGGTGGCGGTGGCTCCGGATGGAAATGGAGGTATCTACCAGGCTTTGGTCACATCCAATGTTATGGGTGATATGCGGAACCGGGGTATCGAGCACGTTCATGCCTACTGTGTGGATAACTGCTTGGTCAAGGTTGCAGATCCAGTCTTCATTGGCTTTTCCGCCTCCAAGGATGTCGATATTGCAACCAAGGTCGTTCGAAAGCGTAATGCTACCGAATCAGTTGGTCTCATTCTGCTGAAGAATCATAGACCAGATGTTGTGGAGTACTCTGAGATCGACAAGGAGACTGCGGAGGCAAAAGATGCTAAGCAACCTGATGTTCTGAAGTTCAGAGCTGGAAACATCGTCAATCACTACTACTCCTTCCGTTTCCTGGAGTCGATCCCAGAATGGGCTCACAAACTTCCACACCACGTTGCTCGCAAGAAGATACCCTATGTCGATACGGAGAAGGGGACTACGGTCAAGCCAGAGAAGCCAAATGGGATCAAGCTTGAGCAATTCGTGTTCGATGTCTTCCCCATGTTGGAGTTGAAGAAGTTTGCTTGTATGGAGGTCAAGCGTGAGGACGAGTTCTCGCCTTTGAAGAATGCGAAGGGTACTGGTGAGGATGATCCGGATACTAGTAAGAGAGATATCATGCAGCAGGGCACGAGATGGTTGCAGGCTGCTGGTGCAACTGTTGTCAGCGAGGGTGATGAAACTGGTATCGAGGTCTCGCCCTTGATCAGCTACGTAAGTTGTCACCATTAATCTCTGCTTCCGGTTTGCTAACTTGGCCACAGGGTGGAGAAGGACTGGAGAAGCTGAAGGGCAAGACTATCACAGCTCCTGCAGTGCTCGAGAAGGAGCCTGCCTAGGGGGTATATGACGATGATTAAAGTTTCACGGTTACGAATAGACGACACAAAATGATACTATACCATTTCTTGAGATCAATTGAAGTCTTGGTGGGGTTGAAGACCCCCCCTTCTCTATCGTCTTGATGAATTGGGCACTCCTACGAGCCTATGATTGGTGAAATATGGTTGACAGAATCCTGGCTGATTCTACGCAACTTTAGAAAGGTTCTCAATGGCCACAGAAGTGCTCTAGAAAGCTTACTATAGCTTTTCTTGATAATCATTGAGGTCGTCATGGGGTTGACAGCACCCCCCACGTGCCAAATGAATAAATATACCGATATGACCTTCCCATCAGTCCACCATGGTTCACAGGCTTCTAGCTCATTCTAATGCAAGTCTAGAAGGCTCCTCGAAGGACGCCAGAAGTGTTCTAGAAGGATGACTATCATGAAGTTTGGATTCCATTTGCCACATCACGTGCACCTTATTTCATCATCGATCTACACCGTTGAGGGCGAAGTGGATTCCAAAGCAATCTTATTTGCTCAGCCCTACCACCACCCACAGCCTCCCAACTCTGTTGGATAGTCAAGAAATTGTATGGAATTGAGCCGGTACAATCGGACATAGATTGGTCTCTGACGCTCTAGAAAACGTGCCTTGCCACTGAACATTTGGAATGAAGAATGAAAAATGAAAAATGCACCCCCGGAAATGCAAATGACGTTGTGGAAATCCGAGCTGCAGGGCGCAGCACGCTGCACATCCAAACGAGCCAATTGGGCGAACAGCGCGCCACTGCAAACGGCCATCCAGACGGACGGCCCGGCTGCCCAACGATTGACAGGCTGTGGGGAAAAGATAAGATAATCAAATCGTCTCATGACACGCTCATCATGAGTTGCTGGCCTGCGCTTGCCGGCTTGCTGGCTTACTGTCAAGCCAAGGCGCCGGTTACTTAAAGACCCTTCCGAACACTAACTACTACGTACTCAAGTATGACTGCTCCATGTGCATCCCTGTCAGGCATCCCGCGAGGCAAAACGAGGCGCACCCTTTAAAGTTATCAACCCAGCCACGATCCGCTGTCTGAGACATCAAATATCTTGGCCCTCTGCACCTCACCGTCAATTTGTCAAATCATTCTTCTTCCTAATTGTTTGTACCACGTTCTGGCATCATGAAATCCTTCAGTGTATGGTGGGTAGCGATACTGCTACTTTTTAATACGCTTGTCCTCGCGCATCCACAACCCGTTACCGATATTCAGTCCGTCTCGACGCGGGATCACGTCGAGCGCGACGATGACTTCTTTGCGGATGTGAAGGAACTGTGGAAGCGGAAGGGTGGAGGCGGTGGTGGTGGGAAGGGAGGTTCGGGGGGCTCGTCGGGAGGCAAGGGAGGTTCGAGTAGCAGTGGAAGTTCGTCTTCTGGGTATGTTCCATCCTCTCCGGGGATTGGGGGTGCGAGTGGCAATCAGAGTGCGCAAGAACTTGCGAGAGTTGGAAGTAGTACTTCGTCGTCCTCACCTCGAGAAGTTAGTTCTTCTGGGACCTGTTCATGAGCGAGGGGACCGGGAGGAGGAAGTTCTTCCTCGATGTCGAGCATCAGTTGCCATGCTCCTCTGGGCTTTGGCGGCTTCTTTAGTGGCTTTCGTAGATTTGGTAGAGGCGGTGAAGAGCGTCGTGGAGGCCACTCATCTCATTATGGTTCTCATCATGGTTCTTCCTCTCCAAGGTCTAACAAACATGCTTCTAGTTCATCTCCCAAAGGCTCCTCGTCTTCGAATACGGGAGGTCGGACAAAGACAGGATCTGGCGTTACACCTAACTACGGAGGAGGACGATATTATGGTGGTGGAGCAACTTCTCCTTACCAATCCGGTTCCAGGTCACCTCTAGGCATTGCCGCTGTTCCTCTGGCCTTCGGTGCCGGTGCCTTGGCATTCTACCCAGGTATCTGGCTCTACGGTGCATACGCCTACCCATACAGCCATGTAAGTGATCCGTAACATAATCGAAGTTCGCTGGGAAGTAATTGACAAACGATTAGCCATACACCTTCCGCAACCGCACCGCACACAACACCACAAATACAACCACAACCACAACCCGTGATCTCCATTTCGACATCGAGATCCGTCAGGACACGGGCCTCATTGAGACGAAGAATGTCACATGCCTCTGTGCAATGTATGAAGAGTGTGGTTGTGACGACAACGGAAATTCCACTTTCCTCGACTCCTTGATCGGCGACGGTTCCTATTCAAACTTGAACCTCAGCTTAGTCAACGTTGCCGATATCAACGGCTCGAGTACGATCGTCCTAAACGGTACTTTGCCGAACGGCACAACAGCTGCGGGCGGCACCGACGATGCGTTCGACTCTGCCGCAATGAGGACTATCATCCAGGCGAGCGGTTTCTGGCCTATGATTGCTTTGGTGGGAATGACTGTCCTCCTGACCTAATTTCCGACTGGAGCCGAGGGTTGATCATCGGACGGGATGTGATTTGTAAATTGTTCGTGGACATAGGGGCGCATATATCCTTTCGGCGTTTCTTCTGGCTTGGAGGCTTTCTGGATAGACCTGGGGGGCTCTGGCCTAGGTGGTTTGACGACTTCATGCACATAGATATTTTATCTGTAAGATACCGAGCAGCTGCTCGCAAGAATCGAGATCCTTTCAAACCCTGACTGATGAATTCCTTGGTGCCAACGCGAAGAGTATCTGTCTGCATTGGAACCTCACCCCCGGCTTTGAGCTCGTCTGGTGTCCGTTCGGTCACCATTGCGGGGAGTAGATCGACGTGAGGATTCGAATTCCGTATATAAGACGAAAGGACGAGTTGGCTGAGTGCAGAAATCAGTGGGGTATCGCGTGACTGACATGGCCTTTCACGGGACCTTGAATCGGTCCCATACTTAGAACTGAAATGTAGACATCGAGCTTCGATGCACTGAAGATAGCTGTCGGTCGGTAGATGCTAGGAGGTCGGCATCTATCTTATGTGGATATTTTTTGACTCCGTTGGTTCCTATACTTAGCTATACACACCTTGATCGTTTCCAGGTTCATGCATTGTTGTACTTGTAATATGGTAGATGGTAGATGGGAGGAGGGTGAGGATGAAGAGCCAGCGATAGAAGGAACGGGGAGGGGATGGTACATGCTACCATGCGGAGGGAAGACGAAGATATTGTAAGAAGATCAAATGAGAAGGGACAGGAATACTGGGGCTAGAAGAGAATTTTCGAGTTTTGGGAAGCGGGCGTACAGTGGAGTCAGAACAGGAAGAATCAGAGCGAACCACCAGATGCTCAAGAACGAAACACATTCTCTATCGAATAATGCTTTCGTGGGGCTACTCTCAACAAATTCTTGTCTACCAGACAAGCCGCTTGTCTGGTAAAACCTTCGCATCCATACCATGCTCCCCGAAATAGAATCGTATGGCTCATCTATATATCGTTGATCATCATATCAAATTTGTCCACCAGAAAACTCGCTAAGCATTGCTGTTTCCAAGGACATTCCCTAGGTGTGTAGAAATATGTCCAGGCCTCACCATATCTACCAATCGTCTTCATCGTCTCTTCCTCGTTGCATAGCATTTTGTCTCGCCCTCAAAGCCTCAGCCAACCCGCCTGCCAAGCTTGGAGTGTTGCGACCACTATCTGTACCGCCATTACTCGTCATACTTGTACCTGAATCGCGAGGGGCTGGGAGGGGAGCTGGTTTGCGGCCGCCTGCAGCAGGTCGCTTTGCTGGGGGAGCAGGGGGCTGAGGTTTGGCACGAACGACTGGTACAGTGCCGTTCTTCGCTGGGGGTGGGGGAGGAGGGGTAGGGCGGAAGGCGGGAACGGCAGGGGGTGGCGGAGGGGCTTCTTCCTTGAGGTACGCAGAAGGAGCCCAACCTTTCTTGCCAGAAGAGGTCTTGGCTAACCACCAGCCTAGAAGTACATTGTTAGCAATAGAATCTATACGGGGAGTTGGTATTAGCCTACCATTGTCTTCCTTCTGTTCAATGGTGATGAGTTCGTCCTTTTTCAGGGTGACTTCATTTTCACTCTGACCAGCGAAGTCGTAGAGTACACGGTACTGTGGCTCCCTTGGACCGGCAGGAGGAGCTGGGGGAGGAGGCGGGGGAAGATTTCGCGAGACTGCAGGGGTATTTCTAGTAGCAGTAGATTGAGGTGTAGCTCGAGGTTGAGAGCCCACAAAGGAGTTGGAGACTGGGGTGGTGTTTCTGTTTCCATTTGACAACTTGGATGGACGTCCACCAGGTCCGCCGGGTCGGATGAGTCGGCCTTTCGTGAATGGCTTGGCTGGGACAGGCTTTCCTTTCGGCAAGGGGCGTGATACCGAGTTCGGCAGCTCTCCTTGGCTTGTATGGATGGCTCCGCTCTTGTAGAAGTCCTCTCGCATGGTCGAGTCCTTCACGGCTTTAATGACTTGCATCTTTCCGGGCTTCTTGGCGTATTCGATGGAGTCGGAGATCTTAAGTTGGAATCCACCCGGCATGGCATTCTGCATATGTGTGAATAGTTCAGTCTTCAAAGTACATGTCAATAATGGATCAGCTTCCTGCGGAGAGCCAATGCCCAGCGAAAACCAATCATCTCGACACGTTGAAGTACCAACGAATTTGATCGAACCAAGGGTGATTGTTCGCTCAGGAGCGATTTGGACCTGTTTATTGACCAAATGTTGGCTGACAATGATGAACTTGCTCTTTGTCAAGACCAGAATTCGAGGGCCGGGTTTGCTTGATCGACCGAATTTTGTCTCGAGAAGTTCACCTCGGCAAGAGAAAATGACTTGTTCGGAGAGGTTGAGAGCAGAGCGGATTCTGCTGCCAGGGCCAGTGTTTGCATTGACACCAAGGTAATCCCCCATGAACCGCCTTGAGCCGAGCAAACTGAATCTTCGTCTCTCCTTACGACCTTGCAGAACTCGATGGCCTTGCTCCCGAAGCTTCAGGAACTCGGCGCCGACCTTCTTCTTTCTCCACAGTCTCTGAATGCGAGTAGCTGCTTCGATGCGGATCCGCAAGAAGGCTCGCCAGACCCTCTGGATACGGATAGCCATGTTATGCCAATACCTATCACGCATGTGCTCGAGCGCGAATAGAGTTTCTGGCGCCTTGATAAATGCCTTCGTCACGCCCATTTGAAATTCTTCTTGGGGAATGCTGGTATCCTTCAGAATTTGTTTCACGCCCGATTTTGCATCTCCGGTCCAGGTATAGTCGCCTGCATAAGATGTCTTAGGGGAGAGGAGATAGAATCGTTCCACGAACTTGTCAAAGGTCTGACGATATGCAAACCCAGCACGCCGAATTCGGACGTTTTCCTGGAGACCTAGATATTTGATTTGATGCATGACATTTGGCACATTATATTCGGAAGGCGATTTGTTCTCGTTGGGCTTGATGGTACGGATGTATGAAGGTTGAGCCTTCATCAAAGTGGCCACCAAATCATTGGCGGACGCCTTTATCTTGTCACCGGCTGAAGGCGGTTGCTTCTTGTTGTCCTGATCGACTTCATGAGGGAAAAGGTTGTGAACAAATTGGTTGCCACTGCGGCTAAAGAGGTTCAGGAGGCCCTTGAGAAGTTGGTCCTTGTTCTTGTCTGTAATACCCTCCACGGTATAGCTGACATCACCAGCGTAATGCTTGATAATGAAATTGCCTTGGCGGGGAGTCAAATGAGCATTTGACATTCCATTGATAGCCTGCATGAAAGTTCGATCACAGGCTGCCGGGTCTGCATGTGCGGTCCTGGTTGCATCCTTCATTGCGGAGAACACACCCGGTGGCCGCACAGCTTCGATCAAGTCACACACAACTTTGTTGTCAAAGTACTTGATTGGTGTCCAAGTAATTTGCTCTCGGGCATATTCTTCCTGCTCTGTCTTTAGAGTAAGTTGAATGAAGATCTGTTGCAACTTCTCGTTGACGTAGTTGATACAGAGCTGCTCAAAGCTGTTCTTCTCGAAAATCTCAAATCCATAGATATCAAGAATACCGATGGAGTGTGCTGGGGTACCACGGGCCTTCAATGAAACATTGACGCGCTCGACGATCCAGTCGAAGAGGTTGTTGTATATTGCCTTGGCTAGAGCATCTCTCGTAGCTAAAGCCTGTGCGGGGTTTGCGGGAGATTCAATATCTTCGTTTCGTGCGGTAATAATCCGGATGGTGATTGCTTGCACAACGGCTGCTGGCTCAACTTCGAGGAGGTATGCCAAGAAATTGACCACGGAGTCATCTATGACCTCGGCATTCCCATCTTTGTCTTCCCTGAATTGGATATTACCGGTCCATAAGACTGCAGCCAGCATTCTGAAGATCTCATCCTGTTCAGCTTGGGATAGACCAATGATCCTCATTGCTTCCAGTGTTTCGGCATAGTCTGCAATATCGTCGATACCATCGACATCCAAGCATTTCGAGAGACTCGTATATGGGTAGGTAGAAGGTTGTTGAATGCCAAAATTAGTTCTGTAATCGTTTGAAGCTCCTTTGGTGAACTGGTAGAAGATATGAAAGTTTCTCTCGTCTCGAATCTGTCCAACCACTCTGGATTTCTCGAGCAAGTAATTTGTGATTGTGGCTCCAACCGGCTCGCCCTGAGCATTGAATTGTAGTTGCAGATATTTGCCGAATCGAGAGGAGTTGTTGTTTCGAAGTGTCTTCGCATTTCCGAAAGACTCGAGTAGGGGATTTGTAGCAAGAACCATATCCTTAGTCTCCTGAATAGACGAATTGCTGCCCTCAGAAACATTTGCCACATATTGCATGATACGCTTTGCAGCTTCTGTCTTTCCTGCTCCAGATTCGCCTGAGATGATGACACACTGGTTCTCCTTATACGCCTTCATGTTATAGTATGCTGCTTCTGCAATGGCAAAAACGTGAGGGGGCATCTAGATTATGTTAGATCTGATTTCTACCAGGAGAAAGAAGCTTCACCGACCTCCAAGCGATTCTTGCCTCTATAACTGTCTAGAACTGCATCGGTATAGATTCCCACTGAAGTCGAAGTTAGCAGTGTAACATAATCGCCTTAGAGATTATACTCACAGTCCTGGAAGGGATTAACAGAAACCAACACATGGCCAATGTATGTCTATCTTCAAGTCAGTACCGGGAGATTCCTCTGTTGAATGTGCCATCGCTAAGTTTACTCCTGGGTTGTGCTTACATAGATCTCTCTGTTCTCAAACCGCTTCTTCAGATTCTCGTTGATGGCTTCATTCGAGACCTTACTTATCAACGTGAGGTCAGATACCCCCACCTCCTTCTTTTTTGTGGTATCAAAAGTGGCCTTCTTGATATTCGGCTTGCTGCTGCCCGAAGCCCCCGCTCGTCCGCCTCCATCTTGGGCTTTCTGCGTCTTCTCACCCTTCGGTCTTCGACTGATCCCCTAATCCAACAGCAGATTAGCGATTTGAACAAGGGAGAGACACAATATGTTGCGCGATCACTTACCATCTTGGAGTCGTCCCCTGGTCACCGTGCACTGCTTCAGGATGCGCCCAGACCAAGGATGTGAGATGCAGGAGTCCAGATTACGCGGTTCTCATGTGCAATAAAGATAAGCAGGGCTGCAGCATACAAAGATATCTCATCAAGAGATCTCGGGCGTGGTGCGCAAGTTCACAATATTTGAATGTTTGGGACCGTGAGTTGTCGGAGGTCAAGATCTCGCTACAGTGAGGCGCCAACGGTTGCAAGCTGACGACAAAGGCTGGCACAGCCTCGTCAAATTTGCCTTCCTTTCCGGTGTTCCGCCACCACCAGCTACGACTTGATTCTAGACAACACTGCTGAGTGCCGATCGCTCAATTCACAATATGCCATGAAGGGAGTGATGATTCCACATCATCGTAGCTTCAATGAAGGTCTTATGAGTCGCTTTCCTATCTGCCAATTCCCACTGGAACACTCAGGTACCAAACCACCTGTTGCATCTCCAGATCTTCCATGACCCTGTTCCAGCTCCATCTGGGACATTGAGGATCACTAAAGTAACAGCAAGATCTCGATGCCCACCACGATAGACACTCGCATACTGCGCACTCGATGGGTTGGCTATATTCCATTGTGATGGACTGAAAATCCAGGCGAGTAAGCCAGGAGGTTTGCCTGTCTTGATAAATTGGTGAGGCCGGGACGAGATTCCGTACTTCGTACTCAGCAAAGAACCATTGACTCGATGTTCCTACAAAAGTCATGCTGCCAAGCACTGAACTGCAGGTTGGAATGTACGATTGTGCTCTACACTCACCGGGAAGATACTTCTAGAAACCACGGTATGCCACTCTGCTGCTGGAAAGGGAAAATATGGCATCACCCCCTTTGGCCAGAGTTTTTGTTGGTGGATACCAAATACGACCCAATTGCGTCTAATTGACTCTTGTTTGGAAGGTAGCAGTATTTTGCACTTGGAGGGTTCGGAAATTCTTTGGTCTCTTCCATTAGTTGTACTTGCACCTGTAGGACACCAAGTGTTGCGAACTACGAATGCGTTAGGGTTTGATTATGACCTAACGACTATGCTCTTGAAGTTCCTGAGCCTACCAGCAAGCACTGTATTCAGCAGTTGATTTATCATTCAGTTTCCTCTTTCGTCAGTCGCTACCACTCGCTGCACCGGAAGCCCAGCAGTTCGTGTTCCTCTTCTCTCTGTCACGCTATTAATCCTTTCATCTAGAGGCTAGTAGCGATCCTAGGTACGGTCCAAGGAAGCACTTGGATCTGATTGTGACGTCAAAGCAATAGGGACTGGAACAAAATAAGTGGTCGATTTGATTGTCGATTTGCCGTTGCTTACGCGAGAGATAAAACCGTGTAGTGCTTATATTATATAAAAGGACATGCCATACTTGGCTTCGGAACCAGGTGTTGATTTACCCAATCGATCTGCTGCCTCTGCCTTGGTTGAAACCCCCAAAAGCGTACCTCGAGATCAATTGTGGAGTCGCCTTGGTATCCACTCCGTCACACCTCTTGTAAAGCAGATGCGAAACAATATTTGAGCAACCTTCATCTGCTTTTCAGTCCACTTGAGGACGTATACTTGATTTTGCTGGTGTGGGGCAGTGGAGTAACTTAAAGACGGAGGTGAGAAAAACCGGATTGTGGAAATGCATTGTGCAGTGGAGTCAGAATAAAGAAAGTATGAGATGAACTTGAAAGGAAGTGGTCCTTCAGTTGAGCCTTGAGTTAGAACTTTAATGCGTGGCTCCAGAGTCCCACGGGGATCCGGAGGCTCTCGTTAATCAACCGTGATGGGGGTAGCCCATTGCTTCACTATGGCCTCTCAATCGTACAGTAGGTCTCCAGATATGGACTAGAATCATATTTCTACTGCCTACACTTCTGTCAGCACTTCCTTATGTCCGCAGAGCCGTATTTGCCTCTAATAATAATCGAGATTGTCTGTTCTAGTATCGCCAAGTGGTTTCCATGCTCATCATCTTATGGTTTTCATTTTGTTTTCATTCACAGCAAGCCTTTGAGGAACATGTTCTGAGAGACAGGCAACAGGATGCGCCACTGAGATGGGCGAATTGTTCCGTGGAGCACTTCGCATTGTGGGCCGTGGAAAAGTTGGCTATTGGCTGGTTGAGGAGGGAACATTCTGAAGCTGCTGGTGTTTTACGTCCTCGCCGCTTCGAGGAATTGCCGTGACACGTGATGAGCTTGCCAGTCCGCCACCGAGTGTGATAAAGCAGACTAAGCAGGAGAGTACAGTATCAACGACAACGGCGGGCAATTTTCCGCTCAAAAAGGCTCGGTTGCTTCTGATCTGCGGGAGAGACTTCGAGAACATTGTTTGTCGACGCTGCGAATGATCAGCAACCTGCGGGTCTCACCGTTACAAACTCTAAACTCTACAGTACCGAGACGAGGGTTTGAGGCAAATCATGAGGGCAGTCAAGGGAAGGATGATAGGATCCCCTTTGAAAGAGCACGAGTCAGCATCTTAATTAACGTACTGGTACGGTACCAGTATGAGATGGCGATCCGAATGCTTGGCGCGGGAGGGGAACGAGTCGCATCTGGAAAGGGTCAACGTTTCTGCGACCGGATGCGTGGGCACAAACGTCCCGATCTTGCTCTCTGCAGGTGTGCAACTGGATTCGATCATTCGTCCCGCGGCTGGGAGGCCGGGAGGCTGGGAGCGTGGGAGGCCTGGGATTGACTGGGCCTGCTCCTGGTGCTATTTCTGCACGAGAGGTGGCTTCTGCTGCGACCAATGATGCAGCCACGCTTACCGCCTTCCAGCATCCCAGACTCCCGCTCCCAGACTCCCAAAAAAGCGTCAGGCCTGGCGTGCCGCATGGGCTGCTCCAACTTCTACAGTATGATTGGCTTGAGACGCATCCGAGGCTCTTGAGTCTTGACGCTCAGGAACACCAGTCCCTCAGGAACACCAGTCCCTCAGCAAAATCCTCCCATCTGCCAGGAAATTGGGATCCCAGGTGTATGAGTGGTGCGAGAATGGCCTCAGGTGCTCCCGCGCTTCTTCCCACGCCCCCTCCCAGATCAGACAATGCTCCGTAGGCTCAATCCTCACGTCCCCCGGGGCTGGCTATCAGATCCAAATCCGAGGGCCAGCTGGAGGCGAGAGCGGTGGTTTGGAGACGCTCCCATGCTCGAAATCCGAAGGCTGCCGGCGGTGCACAGAACTGTGACTGTGCTGAGATGTCACCTGCAGCACAGGGCTCGAGTCTCGAGATGAACTAATCCAAACTCCAGGTGCCATCTCATCTCATGCAGAGGTCCCAGAGTCGGAGGTCCCGTCCATTCCATTCCTGATTCCTGAGTCGCAGCCTTCCACTGGCTGGGGGGTCCGTCGGCGAGCAGGCGTCACAGTGCTCCCAAAATGTCGACCAATGTCAGGGGGGAGCAAGCGCCGGAACCAGTGCGGGCGGCCGTCGTCCCCGCAGCATTCGGGCTGCAGACGTTTAGCGAAAACCAGGCGAATTCGAGCTCATCCTCAACCCTCGAACGCTTGGAGGTGAGATTCTCACAACGTCTGCTTCTTTGCAACGAGAAATCTGCCCATCTTATATCAACACCACCTCGACATCGTACGATTCTATCGTCACTCACGCCATCCCCCCCTCTTGCCGCCGTCTGTGCGCCTCCTTGGAGACCTCAAACATCGGATTAGATTTGGATCATTTGGCAGGTGGGCCCAGCTCTCGCTTGTCAATGCGGGCAAGGTCTTGATGCAACAAGCGTCTCAAGCTCCCTCCCACGACAATTAGGCCTCTTTTGACACCGCTCAGCTTCCCTGCGAAACGATCACCCGCGCCTGATTATCTGTTATCGGATTGATCTGATACTGGGCTACCAAGCCTCGAAACTCTCTGCTACGTCTGATCTTCGACACAACTGCAATCCCGACCAGCCACAGCCCGTTCAAGCTCAGATGGCATGTCATCCGCGGCCGTGACCTCCTCAAGCGAAGAAAGATTGCTCTCTGAGCCTCCGAAGGAAGACTGCTTGGTTTCATGGGACTGATGATATCCGAATTCATTGATCCGCCCCGCATAGAACGCCGCTCGAGCTCCAAACCGTCTGGTACTCCCAGTCTGGCGCACGGGACAGATAAGCGAGAAGGATCCGCCTGAGAAGGCCAGCCTTTATCAACTCTCCTCCGCCCAAAACCCCTGAGCTTTTTTTCTCTTCCAGTGCGTGGCGAGGTAGAAAATAAGCTTTTCACCTTCAATCTTCATAACCTTCGCCTCCTGCTGGTTCAGTTCTTTCTTTCTTGGTGGACGTCCATTCCTTCAGTTCGGCGGATCGATTACAATCTTTAATATTCCGGTGTGGATTTCAGAGGCACCGCCACTCGTTCCCCAACTACGCTTATATATCGACGACTGCGTCTACACGGCGATACTGTCGCTGGTCGACACTTAATACTTGGGGTTTCAGAGAAGGTTGTGCAACAGGCACCGTCAGTATGGGATTCTTCCAGGAATTCAAGAAACAGACTCGGGGGGCGAAGTTGTTGTTCAATATTCTCTTCCACGGTGGGCACATTGGCCTTTTTGTGCTGGGATGGTACGTAACGTCCTTTGAGGAAGCGCCCCGATAAATGTTGATCGAGGATAGGAAAAAACAACAAGAGGATCCCAGGCTTGCGGGGCTGAATACACTCACATTCTCCGTCTGGATGTCACGTGGTGCTGGCCTCGTTCTTTCTGTGGATGGTGCCATGATTCTGCTCCCCATGTGTCGGAATATCCTGAGATACATCAGACCTAAGGTCAAGTTCTTGCCGCTTGATGAATCGCAATGGTTCCATCGACAGGTTGCATATTCTATGCTGATCTACACCATTATCCACGTCTCCGCCCATTATGTCAAGTATGTCATTTCGCCTTTCGCATGAGCTACGTGCTAACCAAAGCAGCTTCTTCAATGTTGAAAGAACACAAATTCGAAAGGTCACTGCTGTCCAGATTCATTACACAGAAGCTGGAGGCATCACCGGCCATATTATGTGCCTTTGCATGCTTCTCATGTATACTACCGCCCACCACAAGATTCGTCAGCAATCTTTCGAGACCTTCTGGTACACTCATCATCTCTTCATTCCATTCTTGCTCGGACTCTACACCCATGCCACTGGATGCTTCGTTCGCGACACTGTTCAACCGTTCTCGCCATTTGACTCGACGAATTTCTGGGCTCACTGCATTGGTTATGAGGGTTGGCGTTGGGAGCTATGGGGAGGTGGACTCTACTTCATGGAACGTGTGTACAGAGAGGTCAGATCAAGAAGAGAGACGAAGATCGTCAGAGTCGTGCGCCATCCATATGGTCAGTACACCTAAGCATCTGATTAATGACCCAAAACTGACTGTCTATAGATGCCATGGAGATTCAATTCAAGAAGCCATCGATGAAGTATAAGGCGGGACAGTGGCTCTTCCTGAACGTTCCCTCAGTGTCAAAAACGCAATGGCATCCCTTCACCATCACATCTTGCCCATTCGACCCTTATATCTCCGTCCACGTCCGACAAGTCGGTGACTTCACTCGCCAGCTTGGTGATGCTCTAGGAGCGGGCAACGCTCAAGCCAAGCTCTACGACGGTGTTGACCCCATGGGCATGTACGAGGTTGCACTCCAGAACGGACAACAGATGCCCGAACTTCGCATCGATGGACCTTATGGAGCTCCCGCTGAAGATGTCTTTAATAACGAGATCGCCGTTCTCATCGGCACAGGTATCGGTGTCACCCCTTGGGCTGCCATCCTCAAGAACATCTGGCATATGCGCAACGGACCAAACCCACCTACCCGTCTCCGCCGTGTCGAATTCATCTGGGTCTGCAAAGATACCACCTCCTTTGAATGGTTCCAAGTTCTCCTTTCTTCTCTCGAAGCTCAGAGCCAAGAGGCAGCCAACACCCCCGGCAACAATGGCAACGAGTTCTTGCGCATCCACACCTACCTCACACAAAAACTTGACCTCGACACCACACAAAACATCGTGCTCAACAGCGTCGGCGCGGACGTAGATCCCCTGACTTAGCTGAAGTCCCGGACAAACTTCGGTCGCCCGGATTTCCACAAGCTGTTCACCGGCATGAGGGAAGGTATCCTGGATCGTACATATCTAGGTGGACTCGAGGGCGACATGAAGACGAACGTTGGTGTTTACTTCTGTGGTATGTCCCTTCCGGCCCTACCCGTGCCTCACATACTAACATGACCCAGGACCCAACGTAGCAGCGAGAGAGATCAATAAAGCGTGTAAGGCAGCAACTTCGCGCGAGGTCAACTTCTCGTTCTGGAAAGAACATTTTTAGACCAAGAATTGAGAAAAGAGAACCATCTTCATCTTGTAGTTCGGCGGTTTCCTATTCCTATCTATATATTGACGATGAATGGCAGATGCAGCATCTTTTGGTAGCGAAGGTGTTCTGTATTGAGTAAGGAGTGGATGGTTGGATGGGAGGAGATATTTCTGTAAATTTGGTGCTAAATAACCACAATCGGCATACCATAGTTAGGCTGGGAGATATCTAGCACTTATCCTAAACTTCTGCGTTCCTTTTACATGTGAAGTGTGGCGTGATTGAGCCTGAAACTCCAGTCTGGCAGCCAAAGAGAGAAATCGGTACCAAATATGAAATAGGCAGAATCTTCGTCATATGAATCATTTCTAGCCGTCATTTTTAACAAAATAGGATAAAGCAATATGTAATATATTTTGCCTTTTGGGTTAATGGGAGTATGTGTAACGACTACATCTGCCAGTGTACCACAAAAACTGTCATCCAAGATCCTACTCTGCTCTTTTCATCCTTCGACGTATTGTAACCAACGACTACACGACACATGCTTTTCAGCATACGTAATATCCGAGTTCTTGTACTATGATGGTAGCTTTACCTAATAGTTCTGTCTTTAACCATAGTGAAAATTAGCTTCACTGTCGACAAAGACGATAGAAAGGCGCGAAATAAAACAAAATCCTCACATGAAAATCGGATGGAATCTTATATGATAAGTACTTGATCGTTTAGCCTCCGTCGCCGTCGTTGCCAGAGACGCCCCTCGGTAAAGCACTCATTTTGATAGGAGGCAACTTCCGTCTCACTCTTGATTCCATCACAGACTACGACCAATGATCAACTCCCTCATATCTCACAATGCTGCAAGCATCAAGATCTAGACACACACCAAATTCAAATCCTGGCAGGAAAGTGCCGTACGGTAGTTGAGCCTTATCTCTTAGAAATTTAACAGTTAAGTATCAACTTTGTCAGACGATTTAAGCTTTCGTTGCCCTTCTATCCTCGACCCGATAGAGAGGAGTCGGGAGCTAATTAAATGATAGCAATAGCAGAACAAAAGGGAAAGGCAGAGAGTGCACCAGGCTATCACATAGCCGTCTTGGGGGTTAGCTTGTTATGTTGGGGTGGTCGGCAAGTGCCAAGCGTACCGAATAGTACAAGCCGACTGGTTCTCAACATTGAGGGTCATTGGGTCAACCTCGACCCCATTGGCTTATAGCTCTTTTTTGCTTTTGGATATTGCTGCTTTGCGTGTATCCTCCACCTTACCCTTCCATTTGTTTTTTTATACTGCGTGCCGGATTGGCGGCGACCAAATCACGCGCAGCGTCCGTTTGCCACCAGATTAGCCACAAAAGCACTATTGATTTTGACAGATTAACTTGCAATATCATTGGAAGACTCCTATCCAGCCAGCCGTCGACTTGCAGGATGGCTACCCAAAGTGTTCCCTATTGGGCGAGAGGGTGATAAAGCTGACCCTCTGCAGAGAGCGATTCAATTGTGAAGAGTGTTTATCGCTCTTCTATCACGAAGTTCCCTCGTTTAGTGATACTTTTGACCTCGTCCAGAAACGGCGTATGACTTCTCCGCAAACAGTATTCAAGACAGACACACTAAGCCATATGCTTGTCAAGAACAGGGATGCAACGGACTTGCGTTCGGCGACAAAGCCAGTCTCTACCGCCAAGAAGCAGAGAAGCACGGCAGACACGATGCCAAAACGTATCCCTGCCCAGTGCAGTCGTGTCCGAGGGCTAGGCTTCCCAAGGAAGAGAAACAGAGATCTGCATATCAGTACTCGTGGTAGCGCGGTTTCCGTACTCTAACGACGCAAATAGGACCACGAGCTCGCAGAGGCATGTGGGAGTGCGTATCAGAGACTAACCGTAGTCCATTTAATATTTATTCGCCTGTGCTGTACTTTGCTCCAGAGTCCGAGGAATATTGAATCCAAAATGGCATATCTCATGTATCAACCATATCTTACAGTTTGCTCTGTCCCTCTTGAGGAACCTTGACAACGACCTTTCCCCAGGTCCCTCTACTACCCAAAGACTTCAGAGCATCAGGAACACTCTCCAAGCCCACGAATTCTTTATCCGTAAATACCGTTCCCCTGAATTTCCCTTCATCAATGAGCTTGAAAAGCCCCTGCCAAACGGGCTCCACCATCTCGGGCTCGTTGATGGCATATGCTCCCCAGTGCAACCCCACAATACTGATGTTCTTCAATAATACCTTATTCAATGGCATCTTCTCAATTGCTCCTCCTGCAAACCCAATAACAAGTAACCTCCCATTCCACCTAATACACTTCGTACTTTTATCAATCATGCCCACAGGATCAAATACAATGTCCACACCTCTCCCCTTTGGCGTCAACTTCTTAACCTGATCCGGCCATTTAGGATCCGTATAATCAATGGCATAATCCGCACCAAATGACTTCGCTACATCGAGCTTATGTTTTGTACCCGCCGTAGCAACGACTGTTGCACCGAAAGCTTTGGCAATTTGAACTGCAGCAAGACCAACTCCGCCGGCGGCAGCATGGACAAGAACCCAATCACCAGCCTTGATATTCGCTCGAGTGACCAAAGCACCGTAGCTCGTAGGCGCAGTAACAAACAGGCCTGCTGCTTCGAAGAAACTCCATCCTCTCGGCACGGGTTTCAGCGTCTCTTCTCGGGCGGCTACCTTCGTTGCGTATCCCCCTTGTGAAGCGCCGAATACCCTATCTCCAATTCTATACTTTGGTGTTCTGCCATTTGGGAGTGAGGAAGGGACGGAGATGACCACGCCGGCGAATTCGGAGCCCGAGATCCATGGGAGAGTTGGTTGATGTTGGTATTTTCCGGCGATCTGGAGGAGGTCGAAGAAATTGGTTGCGGAGGCGTGGATTCCTATTAGGTATTGGTCTTTTGCGGGGACTGGGTCGGGCAATTCAGTGACTTTGAGGTCTGATGGACCCTGATTTGGAGGTTAGAAGTGGCTGGTGGGGAGGAGCTTACTTGCCTTGACGTATTCTTTGACTTGTATTCCACGCATTTTGAAGCTTTATTGGATCAATTGAGAGTAGTTAGGAAGAGCAAATCTGTCATAAATGAATGGGAATTGAGAAGGTATTTGGAAGAGGAATAGGAAAGACAAAGCTGAACCGAGATACTGCAGCTCGGAAAGTCCCATGGCGGGGAAATCGAGCCGAGGCTGAACTGGAACTGGGTACGAAATCCATCACGTGTAGCCTTCTCAATCATGACTTGCCTTGCTCCTCAAAGCAGATTCATAAATGATCGGGCGACATATCACTTGATAGAGTCCACTTGATTGTACTGACTGGGGCAAGAACTTTCTTGTGAGCATTGTTGACTCAAAACAGCCCAAGATATTTGAAATTGTGGCTTGAGAAGGCGGTCGACGGAAATGGAAGCTTGTGTTGAGATTCGTTTGAATCATCAAGAGCCCAGCAGCTCATCCAAATTCAATGTACTCGTGATTCTGGAAGATTGAGAAACCAGTTATCGAGGAAATGGAAATAACACTTCTCAAATTTTAATTTGCAGAATTCACCTCGAATTGTTTTGATTGTCCATCTTCTGAGGATCAACGAGACCCTTGCTTGGCGACAAGGCTCCTTCGTCATCTACGCAGCCGCCTCGCTATCTCGATAAATCAACTGCAACGGCAACTGCAACTGCAATTCCAACTCCACATCCAGCTTTGCTCTCGACGAGCTCTCAATCTGCCCACTCTTCGCAGAACATTCGTCCACAGTCCACCGACTGGCCGTGGAAGAACACGAGATGTCTACAGACGACGCTCCGGTCCCCGACACCGAGGTGACCTTCAAGGTCAAGACCTCCAGCGAAGGCCAACACACGGTCACTATGGCAGAGAGCGCCACCGTCTTCGATCTCAAGACCAAGCTCTCGGGAGAGAGTTTCGAGAACGTGTCCGTAGATAGGATGCGCCTGATTTACTCTGGTCGAGTTATGAAGGACCCGGAACCGTTGAGCACGTACAAGATCAAGGCGGGCAATACTGTACATATGGTCAAGAGTGCTCCCAGCAATGCCGCGCAAAATCCTGCCCCCTCTTCTCCTTCAGCAACTGGCTCTGCAGCTCGCGCTGCGCCAGGCGTCCCAACTAACATGGCGGCTGGCACTGCGAACAACCCTCTGGCTGGTTTGACAGGTGCTCGGTACGCTGGCCATATGGGTCTCCCAGGAGCGGAAATGTTCGGTGCGGATGGTGGTGTGAGTTGAACCCATCGTTCAGGAAAATATGGAAGATTATACTAATGATATTCAGATGGGCGCTCCCCCCAGTGAAGATGCTATTGCTTCCATGCTCGAGGATCCTAACTTGCAACAAACCCTGAACGAAGCTCTCAACAACCCCGCCATGATCGATATGATGATCCAGTCAGCCCCAGGTCTGCGAGACAACCCGCATGCCCGAGAAATGTTGCAGTCGCCCGAGTTTAGACGTATGATGACCAACCCAGAGGCAATTAGGCAAGCTGCGCAACTGAGACGATTGATGGGAGGTGGTGGAGGAGCAGCTGCTTTCCCAGCACCAGGGGTCACAGATACCACACCAGCTGGAGCCGCCGGCAGCAACCCAAACGCAACCACACCATTCAATCCCTTCGCAGCGGGTCCAGGGGGAGCAAACCCATTTGCAGCACTCTTCGGCGGCCAAGGTATGCCAGGTACAACACCCACGCAAAGCCCACCTCCACCAGCATCTGCTGGCCAAGGCACACCAGGACAAGGTACACCAGGAGCAGGCAATAATGCACCCGCAAATGCAGCGAACCCCTTCGGATCTCTGTTTGGTACCCCAGGAGCAGGAGGTGCATTCCCATTCCCGATGCCTCAAGGTATTACGCCGGAGATGATGGCACAAGCACAACAAATGGCAGCGAGCGGTCAATTCAACGATCTCTTCGGCGGCCAAAATCCATTCGCTGCATTCGGAGGAGGTGCCGGAGGTGCCGGGGGTGCCGCGAGTCCTCCTCCACCCGCCGACAACAGACCGCCTGAGGAGAGATATGCCGACCAACTAAGACAGCTGAACGATATGGGCTTCTACGACTTTGACCAGAATGTAGCGGCGTTAAGACGATCTGGTGGTAGTGTCCAGGGTGCTATTGATCAGTTGCTGAGATAGGGAGTTTACTTGAGAGGCTATTTTTCATGGTTAGGGAGAACGCAGATGTAATGGCATGATAATTCTATGGCATTGATGGGATAAGTTTGCTGTATTGCAGCGTTGATACATATGCTGGATGTGAGCACGATGCTACATGGCTTGCAATGAATTACCTTTCATGACTCTCTCGGACTTTGAAGATTGTGCTTTCTATAATCTAATTTTTTTTTAATCGTGGTCCGGTTCATTCATATTCTGATTCCGAACTTTAACCTAACCTCGTGGTGGATTAAAAGGCGGCACCCAATTTTGAAAGTCTCAAGTCAAACTTGGACAATTTCAGACACCTCCCCTAACAAAAACCCCTCGGTTTGTGGTACATTCAAAGTCTCCTTTCGCCACCGCTTGTCTATGAAGTTTGGGAACATTCAAATAATGTCTCCCTTTAATGTTCATATTGACCATGTACGTTGAAGGAAGATTGATGCTGCTTTTCTCATCCACCGCAAGCCAATTCCCAAGGTTATATACTTCTTCTAGAAGTTCAGGTAAAAGCTCTAGCTTTCCGTCGACGCAACAACTCTCCTAGTGGTACATCTTCCTCAGCAAGTAGCTCTGCGTTTTCATCAACACCGAAATCCCGGAGTCTATCCCCTTCGGCGTTCGTCCAACCCTCTTCCCCATCAATTCCTTCTTCTACTTCACTCTCATACTCATCTTGCTCGTCATCGACATCCAAACTTTGCTCCAGCCTACGCTGGTAATCTTCTCGCTGTCGCCTCTTAAACGCCTCAACATCCCCCACAGTCCCAACGTCCACCTGCTCATCCACCTTCCTCTTAACTCTCGGCAACTTATCAGGATCCGGAGGCGGCCAAACCTTACCCTCATCCTCGAAACCATTAACCTCAAACGTCGCCGCACTATCAATACTCGGGTTCCCACCAAAAGGTAAGAACCAAGCAAGCACATTCGCCGTCCCCATCCCTTGGACAAGATTCTTCCAGATCCCGATATCGTATGGGAATTCCTGGTGCTCGATACGCACTTTCTGCCCTCCGTTGCCGTAGACCCAACCTCCCGTCTTCCTGGCTCGTTCAACGAGCGCTTCATGTCGCTCTATCTCCCAGCTCTCGATCATTGTTGTGTTTATTGCTAAGCTGTATACTGCTCGCACTAAGAGGATGGATAGTGCGAAGAGGGTGATGGAGTTGACGAGTATGAGTACGAGGAGGTGAGCCATTGCCCAGGTGGGGGGACCGAGGTAGGCGGGTAGGTTGCGGTTAGAGAAGAGGGCAGAGGCGCGGATGAAGAGGTGGTAGGTTAGTATAGACATGCTGATCACGGCGTATAGGACGAAGCGGAGAAAGTGGGGGAATGTGGTGTGTGAGACGCAGTTTGTGGTCCAGGGGCAGTGGTGGTCCATTTTGGGGATACATCTGTTCCAGTAATCATTAGCAGAGTGTTTACTGGGAAATGCGAGGAGGTGGAAGTACCGTCCACATTTTCTGCAATGATGTGCTCGTGGAGGCTTTGCAGCATCGCATTTCTTGCACCACCGTAGTCTCCCTTTCAGGATCAAGTTGGCTATGTCTATAGCCTCGTCCCCACTGTCATCTGCAGCTCTAATCGTTTTGTCAACCCATCCTTTTGGGCCTGGATCAACAGAGCATGCACGATCGTAGCACAACCATATGCCGAGCACGAGGACGTTGAACCATATTGCCTCTGTCTTCGTTAAGGGGCCAGGCTCGATGTAGTAGAAGAGGTACTGAGATGTGTAGGCCAGGAAGATAATGAGGATCGAGACGGCTGGTACTGCTAGATCCTCGAAATTGAATGGGCACGGAGGACGAAGTCCAAATCTGGTCATGTTGACGGGCTATTGAAGCTGGCACATTGATTCTTGACTCCCAGCCAGCCTCGTAGCCTTGCTGAGATTCGCTACTGCCGAGGTAATCGATTTACTGAACCTCTGGTCCCTGTTTCATTGATGTTGGCTGTAGCCAACCTCGCAGCCTTGTTCGCATTCGGTACGGCCGAGCATTACGTGGGTGGAGTCCTGGAGTCCGGGGGGATGTTGCACCGCGTCGGCCTCGGGCTGGCTGAATAAAAACAAAGTAGCCGAGATGATGGTTACTAATCTATTTGAGGACGATGGTTGGCTCCTGCTCGACCGGCACAACATCCCTCCGCCAAAAGAAGAGAAAGTCTCGCCCGCTTCGCATTCGCGAGCATTTCAAGCCTATCAGCCAGACATGGAATTTTTAACTCCAGTTTTCATCTTGCAACTTTGTCCCGACTTTATGGAGTCCGACCCGTTGCAAGGCAATCACAAGGCAATTTGCACTCGCACTCGGGTTTATGGTTGCTAAGAGTGGGTTACCTCCTTTGACTCTTGGTTATCGCTGCTTTTTTCTCTCCGCGTCTCTTATTATAAGAAGGGACCTCGAAGTTGAGGTTCTAGTGAATCATCACCATCACCATCTTATTTTGTCAATTCACAGGACTACAAAAGGCAATTGTATATCTGACTTCGACTTCTCGAACCCTTGCGGGCCTGCTCCGTCACCACCATCATCCTCTACCCCCGTCTCTCAACCCTTGCATCGATAACAAAACATTTTGTACAACAAACCTTGGGGCATACAGCAACCATGGTGGACCCTAACTTAGACGAGGCTCTCACAGCCGAGAAAACAATAGAGATCCCCCCCACGTCATCAGACAACGCAACTCTCCCAGGCGACAAGGAATCAACAAACATGCCTTCCCTTGAGGCAGCTACCCCAGCTTTCAAACCTTCAAGAGGTTTCCTCCTGGCATTTACCTCGATATGTATTATTACACTCGCAGCAGCCCTCGACGCCACTTCGTTGAGTATCGCACTTCCCATCATCACCGAGAAGTTGAAGGGAACAGCTATTGAAGCTTTCTGGTCCGGCACGTCATTCCTGCTCACTTCGGCGGTCTTTCAACCAGTTATTGCCGGCTTGAGCCATGTATTCGGTAGGAAACAGGTATTACTATCATGATTCAACGCTGGGATCATTCACTGACTGTATGATACAGTTGGTCCTCGCATCAGCCCTCTTCTTCGCTGTTGGATCCATCGTTGCTGCAGTTGCAAACAACTTCACAATGATGATCATTGGAAGAAGTATTCAGGGTATTGGTGGCGGTGGAATCTTGACCCTGGGCGAAATCCTTGTTACGGATTTGGTGCCTCTTTCTGTTAGAGGAGGTATGTTTTCCTCTCCCCCATCAAACTTCATAACTGACATCCTCTAGCTTGGTTTGGATACCTTGGTTCTATGTGGGCCATTGGATCCGTAACGGGCCCTTTGATGGGAGGCGCTTTCGCCCAGCGTGTTTCGTGGCGCTGGATCTTCTGGATCAATCTCCCCATCATTGGACTCGGAACGGTTGCCATCACCCTCTTCCTTAAGCTCGCACAGACCCCCGGCAAAGTGCTAGAGAAGGCACGGAGATTCGATTGGTTTGGTTCTGCCTTCTTTATTGCAGCCATGGTTTCCTTCTTAATCCCATTGACGTGGGGAGGCGTCATGTATCCCTGGTCGTCATGGCATACACTTTTCCGTAGGTGCTGGGGGAGAAACCCTTTCCTATTTGCGACTGTTTCATGAGATTTTCCTAAGACAAAGTCCACTCCCGAAACAATCCCAATTGAGCAATTGCTGACATCCTCGTTACCTAGCCCTTCTCATCGGCATCGCAGGCGTCGTTGCGTTCGGATTCTACGAACGCAGACTTTCGAGCAAGGCTTTCGATGCGGAGGGCGGTCTTCTTCCAGGCAACAACATCGAACCCATAATCCGGTACAGTATCTTCAACAATACAACGATGCTTGTCACCTATATGGAGACCATTCTTCATGGCATCGTCCTTTGGTGCTTACTGTACTTCCTTCCCCTTTACTATGAGGCAGTCAAGGGCTACACACCAATTATCTCCGGCGTTGCAATCCTGCCAGAAACAACCTTCGTTGCTCGTAAGTCCCTCCGCCATTTTTTGCCACGAATATACTAACAACCATCAGCAATGAGTGTGATAGTCGGTATTGTCTGCGCAAAGACAGGTCGCTATAGGTGGGCGATATGGACCGGCTGGGCAATGACCACCTTCGGAGCTGGCCTACTCGTCCTCCTTGGCCCCGACACAACCATAGTCCAATGGGTCTTTCTCAACTTCTCCGTCTCAATCGGAACGGGAATGCTCTTTCCAGCAATGGCACTCGCTATCCAAGCAGCTGGTCGCCCTCAGGACGCAGGTCATGCCGCAGCATTTTACAGCTTCATCCGTGTCATCGGTCAATCGCTCGGTGTTGCACTCGGTGGTGTCATCTTCCAGAACCAGATCAAGCAAAAGCTTATGTCTTACCCATTGCTTGCTCCTCTGGCTGGAGAGTACAGCAAGGATGCCACCGCTCTGGTCGGCATCATCAACAGAATGAGCGAAGGAGTCGAGAAGACGCAGCTGGTATTAGCCTACGCCGATTCTTTGAAGACGATCTGGATTGTGATGTGTGCGCTGAGTGCTGTGGGTTTGGTGGCTAGTCTTTGGACGAAGAAGTACTCCCTTGATCAGGAGCATAAGACGGCGCAGGGTTACCAAGGAAATACTCGCGAGGCCGATCCTGAGAGCGGAGCAGATATTGAGAGTATTTCTCCGAGTTTGAGGGAGTTGGATAGACTTGCCATTCGAAGAACTGTCTCAAGAGGGACGGTGTCGAGGACTGTGTCAAGGGTTTGAAGTGCTTGAGAAACAAACTCTGGTAAGGTGTATGATATGGGTTTGATGGTAGATCTGGGTCTAAATGAGCGCACTAGTTTCATATTGGGGTTGCATAGCACAGCATGGCGTTGGTGGATAGGTACAGCGATTTCTTTAGAAATAGACAGCGCTGACTAGAGAAATAATAATTAATATAAGATCTTACAATCTCAGATTTCTCTCCTCGACCCAACGCTGAAGTTCACATCTGAGTGAACCATCTCACTAGACACTGTTTGACCAGTAGCCCGCTTTATACGTGGAGCGAGACATCTCAAATGGGAAAGCACAGTCAGAACCCAAAGCAACCAAATTAAACAGATACACTCTAGCTTAATAGCAAAGTATGCCTGAAGGCCTCTCCCGATTCCAAGTTCTCCTCAAACCGGAACCTAAAAATAACTCATGCAGAGCTTCTTGCAAGGAAGCTTGAGGCCATGTCAGCTCTTCAAGGGGTTCTCGAGCTGCAAGGAACAAGTTGTACCAAGATTGGCTCGTACAACTGATCATTCGAATGCTTAGGATAGCATCGCACTGCCAGCACATACAGGCAAAAAAAGAAATAGGGTGGTCACTCCTGCTAGCGTCATTCGTCAGGGGTTTCAATAAGCGAGGAATAATGACCCACTATAGCTGCGTCATCTGCAACCACTCCCCTCCTCCTTGAACTCTTCTCAATCAATTGTGCTCCAAACCTATCAGTACAAACAAAATCTTCCAAGAGCTTTCCAGCTTCGCATCCATTCAAACATCAAGGTACGTACATCTCTGCCAAGGTAAACAAGAGCTTCGGCTTCATCAATGTTCCATTGAGATCAGTTGAGTACCCCGCTAACAGGCGTTTCAGATGAGCTACAACGACGACCAGCAAGGCGGCTATGGAGGCGGAAACAATTATGGCGGTGGCGAGGAGCGACGTGGAGGTGGTCGGGGAGAATATGGAGGAGGCCAGGATAACTATGGAGGTGGACAGCAACAGGGTGGCTATGGTGGAGGTAGACAGGAAGGTGGTTATGGAGGCGGCCAGGATAACTATGGAGGCGGACAGCAACAGGGTGGCTATGGTGGAGGTAGACAGGAAGGTGGTTATGGAGGAGGCAGACAGGAAGGTGGCTATGGAGGAGGCAGACAGCAAGGCAATCAGGGGGGTTATGGTGGAGGGGGTAAGTCTACCAAGACATTGTCCCAGTTCTCCCAAAATAATCCACATCGGGCACTTGCTAACTCTCATCAGGTAACATGCCACAGGGCGGCAAGTAAGATCTACCCACATGAGCACGATTGTACAAAAGACTGACTGAACAACAAGCTACGGTGGAGGCGGAGGCTATGGAGGCAGCGATGACGATGATCTGTCCAGCGCAGCTCATCACGCTCAACAACACGCAGGAGATTCAGGCGACTCTGGACTCTTCTCTGGCGTCTTGAGCCAACTTGGTCAGAACAAGCATAACATTGGAAACCAGCCAATTGATGAGCAACGTATAGGGCATTCTTCTCTTGATGTATGGGCAATCGCTTACCGTTCACAGATGCTGTCCAATCTCATCAGCAGTTCTTCGGCGGAGGAGGCGGTGGCGACCAACAAGCTAGTAAGAACACCTGGTTTCCCGGATTTTGTTCAGATGGCTGCCGGGACATTCTGAAATGATTGCTGACTCTCAATGTGCAAGGCTCCGGTTCAATGGGTTCTGCTGCTGCCATGCAAGCGTTGAAGATGTTCACTGGTGGTGGAAGTGGCAACTCTGCAAGCGGAAATTCTCAGAATGCCTTCGTTGGTATGGCAATGGCTCAAGCAAGCAAGCTGTTTGATAGCCAGTCTTCGCAGGGTAATGTTGCTTCTGGGGCATCCAAAGAATCTGCTGTTCAGCAAGCTGGAGAGATGGCTTTAAAGATGTACATGCAGAGCCAGGGAGGCGGTGCGTCCGGCTTGATGGGACTTGCTAGCAAGTTCTTGTAAAGGGGTCTGAACTGGCAATAAGGTGATCGGTATTCGGGACATGGGAAATGAGAAACGATCTTTGCGATGGCCTTTATGATTCTTTACGAGAAAAAAATAGCTCGATGCAGTTGGTAGAGCAAATGCGACGAACTTACTATGCAATCTGACATTGTATGAAGGACGAGGAGACTTTCGTGCTCTCACACCTTAAGTCAACGATTGCAGACTTTATCCCTAGATCTTGAGTGATATAGAACGCGGAAAAAAGTAAGTAACTTGGGTGTGCCTTCCCAACCTCAAAGTTGAATGATCTACAAGTTGAGCGTCGTCGAGCGGAGCTTTAAGGCTTAGACCTCACCAGATGTTCGAATCCAGAAAAAAGGACACATAATGCCCGTTGCCTCAACTTATTAATCGTATATGTTTGCCATACATTCTCAATCACAGTAAATCACGTATCGCCTCTCGAAAAGGGAGTTGTTTGCCCACTATCGGGCTTTGCCAAGTGCCGGCTTTTCCCGATAAGCAGGAGCAGTACCCGTGCATAGAACCTTGAAAGTAGTCGTATATTAATTCACTTGCAAAGATGTTAAGCAATTAAGCATGTTCTAGCATGCTTAATGTAATAGTCGATCTCCTTTCTCTGTTCGCTAAGCGACGCGAGCAGAGAAGGGAGACCGACTATTAAGCCTTATGAAAATGAATTAACATTGGACGGCATTGATCGATTAGAGGGTGTTCTGCCACAAGTAAACTGAGCGCAAGCCAAGTTTCTTGCTCCTTCTGGATTTCTTTTGCCATTTTGAAACGACAATGATGGTGGTTTGTAATCGATTTTTTTGCATGTTTTTTGGGCGCTCGCTTACAGAAAAGGGGGCAGTTCCCGCTCCACCCCGCCGCTCCGCTCCCCACATATTTCATCCAAAATCTGCACCTTTTCAAAATCACAAAATCGTACGATTTTCACATTTTCACATTTTCTCACATTCTCAGACTTAAACTTAAACTTCTTTCAATCTCATCTCATCGTCAAACATGCCACCTAAGAGAGGAGTCGAAGAGACGAAGAACAATGTTGTCGCCTTCGGCCGTGTCAGGAAGAATCTCAAGATGGGATGTGTGGGCTTGCCAAATGTGGGGAAGAGCTCGTTGTTCAATCTGCTGACGGAGCAGAGTGCAGCTGCAGAGAGCTATCCTTTCTGTACTATAGAACCGAATGAGGCGAGGTGTGCTGTACCAGATATTCGATATGTAAATTTCGGGATCCCGTTTTGAGATTTTGGAAGTCTTGCGATGGAAATAAGATGAAGTATTTGGGAGAACGGGGTTTGTATCATAATAAGATGTTGAGTCATGGAGAGTTCTGAATGAATACGAGTTGTAAAAGTATAGCCAATAGAGCTGATATCTCAAGAGGACTTCCTCTGCGGTCTCTGGAAGCCACCTTCCATGTATCCAGCCTACCTGCAAGTAACAGACATTGCGGGTCTCATCAAAGGCGCATCCCAAGGCGAAGGTCTCGGAAACGCTTTCCTCTCACATATCCAAGCCGTAGATGGGATGTTCCACATCGTTCGCGCCTTTGACAACGACGAGGTGCTGCACGTCGATGATTCGATCGACCCTGTCAGAGATTTGAGCAAGTTTATCTGCTGTTCTTCTCCTGTTTAATTTTAATGGTTGGTGTGGTGGGTAGATACTATCCAGAGTGAGCTGTGTAAGAAGGACCTGGGTAAGTACCGCAAACCACGAGTCGAGAGATATAGAGACGTGCTGATAGGAGTAGATATCCTCGCCAAAGCCATCACCTCCGAAGAAGCAGTCGTCCGCAAAGCTGGCGGGAAATTCAAAATGAACCCCCTATTTCCCAGCACAGTAGCCAAGATCAAAGCGGTAAGGACTCATTTGACCCCCCTTGCCTTCAAACATCACCTAACGAAAGCAAAGATGTTAGAACAAGACCAGCCCGTCCGAGACGGCGTCTGGACAACTGCAGAAATCGAGCTCATCAACGAGAAGGCACTTCCTTCCCATCTCCTCCTCATTCTACTCTCACTAATCAGTACCTTGGATGAAAAGATGTCCCTCATAACAACCAAACCAACAATCTACCTTGTTAACCTCACAATGAAAGACTACCTGCGCCAGAAATCCAAATACCTGCCCTCGATCGCCGCATGGGTAACCTCTCACTGCGGGACTCCCTAGGGATGTCATCCCGTTCTCTATTGAGTTTGAAGAGAAAGCGTATTCGCTGCGCAATGATCCTGATGCTTTGAAGACATTCCTGGGGGAGGGCAAGGTGAAAAGCAGGCTGAAGAAGATAATAACCGAAGGTACTGTACTTGCCTCCTCCCTGTCTTTCCCTTCCATCTCGATCAAAGCCTCTGACATAAAAAAAATGAAACCAGGGTTCACAAAACTCGGCCTCCAATACTACTTCACAGCCGGCGAGAAAGAAATCCGCTGCTCCGCGCGGGTGTCTCGCGCCTCAAGCCGCAGGCGCTATCCACACGGATTTCGAACGCGGTTTCATCAAAGCCGAGGTCGTTGCTTATGCTGATTGCCACGATCTGTGTGACGGCGCGAAGAGTATGGCGCCGATTAAGGCAGCGGGGAAATATCGCCAGGAGGGAGGCAAATATGTCGTGCAGGATGGGGATATTATTCATTTCCAGTTTAGTGAGTTTGAGAATGCAAAGGGGACGGAAGAGAGGCTAATCAGTGGGTGTAGATGTTGCGCCGAACAAGTAGAGGAGGGAGGAGGGGGAGGGGAGATGGATGATAGAGAGACGGATGATTGGTGGAAGATGGATAGGGAGTGATGACTTCACCCAACGAAAAAAGCTTTTTTAAGAGCATGGGAGGTTTCTGGACAATGGGGTATGTGCATACCGACCATCTCCATCATCTACACATGGTCTACTGCTAGTTACAAGCACCATTAATATACAGCGGCTTGTGGTACCCCATCAAAAGCAAGTAGCTCTGCAAGCTACAATAGGACGCTCCAAAACGCCTCTGCCAATAGCCATATGTGCTAATTGCTCTATCATACTCATTTTCCCTTGTTTTCTGCCCAATGAATAAAATGAAATCTAATGAGAGTGTCCATCATGATCTGAATGTTCGTGCTGAGACTCTACAGCTTTGGGAGAACAGCAACCTTTTCCTGCACAATCATCCACGCACTCTAATAAACAAGAGTCGTCGTCGAGTCCACATCTCGCTTGGCCCACGATGCCATCAAGGCCAACTACACCTCCTGGTCTCTCAACGTTATGATCGTGGTCCTTGTCGAGACAGAATTCTGGCTGAATGGTCGCACTGTGAATGCCATACGCATGCAAGCACTTTCTGACAGCCTTTGCTAAGTCCATATATTTCTCACCTCCCGCTTCGCTGATAGGGAACTCGCATTGAATATGCATCGATGCGACGATCTGCGTATCGCTCAGTTGCCAGACGTGAACATGGTGACAGCTGATAACACCAGGAAGTTCTTGAATATCTTCCTTGATGTCGTTGACATCAATATGGTCAGGGGTTGCCTGAAGAAGGATCTTGGCGGTGGCTGAAGTTAAAGGAATCGTGGACTTCAGAATGATGATTGTGATGAAAAGCGAGACGGCTGGATCAGCGTAGAATCGTCCGGACCAAGCGGTGAGCCAGATGATAAGCGCAGAGACGATGACTCCGATGTTGCCCAAAGCATCACCAATAACGTGTAGGATCATAGCATTCATTCCCATATCTCCGTGGCTGTGACCATGACCTCCTTTTGAAGCCTTCTTCGGCTTGTTGTGACGGTGACCCACATGCCATGATTCGTGTCTTGGATGATCCGCGGGGTTGATTTGGTCATTACTTGCGCAAATCCCATTTCCGTTTTGCTTCCCATTAGATGCGCGTAATAGAGGAGAGTTCTCGTTGGGATCGTCCTCGTCCTCGACTGCTTCTTCTTCTGATGCAGTGTTATCTCCACTGTCAATTCCGTCAAGCGGTGGTCTGCTCGCCGCAATGATATTTTGTCTGAAGCTCGCTGGATGAATGCTGATATCATTGATGTTGGTGAAGCGGCCAATGCTGCTTGTTCTTCTTCTTCCATATTTCCTTGAAGATGTTCGACTGGCAGATCTGCCCAAGGAACCAGTGCTATCTTTCGATGGGCTGGGAGCTTCATCGGCAGTAGTAAATCGGAGTTGTTGGGCTGATTTGGACTTCATTTTCGCAACGACAGCCTCTGGAAAGACCTCACCAGCATGGCCAGCGTGTTCAATAGCCTCCTCAGCTGTATGTCCTTGAGCATCATGGCTGTGGTCACTATGTTCGTGGCTGTGACCTTCCTCCGCTGCTCTTACTTCGTCGCCATGGGAGTGCTCGTGTCCCTCTCCGCCATGAGAGTGACCATGTCCTCCAAGAACCAGAAATCCTGCCAAGTTGGAAGCTAGGCCTAAGGATCCAACAATAAGAATAAGCTTCGGGTTGCTGATTTCGGGAGGGTCAATGAGACGTGTGACAGCTTCGAGGACGATTGACATGCAGAGTGCGATTAAGAACACAGCATTGAAAAAAGCTCCTAGAATTTCTGCCCGTAGCCACTGTAGTCGTTTAGCTTGTGTTCCTTATACTCTCATTCTTCCAACTGACCCCGAATGTGTATTTATCCGTTGATGACTTCGACGCAGCTTTCACAGCCCACAGTCCGACGACCAACGATATGATATCATTCAACTAAGCACACATTAGTTTTTCTCTTGCATTCACGGCTCGTGCTCTCATGCGAACCATATGGAAAGCGTCGGCCATCAATGCCAATGATCCAACGAAAAGCCCCACTCCCAATTCAAGGACGAAGAAGGCAGCATCGATGGCGAGCATTATTGTGATCCGCGTTGACTTTGACCACGCCATCTTGAAGACGTTGAGGCTCGCGCCCCGATAGTCAAATGGTCTGTTGTGAGGTTGTTGATGTCGTTGTCCCTGAGGGACTTCGTACTTTGCGGCTCGAAATGAGGAGGCGTCGTTCGTTATCGGGCGCCTGCCAATCCTCGCCACCTTTTCTCGGATATCGAAGAGCGAGCGCTCGGGATACGAAAGTCAATGATCAACCTTTTAAGATGGCAAAGAATGATCCATATAAGAGCGCCTCACGCCCAAGTGGCCGGCTTCAAGTGATGACAAAGAAGCTGTACATTGGTGTGCCTAGAAAAGAGGAGAAGTCCATGGCGATGCGCGGATTGGGATTGTGTGGTTTGATTTGCCGATCATGTTGCCCTCTTAAGAAGACGATTTTTCTTACTGCGTAAGCGAACGAGAATCACGTGACAAAAGGAGATATGATGTGGATGCGATCACTTCCAAAGTTTGCTCAGAGTCTGAAAGATCAGATAGAAAGATAACAGATAAGAATTTAAGTACCGAGAAGGGAAGGAGTCCAGAATTAAGCGGGGTGCCAAATTGTGGTTTTAGTCTTTTTTAAGGCTCTCAGGCATTGAAGTCTTTCGAACGTCCTGGATTCATGGGAAGATTCGAATGCTGAACTTTGCCAATGTTCGTTCCATGAAGTCCTTATACATGAGGTCACCCTGAAATGCATCATGCCAATTGAGTCTTTCTGACTTGTTACAAATTGTGCACGGTGGCAACTTGTAATGTTCTTTTAAGTTCATGTTCTTTGCCAGTAGGACAACTTGGGGTGATCGGCACGGTTTAAACTGGCGGCACATTGATCATAAGATGTGACTTTTGGCACTAATTCGAATACATGAAAGGTACTGATCCGTTTGAAAGGCACGCAAGAATGGAGGAGGCAATATCCTGGATTTCCTCGATCTAGGGAGCTAGATACACAATCCAACATTTCCTCTTGACCTCCCCAACCCAGATCGTATCTTCTGGAAACTTTCCGGTATGTTCGCCGGGGGTGTGAATATTGTTCAATATCGTTTGGTGGCATGTGGGATACGCATGTACACTCAAAGATGCCTTCGTCTTAGCCGGGTATCAGCCACATGGCGGTTATAGTGCCCACCGTGCCGAGAAAAACCTTCCAATCATGACCTTTTGCTCGGCACTTTCTGGCAAAGTGGGATTCGTTATCAGAGCTCGGTCGGCTCGTGATGCCTATCGATACATTAGATTATTGGGATTTGCTCAACCCAGGTTCTCCTTCTCAATGTCGATTGTTATCAAGAGGGCCAGGAAAAGTGTCAACAACTAAGCAGAGACATGAGTCAAAGATCAACCTAAATTTAGAACAACTTGATAAAACTCACGAGGAACACCCCCCCTGCTAATAGGACTATCTCGAAGCCTCCAGATATCGCTTTCCCCCTGACCATTGCATTTTGGGACCTCCAGGTCCGAAAGGATCCAATAGCGAGAGTATAGATTGCAGCTCCTTGACAGATACACGACAAAGGCTTCCCGAGAACAAAGAAGCCAAAGTGTGCGTTTGGCTGGGGCGCGTGTTGGAGGCGGCTGTGACGAATGAGTATGTATCCCAGAGAAAGAATTAAAGAGGAAACTTGCAAGAGTTGGGCGATAGTTACTCCAATCATGGATAGCGCCAACGAGGTCCTGAGATAAGAAAGAAAGGTTCTTTCAAGTGCTGCAGAATGTTAGTGACACCTCCATTGCATCGTGTAGAACACTGGTGATGGACGTAAGGAACTTGACACGGGGAGTGATCCCGCTTTCGCCTCTGCCTTTTTTAATGAATGAATAAAAACAGGGTCTTGGCAACCGTCCAATATACAGAAGCATGCAAATTAACGAGGCTGTCAAGATACCAGGTGACGTGATGCACTGGCAGTTCGGGATCGGCCACCGAGAACACAATCAGGCAGGACAGAAATTGACGAGTTTACTTTATCTGAAGAGCAGGAGCGGGAGAGAAGGATTCGCAAGACATACCAAGATGGTCGCGGCACGTACGGTGCTCAACCGTGATGCTGATCTGATGCCGCCAGAACCCGGAGACGACATAAGTGAAGCGTTCCAAGGGGCCGGATGGCTTCTTGGATGTGGTGCTCGAACCCTGGGGCCGGTGGGACGAAACGCGGCTATAATTGCGTCTTAACCGCGCCAGCTCGGTGTCTTCACGCGCGTCTCTGTCAATATCGCCGGATACGCGCGCCGGCGAGTCGTCCGAGTCGAGGTGGCCGAGATGGGGCTCATCTCCTTGGGCGCGGGGTGCCTGAGAGATATGATCCGAGGTTTCAGCCATGGCTGCAAGCGCGGGTGCAGATCTCTGTATGGAATAGTGTGCTTGCAACGCTTCTAAGGTAGACTTCCAGCATGGATTGGCGGCGGCGAGGCTATCATGGTTGAAGCGCTGAGGAATTGGCTGGATGGCGGAACAAGGGAAACTGTGAAAGATGCAGTTGGTTGTTGTCAAGCGTGTCGGTGTGTCAAGTTCCCCTGATTAGATAAGATCCCAGATGATGGCTCGCTAATCCAACGAGTGCGCGGAGGGGAAAGTGCACGGGCCGTGGAGCGATCCAAACACCGTCATCTCCAATTCCATTCCGCTCAATTTCAATTCAATTCAATTCATCCGACTCAAACATCCCAACATCGCAACATTGCAACATCAAATGCAAACCTTCACCTGCAGCTACGGCGTTGCAGAAGCACAACCAGGCCGACTCGACTCGAGCAACATAGACGCCGGCTCCGCCACGGTGCGCAATCGTCGCCTGGCATCTCGCTCCGCTCCTCCATCTTCGCTGAAGTGCCGGTGGTTTTGTAGCCCGTAGGTTACCGATTTCTGCCACGGCGTGGCTGGGAAGGCGATTTCGGCCCGGAGGCCCGTTCGGAATGCTAATTACGGCCAAACCTCGACACAAGGACCCTCCCTGGCCCCCTTCGAGAATCGAGAGCGTCACTGGAGAGCCCACGCGACTTGCTGGATCTGCAATGCACACCATCTGCACGGTATTCCGTCGCCGGACTAGGCCTTTGGCCTTTGGCCTTTGCTGCAACTTCGCCCCCAAATTCCCGCCTCCCAAATCGGCTACTGTACACGAGAGAGATGGCTTTAGGCCCCCGAGATGAGCAGTGCAGGCCGGCATACAGCAATGCGGCTTCCTGAGCGTTGAGCCTCGAGATGGCTCTCTTCCGGACAGTCGGTCGAGCATTGCCAGTTCCTCATTACTTGCTGATTGCCACTACCGAGGTCCCTCCGCCATCTCCATCTCCCGGCCCCACCGACAAGGAAAGTTTCCGTCGTGTTTTTCGCTCGCCAGGTCGAGAGGCTCGCAGTCACGGTCCGCCCAAACCGTTGGAGCTCGCAATAATTAACGCTGTCGTCACTCGACTGAGTCGACTCACTCCCAGCGAGCCCTGCCGCGCCCCGTCGCCTCCGTCGCCCCCACACATTGGCCCAGCTGGTTGCGCTATCAACCACCACCCGCAGTTGGCCTGCTTGCGCTGCCGGAGTGCCTTCCTGCCTGCACTGTGGCCTGTCCTACGGAGTACACGTAAGTTGGTCGGCTGGCTCGGCTGGCTCCGTGTGGCTCTCTTCGCACCTATCCTGGGCGTAGCAGTAGCCTGTCAGTGGAGGCTGTGAGTCGCCGGCCTACCAACACCAATTCCTCAGCATACTCATAAACCCAAATTCCGTAGTGTCCTTCCCATTCAGCCGTGGCGCCTTCAAAATGTGCTGTCCCCATAATTCTCGTCTCATCTTGCTTTTGCTGTCTCTCTACACGCGGAAGTGTGGCTTCTTTATCCGCTTAAACATCGGTTAGAGATATTGCACCTGGGCACCTGATCCCGTACTTTGTCACTCTCTAATCCCATTCAATATCAATTGTATTTAGGAAGCTCCTTCCCAGCTCGTCGTAACTCTGGAATCTTTTTTGAAGTGTACCGTCTCTTGTTCACAGTCGACGGTCGTTGAGAGCTCTAGCCACAATTCGCCACATCTAGCCTGTTCTGTGTTGCAAAACAGCTCCTCCAGTGTGCAAGAAGTTGTGATACGAGGTTCGATACAAAAAGCGTGTGATATTGTGGCCAGAACTCTACCTCATGGCTTCCAGGACGATATCGTCGGATTCGACGGACAGTGTCTTCGACGAAGATCGTTCTAGCGCAGACACAGGTACTCCGCCAAGCTCGGAACTTTCACCACCAGACAGCCCAACTAGCAAGAGTCTGACTCTGACTCAAACGGACGATAAGAGAGCAGATGCCAGGGAATTGGCTGCGTCACTGTCGTTGGAGGAACAGGTAAGGCACTCCTCTGACCTGTCCCCTGTCCGAAGAACAATTTTATGTTGACAATATTCAGGTCTCTCTATTAACGGCAGCCGATTTTTGGAGGTCGAAGTCGATTCCAGAGAAAGGAATACCGGCTTTCAAGACCAGCGATGGCCCGAACGGCGCTCGTGGGGCAATATTCAAGGCGGGGACAAAGGTTCGATATCAATGGCTGAATGTCAGACAAACAGTTCTAATGATCATTTACAGGCCGCCCTGTTTCCTTGCGGGGTCTCCTTAGCCGCAACTTGGAACAAGAACATCCTCTTTAGTGTCGGTCAGCATCTCGCAGATGAAGCAAAAGCAAGGTCAGCTCAAGTACTATTGGCACCAACCGTTTGCTTGCACCGTGGACCCCTTGGTGGACGAAACTTCGAATCATTCTCAGAGGATCCATATTTGACTGGAAAGCTTGCTGCGTCATATATCAATGGCCTACAAGGAAAAGGTGTTGCTGCAACGATCAAACGTGAGTAGATTGTCGTCAAGCCATAGTCACGTGTCAGTCACTAATTGCCACCCACGCCAGACTTTGTCGGGAATGAACAAGAAACGGAAAGATTCCATATCGACTCGATAATTCAAGAGCGTCCCCTTCGTGAACTGTATCTCCGACCGTTTGAGATCGCAATTCGGGAAGCAAATCCATGGGCTGTGATGTCGTCTTACAATTTGGTTAATGGCGTCCATGCAGATATGAACGAGCATACATTGAAAGACATATTACGAAAAGAATGGCAATACGATGGGTTAGGAATCCCATGATTTCATGTTTCTTCTGCTAACTTCGGAATCGCAGAATGGTAATGTCTGATTGGGGCGGAGTCAATTCATCCGTGGAAGCTATAGAGGCAGGGTGTGATATTGAGATGCCAGTAGGAACAAAATGGCGTGGAGCCGAAACTTTGAAAGCTGTTACAAAAGGCGAGATAAGCAGGCAGGCTATCGAGAAAGCTGCTGCGAATATACTATACTTTGTCGAGCGGACGAAAGGGAATAATTTGTCGCCTGAGCCAGCGGAGCGAGAAGATGATCGAGAAGAGACCCGTCAATTGATTCGAAAGGCAGGAGTTGAAGGTTTGGCTCTACTGAAGAACGCTGGAAACCTTCTGCCAATCAAGCCGTCTCAGAAAAAGATTGCTGTTATCGGGCCCAATGCCAATCGAGCAATAGCTGGTGGTGGGGGAAGCGCCAGTCTCAACCCCTATTACAGCACCCTTCCCTTGGAAAGTATCAAGGCAGTCCCTGGAACGCAGGTACAATATGCTCCCGGGTGCCATACATATAAATGGCTGCCACTAGCCGCCGATTATTGCACGACTTGCACAGGGGGGAAAGGCGTCGCTTTGGAATTCTGGATTGGAGACAAATTCGAGGGGGAACCAACGGTACGCCAGATAAGGACAAATACTGATCTCTTCATGTGGGATTCCGTGCCGCTTGAAGTGGGCAAAGTATGGTCTTGTCGTGCAAAGACATTCTTGACACCAAGAGCCACCGGCCTACATACAATAAGTTTCTCGAGTGTTGGGGCTGGCAGACTTTTCGTCAACGGCAAGTTGAAGGTTGACGTTTGGAATTGGACAGAAAAGGGCGAGGCCATGTTTGGAGACTCTCAACAAATTCTTTTTGACGTTCAACTAGAGGCCGGAAAGCCCATTGAATTGCTCGCCGAGATGACTAACGAGGTGCGACCAATGCGAAGGCAAAAATTGGAAGGTAAAACACACGAGTATGGCGGAGTACGGATAGGCTACAAGGAGGAGGATAAGAAGGACTACCTGAAGGAAGCCGTGGACGCCGCAAAAGCTTCAGATGTTGCGATCGTGATCGTGGGATTGGATGGAGAATGGGAGTCAGAAGGTTACGATCGAAAGACGATGGATCTGCCAAAAGATGGTAGTCAAGATCGTCTCATCGATGCGGTCCTGGAAGCAAACCCAAGAACGATCGTAGTCAATCAATCTGGATCGCCAGTAACGATGCCTTGGGCAGATCGCGTTCCTGCAATTATCCAAGGATGGTACCAAGGGCAAGAAGCTGGAAATGCCTTGGCTGACGTTCTCTTTGGGTTCAAGAACCCGAGCGGAAAGCTTCCAGTACGTATATTCTGCCTAATTCCAGGCTCATATTTCTAACAACTTCGCAGACCACATTTCCAAGGAGGCTCGAAGATAACCCAACATTCCGCAACTGGCCTGGTGAGAACATGAAAGTGGTCTATGGCGAAGGAATCTACATTGGATACCGCCACTATGAGAGCATGAAGATTGCACCTCTCTTCCCCTTTGGCCATGGCCTTTCTTACACAACCTTCACATACGGCAAACCGACAATTAGCAGCAACATTCTCTTCGAGCCCGACAGGATCACCGTCACAATTCCAATCACAAACAGTGGATCCATGGAAGGTGCTGAAATCGTCCAAGGATACATCCACGACGAGAAGTCTCGATTGCCACGACCGGAGAAGGAGCTGCAAGCTTTCGACAAGGTGTTCTTGAAGCCAGGAGAGACCAAGAATGCCACCTTGACTTTGGACAAGTATTCTGTTGGATACTATGATACAGAGATACCAGCATGGATCGCCGAAGAGGGTGTTTTCATTGTACTCGTTGGGGCTTCCTCTGCAGATATCAGGTACGTTCTTCCTACAGCTTCTCGGAAACCCTTCTATTCAAACCATTCTAACAAAGATTCCAGAGCAGAAACCTCATTCGAAGTTAAGAAGTCGTTTACTTGGGTTGTTTAATTGATCAATGGGACATATGACTGCTAAACCGGACGCAATTATACACCTTGCTGCCACCCAGCAAATTTTCAGTTGACCTGGTGCCTACATTATTTGTAACTATCTTCTTCTCCAATCAGCTCTTATGAACTGTAGGTGCCCGAGCATTAGAATTCACGAATAATTTCATGAAAAGGAACTTTTTGAGGGACAAATTGCGACCTAAAAGCAAAGGATTGACATTTGATTTAAAATTTAACAGAGATTGACTCCCAATTAAACCCCTGTCCTATCATATATCCCCTTTCCCCAGATCTTACTTCTTGGCCCCTATTCTTATCGCCGCACGCGTTATCGCTCAGGGGCGGCTGAAAAGTGACAGCTCGCTTGCAACGTCCAATTTTACCCATTCCGAGCCTATACAGGAGCCATGACCCGAGAGAAGAAACAATAAAACCACCATCTCCACCTCTCCTCTCTCCATCCTTTCCTCCTGCACCTCTCTCCTATGTGCTTCTGAAGACAAAGTGAAACGGAACGGAATGGCACATAACCCCCGACGCAATGGCACCCTCGTATTATAGCACACGCTCTTCCCGCGACCACTTCGTCGAACCGCCTTCCCTCCTCTCACGCGTGATCGCCGGACTGCCTTCTGAACTCAGTGCACAGATTCAATCCCTATGGGACCGAAACTCATACGCCGCAGTCTCGACGAGGGAGTCGCGGATACCGAGGGGCCTGAGGCATTGGACTGAGAGATGGCATCCGAGACGGCTGCTCAATCTGCCGCATCTGTTGGTCCTGGTTTGGCTCTTGGTTCTACTGTGGGGTGAGAGATGGGTGTTCGAAAGTGCAATAAAGACGTGTGAATGGGGGCGGTGGGAGAGATGGGTAAGTCCTTCTCTTGGTAGTGCGAGAGAGGAGGAATGAAGCTGACAAGGAAAATATAGCCCAGAGATGCCACGCCCCATCATCTGGTCTTCCTTGCGGATCCGCAACTTATAGATCCGCATAGCTATCCTGGGAGGCCATGGCCTCTGGACAAATTTACGATGCTGCATACCGACAATTACCTCAAACGCTCCTACATCTCGCTGCAGAAGAAGTTACATCCAGATACGATATTTTTTCTTGGGGATCTGTTCGATGGGGGGAGGGAATGGAGGACGGCACATGGGAATACGGATGACCCTCAATGGGCGAATGGGCTTAGACCAGCGGATGAACAGGCATACGTGAAATCATGGAGGAGATACGGGGACGATTTCTGGTTGCGAGAGTATAACCGCTTTGGGAGGATTTTTGATAAATACTGGAATCTTGCGGGGTCGGACGCAGGGCCTTGGCAGAGAGGACGGAAGCTGATTTCGAGTCTGCCCGGGAATCATGATTTGGGATTCGGGGCGAATATCAAGATCCCCATTCGGAACCGGTTCGAGACTTATTTTGGGGAGGGGAATAGGGTGGACGTTATTGGGAACCATACTTTTGTCTCGGTGGACTCGGTGTCTCTGAGTGCTGCAAGTTCACCGCACTTTACGAAGGATATTACCAAGCCGGTGGAGGAATTCCTTTCCAACGTTCAGGTTATGAAAAGGAAGGCTGTTGCCCACGAGCTGAGTTTCCAGGCAGGGGAAGAGAGAGTGCTGCGATTGCCTCATAAAGTTGAAGAGCTGGACAGCGCCGACTTTTCAAACTTCCCAACCCTCGACCCAGGAGAAGGCAAAGCTGAATTACCCACAATTCTGCTTACGCATGTCCCTCTCTATCGAGAAAAGGGAACTCCATGTGGTCCCAAACGAGAACACTGGCCTCCAGCAACACCTCCGAAAGGCCAAACTACGCCCATCTTCCCTGACGAACGGAATGCTATCTCCCTCTCCGGAGGTTACCAATATCAAAATGTGCTCAGTGAAGAAGACTCCGTGAGACTCGTTTCCACAGTAGGAAACGTACAGAGAGTCTTCTCCGGAGACGACCATGACTACTGCGAGATCGTGCACGCAGAAAACAAAAACAGCGCCCGAGAAATAACAGTAAAAAGCATGTCATGGGCAATGGGCGTCCGCAAACCCGGCTTCCTGATGCTCAGCATGTGGAACCCGATCGACGCCTCGGGGCAATCAATACACTCCTCTCCCTCAGGCCACGGAGCACTATCCCAAGCTCACCCAACAACAGAATCCCACCTCTGTCTCCTCCCCGACCAACTCGGCATCTTCATCCGCTACTTGTCTCTCGTAATCCTCTCCCTCCTCGCGCTCACCATCCGCGCCATCCTCACGCCCATTCTGCACCTCCCACACTTCGCCGACCCTCCCACCGAAACAGATCTCTCCATCCTCCCAACCACGAAACAAGACATGAAGCGCCGCGAAGAAGACGAAGGCCACCGCTCCTCCAACTCCTCTACATCATCCACCTCCTCGAATAACACCCAAAATCTAGCCCCTCGCTCCTCAGCCGCGCGAACTAGGAGTGTGAGTCCGGCGAAGGGGTATGGGCTCCCGAGTTCCCAGGTGCGGTTCACGACGCCGCCTCTTGCTACCTCTGTCCCTCATTACGGAAATGGAAACAGAAATGGATCGTGGGGGAACGATTCCGATGATTTTAGCAAAGAAAAGGCAAATGGATACAGTAGCGTGGGAGGGGAAGGGCAGAAGATGAGCCCGTTGCTAGTAATTTGGAGGGAAGCTTCAAGAAGTATCTGGCGCGTGGCGTGGGTAACTGTTCTAGTATACTTATATCTTGCTTATTATGGGTGAACCTGGGAAGGTTGGATACAATTCTTTGTATGTATTTTAGGGATCCTGGCAAGGAGGCTTACATGGGTGGTAAATGTGTGAAAGGCACCAAGGGTTTGGGTAAAATGAAGCTGTAGATGAACGCTAGACGAATGGAAGTTTTGTCTTCCGTGTCTTCGAATGCTGGTCGATCAAATGGTTCGAGTGCGTTCGTGTCTCGTTCATCGTGTCAAGGTCAACGGGAATTTATCACGCCTTATCACAGAGAAGCGAAGAGAGTCATCATATTAAGTAAGAAACCTTCGCATTTTAATATGATCTCTCTAGTGTACTGGCCGTTATGACTCTCAATCAAGAAAATGGAAACCCTTTCTCTCAATGTACGAAAGCTTTCCAGCCTCTCTGTAATATGAAACCGTAAGTAAAAAACGGCAGTATCATGATGTGAAAATTCAGGGAAAAGAAAAAGTACAGTCCTTTGAGAAGTATCATGGATTAGCATCAAGCTTTTCACTGAGCCATCTCAACATCAGCAGCAGCCAGAGCCGGAGCCTCAGTACCAGGAACGATGCCCTCGTCCATCCACTTCTTGAAGTCACTGTTGACCTTTGCAACGGCGTCACGATCAAGACCTCTCATCCAGCGGTTGTTCATCTCGAACTTCTCCTTTGCTCGCTCATTGCGGATGGTTTCGAATTTCCGGAGGCGCTCACGTGCTGTGCTCTCCTTGGTCTTGGGGTCGTAGGTGAGTGGCTTGTTGGTGTAGATGAAGTATTCGGATCCTGGGTTCTTGTAGACAATCTTGTAGGTGTTGACGCAGACGCGGAGAGTGAGGTCTTCATTGAAGAGGATGGGCTTGGGATGAGCGTTGTTGTCCTCGGACTCGGCGTCGGTAGTCGGAAGGTTGCGGGTCATGACAGACTTGTGAAGGTGGCTGCGAGGAACACCCTCGGTCGGCTCAATACGAATATAGGAGGAGATGTAGTATTGCCAACGTTCCTTTTGCTGCATATCGTCAAGGTCGAATGTGGTCTCGTCTCTTGTGACCCATTGGACGGTTGCCTCATTCTTCTTTGGAGACTGTGCAAGGTCAGTATGATACGAGTTGGTAAAATGATACCAGCAACTCACCCATTGAATCAAGAACAGTTCACCATCCTTGACGTATTTATCTGCTTGCTTACGCATATTGATCTCGGCATTAAAAGACGTCTCTTCAGACGCTCTGTTCCGATAGAATTGCTCAATGAGATCGGTAGTCGTCTCCTTCTTCTCGCTGGACGAGCAGATTGCACCTTGTCTGCATAGGGACTTGAGAAGATCCAAGACAGTGTAAATCTGCCAGCCTTTCTTCAAGTAGAAGCGTCTCAGCCAATTCTGATAAGGGTTTTCCTCGACTTCACCGTTGATGTAATCCTCAATGAGTCTCAGGGTGTGGGAATAGTAGGTCTCGCCGGGTAGAGGTAGCTGGCAATCATTATCGTCGTTGATCAAGCCGATATCTCTCGCGGGTTTTGGTTGGGATGCGCGAATGCCTTCCTCTCTGGCCTCTGCTTCGTTGTCTTTCATCTCCTTCAGGCGACGATACAAGGTCTGGAAGATGCTGAAGAAGACGAAGATTGTCTGATTACCATACAACTTGTACCAGTCACGCTTGAATGGTTGATCTGCCTTGAGTTCGAGATCCTCAACATCGTGATTTTGGTGTGCTTCAGCCGCAACAGGGTGGGCCGCCCAGCGCTCGTTGGTGACCTCGGTAATAGCGTCGTCTGCGGCATCGCCTTCATCGTCTGCAATCGAATCGACGTCTGGAGTTGACTCCTTGCTGCCAGTAGCACTGTCTTGCTTTTGACCACGGCCACGAGTACCGTTGCGAGCCTTGTCAAGAACACCTCGTCGAAGGTCAGACTTCTTGGTGTTGCCTGCTCGTCTTCCTCGACCACCGCTGCCATTGGGAAGCTCAGAAGGAGTAGCTTCATCGAAATCATCATCTGGAGTACCTCGGTCGATATCTCTCGTACACTCATTGATGAGGTCATCTGAAACATCGAAGAAAGTTGCGACGAATTTTTCGAAGAAGTCCCAGATTCGACGGCGTTCCAGGTTATTGTGTTGGCTTGCGTTGCTCGCATACAGGACCATGAAGCGGAGAAGGTCTGTGATGACCTCTCGGTCGCTGAAATCGTAAGAGAATTGGTGTCTGACTACTCTGCCTTTGGTGCTGCGTTGACGTCTCTGTTCCTCGTGCTTGGTCTTGATTGCATCAACAAGATGCTTGGCGGCAAAGTTCTTCTTGTCGAGCTGCTTGACTTGGATTCCCATATGATCAAGACTCTTGAGATACATAGCCTGGGTCTGTGCATGCCAAACTTTCTCCCACTCGCGCTGCAAAAGACATCAGCATGAACACACCTCAAGGAAATGGACGGGAGACTTACCTGCGTGAATCTCCATTCTTCATCTTTTTGCTTCAATCGTGCCAAGACAATTGGGAGCACCGCACATGGATCCTTGAAGAGATCTGCAACGACTTCTGGTCCTCGTTCTCCGTAGACTTTCTTCATGACACGCTTGTAGATTGCTTGGCTTTGGCCGCCCAGACCAATGGGCATGCGGTATTTCTCTCGCTCGGAGGGAGTCATTGAGAGGATTTGCTGGCCAATAGGCTCAAGAAGTTGGATAACTTTTGCATTGGCCTCGATGTTGAAATCATAGTCGTGGCGTTCTTCTTCGATGCGGTGGAGACTTTCCTCGAACATGTTCTTGCGGTGAGCGACGAATCCGGAGTCTTCTGAAGCCCAGGTAGGGTGGGATGCCCAGTCATCGTTGAGAACTTCAAGGCACATCTCGTCTCGGCCAGAACATGGCCGCAGCCGTTCCTGAAAATCTATGTCAACATTGTTCCAGGCCTGGTATTGTGCTTTTGCCTCCTCCTGCTGTTTCAGGGAGTAGGGCTTTTTTCTTGCTGGTCCCTCATTGTTCCAGATCGATAAGAACTTTCTCTTCAGTGGATAGGCACGAGGCCCATAGGCATAGTTCTTAGGGAGTCGCGGCGCCCCTTGGCCACCCGCGATATCCATCTTGAGGGGGGTTCTGATACCCGATGTTAGGGTAGTGTAGAGGTTGGCGGCAGGGTTTCCCTGGCCCTCCGCGATCTGGCGCGAGTATTCGTGCACACTTTGGAACCTCATTTTGAATGTGCCGAGACGTGCTGGTAGAATCGATTGAAATCTTGTTTGTGCAGAGGGTGTTGAAAAGAAGGGAAAGGATGGAAGTTCATTAAGTAGTGTTCAAACTCATTTTCGAACAATACCAAAAATAAAGGGTACTACCCCGAGTTGATAATGTTCTGACTACAATAGAGACAATGGGCAAGATCTCAATGGCTTCACTAGCGATCATTGTCTAGAGATGACTGGCACAATAGGATCCAACCACAATAGAATAAGGGGAGAGTGAATATTTTGGACCAAGCGAAAATTGGTAGCGCAGCACAAAATTTTAGAAGGGGCGGAAAGCAACGCGACACAGAGACAGAAAGAAATAATGTACGTACCCTCTTTGGAAGAAGGCGGTAGCTAGGACCCAATCCTCTGCAGTTGCTCAACGCGACTCGTCCAGTTGGTGCTTTCGGCTGATTTTCAATGACTTCCTCGCGACCGTCATAACCAACAAATTGCTTGAACCAGTTCATCAGATCGAGGTTTCCGCCAATGAAATTGCTGACTTTGTGTACGAGGACGTCTTTGCCAATGAGGTCTTGAGAGAACAAGTTGCAGAGCTTCAAGAATTCGTTCATGGTTTGCTTGTTGGCAATGTATTTCTTGACTCGATCAAAGAAAGCCAGCTCTTCTGAAGTCGCACTGGATGTAGAGGTAGGAGGCAACGGCTCAGGCATAATGGGTGTCAAGGTCGGTGATACAGCTGGCGCGTCCGGGGCATTGGGCTTGTGAGAAAGCTTGGTTCGCTGTTGAAGATGTAAATTAGTACATTGATAGATCGTTCATGGTTACAGAGCATGGAAGCCGCAACATAAAACACTTACCTTGTTTGTTGCAGCACCCGGCACCATACTCCGGTTGGAGCTCTCTCCCATCGCGTTGGCGTGGGAAGCCGAATTCATTGCCGTGTTGTTGCGTTGGCGCTTCTTATTTTCCTTGCTAGAACTGGCTGGAAGGGCAAAATTACCAACTGGAGGCAGCTTTGCTTCGTTACGTCCGTGGCCTTGCGGTGTTTGGCTTTGCTGAGCCTCTTCCGCTGCTTTGGCCGCTGCTGCAGCTTTTGCTTGAGCGGCAGATTCAGGGAGGAATTGCTTGAAGTCTTCGAGAAGATCGGGAGCGGTGTTGAAGAGATGTGTAACTTGCGCATAGACGTCTTGGATAGGCTTCGACTCGCGTTGATAGGTTTGAAGGATCTCAAGAAATTGTTTATAGATCTCTGGTCGATCTTGGAATCGGTTCTGTTTAGTGAATCAGCAAAAATTTCCAAGGTCGGATTCTTCTCGATCTCATTTTTAAAAGGAGCGGAAAGCTGTCACTGAGACCTACCTTGATTTTATTTACGTAGCTGATTGCGTGGTTGAACTCAACGGGTCCTCGCTTTTCCAGCTGTACTCCTCCACCGTTCATGCCACCTGGAGTTGGGGTTTGCGCGTTTCTTGCAGGTCCTGGGTGCCCCAAAGTTGCCGTTACGGCACTCGTCAATTGGGAAACCCCTCTTTGTTGCTGCTGGTGAGCGGCTGCCGCGGCAGCTTGTTGAGCTTCGTAGGTAGAGTGTTGTGCTGGAGCTTGACCATAAGCAGGAGCGGCGTTCTGATTCTGAGGGCTGAACACGTCTTCAGGGCTCACACGACCAGGTCCTCCTCTCCAGTCTCCGGGACGTTCACCAGGCCGCTGTGTACCATAGTATCCGCCACCCACTCCTCCTTGGACCATGACCGCGTCAGGTAAAGCACGGCTTCCGGTGATTGATTGCACTGTCGTGCCCATAGGCGTCGTAACTCTGATCGTGTTTGGATCGTTTCCTGCACCACACTCGATACGATAGCCAGGTGGGAGGAATGTGTTGAAACCTTGTATGAGGTTTGGATGCCCTGCAAATAGTTCGGAGACACGGTTGATGACGCCCGGGGTGTCGATGCTAATGGGGAGTCAGCAGCTGTTCCTGGAAAGACAGATCGAGATTCATCAACGTACGCCTGGCTTTTGAAGTCTTTCATAATGTCCAGGAAGCGATTATAGACATCGGGTTGATCGGCAAATTGTACCTTAACTTGATCGAGATAACTGAGCGCGTCCTGATGAGACATTGTCAGTTTGGGATCTATGCAATCAGAGTTGCACTTGTGGAAAATTTGCTGAAGAAAATTCACACAGGCAAAAGCCTTCTTTTCTGTCTAAATAGGAGACGAGTCCTTCGGACGAAAACCCCAAGCGAGCCTTGTGATGAATCAAGAGCGGCTGCGTCAACAGGGAAGAACTGCCAAAGCTGGGGTAGCAAGCACGGAGAACGTAAAGGTCACAAACAGCACATGCGTTTTCTCAGCAAGAAGACGTTCTGATTGAAGCTTCTTCTGCAGCAATCATTGGCAATACGGGCGTTTGATCAAATCCTCGACAAGAAAAAGGGGGACTTACATTCAAAATGGGTTGCTGTCCGCCTTGTCCCAGCGCAGGCGCTCCAGGAACCTGATGCTGCGGGATGGATGGTCCACCGAATGGAAGTTGCTGAAGCCTAGCCACAGCTTCCTGCTGCTGTTGCTGTTGCTGTTGCTGTTGCTGTTGCTGCTGAAACGATCCTCCCAGTCCAACAGCAGCTCCACCAGGAGCGCCTACCGGATTGTGATGTATGAGTCCAGGGCCGAAGCCTTGTTGCTGTTGAAGTTGGCTAGAGGCAGCTTGCGGATTGTGCTGGATTGAGCGACTTGCATCACTGTGAAGAGGACCACCGAAAGCATTTCCAGGGCCACTCGGCGCACCAAGCGGTCCAGAGGGAGGGGCACTGCCATGGTTTGCAAGCAGGCCACCAGGGCTGTGTATTGTACCTGCCAGCCGTGATGCTACAGGTTGATGGATGGGTATGGAAGCTGTGTTGTTCTGATGTGGTGGAGGTGGTTGGTATTGATCACGATGTTGTCGTTCTCTTTCTTGTCTCTCATTATGTTCCCGTTCGCGCTCACGCTGAACATGCTCTTCTTGTTGCTGTAATGCACGTTGCCTGTGCTGCTCCTCGAGCTCGCGCTCTCGGTCAAAGCCGGGGGGCCCGTGAGGTTGATTGTTCATGGCAGATGGCAGCTTCAAGCTTGCGCAATATTTGTGTGATATCAATAGTTAGATCGAGATTATGTAAAGATATCTCGGTGTGGTTTCTTGTAACTATCAGGATGGGTCAACCTCTGCCAGAAGAGCTCACTCAGGAGCATAGGGGAGCGCAACGAGGGAGCTTACGGTACAAGAATCGGTTGCGAATCCAGAAGCATTAAAGCTAGTGAGTCATGAGCATAGTGAATTTGCAGAATTGTATGGTGCAAATTCACTGTGAAAGTGCTTGCGGGAAGATTTGATGACGAGCTTTGTGTGTGAGGGAGGACGTTTGCGCGATACGGGGGAAAGGGCAAGTTCCGGGCTGCATTAGCTCGAGGCTGACAACTCCAGCCTTGCGGCCGCGCCCCTTGAAATCCATCACCTTCCCTTACAAATGTTGAATGAGTGCCCCCACGTAGCGAGAGGGAGGAAAGAATGTGACAAATAAATGGACTAGCTCTCATGTCATCTCATTCTAACGATTGAATGAAATTGGATGTATCTCCATACAGCAGCTCGAACCTGGAACATTCGTGAGTGCAAAGAAGATTCTCTTGCGCACAACTCAGAATTTGGCAAATATAGGTTTTATCTTCGGGACTTCGATATTCTGTGCGAGCTTTGTTGAACAGCCAATTTTTGAAAGTAAATTATTTGGGCACCCTGGTCTTGACTTCGGTCTTACTTGCCCGTTCTTCATTGCCCCTCCGGAATTGCTCGAAGTAAGAGAAAGTGGGAGGCTTGGTTGCTCATCTCGTCACAGGCAATCGAAGTCCTGTGCTGGATTAAGGTCCTTACTATTCAGAAACCTGTCAAAAGAACAATCTTGGGTTGTTCCGTTCCAGCTTAAATCCTGGATCTTGGGTCAAGTTCCTCCTCCATCCTAGAACAATCATATACCCAACCACAACGCCAGCAGCCACGTAGCTACGTATTATCCATGTGCTCATTATGTTCGTTATATTTATGCGTAATTCCTGACGCCTTTTAAGATCCAGACCTCCCCATTGTATACTTTGCTGGCTACTGAGCTGACTTCGATATTTCCTGGCTTGATCTACAGAGACTATTAGTGTTGGGTCTATACATTCAATTCATAAGATTCTCACCATCTTGACTCCGTCTTTACTCTCCCACCAGACCTCGCCCCCAGCCAACGTCTTAACCTTCTCACCCTCCTTCCAAGGGCTGACCGGGACAACATGAGCCTCCACAAACCTCCTCAAATTCCTTTGCGCTCTCTCCTCGCCTGGCTCTCCCTCGTAAGCATTAGGGCCCAGCCTATCATAATCCTCAGGATCTTCCCAAGGCTTCCGCGGTAACGCCATTATCGCGGAGTTTATGGGCGCCATGATTGTAGTGTTCAACGAGCTGTCTTCGAAGCGTTCGCTGATTGTCGCAAAGTCTCGGGTGAACCCAGCGAAGATATTAATACTGCGATCATTGCCGAGAACGTCTGAGAGCATCACGGTGTCGCCGTCAGCGGGGGCTGAAAGTGAAGGGGATTCTTGGTTCGGAGGCATCGCAGGTCCGAGGTTCTTGTCCGCCATAGGTCGCTGCTCCTGGGAGAATGCTGCTGTGACTGCAAGAGATGCTGTCAACAGTGGGTAGATAAGGGACATGTATCGCATTTTGAGAAAAGTGTTGTGCAAAGAGTCGTGGAGGTTACCGATGACGATGTACCGCGATGCTCGGACCAAGTTGTTGTACGAGGCAACGTGATTTGCAAGGTGCTCGTAAAATCCCGTCGGTGGTCAAAGACCCATTCAATATCCCCAAAATACATGAATCACACACTATTTTTGCGTCTAGAGGGGCAGGTAGTATCAGTTACGGCACAATAATTTCCTTTCACTCATGTCAATCTCTCCAAGACCAATCAAAAGGAAATGTGCTTGTTCTCGTCTTTGTGATTCTTAGTCGGATTCACCGAATCAGCATACCTGGCGGTGGCAAGTGAAAAGGGAAAGGATGGATATATATCAGGTCTGCTCCGAACATTCATTTTCTGCTCTTTGATTATACAAACATCGCCTTCATCAACCAGTCCTTCTCACAGATCCCTGTCTTTCAAGTGAAGGCGCTTGTCTGATCCTTCGTTCAGCTCCTCCGTCCAGCTCGTATTACGCCCGATTTCTCGAGTGGCTCCAGCGCCACCACACAATGAAGGTTATACTTTCAGGAGCCACGGGTTTCATTGGAGGGGAAGTCCTCAATCAGGCCTTGGTTCATCCTGCTATCACATCTCTGGTCTGCCTCACCAGACGAGCACTTTCAGAACCAGCCAGCATCAATCCTAAAGTCAAAACCGTCATCCTCACCGACTTTCTCACTTACACACCCGAGATCCTCTCGCAGCTTGAGGGAGCTGAAAGTTGTATTTGGTAAGTGCTGCAGCTTTCCCTATTGCATATTGTTTCAAGCCTTCCGTGAAACCAACGGTCAGCTGATGCAAAACGCAGGGCGATGGGCGCACCCGCTCACAAGGCCCCAACTATTGAGGATTCGAGAAACGTTGATATTCGATATATGTTAGCAGCCGCTGAGGCTTTCGCCAATTCCCTTGCACCGCCGCTTAAGACTCAGGGGAAGCGCTTTCGATTCGTCCTTTTGGGTGGGATGTTGGCTTGCCGAGATCAGAACAAAGCTTTATGGTTTATGCAAACCACGAGGAAAATGAAGGTAGGGTAGCTTGGACTTGCACATCAGATTCTGGCTGATATCCTTGATGTAGGGTGAAGCTGAGAATGGTTTACTCGCGCTTCAGGAAAAGGAAGAAGGTCATTTGGAAGTGACGATAACACGACCAGGAGGAGTGGTACCCAAAAATACTTTGATGCCAAATTTTATGGTGGCTTCGACATCATCTATCAAGATTGATGAACTCGCTGCAGTCTTAATAGATGAGGCAGTGGCAGGTGCAAATGGCACAAGAACTCTGGAGTGTGATGTTTTGAGGAATAGGGGAAGAGAATTACTGAAGAGAAGTCGATAGCCTCGGCTTTGATGCAAAAGACTCTCTCCTCATATGTTCAACTACGGTAGCTTTGATAGACTAATTATAATCTCTGCCTCTTGACAAAAATGAGAGAACTACAGAATTGTTTACAGCTTGTACGGTAAAGGGGGGAGATTTCCGACATTGTGACTTCGCCATGGTTTACCGCGAGATGCCGATCAACAGCGGGGCTTGCTTCAGACTCAAATTCCGATCCTAGGAAGCAACGATTGCACCGTGTGAGCATCCCGAGCAATAATAAAAACACGCGTTCGCAGGGCTTTTCATATCACGTTCTAGAAATGCTTCTTCACATGCAAAAATGTGCAGAAGATTTCAAGGGGTGCGCTGGGACTGGTCATCTGATGCGGTGCTGCAAAATCTGGAGAATGCTATGACTTGTGGGGAAAGTTAGTGGCAGCGTCAAATCTTCACATGCAACATTATCCGCTGGAAACAGCAATTTTCCCCGTAGGAGTTTCGCTGACTCGGCCTCGCATCACGAGGCGCGATATGACCTCAGCTGTGCCTCGCTGTGTCGTTGGCCGAAGTCGCAAGTTCGTCGGCTTCTGCTGGTGAATCCCCAATTCCCGGTCATTAAAAGTAACAGAGGTCTCCTTTTCAAATCTTCAACAATTTCCAAAAAGTGAAGACGATCCATCTTGAGTCCGGCCTTTGCTGACTCAACGACCCTGGCCATTCGTCGAATCAGAGGGGGGGACATTTCTTTTACAAGCCTCCGATTCGAGTCTCAAAAACATCCGCCTGGAACCTCGGCATTCCACCCCAGAGCCCCGGATCCTAGTGGCGCTCGTGCATTGAGAGAGCAACAAAACCACGCTGCTTCTCCTTCTCTTATTTCCATCCTGCAAACTCTCTATCTCTCCCTGATCCCCTCCATTTCACAAATTATTCAAAATGGTTCCAAGAGTAATTGTTGTCGGCGGTGGCTGTAAGTTGATATACCACTCTACCCCACTCAATTGACATCTGACACCAAAACAACAGTGTCCGGCTTGAGTGCTGCTCACACCATCTACCTGAATGGCGGCAATGTCGTTGTTTTGGACAAGCAAGGTATGCACAGTATGCAAGTTCCAGATCTGCCAATTCGCTGACAATATCTAGGTTTCTTTGGTGGTAACTCGACCAAGGCGACATCCGGAATCAACGGAGCCCTCACACGAACTCAAGTCGATGCAAAGATCCCGGACAGCGTCAAGCAATTCTACGACGATACCCTCAAATCTGCGAGAGACAAGGCCAGACCAGATCTCATCAAGGTTTTGACATACAAGTCAGCTGCGGCTGTTGAGTGGCTCCAGGATGTGTTCAACTTGGATTTGACTCTCGTTTCACGGCTAGGGTAAGCATCGGACGCCTGATATCCAGAATCACATGCTAAGTGCATTTTCTACAGTGGTCACTCCCAGCCAAGAACACACCGAGGGCACGATGCCAAGTTCCCTGGTATGGCCATTACATATGCTCTGATGCAAAGACTCGAGGAGCTCGCCGAGAAGGAACCAGAACGTGTACAAATCATCAAGAAGGCCCGAGTGACTGGCTTGAACAAGGAAGGAAATAAGATAACCGGTGTATCATACGAGTTTGGCGGAGAATCTGCTACTGTCGAGGGTCCAGTTGTGCTAGCCACTGGTGGATATGCTGCCGATTTCACCGAGACTTCTCTTCTCAAGAAATGGCGCCCAGACACATTCAACCTCTCATCTACCAACGGTGTACATGCAACTGGTGATGGACAGAAGATGGTTATGGCCATTGGTGGCAATGGCATCGATATGGACAAGGTTCAGGTTCATCCTACAGGGCTCGTTGACCCCAAGGACCCTGGATCAAAGTGGAAGTTTTTGGCTGCCGAGGCTCTTCGTGGTGAGGGCGGTCTGCTTCTGAACGGAGACGGTGACCGCTTCTGCGACGAGCTTGGTCACCGAGACTACGTTTCCGGTGAGATGTGGAAGGAGAAGGACAAGGGAAAATTCCCAGTCCGCCTCATTCTCAATTCCAAGGCATCAAACGTTCTCGACTTCCACACTCGTCATTACTCTGGCCGTGGTCTGATGAAGAAGATGACCGGAAAGGAGCTTGCAAAGGAGATTGGCTGCACACCAGAACATCTCCAAAGCACTTTCAAGGCCTACAACGAGATTGCTGATGGAAAGAAGAAGGATCCATATGGCAAGAAATTTTTCCACAATGGCCCAGTTGATATCAACGATGATTTCCACGTTGCTGTCATGGAGCCAGTTCTCCATTTCACCATGGGTGGTATCGAGATCAATGACAAGGCTGAGATTCTCAACTCGGAAGGCAAGCCATTTGAGGGCCTGTACGCTTGCGGCGAACTTGCTGGAGGTGTCCACGGTGCTAATCGTCTTGGTGGTTCTTCTCTTCTCGGCTGTGTCGTTTATGGACGTGTTGCTGGTGACACTGCCAGCAACTACATGTTCCAGAAGGCTCTTCAGGGTGGTGTTAGCGGTGCTGCTCAACGTCTTGGTCAAATCTCTCTTCACATCGACCCCTCTCAACCTGGCAAGATCTCTGTTGAGTGGGATAGCCAAGGCGCTGGAACCGGCGGCAAGCAGGCACATCAATCACAGGCCTCTGCAGGGCCTGTACTAAGCAAGAATGGTGATTCATCTGATCCAGGAAAGGTCAGCCAGGCAGGCAAGCCTGCAGAATTCAAGATTCCCGAGAAGGAGTACACAATGGAGGAGGTTGCGAAGCACAACACCAAGGAAGACCTTTGGGTCGTGGTTAAAGGTGTTGTCATGGATCTCTCGGACTGGCTGGATGAGCACCCAGGTGGACCTCAAGCCATTATGAACTTCATGGGACGTGATGCGACAGAGGAATTTGAGATGCTGCATGATGATGAGGTGAGTTTCCATCATTTCGCGAATTTAGCGCTAGTGTCCCCTTTTCACCCCTTCCCCTCAACACCACAACTATACCACATCAAAAAACATTGCTAATTAGCTTGAAATTAGGTGATCCGAAAGTACGCACCAAGCCAGGTGATTGGACGTGTTAAAGGCCAAAAGGTTACTTTGGAGGCGTAGAAAGGGATCAAAAACGGTTTGGTGGTTGGTTACAGGTTGGCCTTTGTATTGATAGTATAAACGTTTGGATACTCCCCAAACCCACTTGAACACAACTGCATGTGATTGCCCTCGGCATCTTCGAACAATGAATCCATAATAATGACCAACTGTTGACTTACTCAATTACATGTGATCCGGTTGAGGTCACCTTGGGTGGACTTGCATCTTCCTGCATCCTCTCTGTTTATTCGTGCCTTCCCCAATGTATAAACCCCAAAAACGATCCTAATTCTTCAATGTCCCATTTATTGGAGCATTGTACAATACTGTATAAAACCTTATATCACACCACTTTCCTTCACATGCTGACCCGGACCCCATCTTCCCCGCCCCCTTTCTCTCGATATAGAGGCTAGACACACGATCCCCGCGTATACGTGCAGCTACATGTCAGACTGGTAAGCACGTGTACACCCCGTCTATTAAACTTTTAGGCGTACGCAGTAAAAGCCTCTGTGGCAACAGCACAGCGACATATGATCAACTTAAATGAGTCCAATCCGATGCCTCCGCTCTCTTTACGTGCAGCCCCATGTTAGAGGCGGGTACCAAGCACGTGTACACCCTGTCTATTAAACTTTTAGGTGTAAATGCCTCTGTGGCAACAGCACAGTGATATATGATTACCTTAAATGAGTCCAATCTGATGCCTCCGCTCCCTTTACGCGCAGCCCCATGTCAGAGACGGGTAAGCACGTGTACACCCTGTCTATTAAACTTTTAGGTGTAAAGCCTCAATGGCAATGGCACACTGACATATGATCGACTTTACAAGGGGCAAGCCGAGGTTTCCACCTACCCACATTCACACACCAATCACACCCTCCACCCCGTACTCAAAAACCATCTTAACATTCAAGTCAGACAGCAACCCACTTCTCTCGGCTCCTCTCCCTCCGATTCTACTTGTAACGGCACTTCCCTCACCGTGCCGCTGGAACCGCCAAGAACCTACTCTCCCCCTCCCCCTAAAACTGACCCTCCCATGTACCCCAGCTTTTCCTCCCCACCCCCTCCCCCTTCCGCTTCCCTTCTCTCAAGCTTCCGGAACAGCGTTACTCTCCCCCCTCTCCCTAAATAAATGTACAGTGGGTCCCTGCAAAACCAGCCTGGCACGGTCCAGTTGCCATACAAAAAGACCCTGCACTTTGACCCACTGTTACATTTAATTAGGGGGGTGAGGGTACTATCTATCTATCCATCGCCTTTCCATTTTTTTTGCGTGAATCCATAATCTCATATTTCACGCACGGGTTATGGGTTATTCCCGGCTAGATGAAGATAGGGAGTTTCCGGGTCTTTTTGAGCCCCCTTTGACGAGACGAGATGAGACGGCGAGGGCAGACTTTTGGCTGCCCAATTTACCCCCTCCGCTCCGGGGAGTGAGAGTTCGCCGGGCAGGCTCGTGTAGGCTCGCCCCGGGATTGCGGGGAGAGCCCGGGGGCACGGTGTTTTTCGGCGTGTACATACTCTAATATTTATGGGGCGAAAAGTGCCGTGCGACCCGGGGATTCACACATGTGGGGGCCAGGGATTCTGGGCGGGCTTTTCGAGCAATAGGAAATCCACCAGTAATGTTATGTTTAGATTTAAAGTTTATAGATTGAGTGTGAGATGTGAAAAATTTTATGGGTGAATTGAGGGATTGGGGAGGTGGATGAGTTGGCATGATGTGGTTGTTTGTGGTTGGTGAGGTTGGCGAGTTTTTGGTGTTGTGAGGAACACTTTTTCGAGATTGTGAAATGCATGCCATCAGTTCATGAGTATTCCACTGGACAAGGAATAAAATGATGGTGGGAGTGAAAACTAGCATTGAATTTCATCTTTAAATTCAGACGATTTTGTCTGGTTGTTACTGAAAGATTGGTCCCAGAGCAGTCGAGTTAGTGAAGTTTCGACATCTGGCTGCAACAGAACAGCCACCAGCGCTGATCAAACGTCTCCCACTTACTCCATCACCCACCCTGGTATGTGCTACAAACCTCGAGGCATGCATATATTTTAACTCTTCACACGTGGGGCATCTGCTAGAACTAACCGAGGACAGCCGATTGAGCAGGTACTGAAACCCAATTGGTGAGCTCACCCGACTGAAATCAAACATGGGATCTTCGCATCTACGCGAGAGATCTGAAGACATCGAAACTCTCTTCAGGGGCAGATCAGACGCCCTGTTCTGTTCTAGTTCTTTTGATAGAGTTTTTTTGAAGAAATTTTTTTCAAATTTTCAAATTTTTTAATTTTAATTGATCTAAAGTCTATATTCTAGGCCTAAACGGGTCATACGAAGACTATGGGCTCTCCTTTAACCCGTCCACTCAAGATTGTACCTATTTCCTCAACTTTTATCTCGACAAGGGCCGCATTCATGTAGCTACTATAAATCTAAAAAGTCGGCTTACGGTCACCGGATCTCCCCCCTTTTCACATACTACCCCCGGGAAAATATATTAGAAACCCACGCCAAGCAGGTGGTCCCCTAAGGTTCCTTATGCACGACTTGTCCGTCAAGGAGCACGTTGTCTAAAGTAAGTCTCCGCATATTTATCCCTGTCCCTTACTAGCATCATCGCGACGGTAGCACCTTGTTTAGAGAGATCGTTTGAGTATATTCGCGGTATAGGTCTATGGCGATGGGGGTCCGACGGCCGTGCGAGGACGAGGTACAATAGGCAGGCAATATTCGAGCGCGTAAAAAATAGTGATAGTAAGAAGTGTAATTCGAGGCCCTCCTAGCATTCCGTAGAATCGTGGTGATAGTCGAGAAGCTCAATCGTCGAGAGACCGCCCCGTGGTCGAATCTGCCCTAAGCACCTTTGCACGCCCAGCTTACGCCTCCACGAGGTCGACCAGTACTTGCCCCGTTCCCGGATACCGCCACAGTTGACTTAATGTTGGCCCTTCTCTTTGATGGTGTGGCACAACAGGGTAATTGATTATTGACATAATTGTCTTCTCGGCTCAAGCTACCAGCATTTGCTGAACCTTTCAATTCTGACCTGGGAAGTGCCACGGGTAAGAATCTAATGAATGGTCTGTGTGTTTGGAGAGACGGTTCGACCAGTGGAAAACACTCCTTCGTGGTGGATGGTGGCTGGCCGTCAGTGGGGTTTCTCCTGAGTCCTGCAGACTGCTGGCGCTTCAATATCGAATTTCTGCGTGGTAACAATTACCACATTTTTCCTTCAACCAGACTTCTCCGATGAGAGGCTTGTGCTAAATCATGCTTTCTCTTGGAAGACTTGTCCTTGCCAATCCTGCTGCGGACGAGGCGTTATGAAGGACCAGGTCTTGAGCGCCTCATCCCTTTTCGGTTGGCAACATTCTTGTGACTTTGTATCAGAATGTCTGGAAGTGAAGCGGCATTCCTGTGGCGCTTCTTCAGCGCAAACTCAGCTTCCGGCACTGGCACCAAGCCGTCTGTATTCATTGCAATCATTCTTGGCGTCCGGCACTAAGGCACATGATGGCTATTCGTCCAGAGCCAAGTGGGTATCGGTAATGCAACATGCGGAGCGACTTGTCAGCGCAGCCCAGTCAAAAGGAAATCAGGTCTGTACAGACGCCACTTGCGTCTTCGCCGGAGGCAGTTCGAGAAAAAGACTCGATCAAGGAGATCGCGAGGCTTGGAAGTCCGTCGCACGAGATAGCGGCCACTGATCCTTCGCGATGAAACGAGAGATCGAATGGCCAACATGCGGGACTATGATCAAAGCAGGGAAGAGCAGGCAGAAAAGAACAGTAGAGTTGAAACGTGCAGCTTTCCAGGAGCAGGAGCAAAGGCTTCCCTATCAGCCATCCCTCAGGCTGCCGCTCACGCTCACGCTCGCTCCTCACCGTCACCGTCACCGTCGCTGCTGCTGCTGCGCGGTGCGAACAGTGCAATGCAATGCACGCAAGTCAGCCACCGTCGTGTCATGTCCAGAGACAAGAAACGAGCTCAGGGAGCAGGCTGCAGCTAGACCCCAAAGCGCCTAGCACGTTGACTCCCCTCGCCCTGCGGACGTGTTTCCGGGCAAAATGGTGCGAATGGCCTCGCATGATCGATTCTGGGTTGGAGTGGAATCGTGGCTGGCATTCGGCTGCGTCCTGCGCCAAAAAAAGTTGACGCCGCTTTAGGCCGCCCCCAATCAATGAATGATTCCGCTTTCTCGCGAGGCGGGCAGAACAGGGCAGGGCAGGGCAGGGCAGGGCAGGGGGGAGCATTCTTCGCTGTATCAGCCCCTCGCTGCTGCACAACCTTGCCCTCACCACTCTGCCATCCGCAGACACCACCATCAGTGGCAGCGCTCGAGTATCTATAAACATCCTCACCTCAACCTCTTCTCCGTGCTGTCGTCGCACGTCTTTCTCCTCCACGCCGCGCACCGGCGTCGCTGCCCTCATTTCGTGCCAGATTTGTCCCTATTTCGGAGTGCGAATGTGACAAGGCCTCCCAGGATCTTGCAGGCGAGCAGAACAGGGTGGTTGCACACGCCAGTTATCTTCTCAGCTTCAAGCCCCTCCACACCATTTCCATCCCCCCAGCTGCCCCCAAGACCAGCAGCGGAGGCCGCTACAAGCCTACGACGCCCTCGACCCGATTCAACTCGGGGCTGGCGCTTCTTCCCCCCGTCCTCGAGCCTCGACCCTCGACCCATCAGACTCCCTTCCCCACACCCTGACAACCAGAACCACACCAGCGCTGCACATCTCCCTCACTCCTCCTCGACTGCAGACCGCAGACCGCAGACCACGCCCTGTCTCCTTCGAACCACTCCACGGCGACCCGCTTTCCGACTCAAAATATCCCCCCCCGTCCTGTCGTCGCTCCTCCCCACAAACCAAGTGCTGGCTCCGCACTCGAACCTCGACTCACCTCCCTCAACGCAACCACGTGAGACTGCGACGCTGCTGCCGCTTTGGAATACCGGACGCAGCTGCATTGCTCCAGGGAATGTTGCTCTCTGGTGCGAGGAGTTCCGTCTGCCAATAGGCATGCCTGGTCCTGTGCTCCAAAATCTGGTGATATCAAAGCCGAAAGTTTCCCTTCGCATCCTCAACGATAACCACGACCATCAACCTACGCTGACCTGACGCTCTCCTCCCTCCTACCATGGCAATAGCCATGGCCTGGCATAAACCCGACAATGTTGCTGGCTCGTCAGCACCGGCCATCATGGTCGGGCTGTTCGTTGCTTGCGGTGGACTTCTGTTCGGCTATGACACGGGGTGAGTGACAACTGGGGATCGACGCTGAGTCGTGGCGATGAGGGCTAACGATTGCACAGGACCATATCGGGGATACTGGCTATGACAGCTTTTCGAGAGCAGTTCTCGACAGGATACACCGACCCAAAAGATCACAGGCCGAACGTTTCGCCTGCCCAGTCATCTCAGATTGTGTCGATATTAAGCGCAGGAACATTCTTCGGAGCACTTCTAGCAGCCCCCTTGGGCGATAGACTCGGTCGGCGTGTGTCTCTTATTATAGCGGTGGCTATATTCTCCTTTGGTGTTCTGTTGCAGACCCTTGCGATGCATATTCCGATTCTGATTAGTGGAAGGTGAGGCTATAAAACTCAGACTGCTCTATAGGGACTGACAATGTCCGTAGGTTTGTCGCAGGCCTCGGTGTTGGAGTTGTATCGGTTCTTGTTCCACTTTACCAGTCCGAGATGGCCCCAAAATGGATTCGAGGCACTCTAGTTTGCGCATATCAATTGGCAATCACGACTGGCCTCCTTCTCGCAGCAATCGTCAACATCTTAACCGAGAGCAGGGATGACATCAATGCCTTTCGAATACCTCTTGCGATGCAATTCGTCTGGGCTGGCATCCTCCTCCTTGGACTCATTCTCTTACCAGAGACACCACGTTATCTCATCAAGCGGAATCGTCACACCGCTGCGGCATTGTCCCTTAGTCGTCTCCGGCGACTCGATATAACTCATCCCGCCTTGATTGAAGAACTCGCTGAGATCGAAGCTAACCACGAATATGAACTCAGTCTTGGTCCTTCACAATATCGCGATGTATTTTTAGGCTCGCCCCATCTTGGTCGACGCATTTTGACGGGGTGTGGGTTGCAGATGTTGCAACAACTCTGCGGGTGCAACTTTATCTTCTATTACGGAACTACCTTCTTTGAACGCATTAACATCAGGAACCCATTCGTGATCCAACTCATCACCAACATTGTAAATGTTGTCTCTACTCTACCTGGCATGGTCCTCGTCGAATCCTTGGGACGACGCCGCCTTCTTATGATCGGAGCTTCCGGCATGGCTGTCTCCCAACTCATCGTCGCTTCCGTCGGCACAGCTCTTCCAGACTCTTATGTAGCGAATGTGGTCCTTATTGCCTTCGTCTGTTGCTACCTGTTCTTCTTCGCTGCCTCCTGGGGACCCGTGGTCTGGGTCGTGACTTCAGAGATCTACCCCTTAAAGGTCCGAGCGAAATCGATGTCTATCTCCACAGCCTCAAATTGGCTGCTCAACTTCGGCATCGCCTATGGCACACCTTATCTTGTGGGAGACTCACCCGGGTTAAACCTGCAAGCAAAGGTCTTCTTTGTTTGGGGAGCTTTCTGCGTCATCTCACTCGCCTTCGTCTGGTGTATGGTGTACGAGACGAGCAAGATCAGTCTTGAACAAATCGACGAGATGTACGAGAGAGTCGACCATGCCTGGAACAGCAAATCGTTCCAGCCTAGTTGGAGTTTCCAGGAGATGAGGGACGAAGGAGGTTCAACGAGTGGGATCCAACTTACAGAGCACGAAGATGCTCGGCGGCGGACGGGCACGAGTGCCAGTGCAGCGGAGAGCGGCACAACTATGACCGAAGAAGACAAGATCATAGCGCAACTCGGCGACGTTGACATGAGCTATTAACGTCTCGTCGACTTGGCTTTTTGTTTCCGTGTATTTCAGCGTGGAGTTTCAGTCGAGGAGTTCTGGGATACGAAATCAATGGGAATTGGGTTTGGGGGTTAAACAACTTTGGATATTGGGATCGAAGGGGCGAAAGCATGTCATATCTGGGTCTGTTGCTAATGTTTCTCGGCGATTTATCACAATGGGGATGAGGTGTTTCCTGGAAGCTGGGAGTACCAGCGCCATACGCCCCATTTACCTCTGCAATTGTCGTCGGGGGATTCGACTATACCACGGTCTATTATCATATGGCCAACCAGATTAGTTTTCGCTGGAAGCAGACATGTCACTCATGAGAGAGGAGAAAAAAGACGAATGAGATATTGAGATAACCATATATGCTAAAATCAATCATGAAATGATGTACCTCTCTTTCTTGGGTCCTTGCATCGTGTATCTTGCTCTCCTTGTTATCATCCCACAGTCAAGAGCGGACGGCACGGCAACTGGTCCCGCGCTTACGCAGGACGCAGGTATATTGACATCCTATATTTGTTGGTCAGCTATTACATCGCATAGTGTCTAGGCTTCTGCGGTTATTGCATTACTATTTCCAAATCCGCTCCGAGTGGACTTGTATTTTCTCGGATTTTCTGCGCGTCGGCGAAGTGGGTGACATGTTGCTTGCATAATGCATGTGGGGGAGTGAAGGGGAAAAAGTTGGCAACGAGTCAAGCCACTTCCGACCCGCCTTCCCGTCTTGCATCCTGATTCATATTTCCCGCAGGAAGGTTTTGCTTCTTCGGAGAAGCTTATTCAGGTGTCGAGTCCCACGTCTCTGCAATGCTGCTTCAACGCCTCGTTCGGCCCTTGGAAAAAACTGGGATTGAGCGTGGGATTTTCCCGCCCAGTCTTTTCACCAGTCTGCCCATAACTGGAGGACATCTCCGAAGTTTGGTTGTGTATTGAATGTTTGAAGTTTAAAACGAAGGGATCTAATTTCTTCTTGTCTTCAACAAATCTACCAAGGAAGGTCCCGATGGCATTGCAGTGAGGCCACTGGGCACAAACATGTTATGCAAAGTCGAAAAGGTTTTGCTCCATACGTTTGGCGTAAACTGCTCTTCGAACAGTGCAAACAGCATAACCTCTGTCCATCCATTGTCTCGCAACGCTATCTCAGCTTGGACGATCTCGCGGACGTCCCGCGGTGAAGCTACCGAGAGCTGACAGAGGTTTGAGAATGAGTTCCCACATTCCATTGCAATTGACATTGGTCAACATATTTTGCCCCTGAAGTCATGGACGAAGCACAGTCGAGCCGGAAGCTGAGCCCTACTATCACGACCCGTGGCTGGTGTTCTCAGGGGAAACAGCTGTATTGGGTGTGTATGTACGTTTGAAGAGGGAAGAAGGAGCGGGGAGCTCGAGAACTAAGATACAGGGTGCCGCGCTAAGTCACGTGCGACACAACACCTACTGTTGCTTAATCTGTCCCCTTCTATTAATTAGAGCAAATACCCTTGTGTTTCCCATAGTAGTAATTAGCTTCCTTTACCAAAAATTCTACTATATATACAAGCTTCAATACTATGTAAATACTTGCCTTCGTTTTTAATTACTTCTTTCTTAATTCTGTTGCATGGCAGGTTGGCACGTGCACAAGCGAGCCCTACTTGCTAGATTCTCAGACAGACTTCAATGAATCATCCTTCACTACACGCATTGTATTCAACCTGTCAGCTGAGGTGGAAAGGCTCTTTTTGAGCGCTAAATTAATAATATTACCCTATCGGAGTTCCTTAAAGCCTGAATTAATAGAGGCAAGTGGGTATATTAGAAGCTGGGTAGTTAGCAGGCTATTTTTTACGAGCTAGTAACTACTTTGATTATTTATTGCCTGACAAGTAAAATAGAGAGTCCGCGGGGCTTTAAGCTAAGGCCCCTCTGGGGGAGCGCTATTTTTTGAAATATATCTTTAAAGTCGACCTGGTCGACCTGGTCCAGCGCGTATTTACCAGTTCCAAAACCTGCAGTTCCGCGATTTCTATTGGGTAGGGCAGTTCTATCTCAAAAATCGGCCCTACCTACTCATTCCTGGCACTGTCAGCAAGACTTCAAGAGGTAGTTAATTGGTGCAGTTATAGCCAAGTCAAAGGCTAGTGAGGTCTGCCCAAAGAGAATAATGTCACATATTAGCCAGGGAGCAGATGACCTACCCTTAGGGCACATGAGCAAGTGAAACTTAGTAAGAGAGAGAAGTGTGTGAGCTGTCTAGAGCTCTGGTTCACTGATCGGCCTAAAAAACGAGTTGGACTTGGTCAAATTGGATCGAATCAAGGCAAGGAAAGCATAAGCCGTGACTCGTGGTATGCGTGCAAGCAGTGCGATGTATATTTATGTAAGATTCGTAGTTGTTTTGATGTATTCCATAAAGGAAAGTACCTTGGACTTGATACTTTTAGAGAGAAGCTGTAATTTTGCTGTGATTGGCTCGCTTGCTCTCCTCTCACTAAATATATTTTAACGCCCAGGTCATCCCTCACTCGCTAGTTCTAACGAATTAATCGGGAAAACTCCCAACCCTTACCACTGCCCAGTATTCCATGGCAGTAAGGAACAATATCTTAGCACCTGTACTTCACACAATATGACGATCATACCGGTGCTCCTCATACTTCTTGCTCCCATCCACGTTTTCCTCCCCAGGCCGTTCCAAGTATGTCAAGTCCACGCTAACGGTCTTTTTGATGCCCATGATCCTCTCTTCGCTTCCTCCGCTCTTGTAGGGCGTCGCCAGGTCGTCGCCTTCGATGTCATGCTCTGAGTCCTTCTTCGAGCGGCTGGACTGGTCCATCCAGTTACCAGATCGTGGCCCCGCACCGTTTGAGACGCCGTCGCTCAGTGGATAAGAATCCACAGGCTTTGTGGAGCCAAAGAGGAACGGAATGAACCGAGCCAACGGTATTCTCAATGACGGTGCGCAGGCACAGATGACACCGACGGTTGATTCGACTTGGGTCCATATGACTGAGGTTCCAGTTGCCCAGGTAAAGTCCTTAGCGAATGTGGCGTTAAAGTTGAGACTGATCAGACGCTCGATGCTGGTTATACATACGCTGCCTGGCGTCAGAAGGGTGAGACATTAGGGACAGTTCAGACACTTACAATGCTCCTAGAAGAAAGACTGCCAGGAGACCGAGCTTGGCGCGCCGATTCATCTGTAACTTCAAAACCACAGGGATGGGCAAGACGAGGACCACGATATCCATTAAGGTGTTCCACCCCGACTGACCATACCAGAACGCCTTGATATTGATGCTGGAATGGTGTTAGCAATGCTTCGAGACCCAGAAGTGAAGTACCACTAGCCATGTGCCGCCTGGTATAGTCTTGTTCCATGAGTATTGGACAGGAGTGCACTGGAAGATTGTTGTTAGGCCCAGAGCAACGAGCCCAAGAGATATCTGAACGATCAGAGCCCAGCAGATAAAGCGGAACGATCTTTGGGGAAAGATATCAAGGTAGAGGAAGAGGAAGGAGAGTTTCGTAATGCCGACAGTGATCTTGACGAAGCACTGGAATACGAAAAAGTATAGCAAAGACTGGTAGCGCTGCTCTGCGGAGAGATAGGATGCATGGTGTCCAAAGCCCCATTTCAGAATCGCTGGGATATTTAGTCAGTGACAGATTCAAGTGAGATAATCCACTACGATCCTTACCAACGGAGATACAAGTCACTTGGATAATGTTGAATACCTGTGACTTACTTAGTGACAAAGGCTCACTCACTTGAAAAAGTGTGATATACGGTACAAACCAAAACACAGATATCGGCCCTGTTCCACGCCCCGCCTTTCTTAATGACCCGCCACCAAACGCGAAAGGCGACAACGGCTATAGACACTGCGAGTAGAGGTATGTTCACAAACACAAAGTTGTGGCCCTGCTTCGTATCAGGCCCGCTGGGTATAACAACGCCTGTTCGTGCTGTTAGAGCTTCGAGTACCATGGTGTTGGCCTGTTGTGCAAGCAGTCAAAAGCTCAACTTTGCTGATCTTCAGCGAACACAGCCTAATTATATAGAGTCGTTGCTGCACCGACATACCAATTGGTGCAAGCAAAGTCTACCTGCAGATTGTCTGTTATGCCTGCTATAAGTCTAGTAGGGGCGATCCTTCTTTGGCAGGTACTCAGCGAGTAGAATGCTGAAGATGTGCAGCGAGTGGTCTCATCGCTGGTTGGGGATTCTGCAAGACACATGGATCAGAGGGCCCCATGCATCAAGCACCGGGATGGCCTTTAAGGGGTACCGCAACCCTTGTGAAACAAAAGGATAGATATGGTATGTTGCTATCGACTTTTACAGCCGTTGATTAACTAAGGAATATATTATATTTGTGTTAAATCAATAGTAAATACATTTAAGCATCGACATTTAAATAAAACACAATATAGGAAGCTACAATATAGTGGATATCGAATAAGCTTCCTCCTTTCTCAAAAGAATTCTTCAAGGATGCTTGAGTTAGCTGAGCAAACGACCAAGAAGTATAATGCACGGGCGACCAAGTTCGGCCAGCAAAGAATGAAGCTCACCATGTCTGATATTCCTCGGTACCGAGATTGGTATTCTAGGGCGCCCATGCTTGTCTTTTGAAGCTAGCGAGCTTTCAGACAAGTGATCTCTCAACGTATCCTAATCAGAACAAATTCCGAGACTAAACTTCAACTTTAATCAGACTGTTTACGGCCTGTGCACTAAGTCTTGAAAGTAGTAATACAATTGTCGATCCCTTCCTCGAAAACAGTCAAATACCATGAACTTCACGAGGCTCAGCGTATCGGCATCAAACATGAGATTCTAAAGTTGCAGGTATTTAAGTTTATCGCTTATGACGCAGTCGTATCGTAGGTTCCCTTTTGAGACTTCATGTTTGATATACAAGTGAGAGCGTCGTATTGATCGACCCTGCTTGACTTTGCTGTTGGTTTAAACTGTAGCGACAATCATTGACTTCAAGTTGTCCTTATATACCGGGTTTGTGTAGTTAATTTACGATTTCCTAGCCATGCGTCTCTGACTTATATTCTGTCATGCGTTGGAAGGCGTAGTGATAGGGCGAAGTGATGTACCGGATGTAGTGCGACTGTCGTTTAGAAACCCTCACTTCAGATCCTGCTATCGAACCGCCTTCACGGACGAGAAGCACGAATGGTCTGATCGAATGAAGGCGAGATCTTCCGCTAAAGGAAGATACGTAACCATTCAGGCAGGGTTCGGGAGATTGAACACGAATGAAGTGTTTTGTGTCGCACTTTTGACTCAATCATTAACCAAAACCTTATTCAAGGGGGCCTGCTTAGGGCAAAATCCTTCGAATATTTTGAGACATTTCCGCTATTTTCAATGATCTACCCCCACGGCCGTCCGCATAATCCCAACTCGTCAGATTCGCTAATTTCCTTAATCAGGTGAAGAAGGATGCCCCCTCTAAACGTAACTAGGCCTGGGATATGAAGGATGGATGTTGTGCAAGGGCTGGTGACATGCCTCTAATAGAATAGAAAATATGATATATCCTCATTTCTCAGCTACTGACGGTAAAAGAATAACAAGAATATTCACGTGAAATTTAACAAGGTGCATGCTGGAATAACGGTGTATAAATTTACGCTTTACCCTGTCGATTTTGCCAAGATTTTCCTGCATTCCTGCAGAACTCCTGCAAGGATCCCAAAAAGCATCTAACTGGTTTCGAATGAAGTATCGATATCTTGAATGTAACGCTGGTGCGCTAGCTTGATTCTCGGCGTTCATTTGCATTTAAAAACGCTTAGTCTTGTCGCCGGCCACGAGGCACCAGGTACATGTGGCTGCATACTCCTCTCTTTTCTTCTTTTCCTTCAAAGATTCTTTTACACCACACCAGTTCCTGAAACACCAACCAGCCGTGGCGATCTGCATCGAACATGGATTCGATTATCGCAGGAGAGAAGGCCTCAGGTTCAGACTCCTTGAAGCCCGGGTCCCCCACAGAGAAGAGCAGCATCGATGCGACCGATACCTTCTCGAATGCGGAATACCGCAAACTCATCTGGAAACTCGACGTCCATCTTTTACCACCGCTCTTCATACTATGGTTCATCTCATTGATCGATCGAGTTAACATTGGTACAGCTAGGATCCAAGGTCTTGAGAAGGATCTCAAGATGGATCCTCTCAGCAACAAATTCAATATCGCAACCGGTTTGTGCCTTGATGAATTCCAAGAAGACTTCGTCTAACGCATTACCTCTAGTTGTGGTCTTTATTGGCCTTATGCTCGCAGAGGTAACCAATTCCCACAAGCCATATCACCACAGAATGCTAATAAACGAGCAGGTTCCAAGCAATTTGCTGATCAAGAAGTTCACACCAACTACTGTTCTCTGTGGTGAATGTCTCATCCTAGGTAAGAAAGACAATATGATTGATGGACAAGATACTTATATTGGACAGGAATTTTCACCATCGGCCAAGGGCTAGTCACAAACTTCGCTGGCCTCGTGGCAATGCGTTTCATCATTGGGATCCTAGAAGCCGGACTAATTCCCGGATCCATCTTCTTGCTGGCAGCGTACTATCCAAGATATGAGTTACAGTGGCGTATGAGTATGCTCCACGTTGGCAATGCTATCTCAAACGCGTTTGGCGGTTTGCTGGCTTATGCTGTGGCTAGCATCCACTCTTCAAATGGATGGCATGGATGGAGATGGATCTTTGTCATTGAAGGTCTTGTTACAGTCGTCCTTGTTGCGCTTTGCTGGCCATTCATGAACGACTGGCCAGCCACGGCAAAATGGCTCAAACCAAATGAGAAAGCTGTCCTGGAAGAACGCATTCGAAAGGACGGAATCATCGGTCGTATGGATGACCTGGACCGAAAGGCCATTATCCGATGCCTCACTGATTGGAAAATCTACCTAAGGTAATAAGACCATTTCGTCTGCGTTGTATGCTTCTGCTGACGTAGCTCTAGTGGGTTCATCATCGTCGGCGTCATCTCCAGCGTCTACTCATGCACCTTATTTGCCCCAACAATCGTCAAAGTTCTCAAGCCAGCATACTCCGCAAAGCAAATCCAAGGTTTGGTAATTCCAATCTTTATCGCAGCCTCCGCCAGCACCTTGACCGTTGCATACATCTCGGACAAGCTAAAGCACCGCGGTGGTCTCGCATTGACTGGCTGTTTTATAGCAATCATCGGATATGTCATCACCCTCAACCAAGAGCATGTCTCGGTCAATGCACGCTATGGAGCCCTTTATCTCATCGCCTCCGGTTCATTTGCCGCTCTGCCTGCAGCCTGGATCCTGCTTTTGAACAACGTCTCTGGATCCTACAAGACAGCCTTCGCCATCGGTATGGAAATTGGTCTGGGCAACGGTGGTGGGTTTGTTGCGTCGTTCTCTTTCCAGTCGAAGAAGGCTCCGTTCTACTGGACAGGCTTTAGGACCACGTTCTCGCTCATGTGCATGGCTACTGGCTTAATCTGTGTGTATGTGACGGGACTTTGGTACGAGAACAAGCAAAAGCGCGCTGGGAAGAGGGATCATCTACTCCAGGAGGGCGACAACTTGGGAGATGCCCATCCTGGGTTCATTTATACCTATTAGAGTTGTTGATCATAGCATAGCTTTAGTCCATCGATATGTAATAAAGTTTCCAAACACGTCTAGTGTCAGGTTCATTTGCCTAGCTATTACCAGTGACGACATTTCCGTTCCTTTCCATCCTGTCAGTGTTAGTAACCCAGGACTTCCTGCAGCTGCAAATCTGACGCAAAATCATCCATGCATACTTGTGTCCTGCGAGAGTGGTGGTGCAAGATTGACCTCCACCCCCACACGCTCCGAGGGAGTAGGGATCACAAAAGCACTAGGGGGACACAAGGTCCGTCACCGGAAAACACGCCCATGTCCCCCGGAGGAATAAAACAAGTTGATCTCAATACCACGTCGAGACTCAATAGGCATTGTTACGGTTACGTTACCTTGCACGTGCATTCGACCCTGTTATGTTATCTTGGCGTCTGCCATGGAACATTTTGATTGACGGGGCGGATCGTCCCCCGGCTCGAGGGGCGGCGGGGGTCGCTCTATCGAGGAGAGTCCCGACTGTCCTCATCTTCGTTGGTTCGCTCGCTCGCTTGCATACTTTTCAGGGGTAACCTTAAAATGTCCATGAGACAAAATCAATACGAGAGGACACACAGTTTTGAAAATGACCATTTCGCTAAGCGAGGTCCTTAAAAATCGTTTCCTCGTCTTTGAAAAATCGCAATAAAACTCCCAAAACTTTTAGAATCACTAAAACACAGATGAAAGATAACTGAGCTTCTTCTCTTTTGCCTAGAGCTTGGTTTAAAGTATTTGGACTTGGTCGCGTTGCGATGCGTAATGTTTAAAAGTTTGAAATTTTGGTGATCCTCGCCCCACTGGAAATAGACGATTTTCAAAACTGTGCACCTTCGTAAAGTAGCTTGGTATTTCCGTATCGAAGCAAGTTTGTGGGGACGGGACAAAGGCGAACGTTCCGCTGAAGGGGATGTTCGTTCACCCCTGGAGTCTTGTCCCATGCCAATGTTATTTTAGTTGGTTTCATGTTGCTCCTTGCAAACCTTGGAATTGTGGCTTCGATTTCTGAGTTTGCATAATTTGGACCATACCAGAGCGATCCTCTCCGTCCCGACCTCGACGGTCACCAGAGAACATGAGCTCGATACAGGAAAAGGTGCCGATTGATATAGCGATTGTTGGAGGAGGCATCGGCGGGCTTGCTCTGTCGATTGGTCTGCAGCAATATAGCCATGTCCGAGTCAAAATCTACGAGGCTGCCTCCAAGATCGCTGAGGTTGGTGGTGAGTAATTTCGACCATTTATCTGCCTCGAGAAACCAGCACGATGATTGAACCATTGTTTTGATTTCTGCCCCCGCCCCGTTTGCCAAGAAGAGTCGTAGCTGAAATGTTCTAGCTGGCGTTTTCTTTGGTGCCAATTCTATTCGTGCTATGACCCTCATCCATCCTGCTATCGGAGAAGCCTATGCCAAGATCTCGACCAGCGCCGGTTGGGAATCAAAGAGAAATATATATTTTGATTTCATCCTCGCGCATGAGCTTCATGGTTTGCCCACAGGAAGCCACATCATATCGCCCAAGGTTGCTGCGTCTGAGCGACACAGCACTGCTCACCGCGCACATTTCGTCGACGAGCTCATCAAGCTCGTGCCTGATGGCGCCGTCGCTTTTGGCAAGCGCTTGACAGACACCTCGCGAGATGAGGGCAGGATGAAGACGGTCATGAAGTTTGCTGATGGGACCTCTGCTGAGGCCGATGCGGTGATTGGATGCGATGGCATTCGATCCGTGTGTCGAGATTTTGTGCTGGGAAAAGACAATCCTGTCTCTAAGCCGGTGTTCACAGGTAAGCACGCGTATCGCGGTTTGATACCCATGGATAAAGCCATTGCCGCGATTGGGCCTGAGAAAGCCAAAAACCGCTTCATGTTCCTAGGTGTAGGCGGCCATGTCCTCGTGTTCCCCGTGGCGGAGGGCGGCGTTATGAATGTCGTTGCTTTCAGCACGACCAAGAGTGGTACTTGGGAGGGAGAATGGGTCAAGCCCATGAAACGAGCTGATTTGGCTGCTGATTTCCAGGGCTTTGGAGAGGAATGTCAGAAGATATTCTCGGTATGCCAAGCGTCACGAACATTGCCTCATGTTGAAGACTGCTGATGTTGGATTCTAGCTGATGGAGAATACCGATCACTGGGGAATATTTGACCTCTCCCCAGAAATCCCAACTTTCTCCTCCGGCCACCTTCATCTTCTTCTCCTAGGCGACAGCGCACATGCCTGCGCGCCTCATCAAGGTGCCGGTGCTGGCCAAGCGCTAGAAGACGCGCACATTCTCTCCCACATCCTGGGCGCCTGCCGCTCCCCATCCGACTTGCTTGCCGCATTTGCCGGCTATGAAAGTGTGCGCATGCCACGCACGAAGTTTGTCCAGATCTATGGCCGACGCCAGGGAGAGCTGTTGGACCTGCAGTGGGGGGATGTGGGAACCGATCTGGAGAAGTTGAAGGCGATTATTGATGTTCCCATTAGAGAGATTTGGAACTGTGACTTAGACGCTGAGCTGCAGAAGGCGCGAGTGATAATGCAGAAAAAATTAGCTGAGTTGGATGCGGAAACTCCGGTCGTGGCTTGAGTAAGCTGAAAGTGACAGAATGAATGGTGTTTGAAGCTGTTCTCTTGTGAAAGATTCTCATGGCTCACAAAGCAATCCAAGCTAGGAGCCTGTTTACTGTTTAGAAGCCGGATGCCCCCTATCCTCCAGGAAGGCATAGGCATTTAGATCGATTACGGGAGGCTCCCAAACCGTAAAATACGGTAATCGTTCAGCCTGTATATGATTTACGCTGCCACTCACATTTGTCAAGAGGAGCCATAAGCTCATGTAGTTCATGTACAACAGTCCAACTTGACTCGCCGAGTGCGGAGAGCTTCACGGGCTGGACATGCTGGGACATAATATCGACATGCTGTCGCGCTCTAGTCACAAAGAGTGATGAGCACTCGTGGCTAAGGGTGACTGGTAGTGGTGGGCATTTTCAGCGTGAGAAATGAGTAGAGTAGATTAGATTAAGGCCTGTTAATCTAATCTATTCATGAAATATTTTTATTAATCATATTCTATTCACGAATTAATTGTGCTAATCATGAATATTCATGAATACTTAGATTAATTTACACGTTACCATATCACGTGATAGGCAAGCTCCAATAGATACCCCTTTGGCTGAGCAAATCAAGTGATACTAGATTGGTCAAATAACCGGGTACTAGCGCCACTTTTTCGAGAACAATCGAACCGCTTGTAGGGGACCTCCCAGCGAAACAAAATGCGGCCCCACCTTTCGCCTCTGAGTTCGCTTCGACATAGAATTTATGCTACATCCCCCAAATCAGTTTCCAACGCATCCCAATTAAGAATATTAGATGCGCGAACATTAAAGTCACTGGGTCAAGAACAACCCTAGGAACCAAAACAGTGAAGTTCCCAGGAGCCTACACAGCAACGGATCCGTACGCAACTCCCCAATAAAACCTCGATTCTGTATGGCTAACTGGGAAAAGCGGGACCACACTCAATATACACGGCGGGACGATCCCCAATAATAACCTCAAACCATACCCCGTCCCGGGCCCCGCTCCGGTGACCTGTTAGCGAAATATTGAGGAGTGGTGCATTTGGAATAGAAGTATTGAGACGGCACGTCTGACTGGCTGGGTAAGGTCTAGCAAACATAACCTAGGCAACTTGTAGATATTTAAAATATATCAAAGTCAGCCAACCCCTCAAACTCAGAATTGTCCGTGAATCACAACATAAAAGCCCAATTCTTAACCCGAACTCCAACAGTAGCCTCCATTAGGCCTTGCAATTTTCAATAAAACCACTTCTAGCCAATATTCACTTGAAACTTCGGCATGAGACGATAGCTTTGTCATCTGTACATGGACGGTAAAGGTCTACAAAGTGCAACAAAGTATTTACTCTCTTCCTATTATATGAGATGAGAGGTTCTTTTTGTCTGAATGTAGACAGGAAAGTCTGCGAAAGGCAATGAATTCGCTTTTTCGAAGGGTTCACTCCTGTTGAAAGTGACGTTGCTATATGTCATCACACCAATTTCTCAATTCCCACACGTCACCTGAATCGTGATGTATGCGTCACCTAATTAGCTCCACGATACCATGTGCATATATACCCTCAAGTCCTTGACTTGAAGTGCCAGCTGTTATTGTCAATAAATCTCCATTCCAACAACCCCCCTCCTATCTAATCAAACGAAAGCAACTTATTATTAAGTTATCAGCGAAGAGAGTTGCTATCTACAACAAGGCTAGCTTTACTTTGCATTATAGTTAGCTCTCACTTAAGTTGACATCCCGTGTAATTATTCACCAATGAGCTGCTTTCCTTAACCGTTTCCTCGCTTTCGTTCATCATGGGATTGAGAGGGCTTGCTTAAGCCCCTTTAATCAGAACAAATGCTTATTCTGGGAACGCGCAATTATCACCCCTCTTGTTCCCCTTATGAAATACAGAAGCGTGAGTTGCACAATAAGTTCGAGTCATAGTATATGTACTCTACGAATATCTGCAGCGAACATCCGTTTCATTAATATTCACACCTGTCCTGTAAATCGTTTATCATCTCAAACATCCTTAAACAGCCCCGTTTTGCAGCAAAGATGACCGCGCCCCAATGCCCGCTAATGCAACCCCCATCAACTATGATATCCCAAACGCCATACATACATCCACATATATATCATCACCTAATCAGGTTCCCTCCCCGTAACAGTCCTCTCACTATCCATCCACCTCCTCTCCATCTTCGGTCTCTCCGCACTACGACTCCTCTCCCTTTTCCCTTTCCAATCTCCATCCTTCCCCTCATAGCCAACGTCACCAATACGCTCACTTCTCCCCTTCCCCAGCCCCACGCTCTCTCTGGGGCTTCTCAACCCCGCCTCCCTCTCCAATTTCCCCACATTCTCCACCGTCAGCTTCTGCCCTTGCTCCCTCCCTTCTCCATGAGGCGGAATCAGTCTCTCACCATGGCTACTCGCCGCCTCAACCAACTTCTCATCCCTCAACGCTGTCGCCTTCTCCTCCGCCTCCTCCCTCCTCCCAGCCCTATCTCCCTCACTCTCCGTCCCAGGAAGATTCAAACGATGCGAGTTCTGCCTCTCCTTCGTCGTCGGTCTGCTCGTCTGAATCTGTGGTGGTTCCTTTACCGGCGGACTATTACTATTCTTGCTAGATTTTCCTCCGATTTGAACTTGGCCAAAGATCGGCACAGCCGCGGACTCACAGTTATGCCCGTCGGATTCCGAACAAGCGCTTCCCTCTGAACCTGCGGCTGGAGTGCGAGGAACGCGTCTACTCGTCGCCCATCTCACCAGCATTTTCTCCAAGGTTTTGCCTTTGACGGGCTTGGCGAGGTAGTCGTCCATGCCCGCTTTCTTGCATTTTTCTCGATCGCCTTGGATGGCTGAGGCGGTCATGGCGACGATGGGAATGTTGCGGGCTGAGATGTTGTAGGGGGCGTGATGCCGGATGAGGTGGGTCGCGCGGTAGCCGTCTATGATGGGCATTTGGACGTCCATGAGGATGATGTCTGGTTTGGGGTGCGGCGGGTCGGGAGAGTCGGCTGCGGAGAGATAGTCGAGTGCTTCTTTGCCGTTCCAGACTGCGGAGACCTCGAAGCCGAGCTTGCGGATGGTTTTGAGGGCTATTTGCTGGTTGATGGCACTGATTTCTGTTAGTTGATGAATGATGGGTGTAGTGTGGGTACGACTTACTTGTCTTCAACGACCAAAATCTTGGTCTTAGCCCTCTCCTCAGGCGACAATTCGAGTTCCGTGGGTACAGGTGGAGTCATGCTAATCGAGCTTGGTTTGCGGCGCATCCTGTGAGGATCGCTAGGACTCTGTGCAGAAGGAGTTTCAACAAATTGCTCATATTCTGAGCTGTTGCAAGACACGCTCATCTCGGATTGAAGGCGGTCTGGGAGATTTCCTGCATCCATGATCGTAGCGGTTCCATTATGATACTGAGGTTTATTAAACGGGATGGAAAAGGTCGCTGTGGTGCCATTTCCCAGACTTGATTGGAGACTAATCTCCCCATGCATGAGGTCGACTAAGTTCTTGCTGATCGTCAGGCCAAGACCAGTCCCTCCGAAACGTCGAGCCGTAGAAGAATCGGCTTGGCAGAATGGCTTAAAGAGTCGCTTGCGGACTTCTTCCTCGATCCCAATACCGGTGTCCTCGACAACAAATTTAACTTCGAAAATGTCTGCTGTCTCCCTCTCTTTCACGACAGAGAACTTGACATAGCCCTCGCTGGTGAACTTGATGCTGTTCGTGAGTAGATTAGTGATGATTTGACGGACTCGGCCTGGATCACCCATCACAATGAGATCTCTGTCCAACCCCACCGCGATATTCGATTCGAAAATCAGATTCTTTCGCTCCGCAGCAAAGCCTAACATTTTGCTCACATCTCTAACTACCACAGATAGCGAGAATTGAACCTCCTCGATATCCAGGCGACCAGATTCGACTTTTGAGAAATCTAGGATGTCGTTGATGACGGTAAGAAGGCCGTTCGCAGACCGTTGTATATTCTCAGCACATACCTGTTGCTCTTCGTTGAGGTCCATGTCTGTAAGGAGTTCTGCCATTCCAATGACGCCCGCAATGGGAGTGCGAATTTCATGAGACATGTTGGCGAGAAACTGACTCTTCAATCGACTGGCTTCTCTGGCAGCTGCCTCGTTGGCGAGCAACCTCGTGTTCTCCTTCTCTTGCATCTGCAGCTCAAGCTCGCGGTCCTTGACCTCAGTCACGTCCATACTGACTCCAATCACTCCGTCTATAAAAGCATTATTTTCGTGACCCCCACTATCCTTCTTGCCAAGGACCGGAACAAATCTGGTCCTGTAATACCGAGAATCGATGCAGTGCTCCTGAACGTCCTCCATAATCTTGCCGGTCAAAATGTCCTCGATTGGCTGCAGGGCCGTAGGGACTTTGCCGTCTCTACGTGGAGCTCCAAAATTGTGAAAGACATCATAGACGTTCTTGCCGATGTATTCTTCTCCTTTATTTCCCTTGCCATTTTCGTCCCCAGAACCACCTTCACCTTCCAGATCCCAGATGAAAGCGCCTTCAAGAAGAGTGATCCTGTGATTTCTGTCGACAGAGAATAGTGTGACTTGGGCGTGACCTATGACCGACCGTAGTTGTTGACGCTAGAGAACGCTGTCAGCTTCTGTGCCTCTTGCACCTACGAAAGAGAGACTTGCCATTCTCTTGGCCGCAAATCTTGACTCAACGCCCTCATGAATATCGGTGCAGGTACCAAACCATTTTTCGATGGCGCCCGTTTGTTTGTTTCGCAGGGGGAGCGCACGCCCTAGCATCCACCTCCATTCTCCATTCTTAGCTCGACAACGATACTCGGTGCTATATGGATCTCCTGTTTTGAGGGAGTGTTGCCACCTCTTGCCTGTTGCGGGCATGTCATCTGGGTGGAATGGTAATTGCCAGCCCATTCCCAATGATTGCTCTTCTGTGAGTCCGGTATATTCATACCTTGTAACGTTAGTTGAGGACATCTCACAACGAGGAATGACCAACCATCTTTGACTAAACCAATCGTGCATGCCTTCTGGAGTTGTTGTCCATATCATCTGCGGCATACTGTCACAGATGAGTTCAAATCTCTGTTCGTCCTTCTCTTTGATCTCGTTCATTTGTTCTGTCATACTTGTAATATCTCTGCAGGTAACAACGCCGGCAAGAAACTCGCCCGAGTGCTCGTCCCTGAGAGCTTCTCCGAGACAATCGAAGACAATTCTTCGATCAGTCTCAGGATCATAAATACCAATCTTCCTGTGTTCGAAGGGTGTTTGAGTCCTTACTAACACCGAAATTGGGTATTCGGAAGGGTCTAATTTTGTTGTAAAAGTCTCATCCCACACATGCCACTTCGATACAAGATCGAATCCATCTTTTACTATTGTCAAGTCTGCACTGGGATGAAACAATCGTCTAGCCGCTCGATTGGGAATAGTCAAGCTTTCATCCTTCCACATTGCCAGAATGGGAACTTGCGTGTTGTCAAGTAAAGCATCCTTCATCATTATGGCCTTCTGCAAACTCGAAGGTGCATTTGAGAGAGTGGTTCTAGTGGGTGGGCCGAGAGGCGGAAAAGGACTCGATGACATCGAAGTATTTGTCGGACTAGCTATAGCTGAAGAGTTGCTACTCCCACCGCGGTTCGAGCTTCGACCAGAGCTAACGGACGACGGGCTGGATTGAGTTCCCGACCTCCTCGAGGTGTGCTTCGCAGCCCTTCTAACTTGTCTCGACGTTCCTCTTGAATTTGGAAGAGATGCTTGATTTGTATCAGTACTCGTAAAGGTCATCGTAAAGAACCTCTCCTCTTCAATCTCCCAGACGGTTATGATCATTTTGGCAAAAACGTGTTTGCCTGTTGGTCGTTGATCGGATCGAGCAAAACAGGAGGGTGATATGTTTTCGGAACTGATAATGACTTCCACAACAGCATCATGTACAGTTGAGCGGTTCTTGTTTGCGCTCGAGCGTCTGCTTGAGTGCTCTGCTCTTTCGGCCGTTGGAGTTACATCTCCTTCACTAAATTCCGACTCAGGTTGAAGGATATCGTGGCTCATATGCGTGCCCAAATCGTCTGCCAGACTGTCGAGAAACGAATCCCATGTTACCCATACAGGCCTTCCATCTTGAAGCATGTCGATGCCGAGTTGACCTAGCGTCTGGCCTCTGAGTCTCTCCACTCCCGGAATGCCATCATCGCTTACAGAATCCCCATCATCGTCCTCAATGCTAAGTAGTCTTCCCATGGCTTCGTTAGCCATTACCAAAGTCTTCAAGCTACTCAAGACAAGAAGTGGGTATGGTAAGTATTGCATCGCAGACATCGCTAGTTCAGTTGGCGGGGGGAACCTAGGTATGTCCAGAAGAAGAAGGCTGCTATTCCCAGAACCTCTCCTAGCAGGAGGTTGTCCTCGGCCCTTCAAGAAGCTTTCGGCCTGCAAACTCTCCAGGCCATCAATTTGGCCAGGAGGCATTTGCAAGGGTGATATCGGTCGGTCATACTCTTCGTCGATGTGTGGAGGGAAATAATCGTGGGACTCAGTGTGGCTAACCGCCGGAGGAGCGCCGTTCGGCCGAGGATCGAAAGCTGCCATGCTCTTCATCGCATCGAATTTGTGCTGTTTGTATCCTAGGGCAGAGGTAAAGAGTGAAGTTTGTCAGCCGCCTACTGCGTCATAATTGATCGAATTGGTCGTTGACGCTTATGATGCCGACTGAGCAAATCCGCGAGCTCTAACCACAGAGCCTCGTCCAGACGAACCGAAAGGGAACCTTCTTACTGTATTGTCCGACGGCTGGTAGGTACAACTTGTGGAAAGAAGTTCGAAATAATCTGAGGTGGTCCTCTCGACAGCAAGCGCCAGGATTGGCCCGATTAGAGTTTCTAATGAGGGACTAAAGACGTTAGACGTTGATCCAGAACCTCTGTGTAGAATGCGCGGCCGAGCTAGCATAGGAACAGATTAGAGATCAAATAGCCTCCAAAACTTCGCTCTCACTTTGGATGTACTGGTTTCAGAAGAGAGTTGCTTGAATCCTTGTTGTGGTAAAGAACTGGGGAGGAGTATGTTGAGGCTCTGATGTGCTATTTGAGTTGAAAGAAGATGGGTGGACCCTGAAAAGGTTCCCGCAGCACGGTGGGATTGAGAACAAGTGGAGAAAGCCAATGAGAAGTGCACTCCATGAGCAAAGAGGGGGGTCTGGGCCCAAGGGGGTGGTATTGAGGTCCGCGGTTGGGGGATACTTGACGAGATTAACTCGGTCCTCTCAGGAAACCGACCACCCTGACTTCTCCTCGAGGACTATCAACATGGCTGGGGCATTTTCTCTCCTTCGTGTCCGCACTGTCCGGCATTCCGGCCACTGCGCCGCAAGTCTTCACTGACGGCAGTGGCGCTACCACTCCCACTGCTGTGACACACGAATTGTGAGACGCCATCCAATGCGGCCAGCCATTCTTCATTGGGCGAAGGTAAACACTCATCTTCCCTACTTTTAGCTGAAGGTCTAGCTGAAAGGTCGCCCGGAGCCATGAGTTTCTGCCTTCAAACAGAGGACTTGAGGAGGTTGCTCATGAACCGTCTAGGCCGTCGGCCGCCCTCTGTCGTGCTGATCATGCGGGGATTTTCAATCAAGCTGCAGAAAGAGGAACTTCGAAGCAGTTCAGATCGTCAGGTTGTGCCAGGGTCCCCGCCCATCTCGCCAGTCAGAAAGCCGGGTCAATTCCAGGGTCCCACGCCGCCACGCGGTGGCAATGTTGGTCTTGGCAACGATTCTGATGAGAAAACACTCGCGTGGAGGTCCACCCTGGCAGCCCCACCCCTCAGGGTGACGTCGATGTGATCTGTGATCACGGGGTAGAGGTGAAGCTTCTCGCATGCGCGTAGATTCGGATGGCCCTTTTCGAAGGAAGTTTGGCTAAGCTGTCAAAGTTTAAAGAGGAGGAAAGAGCGTGGGTGAAACGAGATTGCGGAGGTCGAAAACTCAAAATCCACCCCTGTCAACCACCTCGGAGACGTCACCAACCAGCCGGCTACTCTATTCTGACAACAACAACAACAAAATGAATTCATTTCTGTGAGTATCCGCTGCGCTGCGGCCAGCTTTACATGGTCCGTGCACCGGGCTCGCTTCGCTTAATTTCAGCCAATCAGAGGGCTGTATTTCAGTCCCAAACCCCTCGATTTCTACTTCTCTTTATGAAACCTCTCAAAGCAGCTATTATATTTACATAAATGGACGTCGCACTGCTTGCACCCAGAGAAGGACGAGTGATTAGTGCTTTCTCGGCCCATATTAGATGCAATTTCGCTCATTGCAACCCTCTTTCTTGGCCGGTCCCCAAATCTCAAGCCTTTACAAGCTACACAGTACCCCCTTTTGCTCATCCTTATAAGCTCATGCGAGTTTATAGGCTCCTGATCAGCTGCCTGGCTAATCTGTAATATTCTTCTCTTTGGACAGATTTCACTGCCCCTTCCCTTAGCAACTAGCGCACCAACAAGCTGTCTCCTGAAGTCCTGCTGGCTCCTAAAGCTTATTTCCCTAGGTTCAGGAACATCGCTACATAAAGCTAGCAAATAGCAATTGATTAAAACCGTACGAAGTAGCCAGTGCTCTAGTGCTTGGTGCCCTCCTCGCTCTACGTACCGCAAACCAGCGTTCTGGGCAGTCAGGTGATCAAACTCATCAACTGCTCCCATGTGATAATTATATCCGTCCGCAATTGCAGGAATTGAAAGCACCTTTGTAGCTTGATTACCAAAGGGCATTCGTGCAGTCTTTGCTTTAGAAGAAGTCTCCTTAGGCCTCTTCCTTAGCCGTAAAACACGCTCGTCACCTGACATAAAGGAAGACATCATTAAAACAAAGGCTTGATCTTTCCACCTAACGTGACACACTTCTCCATTAGACGTATACCTGGAATACGTTTCACCCCAGGGTATTACATCCTTTCTATCCGATTTCTGAAGGTCAAGAAGCTCCTTAATAACCCCACTAGTTGTCCTGCAAGTCCCAGTAATTGCAACTCCCTGGGAGCGAGCATATTAAACAAAGCGAGTGGAAACAAAGAGATTATCAAGGTAAACGTGGTAGCCAGATCCCTTGGGAGGCTTAGGCAACCTTTTAATCAAGTACAGGACTACTGCTTGTGTTTTATTTCCCCCATTTCCCGCCTTAATCGTTCCACCAAGCTCCCTTGGAGTACGCACTCCCACAGGCCCATTTTTTTGACCAGGAATATGCCAGTTCCATACGAGTAAGAACCCCCTCTGGGCTGCCCCCCAAACCTTATATCCAGTAGGTGTAGGCTTATTTGGAACAGTAGTTGTCTCCTTTGATCGACCTTCAAATCGTACGATTATCTCATCGATTGCCAAGTCCCGTCCAGGCTTCCAAACTCCCAAATTAACCTCTTGAATGTGTGTACTTAAGGCTTCAACCTGCTCGGTAGTTTATTAGCTAGTTTCAGGTAAAAGGGACAGGGAAATGGGGGCCACCTTCTCGTACGGGCCTTGTTCCTGATTTCCATGGAATCGCACACGCATATGAAGCTCCTGGAACCTGTCCCTACTCATATAGCTTGCAATTGGGTGATCGGGAGTAAAGTCTTTCGTATTCCAGTAATCTGTGATCTCATTGCATATATATAAGGTCATATATATCCGAATTGCAAAGTAGAGATATATCTCTCCAGCACATGTTGGGTACCACTCCATTGCTCTCGCACGAGGGCACGAATCGTCCTGAGGCTCTCGCCGATACTCGTTTGTCTTCGTAACTATTAAGTCAATGATTTCTGGCGTATAGTACATAGTAAATAGCGTAATAGGGTCATCGGGGGAGGCATTCTCTGGTAGCGTGATCTCCCAATCCCAATTGGGCAATTGCATAGGGGAAAAAGTGTCCCCTTGCTTCGATATTGGTTTCGCATTAGGCCGGAGGGTCCCTTTATCGGTAGAATCAAAAATAGTATCTTCAGGCATCGTGGTTGTAGTGCAATTAATGATTTAATTAGCTTATAGACATGTAAATAAAGAATCATGGTTTTGGTGTTCCTCCGGAATAATAGTTAATCCGGTGCACGGACCATGTAAAGCTGGCCGCAGCGCAGCGGATAACCCCGGACACCCTTCCAGCATACATGCCACAACTCAAACAGGCAGGGTCACCCTTCTTTCAAGTACGGACCTTATTGGCCTCCATCACACCTCAAATTTTATGGACTAAGGCCCTCAACCTCACATACCCAAACCAATCACCACCTCCCGGACTGGCACAAACCGTCTTCAAAATCGCACAAACCTCCTTCACACACTCTTCCCTCTCTCTCTCATCCTCGATAGCACTGAGGAACTGCTTGCCCATCAACCTCAGCCACCCCTCAACACCCCCGGCATCGGCTTTCGTAGGTCGGTATTCCCTCTCAATTTTCTCAATCTTAAAGCCTCCCACGGTCTCTTCCATCATCTTCGTCATCCATACCTCATCCGGGAAGAACCAAGGGTCTGCCTCCCTCGCTTTCTCGAATCCTACCCGTCTTCCAATCACACTGAGGATCGATGTTCTCACCTGATGATTCTTAGTTAGTACTTGCTCTCTCAGTCAGTCACACTTTAAATGAGCTCTCATACCTCAGCAACATTCCCCATGCCCCCCATCTCAAAAGCAAATACCCCACCAGGCTTCAACGCATTTCTCACGCCCCGAAAGAACTGTTCACGTTTCTCCTCGGGCCTCAAGATCCAATGCATAGCCGCGTTCGAAAAACACTTATCAAAACTCCCGTCCTGGAGTTCGGGCGATAATGTCGTTGCATCTAGAACTGTTTCCATTATCAGTAGACTTCTTCAACTTGGAACCGGGATTTAGCTTACTTTCAAAAGAACAAACCTTTTCCGCAGCACTATCAGAAGCAGCAGCCTTCTTCGCGGCAGCAACCATCGCCTCACTGGCATCAACACCGTGGATCCTCCCCTCCCCTTTCTCGAGAGTCTGTGCGAATTGCACATTAAGGACCCCATCTGCTCACCCATTAATCCCCACCAATTCCCACAAGTTAGGGTGGAATTACCACCGCAACCTAAATCCAGAATCACATCATCTTGCTGCACATCCAGCCACGAAACTACTTTTCCCGCAAGCTTCGGGACGAAAGAGGCGGAGTTTTGGTATGACTGTCTGTTTATCAGTAATCTACTTTGGCAATGGAAGTCCATTCCGTTATGCATTTGGACTCACCTCCGATGACCAGCTGTCTTCTTTCTTCTGTGCCATTCTTTCGAAAAAGAGTTTCTTTCTAAATGATATACAGAAAAGGAAGTGGCAGTGATGTGTGCTTTTTTTGTAAAGTGTTAGGGAAGGGTTTATATCAGTTAATGATGGCAACAGTGGAGACGGCTAGCCTCGCTTCCGAAGTCGGAGCCTTGTTCACACTTCGATCACTCACATTCACGAGAGACCTGCTTTTTACAATTGGAATCCCGAAATTGATTGATTGCTTACTTTTCGTGTCTTGTTTGCTGAACAAGTTTAGACTTCAATGTTCTCTCCGATAACGCAGGCACCTGCAGAAGTGAAATGTGGGCAGAATGGGCAGCGGCCTTATGTGAAATATTCTGAATAAGAAACCTAACGCTTTCTAACTTAGAATAAATATGTGCAAGGTATCTAGAAATATCAATATCCGATTCATCTCTCTCCGATCTCACCCTGATCAATCAATCAATCGAGCTCCAGAAGCCGGTACTTTTCATCTCCCAGCGCATCCTCGATCCTCTGCATAACAGTCAGGACCTTCTCCTCTTCCAACCTCTGGCCCACAATTTGCACTGCGACCGGAAGGCCATGCATGGCTGTTGCGTTGTACAGTTTATAAGCTCCTTGCGCTACACCATTCAGCTTCTTGATTGAGAAGCCTGATGGCAGTTGATCGAGCGCTTTGTCCACGTGGGTTATGGGCATTATTCCACAGGTGTAATCGAGCTGTTTATGTCAGTGACTTCTCACATATAGTTCAAAAAAGACTTACAAGATTAAACAAAAACGTGTAACCGCAACTGCTAACGGCATCCTTCATCCCATCATGTGGAACAGCGGGCGTAGCATTGGGCGGGGTAATCATAAAGTCAATCTTAGCCTCTTGCTCCCACCAATCGTGAAACTTCGCCTTATACGCCTCCCTCTTCGTCACCAGCTGCCACTGCTCGTACGCAGATTTCTCCTTCCAGTCCTTAATCAAACTTGCCCAGATATCGTCTCTTCGGACATACTTCACCCATAAGTAATACATATATTTAAAAGGAGATGGTAGAGTTATGAGGAAGGACATTTGTTTCGCGCCTGGGTCTTCCCATTCTCCGGTTCGGAAAAACGATTTGAAGGTTTTGCAGCCATCAGAGTTTAGGAGTTGGGAGGCGATGACGAGGGCTTCGTACGGAGAGGGTGGGTCAACGTCGATGATCTCGTGGCCCTCTTTTTGGAGAGCCGCGACGACCTCGTCAACTGCTCTGGCGCAGGCTGGACTTGGATCAACGACACCGTCTGTCCTGAGAACACCGATTCGGAACTTCTTTTTCTCTTGATATTCCTTGGCGATGTCGTCTCTCCAAGTGATCGGGTGGACAGAGTGGTCGTATTTCCAGGGCTTCATGCTAATCATGGATTTTGTAAAGTAAGATAGATCTCCCAGTGTCCTAGTCATGGGACTAAACACACTCGGGATACCTTCTTGACCAGGCATACTCGTAACCATTCCATTTTTTGGCCACCGCCCAGTCGAGCATCTTAAACTGTAAATCCCCGAGAAATGGGCCGGTACTCTGACACTTCCAGCAACATCTAAATGTTCTAGTCAGTCTGGTACAATCAACTTCTCACAAGTCAACATACCAGAACCAATACCAATTCTTCCACCACCAGCAGCCAATAACGCAGCCTCACCTCCCGTCGACCCACCGGGGGAGTATTTGTTGTTATGCGGATTCGTGCACCGGCCCCAAACATCATTCGTACTCTCAAAGCTCAGCAGGGTAATCGGCAAGTTCGTCTTCACATAAGGCACCGCGCCGGCATCCTTCAATATTCGCACCATCGTGCCATCTTTCTCGCCCTTATTTCCCACATTGCTGCTATAGCCCACACTTGTATCATAGCCTCCAACCACAATACTATCCTTCAAACTGATCGGTATCCCCGCAAGAGGACCCTTGAAATTTATGCTGGAGTCTGTGGTCCATTTTTCCGCAGTGGAGATCATGATTTCGGTCAGGCAGTTTGTTTTTTGGTGGGCCTTTAGGGCTGCTTTTCCGTAGGCGCGGAGAATGTCGATGGGCTGCAGGACTTGCTTGTGCACGTCTTGAACCAGCTCTTCGATTGGTTTTGAGAGAACAGAGCGATCGGAAGAAGTGAAGGAGTCACGGTAGCTGGTGAGATCTGCTATTCTTTGGGCGCGCTCTGTTTGCTTGAATTTGCTGTAGACATGTTAGAAGATGTACATTCCGGGGAAACGCGGGGTAGGGTTTACTAACCAGTCGCGGTGGTGCTGGAAGTAATCTAGTGGGTAGACCATTTTGTCTATGCGTTTATTTTCAATTTCTCGAGCGGGACAGAGGTAAAATGTAAAAAGAGCAAAAGCGCCCCAAAAATGGGGAAGTGAAGACTTTTAAGTAGTTGAGAAGCCCCTCGTGCCCTGCCCCCCAGAATTCCGCAGCTATGCGCGATACCGAGTGGACTTTCCTTATTTGTCCTAGCGTGCTTCGCTTCCTCCTTACGGTATCTCGGCCTCTCCCACCTTTCAGGCCAACGTCCACGTTTTAGCTCCGCTCGCTCAGTCACCAAGCTCCATACCCCGCAATGAAAATGATACTTATATCTGCTCTATAAACCCTTCACCATGCTTTCCCCATCCTCATCCCACTCGACTCCCCGTGTTACCAACGACGTATTCGAAGAGCCACTCCATGAATACGGCTCTGGACCACCAGCCCACCTGATGGACTCGAACACCGACAACCTCCTCATCTGTACTGCATGCGGAACACAATTCGACATCGAGGACCGCAATATCTTGAAGCGATGTCGGATCTGTGACGACCCGCGGCAATTTGTACCTCCTACTGGTCAAGCGTTCACCACTCTCTCTGAACTCAAAAAGGCTGGCCATGTGAACAAACGCAAACCCCTCGACGGAGACGATCGATTCTGGTCCATATGGACGGAACCAAAATTTGCTATTGGGCAGCGAGCAATACTGATAAAAACTCCTCATGGGAATGTACTGTGGGATTGCATTACGTATTTGGATATGGAGACGATTGAGTGGATTAATAGTCTTGGAGGCCTGGCGGCGATTGTGATAAGTCATCCGCATTATTATAGCACGCATCTTGACTGGGCGGAGACCTTTGATTGCCCTGTTTATCTGAGTTGGGAGGATAAGGCGTGGTTGAATCGGATGGATCCGCTTGGGAAGGCGAGGACGTTTATTGAGGGTACGGAAGAGGAGATTGAAGTGCGGGGTGAGAAGACTGGTGTGAAGGCGCTGAAGTTGGGTGGGCACTTCCCAGGCAGTTTGTGCGTTTTGGCGGATGGGAGGTTGCTAGTTGCTGATACGTTGGTTACAATACCAGCCGGGTTAGGAGATTGGAGTTTGGGGCCTGCTGGGAGTGAGGATGCAAGACCCGAGGGGATGAATACTTATAGTTTTATGTGGAGTATTCCGAATATGGTCCCGCTTTCTGTGGAGGAGATTGGGGGGATGTGGGAAGTGTTGAAGAATTATGAGTTTTCGAGTACGCACGGGGCGTTCGTGGGAACTGAGGTGCGAGATGGAGGTGGTGGCTCGAAGAAAACAGTGAAGCAGAGAGTGCTTGAGAGCATGCAAATCCAGGTGAAACGGATGGGATGGACGGAGCATGGGTTTCTGAAAGAAACATGAGATGACTCGTCAATGAAGTCATGATCCCATATGTCTCGAATTTTGTACAAATACGTGTGCCCTAGAAAGTAATTTTACAATGAATGTCCCCAAAGGATGTGGGACTTTTAGGCAAAGTATCATTACTCGAGGCAGTCGCGAGCAACGCCTGTTAGCCCTGCCAAGCCCTGAGTCCCGAATGATACAAGCCAATGATCAATGCTCGCTCGACGAAGTACCGCAAAAATATCGACCTCGAGAATAATAAGCGAACCCCCTCTTCCCCCAATCCAGAAGATGCCAAAATACCTTGGGGCAGTTGTCCACACCCAGCGCCGTCCGGAAATGCTCCCCCATATACTCCTCTTCCATTGTTCTTCATGTACACCACTTCCGTCCGATTGAAACCCAACTCAAAATACCTCCCAACTCGAATTGAACCCGGTAGAGCTCATGGGCAGCACATTCGCTTTGCACAGCGGGATATTCCTCACACCACCTGAAGAAATGGCCTTCCCCGGCGCCGTGCATGCATATGCTTTCCTTCGTCATCATAACTCATTGTCTCGTCCGTCCGTTGTCCGTTCATTCATCGCGGTCGTTTTGCATTCATGCTCTCATCGTATTCCCAATGCCTCTTCAGCCCTCCCTCATACACACTCGCCACAGATTCCTGCCACATGCTAGGACTGACAAAAGACGGGATCGGCGCTCCGGAGTATTGCTGCGGAGGAATGGAATGGGAAGCTGGCTGTACGTTGGGGTTTGCAATGGCCTGTAGCTCCGGTAGAGTCGGGATTTCTTGTGCACCTGAAACGGCTAGTTTTAGAGGGGTTGCTTGAGGAGCGGAGGTGCTCTGAGCAGGGTTCGTACCAAAAGTCGTGTTCCATTGGCTAGAGTCTCATTAATTTTGTGGAAAGGGGAAGAAGAAGAGGGAGCTTACTCAAAGATTCTTGACGGGTTCCACGTTGACGGATCAGTCATTGGGACCCCGGATGTTATGGGCGGTTGCGGAGCTCGTTGACCGGTGGCCATCATTACCAGTGACTGTACAGCAGGAGAGTCACTCTTATTGTCCACACCTCCGGCTGAGATAGGCGGTGAAATAGGGTGGGCTGTGTAACTGACTTGTTGTGGGGCATGTTGTTGCTCCAAGTTTTGTGATCCATGCGTGCTCCCCTGGCGATACTGCACATTGGCCCGTGAAGGAGAGGTATGGACAGGCGCACCCGGACTCCCATATGGAAAAGTGGGCTTGAGAACGAATGGCTTTCTGATGTCGGCAGAAAAGGCCTCCCGTAGCGCATCGATCTGCTGTTGCATGTCAGGCATTGGCCAGGAGCTAGAACATTTCTCTAGTATTCTCATATGCCGAGTAAAATATTCGCGAGCGTCGGAGTTGAGGTCTGGATCTGGTGAAGTGAGTGCGACCTATTTGATGTTTAGCCTTGCAGAAAGGGAGAACTAGATCTCACACGCAGAATACATACCAGATGGAGAACAGTGCAGGTTAGGACACAGTAAATTGTGAAATTTATGCCTCTCTGCATGCATAGAAGCCCGGTCATTCCAAACGACTGAAGGATGCCTTCCTGCAGTCTGCAGAGTAATTTCGCTGACGAGTAACAGATCATCATGTGATGCTTCCAACCTCCATCTATGTTCGTGGGCTCCATAAAGGTGAGCTGAGGTCGGTGGAGCATAATTATACTCAGGTAGTAGTACGAATGCAGATTTCCGATGAAGTGGGATGGTAGCCAAGGTGGTGATCCGTCTGGAGGAAATGTGATTTGCAAATCGCCGGGTAGATCGTTCATCCAAGACTCAAAAGATGGATTCAACTGCACAAAGTCTGGATCGATTCCCCATTCCTTCTTTTTCTTAATTCGTGCATAGACGTTGTTCATTCGTCTGACATTTCGAACGACCCGGGAGAAGTAAGTAAAGTTGCGTGTGTTGTGGAATTCTCCCTCGTCGCCTCCCATCGAAGGGCGAGGTATGCTGAGGTCAACGGATTCCATATCTACAGACAGATCCGTTCGTCCTATTCTAAGGTCAGTTGCCCATTCCCATGTGAGGGGTTATGCCATACCTTGAGGGGATCCAATCATTAGTTCGCAGACAAAAATCGTTTGCCAGATTCGAGTTTTTGTTATGCAGTCGGCAAGTTCAGACCCGCACGGCCGCCCCGCTTTGTGCTCTTCAAAATGCTCATCCAATCCAAGGTCCTTTGCCATCTGCACACACGACACGACCGTCATCCAAGATCGAAAATAGTAACCTCGTTTTGGTGCTGACTCTCGAGCCTTCAGAACGATGAGCATCGCTTGAAGGGTACTCAACCGTGGCACGTCCATGAAAGAATCGGCGTGTTCTATTGAGAATATCAGTTTCAAGCTCATGTAGACCCGCTGCTGGACTCACTCGATGCAAGAGCTAACCACTGCTGTCCTTGTGCGGGCTCATCAGCTAACCGTCCGGCTATAGCGAAGATGGCTTCCAAAATGAGGGGTGAGATTGCTTCTCGGTTGGTATGCCATTGCTGATAAAAGAGAGCTTTGTTGATGACTGGGACGTATGGATGAACATTCATAAAATACATGTCGAAGTAGTGCAAGGCAGTCTCGTCGTCTGGCATTAGCTCTGGCGGTATTCTTACTTTGAGATCTGGACCTGACAAATTCGGCGGCAAAACGTGCTTGTACTCGTCGAGATCCTCAAATGCTGGTTCTTCGACTAAAGTTTTTGTTCTGCTTTTGTTATTTAAGTAGGGAGCTGTAGATAGTTAGATTTTAGGTACTTTGAATATGCTCCAGGTGCCTACCAGTGCCAGCTTCGTTCATTCTCAACTCGCCGAGCAAATCGGCCAAATTTTGTTGTCCGTACTGGTCCTGCTCGTATGTTTCGGGGGTATCTGGGTGAGAAGAGTGTTGATGTTGTAGCGGTGGTGTTGGAAAGACACCCTGTGGAGTGTAGTGCTGATGTTGATCGATGACACTAACTGGCGTCTGCATGTTATTATAATGCATGCCGTGCTGACTGTGGCTGGAAGATGGTTCGCCATAGGATCCTGGTTGATAGACTCCAACGGGGTCCGGATATGAAACTTGTTGCGTATAGATTGGAGGGATGCTCTTGTGCGGACCGGCCATTTGCTGTTGCATCGCGACCTGCTGGTGGTACTCGTCGTCGCCGCTTCCACCACTATCATACCCCACTCTCTCGGGTTCATAGGTCTGGGGATTCGAACCAAAGTCGCGATCGTTATAGCTGACTGTCGGAGGCACGCAATGCAACTTTAGTCGAATACATGCTGAACATGGCCAGGTGTTGGTAGTGGCCGCATCGCACTTTATTTTTCTCCGCCTACAGCCTTCGCAGGCTCTCATCACTAGGGTCTATTAGAACTTGTACTCAGACAACTTCCTGCTTTAGAACATACCCTTCAAACGTTTATGTCTATTGTGCTCGTCCACAAATACATAATCTGTAGTCCCAAGTTAGAAGTTGTTTGTAGATATATCGAGGAGATATCGAGGAAGCGCACTCTTTTGGTTCTCTCTCTGCCCAAAGTTGTTCGGTGTAAATGTGAAGCTCTGCATCTGTGAGCTTTGTGGGAGCAGCACTCTTTGAGTTCCTGGGTCTCCAACCATTGTGCCGGATGTGATGCGATGCCCAGCGGGAACCTCCAAAGTCCGAGATGAAGTACAAGACGCTGGTCACGGCTCCAAGTGACCCGGAGGAAGGTTTTGAGGGTCCTTAGTAAGCTGACCGAGTAAAGAAACAACAATGGCTGTTGTGAAAATGGAGATGCGGAAACAATTTAACTTTAAGAGCTCGGTAATGATCCGAGGACTTTCCTAGCTGTGATGATACGGGACCTGGGATAACTTTTAGCAGAGCCACGAAGACGAGTCGTCAGACTAATCAATAACAAAATCCTTGGGCATAGAAACCGCATAAGGCGATCAGGGCAGGCATACCTTTATCTTGGAACGGGGGTGCGTGGAGGGTTGTAGGGTTGTACCAAACGTCACAGCCCGCATTAGTACACAATAGTTCAAGCCGCCAGCCAGCTTATCCACGAACGGCAGATTGATTGTTTCTGAGATGATGAGATGGTCTGGCAATCATGCGCCTCGGTGGGAGAATACGTCGAAATCCAAGAAAGACAGAGGGGGTGCAAGTCGACGGTACTCTGTGGGACGCGCTTCAGCGCATGACAAACAGGAGGAGAAGACCAGAACTTTGGCTATGTAGCGTCAAGACTGTCAAGATTCGCAAAAGCCGTGCAGGAGGAGGAGCGGAAGGGATTGTCTGGGGGTGCCAAATCCGCTAGGTGCGTGGATTTCTGGAAGCCCTTCCAAGCTAGCTCGTGGTAAGGGTACCGTACTGTACGGTATCGTATCGTATCCCCTGTCGAGCAGTCCAGGATATGACAAGGGGGGCCGGTGGTCTTATGCCCCTCTTCATGAAGAGGCGCACGTTGAAGATTTCAGTGGATCTAATTCCCCAGAGCCCTGACCCGGACAGCGGGACGTTGCGAAGTCTCAAGAAGGAAAGAACTTCTTCACGTGCTAGAATATTATTATTCTTTCGACGTCGTGGTTCGTAGCCGAGGAGACCGCTGTGAGGTCTCGGGGGCAAATACTACCTCCCGCGAGTAAGTTCCTCTGGGCTTTCCTGACAGAGCAGCGAGAAGCGTGATGTGTCCACAGATGAGAACCCACGGAAAGGGGCAGCGTGCTATTTCGAGATGTTTGGAACGAGCGATCCTGTTGGGGCTCGGATTGCCAGAAGAATTTGGGGTTTCTATAATTATAGTGGCAGCCAGAGGTGTTGAGGCTGAACTGAAACCAGAGGCGATGAATTATCCCACAGGGTGTCGTCGCGATGTGCACTCGTCCTCGCTGTCGTACGTGCTTCGTCGGCCATGAAATTGGGGATTATGTTCTCTGCAGTAGGCAGTGCCCACTACTTGACCTAAGCGCAGCCTTGCCGCTGTCAAATCAGGTATTTTTGCGAAAGCGTACACCCTCCTCGCGTGGACTGAAGTACGAAAGGTACCTCGGGTTCAACCCACTACCCGACGTGGGTTAACGTGTTTTGAAGCTGAACGATCTATCCCGACCAGGACACCGCGGGGTCCTGGCGCCCGCCACCGCCACTACTGTAAGTTCTGAGACCTGACCCGCCGTCACAAACAAAATTCCTGAACAGCCGGAGAACCAGGCTACCAGGGAGAGGCCAGAAAAGAACCGCGGCGCAACAAGGGAGAAGCCATACAACGTAACAGCCGCCAGATGGTGGGTGGCAGAGTGGCACTCCGCATCCGCATCCGCATCCCGGAAACTGGGCTCAGAGCAACTCCCGAAGTATGTCCAGCTGGGAGCAAAGACATTTGCGCCGTTCTCTCGACTCGCCAAACCGCGAGCTCCTGTTACACAAACGCGGTGCCACCCTTGTTTCTTGTAATCCGACAAACTTTGCCCCGTAATGCTATCACAACTTCGAAAAACGCCGCAGACGCCGCAGCAAACGGCAGGCTGATTCCCGAAGATATGCCATCCAGCGTCTCCAGTCCAGGGAACAGGGAATGTTCGCGCGGGAGAACAGTAAGTGTTTCTGTTTTCCATGCATTAATGTTGTGCCGCAGTTCGTGTGACGCGGGTTGCGTCGCGGGAAGCTTGGATGGAGACTTTGCTCGTGGGAACAAACCAGATCTTCATGACTTTGATATCACGAGGTGAGGCAATCGTAGATCATCATCTTGGTTGTTTGATGAGCCGCCCAGCCCTTTCCCCTTATTTCTTCGCCCCGAGAGCCGGAACCTTTCTAACTCGATATGTAACGAAATCCGTCCATGAGAATTTTAAGTTGATGGACGGGAAGACTAGCGTGAGCCTGAACTCTGTCTGCCGTCTGGCTTCTTCCTTTCTGGAACGGAAACAAGGGGTGAAGCTCTTGGGATCGGATCGAGTGGCGCTTTGGCAGGTGGTCCCTCCACATACGTTCGTAATTTGGCTTGCTGCTGGATCAGGGGATGGCTCACGCGCTCCTTGTTGGGCGTTTCCAAATGATGGGACGCAAGTCCCTGCGGCGTTCGTCTCTCCTCTTCAGTATACTTCGGAATTACTACCAACAGTAAGATCACTAGATCAATCAAAGCAAACTATCAAGCTGCGGCCGGGCCCAGGCCAGGAGGACGCCGCAACCTTGGGACGATGAGATGCGCGAGGCTGAACAGGAGCGAGAAGACAAAAGCAGAAGATTTAATCTTGCATGATACAATTGAGGAAGCGGCAACGAGCCTTGAGTTTTAAGAGAAGCAGTTTCAACTTGACTATGGTGCACTTGCATTCTTGTCAATCATTTTTTCAAAAAATCATCTCCATCCCACCTCAGCCTTGTAGGCTTTGAAGTTGAGTGCCTCAGGCACCACTAGTAACTCTTTTTAGCGGAGCTTATCGATAACGTCGCATTTTCTGGATCTCCACAAAATTTCCAGTTTCAAAATATCAACCCATCAACAGGCTGCAATTCAAAGAAAGAACCCGCACATAAAACCCGGCTCTGCAACCACTCATCCTGATCCTAAATATCGGACATTGCGACACTTCAAGATCTGTGCAGCGCTCCTCGACCTTCCTCCGCCTCACTCGTCGGCCCTCGCCCCTGAACCTTCACCATGGGTTTGGACAATGAAAATCCTCTGATACTGAGTGCTTCCGAGCTTCCCACACGCAAACAGAGACGCAAGAACAAAGAGGCATCTTCGAAGCAGCATATAGTTAAGGATCTGTTGAATGCGAAGCTTTGCTCTGCGGACCCTTTCGACTTGTCAGACCTTTCTAACAGCGACTCTGATGATTCAGTGGAGCCGATTGACGAAATGGAAATCTACGGTAAGCTTTCTCCGCTGGAAGGTTTTCACCTGGTTGCAAGCTTCAGTTTCCTGTCTATTGAGCTATGTTTAGTAGCAAGTGGCGTTATTATACTTTGCAGGTTTCAGCCCCGTTGTTTTAAACAATGTCATGCATGTTTTTGCTGCTCTTGTCGACGCAACTGGAGAGAATGGGGTTTTGTCGATCTGACGACTGATGTTTCATAGACCTTATTGCCCCAATTTCTGATCCCGAACGTAAGCATCGGCTTCCCCTTAATTATGTGGAATTTGACACCTCTGACGCGGTCCCACCCAGACCCTCTCTCACTGGAATCTCTTGGGGTCGTCAAGCTTCAAGACGTGCATCTTCTTTCTCCGAACGATCTGACCAATCCTGCGGCTCTCTCACGCGTTCTCGTCGAGTTGACCCCTACTGTTTCGCACTGTTCCCTCGCAACGGTCATTGGTCTTGGCGTGCGTGTCCGTCTGGAACAAGCTCTACCCCCAAGTTATCGGGTGGAGGTGAAGATAAAGAAAAATACCCATAGTCAGGCAGAGGAGGTTAATAAGCAATTGGCCGACAAGGAACGTGTTGCGGCCGCTCTTGAGAACGAGAACCTCATGAGCATCTTGAGAACGATGATGAAGCCTTGCCTCGAGTGAGAGATCTCCCCATGTACATAGCCTCGTCATTCTTTCAGCATAAGCGCGCGTTTGTCTTCCCCCCTGCATTGTGGTTCACGAAATACAGAGTTTGTGAACACGAACACCGCTGCACCACCGATTAGTGCTAGTGCTTGGATTTGGTGCTTGGAATTATCCACAGGTCGTTTTGACCACTGACTGTGGGACAGGCACCCTGGCTGCCGCAATCGCCATCCTGCTGCAGAGAGAATATTCCATTCATGCAGCTGGCCCTGCACCATGTGTCTTCGTTAAACAACACGTCCTTGGCACATTCCACTTTTTACTTAGTTGTATTCTTCAGCGATCGAGATCGCCACACCCGTCGATGGCCCTGATTCCTAAAAATGCCTCGAACATGCAACTTTACCCGCATTCAACGTCTTTTTTCAAAATCTAATGAAATCAGCCAACTGCCGACACCCTAGAGTTCCGGGCAACAAACAGCCTACTAGGAGTTGCTCTCTTTCCCAGTCACAATGTAGGGATGCGAAAATGACATAATTTAGGACTTGATTTTCGTAATAATAAGATAATCACCAGGACTTGATTATGTTGATATTTTATAGGCGATAGTGTCATGTGACTTAGAGCTAGTTAGATCGCTCCATAACTAGCGCGTTTTCGTGTTTCCCCAAACCTTCCAGCTTCATAGCGCAGCACCATCAACTGTGCACCCAATTCAGCCTAATTATCTTAAATCCTCTACCAAAATGCTGGCTGATAACGTCCGAAGCTTCAAAGAAAAGAAGCATATCAATCCATGAGATTTCTCCTTCCACGTGACGATGTATGCATGAATTATACGTGATTTATGCGGTTCTTTATGCAGTACGCAATTGAGGACTTGATTATCATATAATTACGCTGGAATTGATTATTATATCACACAAATAATTACAAATCTCACATCCCTACCACCATGATTTGGACCCACCTCGTCTCCAGAGTTGTAAATGGTCACCTCGTGCGGTAACTCAAAAGAACTCTCCCCTCCCTCTGCAGCCCTGGTAGTTGGAGCTCCACGGGCCACAAGCGGAAGCATTCTTCACATCGGCCATCTCGGCTGAATCGCGCACGACTTTCTGCACTTTCAGGGCTTCCATGCCATCCATGCCATCCAGTCCATGATGCCACACTCCACATGCTGAGTGCCCTGTTCCCCCACCGGGGCCTCGGCGAAGAAATGAAATTGCTGGTAACAGTGGTAAGGCGTCCTTACGCGGCCCCTCCCACATGGAAGTCTCCGGCCTAACCCCCTCTCCACCAGCTGCAAGCTCATCGATGATCGAAAGGATCGAATGAATAATACCAGGGGCGCACGCCCCCGGCCTATATCCCCACGATTCTATCGACCGGGATGACGCCTTTCGCTCACGACCTCGCGTCGTCGGAAACGAAACGGTACGGACACAAGATAAGCATAACACTAACTCCTCAAGGCTAACACATATCGCATTTAATCATCCGTCGACCCGACTTCTCATCTCATCTCACAAGGAATCGGCTATCGAATCATCCCACGTGTGGGCCATCCCCTTTCCCGGGACTTGGGCAATCTTAAAACGGCCTCCTTATGACGCGGCATAAACATTTGGATGATTTGGTAATCTCAACTTTTCTGGTTGGGGAGTTTCGATAGATATTGAAACTCAAAAGGTATTGCGGTCGCACAAATAATCCTCGAAAAACCCCCTGTTTGCCGTACCGCAAGATTAACTGTTATCTTCCTTCGCCACAACATGACTCGCGGACTGAGGAAGGGTCGGCGTGTCCGAAGGAATGAAAGGGGTGAAATGGGCTAGAGTGGCAAGAGCCCGCTGCCCAGACACAGGAAGGTGACACAAAGGCACAGCTGAGACTTGCAGGATGACGCGGTTGAAGCTTCAAATTCACATTTTACTGGGCTTCAACCTGCAGTCGAAGTGTCACTTTTCACTATTCGGTTTACATTTACTCTTTTTGCCCCTTGGCCCACATGAAAGAATTCCCGATAAAACGCCAGAAATGCTCGAAACTCGAGATAATGCCGACCAAGACTCCATGTCCACTGTATTTGCGACACTTCTATTAACCGTCCAACAGACCGCTCTCCTTTAAGCTTGAGAATAGTTCTGGTTCGAGAAATTTAGCAACGCTCACGTCCTCACTGAGACCCTTTCTCCTCCTTGTCTTCAGAACGAAGTCCCTTGCTGTAGCTTGGGCTTTTGCTGCCTCCAATGGCCTCAAGATGACATCTTTGTCCAGTGGGTCTCCAGGTATAATTGACCACCTATCGAAAACCAGTGATACATTAGCTTGACCTTGAGTATGAATCCTGAGATCAGTTTCAAATCCGAACGAATCTATCACCGGGATGAGTCCGTTGACCCGGTACAGCGGCGTGCCCGCTATGGGACCATCTGATAACACATGACCTCTCCGCTGAGCCAGTACAGTGTAGACTGAGGTGACGGAGTCTGCAGGTCCAGTCATGGAGCATGAGTAAACCGGTTCCATTAGACGTGGAGAAGCCATTAAAAATGAGGAGTAGCAGGCGCGTCGGGATGTGGGGATTATTTGGCCGCCTCCCCGGAAGATCGCTTCGGGGGCCAATGTAATGTCCATAAGCTTGAATTTGGTGTTCCTAATGGCTGCAAGGGTCGTCAGTCAGATTTCCCATCGGCCTTATTATTGACCAATGATAAATAAACTTCTCAAACTTCACCGCTCATCGGTGCTCCTCCAGCAGATGTATCAGAAACTGAGATGGTGGGGGAGAACAACTGGGGACCGAGGTGGGGTCGACTCACGTTCTTCGCACAACGGGCCTTCTCTCGCCGCCCAACTGAAACCTTGGCGTATAGTATCTTTCACACTCAACAGCAGTCGTTTATCCACCTGATGGATTGGTTAGTTTAACCGGTCCGATGCAAGGATTGTAAACAGAGGAGACCAAAAATACTTACTTCAGACGGTAAAGTATCATCTTGGAGAATGTTTGGTCCCATATCATCCGGTCCGAACGCCCAAATGCTTCGGGATGCAAGTAAATCCCATCCATAATTCTCTTCGAAAAACTTTCCGATGACCCGGGTGGGACTCTTGATACTGACTTTGCCACTCTCTATATCCTCTGCAATACCCTGGTCCAACGGCTCCGCAACCATGGTGATCTTGTTCTTTTTATTCGGTGTTTGAGCGTAGCATTTGATGGCCGACGTCTCAACCACGGTCTCGCAGAATCGTGTGACTGGATCTGAGACTTTGATCTCCATCTCCGCGTACAACCGGCGCAGGTCATGCAGGACACAATCCATGTAGAGCTCTCCCGTCCCCAGAATGACATGTTCCCCGGATTCCTCGACTTTGGTTGTTATCAGGGGGTAACTCTTGTTGATTTTCCTCAGACCGTCCAGCATCTTTGGAAGTTCTGAAGGATTGATAGGTTCCACGGCGACTTTGAAAACGGATTCGGTGAAATGCAAAATAGGTTTGAAGATGTAGGCATCCTCTTTGTCTGGTAAAACAGGAGGAACCAGTGTGGCCGACTTGACAATCGAGTTGTCCACACCGCCCAGAAGTACCCAGTTTCCTGCCGGAACGCCATCTGTAGGAATATTGTAACGCGTTTCAGCAATCCATACATCGGATATGGTTGCCATGCTCATGTCTTCCTCATCATCTATCGAATAGCCTTCGCCGAGTACTCGAACTTGCGAGCCAGGCCGAGCAGTCCCGCTCATGACTCGTCCAAATGAGTAGAACCCAGTGGCGTCACTTGTGTTGAATAATTTCGAGATCTGAACGACTAAGGGACCGTCTTGATCACATTCCTTCATAGCGCGAACTACACCAGTATCGAGAGGTCCAGTATAGTAGCGTTCAATCTTGACTTCAGCAGCCGCAGCTGGCGAGGGAATATGCTCGACGACCATATCCACAAAGCCATTTGAAGGTCCAAAGAACTGTCCACAGACAATCTTTAGCAATATCTTGGCATCCGTCCTGTACTGAGAAGGCTTCAGAGTTATGCCGAGGGTTGCAAGAGTCTCCTTCAGATCCTCAGGACTCTCACTGATGGTTTGGGAATACAACTTGTATATGGGCTCCAGAATGAAGTTGACGAAAGAACGCTTGGCCCGCTCCTCAACAGCCTTGCGTGTGAAAGATCGTTTCTTGGGGTTGTAAAAGATGTCACCCCATAATCGTCGAGCGAATTCTGGAGCATTGATGCCTGGAATGCCCTTCGTCTTTGGGGGATAACTGTCCGCATACATTTTGGCAAATGACTGTAACGTAAAGCACCATCCCATGTTACTGCAGGCAAACAGCACATTGCCCTTTTCTGGGCTGAGTCTTCGTTTCTCGCCTTGCCCAGGCAATGTGTTCTCGATCACAGTATTGACTTCCTCAATAACATGCTTGAGTTTGAAATATGCGTCCGTTGGGGGAAGCTTGAGCTCCAGAATCAATCGGTCCATCTTGTTCACCACCAACGTAAGTGGTAAACCTTCCAATACCGCATGTTTGATGATTTGTTCTGTGTTCACCTGCACGCCTTCGACAACATCAACCACGAGAACAACACCATCAACTAGGCGAAGAGCGGATGCTACCTCATCGACAAAGTTAACGTGGCCGGGGGTATCCAGGATATTTAAGAGATGCGATTTTCCTTGGGTACTCTGTAAAACCAGACTCATTGGTGCCGCTTTGATAGATAATCCTCTCTCCCTTTCTAATATGTGAACATCGGTATACCTCAATTGTTCGTCTCTTTTCTTCCCAGTCTTTTTCTCTAATCGGTCGGTGATGTCGTGTGTTTCGAGGACCAACATATCCATAAGTGCTGTCTTTCCGTGATGTAGATGTCCTGCAAACGCAATATTCCGAATTTGTTCTGGAAAATTCATAAGATCCGTCATGAAGCTTCTCTCAAAAAATACGGGGGGGAGATCTGCTTCTTGGATAGTGAACTTTTTCTGCTCGACAGGCGCAATGATTGGCTGGGTCAGAGGTTGGGCATCCTCTTCCTGTACCATAGTCTCCACATCTTCTCCGTAAACTTGCTGCGCGGTAGGATAGTATTGTTTGTCTTCATGCAGCACAACAGCATTCGAGGGTCCATCATCTAGACGGCAAGTCAGCTCTGCGTGGACTGCAGGAACGACACCAACACACCATCAATCTCCATCAGCTCTTGTCCCGTGGCCTCGGGTGCCTCCTCGGGGTAGTCGTCGTACACGTATGCGCCAGCATCAACGCCATGTTGACTGTCGTCCTCGGACTCCTCAGCTTCGCCAATGAAGTTTCCAAACCTGCGCAGCAGTCAGTCTCCGCCCACTAGAAATCACAAAGATGGATCCATACTCATCGTAGAGGTCATCCATGTTGGGCGGAAGGGCGGAAAGAAAGTCGTGAGCTTTGGGTTGAAGACGCGACTCTCTTCGACTTCGTCGACTTTCTCGCGACAAGAGCTTCAAAAAAGTTCAAGGTCCAAGCTAGCGCTGCATGGTCACGTGCTCAGTCTCACACCCCTGAAGACCCCTCCTTTTAGACTTTCAACCTTGCAGTTGAATTGGATGGAGCTTTTTGTTCTTTGGAACAGTTTATAAAATCAAAGTGCCTCGGAAGCCGCTGCAATTGCCCTGCAAGCTTCACGGGGTCCAATTACCTTGTCATTCTAATTGCTCCGCCACATCTGTGAAGCTGGACTGACTTCGCGTCGGAAAAGCGGTGAGGTTTGTTGAGCTTCATAAAAAGTTGTTTTGCCGGTTTGATTACTCTAGCTCCCGCACCTTCTCCGTACCTTACCGTGCTAAGCATTCCCCCTTTCAACTCCGATTTTCTTGCAGAACTCAGCAACTTCTCGATGTTAACCATGGCATCCGTTCCTCCTGTCTACATTGTCTCTGCCGTCAGGACTCCAATTGGATCCTTTTTAGGGTGAGGGGGACCTTTGTTTTCTCCCAGCTCAGGGTAAATACTGACGACAACAGTTCCCTTTCGAGCCTCAACGCCACTCAATTGGGCGGAATTGCGATCAAAGGTAGTTTTGAAAGAATATCCTTCCGCTGCTCTCTGACAGGCCTAATTTCTTCATGTAGCTGCCATTGAACGTGTCCCAGAAATCAAGCCCGAGCAAGTCGAGGAGGTATTCTTTGGCAATGTCTTGTCTGCGAAGTAAGAAAAAGAATATCTAAAGCCTGAGGCAATACGCTAATCAAGATAGTCTCGGTCAGAACCCGTCTCGCCAGTGTGCAATTGCTGGAGGATTGTCCGAATCCACCGTGTGCACAACAGTCAACAAAGTCTGCGCTTCAGGCTTGAAGGCAATTATCCTCGGCGCCCAAACTATCATGACTGGCAATGCCGACATTATTGTGGCTGGTGGCACCGAATCAATGTCCAACACACCGCATTACCTCCCCAACCTTCGAACTGGGGCAAAATATGGTGACCAAACCTTGGTTGATGGTGTTCTGAAGGATGGCTTGACAGACGCATATGGCAAGAAAGAGCACATGGGCATGGCTGCAGAGGAGTGCGCTGTTGACCACAGTGTTACCAGAGAACAACAGGACGACTACGCCATCAAGTCGTATCAAAAGGCCCAAAAAGCTACTGAAACTGGAACTTTCAAGACAGAGATTGTGCCAGTCGAAGTCAGCGGGGGCCGTGGCAAACCGAACATCAAGGTCGACAAGGACGATGAAGTGAAGAATCTCAATATTGAGAAACTGAAGGCTATGAGACCAGCCTTCCTTCCCAGCGGTGGAACCGTCACAGCTCCAAATGCGGCTCCTCTGAATGATGGAGCTTCAGCACTCGTTCTTGTTTCCGAGGCTAAGTTGAAGGAACTTGGTCTTAAGCCATTGGCTAAGATTCTCGGGTGGGGAGACGCCGCTCAAAAGCCAAGCAAGTTCACTACTGCTCCGGCGCTGGCAATTCCAAAAGCCATCAAGCATGCAGGGATTGATACATCAAAGGTTGATTTCTATGAGATCAACGAAGCCTTCTCCGTCGTTGCATTGGCCAACATGAAGCTTCTTGGATTGGACGAGTCGAAGGTCAACGTCAACGGTGGTTCAGTTGCTATAGGACATCCACTCGGTTGCTCTGGTGCAAGAATCACCACCACTTTGATCAACGTATTGAAACAACACAACGCAAAGATCGGCGTTGTTGGTATTTGCAATGGCGGCGGTGGAGCTTCTGCGATGGTCATTGAGTCATTACAATAATCAATAAGTCTGCTTGTCATCACTTACATACCGCGTACCAGTAATAAAGAATTCCATCAGAAGCTTGAAACTCCATACTTTTCAATGAAACCGGGGGTGGATCCGGCGCCACTACATGCATCTCAAATGGTAATGGCGGACTGAATCTTCTGACTGGAAGAAACTTCAAGTCACTGATAATCAATGCTCAGCGAGGAGTGGAGTGGGAAGTGAGGGGAAAATGGCAAAACTCTAGAAGAGAAACCGGGCGAACCGATTTTTTTGTGAAACCTGCAACCTCATGGATCAACTTTAATAAGTTTGGATTTCTCTGTTCGCCCGGAGACTACTAAGGCTCTTTATTTCTGATCTTTGACGAGTCGGGAAAGCTTGAACGCTTTTAGATACTTCAAAGTCGAGGAAACGTACCAAGGCAGGGGCGGGAAGGTATACTCACAAAAACCTTAAAACTATGTATTAAGCTCCTGCCAGGGAATTTACCCATCACATGTCCGTGATCGATAACTCCCTACAAAAAATGATTTGACGAGGCTCACGCCTAGTTTTTCTCAGCCTCGTGGGTTATCAACCGAGCTAAACCTAATCGGAGCTGATAAAAAAAAAAGTTCAATGCAACAACACAGAAGTAAATCACAGCAACAGCTCCCTATGCGCATGTCACCGTCGAGGGGATTTTAAATTGAGAGGAGCGAAGGAGAGCAGACAAGATGGTGAAAAAAGCAGTGTAAGTCCTTCTTTTCCTGCTTCCAATCGGTGAGCTCGCTGGGGAGAACGGTCGAGATTCCCCAAAATTGCATTGAATGCAGTCGCGAAAATCATTTTTGAAAGCTTCAACGCTGTTAGTATTGGCACTATTGAATAGACCTTGGGTTATCCTGCCCAGAAATGTCCATTTCCTTTCACGAAGCAGCAGCGATGAACTGACCGAGTTCAATGCAGAGACTCCCGGATTCCGGCATTGATTCGCAATGGCGTCCAAGAAAAGAAACGAAGCTTCTTTGTGGTTGTCGGAGACAGGTCGAAAGATGTCATTGTGCACCTCCACTATATCATGTCGAGTATGGATATGAAGCAAAACAAATCGGTGTTATGGGCATACAAGAATAAACTCCTAGGCTTCACAAGGTCAGCGCCGGCTCATGTCTCGAAGTCTGCACAAACTGACATGACCTCAGTCACCGGAAGAAGCGCGAGACTAAGATTAAGAAGGAAATCAAACGAGGCACACGAGAAGCCAATACGGAAGACCCTTTCGAACTTTTTGTTTCCCTCCACAACATCCGCTATGTATACTACAAGGAGACGGACAAGATTCTTGGAAATACCTACGGGATGTGCATATTACAAGACTTCGAGGCCATCACACCAAATTTACTTGCCAGAACCATTGAGACTGTTGAGGGAGGTGGCCTGGTTGTACTCCTTCTGAAGGGAATGACCAGCTTAAAGCAGCTCTACACTTTGTCCATGGATATCCACTCTCGATATCGAACAGAAGCACACGACGATGTTACAGCAAGATTCAATGAGCGATTTATCCTATCATTGGGAAAGTGTGAGTCGTGCCTGGTCATTGATGACGAGCTCAATGTTTTGCCCATCTCTGGAGGCAAAAACGTAACGGCTTTGCCTCCCCCGGATTTGGATGAGCCGAAGAGCGAATCGCTGAAGGAATTGGATAACATGAAGGAAGCGTTACAAGATACGCAGCCAGTTGGATCTTTGGTGACTTTGGCCAGAACCGTCGACCAAGCTAAGGCACTATTAACCTTCGTGGATGCTATTGCGGAAAAGACCTTAAGAAGTACAGTAACTCTCACCGCAGCAAGAGGACGAGGAAAATCAGCTGCTCTTGGTGTTGCGGTGGCGGCAGCTGTGGCCCATGGATATAGCAATATCTTCATTACTTCTCCGAGCCCAGAGAACCTGAAGACTCTTTTCGAGTTCATCTTCAAAGGGTTTGATGCTCTCAATTACTTGGACCATGAAGATTACTCCATCATTCAGTCAACAAATCCGGATTTCAACAAAGCAATTGTGCGAGTTAATATTCACCGTCAACATCGTCAAACTATCCAATACATCAGACCGCAAGATGCACATGTTCTTGGTCAGGCAGAACTGCTAGTGATCGATGAAGCAGCCGCAATACCTTTGCCTCTCGTTCGGAAATTGATGGGACCCTATCTGGTTTTTATGGCTTCCACGATCAACGGATATGAAGGAACAGGCCGGTCGTTGTCCCTAAAGCTGATTAAACAACTTCGAGAAAAATCGAGAGGAACTGCTAAAATGAATGGGACTGAAGATGCTGAAGTAGCCGACCGTTCAACTGGGAAAGCTGCCAAGGTTCCGGACAGCAGTTTCTCTGGTGGCCGCTCGCTTCGGGAAGTGACCCTCTCAGAACCAATTCGTTATTCCAAAGGGGATGCTGTTGAGAAGTGGTTGAATACCGTCCTTTGTCTCGATGCGACTCTCCCAAGGTGAGTAATTGTTAAGTTCTCTAGTTTCTTCCCTCTACCTCCCAGTGTTCCAGTTCACTTGGTAGATTCGGTTCCTATTTCTATCAGTCTTTGAAGTTGTCTCTTCTTGCCAGATTTAATCGAGGCTAATGATTTTCAGATCCAAATTAAACACCCTGCAAGGTTGTCCAGATCCATCACAGTGCCAGCTTCTCAATGTCAATCGTGACACCCTCTTTGCTTTCCATGAAGTTTCAGAGAAGTTCTTACAACAAATGGTCGCACTTTATGTTGCAAGTCACTACAAAAACTCACCAGACGATTTGCAATTAATGAGTGACGCCCCAGCGCATCAACTTTTCGTACTCGTTCCGCCGATTCCAGAGGATAGCAAGCATTTACCGGAGCCGCTGTGCGTCATTCAAGTTGCTCTCGAAGGACGAATCAGTAGGGAGAGTGTGAAAAACAGCTTGAGTAGAGGCAGAAGAGCCGCAGGAGATCTCATCCCGTGGATTGTCAGTCAACAATTTCAGGATGAAGAATTTGCTGGTCTATCGGGAGCACGTGTTATCCGAATAGCAACGAACCCAGACTACATTCAGATGGGATATGGAAGCAAGGCCCTCGAGCTTTTAGTGGATTTTTATGAGGGCAAATTCGCGAATCTCTCTGAAGAAGCCAATAGCTTCGTGGAGGAAAGTATCACTAGAGTCACAGATGCAGAGCCGGCCAATGCCTCTCTGTTAGACGATGATATCAAAGTCAGAGATATTCGAAAGATGCCACCACTATTTTCTAAGCTTGCTGAGCGTCGCCCCGACAAGCTTGATTATGTGGGTGTGAGCTATGGTCTCACACAGCCCTTGCACAGATTCTGGAAGCGAGCTTCGTTTGCTCCTGTATATTTGAGGCAAACACCCAATGAGCTCACGGGAGAGCACACATGTGTTATGATTCGCCCTATTGGGAGTCGAGAAGAGATATCATGGTCAGTAATTCCATAACCCTGAATTTGACATATGCTAACGCTGCCCAGGCTTGGAGCATTTGCTCGAGATTTCCACAATCGATTCTTGAAGCTCCTCAAGTACCAATTCAAAGACTTTGCAGCTGTTCTAGCACTTAGCATCGACGAATCCGCAAGCATGGGCTCTAAGCTTGATGACTCGATCCAACCTCAACACTTCACCAAATCCGAACTTGACAGATTGATGTCTCCCTTCGACCTTAAAAGATTGGAGTCGTACGCAAACAATATGCTAGACTACCATGTTATTTTGGATCTGATTCCAGATCTTGCAAATGCATACTTCACAGGACAGCTTAAGTCGGATATCAAGCTCACTGGCATCCAACAATCGATTCTTCTCGCCGTTGGTTTGCAATGCAAAGACCTCTCTTCGATAGAACAGGAATTGAATCTCCCCTCTTCCCAGTTATTGGCGATGTTCATCAAGATCATGCGGAAAATGAGTTCTCACTTTGGTGCTTTGGTTTCCGGTGCACATGAAGCCAATATGCCGAAAAGAGAGGACATAGGAGTCAGCCGAGAAGACGCAAGTGGTGCTTTAGATGATGAGATTGTTGATACCCGATTTGTGCCATTGGAGACTGGTCTGCAAGAGGAACTCGAAGAAGGCGGCGATGAAGCCTTGAAGGCGTTGAGGGAAAAGCAAAGAGAGTTGATTGATGCATTGCCTCTGGACCAGTAAGTACTCCGTTGTGTTGTTCAGGGGTCCCTTGCCAATACTATCTTAGATACGAGATCGAGGAAGGAGCTCCAGGATGGGCAGATGCAGAGAGGCAAGTTCTGACTGCTACAAAGAGTGGCTACAAGAACCCTGTAGTGAGTGTGAAGAGCAGCAAGACTAAGAGGAAGGCAGGCGAAACTGCTGCAGAGATATATGAACAGGAAATGGGAGAAAAGGCGCATAAAAAGGCAAAAAGAGGGTCCAAAAAGGGAAAAAATCGATCATAATAGAGTTAGTCTCTTGTCAATAAATGACACGAGCCATGTCCAACGGCTTGTATAACTCAGTGTTAGATGTACCGAATATCGTGGAACCTGCAGCTCATGTTGAGATTTTACATCACAAGATTTCAGCTCATGTGAGAAAGCATCAGAGCAAGGCAACTCCCGACTAAGTTCGTTTTTCTGATTGGCCAACCTTAAATCTATTCCTTTGAAGAGCGACATGAGCCTCCACAGTATTTCAATAGTCACTTCTAGGCAGTGCTGCCTTGCTCCCGTGATCACAACCTCGCCCAAATTCAAATAAATACTCTTCTATGCTTAAATTTCCATTCAACCCAATTTCAACCCAAACAATCATGACAGAACCAGAAACCACACCGCAAGAATGGTGGGCTTTATTGCCCGCCGTCCGCTCTACCCCACCAATCATCAGTGCCGACGAGGTAATGAAGCTCTTTGACGACATGGACATCACTCCTACACCACGAACCTTTCTCCTAGTCGACGTCCGAAGAACTGATTGGGAAGGAGGAACCATCAAGACTTCGTTAAATCTCCCTGCTCAGAGTTTTCACCAGACCAGGAAGACGCTGTTCGATTTGCTTGAGAGGGGAGGGTTTAAGAAGGTGATTTTCTATTGTGGTGAGTTAAACGTCAAAGAGAAAAGTAAGGGGAAAGAGGATGCTGATATTATTGATTTAGGGGCAAGTAATGGGAGGGGCCCTAGATGTGCAGGCTGGATGCAAGATTATATTGATGATGTTGCAAAGTTCGGACGAAAGAGTGATGTCAAGGTGTTTACTTTGGCCGGGGGGATCAAAGGTTGGGTAAAGGAGTTTCAAGGAGCTTTAGTCGACGGGTATGAGGAGGAGTATTGGGAACAATTCAAGTGATCAAGAGCTCACCCAAGAAGACCAAGAGTATTCAGGGAAGGGCAAGTTTGGGAGTCTTAGGAGAAATTCCGTATCCATTTGCTTTTCCGTACGGAGCTGGTATTTATCGAAGCCTTGCAACGCCATGAATCCAGATGCAGCAAAATTTTGCCTCCTAAACAAACTGTGTCTCTAAGCCCATCACCCTCACATGCCTGCCTCAACCTCTGTCCTCTCTACCACCACCTATTCTCTCCAAAGCCTCGAGCATGACAACGGAGTTTCCCCGAATGACCTGTTTCAACGTCAGTTATTGCTCCCAGTATACGCCCAAAATATGGGGAAACACTAACCACCATCCCCAATCGAACCTTCTCGCCACCATCCTTCTCCTCCACTGCATCATCCAGCACAATGTTCAAGAAAACCTGTCACTTCCATCAGCCCAATCCTTCCGCTTGATTTCGCTCAGGAAAACGCACATCATAGCCTCTCAACACGCCAATCACCTTCCTACTTCCATTCAGTTGCACAAAGAGCCTTTTGTCGAGGTACTGCAATATCATCTCAGTCCATTTGTCCTTCTTCTCCTTCTTACCTTCGCAATCCTCAAGCACCGTCTGTCGCGTGCGTCGAGGTCCGCGATATCTGGGGCGGCTGTAGGGGTGAAATGGAGTTTGACGTACCTTCTTTAGCTCTGGCTGAGCTTGAGGCATCTTGACGGTAGGTTTGAGGTTTGGTTCGTGCGTGAGAGCTCCCTCGAAAGAAGGCTGCTGAAATTGTATTCGATCGCAATGTTAGCGTGTCGATCACGTGCTGATAATGATTCTGTGCCTGACTAAATTTCGACATTGTTGACTTCACTCTCACAACCTTTGAGAGACGAGCCTCAAGGGTGGAAGATATATTTGCCAGACGCGACTCGAGATACGGCCGGTGCAATGAAGTCGGCTTTCGGATCGAAACGGAAGGCGAGGAAGATTCAGGTGGACGAAGATAACGATGAAGGGGGCGCGAAGGTGGAACAGAGCTCCTCACCAGCTGTAACTACTCGTAAGTACTCCCAAATTACAGCTACGAATCCGGCTGATCGCGAGAAGCCAGCTGACCGCGTGACTCTAGCTACGACAGGCATATCCAGCTCAAATCCGGGTCGGAAAGCTTTCAAGAAGTCTTCGTTGCGCCAGAGCATAGCATTTAACGACCTGCCTCAAGATGAGAGCGAAAATGGAGGGACTGATGCCAGCACTGGCCCTCCGGTCAACAAACCTACAATTGGTCGCTCGAGTTCGTTGATGAAAAAGAAGAAACCTGCATCTGCAAGGCTATCGTTTGGACCTGGCGAGATTATATCCGGAGATGCAGCAGAAGCATTGGAAGATAACGAGGCATTCACGCCAATGAAAGCTACGTTGGGAAGACGGGCTATTGAAGGAAATTCAATGCGGAAAAGTCTCCCTCTCAGGACACCAGACGATGATGAGGATAGGCCTACCTATAGTAAAGATTATCTAAATGAGCTGAAGAGTTCTACGCCTACCACACTCAAGGATTTGCTGGTTCAACAGCCTACCGTCGAAGATGAGGAGATGTTGGATGCTTCGGAGCTGGAAGGAGCGGTGATTGTTGATGTAGATGAGAAATTTGGATCGAGTCCTGCAGTCATACCAAGTGAGGCAGAAATCAGAGAGAAGAAGGAGAGGAGAGCGCGTCTGGCACACGAGAAAGATTTTATATCACTGAATGATACCGGCGATGATCGGCGACATATATCTCTTTTGCCACGGAAAAAGGAAAAGGAAACCAGATTAGTGCGAGAAGATGAGGATTTAGGAGAAGGTTTCGATGAATTTGTTGATGATGGCCGAGTTTCACTGGGCCGGAAGCAGGAAAGAGAAGCAAGGCGGCGCCATCGAAAGGAGATGGCAGACATGATCCATCAGGCAGAAGGCAGTTCAGGGGAAGAATCAGACGATTCGGAAGCAGAGAGGCGAGCTGCTTATGAAGCTGCTCAGACTCGCGCTGGCATGGATGGCCTTCACAAGCCAAATGACAATCCCGAGTTCAGCGCTGCCCAAATTCCAACGAAGATTACGCCGCTACCAGTTTTATCAGAGTGCCTAGAGAGGTTACAAGCAACTTTGAGCACTATGGAGCAGGAATTAACAAAACGGCAGAAGGAATTGGAGGAGTCGAGGCAAGAGAAGCGGGATATTGCAGTCAGGGAAGCCGAGGTCCAGGAGTTGCTGAAACAGGCAGGAGCTCGATATGCTGCGTTGAAGGCAGATACGAATGGCGCTGTGGCTGATTCTCAAACATTGGCAGATGCGCATTTTCACGGACTTGCAGCCCCTTTGATAGTTAATCGAGGTCTGGAGAGCTTCGGCAATACGCCCACAGTCAGGCCAGACATCGAAGATGTACCTTAGAAAGCGGAATAGAAAATGATTGTTCTGCTGCCTCTTGGACAATCAGAAGTGCTTGATGCCCAAATCTGCCTAGTGCCATTTCAGAATCTCGTGAACGTCGGACGTTACGTTTCTTTCAGCCTGTGAGTTCGTGCCTTTCTTTGGTCCGGTCTCAATTATATTTCAATTCCCAACCACCTTTCAACTGCTAGGGCAGTCCGTTATAGTATTACGCCTGCTGGCAAGAACCCGGCCAATCCTATGTAACGTATATAACGTATGCATGTTGGCTCTCGATAAGGGCAAAGGTGGCGTTACCTCCCTTAATACAGGTCTACGTCGGTATCGCTGTAATTGAAACGACTTCGTGGCATATTCACACCTTCCCCTGGCCACTTGAGCATTTATTGTACGTCGCATATTGTTTTGCATTCCTCTCACTTTAACAATTCGTTCGTGATCGATTCACTTCGCTTTCTCTTCAAGCTCGCTTAGAACTACCAGGCGACCCGCTTTTCCTTGATTTTAGCCAGATTATCAACATATTCACTTCTCATCATTAAGGTTTTGTTGCACGTCTGACACATCTTTAATAGTGAATTTTCTTTCCCGCGCTAGACAGAAAATAGTAGGGAGTTCCTAATTAGGTTAGTAGGGGGAGTGAGTTTTCGATTAGCATTCTCCGTCTCCCCATTTCCACTTCCTATCCCGGAACACAGTCTCATATTCACTCGCCCCCTTGAACCCTGAAGTTTGTTGAAGAACTTCCAGTAATGGTATCTCTGAAGTAATAGGTGTTAATTCCCAATCTGGCAGATTCTGCTCTCGGTCCGCGAGCTTTCTCAACATTCTCTCAAGCCAAGCCTGATGCTCAGAACCAACCAGGAAAGGCCCCGCAACCCATGTCTGTCCCCTCTGGAATCAGCGCCAATACTCGGAAGCAGCAGCAAAACAGCCTGTCCCTGCTGCTGAAAGGAGCGCCACACAAGCGGGGAAGCGGAAGCTGCCTTCTACTGCAATCCTCCCAGGCGGCAGCAGGCTGGTGGCACCTCCGATGCCACCGGTTCTCAGTTTCGCAGAACTGAGGCTGGTCCAACGGAGCCTCGAGGGACGAACCTCATAGTAAGCGCGGGACGGAAATGAGCACGGTCGTGTCCACATTCAGGAATGCGGGAGCTGTAAGATCACAACTCCAATCCTCGCGACAGCCAAGTAATACAAAGTTATACAGCATCAATATCGAGGGCCAGGCGATACACTCTCAGATCGACTATGACTTTGTTCCCTACACGTACAGAATAGACGATAGTGAAGACGCCGTTAAACTATAAACCCGGAAGATATCATGGATTTCTCGGAACCTACCAACAATGAAAAAGACATGCCATACGATATCAAAAACTTTACCGTAGACTCGCACCCGATGACTCCATTGATGAAGTTATCCGAAATGGGTTGGCCCTTTGCTCGGCACAGGAAAAGCCGGCTGTGACTGAAGCCCGGCGTATCACAGTTCTGCGAGGTGTGGCAGATTTTGTTGGCCTGATCTAAAGCCAATATTGGCCGTTCCCAATGTCAAATGGAGTAGAAAGCCAGTTCGCTCCCCACACTGGCAAGGATCACGCGACAAGGTCGCTGCGTTCAGAGCATGTATGCGGGATCATCGGAGCAAGCAAGCCATGCAAGCAAGCCATGTTTCCATTACTGTGTAATGGGCATGCCTGGGGCCTAGTCGACATTCAAAATCATGGCCACATACCTCGATGCAGATGAAGGACTATTTGAGATTGCCGAGGCATTCTTTATCACAGTCCTGGGCTTATGGCCATTTCCCCTATTCTTTAGATTGAGCTCCTCGATTCGTCTACCTCTCATTGCTTGTCGTATCCTAGGCTTTGGCCTAAACCAACCATCCGGGGTTGTGTCCGCCAATAGGCAAAGTATCACGACCCGGAGCGGAAGACCTGAAGGCAATCAGCTCTGTTTGGGTGTGTATGTACGTCTAAAGAGAGAAGAGAGCGGGGAGCTCGAGCTAAGTACAGGGTGCCACGCTAGGGTCAGGTCATGTGACGCTGACGTCACAACACAAAGAACCATCGCCACATGCTCTTGTGAGAAAGCACAAGTGGTTTGTAGATAACTTCAGAGATGCTCTCAAACTCACCACAACCGGGAACCTCGTATGTATTTCTCCGAATATCACGAAGCATGTGGGATTGTCAATCATTGACAACTTAAATGCCAGTCTCTCGTAGTCTTTTGTAACTGGACTGCGCCGGGAACAACTACGATCGAGCGGCAGTTCAAATCTCTATCTCAAAAGGCGTGCATTTATATCGCTTCTTAAACCGACCTGCCACACTATAGTCACGCAAAGACAACGAGCTGGAGAGATTCGGGCTGTTGTTAACATTGCCCGACAGGAAACAAGTCTGGATTCGAGCTTCGCAGCAGGGAGCCAGAACCTTAGGAAGACTACCGATCGTTTGAAGGAGGTTGCTTGTGAACTTACTAATTTGCATTACCTATTCTCTGATCGAACAGCATAAAAAGCAGTAGGCGGGAGGCATTTGCATGTGTTGTGGGATATTGTGTGCTTCTTTTCGCTAGCACTGGAGCATAGTTTTGTCGAGGGTTTTATGATATACGTCTCGTTCTTCAGAGTATGAATATGCTTTGCTTCTCTTTCACTAGCACTGGGGTTTCGTTTAGTTGAAGATATTATAGTACGCGCCTCTTTCTTCGGATATTGATAGAATGGGAAGCAGTGGATGGCGTTCTCATAGTAAATAAGTAAGCTGAAGTCAAGAAGCCTTTAGCTAATCATATCTGTATCAATTGTGTTGAAAATCAGGGGCCGTGCGCTCTGTGGTCCACTTTTAAGTGGGGACGTAATTTCCAGAGTTTTAAGGAAGCTGGAGCTTTCATAGAAAACACAACAATTCAAGCTTCATTTCAACAAATTGCAAGCTGTCTTCACAAATGAAATTGTCTGAGATGTTCCCGAGATTCGGCCTTGACTTTGACCCTGGCTATTGGAATTTTGTATTCTATTAACAGCCTTTACAATCTGGTGGTCTTGCTGGGTTCTTGAGTCCGAAAGAGTACGGTTAGAGTGGAGATGAATTACACTTCGTTCCCTTGGGTCCTCTTCGCTCGATTTACAAGGAAGGAATATTACTTTCTCTCAATTATCATGTGGTAACAATATCAAACTCGAGCATATATTCTGCTTTGCCCCCCACCAGCTTTTTCTTCATCGCTGCCTTTAAGACTTTCCTAGAGCTACCAAGACAGAGTGAAAATTTGCGGTGGCACCCGGAACCGGCTTTCCCAAACACACTCTTACAAAATGTCGCACCCGACTTTACTAGCGCACGGTTTTGCCGTTTTTCAGTAAAGCGCAGTGCAAGGGTAATGCTCCGACGTACCTCCATGATCCCCGCTCCAAGCTCTTGTCATCATCTGCAAGTACGTTATGGTCATCACTCACCGTTACTTCTAGTATGCTAAACTTGGTCTTTTTCACAACGTTCATCTTCATTCCTTTTCGATCGCTTCAACAACGGCGGACGAGATTTCACAAGAACACCATCCCATTACGGTGACCATGAATTTTTTCGGTTTCGTCACTGAGATCTAACTTAAGATCTATTCGGAACTCCTCGGCCTTTCAGAACCCATAGTTTTTTGTAGCAGACTATGGCCCTCCATCACTGCCCTTGGTTCGGTCCAAAAGAGACGGTCCCTATCTGGCGCTTCTCCGCGTCCACAAGAAGGCACATAGGGAAGCCAGCCCCCTTCTCTATTCTAACAACCGCTTTCGGTTTCTTAATATCTTTACTTCGACGCCATCCGCCACAGACAGTGCTCACATCGCCCCATTCCTTTGTCAATCGGATCTCAAGCAACCCTTATTTACCACATCTGCATTGCCTTCCCTCCATCGCTGATCTAAAGAGGCTCGTTGGTTCCACCCCTGCTGCTCAGAACATGTGGAAGTTTACGATCCATCAAAAACGCGTTGCGTTCTATAAAGATTTCATCGACGGAGAGATGACTTCACAGGACCCGCTCCTTGCACCCTGTTTTTGCACCCTTGGATAAAACCTCAGAGGGAATGCGGATGCGGCCATTATTCAATATTCAGTGGACGGCGAGTTTATAAAACCGAAGCCGGTGGTAATCGAAGTTCATGATATATAAGTGACATCTCTTGAACTTTGCCCTCGGGTTCAAGTCTAGTTCGTGGTGCCAGGCAGGTCCACTGTATCTAATGACAAAAGAGTTAATGTCATCATGTTGACGGGCAGGTCTATGACCTTCTGGTTGAACAATCCACTTGTAGCAAACCGAGTTTTATCAGCTGGGACCGCCCAATCCACATTTTCTTCGCGACCAACAATAGAGGCTCTACCAATTATCTCAAATCGTGGCCGGAAGCCAGCATTGGTTTTTCGAAGCACAGCACAAGAACTAGAATTCCAGAATTGACAAATGAAGTCGCCTTCGCGGATGTCTCCTGGCGCCACACCCAGAGTCACGTTCGTGCCCAAGAAGAGCACAGGAGATTGTTCTGGTCTCTGAGTTGTTGGCTTGTGCCGAAGTTTCTTCAGACTGGTTAGAGATCGTTCAAGTGTCAAAGGAATGATGTTTCGTGTCCGAAAGTCAGTGGTGTCGCTAAGAATCGATAGGACCTTCTCGTTGAGACCCCTCGCTGTTGCCAAATCTGTAGAGCCGCGGTAGTATTGTCCTAACCTTGCATTCCACCGTTTCTCTGCATCATGCGAGGTAGTGAGATCCAATATCGAAGGTCCTATGTGTTCGACTTTGCCAATTATTGCGCCTCTCAGGACAAACCCTTCGGCCTCCTTGTCTGCGGAAGTCGTCCATTTTGTAAGGTCTTCAGCGGCAGACTCTTTCCAACACCAAGTTAGTTTCTCGGTCGATCTTGGATTCAAAAGCTTCCAGATGAGCCATGCTAATCCCGCTGCTCCTACTACGCCAATTGCAATAAACAGTGGTTTTCCCCATGAGTCGTCCTTCTTAGTGGTCTCCTCCTCCTCCTCGTCTTCCTTTTCTTCTGCTTCTTTAGTTTTCTTAGTTTTCTTTTTTCCCTCAGCATCGCTCCTCATTCTTGCGTCAGGTGAAAAATAGGACCAGCCGGTCTCGAGAGACCTGTGTAGGTAAAGGTCATCATCATAGCGATTTCGGTCGCTCCGATCCTCAGAGACTTCCTTTTGTGAAGACTGAGCAGGTAGAGCGACATAATCATTCGTCAAGTCCTTAGTAACAGCTTCTCTCAGGGTTCGTGTCACGTGCTACGCACAGGCGTATATATAGCTTCTTCACCGCCCTTAGGGCATGATCATTCATACATATATTTACACCAACACACTCACATTTCCACTTCCACAGCTTGTCCAGGCCGTGACAGTTCGGATCACCTTTAGTCGTCGTATCTTCTCCCTTGTGAGTAGGCGACGAACTAGCGCTGCTAGATAGATCGCTTCAATTGAGGATGTCTGCTGGGTCTCGAAGTGAAGTGAATCGAAGTGATGTTTCATTATGTCGTAATACACCTCCGATTCAGATTGCTGGTAATTTACCGGGATCTCATTGTCGATTGTATCGTTTGCCAGACCAATGAATGCATAGACCTTGTCATGAGGAAGCTCACAAAAGGCATCTCGGAACTCATCAACCAGGTTCTGAAGTGAGAAGCTTTCCGTTTGCGAGAATTTTGAACGCCGCATATTATCCAATTTGAGGATTGCCTGTGTTGCAGCATCATTTGGATTTTGTTCTCTGTACCAGTTGAGGAGTTTGATAAAGTCCTTCCATTCCATCGATCCTGATCCATAGTTAACTGTGATTTTTGAGGCCATGCCCACCTCTTGGATAATCCAGGCACGTTTCCAATATTCTTCATGAACTAGCCTGTGCATGAAATACTCGAGTTCTATCTCAGCTGCATGTTTTGCTCTTTGGTCGACATTCTTTGTATATCCAAGCTTCTTCTCATGCTGCTCGTCAACTGGCTGCTGATGTGAGCCAAGCCATATGATGACTTGCTGGGCACGCCGGAATATGAAGGCCATCAGAGAAATTTGTTTGTTCTTCTCAGCGATGTTGTTTTGGTCAATGCACAAAAATCAACCCACAACTCTTTGGGGTACTTTTCGTCACGTAAGGAATCCAAGGCATCCCAGAGATTTTCTCTTACGAGGATCCTCGAGCCATTGAGCTGTAGTGCTTTAAGCTGACTGGCATCTCCCCATTCATAAGAGAGGGCATCATAGGTTGGGTTGTCGCCAAAAGTGGTTGCTGTCAAGCCACATTTAATTTTCGTGCCTCGCCTGCCTGGTTGCAAAATCAACAGTCGAATGCCATCCGTTGTAGGATCAAGGGGTGGACAATGAAACTTCGGCTGCTTTTTGTCTGTTGCAATGAGAATTGAAAAGAACAGGCCCGTGATTACAAGGGCGGTAAGGGAAAAGTCGCTTCGCGTTGACCTCAGCCGATGCTGGTCGGGATATCTCCTGCTTGGTGTACCAGCGAATCTCGGGTGACAAGCGGGAGTGCTTGTTTTTTGTGGGATATCATGATCGCGGTGTCTGTAGGTGTGATGAGATCGTTGCCACAAGGAGTGTGTTTGGGAGATTATATTCCCTTTCAGGAGGAATGCGTGGGGAGAAACTGGACGAAGATGTCGAGCACTCTTGATCGCTGGTACCCATCTTATATATGCCGCTGGTTTAATCATGGGGACCAATCTCATGTCCTTGGAGGCAGCTTAGCCTTGAGCGACTTCCTGTAAAAGTTGGCGCGGAAAGGGAGATGTGTCCGCGGTAGTTTGCAAGATCAAGAGTGAAGGGTAAGTAAATGCAGAATTCGTGGGTTTGAGAGAGGTTAATGATCATGACCCAGAAATAGAAACATATTGTACAAGGCTGGGTGGGCTGTGCAGAGTCGCAGCGTCACCGAAAGGGGAAATAAACCAATGACTGAGAGGGGACTGAAACATTCGTGCAGTGGAACGCCGCCAAAAGAGCCACCCAATAGGCAACAGATTGATTCCCGCCTTGTGGGCTACTCGACTCTACATTCATTCAGATACAGTACTGTGCCTGCTCAAATCGCAAATCACCAAAACAAATCCGTGCATCTTCGATTCTTCAATTTTATCAATGCGCCCTTAAGCTCTTCATCGGTCTGCACTGGTTCTTCCTTGCCCGTCTCCCTACCCCACCTCACCCGAAGCTCCATCCTCTGCATAACCCGGCTTGGGGTGTCGGATTTTTGGGGTTCGAGTAAAGGGGGCAACTCGAGTCGCAAGGCGCATTCCGGTTGAAGGTTGAGTGACGTAGGAGTTGCCTTAGGGAGACTCTTCTGCTAAATATCCCTATCAGTTCATAGTTCACGACGATGTACACAGTGGATTGCTTCAAACCCTAACGCATTGGGGCCCTATGGGCCTATGCCACCCATGTTTTCGACTACAGTAGAGGGTAATTCCATAAAAACTCGCGAAATTCGCGAATAACCTCCTTCGTACTATCTCACCGAAAAGTCCGCATCAAGTTTAAGCGAGATTTACTAGATATATGCATGTCCCACTGGGGACCCATTGGGTCCAAATGACGCAGCATACGACGATGCCTCCCAGTGCAGGTCATCAACTAATGCAGGGTCTTAATACCGCTAGCCATAATGGTGATACTGTGAGTGATTGTATGAATCCAGCCAAGCAATTTTGAGTGTTCGAACTGAAGGCGATTTCGAATATTACTCTGTACCAGAAGCGACGGCGAGTGATCATCGGAACATTACCCTTGCGCTGCGCTTACCCAAAACAGCAAAGCCTCGCGCTAGCAAAGTGGGGCGCGAATTTCAAAAGAGTGTGTTTAGGAAAGCCAGTTTCGGATCCTACTGTACGAAACTCATCAAGCTCGAAGGTTTTTTCTTGCAAGGCCAATTGTGCCACATTATCCAACAACTTGCCCTTCTCAGACTTTCGTATATCTATCAAAGGCGTTCAATCCTGAAAAATATCTATCACAAAAAACGAATGGCACTTCAAATTCTCTGAAAATAAAGTATTCAACCTTTCCTAGGGAGCTGACTGTCGTAGAAGAGCCACTTGCAATAGTTGTAACAGCTTGGGCCCTGAGATTAGTCTTCGACACCGCGGTTAAAGAAGACAACAATAGAGAATATAATGCAATAAGTACTTGACGGTGATACTACTGTCCTCCACCTTTCCTGGGACAATAACTTAGAAGGTATTTCTCAATAAGGGGGGCTATGATCACATGACGGCTTGCCAAAAATGGGTTAAATTCAGCTTCTTCACACCCCAGATATCGAAAATTTCTTGGAAAGACCAAGTTCCTTTATCACATATCTTCACCTAAATCATACGGACTTTACAACGCTTCTTTTTTGATAAAATTAAATGCCCTAGGAATCTGGACGTTGTGAGGGGGAATTTTTCGCTTAAGCCTCCCGCATGCATCTCGCTTAATTTTCGCGCTAAGGAGTATTTAGCCTTGCCCCCAAGCTTCTAGTTGTTCGGCGGTTGTAGCGTGCTAGGGGAATTGAGGTGGGAACCGCCGAACGACTACGAGCATCACGCTTCTGTTCTAGAAAAATACACAATTCTAGAAATCTCTTTCGTATCGCGTGAAGTGTGCTGTTATCCAGTCGATCGGTTTACCTGGTACATAGTTCACTTCTGCCTATTTGTCCTCTGAACTATCAACGTTCCGCTTCAAAGCCATCGAATCGCGCCTGGACCGTTTAAGGTTTCGTGAATGTCAGTGCTCTCTGAAGAGATCTATTTCTAGGTACCCGGCCTGGCAGCCCCGACTTGAGCATATTTATCAAGCAGTCTCCGAGTAAGAAATTCTGTTTCTAGATGAGATTGAATAAATGTCACCAGCTTCATTTGAGTAGTTCTCAACTGAAGTCAGGTGCCCGTGCTCCATTCTGTTTCCTCGATTGTTTCGCCATCGTTTCTTGCACGCCTTAAACACACCTTGGCACCACAGAAACAATCGGATTAGATACTGAGATGTTCTTGGCGAGCGAACCGTGGTGATCTCCCGCGCGGGTGTTAAAGTTGTGGGTTAGGAGAACGAATGTCACTCGTTTTGAAGTTTGTTCTCCAAGAATTATTCTTAACTGTTCGGTATGGCACCTCATCTCTCATATATCCTCGTCTCTTCCTGATGGGATGATCTATTTCCTCATGGAAGATCTGCCTAGTTGATTTTGACACTCCTTACCTGTTATTCTTGTGTTTTTAGCCACAGGCATGGCTCTCTCTTTGTTTCTGTCCCGAACTGTAATCATTCTTTTATGTTGCAACTACTTTCTTGCAGCTGTACTTGCTCAGAATGAGACCGAAAAGCTACCAACATTTGGGGACACCGTCCAGGTCCTAGGAGCTGTGAATATTCCCCACTTCTCACTTTTGACTATCCGCTGACAGCCTTAGATGGAAAGAACGGACCAAGACTTCAAGGACGGCCTAGCCCTGGATCTTTTCTCTCCCAAGAATCGAACACTCGTGGTGAAACAGAACACCTCACCACTCCCTGCCGCATTCATAACCGGGACCACCGGAGAGCCTTTCGTTGCACTTTCCAGCTATTCCTACATTATCCAAATGAACGAAACAGCCAACGACCTCATTGCCAAAATTGAAGTCCCCTACGATCCAGAACAACTTAAGAAAGTGGGAGTACAAGAAGCAAACACTTATGTCGCAACACTCGCCCCTGACAAGATGAGCTGGGTTATCGACGACTCGACCAGGAATGTTCATCGCAGTGAGAACAACACGCGAATCATCAAGATGACATCGATGGATGGAGAATATTTGCTTGTAGGCAGAGCGACCGCTGATACGAGCAATATTTTTGTGCAGTATGGCCAAGGCGCGACCAGGACGGTGAATATGACAGGAGGCTCGGGAAGGTATGCATCTCTCCTATCTTTCTCTGCCAAATGTCCCACAACTGTTGGCAATCGCGATGGAAAGTTTGTACTTCGTACCACGCGAAGCTAATTCCATACCCCTTAGGCAACAGGCAGAATTCATTGACGGCTTGCGCTTCTCAGTGCAAACTAACAAGTCAATGACCATGAATGTCGACCTCAAACAAGGAATCAACCCCGGGTCTCTCCCTGCAAATACAGTCTCTCTCAACTCATACATGTGGATCGTCAATACGAGCGATCCCTCCATGCGAATCGATGCCGAAATGCTCGTTCCATGTAAGATTACGTTCTCCACCACTCCCTCTCAGACTCTCAGTGAACCGAACTGACGCTTCACAGTCAACCGGGCAATGCTTACAGCTCTACGTCCAGCTGGCTCCTCGCCGTCTACCATGCTCACAGTAGCAAAACGTGCTCTCAACGCTACAAGTGGCCAATTTACGCCCCTCAACCCTGACCTCCAAACTGTACGCGAGTTACCGGAAGACAGAATCCAAATTCAGGGCGTAAATCGATTAGATGGACAATACATCATTCTTGTCACACAGCCAAAAGCTGTTGGTGCAAGTAAGTCAGACATATCTTAAGGGGAAGGCAACATACCGATAGAGTGTATAGCAATCCCAGCGGCACCAAATATCATTGCGGGCGGTGGGATGGTGACTTAGTTGGAGCGCTGGGAAATGAAATGGTGTTTTGGAGTTGTGGATGGGAATGCTGTTTGAACGCAACTCGACCTTTGGGCAGTGGATTGACAAAGAAAAGGATCTGTAAACCGAGTTTATATTAAACCAAGCATAGGAGTGGAGTGTCTTGTTTAGTTGTAGCGATTTCATGAGATGTCATTTTCTCGAAACTAATCGCTCATCACACCCCCGTTTGACCTCCACATTCGGGCTCGGTATTGTGAAAGTTTACTATGAGCATATCCTTCTCTTTTGCTCATAACTCTCTTATACCCAGAATCTGAATAGATTTTAAGGCACATCAGGGTGGACTACCCAGGCTTGTAACCAAAGAGGTACTAAAATTTTCAATGTTTGGGGACTTTCCCATATGTTCAGGGGCATCAAACTCAGGGATTCTCCGCTCTTTCCTCATTCATCAGAGGTGTTGGATGCGTGAAAATGTCCCTCGCTCATGCATCAGGAGGGCGTGGAATTTCTCTGCAGAGTCGGGCGCGGGCGGAGACGCCCCAGAAAAAAAATGGGGACATCTCGCTGATGTCGGGCGGTGTGAGTCACTGTGTTTTTTCTGCCGGATCATTTAAAAACAAGAACCTTCTGACGAAAACAAAATCTGCGATTGAACTCTCGATTGAACTCTCAACTTTAACCAACACCCATCATCATGTCGGGAACAATTCTACATCTCCGCTCCGAATGTAAGACCCCATTGGCATGATGTTGAGGCGGCTGCTAATGCGTTCATCAGTGGGCAAGGCTCTCGAACACCGCTCCGCCCTCACACCGACAACTACTAAAGTTCTCATCGACGCTGGATATACTGTCAATGTTGAACGCAGTTCGGAACGCATATTCGATGATAGCGAATTCGAGAGAGCTGGAGCTACATTGGTGCCAGAAAATACATGGCGTGATGCACCCACTGATCACATCATTATTGGGTTGAAGGAGCTTCCTGTTGAAGAATGTCAGTATGAAGAGCTTGAATTGACCGCACAGCCATTCTGATAATAATTTAGTCCCCCTCAAGCACGTACACATCCAATTCGCGCATTGCTACAAGAACCAAGGAGGCTGGGAAAAGGTCCTGTCTCGATTCCCACGCGGTGGTGGAACCCTCCTCGATCTCGAATTCCTCGTCGATGATAGAGCTCGCCGAGTAGCTGCCTTCGGATATCATGCTGGCTTTGCAGGTGCAGCTTTGGCTCTGGAGACATGGGCGTGGCAACTCACACATCCTGTTTCAGAACCCTTCCCAGCAGTCTCGAGCTACCCCAACGAAGATGCATTGATTGTGGACGTCAAGAAGGCCATTGCGCTTGGAAAGGAGAAGAGCGGCAAGGATCCTCGAGTCCTGGTCATTGGTGCTCTAGGGCGATGTGGGAGCGGTGCCGTTGACCTCTGCTTAAGAGCTGGCGTCCCGACCGAGAACGTCTTGAAGTGGGATCTTGCAGAAACGGCCAAGGGAGGACCATTCCCTGAGATTGTCGAAAGCGACATCTTCATCAACTGCATATACTTGATGTCCAAGATTCCCAACTTTGTGGACTTCAAGAGCTTGGATACGCCCGACCGCAAGCTGTCAGTCGTCTGCGACGTCAGTGCCGATACTACCAACCCGAACAACCCTATTCCTATCTACACAGTTGCTACGACATTCAATGAACCAACGGTGCCAGTGGAGCAAGTTGAGAGAGAGCCGAAATTGAGCGTTATCAGCATCGACCACTTGCCCAGCTTGTTGCCGAGGGAGGCAAGTGAGGCTTTCAGCAAGGACTTGCTGCCTAGTTTGTTGCAGTTGAAGGACTGGAGGAATGTTCCGGTATGGGCAAGAGCTGAAAAACTATTCCAGGAAAAGGTTGCGACGTTACCCAAGAGTGAGCTGTGAAGTGGGAGGCTGCAGGAACTAGACATACTGCTCAAGCAAAAATTTCGTTCTAATTTTTCAGACATCAATTGGAAGTGATTCCTGTTTACAAATTGAATTCCTGACGACGCACTTTTGAAGCTCAAATAAAAAAACGCCCCCTTTCTTTGACTAAGCCTTTTCACGTGATTCGCTTAAGCTAGGGGGACTTGCCAAATTTAGATCTGCCGAAGGCGCGGCGCCACGATCGCCCCGACAATGAAACTAGTTTCAAAGGGGATTGCCAGTATTTACATCACTTCGACATTGGCAAATTGAGACAGATTGGGAACTCCAACCTCACACATACCTGAAAACAAACTCACTGAACAGGAATAACTCACCAATCCTGCTTGCTGTCTTGAAGAGAGACGTCTTGGCAATCGACACGGCATCTGCGAATCCGAATTAGGCACATACGTATCGCGATCTGTTACATCAACGACCCTCCCTGAAACGTCGGATAGCAAGAGTGTTGTTGCAGTTTCTGCCTCGAATCTCCAACTCCGCCACCATAGACGCGAAGCTTTCTCTGATATTTTCCCAAAAAGCTTGGCTTTCACGTCCTTTCCTCGTTGACATTTCTTAACTCAAGTTCCAGATAGATTCGGTACATTCCAGCGGGAAGGCGTTCTGCTGGCCACGACGACACGTTAATACAGCAACCTGGGGGATTGCCACGATCGCAACGAAGACAAGATGTCATCCATTCTCTCCCGGCAAAATGTCAATACTGATCCTCAGTTCGTGTACTATGAAAACGATTCATTTTGGTGGACTCGAGTAAGTGTTAGCTGACGTCACTGTGTCATACAACTGACACTGCTGCAGACGGGCCAAATTGTCAGATGGAGCATATTCTTTGCAATCTTGGGCCTCTTCATTGCGTACATGATAATCGGATACTGGCATGCAAAGAGAAGGATCAGTAGGGGCCTGCCTCCGCTGGCATACCACCGAGTACGATCTTCCTAGCTTTGGAAACTGCTAGGGACTAACATTATATGCAGTGGCTCCTAAACAGACAGCAACGGGCAAGATACGATCCCTCATACCAGAACCCACACGTATTCTATACCAGCTACCCTCAACCAGGTGGTCAATACGGCATGAACCCAATGCCTCCACCAATGTACGACCCAAACGGCCAACCACCGGTCTATCAACCTCCCGCTGGAGCAAGCAAGGTCGACCCATCGCAGTGGCGTTCGGAGCCTACTAGACGACCGGCCGAATCTGGTGAACAAGCCCCAGAGTACGATGCACCACCAGGACCTCCACCTGCACCTGTTGTTCACGCAAACCACACGGGCAGTTCCACTGTCAGCAACAACCCGTATAGATTGTAAATAGGACGATTTTGAGTTTGCGGTGATTGGCGTTTCATACACCTTTTAATGCGCATGCGGAGTAACGGAGCATTATTCTTGGTGGAAGAGAAGAGGCTAGCCCGAGGGAAGGCATGACTATCAGGAATAGACACAATCAACAAGATTTGAAACCTTTGCAAGAATCATCTCTATTGAAGCCATCCTCTAAATATGTTCGATCCTTTATCAGCCTAAATCCATAGCGTCGGGATCATATTCCACCGTTTCTTCAGGTACTGCAAGAGCCATAACGGGTTCTTCATGCACAGGTTCTTCGTTTCCCGGCGTCATGGAAGCTTGTCCATTAACCATTCCCTGGTAGCAATGCCTTGCGTCTAGATTTCCACTGCCCGCTTTATTCTCCGTCCGAGCCTCTCGGGTACCTTGTAGCCGCCTCTGCTCTTGCCTTGCTCGGGCCCTCGCCCTGGTTTCAACAATGGCTCTCCTGACACTATCCTGCTCTTCAGGCACCGTCAAAGAGCTCGGAACATTGTACAGCACCAATTGCAAATTGTTGCCCGCTAATTCGCCCTCACTATTTGCGAGAATGCGAGGTGGGATGCGTGTTTCTCGGAGATGTTTTTCGATGTCGGGTAGGAAGACGAGCTTTCCTTCGTCTGAGGAGGATTCGCTATCGGAGAGTTCGGCGTCGAGATCGTAGATGTAGACTTTGTGCTTTGTATCATCCAGCTGCATTATATCTTCCTCTTGTGGCTTATTCCGTGCTGGAGCTTTCGATGTAAACTCCGCGGTTGTAGGTGCTTCCACTGGGACATAGAGCTTTTGGCCATTGCGCTCTGCGCGAGTTGTTAGCTAGAAGCAATCAAATGTCGATTAGATGAATTGGAGAATACAGACCAAGATTAAGTAAACTCAGCCGTTTCGATAGGCGTTCATTGTCTTGGTTCTCAGCCTTCCTTTTCTTGATTCTGCCTGTCGCTTGCACCACGCGATCCATACTTTATTCCATCCCTAACCACTTTCCTTCTACAACAATCCTCCCAAACCTCCTTCCGAAGTGAATGCTTGAGTGCAGAACAGTACCGGTCGAAGCAAGCAAGTTTGCGCAGGGCTCTCGCGTAGGACGGACCTATCGGCGACAGTTGTAGCAGAAGGGAGCGGATGAATCTGAGAGGTTGTGGCAGAGGACTGAGTCACCTTAGAAGATTCTACAAAACCGAGACGGCGCGAACACTTCTGAGCACGCGCACAACAACCACCACCACTTGCACGCGTCGGTACTTTCGGACCTCTGCTATCAGGATGACGAGTAAACAGGAGAAATGGACTGCGCCGGTGGTCAGAAAGACTTTTCTGGAGTTCTTTGAGGGGAAGGGCCATACTGTGGGTACGTGGCGGGGTATTTTTTTTAATGGGAGAAGCATATCTTTTTAGGGGACCTCAATTGCTTGAGCAAGCTCAATGCAAGTTTGGGCAGGCTATTTGATTGCTCATCTGGGTTCTTTTGAGGCCATTGGGCTAACTTTGAGCTTCTGCAGTACCTTCGTCTTCGGTGGTCCCCCACAATGATCCAACTCTACTCTTCACCAATGCTGGTATGAACCAGTTCAAGCCTATTTTCCTGGGGACTGTGGGCAAGACGGATGATATGGCACAACTGAAGAGAGCGGTGGATACTCAGAAGGTAGAGCACACAATGGCCTCTATAAAAATTCGTGGGGTACTAACGGGAAATAGTGTATACGTGCGGGAGGAAAGCACAATGTAAGAATATATTACGTATCAATGGGGGGAGATATTGGTACTGATACCCTTTAGGATCTTGACGATGTAGGAAAAGACAGTTATCATCACGTAAGTCTCAATCTGCCTCGAGTTGTCCTCTCCCCTGACATGTGAGTCAGACCTTTTTCGAGATGTTAGGGAACTGGTCCTTTGGTGATTACTTCAAGAAAGGCGCCATTGAGATGTCCTGGGAACTTCTTACGAAGGTCTATGGATTGGATCCGGATCGTCTCTATGTCACTTACTTCGAAGGCGATAAGTCTGCTGGTCTGGAGCCAGATCTGGAGGCGAAGGAGTTATGGAAGGGAGTCGGTGTTGCTGATAACCACATCTTACCCGGCAACATGAAGGACAACTTCTGGGAAATGGGTGATCAAGGACCTTGTGGACCTTGTAGTGAAGTCCATTATGACAGGATAGGCGGTGGCCGGAATGCCGCTCATCTTGTCAACATGGATGACCCCAATGTTCTGGAGATCTGGAACAACGTCTTCATCCAATTTGACAGACAGAAGGACAGGTCTCTCAAGACTTTGCCAGCGAAGCACGTGGATACTGGTATGGGTTATGAGCGATTGGTGTCTGTGTTGCAAGACAAGACTTCCAATTACGACACTGATGTGTTCCATCCCTTATTCATCAAGATCCAGGAAGTCACCAGCGCCAGACCATACACGGACAAGTATGGGAAAGACGACGTTGATGGTATCGACACTGCATACCGGGTCATCGCTGATCATATTCGACTCTTAACGTTCGCCATCTCTGATGGAGGTGTCCCAAACAACGAAGGCCGAGGGTACGTTGTTCGGCGAGTGTTACGGCGTGGTTCTCGCTACGCTCGAAAATACTTCAACGCGGAAATTGGAAGCTTCTTCTCTCAGATTCTTCCTGCTCTCGTTCAACAGATGGGCGGACAGTTCCCGGAGATTGTCAAGAAAGCGCAAGACGTCAAGGAGATCTTAGACGAGGAAGAGGAGGCTTTCGCGAGAACGTTAGACCGTGGTGAGAAGATGTTTGAGAAGTACGCTGCTCAGGCGATCAAGACGAACACGAAGAAGCTTTCTGGTGCTGATGTGTGGCGGCTGTACGATACATTTGGATTCCCTGAAGATCTTACGAAAATCATGGCTGAGGAGAGAGGCCTGGAGACCGATGATGCTGAGATTGAGATTGCGAAGGAGAAGGCTCGTGAGGCTAGCAAGTCTGTTAAGGAGGCTGCTCACACGTTTGCCAAGCTGGATGTTCACCAAATTGCCGAGCTTGACAAGATCGGAATCTCGAGGCCAAACGACGATGCCAAGTTTTTGAAGGGCGACAGCCTTGGCAAGATTCAACTGATTTATGATGGGAAGGATTTCTTGAAGTCGACTGATGGTCTACCTTTGGATAAGCCTTTCGGCATATTGCTTGACAAGACGAACTTCTACGCTGAGCAAGGTGGTCAAATTTTTGATACCGGCAAGATCATCATTGATGGTGTTGCTGAATTCAAGGTGTTGGATGTTCAGGCATATGGTGGATATATTGTTCACAACGGTTACCTCGACTATGGCCACCTGAAGGCTGGAGACGAAGTCATATGCGAATATGATGAACTTCGCAGACATCCCATCCGCAATAACCACACTGGGACTCACATTCTCAATCACGCCTTACGAGAGCACCTGGGTGATGATATCAACCAGAAAGGCTCCTTGGTTGATCAAGAGAAGCTGCGTTTCGATTTTTCACACAAGGCTCAAGTTACTCTTCCGGAGCTGAAGAAGATTGAGGACTCCTCAAATGCGTATATTAAACAAAATTGCAAGATCTACGCAAAAGATGTGGACTTGGATGTCGCGAAGGGCATCAATGGTGTCCGTGCCGTCTTTGGAGAGACATATCCCAATCCTGTCCGAGTGGTCTCTGTTGGCGTCGATGTTGATACTCTCCTCGAGAATCCTTCCAACCCTGATTGGATAAAGGTCAGCGTCGAATTCTGCGGTGGAACACACGTCGACCAAACAGGTCTCATCAAGGATCTCGTCGTCGTGGAAGAGAGTGGCATTGCCAAGGGGATCCGAAGAATTATCGCTTACACCGGTGATGCCGCACACGAAGTTCAACGGCTCGCTCTCGAATTCGGAAAGCGGATCGAGGCTATAGAGAAGATGCCCCTTGGTCCCGAGAAAGAGGCTGAAGTCAAGGCTACCCAGCAAGACTTAAACCAGCTAACTATCTCGACTTTGGACAAAGAGGATCTCAAGACTCGTTTCGCCAAGATTCAGAAGGAGCTTCTTGATGAGCAGAAGAAAAAGCAGAAGGCCGAATCAAAGACTGCTTTGGATCATGTCACAGGACACTTCGCAGACAACAAAGATAGTAAGGCCTACATCGGTCATCTCCCAATTTCCGCAAATGCTAGGGCGATTGCGGATGTCATGAACCACTTCAAATCAAAGGCGAAGGATAAGACCGTTTACATGTTGGCTGGCAGTAAGGAGGAAGGCGCCGTTGTACATGGTGTTTATGTTGGCACTGTAAGTTGGCCCGGCTTCTCAGCGCTCTTACTTTTCTAACCAAAATAGGAACACTCCTCCCAAGGCGTAACTGCGGAGCATTGGTCTGCTGCTGTATCAGAAGTTGTAGGTGGCCGATCTGGAGGCAAGGAGCCAACGAGGACGGGTCAAGGCACGAATCCTCACAAGATTGCGGAGGCGGTTGAGACTGCGGAGAAGTGGCTTAAGGAGAAAATGAAGCTTTAGGTGGATACCCGGTTATGAACTATGTGTATGGACAATTCACGTTGGGAGGCGGCGCTATAGAGTATAATTTTCCTTTGATGGTTGGTGGCTTAGACGAATCTCAATACTAGGAGTCGTATGAATACTCATGTCTTCTAGTCCAAGAATCTAACTTGATATATGTGCTATCCCGCCTCTAAACAATCTATCAACGAATTTTGAGCAAAGTCAAAACATAAGACTTACCAAGCGGCACGTGATCGAGCTTCTGCGGCTCAGAGTTTCTGCCACTCCTTCATTTTTCCTTCCCTTCGATCAGAGTACGCCAGTGAGTCTTCGTTAGAAATGCTCTTTTGGGTTAAGTTCAAGGACAAGGGGAAGGCCATATTGAGGCGCACGGGGGCAGAGAACACAAAGACCAGATACTCGGCCGCCACCACTTTATGACCCAGCCACCAGAGACTCAAGGGAAAGAGCCAAAGGAGAATCAAATAGCAGGCGGGGATGTCGGAACCCAGAAAATAGAAGGTAAAACGTCGTCCTCAAATGTTAATCCTAGGGATGCATGGAAACAGGAAGGTACTAACGCAGCTCCTGCGGAGTCGAGCTTGACCCTGCCTGACCTTTGGGAACCCGCTATAGAGTCCTTGGATGAAAGAGATCAAGGAAGACTACAAAAGTGTCAAGCCACGCAATCTAGTGCATTGAGCACCACGCCGTGTCCTACAATTGTCAACTCAATACTTCAAAAGGCGAAATAGATGCAGGAGGAGGACAAGGAGCAGAAGTGGAAGTCCGTAAGTAGCTTCTAGTCTCACTTCATGATTCATTTAATTGACATATTATGATGACTAGGCTATCAGCAAACTTCTCGATGGCACGGAGAATTTTAGAGCAGTTGTCGATGCTGGATTGAAGTTCGACACCTCTGGCTACAAAGCAATTGCCTGGTCGGTCTTCTTGTTCGGCTTGCAATTTCTATCAATGCGAGGCAATTTCGGGAGTTTGTTTTCCACAGCTCGGGGTTCATTGTTAAGTTACTAGCTCGGTATGCGGCGTATGAGATCCTGTATCGAAGCTTTATCAGGAATTTCGATAACTATAGGAACTTTGAGGTTCGTATCGTGAAAGTTTATAACGCTGTGCTAATATACGTATTGGATATGAAGGTATATTTACGTGAGAATGGGTTGGGTATGTTGTTCTCTCTCTGTTTATTTGAGCTATGAAGATTAATTTTTGTCTTCTGGAGCATCTCTCAAAGCTTTCGTGCCTGCTACGAATTGAACACTTGCAAGTTAAAAGACTGCTAACGACAAAGCTGACTCGTGTTTGAAGGAGTGTGTACGACTTCTCACCATGTTTTCCAAGGGAGAGACAGTGTGGCTAAGAATAAGTCGCAGCTACCCATGATAAATTTAAAGAGCAAAAGTGACAACGAGAATTTCAGGACGCTCGAAAAACAGATAATAGAACTCCATCGGCCAGTGCATTACTTGCCAGAGCGGCTAGACCATATTCAAAGGCCATGACTGCTCGAACCAAACTTGGGATTAACAACCTTCAGATCCAACCCAGGTAACCTTCCCGGCTTGGGCGTTGTGCGTGAGCTCGAGCCGGATCAACATTCTTTACCTCCCTAGCTCCATGTACCAAAAACCCCCCAAATACAAGCTGTAAATCACGCATTCCTAGAAAAGTGATCAAAGAAAGGCATCATGAACATAGTAAATTTGGTATATAAATCGCCTATCCATCTATCGGACATCTGAACTCTCTCCCATCGGGAGAAGCACTCTCATCAGCAGGCTGCATCGCCTCCAAGCAACTCTGATGATACACATGTCTGCAAGCCAATACAACCAGTGGTTCCAACTCCACCTGCGCCTTCCCGACCCCCTCTTCGCCTTGAATACCATACTCGTCCTCGGCATCCGCGTTCGGGTCGCCCGCTACACCTATTCCTTTAGATTTCGGAGGTTCGATAATGCTCGCCTTGCTGATGTTCCGCTGATGAGCTCGCCCCTTGCCGCGTTCGACTTGGCCACCTGCCATCTCGGCCCTACGTTCTTTCCTTCGTTTGAGATCGAGTTCTTCTCTTTCTTCCCACTTGGCAAACACATCTCCTGACACCCCTGGTCCCCATACCCTTCGCCCACACCCCTCACACGTGCTGCCTCTCGGTCTCCAGCCTCTTTGCCTCAACTCTGTAGCACTTTTTACGTTGACAAAGAGATCCTTCTCGAGCAAGCGGTTGGCGAGAGAAAGGATTGACTCTTCGTAGGTGTAAGCTGAGAAGATGGATGCGAGAACCGCGCGGAGATCGCTGAGGTTGGGTGAGGATAATGAGGCGCGAGTGAGGAAGGCTCGCAGGATGCGAAGGAAGGAGAGTGAAGTAGTGGATGGAGATGGCGTCGAGGTTGAAGTTAACATTGACGTGAAAGTGCGCTGGACGAGGGTCCTCAGCTGCGAAAGTAGTTTGTCGTGGTCAAATTCTATCGCTTTCGAGTCTTCGAGATCGCTCAAGCTTGCTGAGAGTTTCCGTGTAATTTGAACAGCGGTGTCGATGAGGTCCAGCCAGAGTAGTTCCTCAGGAAGGAGCTCACTCTTCGTTGATGATTTCCGCCGGACTAGAGACATGATCCCACGTGGTGATTGACTCTTCATCTGGCTTTGGCAAAGCCAGATTCCCACGTTGGTGTATTTCTGCAGAGCCTCTAGCAGATCCTCAATCGCTTCTCCAGCGTGCATCGACTGCATGTCCTCGACCGAGCTGCTTAGAAGGCCCAGCAAAGCACTCTCTAATTTTGTCAAATGCTTGACGAGCCTATTCATCGCTTCTTGTATTTGACCCTCACGAGCCATGAGGACGACAGCTGCATCGATAACGCCGCTCTCTTCCATGTACGGCAAGACTTTATCGAGACGCAGATCGCTTGCTTGCACAAGCTCCACATAAGCCGCGACGTGTGATGAGTCGAATTTGCACATCAATTGGACATACTTCTCCGTGAACTCAGGATGGGAAGGATGCGACGTATCTTCGGTGTCCTTCGATTTAGGCTCAAAGATGGTGTGCAAATACATATACTGCAGTTCAGAGTCATCTGGCAAGGAGTCCAAGATTTTCTTGTGTAACGATGGGACATATGCCTCCATGGTCTGGGCAGCCCTGACAGCATCGAGATGAACGAGGTCGCTGGCATGCGCTTCAACAACCTCGTGAACATCTCGGACTTGGCGCTTCGTCAACCCTGAGCGTGGCCGTAAACAGGAAGCTATGCATTCAAAGACACCTTCTTGATCATCGGGATCTTCGAAGTAGGTTTGAATAAGTTTATTGTACTGCTTGTCTGATTTGTAGATGCTCTTAAGGACACGGTAGAATCCAGCTTTCTCAAATAACGGAATGAGAGCTTCGAGATCCGGAGGGTGATATACTGACAGCAGGTACTCGGCGCTCAGTTGAGCATCATCCGCTAGATCCTCGCCCGGATAATTGCACAAGCCTGCGAGAACTTTATGCAAAGCCGTTCCGGACAGAAGCAGGTACTGCGGAAACTTTGGGAGATTCCGTGCAATGAACATATCCAGATAGATAGTGTCTTTGGCTGCAAATTCGCTTGGGTTCATGACTTCCAGCAGAATAGTGACTACGTATTGTCGATTCACAGAAAGCCCGAAAACGTGCTCCTCGGTCATGTCGCGGTTGGAGCCGCCATTAACTGCTCGCTCTGGACTGTCGTTGAGGAATGAATCCTCAAAAGCCTCGTTGAGGGCACTTAGGAAACTGGGCGCGTCGAACTTTAAGATCATCCGGAGATACGGAAAGGAGGGTTCGAAGGATTCGTTGGGCTGCGTTATGAAAGGCTTTCCACTCCCCTTTGGCCAAGAGATTGTCTTCCCAGAGAAGATAAACCAATAAAGCTCCGCTTTGGCATTGAGGGCCTCCTGCTCTCCAAGGCTCTTGCCGGTTGGGTAAACTCGGCCAGTGAAAGTGTAAGACAAGTAGGGGAACATCTTCAAAGCATTGGCACGGAATATGGGATCCTCCATAACATTTCCATTATTAAAGTAGTCTCCGTTCTGCACAAAGGGTATCAAAAGCGACAAAAGGTCGACCAGGGGCGTAATGTAATCATGAAGTGCTTGGTTCCAAACGTAGACGAGGGCGTCGTAGAGGTTGTGCTGCTTGCATAACGTTGTGACTTGGTCTATGTCGAGGGTTGATGTTTCCATGTTGCATATCATCTCTTCGAGACGACTCTCCAGGCCTTTGCTAACAAAATGGGTCACCATAGCCTTCACAACAATGGGCGGTATCATTGTAATGCGTTTCTCCAAAATATGAGGCTCAAGAGTTTCGAGGAAGATTCCTTCCGAATCTCCGTCTTCGTACCATGCGAATGCCTCGTCAAAGAGGTAGTCAATATCATCGATGCTGAGACAAGCATCGAAACAGGCCATAGCCAAAGCCTTCAGATGCTCGTCATTGGCGAAAGCAGGCTCTTTCTGGCGTTGACCAAAAGCAAATTTCAGAGAGGCTGTCATGATCTCCAGAAGTTTGTCTTGGACCATTGAGTGACGCAAGTCAGTATCTTCTGGTAGGCCGATTGTAAGTTTGTCGGCATCTCCGGTATAATAGGATGTCGCGAGCTGAATTGCGCCAATATAGTCACCGTCCTCCATCAGGGCAATGAGCCTGTCCGCCCAATTAGACAATGTCCCAATAGAGACATCATTGAAGCCTAGAAGGAACATTCGGCTCTTGTAAGCCTTGAAACTCATGTAAAATGCGTCCGCCACAACACCATGCATGGAAGGATCCTCTTCATCCAGTTGTTCGACCAGAGTGTGCAACTGTTTCGAGAAGAGATCCTGATGGTAAATATGCTTGTGGACGAGATCAAAAGCCTCAGTCATGCGCATACTTCCATCTTCAAGTATTATCAATCTTTGGGTGATAGTCAAAACAGTCAGAACGGACCGACTTAGCCATTGCACTGCGACGATGGCTTCTTCGGCCTTCCATCGACTGCGAGGTTTGAAAGAAAGAGTCGAGGGTTTATCCTTATTCGAAGACTCGATTTCGTCAACATCCAGAACAGTCAAAACATTCGACCAGCAGTAGACGAGCTTGACCTTCGAGAAATCACTCCCAGTTTTGGGGTCTTTGACTTTTAACTTGACTGCCGGAAACCATGCAAGGCATCCACTCAAGGCGCTGTGAGCAGCTACTTCTTTTGGACGCGCAGCTTTGTGTTGTGTTTGGGCAATAGGAGTCGTTGATACGATCACGAGCAAGTAGGGAGTAAGCATGGCAGTCAGTCCCATTGTATCAGTGTCTCGCTCGACGTTTCCAAGAGGAAGAGGGGCGAAAGCAAGAACCGTGCTCGGCTTTCTTGGCTTTCCTGTCGTAGCAAGATCATTGGGATATCGACCTAGTATCCGTGTCGTTTTAACGGTTCGCCCCAAAGCCCCGGTGCCTCTCGTTGCAAGGTGCGAGAAGGCCATACCACGGTCGTCCGCTGAGACAAGTGCTGTATGTCTGGTCCCCAGAAATCCGAGATGTCGGATAGCAACGTTTGGTACATGGCCATCAACAGTTCTATTTATCATCTGCGCAGGCTCCAGACTGGGAATATGCAAGAAAGGCTTTGCAGCCCTTGCGGTTTCCCACGTGAAAATACTCCCATTAGCATGGCCACCAGCAATGATCAAGTGATCGGCCGATATTGCAACGGAGGTAATAGCACCGGATTCGACGGCTATAACGGTGAGCACTATAATATCGTAAAGGGAACGAATAACGTACCCTTCGTCCCCGGCCCTATTATGGATTTGAGGTTTTGATGATAATCAAAAATTAAAATTATTCCTTTCGAGGTTCCCAGAACAATCGAAGCAGAGACTGATATACACGTCACCACGCCAAAGTTTCGTTTTCCAACCTCGGAAAACGCTTGTCCGTTCATTTTCTTGAGCTTAGTCCATCGTATAACTTCCCATGGCGGGGACGGAGTGTCGGTGTCCCCAGAACCTGGCAGTAGTGTACTGGTGAGAGAGGCATTGCGAGTATGGCTTCTAAGAAAGGCGGGGGAGGAGGCTCGTGGTGGGGTAAAGGTAGAGGAGGAGAGGCGTGATTGGAAACGCCTGTCAAAGGGTCGGAAGGATGGTGTTGGGCTCTCAAGGCCGGGTCTAGAGGCCACCGAGGGTAGGATACTGCTTCCACCAGGAGAAGAAAGTACGGAGCCCTGCGGGTACAATCAGTAAAATCTTGGACATTTGGTAGCCTGGCCTACCTGAACTGAGGGGGAATCGTCTGGCACAGAAAGTAAGGAATCGATAGGGCTCCCAGTCCTTCGTGGCATAGCTTCCAATGACCCATCTTCAGAAGCATCATCTGTCTGTAGAACAGCCTTGTAATGATTGACGCCATTGCCCAGTTGCTGCCGCGTTGGAGCAGCTTCTCTCTCCTCCTGCAATAGTTCCGCTATCGCCCCGGCCGGGATTGCACCATCTTTGTTGGTAGATTGTGTAGGCGTATGTGCCCTGCCATTGATCTCATCCCCATTTAGTGTGACCTCCTCCGCACCACTGTCGTTATCCTCAGAGGAGCTCATCGAGACCGGTTCATGGTTCCACTCCTGGATCAGCTCGATGCGCCTCGTTGCGTGGACTCATGGATCATCAGGGATTCAACACTCTATTAACTTCTTCAGGGTATCGGGTTCTCGGTATAGTATGGCCCCTTCTTCCGCAGATTTCCAAGAGCTTGAAAGTCCGTGGGGGTAGATGTTTAGAGCTTGGCCTGGTGCCTTCTTGATAGAGAACTTGCTTGCAGCCTGCAGGTGGTTCAGATGCACAAGGCTGCGATATGGTTCCTCTTCTCACCAGCACAGTCATACAACTTTCATAAAAAAGTACAACGTCGGCCCAGGGTAATATCGTGTTGGTTTGGAGAAGGAACCAAGAAGACACAGCCTCCTGAAAGGACGCGCGGAGATTGCCGCTGCATGTCAACATCGGCTTTGATTCTAGGAACATATTCGGAAAAACTTCAAAACATCAAAAGACAAATACCACATCACCATGCCTGTAGGCCCCGAACTACCACCTCATCTGGTGAAGCGCAAACGCTCAATTGACGACGATGAGCACCCCAATTCTCCTCCTCATAAGGTCCAAGCTGCTACGGCTCCACGAACTCTAGGACCGACACTCCCACCAAGCAAGAACCCAGATGAGCTGGACGTTGACGACAGCTCCAAAAGCGACTATGGACCTTCAGTTCCGGCTACGAAGTTTACGAGACCTGCCAGTCCTCCAAAACGCGTCTTAGGGCCAACCCCACCATCACAAGCCAAGAACCCCGAAGAGCTAGACATTGAGGCAAGCTCAGAAGACGATTATGGACCTTTTCTCCAACCCACTTCCGGCCCTCCAAAGCCAACCTCCAAGCCATCACCAGCCCCAAAACGCATCCTCGGTCCCGCCCCACCACCAGCACCCCTCACCGAACGCCCTCCAAACCCACCAGACTCAAACTCAAACTCAGACTCAGACTCAGATGATGATTACGGCCCCTCACTCCCTCCACCCGCAGGCTCCGCAGCAGAAGCCTCCCTCTTCGCGACCCAGCAACAAGAGCGTCTCGAAGCCGCCGCCACTACCGCCTCCGCAAAACCCCAGCGCGCAGAATGGATGCTCGTGCCCCCTACAGACTCAGACTGGACCTCGCGCGTCGACCCCACAAAGTTGAAGAATCGGAAATTCCAAAGCGGGAAAGGGGCCAAGGCACCTACTGAGAAGTCGGGTATAAGTGCGATATGGACCGAGACTCCTGAGCAGAAGCGACAAAGACTGGCTGATGAGGTGCTTGGAAGAGCAGAAGTGGCGACGAGTTCGAGGACGAAGAAGGAGAGACCAGAGGGGGAGAGTAGGGAGGATGAGGCGACGAGTAGGAGGATTAGGGAGTATAATGAGAAGATGAGGGGGAAGAGTTTGTATGAGGAGAGGAGGGAGAGGAAGGAGAACGATGGGACGAAGGAAGAGGAGGATGATCCGAGTAAGAGGGGCTTTGATCGGGAGAAGGATATGGCGCTTGGAGGGCGGATGGGACATGGCGAGAAGAGGGAGATGTTGGCTAAGGCGAAGGATTTCGGGAGTCGGTTTCAGAAGGGGAGCTTTTTGTGATGTGTGGGAGGAAGGGAGTGAAGATGATCATGAGAGCTTCAGCTTTGACGGTGAATCTGGCTCTGATTTGCTGTGCTACACAGCAAGGAGGATCAGAATTGGGCATTTGGCATATTCCCAAGGAGACGCTCGCTAGCATACACATCTCTGGCAGAGGGCACCTACCTTCTCCAGCAGATCGTCTCTAGCAGCTTCATTCTCTTGACTTGCAAGGAAGTTTGAGAAAGCCACCAGAAACCCCCCAATTAGACACCAAACAAAAACACACTTCACTTCGCTTCAAGTCAGATACAAATACGTGAGGCACAGATGCACAGTGATTATCTTAAATTAAGCCATTCAGTGCCTATGCTCGCCAGCAGATCGCAATTCCTCCCTCCATATCAGCATAACGTGTTTCATTTCCCTGCTAATCTGATCTGGTATGCTCCACTTCTGCAATGACCTTGCATATACACATATGCATATCGCTGCCTCCTTCATTCATGCATCGCCATTTCTTCTTCATTGCTGCTCATTGCTCTTCGTTCGTTCTCCTCCTTGCCTCGTAACATGGAGGTATATTCGCAGCTTCGCTTCGCTCATTGCCAGAAGCAAACATAGACCCCGGGCGCCAGGTACACACGTAGACAGCCAGTCGCTGCCGAAAAATCAAGATGACGGAAAGGAGATCGCTAGAGGGACAGGTGGGTGGTGTGGGGCGAGATATACATGGAGTGTATGTACACTGACGACGGGTGTGCAAGAACTGGATGTACATTCGTGGAGTGAGTTGTGGCCGAGACAAGGGTGACGAGGGGGGGTATCGAGGTGCAAGCGCCAAAGAGATACTTGTGCAACCGTCTAGCAGCCGAGGGTATTGTTGAAAGAAGGGAGATTTCATCGAGACATAGTTGGTCATCGGACAACGCCAGCTTCGAGCTGGGAAGGGGTGGTGCTTGCATCTCCCACTGCTGGCGTCTCCTGGGGAGGGCGACCGCGGCCAGGGAGATGGAGAGATGGCATGGCAGGTCTGCTCAGATTGCTGAAGGGGTTTGATATCCTAGGTACCCATCTTCTTTGTGCAGCGGCTCCGGCGTTGGCTGTTGTTGCAGGATTCCCTTGTGCGGCTCCGCTGGCCCCCGCTGCTGCTGCTTGTCGGCGAGCTCTCCGCGCACGTCGTCCATCATAGCCGTATTGATCCCCAGGATACATTGCCGAACCACTGAATCGCCCAGATAGTACAAGGCGAGGGCTACCCCGGATTCCAGTCCAGGCAGATGCTGGTGATTGGGGCATATTCGCCCGGGATCTTCGTCGTCCAGATCGATCAGCATCAGTGGCAGCGGCTTCGCCATCAAGACGTGGCTTGGGAACATAGTAGTCAGCTTTACAGAGTGGGCAGCAAGCACGACGACTGGTTAACCATGGGTCTAAACACCCAGCATGGAATGCATGACCGCAAGTCAATCCTCTGATATCATCATTTTCCTCCAAGGTATCGATGCAGATGGCACACGAGTCTCCTGGATTGGTAAGAAGCTCTGGTGGAACAGCGGTATGAATGTGATCGTCCTCATCATCGGATTGATCGTTCTCGCTGGCAATTGTTCGACGCTTGTCGACAGTACTGGCAGTCGTTTGAACCTCTTCCAATCGATTGTGCTCTTCAAGAGTCGGCGACGAAATTCCTTTCTCAGTAACAGCTGCATCATTGAAATCTCCGCCTAAAGCATTCGTAGCAGGTGAAATCGTAATGGCTGCAGCCTCCGAAGCTACAGTTCCTGGCCTAGTATTGGCTGTGTTGACAGAATGCTTCGTTCCAGTTGGAGACGATGCCATGGCGGCGTCAACATCTCGTATACTCCCAGCCCGACTCGGGGGAGCCGTAACACCTCCAGAAGTCGGAAGGCCTTCTCTCGCACGCGATGCAACCCAATTCTTGTACTTCGTCAATGGGAACCGCTCATTAACCTCATCCATCGTCATCAACTTCTTCTCCCTTCTTCGCCGATGCGGTCGTGTCGGCATGTTCTCAAGGTTGATCGGGTCGACCTCCTCGCCATTTCGTATCGCACGGTTGCGAGCATTGTATCGGAAACAATACTTCACTCCAACGATAATCCTGTGGGTGACTGTTAGATCCATGATTGCTCACGGACTACTATGAATGATAAGTACTGACCATAGATTCGTAAACACAACGCCGAAGCCCAATGCAACGAAGAACAGGAGTGGAGACGATGTGGGTCCGGTGGTACCAGGACTACTTGTAGGTGATGACATTGTTGTCGGAGACGGTGGTACTGACGATATGGCATCTATTATCGTTGACACACCACTCTGCGCAAGAGGAAATGTTGGAGTTGCGTTAGGGAGTATGGTGCTCGTCTGCGTTCCGTCGAGGCCTCGCTTTTGGGAGTCTCGCTCCAGTACGTGAAACACCTCGACCATAATTTGGTTGACAGCCATCTTTGCCTGTCGGCAACTGTCTTGCGGTTTTGCGGTGTTGGATAATACAGACGATGGCCGAGTCTAGGACTCGCTTTCGGGTCTCTTCTGTGGGCCGTATTGATTCGGGTACGGTGGGTTGGTGACCGGACTCAATCAATCTGCTCCAAGCGGCCTCGCCTCGCCCTGGTGGAACGAAGTGGAAAAGTCGTGGTGGAGATTGACGGACACATTCGACTGCGATTGAGCCGGAATAATTACCTGTGGACAACAGACCGATCCGTGGTGAATCAGAGCCTCTTCGCAAAGTCCGGCAGCGAGGAAGGTGCGTGGAAGTGGGAGTGGGAGAAAGAGGAGGCCGTTGCGAGAAGCTTGGAGGGTCAAGGGCGAGGGTGAGGGCGAGGGTAGGAAGGGTAAGCAGTTTGCAGTTGGTTGCCGTGAAATCTGGCGGAGGCTAGCGAAACGAGGTTTGACGGGGGCGGGCGGGCCTTTGGCGAACTTTGACTGCTTGGGGGGGGGAGGGGGGGCGGGGGATATCGAGGGAATGGCCCTGGATCTTCAAACGAGTCGAGTCAAGGCAAGGCAAGGCAGCGAGGCAGCCCCAAGACTAAGATTTGGGTTTTGATTTGTATTTCTGCGCATGAGCATTCACAACAAGCCACGCAGATTGCCGCAAATGTATTCCGGGCTCGTTTTCCACTTCGCCGCCAGAACAAAACAACAAACTTTCTATGCCCAGAGATACAAACGGCGTCGTATGACAGCTTTTTGATATAGACACGACGACGACGACGACGACGACGTGTTCCGCTGGTGAGGGTGGGCTGATGGGAACACAGGTCTTGTCTGGTCAGGCCAGGTCTGGCTGAAGTGCTCTCGAAAGTTTGGGATCATGCAGAGACGGCATTCAGCAGCAAACGAGGACAGGCCGCCCGCCGCCTGGCACCTGGAGTCCTGGAACAAGTTGGATCGCCACTGGGTGCAGTGGCGGCCAGTCGCAGAGCAGCACAGCGTTCGTCAGCCACAAAACGATCTAGAATTCCCGCAGCGGAATGAGAATGAGTTCATCAGCGAGTGTATGGCCGGTTGGAGACCGGAGAAGTCGACCGGGAGTCCGTGACATCAAAAATGTGCTGACGCTTATCGAATTCCTATCGATCAATGACAGCTTCTAAGAATCGAAATTCAGTCATTCCGTGTTGACTGGATCATCCTGTACTGCAGTTCTACATTTTTCACCAGTCTAATTCTTGATTCACAGGTCTCGGAAATGCTACGCGCTCCCCATGTTTGTGTCTCTCCTCTGTCTGACCAAAAGGAAGCATACAGTCAGTATCACAGAGAACCACAGCTCGAGCTCCATCCTTGGTGCTCACAAGAAGCGCCGATGTGAGAGTTCTGCTGCAGGGACTGGTGCATTCACGCCGTGGATAGAATGCACGGATCATGCCTCCGTTATTAACCTTCGAATACCCTCACTGGTCCAGCCACACGAGCACTCTCGCATGGAAGAAGAAGTAAGCCTCATACCTGCTCTTCATATACGTTGCTGATGCGCCTTCAATCTTCATGAACGGCCGTGCCTCGCGTCTAGGACCGAATTATCTGGCCGCACATTCATGCAACTCTATTAATACACCTGACACAGAAACAAGCCTCCCTGCCCCAGCACTTTAAGTATGACTTACACTTGTGCAGATAGATAAATTACCTCTGCGCAAATCTCCGGGAATACCTATCCGTGTTCGCTTGCAGCACGCACCCATTCGTAATAAAATTTGCCATCGAACTGCTCCGAAACTCAACTGAGTAGGTGGAAGCACTGGGCAGGTGGTTGGCGCAGCCATTTCAAATCAAGCTTTCCTCCTCCCCTTGTCTGTCTTCCCTTCTGTGAACGGGCATGCGAAGGATGAACTCTTCCTAATCCAACCCCAACCCCAGCCTTGCCGTCGATCACCAGCCAGCGCCTATCGTCTGCCCGAGTGGGAAAAGCGATCACAAGCACGGCGTCTGCCGTCTCGCGACCTCTGATTCCAAACTCCGACGCCAAACTCGCTCCCCATTCGACACCGGACTTTGTCAACGGCGTCATCACTCCCCACGCATCCAGTTCCTCGGCTTGCCGTACCCGTCCGGCAGCTACTCTATCCTCCTGCTAGCTTGATATTTGTAAGAACAGCTTAATTGGAATAGAAGGACTAGAGCCGCACTGGACGCTCGCGGATCTTTTCTCTTCCGCGCCTTGCATAGATTTCCCGAACGGGATCCTTACCAGCAAAAGATGCCTCCCACGCAGCTCCCTGCATCAGGAAATCCGGTGTGAGCGTCTCAACCCCTCAGTCACGAGATCAATCATATTGATGGATATACAGGGTGTTCTTTGATATCACATTAGGAGGTTGGTGAGCCCCTTGCTGTTATTGCCCCTCCCCCCCTCCTCCCCCGCCTCTCTCGATTTCTTCCGCTGTCCATTTTGGGAGACATCACGTGATATAAACTTCTTTCTGAACTCGATTGCTGATGGAAGAGAACAGGAGAGCCCCTAGGCCGCATAAAATTCGAGCTCTTCGCCGATGTCGTCCCCAAGACCGCAGAGAACTTCCGTCAGTTCTGTACTGGGGAGACGAAGAACCATCTAGGACGGCCGCAGGGTTATAAAGGGAGTAAATTCCACCGGATCGTACGTCGCCTCCCCTTCCCCTTCTCCTCCCCTTCTTCAAAATACAGAAAGGGTGGTTAACGACGTTTCGTCGAAACAGATCAAAGATTTCATGTGCCAAGGCGGCGACTTCCTCAACGGCGACGGCACGGGCAGCACCAGCATCTACGGCACCAAGACCTTCGCAGACGAGAACTTCACCCTCAAGCACGACATCCCGGGCCTGCTATCCATGGCCAACGCGGGTCCGAACGGCAACGGGTCGCAGTTCTTCATCACTACCGTGCCTACCCCTTTCCTCGATGGAAAACATGTGGTTTTTGGCAAGGTAGTAGACGGCATGGATGTCGTCAAGAAGATGGAGAATACGAAGACCGGGTATAGGGGCAAAGATACGCCGAATTTGGATGTCGTTATTAGCATGTGTGGGGAGATGTGAATCTGCTCCTCTCTTACCTCCTCCTTCCGCCTGCTTTGGTTTAGATTGTGCGCTGCGCCCAAACAAGGCAAAGAGGGCAAGAGGGGTTGAGAACGGGTGAGCTACGAAGTGGAAAGTTACGAGAGAAAAACCAAGGTGTTCATACACGAGGCATGGCATGGCATGAAAAAAAGCAAAATTGGAGACGTTCCCGAGCGATCAAACGGGTGAAACGAACGTAAGATTACTACCACCACGGATCAGCACCAGGTATGAACTTCGCAAGCTTGACCAAAGCAAATTACTGTAGAGAATACAACCATTTTCATACCGGTAGAAAGGATCTTGTCTCTCCATTGAATCATTGCTGTGTGAGGCGTGTGGTGAGGACTGGGATGGAGTTGTGAGTGAATGAGTGAGTTACGATTCACACCAAGTTTCTGTTCAGCACTTCGGTGATTGTTCTTGTCTGTATTTGCTCTTTGCACGCAGGGAGTCAGGGACAAGGAACAAGGAACCTTGACTCTGAAAGCGCCTCGAAGTATCCACGTGAAAAGAAGTCACATGTTCCACCCTCAAACGACCTCGAATCACAGGAAGGAAAATGATTAACATCCTACCGTCTGAATTCCCAAACTAGCTCCGCAGGTTCATCGCATGAAATAACGCCAAGGACACAAGTCCATCCATCACTTAAATTCTTCGAGGGCTCATCCTCACATCATTCACTGTCCCTTAACATTTTTTCGTCCAATTTTGAAAAAGGTTGTTCACAAGTCACTTATCATTCACTGCACACTTTTTTGGGGGCGGGGGGAGGGGTTACCATCTAGTATATTTTTCATATTTTCGCATTCCGTATTTCCACACCCTAAGGTAATGCCTACTCCATCAAGGAGACTAAATGGCTGGGTACCAAGGCATCAAAGGCTATGTACAAGAATCCCATCGATGCAACCCATCATCCTAAACGCCTGTTAAATGCACCTTTCCCATGCCAATGTCTATGTGAATGAAAACGCCGACGTTATGCTGCCATCAAATCAACCTATATACCGCTCCATCCTTTCCCTTGCCATTTTCCCTATTCGTGATCTAGAGTTTAGACTATGACAGATCGACCGCGCACAGCGACAGCTCTCTTCGGGGGCGCGAGGAACGGGGTGACGACAGGCTTGCCGGTCAAGATAGACACGGATGAGGGTTTGGAGGGCGGGGCGGCAGGCGCGTTCTGGATTGAGGCGGTGACGATGGGGCCCATTTGGGTGACGGTGACGGTTGTGAGGGATTGCTCTGTGACGGTCACGGTGACTAGCTTGGCTCCACCTTGGTTTGCGTTCGCAGAGTTTGATGCTGCTGCTGGTGCTGGAGGTGCTGCTGGAGACGCTGCTGCTGGTGTTGGTGCTGCAGGTTGGGCTGGAGCGTTTACACCTGCTGGGACCGGAGCTGGGTTGGGGTTGTCGGGAGCAACTTGAGGAAGTGCTGTTGGGTCCACGCTAAATTGAGTGGTCATGTAGGCTGGGATAGCAGCGGCATTGGCACCCAAGCCAGTGACCTGATTTGTGTCGAATGGACCAGCAGCAGGCACAGGATTTGAGGTCATAGAAATATCTATGCAGGAGGTGTAGCTCTCGTTGGTCTGGATTGCACCATTGCTGTACAGAAACGGCCATTCCCAAACCCAATATACCGTGTATAGTCCTGTGGTAGGGGCATCAGCGGGGATTTGGAAGTCGGCTTGGCAAGAAATCTCTGTCGTTGGCGGAAGGGGAAGGCCGAGTGCTTGAGCACGTTGTTCGGCGACAGGAGAAGTATTGGCTTGGAAGCATTTTCCGTCATCGAAGGGGCGTGTAGCGAGCAACTTTCCCCGTCCATTGCCTCCAGTGCCCGCGGTATTCCATTGCCTGTGGACATTGAGATAGGTATCATCAGTGGAAGGCTTCGTCGTGCCGTAGATGAACACAGTCCCCCTTCCCAAGGGCTTTCCCTTTTGTGTTGTGAACAAGGTAGTGTGCCCATTTTCCAAGTAGCGCAGGGCGACTTGATCTTTGGGTGCAGCAACCAGCGCCGGATATTTTGTAGATTCACTTCCCAAGGTTTGTTTGCTTTGGCACATAGGGCCGCTGAGATCGCCCCCAAACTTGTTTTCATTAGAAAAGTCGCTGAATCCAGGATCGCTTCTCCCAACGAACGCTCGTGGGTATCCGATGGGACTAACGAAGCTGCCATTTGATGCGACCAGTCGAACTTCTTCCACCCAGCTATGGGCATTGATTGTCGAAGAGAATGCCAGCAGCCAGATGGCTGCGAGGCCTCCGCGCGGAGAGAAAGTGGACTTCATGTTGTTTTTTGTGCAGGTTCGGAGGGTGCAACGATCAGTATTGGCTCGCTGGCGAGGTCAAGTTGTTCGAGTCGACGAATTGATTCTAGGTTGTGAGATCTTTGCTGAAAAGATGCGAAGTAGGTTGTAGTGTAAGATTGAGGTTCGTGAAAATGAAGGAATAGAAAAGAAGATCGACTTCCGTGTTATTAAATAAGTACGCGACGTCCAGCGTGTACAATAAAGAAGTAAGTATGAACAATAAATTTCATTGAGGACAATGGGCATTGTCACTGTTCACAATGTGTATAGTCCATGATTCAATAGGAAGACGCAAAGCTGATGAGCATATCAAAGACTGACAATGAAGACAATATTTAGGCGGTGAATGGGGTTATTAAGGTTGCGGAACAGCAAGGATGAAAGAGCGAAAGATCATGAAGGGTAGAGAAGCAAACGTTCTCGGTCTATGAGACATTGAAACAAAGAAGCGCAGACTCAGACCCCGAGAGTGGCTCCCCAGGCTTCTGGTGGTTGTCGACTCATCACTGATGATTGCGATAAAGACGAATGCCGTCCTATCGATCAAGGGGTAGCGAGATTTCGGAGTTTCGCCTTTTCGTGGGGTCGCCTAGGGTCGCCAAGGGCCGCACTACCAAAATCTGACAGCCTGGATCTACTTCAAACCGGAGCCAGTCAAAGCCTGCAGGTTCCAGAAAGATGAGATGCAGATGCCCGCTCCAGCGATAATCCGGGTTCCAGTCAAAGCTTCCACGATCTAACGGTTGGTCGAGAACCTGATCTATGGCGCGTAGGCTTGACGCCGCTGAACAATAGGCGCGACAGCCACACCTCAGAATAGAGTAGGGCACAGCAAAGCGGTTACACTACAGACTCTCGCGACCGACAGACATAGCAGTCTTCGCATTGAACGAAGATAGATGTTCCAGCGCCAAAGGGGACAAGGACCGACCGAGGAGAGGCATCTAGATGCGACGGGGCGCAATCCCGAACGTGGAGAACCGCACAGGAGGCATTACTGCCATCATAAGGGCTGGCTATTCGCGAAGTGTGGAGGAATCGTCGCAGAATTTTGTGGTATCTCTGGGGTTCTACGCCTAAAACAGGAAGCCGGAGGGGTTAGATGAAGGAAGGGTAGCATGCAGAGGTTCCGTGATGGCATCATGTGTGCCCAACAGGGCTAGGAGTGGCCTAGGAGATGGTTGTCGCACATGGCACATCGCGTGTTTCGAAGATCGAGAGAATAATGCAAATGCCAAGCATACACCCAGAAGACCCACGCGACAGATCCTCTCTTTGGGTGGTCTGGCCGAGATGCGGTCCGTAGGCGGTCCACAGTCCAGTCCGATCTCGGTCGCTCTGAACGCGCGTGCTTTGTTTCGATTTGAACATTCCGTTCTGGGAATGATGAGGCTGGTTTGGTTGAAGATCATGAAAGATGGGAGGAACTCCAGACGCGTTTTCGGAAAGTTTCCGGTAGCCGAGCCAATCGAGTTCGAGCTCGCCGTCCTTAGCACCTCGAGTCTTAAAACTCCTTCATACATCGAGAACACCAAATTGTCCTTGACAACTAACAAAGCAGACAACATTCCTTCGACTCCTAACCCAACAACTGTAAGGCCGCAGGCGACCTCATTGGGATAGAGTTATTTGATTCTGAGTTGGACTGACCCCGAGAAGCCTGGCTTCCATTCACCTGGACCCCCGCTTCTGCTGCCGAGGCCACGACACCCACGGCCAGGATCGCGAATCAGGTTCCTTACAGGTTCCCGTGATACCTTCTGTGAGTAGTGACCATGTTCTTTGTCCTCCGAAGGCCAGTCGCCTTGTTCTAATCTTACATCCTGCAACGGCTGGTCCGTTTGGTGATAAGGCCCTCATTGCCGTGGTAGAAGCGTCCTTTGTTTGTCTTGATAAGCACTGATTAGCTTCTTTTGTGGTTTGATGTTTCGGTATCAGCGCAGGAAGGTGTAGTGTGGTCAGGTTATGAAAGTTTGCTGATGATTGAGTCCAGGATCAACTCGGCGTTTCAGACTGCGTTGAGTTGCAGTCAGACCATATGGCCTCAATCGATGAACGTGACTCTTCTCCAAGCACAAGCTTCATCAGTCGCCGTGTGAATAAGTCAACCTTCCTCGTCATCGAAGATGATGGCTATGGGGAGCAACCGTACATCTACATCAAAATATATGAGCAGTACCTCCTCTTGACCGATACAGGATGTAATAGTCCTCGATCAAAAATACCTTCCCTTACATCTCTACGTCAATACCTGGAAACTTCTCCTGTCTCCGAGAACAAAGATCGATGTCTCAACCCTCATGGCAGAAAGAAATACGTTATTATTTGTAGCCATTGCCACTATGACCATATCCTTGGCATCCCCAACTTTCTTTCAGCAGATCCAATAATTATTGCTTCGGACTTCGATAGGTCGTTCGTTCTGAAAGATCTAGACAAGCATTCGCTCTGCAAATATGTCGAGGTCTCCACACCGAAATATGAAGTAGCTCATTGGGCACGCCACAGTAAGGGCAACGGCGTTCCTTAAGTCCTTTGTTCTCGATTTCTGAAATACTCCCTCCTCATCTCATTCACTCCCAAAACATCCCAAAAGAGTTTTGCTTTACTTATTTTGCTCAATCCTATTCTTGAGACACTGTGGAAAAGGAGAATGCTGACTGCCCCGATATCCAGTGGATTTCTTCTGCCTCTCTGGCATCCCTTTTCGGATTCAGTTCTTGCACGTGCCGGGCCATACCCCAGATTCCTTGGCATGGTACGACCTTGACGAACATCATCTGTATGTGGGTGACACCTTCTATGAACGGAAACGCAGCAAGCGAATCCCTGAGCTCCCAGACGATGCAGGTCAAGTACCAGGGCTTCCAGCGACTCAAGCTGCCATCATTTTCCCGGAGGAAGGAGGTAACTGGATTCAATACATGTCTTCCCTCGACATGCTCCTCTCGTTTGTTATGCATCAAAATATGGAACTCAGACGCCAGCATGGCCTCCGCCACGAATCCCCTCCAAGAGTCGAAATCGGCTGCGGACATCTCACATACGAAGGAGACGCAGAGAATATGATCATTGAGGTGCGGGCGCTCTTTGAAAGAATCATTGCCGGCAAAGTGCCAGTGAGTGGCAGTGGTGAGAAGCGAGGAGTCATTCACGATTTCTGGTTGGAGAGTGACGAATCGATTTACTCTGTGATGGCTCCACGACACCTAGCAGAAGAGGCAAGGGACCATTTCTATCCAAATATGACCAACGAGCCTCCAAAACGTTGATTTCGTATTTCTATCGGCATAATACAGCACCAGCAATTTCGACTAAATGTAATCTTACATGGCCTGAAATTTGGGCTCGGATCCGACTCGGATCCGCAATTTCCAATCTCGAGGCCCTAGGTCTCAATCCCATCCCATTTCCTCCTAGATCATCAATGACCTCACCATACTTGACATGGCTGTCCCGAACTGCCCTCATCAAGTGATGGGCTAGAATATTCGGACTCTGCTCCTGAATCAGATCGGCGTTGAATTCTTTCGCTATCTCGAGTGGATTGAGAGGTGTCCGGCGAACCATCTCCCAAAACCCATGAGGCGTGGGTATCACGACCAAAAACCCTGTCATCATGACTGCCAGCGCCGCAGCTAGATAAGAGTAGTTTGATTTGAATACTGTAATGTTGGACGTCTGCTGCATTTGCAGCATTTGAGGTACTGGCATACCTGTGTATCTCTAGTGGAGATGTTGACGGACCATGTTTCATAGAAGCTTGTCGTATCCTCATAACTGAGATTCATGAATGCGAATTTGGATACATCCGAGGCCGCTAATGCTGCTTGAAACATGATCTCATTCAACGCGTTGAGGATGTCATCAGTTGGGTCTCTCCAGTTCATTGCGCAAGCATCTTGGGTGGCGAAGTACCCAACATTCCCAGTTCCACAATCATCGATATATTGACTGGCTAATGAACCGTTCAGCTGAATGAGGTCGAGAAATTGTGTAGCTTGGGAGTTGAACAAGTTTTATGCAGCGAATGCAACTCCACCAAGAGTGCTAAATGTGTTTGTATCAGGATCATGCCCCCCTCAAAATAGTCCAACGGAAGTCCAACGGGCTGTATATGATCAACTGATGTGGCTGATGATGCTATTATAGTGACTGTGCCATTTTCCAAGGTAATGGGGTACAAGAGAGTCGCGGAGTACATTGTGCACTGCTTTGTGACTTGTGGACCGTTGCAAGTTGGATCCGTCCATTGAAACTGTACATTTGTCTCCGTGATATCTCTAGCTGAATTCAATCCCGTACCAAAACCCGAAACCCCGAAAATCATAACCCGTACTCAGCCGTGACGTTGACAATATTCCCTTGGCGTGTTTCCTCTTTCCCCTCTATTCTGACTTATCTGAGCCATCCGGAGAATGCTTCCTCTTCCTGTCTTCAATGTCCAATTGCTCTCCCCGCTGACGTTCGATGTCCTTCAAGAAGCTGTAGACTACCGCCGCAATCTCTTCCTTTGTCTTGTCCTTGCCGTAGATATTCCTAACTTCCCCCACTTTCCCATCAATAATGGGGTTACCAGGAAAGATTGCATATCCATTCCAGAAGGAAGTATTGTCCGCCTTTTCCAACTCGTAACAGGGTGGCCCAAAGCCAAGCTTGCCACAGAGGGGTGGAATCATGGTCGCGTACTTGAACGTTCCCTCGGCGGCGGGACCGGAGCCTAATGGAGACGTGGACTTTCGCTTCTTTGACTGAGGCAGCTGCATCGGTGGAGGCGGCTTCGAAAATCGGGCGGAACCATCGGAGGGCATATGACTATTTGCTATCAACCAATCAATGGCTTTCTTAGCGGCATATTGTTTGGCGTCCTGCTTGTTGCTAAAAGATAGGTCTGCTCCTCCGAATGTCTGTGTTGACTCTTCAATCTCGATGGTATAAGCGAATCGAATAATTCCTGAGTTCAGATTTTCCTCCTTGTAATCAAGCCCAGGACGTGCTCCAGTTGGTGCAACTCTGGATGGCGCTGTGACTGGATGCGCATTACGGTATTCTGGATATCGTTAGCCAACTCAAAAGATGTTTGGAGGTATTAACAAACCGAGCAGTTTTCCAACCCAGTTGTTATTGCCTATCTCCTCTCTCGCTGCCTTTTCAGCCTCAAGAGCTTTGACGTCAATAGTTCTCTTACCAGTAGAGGCCATACCATTACTTCCGGTCAACCAGTCGAGAGCCTTCTTGGCTGCCCATTGTTTCGCGTCCTTCTTATTGCTGAAGGACAGGTCTGCACCCCCAAATTGCTGAGGAGACTCTGCAAGTTCAACGGCAAAAGCGAAGCGGATGATACTTGAATTGATAGGGACCTCCTTGTACTCGATACCCTGGTTCCTGGGTGGTGCTCCGGAGATCAACCTCGCTTGACGTGCTTGGCGATATTCTGGATATTGTAAGTCAACAAAGAAGGCTTGAAGAATTGGATGGGAACAAACCAAGAAGTTTTCCAATCCAGTTTTCGTTTCCCATCTCTTCTCGCGCTTTTCGTTCGGCCTCAAGAGCACCGGCATCAATGGTTCTCTTGGGTTTCTTGGGGAGATGCTGCGGAATCGGCTTTGTAGTCGCGGTCATTCCTTTCGCAGCATCAAGGACATCCATTTCGGCTTCAAAGTCCTCTATAGATTGCAGCTCCATCCGTTTTTGAAGCGGCGGTGGAGCTGCCAGTACTGCATCCTTGTGGTCCATGTTGCTCTGTTGTCTCGACAAGGTTTCCAGAAGAAATTGCTGATGGATGAGACTGTGAGAGAGTCAAGACACCGCCCAAAAGTGATGAAATCCGGTTGCTGATGACAAAAGAGTGGAAGGTGAAGTTGTGCGGTTGCTTGCAGGGGGGAAGTGTCACGTGAACAGTGCCACTCTCGGCCCGGAACGGACCGAGCCCCTGCCTCGTATTTCGAATCTTCCTCGCCTTCATCATTTGCTCCTTCTTCCTCTTGTACTAAATCACCTGCAATCTAGCCCGACTGCAATCTTTGAGGGCTGGAGAAACTTCTCTACGTCCTCTTTTGCAGAGTAGCGAGACCCGTAAAATAACAGCGGGTGTGGATGGCAGGCTGCCACGTAGCACGTCTCCCATTCGACTTCCTACCTTCCCGTGACTACGTCTCAACCTCGTGGCTACAAAAGTGACAAGATCGACTCGAAAGTGTCTCGCTCTTTGGGAAACATATCATGATGAAGCATGTTGTCAATTTTTCATCGACAGCACCATCCGTGGAACTCTATCACCCATTCTTATGCTCATGATCTTTGGTCTGAAACTCATGGTTCAGCCAGATCCGATGTATCGGCACTCTAGCGACGAGAACTCCTGAAAGCCATGTTATCGTATATAATGTTGTTTCCTATGTTTCGTTCTTGTTAGAATTTTTGCGCTGCTTTGAGCTGCTGAATGATCTTCCGGACACCAACTAGCTCGTTCTCTAAAGGCAGATCGTTTTTGATAATGTTTTGCTTCCCTTTCCCGATTGTCTTACGATGAGCCGCAGGGACAAATGTCACCTCGCTCTAGACATTCATTTGCATTGAGACGTTACAGACAGCCTTGAAACCACAGCCTCTATTTCGTTGTGTTCCTCTCCCAGGGGTGGGGGGCTTCACTCGAGCCCCGGATCGATCGCTGACTCGATGAGCTTCGCCAGTCTCTAGGAACGGCCTATGTTTCTGACTTTCTGAAGTGTGTCGTTCCCTGTCATACACTTCTTACGGCTGTTTTCAGATTACCTCACCCTTCCAAAGACAGTCAGTTGATAAGAGATATCGCCTGCTGAGTTCAAAATGTGAACTTCATCGACAGGGAAGCGCATATTGTTTTCAAGAGGAGCAGAGTAGACTTCTTCTAGAAAGCTGTTGAACATTTCGAAGGAGCACTATCACAAGTCTCGGCTGTGCCTGGTTCTTTCTCCATCCGTCTAAGCCCCGCGATTGGCGTACATACCCCGCACACCCTGTGTACCACTAGCCGTTCATCAATCAACGGAAGTAAGCCGCAGCTGGATGAACGCCTCCGAGATTTTGTTGAAGTTTCGCTCAAAGTATCAATTGTTCCGAGCCGTGAATTGAACCCGACAAATCGGCAGCGAATCAGAGCTTCGGTTCAATCAATCCGACACTCCAATCAATCCGAAATGGTAATATACAAATCACGATTCTCTCGGAATTATGCCTTTTGCAGCAATCCCTTCGGAAAGATACTCGCGGCTAGGGTTAGACCTAAGTATATCACCTAGCGCCACCATGCCTCCATACCCCAGATTTGGTCGGCATCATTTGTGTAACATTGAACCCATCCCCCCACACTCAAAATAAAAAATGGGGAGTGAAGTCGCAGAACTCAAGAAGCTCGTGGAGTCTTTGAGTAAAGAGGTTACTCGTTTAGCTGGTAAGTTCCTCTGGCTCTTCAATTGGATCTCCACAATGCTGATATATTATTTTCAGACGAAGGAGAGATTAAGAAATTGCATTTCAAGTATGGATACTATTTAGACAAGTGCCTCTACCAGGAGGTAAGAATCCTAAATGCTCCATAAACTTCGTCTTGCTGATTGGAATCCAGGTTGTCGATCTTTTTGCGGACAATCCGGATACCTTCGTTGAGTTCATTGGAGGCCGTTACAGGGGCAGAGAGGGAGTTCAGAGACTTTATATCGGAAGGTTCGCAGGCAACTTTGTAAAAGGACGTAACGGCCCTGTCCACGGCTTCCTCCTCGACCACGCCCAAATGCAAGACATCGTCGACATCACGCCCGATGGAAACCATGCTAAGGGACGCTTCCGTGCACTCATGAGCGCTGGAACCCACAAGAGCATCCAAGATACCCACCCCCGAGGCTTTGTTCAATGGTGGGAGGGCGGTGTCTACGAAAATGAGTACATCAAAGAGAACGGTGTCTGGAAGATCTGGAAGTTGAAGTATTTTCCATTTTGGCATGCGGATTTCGCTAGAGGATGGAGCAACAAGGAGATCGGAGAGTTTATTCCGCTTGATACGAAGGCGTATCCTGAGAGTCCACTGGGTCCAGATGAGATCGTAGAGCAGTTGATGCTGTGGCCTGATACGAGGGTTATTCCATTCCATTACCCACACCCGGTTACTGGCAAAATGGTTAAGGAAGATGATTTGAGAGCGCCAGAGTACGGGAAGGACGTGTCGACCGCTTTGCCGGCTCTGACACTTGCGGAGACTGTGAAGAAATTGTGAGAAACTTCGAGCTGAAACGTTGTTGAAGATACCATATCATGCAACTGAGCTTTTTGAAATCTTATCACCTGATTTAGAAGACCTTGCCGTTTGAATTTACCAATCGTAACCTGCTTCTGGCATATAGAAAACTCGGCCTCAAGTGACGGTGCTGTGGAGGAAGCTTCATCTGCAGACCAGAAGTGTAGCAAGTCCTCGAAAGAAATGAAGCAGTCAATGTTCTATCGACACTTTTCTGTTATGACTAATAATAATGCGAATGAAGCTCTATTTGACATTTCTGCGTTTTCAAGAACCTTATTCTTCCAAAGGCAGCTTATATAACCTAATCGCGTTCGTTCTTGCAACCATCCCCTTCTGATCCGCTGGAAGATCCACAGTCTTCCACCAATCCTGTCCTTCCTTCACATTTTCATACGGTGTATCTACATCGGCCAGTCAGCAAAACGCAAAACTAAGTTCCACTGAGACTTGCCAATCGCGAATAAACACCTCTCAACCCCAAGTTCCTGAATGCAAAATTTCAACCCAGGCGTCGAGAAATTCCCAGAGGTGGTGATATGCACGTTGTGCGTGAAATAGTACTTATAGTCCTCTTTCGATGGCCTCGATCCCTTCTTATTGGGATGATTATACCAATGACAAGCCCTCCAAAGATTGAACGGAATACTATATCACATTAGCTTCTTTCTCTTTCTCTCTCTCTCTTTCTCATATCATCGAAAACTCACTTCTCCCCCAAATGCCCTGCTACAATCTGCACCCTAGGAAACCTATCAAACACCCCACTCGAACAAACAGCGTACAAATGAAATGACAAATCTAGATGAAACTGCACCCCCGCGCCGAGCAAGTGCTTCCGATCCCCATACTTCGTGCCCGGCTCCAAATCCTGTTGGATCGCATATTTGGGATGGAAGTAAATGGGCACATCGAGCTCCTGCACCATCGCCCAGAAGGGGTCATATTTGTCAGTATCGAAATAATCCTTTCCGCCTCCGTCTTCGCCCGTGCTTTGGTAGTCGTTCACTAGGCCGCCGAACATGCCTAATTCTTTCACACATCTCCTTAACTCTTGCGCTGCTTGCGAAGGGTCATGCATCGAAAGTGCAGCTAGTGCTCCGAACCGCTTTGTATTTTTCTTCACTTCTTTAGCGAGGTAGTCGTTAGCTACCGTTGCCATCTTCTCTGCCTTCTCTGGATTCGGCTCGCCTTGGACTCCAGGCGAGGTTAAGGAGAGGAGCATGTATTCTACTCTGTGTTCATCCATGGCTTTTAAGCGGAGGTCGTGGATGTCTAAGAGGCGCTTCTCGTGCGCGGTGAGCGTTACGGTCTCGGTGGAGGTGCCGGCTGAGAGTGCTGGGGCGAGGAGGTTGTGCCATTGTGAAAGGCTGGCTACGCCGGTGGGGTCGATAATTGCTTCTTCGATTGCTATGGTGCCTCTCATTTTGAGTTCCCGGTTCAATTCTACTGATTTCTGGAGTTGGTGTTTGTAGAGTGGATATTATTCTTTGACTTGCAAGTCTGTTCACAGAGGTTTGGCTCAGAACTAAGAATCGGGTTTGAGGTATCTCGAAAATGGTCTAGAAGCTCGAAAGTGTAAGGAAGCTCAGGCTCAAGCTCAAGCTCATAAAAGGTACGAAGTATGTTGTGGCCGTGGCAACTGCAGGGATACTCCACTCCGTCCCCGGTAGTTGAGGGGAGCTATTGGTTACATAGCAGCCACAAGAATGAGGACAAGCTATCCGGGGGCAATTTCTCGACTGGATGTACCCGAATGACACTTTTCTCTCCCTCCAACACTTTCATTCACTTCTCACTGCCGAAGTCATGTTCCAACGGGGTTCATCGGGAGAATGGAACCGAGAGTATATGGCCCATCACATGACCTGGGATCCATTTTTATAGTGGCTGCATGAAGTGAGCACTTTACCCCATTTCTCCAGCCGTGCTTGGTAATATCAGCCGAAGCCATTGGGGGCATTCCAAAATGTTCAGTCCGATTTCCTCCCCACTGAAGAGCTTTATACCTCGTTCCTTCTGGACAGCTTCAACGCACACTAGCTCAACATGACTGGTACGAACGGCCACCAAGCTTCGGATCCCCTCAAGGAGATTGAGACTAGGCTTTTTATCAATGGAGAGGTTGGTAAATCCTCTTATCTCCTTCGAAGATTTGCTGAAATTTGAGCTTTATATAGTATGTCGAGTCTTCAAATGGCAAGGCCTTCGGTTTACTATCACCGAAGACTCATGCGGTAGTCGCAAAAGGTACGATTTCCCCCAATTTCTAAGAGAGGAATTTGGTTTAACAGAGGCCTGGAATAGTTTTCGAAGCCTCAGAAGAAGACGTAGACCGTGCAGTCGCCTCTGCAAAAGCAGCCCAGCCAGCCTGGGCGGCTCTAACCGTCGAGGAGCGCTCCTCGTGCTTTAAGAAACTGGCAGCACTGGTTCGAGAGCACAACGATGAACTGGCGAGACTTGAAGCTTTGTCTATGGGGAAACCGGTCTCGACTTTTATTGATGGACCTGCATTCTCGTGGCTGTTTGATTATTATTCGGAGAGTGGATATGATGTTCAGGGCACGAGCAGTCTGAATATGCCGGGCTTTGTGAACTTGACTTTTAGGCAACCGTATGGTGTTGTTGGTGTTATTATCCCTTGGAACGTTCCGTTACTTTTCTTTGCGAAGAAGGCGGCTCCTGCTCTCGCGGTTGGTAATACTGTGGTATTGAAGAGCAGTGAAAAGGCTCCTCTGGCTGCAAGTATAACTAACCCCACGAGAGTATATTTATTGACTTTCAAACAGTCTGCTAGAATTGGCCATTTCATCAAGGAAGCAGGATTTCCGCCAGGAGTTATCAACATAGTGACTGGATTCGGCAATGTCTCCGGCTCAGTTCTCAGCCACCACATGGACGTGCGAGCACTGTCGTTCACAGGATCAACTCGAACGGGAAGACTCATCCAACAGGCATCATCAAAGTCGAACTTGAAACCAGTCTTTCTAGAGCTAGGCGGGAAATCCCCAGCAATCGTATTCGAAGACGCTGATCTCGAAGCAGCGGCTCAGGCAACCCAATACTCAGTGCAAACCAACAGCGGGCAGACCTGTATGGCGACCTCTCGCGTATATGTCCAGGATACGATAGCAGAAAAATTCATCGCATTGTTCAAGGAAAAGTTCGGGCCCGTCAAAGTCGGCGACCCGACGCTCAAGGAAACGAATCATGGTCCGCAGGCAGATAAAGTGCAGTACGAAAACGTGCTCAAGTATCTCGAAATCGGCAAGAAGGATGGGAAGTTGATTATGGGAGGCAACCCGGATTCTCGTGAGAATGGATATTTTGTCGCACCGACAATCTTCACAGACACGCCAGAAGATTCGGTGATTATGAGAGAGGAGGTGTTCGGGCCCGTCGTCAACATCAATATCTTCAAAACCGAGGAGGAAGTCATGGCCAAGGCGAACAACACCGAGTACGGACTGTATGCCGCAGTGTTCACCAAGAATATCGACCGAGCGATGAGGTTTGCGAAGGGACTGGAGGCAGGAACCGTGGGCGTCAACTGTACGAGCCCCACGACAGGAAAGGACACGCCGTTTGGAGGGTATAAAGGGTCTGGACTGGGGAGGGAAGGCTTACACCACAGCTTGGATCATTTCTTAGAGACCAAGTCGGTGATCATCAAGATTGATTCGTAAGCAAGATGCCCGGATCCGGCAGGCTGCGAGATAGATTGTGCAGGGCACGTCCTCGGCGGGGATTCAGGCTGACGGGGAGCGGTGCTTATCACGGCATCCATATCCATATCAAACTCACAAACACCTTCACTTTTCGCAACTCCCAAAGTTTCCTTTGTACTTGAAGCTGGCTTCGGGGTATATTTTCATCCGAATCTCACACTCACTGCTGTGAGAACTCCCGAGCTGCAACCCCGCGCAAGAGTCTCAATCCGTCCTAGACTCCACCCCCCGCCTCCCCCGCCTCCCCCCTGTGGGATTCTCAGCAGGGGTCTTCTGTGTGCGACAGGGGTATCCTTCCCCGCACGCATTGGGGCTATTCCGCATACAACACATCCAACGCCAGCACCGGCGCCTGCGCCTGCGCCTGTGCCCGCTGTCCCCTTCTGCTCCACTTCCTCCCCGAAATATTTTCCCCCACCGCCACCACTTTCCCGTTGGTCTGGATTTGGCTCCAGCAGACAACGCGTCTCACGACCCACGACCCACGAGAGAGCTGAAGAATGGCACATGTCTGCCTGGCATTTTGCTCCTACTCATCTTCAGCTTGACAAGACGTCTCTCTCCATCAAGCATGAACAACAGCAATGACAGAAAACCGAGTGACAGATAGCAGAAAGGCAAGCCTTTCCAGTGCCAATGGCACCCAGATGAAAGTCAAGAAAGTTCGCACGCCCAAGAGCTGCGATCGTTGTAAGAGCAGGAAGACCAAAGTCCGTTCTGCCTCCCTTAACCCCATTCTCGAAAATAGGGCTGACCCTATTTAACAGTGCATTGATCCAAGTGTGTCCCCCCATATCTGCCAATAGAATGGAAAAGTTTGAATTTGATAACGGCTTTGTCTCGAGGTACAAAATCCTCAGTGCTGTAGCTAAGTGTTTCGCAGTCCCTGGACCTTGCAGATACTGTGCACACATCGGTGCCGAGTGTGGAGTGGCCACTCGACCAAAACAAAGACCATATTATCACGTTTCCGAGGAGGAGTATCGGTGCTCTATGCAGATTCTCCGCCACTTCGTACAAAAGGAAGAACTTAATCTTGAAACTTTGAGGTCAATAGCCAAAGACCTCCAAATTGATACAACAAATACTCAACAACAGACACAACGGCGTGATTCGAAGACGACAGATGACTCGCCAGGATCGGAGGACGCCGTTCAGAATGACTCGGAAGCGGATACTGAAGAGATTGCAGACTTACATGAGCAGCTGGGGTGTTTGATGCAGGACTCACTTGGAGAATACCGTTCGTGGCATTTTGAAGTACGAATAGACACTGGCTGACACCTGTGCAGGCTACGTTGGAGCGTACTCCGAGATTGCCTTCAATTCAGCAGTATGTACAATGAAAGACGCACCGAGCCCCGAAGTAGAAGATTCGAAGATCATCCCTCCACCCAAAGAGAACTTTCCTCCTCAGAAACCCGAGAGACCTAAGCTCCTCTACGAAGCCGCCTCACCAACACATCCCTACCTCCCTCCTCGCGAATATTGCGATTATTACGTTGCTCGATTCTTTGAAGAAGTTCATTGCATATATTGGCTGTATCCGATTGAACAGTTCCATGCGAGGTTGGATGATACATATGTCACGGGCGGTGGGATGGCCACAAGTTCATGGCTTTGCTCTCTCTATGCTATATTCGCACTTGGAGCAGCTTCAAATGAAAACTCGCAGAACTCTCCCTTAAACGACTTCATTTCTCCAGAGACACGGCTGGTTTCGGACGCAAAAACCTCTGAGGGGTATTTGGCTCTGGCGAAAGCGCTGGTTCCGGCTGTTCATGATGAGGCAGACATCGATAGCATCCGGGCCCTTGCAATTCTAGTGAGTTTCTCTGTCGACTTAAACAATGAAGACTTATTATTTACCAAATGATAGAGTGTGGCTCTGCTCACTTTCAGATTCCGGATCACCTCGTATCTCTACATGGGAACTGCAATGCAGATTGCATTTTCACTTGGCTTCCAACATGACAAATCACCCACAAATCAGAGCCCAGTGACGAAACAAATAAATCGAAGAATCTGGTGGACGCTTTATATTATGGACCAGGAGATTGCTTCGCGGTGCGGAAGTCCCTGTGTCAGCGATGAAAGGAGTCTCCGGATTCAAACTCCCTTGCCATCTGAGCAGGTACTAAATCCCGGGACGAATACCCCACTTGGCTGCCTCTCAGTCTCAACATCCCTTAATCGTCTGAAACGAGAGATCATCCAAACAATATACCCAGAACGATCTTCAGATTCAAGGACAATATCCTTTTCCAAAGTCACAAGCTATGTCTCTTCACTTCAGCGATGGCAAGCAGAAATGCCATCTCATCTCAAGTGGGGAGTCCCGGTTGCTCCAACGCACAGGCGGTCAATTGGTATTCTTCACTTGAATTACTGGAACGCCATGATGCTCCTTTCACAGCCATTCCTGCTGTACCTCGTGATCAAAGGCTCAACTTTGAACCACCCAAAGAGAACCTGGTTCGAGAAGCTCAGCAAGATCTGCCTCGATGCAGCCAGGAACGCTGTGGTCGTAATCAAAACCATGTCAACAGACCAAAGCATCTCTAGCCTGATCACATTCGACTGCGTGTGCACTCTGAAGGTCATCATGATTCTAGCCCTCGGACTTGCAAAATCAGAATCTCAAGATCTTCGTCGAGATATTGGGGCTTGCGTCTCGATGCTTGAGAACATGGAACAAGTCGGATTCTGCAGAAGTGTGGTGCAAGAACTCCCAACTCGACTCGCTCAACTTGGAATTAAGAGCGAGTCGAACGACACAGATGTGAAGGTGGACTTTGCACAGCAAGCCACTCTCTCGAACTTGTGGCCAGAATTTGATCCGTAAGTGGTTCCATGTCCTCTGTGAACCGTGACTGACTCCAGATCAGGAACAATAGTTATCCCGAGCAGACAGCAACGTTTCAAGGATCTGGTAATCTTGGTGATTCCTTCCTGATGGACATGGACTTATACATGAACATGGACATGGAAGTCTCTTCGATGCCAGGGGCGAGCGATGTGCTGCAACCGAATTTGGATTTCTTCGGAGGGTTGTTCCCGAATTTTGAGAACGCATAGGAGGGGCTGATCTGATCGGATAAAGAATGCTGATGAAGCATTTCTTGGGATGCCAGCGAGTTAGCGGGTGTTTTTGCAATCAAGCTTCTCATCAAGACCACCTCCAAAGTACTCAAACACCAAAAGATCCCGGAAACTCGATGAATCAGCCATGACGAAATCTCTCGTGCCAAGAGCCTTTGCCTACGTCTCGTGCTCATATCTGTCTGTGACCCGGGTATACCAGAATGCACAATCGTTTAGGAGTTCAACTATGGAACTCCGATTGGCCGGAAAGAATATGCGAGGTAGATGTGGGGGTTGCAGCATTGAGAGAATGGATATGTATGTGAACCGCGAAGAATGTGCGGGGTTTTGGATGGAGATGAAGTTTGGAGGTGGGTTTTGATGTGAGGAGCAAGGAAAGGAGAGCTCACCATATAGTGTGCGGTAGGTTTGGAGGTGTGGCTCTGTTGAGGAAGAGAGGGTGTTGGTTCAGTTAGCTGGACACAAAATTGAGTGAGTGATGACAAACTTGTTGACATCAAGTTTCGTGGGGAGGACAGGAGAAGAGAGGCTGATATGTGGTGATGAAGAGGAAGAGAAGAGGGGGAGATGGAAGATTGATGGGAAATGGGTGGGAAATTTGCGAGGAAGTTATAAGGCTGTTACCGAGTAAGGAAGTCGCGATTCTTCGTTGTGGTGGGAGGAGCGTGGGCTGGGGATTTGAGAGAAGGAGCGAATGCTTGGCTTCCTGCCTTTGAGGTCCCAACATATTTTGATTACACTCATTGAATCAAGTCTTCCAAATCATGTCGATAGTCAGGAAATTCTAGCGCCGTCGTCCATTAGTTGGTGTGCACTGCTTACTTCATCCCGAGTAGAATGCTCTCAAACAACTTTCATTTTGGGCTCCGATCCCTCTCGCCACTTCCTTCGCCAGGCCGTGAATGCCAATTCATTGAAATTCCTCTTCCAACCGGCTCATCTCAGATCTAGAACCCTGCAAAAAGTAAGCAATCAATTCAATCCCTTCAAAGCGCCAATACTCACACTCTGCCCTCCATCTTGTTATCCTCCATATCCTTGAAAACCTCCGTCAAGTTCTCCAGCTTATCAATCTTATAATGCGTCTTCACAACTCCCCTAGCAGCCAACTCCAAAACCTCAATCGCCTCCCTCTGGTTCCCAATACTGCTCCCCACAATCTTCTTCTGGCTCCCAATAAGATGTTGCGGAAACGCATTCCCAATCTCCTTCCTCTGCCCATCTGGAATCCCAACGCAGACCACCGTTCCCCCAAAGGATAACATCCCTAATGCTTGAGCATACGCTGCATTTACTCCCGCACAAACAATGACAGAAGTAGCTCCTAACCCATCTGTCAACTTCTTGATCTCTTCCGCGAGAGCTTCGGACGTGTATTTCGTAATATCAAGGAAATGCTCCGCCCCACAATCCTTGACAAGAGCTTCCTTAGACCCTGCATCAAGCCCAATAACCCTATACCCCACCCCCCTCGTCGCAATCTGCACCGCAAGATGTCCCAAACCCCCTCCAGCACCAGAAACAACAACCCAATCTCCCGACTTTGCACCACACTTCCTCAACGCAGAATAACTCGTCAACCCCGCACACAGCATGGGCGCTGCATCAGCACTCCCCAGACTCTCCGGAATCGGGGTTACATAATTCGCTGGAGCAAGAGCAAACTGAGCAAAAGTTCCCGGAGTGAAATACCCGGAGACTTTGAACTGCGTGCAATGGCCATCAAAGCCGTTGCGGCAGGGCATGCAGGTGCCACACATTGCAGCTGCCCATTTGATGCCCACTCGATCACCGAGCTTTACGGTGCCTACATCGGAGCCCGGTCCGAGCTTTTGCACGATGCCTACGCCTTCGTGTCCACCGATTTGGCCTTTGGGAACAGGAAAGGGGAGGGCTACCCAACCGCAGGTCATAACGCTTAGGTCGCTGCGGCAGACACCGGAATGCTGGGAGAGGCGTCAAAATCTCTTTGGAACTTGAGAGAAGGTTCTTTAAGCTTACAGTCAGACGGACAAGCACTTGGCCAGGTCCTGGCTCTGGGACTGGGAGCTCTTCAACTTTGGTGCTGATGTGACCCGGGTTGTCTTGAGAGGCGTTAGCTGTTTGACATAGAATTCATGTTTGGAATAGGTATTACTTGCCATATACTGCAGCTTTGAAGGTCTTTGGAATCTCGTATCTCACAGGATCTGAAGCCATGTTGCTGACGGGGGTTTTCCGAAGAGGGCAACGGCGATAGGACCTTGACCACAAGAGATAGACGTCTTTCAATTGAGTGAGAAATTTGTGTTTATGGTCCAGAATCAATCCCGAGTAGTTTCCTGATATATTGTCTGGTGTGGAGTGGAGGTTGGATAGAAAGTGATGAGGGTGCAACTCTCCCCGCCCCCTAAATAGATGTAATAGTGGGTCCCCGCAAAACCAGCCTGGCACGGTCCAGTTGCCATACCAAAAAACACCTGTACTTTGACCCATTGTTACATTTAATTAGGGGGGGAGAGAATTAGACAAGGATCTCGAAGTGCGGGGTTCCGGGTACAAATTAATTTACTCGGGAAACGGCAGATCAATGGTCCGAGGTTATTAATAACATACTCCGTAGATTTTATGATCGATCCACTGAGATATTTAGACTCGAGTCAAGAAACAATGTATTCTACCATGAGGAATTGCCGACTATGTCGGCACCATTCTTCCGAGGAAGGCAAAGTGAGCTGACTCCTGGCCCTATCAATGCTCCTCAACCCCGATTGAATACCATAGTATGTTTATATAACGCCAAATGAAAGGTCCCACAGTCGAAAAAGCCTGACGACCACATATCATCTCATTCTAACTAAAGTACTTGAGAGAAAAGGGGAGTGAATCACGTGATCATGGCACACCTCTTCGCCTTCACTCCCATCGAGGAGCCCAACTACGTCAATGGCCTGAAATCCAGCAAGAAGACCAAATTCCCTTCAACCGGCATGTTTCAAGGCTTTAACCTACCCTCGCGCCTTGAGGGCAACATCTTCGATCTCGAGGTCACGGGAACCATCCCTGAAGACATCAACGGGACTTTCTACCGCGTTCAAACCGACCATCGGTTACCACCCATGTATGAAGATGACATACAGTTCAGCGGCGATGGTGCTGTGTCTGCATTCAGATTTGAAAATGGGCATTGCGATTTCACGCATCGGTATGTGCAAACTGATCGCTTTAAGGCCGAGACGAAAGCGAGGAAGGCGCTATTTGGGAAGTACAGGAACCTGTATACGGATAGCGAGATGGCGAAGGGCGTTATCAGGACGGTTTCCAATACCAATGTGCTATTTTGGAGAGGGATGTTGTTGGCGATGAAGGAGGATGGCCCGCCTTTTGCCATGGATCCTGCGACTTTGGAGACGATTGGCCGTTATGACTTTGATGGCCAGGTCGTGTCACCAACTTTTACCGCACACCCAAAGATTGATCCGGTGACGGGGGAGATGGTTTGTTTTGGGTATCAGGCTGGTGGTGATGGTCATGATGCTTCTTGTGATATTGTAGTCAACACGATCGACAAAAATGGCGTCAAGATTGAAGAGACTTGGTATAAGGCACCGTTTTGTGGAATGATCCATGATTGCGGTATCTCTGAGAATTATCTTGTCCTTCCCTTGACGCCATTGAAGGTGTCGCTTGAACGTATGAAGAAAGGTGGAAATCACTTTGCTTGGGATCCGAACGAAGACCAGTGGTACGGAATAGTGCCAAGACGGGGTGGGAAGCCGGAAGATATTGTGTGGTTGAGGTCTGAGAACGGTGAAGATCTCCACTCCAAGTTTTGAAGCCTTTTGATCTAAGAGACTCAGGTTTCCATGGCCATGTTGCAGGATGCTACGAGAACGAAGACGGACACATCGTCTTCGATCTCACTGTAGCAGATGACAATGTCTTCTTCTTCTTCCCACCAGATAATGCCCCCCGAGAGTCGCTCCAAAAGCGGAATAAATTGACCTCAGATACTTTCCGCTGGATCTTTGACCCCAAAGCAAAAACCAAAAGCCATGTCAAACCAGCCCGACTTTTCGGTATCAGCGGCGAGTTCTCTCGGATCGATGATAGGTTTTGCACTAAGAAGTACAACCATTTCTGGCAGTTGCAAATTGATCCCACGAAGAAGTACGACTTCGAGAAATGTGGCTCGCCCGCCGGAGGACTGTTCAACGCTATTGGCCATTTCACCTGGGATGAGGGGATTAAGGATGTGTACTGGGCTGGCCCGACAACTACTTTCCAGGAACCAGTCTTTGTACCGAGAAACACGGATGTTGAAGGAGATGGGTATCTCATGTGTCTGCTGAACCACTTAGACGTTTTGCGTAACGATATCTTGATTTTCGATGCCTTACACCTTGCGAAGGGACCATTGGCTGTGGTCCGCTTGCCATTCAAGTTGCGTCTGGGTCTGCACGGGAACTTCGTTGACCAGAGAGATATCGAGGCTTGGCAGGAACTGAGAAAGGAGAATGGGGAGCTTGGTCCTGTGAAGCCGGCTTCGAAACCGTTGCCGTGGCAGGAGCGACTCCTGAATGGGACGAACGAGACAAACGGGGCGACTCATTAGGAGGTTTCATTGATTGTAGAGTATTTGTGTGAAGAAAATGATTTTATCTTCAGCAGCAAGAAGCAAATTGGTTTGCAAGCCCCGCTATGTATATGGGTCACTTTAAATGGGGCGCTCTTCAGCAGTTTAACAAGAGGTTTCCGCATTAGTCTGCCGTTTCCTGGAGACTCGCCCTCTTCGTCTCTTAGCACCTACTGCTGATCCAGCCAAGGACGAACATTTAAGCGTCCTCCGAATAAGCGAGGAAAGTCGTCAAAAGTTGAGGAAGGGCAAATGCTGAGGAGTTACGTGATAGACAGTGCTTGAGAATAGGCTTCGTTTCAATTTATCGCTTCCGAGCCTTCATACAGCAAACTAAAGTCGCCTCCTACGGCAAATGCCATTGGTCTCTCGGGAAGAACAGCACGGGCCCTGCTTAATCTCTGGGATGCCGCATGGATCAAAAGAGCGTCAAGCCAGATTTGCTCAGTCTCCTTCTCCCATCCACGCTCTCGGCCCCATTCCACAATCTTGCCCTCATACTTTGCCACCACTTGTTCAAGACCAGACATCATATCTCCACTCCGCTTGACGGAGGTATATGCATCGAACTCCACGATCTTGATACTAGGAACTTTTTTCATGACCTCGTCAAGAAGGCTTGCAGAGAACTCTTCGTAAAACCCTTCACTCTTCCGGAAGCCTTTGAAAATAGCATCGCTAGGGTCGCATTCAACGAAGATCCTCAAGACCCGCACGCTCGTGCAGTCAGCCAGTCCCAATGCATCATTCACGACCCATCCTCGTGGGGGATTATTCCAGCCGGGACCAAGACGCAGCTCTAGCGACGTGATGGACTGACGGTACTGAGCCGGCAGACGTGCTAGCAGAGGTCTCTTTGTCTTGAAGTATCTGCCTGGATAGGTCGGGAAGAGGCGGAAGGTATGTGTGCTGAAGAAATGGTGTGTGGCCTCGCGGTAGAGTTGGCGTGAGACACGGAAGATGGCGAACATCTGCGTTCGATGGAAGATTTTGAAGATCGAAGGATCAAGATCTAGATGAAGAGGAGCGGCAGAGAATACCAACGAGTATATCTTATTCCTCAATTCGGATGGAAGAGCGAGGAAGGGAAAATTTCCTCCCTTCGGTGTGGCTACGACCTCATCTTCAGCCTCTGAAGGGTACGCCGAGGGATATGCAAAGGATCGTGGTGTCGTGCTAACGCTCCCAACAAGCTGCGGAACCACGACAACTGTGCGGTTCATTCTTCTGGTCATCATGGAATTGACAACCGATTTGGGGTCTCGCAGCGAGTAAAGTGGGAGGTCTCGTACGCTGGGGCGAAGGGGCTCAGAAGGTTATGGGACGGCTCGGACTCGAGGACGGTGTGAATAAATAATATAATTATAACTACTGACAACAATGCCAACGGAGGCGGAGGGCGAGGGCGAGGAAAGGGTTCCAAGGTTTGTGAATGTCGAGGTATAACGGGATCAAGTTGCTCTTGTGACCGTGCTACTGGAGCACGGTCGCCTAGCACCCAATTCTTGAATAAGCCATTTCCATCTCGAAAGGGGGTTCAGCTCTGTGTGCCATGGGTGTGTAATAAAGCGTTCGAGTCATTCTCCCTTTCTGTCAACTTTGATGTTTCCCCGCACAGGCCGACTTCCGAATATATAGATTTCTGCGGACTACGGCGGTCCTTAGAGACCAAGGGCTCGCCTAGCCGTATTGAAACTAGCGCCCAGCAACCAAAAATATTTCTGGTGTGAGCTCATTCAAGCTTCAAGAAGCTCCCGACAAGCCAGATGCCATCTCGTTCAGCGTAACTTCTTTATTGAAGCTACTTGCTGCTTTATCTTATTTTTCTTCAATATGTTGTCGAGAGCAGTAATCCGCTCCTTGCAAACAGCAGGGTTAAGAGCGCCTCCTACGACTTTCCGAATAGCCTCGTCGACAATATGGACTCGGTCAATGGCACGGAATAACAGGACCAATCATGGTCAAAGAAAGCCGATAGATTACTCACGGCCTCCAGGAGCACCTCAGCCATCACGACCGGAAGGGGCTGGTGCAGCATTTACATCACCGCAGCAAGGTGAAAGGAGTAGTGATAAGTCAGGAAGGCCTGATTATTCCAAGAGCCAGGATAAATTCAGCAACGATGCCAGACCAGAGCGCAACTGGCCACAGCCAGGAGATCAGGGAGCTGCCAAAGACAATGTGCGGAATAGTGGTGGAGCCAAAGAGTTTTCGCCAAAGCAGGACGAGTTCAAGGCCACTGCTTCACCCTCGGAAAACACAGCTCCTCAATCTTCCTCCCCATCTTCCATTGACCCTGCAGAGGCACAGTCAAAGATTAGGTCTCTGCCAGACTTGACACAAGGCATCCCATCGACGTTAGAGTTCGAGACCGCTGGCGCAACTAAACCAACTGCATCACCACTGAACTTGACTGAAGCGGATGAGCCAGGGCAGGCACCAGGTGGGGGTAGGGGTCGCGGAGAGCTCCCAGCATCAGCATATATCTCTTCCTCAGAGCGGAAACGATTAAAGTTTGCAAACTACATGTACGCCATGTTTGCAGGTCTGTCAGTCAGTGGGACAATATATCTGGGCAGGAATTGGGAATCAGAACAGGAAGAGAAAATGCACCCAGACGCCCCATCGGGCTGGGCTTTGGGATTGATGTGGAACCGTGCAAAAGCTCGGTTGGGTGACCAGCTGAACTATTACAATGAGCCCGCTTTCCGAAAGCTTCTGCCAGATCCAGATCCAATCTTCGAGCGGCCATATACCTTAATCGTCAGCCTCGAAGACTTATTGATCCATAGCGAGTGGTCGAGAGAGCATGGGTGGAGAATGGCAAAAAGACCCGGAGTGGATTATTTCTTGCGATATCTAAGCCAATATTACGAACTGGTTATCTTCACAAGTCAGCCATGGGCCATTGCAGAGCCCGTCATTCGAAAATTGGATCCGTACCACATCGTCACCTGGCCCTTGTTCCGAGAGGCAACACTCTACGAGAATGGCGAATATGTCAAGGTAATTTAATTCGTATCCAGCTGAAAACAGAAGACTGACAGTCTCAGGATTTATCATATCTAAACCGTGACCTATCAAAAGTAATCATGATCGATACCAAGTCGGCACACGCCAAGAAACAACCCGAAAATGCCATAATACTCAAACCATGGGAAGGCGACGTCAAGGATACAGAACTCGTCTCCCTCATCCCCTTCCTCGAATACATCCACACCATGGCCTACACTGACGTTCGCAAAGCGATCAAGTCGTTTGAAGGAACCCACATTCCGACCGAGTTTGCAAAACGCGAAGCAGTGGCACGAAAGAAGTTCCAAGAGCAGTTGGACGAGGAAAAGCGGAAGAAACCCAAACACTCCGGTGTCGGTTTTTTGGGTAACGCATTGGGTATCAAGCATCAAAATATGATGATGGATCCTAACGAGCAAACACCATCTGAAGCCTTCGCCCAGGGGAAGATGTTGCAAGACCAAGCAAGAGAGCGAGGGCAAAGAAACTACGAGACCCTGGAGAGAGAGATCCGAGAAAATGGCGAGAAGTGGTTGAAGGAAGAGGCAGCACTGGAAGAGAAAGCCAAGGAAGATGCCACCAAAGCCATGAAGTCAGGCTTCACAGGTTGGTTTGGCGGCGGAAAATGATTGCTACTTGACGGAGTGACCATTCGGCAAAGTGTGTAGTTGGGTGGTGACGAAGTATATGAGAAGCTTCCTGTACATTTTACTTATTGGTCTCATGATCGCCATCCTACTCTCTTCTCTCCGACGGAATCGCGCATAGCGAGGCGGGCGGGTAGAAAAGGTTCTGACACTGTCGCTGATAGCACAGTTGCAGTTGTACAATAGTGTTTGCAATATGGTTAATCGCGGCCCCCCGCATTATCTTAGTGTATAGCCGGTGAAGACTACGAGTTTGTGATGAGGGAGGCTGCAGCCATCCTTCACACAAGGATGTCCTCGTGGCTGAGCTGGTGACTCGACCTTCGCCTCGACGAAACCGCGCAGCACGCTTGCCTCTTAGTAAGAGGGCTTCGTTTTCTTGTTGCATCGTCTACAACATCAAATGTTCATCATGTAAGCTATTGCACTGGCAAGTTGTCGATCACTCAATCCAATCACCAGCAAAATCGGGCCGTTCCTCCTGCACCCCTGTTTGTTTGCCTTCAACCGCATAGCCAAGAACATCAAAGGATCATGATGTACTCTCCTGTGTTGCGCAGCTGCTCTACCAAGTTGTCGGACTGCGTATAGATCATCCAGTCAAGCCAATGAATCAATTATCTATAGCAAGATCACAATGCTCTCCCGCTTAAAGCCCAAATAAATACCCCTCCAGTACCCTGGGACCCTCCTCTTACTCGGAACAGCTTCCCCCCATATGCTCGACCCGAAACAAAACAACATCATAATCACCTAATCGCAAAGGGCACGACCTCCCCCCCTCCCTTCATAAGACATAAGCCGACTTTCAAAACAACTACAACATCAAGCTTAAGATGGCACGCTTCCTCACGATCTCGCTCCTCCTCACCTTCCTCACTCCGCTGGCTCTCACTGCACCTACTAGCCCTTCCAATGCCGCCCTTCAGGCACGACAAGAGTACGGGGTGTATTACATCTGCTACCCTGATTGCTATAATGCAAATACTTGTTCGTGCCCTCCTGGGTAAGCGATTGCACCTCCGTCTCAATCCAAGTCAACAGAGTATTGACCGTGTACAGTAGTGATAATTTCCAATGTGTGACGAACCCCTGCTGTGAGCAGGTGAAATGCACTTAAGGAGGTGAAGCTCCTGTGACGGTATGGGGTGGAGGTATCGAAGAGGTAATGAGCAGTAATGAGCGGCAAAGACTGGATGTCAGTTTGATGCTGGAATGAAGCCCTAGACAGGCAGTAATGGACTTTGGAGAGAGAAGGTTCTCATTTCCTCTGGTAACGAAAAACTCATCTATCATGATAATGACTGAAATAAAAGAAGAAATAATGCAAGATTTTTCCATCGCCATGGCATCAGTGTTCCCTTTTTGTTGTTACATTCCCGCATCCGTGACCCGACCCCGACTCCGGTATTGAATTCCTAACAACCGACATTTGAAAACTCGCTCGCTGAAATACCTTTCAAAGAAACCAATAACTTTTGTTATGCCGAAGATCATGCCTCGTCCGGCGACGAGGGAGGCGTCTTCTTCCGTTTTGGACTTTCCTGCTCGTCTTCGCTTGGCCGTGGCCGTTGCTGTGGCTCACGCTTCCGCTTCCCATTGCTTTCGCGGCTGGCAGGAAGTTCGTCATTGGTAGCATCCTTATTATTCTTCGGCCTCCTGGTCTCGTCAATTTTCCTGACTCGTTTTTCTTCTCTTGCTCCCCTCGTTTTAGAATCTGCTGCTCGTCGCCAGGGATGCATAACAACATCCTCTTCCTTCTCCTCCTCTTCCAGACCGAGAGCAATCCGCTCATGGGTCTGTTCATCCTGAGTATACCTATCTATGGGCGAAGTCCCATTCGGAATCAACTCAAGCCTGGTCTGTACTTCGTGTACATCGAATAGTGTTGGGCCGTGATGGCAAGTGAGTTTGAGACGGTCCGTGGTTGATGAAGGTCTCCTCTTCTGGATCTTGGAAGACTTTTGGGCGATCTTTTGGGTAGGTATAGAAGGCAAAGGCTTTTGGTTGTATTCGAAGACTTGGGCTGGATCACTCGGTGTGTACGAAGCTTGTGGAACAGTTCGTGGAACGGCCTCAGATTTGGGTGGTATGGAGACAAACTCCCAGTCATCTGAAAGCGTAGGTGACGGCGAAGGCACAGAAATTTCGTCGGCTGGAAGTTGAACGAGGTTCCATTCTTCGATACAACGTTGAATCTGTGCAAGCCTATTCTCTGTTAGTCAATGAAGAGTGGTTGGAGGGAGAAGTCGCACGTGACAAAGAGGTGACGCTCCTCATGCAAGAGCGCGACTATCTCCGTTGCTGTCTTTTTGACTTGAACATACAATTCCGTAATCCAGCCACGATGGAAATTCAAAATATCTTCAACTGTCAACTCAAGGCTTTGAAGTTCCATAGTACCCGCTTCGGTGCAAGATTTGGCGTAGGTCGGGATTGGGCAGAAGGGGGGTAACTCCGGAAGAGAAGGGTACCCGGCTGCAATATATTACTACTTATGCTCATTCTTTGGCACGCAGGCAACAGGGGTGATAATAGGAGCACTTCTAGGCGGCATCCAGGGTCTCGGAAACTTGAGGTTGGGAAACAACCCACTCCACATTGTTTGAGGAGGCGCACGAGTAACTCTGGGGGAAGAACAGCAACCGACCCGAGCTCTGAACACGGCCGCCCGGCTCCTGCATAACACGGCTCATATCGGCAAGGACCAGACACCAAAGAAATGAGGGGAAGGAAACGAAGCCCAGATCGACGCCTGCATCCTCTCTTCAACACCCCAGCCGGGGCGGGCGTTTTACGCGAAACAAGGAGGGAGAGACCGGGGACGGCTCGTCTCTAATTATCCGGAATGGCGTGAGAGCTGGATAAAACCCACGACCACGGTTTTGGGATTTGCAGCGCCGGTGGAATGGGAAGAGGCCCACTTGGGCGGTAGATTGCGCACTTGATTGATGGCAACGAGAGCACTGGTGAGATGAGAACTGATCAAAGTGATGCGCCATGGAAACCGTGGCACTCTCCAGGGTCCTGACTGCCTTCCTTTCCGTAACCCTCATGGATGTGCCACCGATTTGTGGCCGACTCGACGGAAGCAAAGCCTCCATACGAAAAAGAGGTAACCTCGTAACTTCGTACTTAGTTAGGTGAATGGTGAAAGGAGATAGCCCCCGCGGGTTCCTTCTTCCTTCAACTAATGCATGTGTCGCAAGAGCTGCCTATTGGAGAGATAGGAGCTCGTCCGTTTGCGCTGCACATGCTACTCAAAGCGGCAACATATTCCTGGGTGTTGGACTTTTCGCCGTTCATTATTTGGTACCGATATAACCGCTTGAGGAATTGATCCTGGGGAAAGTGTGCTCGAGGCGCTTTGGCGTAGCCAGGGTGTCAGCTCAGGACACATGGTAGAGACAAAAAGCAAAACTCGGGACGAGAGACCTCAGCCTGCTGTCAAAAAACAGGGAACCTGCCCAACAATGAGACATGAAGGATTAGCTTGGCACGGTGATCAAGCCTTCTGCTGGCGAACTTAGCTGGTGAGCCATGTTTCTCCCCATGTCCGGGTCGAGAGACTGAGAAGGCTGCATTATTACTGGCTCCCCCATTGCCCACGAGAAAGCTCCTGGTCACACTAATGTCGTTTGGGCTCCTTCCAGCTTTCGGCGATTCGTATAAAGTTATGCAGTCTCGCAGCGTTCCTACTGTATGATTCGGAAAGATTCTTCCCTGCTCATCACATTGCCGGGTTTCCTGCAGCAGTCGGCTCGGCCCCCAAACCCTTCTTCTCGGCGTCGGATCACTCGTCTCGCCCGAGCACACGGGTCTGTGTGCCCAGGTTCACGACAGCTCGAAGCACAGCCACTCCTTTTGGGAACCAGTTTTGCCAGGGTCTTTGGTGGAAACTGTCGATCGATTTTCATTGGAATTCTGTAATAGGCAGCTGATTGTTGCTGCGCCGTCGTGGTGCAACCAGAACTTGCATGAGCCTGAAGGGCTGAAAGTCCCAGCTGAAGGTCCCAGGAGGCTCTCAGATTCCCTTATCTTGGGAACAGAGTGCTGACATGAACAAGGATGCCACGTGGCGAGGACAGGACCGTTTGACGTGGTCAATACTCCGTACCAAGAGCCCTTTTGTTCCGGTAGGACGCAGCAAGACAGTCGAGTCCGAATACATGTCGAGAATGAAGCTCCGATGCAAGAAGATGGCGTATGGCTTCAACGCTGCAATCCATAGACGACGTGTCTTGAAGCTTTGACTGATTTGAATTGTGGGCAATTGTCCTCTCTTCTCACCGAAGTTCTCAGTGTCTCACCTTCCCGGCCCCTTGGTAGGAGAAATTATCCCTCGGAACTTTGCTCAGCTGCATATCACCAGTTTCTCTGATAAACAATTGTACCGTACGCCACCAATGTTCCCAGGGAGCATGGTACAATCATTTCCCCTGGTCATCAAGTTTTGCTAAGCGCTCTGACGTTGTGCAATGGCGAACTTGTTTCCCACTACTCTCAGGTAGGGCCGAATCTTGGTCTTTCCTTTGAAAGAAGACGTTTCATCTCATCTACCTGAGTGGTGAGGCTGACAGGTCGCCCGGCCATGGAAGCTTGGGGGATACTGAGGAGGAAAGGGAGCTTCCACTTTCGGTTCGGCCTCCGTGGCACATCACGCAAGGATTGCCAGACGTTGAGATACACACGACCCCCTTTTCTACCCTATCAGCCTTCCTTCGGCACTTGGTAGGCGATGACTTCTCTCCGTTAGTCAGAGATGCTGACAGGTGGACCCGGGGAAGGGGAACGATTTCCGAGCAGGGGTTGGGGAACATTCTTTGAAGCTTCCATGCTTGTATTCAGGGGTTGGCCGAGAAGCGAGTACCCGCTCAGCCTCCTGTACCGACGCCGTCAGCAGCCACCAACAGTTTTCATTTATCGCTCTTTTATAATTGGACCACGACACTCTTGCGTGTGCGAGAGGGTGTGGTCGCTGCATGGAGCAGCCGTATGAGAAGGGTGCAGAAGGATTATGGAACGATAGAAAAGAAAGGCCCGCTTTTTTAAGGTATTGCTTTTCGAGGCTGATATCTTAATACGAACGCCAATCTTGCCAATAAAGTCCCATGTGAAGCCGAGCAAGTGCATTGTGAGGGCGTTTGCATGAGCGAGGGAGCGGCTCTTCGTAGACAGACAGAAAAAGCGGCGCCCGTTTTGAAAGTCCCGATGTTAGTGGTCGTTTAATATCCTTAGCTTCGGCGGGTAATAAGGATTTGATTTTTCGAGAACTTCAGGGACACTCGAAAAGGGTGCTCCTTGATGATAATATACGATAGGTTGAGGGAATATTCGGGAGGTAGACTTTGAAATGTTCAACTTTACATTTGGCAGTAAAAATGAAAAGCCGCTTTTCACTATCTACTACGACGGCCGGTGGCTTTTAACGGAGATGAAGCACTTAGTTTGTTACGAGGAGGCTGAGATCGAAGGCGTGAAGAGCAAGTATTGCCGGGATTTTCCTTTACATAGTGGTACCACCGCACGACAGAGTCAAATGACGAACGGGCAGTTTGTACGACCAAGTGCCGCTGCATGGGATCGTGGGACAAGATAGCCTGACAGGGGGGCAGCTCGTAGAATTTCCACATGGGTAAGGCTTGCGGAAGCTGCGGTACCGTGCAGTAGTGCTAAGCTGACAAGCCATCAACAATATGACGAAAGTCTTCCCCTGAATTCCGACATAGGACTGCGGAGAAGAGCGGAAGTCCCTGAACTTCAAGCGTCGTGTCTGCAGTCTGCATGTAGTTCCCTGTGCAGATTGCAGAAGTTTGATTCTGTGATAGAAGAGGAAGGTGACGGTATGATTGCTTCCCTTCGTCCTTCGATCGTCTAGTTTGGGAGAGTGGTACAGGTGTGCCTTCTGTTCTTTCGTCCGTCAGCTATGGATGCCTCCGTCTCCTGCATGTCCCGCAGGAAGCTCTGAGCGGGCCGCCCCCGAAAGGTATGTCAGATCCGTCTTTGCATCCTTACATGGACATTTCCACCAGAGGCGCTGAACGAGCCTGTTCGAGCTCGATGATCCAGCCGCGGCCTGGGCATTATCCTTTCGAAGATAATGCATTTGATGAGTTTCCTCTGACACCAAGAGCTCCGTATGTCGGGATGGTATGAGATCTGCATAGTTCAAGGCACTAGTCAAGCAGAGATGTCGAAGATCCAGGACGGTAGTGTGGCATCCCATGCAAACTCTCGTTATGGCTTCGTGAAATGAATCCTAAAAGAACAGCAAGAGGAACTTGTTTCATCGCCCTGAAGACTAAGTTGACCTTACAGCAAGTTGACCCCTATATTCCTCGATCATGGGCATGTCTTAGCAGAAGAAAAGCAAGCTCGGAACGCAGGCATGCTGACATACTTCATGCACGCGTTAGAAAAGGTTTTCATATCTCCAAAAAAGGATGAAGTGTGACGTCCAGCTCATGCAGTTAGGCGACGGGGTTTCATAGTCGGCCGTTGCGAACGTGATAGTTAGTAATAATGGAGGTTGATTCAAGAGGAATTCGGTGGGAATGCAGATCGAGCTTTGGCGTATTGTATGAGAAACTACATGAGGATTGAGACTTGAAGTGACCAAAGTAAATTCCTAGTTTGCAAAGACAGAGTCAGTAGACATTGTTTCAAAAGAAGACATACTCAACCAGCCAGATTCCCATTTCACGCTGCAGCAGTTTCAAAATCTTTGCAGAAGCCGCCTAGTATTGACTCTAGAATCCGACGCCCCGACGGATTGCCTGTAGTAGCTCTTGCCGTGTAGCGGTGATCACCAAGCCCAACGCCTATTGTACAATGTGATGCTGATGTCATTATAGTTCCTCCTCCACATCCATGGCATCCCCATTTGCATGCCCGTTCGCACCAGACTTCTCTTTTGGAGCTGAAGCTTCCTTGTCGATCATCTGTCTTGACACAGATACGATGTTGTCTTCGATTAGTTGCTGTCCAACGTCCTCCAGGTGCTTCTTGGGGTCGACTTTTCCGACATATCTTGTCTTCAATTGATCCTTAGTCAACTCTGTTTCCTCCTTGACTCTCTTCTCATATCCCTCCGCGAGGCCAACAAGCTTCTTTAACCGCTCTGAATTTCGCGTTCCCTCAACCCGGAAATCTTCCATTTGCAGTCCTTCCGTCCAGACGTGTTTGTGGAGGTTCATCAACATATTTTCTTCGAGGGCGGTCTTCCGGTAGTTGATACCAATGCTGTAGTAATGTCTGTTGAGGCCGTGGATGAGCGCCTGAATGGAAGGCTTGTTCAGGTGACCCAAGTTCGAAGTGCTTTGGCGTGGCTCTTGTCCAAGCATAAGAGATTGTGGATTGATAAGTCTGAAGGCATCGATGACAACCTTGCCCTTGACGGATTGGATGGGGTCAACAACCACGGCAACGGCTCGAGGTGTCAATTGTTCGAAGGATTGTTGTGTGTTGATATCCACGGAGGAAAGCCAGCAACCGAAACCAGGATGGGAATGGTACCAGCCAACAACAGTCTCAGGCCTGATGTAAAGATATCATCAGCTTGCTGTTATTGAAATCAAAGTTTTAACACGTACCGTCCCGTTTGTCGTAACATGTCCATCATCTTTGTTTGGAAAACAGGATCAACTGCCTCGACACTGACTCCCGTTCCACTTTGCGGCATGGCAAACACATCTACTACTCGGACTGTGAAATCATCCACAAATTCTCCCAACATCAAACCCATAACTTCCATCGGCACACCCGCCCTGCCGTGTCGCAGCATCTTCAAGAGCGCAAGGGAGGAGATGTAAACGGTTTCGGAGTTGTCGATGAGATTTGTATTATCCTGCAGTCATCTTGTATTAGCTATGTTTCCTCCGGAAGGTCAAGATGCTGTTCAAGAGTAGAGGATGGTATTCACAGATCCAGGCGCAGCGCTGTTGAGACCACCCATATTACCAGCCGAGGCCAGCATTCGGTTTAACCTGTCCATGATGGGTGATTTATGGTGGTATTCGGCTTGGAGCAGTTAAGCTGAGAATTCGGTGTGGCGTTAACTTCTTCGTCGTCAAGTCGTTGCCACAAAGGTGAAGCTTTTGATGTTGATTGCTTTCGCGTCTCCAAGCTGCCTTGAGCTTCTTGGGCCAATTTTAAGTTTAGCGCGAAACTAAATCACATGATCTCAGCCTTGGGACAGCCTCGTCTTTTCCTCTTCTTACGGACAGCACACGAAAAGCCGATTTTGTACCAGTTTTTCTTCGAACATAGAAATATTACTTCCTCTATATGAGTAGATATTCGGTGAGTAGTTTCAACCTTTGATAGAAAGCAGTGGGGAGGTAGAACCACACCCGCAAGAGAATTACGCTTATCCGCTTTCGGGTAGATTGGCTGGTGCTACAGAGAACGGGAGTTTGAGCTCTGATATCCGTTCCTTCAAACTTCACGTTTTCCCACTTTCAATATTTCCACAATCTAGGGCCGCTCAGTTAAAAACACGGGGGCACGACACACCGCGAATCTAACTACCCTCTTGCTACATTTTCGAAAGCACTACATTTCCTCCATCTTCGTCGCATCTTCTCCGTCCAAAATGACATCCTTTGCAGCCCCCGTCGATGAGCCTCCAGCGAACGGCCCAAGCACCAAGAAGCGGGTTGCATACTTCTACGATTCCGATGTTGGAAATTATGCTTATGTCGCCGGGCATCCCATGAAACCTCATCGAATTCGGTTGGCGCATAGCTTGATCATGAACTATGGCGTCTACCAAAAGATGGAGATTTATGTGAGTGGGAAGCTGCAACACCTCTTCTCTTCTCGAGCCCTACACTATCGAGTGCTTTCGCATGATGCCGTAATTCAAAATCACGTATATCACAGTCTACTGACATCTGGTGGCCAGCGCGCAAAACCGGCTACTCGCCATGAAATGACCCAATTCCACACGGACGAGTATATCGACTTCCTCCAGAAAGTCACTCCAGACAATATGGACAACTTCGCCAAGGAGCAGGGGAAGTACAATGTCGGTGATGATTGCCCAGTCTTCGACGGGCTGTTTGACTTTTGCGGTATCAGCGCTGGTGGCAGTATGGAGGGGGCAGCTCGTCTCAACAGGGGCAAATGCGACATCGCCATCAACTGGGCCGGAGGACTTCATCACGCCAAAAAGAGTGAAGCAAGTGGTTTCTGCTACGTCAACGGTAGGTTGAACTGCCTTGTTTGGTATGAGCTGGGTGTTAATGATTGTAGATATCGTCCTCGGCATTATTGAGCTCCTCCGGTTCAAGAAGAGGGTTTTGTACATCGACATCGACGTCCACCACGGTGATGGCGTTGAGGAAGCGTTCTATACCACAGACCGAGTCATGACTGTTTCTTTCCATAAGTACGGCGAGTATTTTCCAGGTACTGGTGAGCTTCGCGACATCGGTGTTGGCGCTGGCAAGAACTATGCTGTCAATTTTCCTCTTCGAGACGGCATTGATGATGCAACCTACAAGTCCATCTTTGAGCCTGTCATCCAAGCCGTCATGACTTATTATCAACCGGAGGCTATCGTTCTTCAGTGTGGTGGTGATAGCTTGTCTGGTGACCGTCTTGGTTGCTTCAACCTCAGTATGAAAGGCCACGCAAATTGCGTCACATTTGTCAAGAGTTTCAATGTCCCTACACTTGTGCTTGGTGGCGGTGGATATACGATGCGCAATGTTGCACGTACTTGGGCGTATGAGACTGGTCGCCTTGTTGGTATGGATCTCGACCGAACTCTTCCTTACAACGAATACTACGAGGTAAGTTTCACTTCCGTATTTATTCCCTTTTCATCTAACACGAATTAGTACTACGGTCCGGACTATGATCTGGATGTCAAAGCTTCAAATATGGAGAACGCCAACTCTAGGGATTATCTCGAGAAGATCAAAACTCAAGTTATCAACAACCTCAGAAAAACTGGTCCACCTTCTGTTCAAATGACAGACGTTCCTCGCACGACCATTACTGGTGGTACCGAAGACGATGAGGATATCGCTGACGATATGGACGAAGATGACAACAAGGACGTCCGAAGCACCAAGCGACGATGGGATCAGCGAATTGCCAGAGATGATGAATTTGAGGAGAGTGATGATGAAGAACAAGATCGCGCCAATGGTGTCCGCCAGCAAAATGGCGCGGTCAAGCGGCGCAACATCATGGACTATCAAAATCCAAATCCTGCCGCTTCCGATGTTGAAATGGACAGCGGGATACCTACTCCCGCGCGCGCGGAGGCTGACGATGCTGTTACCGCAATGGCTACAGAGGCAAACGCAGAAGTTAATGCAGAGATCATGGAGCAAAAGACTCTTGACGCCACAATTGAATCAGGGGAGCAGGGGCCGTCAAATGCACCTTCACGAGCACATTCGCCGAAGCCAACTATCGACACTGAGGGCGATGTCGATATGACCGGGGCTGGTCCCGTACCCGAAGTCAAGGCGCCTTCGCCGTTGTCCATCCCAGCTTCATCGCCCAAGGCAGCTGTGGGACCTGCTGCACCAGCAGCTGCTCCCGTTGAACCTGTCTCAGAGTCCACTGACCCTGCTGTTGTCAAGGAGGAAGGAGATGCAGAAAGAACCGATGCGGATGTCACCGCCGAAGCTTCCACCGAACTTGCTGAGCAGTCACAAACGTAGCATTCTAAAAAGGATTTTGTATAGCAGTTTCACGCGATGGTTGCAGCATGGAGCAAGGCGTTCTGGTGTATGGATATTGGACTTGGTCGGTGGGACTGATTCATAGAAATCGAAAATGGGTTAAATAAATAAATGTTCATATTCCAGATCACCTACTGTAGGTCAAATGCAATGGTTCTTGACAACTGGCAAATATTCCTGGTGAGTTGAACACTTTTGTAGATGTTGCAGGATAGTCCAAGGTTTTAGAAGATTCTTTCCACAATGAAGGTGACACCGACTCATGCAGAGTATAGTATATCAGAATGCCATATCCTACAAAAATTGAAAATCCTGAGGAGAGACAACTAACTTCAGTCCCTTCTCCACATCAGTTGTCCCCAAATTTAGCGCGCCACGTGACTCTCGCTAACCTTAAAGTTCACACACTGTGCAATATTTTGGCGACAAACCTGGAAATTTTCCCCAGCAACGAAGCACGCATCTTTGATCCCCTCACAAGCATCAAAGATCTACCGTCGGAATGGCAAAGATCTCGTATGTCCGCCCCTCATCCGCTGCCCAATTTGGAAACAATGGCGACTTGCGATCAACGGGGAAACGAAGTCGATCTCTGGGGAAAATGGAGAGCTGACGAGAATACAGACGTGGTGCCCCTGGTGGCAAGCTCAAGATGACCCTCGGTCTCCCAGTGTACGTTTTCCCGAATATACCTATCCTCTGAGTATCGCCCTGGGAGTAGGAATATGGATTGAGAAGGGGGGATCTGAGGGTGTCTGGCTAACGGCTGGATTATAGTGGTGCCGTCATGAACTGCTGCGATAACAGCGGTGCACGAAATCTCTACATCATCTCCGTTAAGGGTATCGGTGCGCGTCTCAACCGTCTGCCTGCTGGTGGTGTCGGTGATATGGTTATGGCTACAGTCAAGAAGGGAAAGCCTGAGTTAAGGAAGAAGGTCATGCCCGCTGTTATTGTCCGACAAAGCAAGCCGTGGAGACGAACTGATGGTGTTTTCTTGTACTTCGAGGATAACGCTGGTGTGGTAAGTGCAGATTTAATCTTGGATCTGATGGCACATGGCGCAGGCGGGATTGGATGAGATGGGATTTGCAGTCGAAGAACTCCAACAAAGCTTTAGAGAGGACAATTACTGATATTTTGTTTGCAGATCGTCAACCCCAAGGGAGAGATGAAAGGATCAGCAATTACAGGACCAGTCGGAAAGGAGGCAGCTGAACTTTGGCCAGTATGTTACAACCCTTTCCACACAAGGAGAAAATAGCTAACAGGTTCTCAGCGTATTGCCAGCAACTCCGGTGTCGTCATGTAAAGGGTTGTTTTCTTTTCGGGGTTCTGGCATGGAAATGGTTTGCTGTTGCATGGTTCAGACGGAGATAGCGATGACAACAAATAAACGAAATTCCAAAGGCACATTTTGGTTCTCGGGATGCGGATGTGACTGTGGAGGGTATTTTGGCCGGGCCCAACTGGCGACCGAAGTATTTCAGAGGCCTCTCAATTGGCAAGTGTCAGACGCCAACACCTTTGGCTAGGCTTTTTTCGGACTCGGGGAGCTAAGATTCTTGCTGAGCAGTCAGTCGATCGATGTTGGAGAGATTTTCAGCTGCGGTCGACTTGGTAGTCCAAATACCTCCGTTTCCGGCGTCTTTGCTATTCGGATGGTCTGTCCATAAATTGAAACCGCCACGTCCAGGTCACAGTCCTCAAGGCGTGGTACACAGCTCTCCGATACCATCAATCGAAAGACGTCCCTTAAAAAACTTACTCGAATATAATAATTTCCTAACCAGTTCCTTTTTTGGGGAGAGCTTTGGACAGCATCATATCAAGAATCATCATTTCGCAATGGCTCCAAAAAGGATTTTGGTATGAAGAATGTTCTACCATCCTTCTGTAGCCGAGCAAGAATTAACGTCTCTTCCCTAGGTCACTGGTGGTGCCAGATTCGTCGGATCTCAGCTTGGTCATAGCCTTCACAAATAAGGCCACGAAGTAACTCTACTCGACAACCTCATGATCGAAGGAACCACATTTAGTCGTCTCATTGTAGAAGATCTCGGGATTCACTATCAAAACTCACTGCACACATGTCTGGCGTAGACACCCTTTATCACTTTGCAGGCATCACCGTCCTTCCCGTAAACCAAGTAGATCCCCAAATTGCATACGGCGTCAACGTAGGCATCGGCAACATCCTCGAAGCAGACCGTCGTTCCGGTTTTGTAGAGCCATTTTTGCATCTGCCTCCGCCATATATGAGATGACTACCAGCCCGGATGGAATCTTCGAGGGAAATGATACCGTGACTCCTAATCTCGTTTACTCGATGACCAAAGATTCCGTAAAGAAGGTGTGCAAGGCGTATAGTACGAACTACGGAATGGATATTACCATCGTCCGATTCTTCAATATCTTTCAAGCGTCTTTCTCCTCATTTCACTTCATATCTGGCGACTATGCTCGCCAAAGGCGAGACACCGATTCTTTTCAACTCCTCGAGTACAACGCTGCGGGGTTATGTGTTCAGTGCAGACTTGACTGCGCTCTTGAAAGTGATACTTGTGAAGGAGAAGAAGTATAACGTGGGTGTCTTCAATGCTTGCTCGGGCGTGGGATCCTCTGCACCGGAGATATTTAGTATCATGAAGTCACACTCGGGAAGACAAATCGATGCGATATACGACGACCCTGAGAAATTCTGGGCGAAATTACCTGCTGCCACGGAAGGGAAGCCCCTTTTGGGACCAGGTCGCGTAAGTAAGGAGGAGTAGAAGATGAGTGTTGGGAATCCGACAAAGACTGAGGAGGAATTTGGGTGGATGCCTGAGACGAAGTTGGAAGATGGTTTGAGGGTTGTCTACGTACAAGGTTGAACACGCATAAGTAGGCTGCTGGCAGGGGTTGGCAAAGGGGGTTTAGGAAAAGTGTAGTATGTATATTGTACTGCCGAATAAAACTCGAGGCATTCCGCTCAGGACCATGAGTGCTATAGTTGAGGTGCTTATTAGAACGGTGTCAAATTGATTCTAGGGATACTTTGAGGTCGGTGTGGATTCGGGTGGTGAAGATGGGGCCAATAGTCTTGAAGACGGAAGAGAACCTCCTGCCCCGCTTAGAACTCCAGACCAGTATTCAAAACGCCCTCTACTCTTCTCGCACCTCCCCAGTCAACTCATCAAGGCATGGCGTAGCCATCCTCTCTAAATTCCACCCCTCTTCCGTCCTACCCAAGCACAGCTCCTTCGCCTCACCTCAATCCAGTAACAGCAGCTCACCACTTTCTCCTCCAGGACCACCAAGAAAGCCACAAGCCCACAAACACACCAATCCAAACTTTGCTTTTCCCTTCCGCTCCAGAATCAATATTCGGCACAACCCGTTCCCGCTCCAGAGTCATGCGCGGGCTGAGCGGGCCCAAGCTGAAAACGCCGCCTCTCGGTCGGGAACCCGCCACAGCCGTATTCTGTGCTAGCGATTAGCTAAAGAACTGTCCAGCTCATCCACTTTGGCACTTTTGAATCCTTTGGGGAAATGTGTACGACTTTGTAGTTTCTTGGCCTTTGAAGGAGACCAGTCGTGAGGAAAGGATTTCAAAGCAAGAGGTGGGAAGGGATTGGATGATGAGTTGTTGGAATCCGGAGGCCCGAGGCTTGGACGTCTTGTCTAGCAAACGGTGCTGTAAGGGTCATTTTCAGAAGAGGGGATTCACTTTGCCTAGGGTTCCTAGCTTGAATATTAGCTTTGAGGATACACGATTTATTGGAAGCAAGTAATAAGATGAAGTGTTTGATCAGTTGGGTATCTGTTCGTATTATTATTAATAGCTAAAACTAATTTTGTAAATCCGCTCCTCCCAAACTCCGTTGCTGCTGAGCAGAATGCAATGATATGCGGCGCTGAAATAGATACATCTAATCACCTCGTTTCGCGACAGTCATCACACTCAAGTTTTACTTAAAGAAAGACTTCGCCGTCCTTGCGAATCTCAGTTTCTTTGGTGGGTTGACTAATGCACTAGATTTTGTTAGAGGTAAAGTGTGAGATATCAAGGAGAGAGCTTACCCCCAAGGACTAGTTTCCCACGCGGTATTGGCGCCGGTCAAGTCTAACCAGTTCTTCGTGTTCCCGGCGGCATTTCCTTTGGTAGGAATTCCTTGCGACTCACAGGTCTTGTAGTGATCGTGCGGTATGGTTTGAGTGTCCTGGAGCACATCCGGGGCTTCGATGAATGTTGCTGTTAGACCGGCTTCAACGTGCCATTCGATATGGCAATGGAACAATTGGATGCGTGCTGAGAATGTTAGCTTTAAGAATGAAAGACTGGATTGGAGACATATCTGGATGATCAACAGTGAATCGCAGGACGATGTAGCCTCCTGTGTTGACTTGGACGACGTCCCTTCGCATAGGCGTATGAGGTGGATGAATGGCGCTGGCTTTGTAGGGAGTATTCGGTGGTGAGCGGGCGATGAGTTGGAAGTTGTGACCATGGAGATGCCAAGGATGACCACCGCTATCCTCATTGATTAACACAATCTCTACGGTTTGGTTAAGCTTGAAGACAAAGGAATTGCTGTTTGCGCCGTAGATGAGTGGATTCATAACGACATTCTTAGGAGCTGACATCGCCGTGAAAAGGGTTGGTACTTTTTGTCCCACGTAACTGACGCCGTTGATAATTGCTCTGCGTAGCAGTAAGCTCTCGACTTCTCCATTCACTGAGGTTGTCTCACCTGTTGATGCCATTATCATTGTCTGGGGCTCGCTCAAAATCCATCGTTAGTATGATCTGCTGATCCACGTTGGTGAGAGCCTTCTGCCGGTCCCTCGGAATAAGTTGGAAGTCATCGAAAACGCTGTAGTCCCGGAGCGGGTTGACTGCAGGCAAGGGTTTCTTGGAATCATAGACCAGAAATCCATACACATCTGGCTTTGCCCAGTCTGGAATATGATCGAACATGCTTGTGTCCAAAGTGTTGGATATGAGGAAGTTTTTGCTTGTGTCGGATTTGGTGGTAATCAAAACGCTATAGCGTTGAGCAACCGTAAGATAGAGCTCGTCTACGTCTTGTGGCGCTGTGTAAACCCCATCTATCTCAACAATGGTCATTTTATGTCCATCAATCTTAGTGAAGGATCCAACGAAGGACCCCATGTTGATGAAGTGGATGAGATATGTCTTTTTCGGTTTTACTGTGAATTGTGCATTCTGAGTATCTGCCAAGAGTGCCGAGTTGGGGATGGGTTCGGAACCACCATTTTCAGCTTCGTTGGTAGCTGACTGAAAGAAGTTGATAAGACCAGGAGCTTGATCTTGGTACCACTGTAAGGTCTTTGTCAGCCACTCCAGTTGAGTGGTTATATTACATCACATCAAGGCTAATAAGAGAGTGGATATGGAAAAGGTAGAGAAAGCGCCGTTCTTACATCAGAAACGGTAATGGTTAATTCTTCGTCGAATTTGAAGGGAGCAGCAGGATCATGTATAATGAAAGGACCTCGAAGGCCATCGATGTATTGGCCTTTATTATGGGAATGATACCAGTATGGGCCAGGTTGGTTTACCTAAGTACGTATGAGCGGAAAACCAGCCAAATGTTAATTCAAATCTTACAATAAAGTCATAGGTGAAGGTTCCACCTGGCGGGATGGGACATTGTGTGACTCCTGACGGCCCATCCATAGCATTGGTGCCCGTTTGGAATATCCCATGGAAATGCAGAGAAGTGGTCTCATTCCCAAGCTTATTATTGAGGTTAACAATAACTCTGTCTCCGATGGTTGCCTGTTTGCATGAGTATAAATGGAATGAGAAGGGTGGCATTTGGGATCTCACTTCCATAGGAGGGCAGGGAAACTGGTTGTTGATCCCGATCACGGGCCGTCCATGTCCATCTGGAGCTGCCCATACCCAGGTCACATCCCAATTGTAAGTGACAGTCTTCGAAAGAGCTGTCTGGCATAGAGCCAGGCATGTGAGTAAGAGAACTGTCACCATTCTAAAGAATGGAAGAGACGTGACAATAAAAAGTAATATTGGGGGATCAGGGACAGAAGGGTTTTCTTAAAGAGAGACTGCCTTGCTCAAGTTTGAACGAATGTCGAATCATTTTCAGTTTCATGGCAGAGCTCACCGCGTGGACAGACCAATGATAGTACTCCCCGACAGCGGCTCCCAGGGGCAGGAGCTGCAAGGCTCACTCCCAACATCATGGAAGCCGAAATAGATCCGCCGAATACCGCGCCATAGAGTAGTCGTTAGCTATGGTCTGAGTCTCGATTATGCAATTTGAGCACTAGTTCGAAGGGTGTGCGGCTGTGAGACATCCAAGGCTTGAGGTCTTCGACCTCGAGGCTTGAAGGCAGGCCAAGCCCCTACCGACATGGGCGAGATACGAGGAAACAATAATATCTCAGCCCTAACGTCGGCAAGCATGATAGCATCTCACCACTTTTGGAACGGCAAATTGCCTGGACGGGACTGTGCGACAAATGGTCACGCTCTGCTAAGAAGCCGTGGATTCCCAGCGGTCAGCCCAAATAGCTCGCGTGACATTGGAACGAGCTGAGCCATGATCCTCTGCACCTTCAGCCTCAAGCATGGACATGACACGTGCGAGGGATTAGCTGGAGTTCCGCCCAACGTAAGCAGAAGATCAACTCTCATTTCACCTCGCTGCCTCACCAGAAGGCCAATGTATCGTATGACCAAGCGGCAGAGGCAGAAGCCTCGGATTCTTCTTTATCCCGTTGTTCGTAGTCGAGATGAGACGAATAAGTGCGGTTGAGTCAGCGCCTGCATGGAGTCCAGCGCGATCCGTGCAGGAACGGGACGCCTCATCGGGATGTGGGCATCCTCCACGACGACGGAAGCATGCCTCTTCAGGCTCACCTTACAGCATCAGGATCGTAGGACCCGTAAGCTGCCGGGGCCTCCAATTTTGGAGCGCGGAAGGATTGGGAATGTAACACTCCCTCTTTGAAGCTTCTTTCTCCGCAGACGTGGAAGCTTACTCTTACTCTACACGGAGAAAAGTAAGCCCGCCTTCCCAGAATCCATTCTCCGTTCTTGTAGGTACGAGCCTCAGGGGAGCAAGTCTGTAACCTCCTCCAGTCAGCAACCTATTGACAGTTCATCACGGGTCCGCAACACTTCTCTTGCTTCGCTTGTCGAGGGCCTCGATTGGGATCAAGATTTAGGGTCCTTTTCCCGGCGACAGGAGCGGGCCAGCCTAGGGAGGGAGGGGAGAGAAGCGGTCAGAGAGCGAGGGACATGTTGGGGTGTTTCTCAGTAAGCTGATAGTATTTCAAGACAACCCGAACCCCAGGAATTCGCGCCACCCAATATTCTGGGTGCGCTAAAGAGCTTGCGCCTTACCTCATCCCGCTGCGGGAATGTCACCGGCCAAGTGCCATTGGGAATCCGGGGGAAGAGGCGCCTGTCACCCCTCCACATTGGGATTGGGGTCCAGGACACTTTCTGCACCCTGCCACCAAATTTCAACCTCTCAGCACCGTTACACTCTCCACTCCTGCACCTTCATACAAGTACTATTGACTCTTTGTCCCGCCCGACCGCCAAGAGCGCCCAAGGTTGTACAGCAGCATGATGTATGCACTCAATATCGGCCACGAGGAGCTTCCTTGTCCCAGTGACATTCCGCGGATCTGATTGTTGGTCTTTCCAACCCATGCAGGTGCATTCAGAAGCTTAAAGAGAGCTCCGAGAAATTGAGCTTAGATTGCTCGCAGCAGTTCTAGTGACCAAGTAAGCTTTTTCCTCCAGCTCTTCTCAAGGCAGGCCAAGCATTTCCGAGCTGAAGTGAAATTTTCTGCAACCTAAATAAGACCTTCAAGGGTCTGGTTGAGTCAAGTCCAATCTTACACCTTTAATAGAACATTGACAACTCATCATTCTCCATCCTTCACTTTCGTACCTGCAATCAGACGTATTCGTATTGATCCCATGAAATGTATTTCCTGCCTCCATTCTGCCTGGGAAGCAAAAGTGAACAATATCAATCGAGCCTTGAAGGATGAGCGAAAGTAAGCAATGACACTTCGCGGAGGAACACCCTCCAGTCTCTTTCCCTCGAAGTGGCTTCTTAAGTGATCTTTGGTCTATCTCTGAATACGTTATTGCTTCCAGATTGTGAGCTCCTACCGGACGGAACAGGCCCTGTCAAATGTGGTCAGATGAATGTTTTCATCATTGGGGATGTCTGAATAAATTTCCTGCTTTCTAAACCGTCCAATGTTTAGACATGACGTAAACCTGAGAAGGATATTCATGTATTTATCCCGACTACCGCATTCGTTAATGATAAGCCCAAGATAGTATGTATAACCAAGCTTACTGCTCTGTCCAATCCTTTGAGACATTACCGGATCCCTTCCACCTCTTTGACTTATGCCAAATTTGGACGGATATGCTGCATAAGTCTCAGCCACTATTGAACTCGGTGTCTGCAGTGTCTCAAATTTTAATCACGCCTTCTGGCTGTCATGAGGTTCGACGATCGTAGCCTTCAGCAGCTGAGGGTATGACCCCACTTTGATCAAATTCAGAAGAGTCTTCTGCAAACGGCTCTTCAAAGCTTCGAAACAGCGGAGAAATGGCGATATCTTCGAGATAGGCGTATCTTAGCCGTGAGCGGGGCTTCCCTCTGAGACCAGTGTGGATCCAGAATTGTTTCTTCTTGATCATGTGTTTCCGATGGATGTCACCACTCCACCACATGAGTCCTTAAAGATCGCACAACCTTACCGTTTCCTCAGAGACGCAGCTTCTGAGGCATTGAGTACGAAGCGCAATCTAAACGCCAAGGAAGTCCAAGTCACATGAAGGCGGAGAATTTTCCATCACAAACAGAAGTTGCTGCATTATCGAGGCTATGTGACCATGACTACAATTCTCAGTTATGATAACAAAGTCCTATGTTATTTCCCATCATAACGCCACAAAATGTATGTTTTATAGCCTCAGAATCACACAGCTTCATGTTTCTCTCGTCATTCATCGGACCCTCATTCAAGCGAACCCCTTGCATATCTTCCCCATATTCACATCCAGATACTCCTTCTCCAGCTTCCCCAACCTCGCTTTATACTGCATAACCTTCCCCAACGTCAACTCCCCCACCGGAAACCTCTTCATCTCCATGATCAACGCATCCAACCTTCTCTGACCATCCGGTAAAAGCTTTCTATTCAGTCCGTAGGCGCCGGGAATAAAATTGCAGTTGCTGCATTGAATTCTTTCGTAGAATTCATCAAGTGCTGTTGCGACTGCTGGTCTCCATTCCGATTCCAAGAGCGCTATGAGCTGTGATGCGAGGTCTGGGTCATTTTTTACGCGTTCGAAGAAGGAGATGATGTCTACGTAGTCAGTGAAATCCAAGCCGTAGGTTGTTGGCTTAGATTGAGCTCTGGGACTGGAGCGAGTGAAGGTGGTATATTTGTGTGGGCAAGTGTCCGCGAGGAGGGTTTTAACTACCATTTTGAGTCGTATCCTGACTCCTCGTTGAACTGATAGTTAATCTCGTCAATGTTATGATGTTGAGGAGCAAGTGTTTGTGTTTTCTCTGTCTTGAATCCGAGAATAAAGTCTCATGAACCTGGAAAGTCTATTAAATATATACGGGTCCCTATTTCCAAATCCTCGAGGAAACAGCATAGGACCTTGTTGAAAGTTCTATCATATTGTACTCCAAGTTGGGCTCCTTCCAAAATAGGGTAGCAACTTCCACGACACAGCGAGCCAAAGAACCTCGATATATTTCTTTGACAAAGGTTTCGCGAAATACAAAGAGAGTTCGGTCCGAATGCATTTCTTTCAGCTCACTATCATGCCAAGAGCAAGCAGTGGTTTGGACTAATAGCTTCTTGGGACCGTCATTCGAACGAAATAAAAGAAAGGGCATCGTTGATGCAAATGTTCCCGCCAGTTCCCGTGCATTGAAGCTGTAACCTTTCTCAGTCTGTCACGAGTTGTGGATAACTTGTTTGGCGTTTCTGAACTGAAGATTCTTTGTCTCGAAAGCGGAGGGGATTCTATTGGTATCAGAAATCGCGGACGCAACGTCTCAGCGAGGGCATAGCAGCGCAACTGTAGCGTGACTATGGGGTGGCTCCATCGTTTTCCACAAGATATTACCGCGTGAGCTAATGGTGGTCGCCATGAAGGTAGTGACGCTCTCAAACGAGATTGCTTTGAAATATGGCAGTTCCCAACTAGAATACGAAATAACTATGTTTTCTGAAGAGCAAGCCACCCAGATCCAAGAACAAACAAAACAATTATTACCAGGAGTCATGCCAACGCCGCCTTCAACATCTTCCACATCCATCCCCAGCTTCCAAAGAGCGCCGTAGCTCCAGTACAAATAATAACCGGACCATACTGCGTATCATACCCCCATTTTACATGCTCAATCATCCTCTCGCCTCCCTTCAGCAAAACTGCACTCACAGGCCCAGCGGCCATGAATCCCACTCCTCTCCCTCCAAGCAAAAGTCCCATGACTAGGCCAGTCTCAACGCCTTCATCCGCCCTCTTCATCTCTTTCAGAATCCCAGAGTAGGTAGAGCTGAATCCGCCGGCAAAGAATCCATACGCTGCAGCGAAGATAACAAGGAGTGCCATTTGGGCCGCGAGACCCCAGAAGAGCAGTACTGCGACCGTGGATCCGATAGAGCTGATGAGGATTACGGTTGTGGGTTGGAGGCGATCTCCTAGATAGCCGGAGAATAATGATCCTGGTACGTTGGCGAGTGCGACGACAGCGATGAGTACAGCACCTGAGATAGAGGGGAGACCGAGGTCGTTTGCGTAGGATGCGAGGTAGGTTGTTGGGAGCAGGTATCCGAAGGCTTGGACGACGTTGCCAATCTCTAGCATCCAGAAACCTGACCTCTTTAAGAAACTCCAGGAAAGGGGCCGCTGAGTGTGAGAACTCGAGAGAGGGATTCGAGGTTTGAGGTAGAAGAGCAGAGGTGCGGTGAGAACGACCAGCGAGACGGCCCAGGCTTGGAGAGTCGTTCTCGGACCGTATTTATCGAGGAGTGCGGACATGATGAACGGCATGACCACTCCGGCTGCCGACTTGCCTGCCCACATTGTTCCATAAGCCATCCCTTTCCGGGCAATGAACCATTCGTCTAAGTAAAGGGTTGTTGGTGAAAAGAGGAGCCCTGAGCCCTAGATCGCGGGAAATCAGTAATTGTTTGAAAAAGGGTAGTCCGGGAGAATTAATTGCATTAGTATTTCTTGAGAAACTGGAGTGGAATTTCTTCTCAATAAACTTACAATAGCGCAAAGGACGCCCTGGCTTGCGATGAGCTGCCAGACTTGGGTAGCGTAGGATGACATGATTAGGCTGGCGACAGTAATGAAGAGCCCAGCCGGTCCAGTGTACGGGCGTAATCGAGGATATTTCGTCAGGAGAGTGAAGGTCAAAGGCATCATTAGATACATAAGACCGTTGAGCGTGGTACCGACAGTGGCGACTGCTCCCGGAGATCCTTCGGTTCCTTTGTGAGTGGTATAAAATTTCTGAAAGACACCAAAGGAGATAGAGTATCCTATAATGCTTAGTACGAAGAAGGGAGTTGAGAAATTGTGAGCTCACCCCACACAGGAGCTTGTATTAGAGTGCAACCTGCCAAGACCAAATAGGCTTGCTTGCCATGGTCTGTTGGTGGCAGTGAACGCATATCAATCTCAGCATTGGAGCTCTCTGGTTCCATTTCGGCATCGGCGAACCTGGGAGTTGCAGATGATTGCCTGCTCCCAACGCTCTGTAGCTCATGAGAATGGATTGATGACATATTTACTCCAATCGAGTCGGAAAAGGAAAGTGGTTGATACTTGAGAATCTGGAAATCAATGTTTGACCTGCGAACGACGATTATTTATACCTGCAGCATGCCAGAAAATAGACCCTTCGAAGAAAGTGGTACAAAGTTTGCACCTATCCAGGTTCTCTGTGGACCGGCCAATGATGCTCGTACTATATACTTTAGGGGCCGGTATCGCCGCGGCCTTAGGCATGAAGCATCAAAACTGAAACTATCCAGCCATGACGCAGAGATTCATAAGATGATCAAGATCTGCTTGAGAAATGGATGAAATGGTAGGAAATCGGGAAGCAGATTTGCTGCAAGGGAATGGCGCTTCTAAAGCTCCTCATGGCACTCAATATGATATTTGACACAGAAACCTGGTCATTGTAGTCACCTTTCGCTTGAAAGACTGGCAACTTGGACGGAAGAATGACCAAGAAAAATAAAGGATGGACCATTATTGAACATTTGAATATGAATTTCTTTGGAGGTTTTGAGGGACATAAATCTGATTCAGAGTGAGTCGACAAAATAGTTAGAAACGAAATAGTGGGCCAAAAAAAATGACTGACTTAATGCCATTGATGCCGCCAATTTCAATAATTGGCTCCTTGTAGGTGTCAAAGACACTGAAGCTCAACAGTGCAACTCACAGAATACTCCTGGATAAAGTCCATCGTTTGACGTCCCACCCTATCCCATGGCGGATCTGTCCTCAACAATAAGAAATCAAAAGCAGTAACAACAATACGTCGATAACGTGACTTAAAGAAGTCGATAGTCGGACCAAAATAAGCACATACAACGGAAACTTGCATCGCAAAATCCATGATTGAAGCAGATAAACTCTCAGGCACTTGCTGATCAGAGAATAAGAGAAAGAGTAGAAGATTTCACATGTATCAATCCAAATGATAACATGATAGCATCTCCTGATCGAAACTTGCTATCAATTTAGGTGACAAGGCTGATGTGGTGAGGTTGAGGTCGAGAGCCTTGGGACGGACCTCGCGAAAAGAAAGCCGTGAGAAAGATCAAGTGACAGGGAGTCCAACGTCGCGCCTTCCACCACCAACACCACCATCGTCCTCACCCTTCAATCAAACCCGTCATCATGGCAGACACCGAAATGGAGGTCGACCCTCCCCTCTCTCCCGAAGCCGACTACAAACAAGACACGAAGAACCTCTCTATGACCACCCACTCCAATGCGACCGCCGTCCGCTCTATCGAAGGCTGGATCATCATCGTCACGAACGTTCACGAGGAGGCCAGCGAAGAGGATTTGAATGACAAGTTTGCGGACTTCGGAGAGATCAAGAATCTGCATTTGAATCTGGATCGCAGGACGGGTTATGTCAAGGTACGTTGCATAGGGCTGCAGCATCTACTGTCACGCCTCGAATCTGGGACGGGCGAAAGCTAATCAATCATACTTCCTAGGGCTATGCACTCATTGAATACCCAACATTGGACGAGGCTCGAGCTGCGATTGATGGGGCGCATAATACCAAGTTGTTGGATCAGACTATTGAGGTAGACTTCGCATTCGTCAGACCGCCGCCAAAGGGGAAGGGAGGACGTCCACCTGCGAAAGGAAGAGCAAGAAGCCGGAGCCGTAGTCCTATTGCTAGAGGCGAAGGCGGTGACTGAAAGGCATTGGGTGTGGGGGCGATTTTTCCATGACGCACGGCTGGACAAAAAGCGCTGTGGTTGATTTGGCCGATGTGTCCATTATAGAGACATGTCGGCGTGTGGGATTTGGCATCAATAGTGCGTACACTGCCCGAAGATACTTGGATCTCGTACTAATAATTTTGTAGAGCCTCAATATCAAAATGACACTCGATTTCACCAAGCGTGCCCCTTCACTAAGGTATCACTGATACGTATAAACTGCAGATCTGAGGTGCGTGCATGATCATTTGTTCTACTCGCGATGCTATTGGAGATGGCTATTCCCTAGCTCTTCGTCTTGTGGAAGACTGTATGGAAGTTTGAGCTTCAAGGCGGCTCAATGCTCATTCTCCCCCTCAATGCTATTCAATCATACCACAAGTTGCTGTGTTTTGTCGGGGCAGCTTATGCCATCTGGATTATCTTAGAGATTTTGTACCCCCATTACATCCAATATGAGGGCCAAATTTGACCCGGGTCCCAATCAAGTTGCACTGAGGGACATGCAGCTCCCGGTCATGGGACCGATTGGAAGCCGAAACACCACACAATTGACACACTCAGGTTCAGGGTATATCACACAGTTTTTATACTTTCATCTTCAATGTCCAATTCGACACACGTTTTCAGCTTCACATATCACCGTGACCAGCAACTTCGACCTCCCGAAGGAACTTCGTTTGATAATATTCCATTATGTCTTTACCTCTCCCTCATGCCTTATAACCCTCGCCTCGTCAACTTTCACTAGCCTTTGGACCGATCATGATGCCACAAAATCTTCACTGAGGAGTTGGATAAGCACGAAGTCGTCTCTCTATTCATTCTACGAACCTGCAAGATGTTTTACGAGGATTGCAAGGACCTCCTGTGGGGAAAAAATACTCTCTATCTAGACTCACACTTCGCCCCTGGTCCGGCCGAGACCATCTATATACAAGTAGCCAAATTTGTCACAGCATCAACTTAATCCAATTCGAGATTGGCTTCTTTGATTGCCACGGGACCAAGTAAGCGTAAAAGGGCTAAACCCAGCCTTCAAGGTTATCGGGTCATAGAAGCATCTAAAGAGCATTTCAGTGCTGGTCCGAGAGGATTGGAACGCGTGTGCCTCTGCAATGTACGACTTTGCGATGATACAACCAGGAGAACGTGGAGAACGTGCAGATCAACGGTGTATATTGACAAGATATTTAAAGCTCTTCCAAAAAACCGCGGAAGAAGGAGAATGTCTTCGCCATGTAACGCGAAAACTTCATTTCGATTTCTGCGATGTGGTTCACGGAACTCTCCCGGTTTCCGCTCTCCTTTGGCGGCGAACTTATTGTCAATGGTGACATATTCTACTCAGATGGAATCCAGAAGGAGCGAATTATATATGCTTTTTCGGATCCAACTGAACCCGAAATCCACAGTCCATATCCGGCAAAGGAATATGGTCTCCTGAAGCTAATAAATATTCAAATTGATGCTACTGGAGACAGTGGAGAGCTGGTAACTATTATGTTGACGGCTGCTACGAAGTGGGAAAGGTCCGAGGTCCGGAAACATATACTGGGCTTAACGGCATTGCTGGTATCACAGATAACAAAGGAGGAGAGGGATGAGGTTCGTGCAGGACTTTAAAGAGTGGTTTGCAAAAGGGCCAAAGCACCTGGGTAATGTCACTAAGGGGAGATGGGCCGAGTCATCCAGAGGGTTTTGTTCAATAACCCAGAAAATTGAGGAATAATGTAGAAAATAGAAAACGGTGGGAGCCGGACAAATCTTGACCGAGTCTAGAGGACGGACATTGTACATCTTATGTTTAATGCCAAGTGTTCTTGTAAATCATCTTCCAACCACGGGGAAAGGGATTATGGAAGGCGTTGTTTAGATGTGAATTGAGAACTTTAGTAATTGTGAATAGAAAAAGCGAGCATTGAGGAACTCGAGTAGATTCTGTTTGAGATTTCGAGTCGCAAAAAGAAACAAACCTAAGGTGAACAAAGAAGGTAGACAAAGAGCAGGTAGACAAAGGGAAGGTAGACAAAGAGAAGGGCCAATCCGTTAATTCGCTCAGGGGTCTGGCTTAATGCAAGAAATATGCAGGAAATCTTAACTGGACCGTTACTAGAATACGATACTTGGTGTTTATTAGAATTTAACAAATGTTCAGAATTTGAAGTTCCTAGCCCAGCTGAGCATAAGGTAAACCATCTCAATAGCCAATCAGCTTCCCTATGACCCATTTTCACGCGGACACTAAGCCTATTTGAGCGAAGATTTTGAAATAGTGATATGTATTAAAATAAGGCATTTTTTTGACAATTGCTAAAAAAGGTGACGTGGCCGAGCGGTTATGGCGTATGTGCAACCAGGAAAGCCACCAACTTTGAAAATAATTACTCACAACTCTCTTTTCTGCAGGCCAGTTTCAGGCACAACTGAAATCTAATATACTGGTTCGAAAGAGCATGGGTGTGAGTTTAATTGATTTGAATTCAAAGTTGTTTTCTAACAAACTTTAGTCGAATCCCATCGTCATCAGCATTTTTTTTTGCATTTTTGAGCCCTTTTCACAGTTCCGAGCTGTGTTGGTGTGCTAACACGTTTCTGTTAAGCGATTCGGTAAAGGAACGAATCCAAGGGCGTTCTATCTAGAACACTGTAAAGCCGTTGCTGGCCACAAGACCACCCCGTCCCGCCCATCACTTAGCCACTAAACCCTAACTAGATGCCAAGGGTCACAAACGTCAACCACGCGGACAACATCTCCGCCCTCTTCATCCTCAACCGTCCCTGAACGTTATGATCTGGTGACACTTCTGCACGCTATTCTTTATGGCAAGAATATAGATGTCTTCACGTTTTCCTCCTTGATCGGCGCGTGTTCGTTTCCTTTCTTTTGGGTCCACCTCCAAGATGTTTGCCACGACTCGACATCCTCGGATTGGCTTCCTCCTGCTTTGGATATGCGGAGTACTCTTTGCCATTGGCACTTCTGGGCATGTTCTTGAGCGAGGGGGAACTCAGAAACCGCTCTTCGACAGCGAGCAGAATCCTCTGCCAAGCAAACCCGATTCTGCTACCCTCCCCGCACTGCTAGATGCGCTGGACGTTCTGCAAGGAGATTATTTTGCAATCTGGCAGGGGATTTGGCCAACATCAATCGATTGGACATCTGCTGTAATTGGCACGTATCTATCTGCTGCCCTATCTACCATCTCGGCGTCCTTTCCGAATCTTCCCTCCGAGAAAAACGCAGAGAACATAGTCAACAAATACTTCTCGCAGTTATCAGCCTCATACTTCGGACAGGATGCTTTCGCTCTGCGTCAAGAAGCATACGATGATATGTTATGGGTGGTGCTGGGCTGGTTGGAAAGCATAAAGTTTATTCAACTTCATTCTAAGGGCCATTATGCCGAGGCAGAGAAAGCGGGGTCTTGGTATGGCGAGGGATGGATTCCAGCGTTTGCACATCGGTCTAGGATATTCTGGGAAATGGCATCTCAAGGTTGGGATACTGAGCTTTGCAATGGGGGCATGATCTGGTCTCCATATCTTGTGCCCTACAAGAACGCCATTACCAACGAGCTCTTCATTGCGGCCTCCATATCGATGTATCTATATTTCCCAGGCGACAACAACAGCTCTCCGTTCGGATTCTCTTCGCCCAATTTCGATCCGGTGGATCGCCCTGGCCGAGCTCGTGATCCTCAATATCTTGTGGCTGCCATTGAGGCATACAGATGGCTCCTCGACAGCAACATGACAGATGCAAAGGGACTTTTCGTTGATGGATATCATATTTCTGGGTGGCAACGCGAACGACTCGATAAAAATCGCACAGGAAATACTCGCTGTGATGCTCGCAACGAGATGGTGTACACGTACAATCAAGGCGTCCTTCTCTCTGGCCAACGTGGACTCTACGAAGCCACAGGGGTGCGATCGTATCTAGAAGACGGCCATAAGCTAGTCTCGGATGTGATTGCCGCCACTGGTTGGGATCTGAAGCGTGGAAACTCGTTCGACAAACTCGATGAACCGGACTGGCCAGGGAGAAAGTTGGGTAAATGGCATGGGCTCGGCCGTTCTGGTATTCTTGAGGAGGCATGCGATGCTCCAGGCTACTGCTCCCAAGATTCACAGACCTTCAAAGGCATTTTCTTCCATCATTTAACCGTCTTCTGTGCTCGATTGCCAGACCACCTTATTCTCGATGGAGTGTTTGTTGGGAAGGATGTCGATACCGGGGAGCCTGGTAGCATTGAGGAAGTACGGAAGTGGCACGATGAGCAATGTGCCCGCTATGGACCTTGGATTAAGCACAATGCGAAGGCAGCTCTGACTACCATTGATACAGAAGGCCGATTCGGGATGTGGTGGGGTGCTCCACCACACACGAGCGCAGTGCCAGACGTTGATGTCGACTTGCCTGCTGAAGCAGTTGACTACCGGAACCATGGCGTGCCACAGCAATGGAAGAATAAGCCACGATATCAGCGAGATATCCACGACGGAAGTGATGACATAAACGAGAACTCGGCCAGAATTGGAATTATGGATTTGAATGATAGAGGAAGAGGTCGGACAGTTGAAACCCAAGGCGGGGGGATCAGTGTTTTGAGAGCACTGTGGGAGATTGTAGATACCCGATGATGAGTAACACATGAATGCATGGTTGGATGATGATTGGGGTTGGCTTTGGGGGACTACCGGTATTTCAAGCATCTTATATACAAAGGCGTTTTATGGTTGGTAGATACATGGAGCAATTCACACCATCCCTCCAAGCCTCCTGGCTGACGTTGCCCTTGCTTGCGTTCTTTCCGCTTTCACTTGAGCTTTCCCTGAGTATTCAATTACCTCACAGTTTGCTTGCTTGCCACACAACAACCACCACCACTCCGATTCCTAGGAACACTGGGTTTGATCGCTCTCAACCTTTCATCTGAGGGGCATTGAATTCACTCCATCGCTAGCTGGTGTCTTCGTTCTTCAGCTTCTTTTTCCGCTGCCCTCTGTTACCCTTCCTCGTGTACCAACTTCGACCTCAACATCACCATCTCATCTACTCCGCCCAACCCCACCTCTACACATCAACGTATTTGCTTCTCATTCGCATTCATTCCAATACAAGACTATCACTCGTCATTAGCCGTTCTGGATAACCTCGTTCACTTTGGCTTTGCTAATTTTGCCGCCTGGATCTTTCAAGACTACCAATACCAGTTTTTCTCCTCACCTTCGCACGTTATACGCAAGGAAACCGGTACAGCCTTGGCCGTGAGGCGACAACTCAACTCCCTCCTTACGCTCTTACACCTCTGAACTCGATAAGCTCTCCATCTGCCAAGATGAATCAACCGGCAACAAAGAAGGTGAAGACCGACAACGAGCCCAAGAAGCCACTTATCTTCACCTCACCTGGAACACAACCTGATGTTCGTCTCCGCGTTTTCGATCAAGATTTCCTCGTTTCCTCAGGCTTACTCAAGATCAACTCCGCCTTCTTTCGGAAATTCCTCGAACCTTCTGGCGGAAAAGTTCCAGGTTCTTCAGAGATATATCAATATGAGTGGTACACTTGCATTGATGAAAGTGATACCAATTGCTGGTCTCTCAGTAATGACACAAAGGTAAAGTGGCACATTCTTCCTTCTAACAAATGCTGACTCGGGCTTCCAAGTTTCGTGATGCCGGCACCTCCAAATTCACAGGCTCTCCTTCTAAACAGCAAGAGACTTTTCGGAAGCTCCTTTGCGCTGTATTTAGCCGGCCTTATGATATTGGCCATGTTTATGATCTTCAGGTCATGACAAAACACGCTGAATACTACTGCTGTCTACCCATCGTATCGCACTCCCTATGGGGTCCCTTGGTCAACAGCCCTAAACTCGTCCCAAGCATTGGACAAAGTCCTTGCCTCACCCTCGTTGCCGCTTGTAAGCTGCGACACAAGCAGCTCTTCAAAGACAGTTTTATTCATTGCCTCGGTCCCTGGAAGAATCCTGAGTACAAGCGGCTTGAGGAGCTAAAAGAACTCAAGTTGTTTGCAATGGCAGAAGGCGCGCATATCAAAATGTGTGCCAAACTTCTTGAGGTTCAACAAGGCATGGTTGACATTTTCGCTGACGCAGACGACTGTTTTAAGGACACGGGAAGGACTATGGTGGATCTAGCCGATCAAGCATTCGACGATAAGCATAAGGTACTTCTGCCTCGGTACTACCGTTTATGCCACGACCATGACTACAAGAGCGAAAAGGGCGCGGCAGCTGTCAAAAAGCTTTTGGGCCCTCTTCTCAAAAAGAACCTGGTTCTGGATAAGAGTAAGAATAGTTCCGGACAAGGCGAGTTCAGGGACTTTTTTCTATCTTACCAAGTCAATTCCTATCCCTGGGATGACTCTCAAATTGATTGGTAAAGTACGTAACTGGAATTAAGTTCGATTCAGCTCTACTAACTTTTAATGAGGTAGCCCGAACAGCTATTGATTCCATAAATACTGGGTTTCAAGTGGTTTCTCGACGATTGGGCTAGAACCGAGCTCTCGAGATCTGACACATATGGTTCAAGAATTCGGTATTTGGGGGGACGAGGCCTGGTTTATTTGCATATTGAACACGGGTATCTGTGCCTCAGCACAGGACATTTTCATTGATTTTAAAAAGGAGCAGATGGCGCTCCGGACATGGGTCTATGGGATAGGACTTCGGCATCAGGGTAATACCGGGAACGCGATCAAAAATGCGAAGAAGTTTCTTGAAACGAAGGTCTACTGAGCTCTTCCGCTCCTCCGTTGTAACTTCAAGCCCACTAGCCACCCGCATTTTCGGCAGGTTTTTTCTCCCAATTTGCTCTTGAGGTTCGCAGCAACTCCCTATCCTGGAGTTCATTCTGCATTACTTTTCAGTTCCACCTTAAACTCGGCTCTCTTTACCTTTACATGATAGCCCGCATTTTGGCTTCTCTTACCGTCCCTTGCCAAAGCGTTCTGGCCAGATCACCTTCAAGTTCACATCTAGAGATTGACTTTCATCCACCTGCTCGTTAGGGAAGCTGTAGGCACTGCCAACTATTTTCTCCCTCCCATGGTTAACCCTTTAGCCTCTTCCCTGTTTTTCTACCTCGACGTCTCCGACACCTTCACTGCACTTCCTCAATCTCCAACCTACTTCTGTACATTGACTAACCTGCCTCTCTCTACAGATTCGGATAATCCTCAACTTTGAAGATTTATCTGCAAGACGAGTTGACCACCTACACCCCTTCCCTACCTTAAATTACAGCTTCTCATACTTTCGAAATCCCAGTACACGACAACAGTGCTACCTGGCCAAGGAGCTGTCAAGCACAGTACCTTCGCCTTTGGCTTTCCACATCTCAGAGCCCCAAACTCCAGAATTAGGCCCCATCCTTCGTCTTCCCTCTTCCACTTCAGTCAACCTGCATCGGCATACTTCAACTCCCCCTGCTTCTTAATTCCTGCAGCCAAGATGGATCCGCCACTAGCAAAGAAGCAGAAGATTAATCCCAAGAAGCCTATCACCTTCAAGAGTGCCAGCATGAAGCCTGATATTTACTTCGAGGTGTTTGGTCAAGAATTCCACGTCACCTCTATGGTCTTGAAGCTCCGCTCTGGCTTCTTTCGAACCTTCCTCGACCCTGCTGGCGGCAAACTCCCAAAGTCAACCCAGCCTGGTTTCGCAAGTGAATGGTTCACGAGAATCGACGATGATGGAGCATGGGAGCTTTCTTCTGACCACCAAGTATGTGACAAGAATATTGCTCGATTATTGTTCAGCACAATGCTTAACTGGAACTGATAGTTCCGCACCATTACTCTTTCCGAATTCAAGGGGAGCAAAGACCACGAGGAGTTGTGCTTTCAGAAACTCCTCTGTGCAATCCATGGACGAGCATATCAGCTCGAGAATGCCGATGAACTGGTTACTATGACGGATATGGCACGTTACTACCAAGTTCGTCCTGTGGTCTCTCCAACCGTTTGTGCAGCTACATTCAAAACCCCCAATTTCTACACCACCATTATGAATGACCCTTGCTCAGTTCTGACGTCTGCCAAGACACTGCGGAATGATCTCCTCTTCAAAGATAGCCTCCTTCTTTGCCTTGGCCCGTGGTCAGAACCAGCGTTTTTGAAGCTCTCAGACCCAGAACTGCGGAAGACTGCTGCTGCGGCACACGCTAGGATCTGTGCCAAGGTTGCCAAAGTCCAACCAGAGCTGCTGTTGGTAAATATCAAGTACCAGCCGACTGGGCAGACAAAGGAGGCGAAGCAATCCTATCAAGATCCCGCTAGGGTTCTTGCAGATGTGGCCTACAGCTGCCGGGGCATTCGACAGCTTAGCAAGGACGGATGTTGGCATGACGTCCTCCTTCTACCAATTTACTATCGGAGGTGTTCGGAAGTTGGTTCACAATCTCGCGATTGGACCACCGCTATTCGAGAAGCGGTTGCTCCTTTGCTTACCAGCGATCTCAGGATGGCATCAAACGTATTGGCAGGAGTTGGACAGTTCAAGGATTACTTCCTCTGTAAGTCATTTTCTTACTTTAAAATCTTTTTCGAGGCAGAAGTCTCTCCACGATCTACCGCAACCGCATCTATTTTACGTGAACACCTTCGAACAATTAAATAAATCTTGATCTCTGACTTTTGCCAGGTCTTGATTTTGATGATTCTGATCTTCCTTGGGGCCCTGCCCAATACGAGTGACACATCTAGGGTGAGTTCTTCCGTGCTTGTTGTATCTTCATCTAAAAGCGTATTGATGGGAAATAAACCATTGGAGGCTATCAATTGCCAACTTGATGCAATTTCTTTTTGAACGGTACATCCGAGTTTTTCTTTTCCATTAAATGTGGGTTGGCAAGAGGGTTTTTACCTTGGCGGGACATCTTTTGATCTGCTCGGGTTGTGCATAGTGGTTTTTTCTCTCGATTTTCCAGTTAAGCGCTGAAGCAGAGTTGAGCGACGCACTCCTCTGCTTTTGACTCGAGCTGAGCGGGAGCTGTTGCTACAACGTTCTCGAAGCTAGGATCAATAATACAGAAATTCTCTTTCAAAATTATGGATTCCCCAAGTTTTTTGCTAAATTTTTGTGGCTTCAATTTGACTATCACCACAAATTCTGACTAAGACTTTCTCATCTTCAGACAGTCTGCAGATTCGATGCCTGGATACAACCCCTTTTCATTTAGCGAGCACGTGACCGACCATCTCAAAAGTAAACAAATGCTGACATCTCGCTCACCCTCGAGCGTCTTGGTGTACATGTTAAAGCATAGCTGTTTAAGTTGATTAAGGCTCTAGTGATTACCTAGTTCATAGAAGAAGAACTCCTAAATGAAAGCACTTCAAGCAAAGTCTGGCATTGTCTTACTCAAGAGCTCAATCAGAGACATTCAAACAAGGACACATCTAGAGAATGCTAGAGTACGCGAGAAAACATATGAAATCTTGGCAGCAGAACAGGAATTATTTATGTGAAGGGGTGACGCTGAACATGAAGGTCGTTGTCACCCAGGAGGCTGCGGCTGCCTCTCGTTACCATCACGTTAAGCTAGAACACCACAAGGCGTGACACAGCACGAGGCTCAATATCAATTATCACATCTGCAGCATTTGGAGAAGGACAGAATTATAGAAACTTCCCGCCCGTGCTTTTGTGCTTCTTTGAGGCGGGCCGGTGATATGATTCTATTATTCCTTGATGGTGCATTGAAAGAAGCATTTTGAACCCCCAGAATGAGACTAGCTGCGGAAAGAGAAGCACGTAGCACCACATTTCCAGTTTATTTAAGAGAAGTCCCATGTAATCTTTCCAGACTTTCAGTTTGGGTTCCATCTGCTGCACGTGTCCGTCTGCCTGCAAACCTAGGGTCTTTCCCGTGAGAACACTTCCCACTCTCACTACAAAAGCCTCCACTCGGCTTTACATTGAAAATTACTACTCCACGTTCTTCCATCTCAACCTGGGATATCCGGCGTAGCCGGACTCTCATATTGCCCCAACATCATCACTAAACATTGGCAATGTCGGATATTCCAGCTCCTGTGATTTCTGACACCAAACCACCAATTGTTTTCAAATGGCCTGGACTGAAGCCAGATATTTGCCTCAACGTCTTTAATTAGGAGTGCCACGCTCATTCGGTGCTTCTCAAACTGCACTCAACCTTTATTAGGGCTTTCCTCGGCTCACCAGATAAGAGAATCTCATCCGAGATTTCTGGAGCAAAGCCATCTCGAGGATTTCGATACGAGTGGGTTACGAAAGTGAACGAGGACAAAGCCGGCACTTGATTGCAGCCCCAGACACCCCTCAAGTATGTAGATACCTACCGCTATCAGAGTGAATTGAGCAATGCACAAATAGGTGGCATCGACTAACTTCGTGCGCCCGGAGCCATCTGACTTCTCTACGGCCGAACAAAGCCCCGGTGTTGAACAAGCGGCATTCGAGTTTCTAATTTATGCAATACACTTGAAGCCATACGAACTCGACGGCGGCAGCGACTTGATTCTTGCGACTACATTCACTGATTACTACATAGCCCTTCCAATACTGTTCGAGAGTCTGAGTGACACATTGTTGCAAGGCAACAGCGCTGTTGCTGCCTGCATATTAAAATTATGCGGAAGAGCTTTTCGCTATCCCTTCGTCCGCTGAGACATTGCCACATTAGCGGACGAAGGGATACAGTAACCAAAGCTACGACTTTCCAGTCTGAGCCAGGACCCCTTGCTAGCGTGGACTATGTCTCGCCAGACGAGGGGATACCGTGGGTTCCTCCAAGGATTGGCAAGGTGGGTAAGGCATTCCCTGAACAACATAGAGTTTCTCGGCTTCAAGGCTACGCTCCCCCCCTAAATAAATGTAATAGTGGGTCCCCAAATCCAGCCTGGCACGGTCCAGTTGCCATACCAAAAAACCCCTGCACTTGGACCCACTGTTACATTTAATTAGGGGGGGAGAGAGTAGTTATTCGTTGCATTTTCGCCCTGTGCCAGGGCCCCTTGCTAGCGTGGACTATGTCTCGCCAGACGAAAGGATAGTTTAACCTTTTGTCCGCTGAGACACCTAAAATATACAACTGTGCGTTTCTCTCCACTCGTGACCCCGTTGGTGTCACGGCGCCTTACATTGCAGCGGGTAGAGCCTTGAAAAGGGCTGCACGAGGGGACACATGCAATTTTAACAAAAGACACAAGTAAGGGCGGTACAACCAAGATCGACAGAACACTTGAACGTCTACCTTCGCTCACACAAGGTCGAGGTATAATAAAATTCCATCATGATCCAACTTCTGAGACTCACCATCTGCTTCTTACTCTATAGTATCAACTTTCAAGATGATTTTGATCAAACTCTTTCCAACCTTGTGGGCCTTCACCTCACTCATTATCTGTCTAGACGCTTCTTCAATCCTCGAACAATCTAGGAACCATCCCAGGTCTCACCCCACTGCTGGAAATACCCGTGATTCTTTCCTACAAAAGATCTTGCACAACTCTGCTGATTATGGAAACTTCTCGGCGGCTAGTCCCAGTAAAGTGCCACTTAAGGTGGGCATCATTGGTGCCGGCGCTGCTGGTCTCTATTCTGCAATACTGTTGGAAAGCTTGGGTATTGATTACGAAATTCTTGAAGCCAATACTCGCATTGGGGGGAGAATATACACGCATCGATTCGATGAGGCAAGATGGTTGAAATCCAAGCCAGGACAGTCAGACTACTACAACTACTACGTAAGCTTAGTTCAAAATTCGGGAGGTGAAATACTCACAATTCTACCCAGGACGTGGGAGCCATGCGTTTCCCAGGAATGGCATGGATGGACCGAATAATTGGTACTCAGAACAGCTCACTCGTTTCCTATATCAACGCCAAAGTCAAATCATCAACAGACAAAGTAAAACTGATTCCATATTACTTCCAAGCCAACGACACTTTTCGGCTTTACAATGACAAACTGGTATACAACCAAGTAACTCCTTCTGCCAATACCTTCGGTGTTTCGATATCAGAAGGGGGTACGATCTCCGATCCGAAGTTTTCTGCAATGTCTCCTGGTACGGTTCTGGATGATGCGTTAAAAGACTTGTTGACAGCTTTGGTCAAGGACTTCGACACGGGATTCGACAAGTTGATGGAATACGACCAGCTTTCTGTCCGTGCATTTTTACTCAAGCAAGGATATACATCCCAAGACATCGACTGGTTGGAGACAATTGACGATGCGACAGAGCATTACGATTGCGGATCACTGTCACAAGCAACACTTGAGGCCTGGATCTTTGACGAAACGCCTCTAAACAGCTGGCAAGCTGTTGAAGGCGGCATGGATCGTATCATCAATGGGATGGTTAAGATCCTCAAGAACTCGGTGGTGACTTCCAAGCGTGTCACAGGGCTAAAGCCAGGGGCTAATGGCTCGGTGACTGCTGTCATCGATGAGACAGAAGAAAGAAGCTACGCGCATGTCATCAACACTCCTCCACTTGGAGTAGTCCAAACAATGGATATGACAGGATTGAATCTCGATTACGCAAAGAAGTCAGCAATTCGACAATTGAGGTATGATCCAGCTGGAAAGATTGGAATGACATTCAAGACCCGATGGTAAAGTACAAACTAGTTTCCCAATTCCCGTTCTATGTTGACTGGGTATCGAGGTGGGAAAATCTTCCGGGCAAATTCAAAGGGGGACAATCCTTCACCGATTTGCCCCTCCGCCGTGCCGTCTACCCTAGCTACGGCGTCAATACCACAAACGCAGCAGGTGCCATGATAGCATCCTATACCTGGGGTCAAGACTCAGCACGTCTTGGAGCATTCTATGGAGACTTTACCAGCATTCCCCACGTCGTCTCCACCACAATTCGAGACCTTGCACGACTCAACAACGTCACCCACCAGTTCCTTCTTGATCAGTTCGTCGACTACCACGTATGGAATTGGTACGGACATGAATTCAGCATTGGAGCATTTGCTTCGTTTGCCCCTGCTCAGTTCTCAACTGTCATGCCGGCGCTGCTGCAGCCTGCGTATTTTGGGAAAGTCCACTTTGCTGGGGAAGCCCTGAGTTCTGGCCATGGGTGGATTATAGGTGCGTTGAATTCTGCATATAGGGCTGTGGCTGAAGTTCTTGCTGTGGAAGGCTTGGCAGGTAAGTTGCAGGAGCTGGTTGACACCTGGGGTTTGGTTGATGAAGTTGATATGGGATGGTACAAAATTGGTTGATGCAGAAGCGGAACTTCCAACAAAGCAAGTATGAGATTGTGACAACACGTGCACGGAACGAGTTCTTGTTGATAAATCAAGCTTGCTTAATTTAATAATACCGGCTCACTTTCAATGAAATCCACTCCTCTTGTCGTTCCTTGTTCTCGCCGCGTGAGTACCCAGCAGCTGGTGACTCCATTAACCACAACTTCAACTCCACTTTCTCTTTTCTTCGCAACCATTCCATCATCCAGATCTTCAACATTGCTGCGCTGGTGATAGCCCTTCTATCACCGCACATACAACACCTTTGATCTTCAGATTCGTCAGGGAACACTTCCAAGGTGGCAACACCAACACCCGCGAAGAGTCAGGAAGCCTCCAAACCCAAAGTTTCAATGGTCTTCAAACAAGCTGGATGTTCATTCAACTCTTCTGAAGCTCTATTCAACATTCTTCAGGAAGTTTTAAGATTCCCCTGATAAGGCGAATGCAACCAGAATGAAGGCCTTCAATCTCATTATACTCTGAGGTTTCGGAACAGTAAGGAAAAGCATACGGACTGAAGCAGACACAAATAAAGGCACCGCCACTCGCAAGCACATTCCGTTTCAGTCCATAAAGCATTTTACGTCCCGCCCTACGAGATCTACGATTGGGAAGAATTGGAGAAAACGACGTGACTGGCTGATTACTACTGCGTCTTACCTCTGTCTGTTGCCTACATTGGACAGAGCGCCACCAAATTCAAAGCTTGATCCGCTCGCTGGGCTTTTAGCTAGTTGTCAGGACCGTGGATTTTTCCATGGATACGAGTTGGAGGAGGATTATTCCGCTCTCGTACGTCTACCAGGTGGCTCTCGACCAGGGAAAGGTCATTTAGAAGATCGGTTCCTTTGCGCACATGTCGACGATGAGGATATTCCGTGAGATGTCAATGAGATTGGCTGGTGAAAATACGAGGCACGAAATTGGATATTGAAAAAAACTCCACTGGGTTGGCGGACGAGCTGTGTAGACATCCTACTGTAGAATTGTACCCAAACTACCTGTACTTCGCATATTGAAGCAAGCTTCCCTCTAGATGCACCAAAACCTTTCGAATATTGAGACAATATCGCCTCACTTTTGAGATTGCCATTCTGGCGCATTCAATTCACTCAAGATTCTGCTTCCAAAATCTGGAGTATTTAATACCGGTCTTGGCCTCGTCTTCCCGCCGCCACCACTCCTCAACTTTAAACAACCTCCTCTCCAGCGAACTGGATCAACCCACCAACAACGGTACATTAACCAGTCACATTGTTCCCAGAAGCTCAATACATTGACTTCAATCTTCCCTCTGACCAAAGATGGCACCGCCGGCCAAGAAGCAGAAGGTCAACAACTCAAAGTCTCTCATAGTCTTCCAATCACCCGGTCTCAAGCCAGATGTCTCCCTGAAGGTCTTCGACGTTGAGTTTCACGTCAACTCAACCCTGCTGAAGCTTCATTCTGCATTCTTTCGCACGTTTCTTGATTCGGCCGATAAGGTTACCTCAGCTTCGACCAATATCACCGCCAATGCTGATTCCGGAAGTGGTTCAACTTCTGATACTACCCCGCCTGAGGCCTCTGCTACAAGAGAGTCTATGGTTTATGGTGAAATGAAATACAAGTGGGTCACGAAGGTTGACGAAGGTGAGAAGGACAAATGGCATCTCGTCGCGGACAATCCGAAGGTATGTTCAGATATCTTGCGCTTCGCATTCAATTGTCTAAAAGAAAGTCGCAGAATGAGCCTCTCGATCTTGAGATCTTTACTGGCAATAAGAAAACCTAGGCGGAAATGTTCGAGAAACTTCTGTCCAGCGTCTATCTTAGGCCATACAGCATCGATTCCATCCTCAAACTCACGGACTTGACTGATATGGCGGACTATTACCGGATGCTACCAATTGTCTCTCACACACTCTCAAACGCCCTCCTCGACAGCCAGGAGTTTATAAAACAGATAAATACAAACCCCTGTGTCGTTTTCAAAGCTGCCGCTAAGCTGCGCCACAAAGTCCTTTTCAGAGAGGCTCTCGTCTGGGTTGTCGCTGACTGGAGGTTTCCGGCTTTCAAGGAGGATGGAGAGCTTCTCAATCCCAGACTTCGACAAGTTGCCAGATGCGTTTATGGTGAAATAGCCACAATGGTTTCAAGATCTACCAGCAAAATTATGGATGGCTTTCTTGCCGCTGGATGCACCGAATGGTTGGAGAGCTTTGGCAAGGGAGTCATTGACCCACAGAAAGAGGAGCATTGGGACGCATGTGACCTGTATCTATCCGATCGACCGGCTTTGAGTTTGCCAAAGTTCTTCCAAAACATAGTCTACAATGATGACTTGCCATACGATGTCTCGATAGATCCATTGTATCTCTCCGACCTGCTTCGGAACAATCTTGTTCTTGACCAGGCCGGAAGAGTGGCTGGCGAAGGAGACGAGAAAGACTGCTTTCTTTGTGCAAAAATTGAGGATGAGGACCTGCCATGGGACCCCGAAGAGCATGACTGGTAATTGTTCGGGAGCATATTGGAACATTGAGAAGCTTGCCTCTGGTAATCTCCTCGTGGTGATATTGGAACATTGAGAGGATCGAGTGGAAAATCTTCGGGCGGCATTGAGAATCTGAGGGATGAATTGGGCGAATCTTCGTATTGCTGCTGGTATTTTGAGACGACTTGACCGGGGAATCTTCGAAATGCCATTGGAACATTGAGAGAATCCACTTGGAGATTCTTTCAATAATCATGGAAACAATAAGGGGAGAAAATAGTAGACAGAAAAGCATTTTCAGAATCACACAATAGATTCCCATAAACGAAACAAGTAGTTGCCGCACTGTTCGAGCTATATGTGTAATCTGTCTTTGAGATATTCACCTATGCAATTAAATGATCCTTTTTCAAAGTGAAGCTAGACTTTGTGATCTTTGTGGACGCAGAAAATTCACTCTGGTCCTATTACTAGCGTCATTGGCAAGGTCTCGCTCACTCAACTGGAACCAACTAAATTTCCCACTCTATCTGTGACCCCCCGTTCACATATCTTTCCTCCAACCACAGCAAGGACAACTCTGCATTGTACCAACGAAAATCGGTCAACCTCGCAGAGAAGGGTCTGGTGAACATCGCGACCTGAAGAGTCCACTTCCGGTCGCTCTCCACGATGGCAACAACCAACAAGGCGGACGAGCTTCCTCAAAGCCCGATCATCTTCAAAGCACGAGGTATCGTTTCTGACGTTCGTCTCAATGTCTTCGGCACATCGTTCCACGTTCACTCGAGCATCCTGAAGCTCTATTCCCATTACTTCTTTTCCTATCTCGATGCTCCGGGCAGCGCGACTGCTGTCGCCGGTACCGCTTTCAAGTATGACTGGACTACAAAAGTGGTCGATGCAGGAGGAGATTGGCAGCTTGTAAGCAATAACGAGAAGGTAGCGTTCAGTTCCTCTTGAGATAAGACTAAAAGTAACGCCAAAGGACAGGCTGGAGACATCAACGTCAAACACTTCAAAGGCAACTCCAAGATCCAAGCCCTTACGTTCTATAAGCTCATTTGCGCAATGTACAGCTTGCCCTTCGTACTTCGGGGCCCCGACGAGCTGATCTTATTGACGGCGATGGCTCGATTCTACACTGCCCTTCCGGTTCTTTCGAGATCACTCCTTAACGCGATCATGCGAAGCCCAGATTTTCTGTCCAACATGCAGAACAGGGCAGTAGAGCTACTGATTGCAGCTAAGGAATTGAGACACCCCGAGCTTTTCAAAGACTGCCTTCTCTTGTGCCTTGGTCCCTGGGGAGCCCCTAAGTTCAACCAACTCGAAGATCCCCAGCTTGAGAGCGTTGCCATTCATGCGAGAAACGAGCTATGCCTTAGTGTATATGAAGCACAGGCACGCATCGTTAGCGCGATGGGTTATGGCAACTATACGGACAGCACTAAAATTGCGCTTGGCTCTGTGGAGTTTAATGCAGCTAAGAAAGTCTGTTTTATCTGGGATGACATCCACCCAGGGGGCGATCAAGTTTGCATGCCATGCTACTACCGCGAATTGCTCAAGGCCAACATCTCATTTTTCCAACCCTTGATCAAGTCGAGCTTTGAGCCGTTGATGGAGGATCGACTAAGCCTCATCAATGCAAACAATTTGTACAGACGCAGCTGCTACTTCCTCGGACTCGAAATTCGTGACGAGGATCTTCCTTGGGACCAGACTCAAATGGACTGGTGATCTCTTGCCAATTACCCAACAGTAAGCTATATAATGAGTCCTATAATTTCTGTCCCTGACTGGAAACTAGAAGCGATCCAGTTTGCACGCGCGGTTGGAGGATCAAAGTTCCTGCAGCTATCGAATATTGCATTCGCATCCTGGCTGAAGCATCAATGTTCTCATGCGCATGGGACAATGAAGACACGTTTCAGCACTTGCCGTTTACTCGACTTCTTTCCACTTGTCTACTCGGCTTCTTTCCACTTGCGCAGCAGTCAACTCCAGGACTCCTTCCTCCTCGAATTTCTTTCTTATTCGTCTCGCTTTGCCTAGGGCCTTGGCCTGAGGAGGGCAGTTCACCGAGCAGCAAGTGACGAAGAGGCACTTGACCAACCCTCTGCACCCCCTTGCGCTCACTCGAGCCTCCTTTCAATTTCACAAAAAAAAAAAAAACACCCCCCCAGCAAATAGTTCCCCTTCAGACTTCCCTTGTCAATCATTTCGGGTTGCGCAGAACATTGGGTTAAACAGCAGAGGCTCCGTTTGGCTTTGCTATTCTTGGCAATCTGCTCACTCGGGGCTCGCTTCTCGATTTCACAACAATTTGCGAACTCAACTTTTTTCCCTTTCTCTTCTCTTCAGCTTTCCTTTCTCGTCCATCTTGATGGCGCCAACATTGCGAATGAGCATTGGGAAGTAGCAGCATGGATTTCAACTCTCCGGAGGGAGATCGGTACATTGCGCTGGGTCGGTATTATGCACGCCGACTGGCGTTTGGAGGAGGGGTTTCCCATTGGCTTCGGTGGACTGCCTCTTTCTCGTTCTTTCTCTTTTTCAGCATATTGCAGAGTCGGGCACTTACAGCAGCTCAGGTTGGTAGCTTAGTAACGAGCTAAGTCTTTCACACGTCACCTCGTGTCCCCGTGTTCGTGATCATTCCTTCATCATCCGTTGCATTAGTTCGTAACCCCTCTCAACGCCATAGCGCCCAAAACCAGATTCTCCAACTCCTTCCTCTCATCCCCATTCCTCATCCCCACCCCATTGACACTCAGCCCCTCGATCCCCCCATTAACCTGCCCATTTCTCTTGGCACCTCCGCCTCCACCACCACTATTCAACTTGTAAATCTTCTTTACACGTGGCACATCTGTCATTTCAGCTAATACAGAGTCCTCGAATGGGACTTGTTCTCCTTCGATGGAGGATGTGAGGTGGGCTTGGACTTCCGAGGCGGAGGCTGGCGAGGATGGCGTGGAGACTTTGATGATTAGGAGGGAGGTGGTGCTAGTTGTTATGCCGAAGCGGCGGAAGGATTCTGCTATCTGGGTTGGAGTGAGTTGAAGGATACGAGGATCAAGACACAGAAGGATCAAGACAGAGAAGCTATCCCCGCAGGAGAAGCCAAGTGTGTGAGCGAGGGAGTTGGAAGGAATCGGGAAGCGACTCCGAAGCGGTGAACATACATTATTATTCGGAGACAGGGAGAACACAATTTCGGAATGGACATTTCGACTCCGCAATCTATTCTCTAAAAGATCGCTGACCGCCCGATAAGCGGCAGCTAGGGCGTGTATCTTTGAGACAACCTATCCACGCATCAGTGACGTTGAACCATATCACGTGATGGAACCGGAGAAGGAAAATCTTTTAGATGTCAAAGGCGCAAGAAAAAGCAAGGCTGCGGCAATACTTACCACGCCAGCATCAATGAGCGCATACTCAAAGTTCGTATTCCCATCTAGGAGCTGCTGCTGTAGGAACGAGGCATTTGTGATGTCTCGATATAGCGCGATGTGGATCTCATGGCTGTAAGGGAGGTGCTCGAGGCGAACCGTTTGGAGGAGTGCCATGGAGTCGGTGAGGGCCGCGACCAAGCGGGGGGACACTTGGAGACGTTTGATTCAGGGTGATGAAGGAACGTGCTGCAGAACAGGAACAAGAACAGGTACTGTACAGTAGTGTCTCATTCACAGCCTTGTGGTGTTGAAGAAAGACCTTCCTGGGCCTTGGCAGATGATATGAGGGACGCAGCCAGGGACGCAGCCTTGTGGGCTCCGCGTGAGGCGAATGTGATTGGACGGGGGATGCGTTGCGCTAGCTCCGGAGGCTTGCAGCTTCCCACAGGAGGGAGCGTGCGGCTGGGAATCGGGAAGGGATCGACGATTCCCAGTGGTGTGGCCCCGGTGGGTGGGAGGACGGAGTCAAGGTGGCGAGGTGGTGAGGCGACTGACAGCTGCTCAGCAACTTCAGCTTGCTGCAGAGTTTCGTATTTTTAGCTCTGTTCCTGACAGCTGATCTCGTGTTTTCCTCTGTTTTGGGGCGATTGGAGGCTTGGAGGCTTTCGAGGGCAAAAGGAAGTATTGAATGAAGCCCTTCGAGGCTTCGACCAGCTGTTGCGCCGCTGCCCTGCTGCCCTGCTACCCTGCCTTGGGGTGAAACGGGCGGGGGAGTTGAGGGAAACTCAAAACGAGTGAGGCCGAAATAGTGTGTAGTGTGCAGTGTACAATGTGCAGTGTGCCCTGTGCCCAAGTGCCGAATCTCCAACCTGCAGTATCTACCCTTTTAAATGGAGGGGTTTCCAGGCTGGCACAGACCAGAGAGACAACAGCACGAGCTTTAATTGGCTTGGAATGCCTGTCTGTGGCTGTCGCGCTCCATTGAAAAGGGGAGAGACGGTGCAGCGATGAAGCTTAATTATCTGCGAATCCTGGCCCTCGGGAGGCGAGGCAAAAGCGTGCAAGAATGCTTGACAGGAGAGCGCATTGAGAGCCAGCCGCCCCTGCCGTTCGTTGGAACTTGGATGCCCCTCGCAGACAAAGAGCACGCCACCGGGTGGGAAACTCCTATCAGAAGTCAACCGTGACAGTCAGCTGCAGCTTGCTTGGTTGCGGGGTGGACAGGTGGAAAAGGGTGGACACCGGAGTCTGGAAAGGATTGCCTGCCAAGAACATGGGAATTCCCCGCGATCCACTGGAGGCCTGAGGTTCGGAACATTGGCCCGCGGCCGGCCCTGCGCAGCGGAAAGTACAGTAGTACAGTACGTAAATCGAGGCATGGGCATCTGGAAAAGCATTTAGCCTTACGCAGTAAGCGGGCACTGTGCTGCAGTACTGGCTACTGTGCTACTGTGCTAGTACTGTGCTAGTACTGTGCTACTGTCCCACTGTCCCACTGTCCCTCTGTCGGTCGCTAGCGTCATTAAGCTCATTTGAGCCTCTGATGTCTCATCATTTCATGCTCCCTCCCACCCGCCGTGGAGAAGGAAGAAGCGGGACGCAACGAATCTTGGATGCCCGCTTGCCTGGGCTCAACGTCCAGTCACAAGGCCGATGCCTCTGCGGGCCTAGATGTGTGGATCAGGCCCAAGATTCTCTTGATATTGGCTCTCTGCTGCGCGTGTGCCAAGAACCTTTGCACCCTCCGACAATACTCGTGCTGGGCAGTCTGCGCCAGGGCATCCCGTGGGGGATTGGATTCGTGGAAGGTGACGACCCCGTCGCCCATGCAGATGGTCGCCGACGGCGGACCCCTTGATCTTGGCTGGGGAGGGCAGGCCTGCCGGGCCAGACCCCCAGGAATCCAGGATGAGCATGATGGACCCTGGCAGACATCATTTTCCCTTGTCTAAAGGTGGATTTTCCAGGGCCCGGAGATACATCTTCTCCTCTATATCCAACGCTGGCGGAATTCTGCAGACGAAAGTGCCTTTTCGATTTGAACGTTTGACGGTCACGAATACAAGACGAGGCGTGCTTCTCCTTCCCCCGTGGTCCTCAGTGCCGCTGCCAAACGGCAGTCGAGAATCCTAGGCCCAACGCGGCTTAGTGCCGAGGCCAAGCAGCAGCGATGACCTTTCACGGCGGGCACGATTTCTCGTCGCAGTATCCTCGAGCACGCATCAAAGAGGAGAGCCACCCTCTCGCGCTATATGCGACACCTCCCATCCAGGACCTGGGCGTGGGCGCTGTCGGACCAACTTCCCAGTTCCCAGAAACTCACATTCGAGGGCTTGAATATCGAACGGCTTCTTCCTTCAACACCACCACGGCTTCTTCCGGCGCATTTGGGAGAGTTGGATGCGAGATGCCTCAGAAGAGATCAAGTCCTGGAGAGGCCAACGGCACTCCTGCAAAGGTTGCTAAAGCTGAGCACCCCGAGGAGTTCTCGAATGCTGTCAAGAAGAAGTTGCAATCCTCGACGAGGACGGGCCAGGCGTGCGACCGGTGCAAGGTGAGTTCGATCTGTGGACAGACACGACTACGACCACCCACGTGCATTGCACAAGAGCTGATCTTTCATCCCATGTATATAGGTACGAAAGATCAGATGCGATGGGCTTCCCGGAGGATGCTCGCCCTGTCTGCAGAACAATACAGAATGTCGTACGACCGACAGAATCACTGGTCGCGCGACCTCACGAGGCTATGTCGAGGGCTTGGAGCAACAGAACCGCGACATGCAGCACCGGATTCGCGAATTGGAGCAGCGATTGATACAGGGAGGTGCAGATATTAAGCCTTCAAATGATTATCATGATGGTGCAGCTTCGAGTTACGACTACAATCAAACTTCTACTGCGCAACCTCCTGCATGGAACGCCGGAGCGCCTTCTTACACCCCGCCCAATAGCAATGGCAATGGTATAGCCACACAATCGCAGGAAACGAACATGTTTCGAGCTCTGCCAGCTTTTCGTGCGGGGTTCCCGGGAGACAATTACCTAGGTGTATCTCCTGGTAATTCGAACTTAAGCTCCATCAAAGGAACTGCACTGTCCATCTTGGGGATGGAAATCGATATTGCTGATTTCGACTCTTTGGATATGGACGAGCCTGACCCTTCAGTTTTCCACCCTCAGCTATACAACAAGTCGTACCAGGCCTTTTTACAGTCCGCATTGAACATCAATCCGAGAATTGAGAAGGTCGATTTGCCTTCAAGAGAGGATGGTTTTACCTATGCCGACTGGTATTTCCGTGTTATTAACCCGTATCTGCCTCTCCTCCATGGACCAACCTTCTTCAAACTGGTATGCTTCAAACTCTCAATATGCACCACAAATACTGATTGGAATAGTTGACTCGATTCTATGATGATCCCTCTTTTAGGCCAACCACAGCTGAGACGGTGATTGTTCATATGGTATTTGCCACCATGTTCTTTCAATACGCAGCCCGAAATTGGGAAGATGCAGCACAACAAGCAAGTCTGACCAATTCGTCAAACATGCACTACCATTACTCTTTAGGCATGTTCTATCAGCTCTCCTGCAGCCATACACTCCAGGATGTCCAGGCTCTGACCCTGATTTGTTCCCATTTGCGAAATTTCCCCAAACCTGGTGCTAGCTGGATCTTAACACAAACAACCATGTCGATAGCAATCGAATTGGGCCTACATCGTTCGGCAAGGAGATGGGCTTCGGATACTGTTCCAAACCATCTGGATATCGAGATGAGGAAACGAACTTTCTGGGCCCTCCTTGCCATTCACGTCACTCTCAGTGGCAAGCTCGGGAGACCAATGGCATTCAGGATCGAAGACTTCGATGTCGAGATGCCAGAACCCGTTGATGATGAGTTACTCACCGAGAACGGATTAGACACATCTAGACCGGGCAAGTGTGACCACAACATAGGCCTGCAGGCTTTTCGTTTCCTGCCCCTCTTTATGGAACTGTATAGCACTATCTATGCCGTTCGACGTTCCCCCGAGAATTACATATCAACGATCAACAGATTGGAGGCAAAGTTGCGGGCTTGGCGAGAGGGATTGCCACCGGATCTCGTCAGAGGCCAAGCGGGCGAGAATGAACAAGAGGGCCGGGTGTTCGCTCTCTACGTTCAGATGTGGGTGCTCGAATTCCGACTCCTCCTTCGGCATCCATCAGTCTCGGCCACCACCGACGAGACTTTCAACGCCGAGAGCATGAGGATCTGCGTGGAATCTTCTCGTCAAATGCTCGGCGTAGTACGTCAACTGCAGAAGTTCAGAAGTCTTGATACTACGTGGTACAACAGTGCTGTCTATGTCTGTGCGATCACTACAACTCTCTTCGCACAGTGGGACAAGCGGAATGAGGCATCAGCTACTGATTTGGCAGCTCTGAGAGAGGAGATGGACATCTGGCTTGATATCATGAGTGATGTTGGGTCTTTGCTAGGTATGTAAAAGAAATTGTGCTCCCAAAAATTTTCTAAATAATTTTAGGATCCGGAAATCGTCTTCGAGAGGCTGTCCGAGTCGTTACTGATGGGACACTCAACCACTTAAGCCGTAGCCTAACTGGCAAAACCACTGCCTACGTTACAAATAATAATGGTACCGTTGAAGACACCAAGCCATCCGCACCGGCACCAACTCCCACAATTGCCTATAGCACATCTACGACTGCCCAAGGTTACCCTTACTCGAACAGCCCTCCCAAAAATGGAACGAACAACTCATCATCATACATGTCTCCTGATGATGCCCCACTACATGACAGCACACCGTATCCTACCGCCACCCAGTACTCTACATATCCCGATTCGGCCCCATCCGTTGCATACACGCCGTCACAACCTCCGAATACCTATACTGCATATCCTCCTGGTAGCGACCCAGTGGAGGCACCTCTTCTGGCAGCCTTTGCCGCACAAGCTTCCCAAGTTCACGCAAGCCAGAACCCTGCACAATGGCGTACTCAACCAAATTCTGTGAACTCAACCAGTCAATCTTGGCAACAATGGACTAGCACCATGGCAGGAAATCTTGAGGCTCAAGATTGCTACAGTGCCAACGCACTGATGCAACTGGGTAGCCGAGACTTAGCTGACGGAACATCTGGAGCAAATGGGCAGGGAGGAGATGCTCAGACAGGTGTGGGAGTCGGCCAACTGGATCATGGTCATTTGGGCACATCGGTTCCAATGGGTGGAATATGGCCTCTGAATGTCTTCGACATCGGACAAGGACAAGCAGGGTCATGATAACCCGGCGTTCTATGGGTCTCAAAAAGGCGTTTCTCACTGGCTTTGGCTCTGGCGTTCCACATGAGGGATGGATGGCGTCTATGTTTATATTTTCTTGGGAGGGAAGCCTCCTAGCATACTTCTTCGGAATATCGGAGCTCATGGCGTAGAACCAATTGTATCGACTTCAGCAGCTCAACCGGAAGGGAGAAGAACCTTTGATCCGTTGTATGATAGGTAATATCGTGTTATTATCAGAATCTGCCCAACCTGTTTTGACCTACGTGAAGAGACTGCCTGCCGGATGCACATTTTTCATCGCTCTAGTGAGCTATTTACATCCAGCCAACTTTTCCACTCTTTCTTTCTTCGAACATTTCTTATCCTTTATCTTGCCAAGAGTATCTGTCTCGCTGCTGGTCCGTGTAATTTCTGATCATGACAGTGAACTCAAAGAAAAACTAGCAGTGAGCATTGTGGCTGATCACGACAGTTGTCCTGCTGCTGCGAGTCCCTCCAAACATAATCCAATAATCTGCCCAGTTCCTCTCGGACGGTCGGTGCGTTGCAATAGGATATCTATGCATGGTGGATGGCGTGACCCCTTGGCAACCCAACGTCCTTGGGCTCGATAGCATAATGTCAACAATGAATCAAGATCCATGGAAATAATGTAGCGGTATCTGATTAGGATACACTCACTGACCATGCGCATTTTGCGGTTTGCCAGTAACCGACACCCTTTCCATCTAGTGGATTCCATTCCTATGTGTTTAGCCTCGAGCCTCCACCCTACCTATACACACGCCGATTTGATGAATGCCATGTCGACAGACGAGGTTCTCACATTGAGAGGATACAAAAAACACATATAGCCTCACTATCTTCTCGGACGGCTCTTCTATATAATGTGCTGTTGAATGCGCTTCCACAAATGAACGTGCACGAGAGCGCATACCCAACATATACCCTAGTCTTCAGCTATATTCGGTAGGCATAGTAGCCCCTCAAGTAATATTTAGACTATCACCGGCACAATTCCGTGGTCTTGTTTGCTCTATCGAAGAAGGCCCGTACTCTCCTATACGACGTGGCTCGGCCAACAATGTCTACGTAATTCCCACCCCTATTTATCTCACTACTCCTATGCCCACACTCTCCGCAGTTGCATGCTCTTTCGTCGCTGCCTGGATGCTAATAAAAAGATGGGGTTGTGTCATTGAAATCAATTGGGAGACACGCCAGGGAATCTAGACCGGGTTGAGGAGTCGATCAAAGGTACGTATGGCACTACCATTGAAGGCACGAAAAATGGTTTATGTCATGATTAGAAGACTCTGGGCTCTTTCTAAGTTTCATGTGTGGGCCGCTTTGGCACTCATTATTCTTATCGTCGGCGGGAGTAAGTTCTTCACTGCTCAAGTGAGGTATCCAAATGAGCCTATGTCTAGTATCTGTAGGTAATGGCGTTGCCTTTGTTCTGATGGGTCCAGATCGCTGATAGAATTTCCCTGGGATGTAGGCGAATGGGCTCCCGTCGTCGGGACAGGCTTTGCTGCGCTGGTGGGATTTTTTCAGGGTCGTTTGAATCAAAGGGAGAAACATCGAAATAGGATACTGGCCTAAACCAGCGAGCTGTCCAATCGGGGCGGGATTGCGGAGACGGGTGCCAGTGCCGTGGGTGGCGAACGACCTTCGAGCATGCCAGAACTAAGGGTACGAGGAATCTCGAACTTTCTTTTTCCAAGGGAAAAATACTAACAGAAATCTAGGAGCACCCATGGGTGACAAAGAATGGGACTGGTTCTCTATTGTCTGAAGCAGAGAACCTTGAATATTTAGTGGACTTCCCTTCTCAATCAAAGCCAGCCATTCTATGACGCCTAAAATAAGAAACCTTGGAAGCACAATCCCTCCACTCATCCGATTTTTCCGAGGTAATGGGATAGTGATTATGACATAGATGAAAGTTGTTGAAAAGTTCAAGAGTTTGTTGGATAGAAGATCTCAATCGGATTGAAAGGATCCAACACCTGACACTCCCACTAAGTTCGGAATTTCTAATCTGTTTCGGACTAGAGCCCATCACAAAATTCCTCGAGGTCGTTGTTGGCCCTGCAGAGACTTCTGGACAAGTGAAAGAGTCAGGTTGTTCGGATGTCTTCCTCGAGATACCGAAGACCAGAAAAAACCATCTCGTGCAGGGTCCAATTAATCGCGATTCCCACTGTACATTGACTCAATGTTTCAAGGTATTGAATGCTGGAACGTCGATGCCGGGTTGCCAGCTCCAACCAGCTTGTGAGGCAATGCTGCAATTTCAAGTGCTAAAACATTAGCTCTAGTGTTGGTTCAAAGCATCAATGGGTAGCTAGTAAGGCTTAGACAATTAAAATTTTGAAGAAAGCCACTTGGTGACGAGAACACGCATAAAACGATGCTTCAACCTGGCTGCTAGTGGATTATGGCTCGCGCGGGAAACACCATAGGTCACCTATCGCGGTAACCTATTGCTTGTGGATTAAGGAGCCTTCAGTCAAGCACTCCCTCTTTTCCATCGGTAAAAAGGAATTTTATAAAATTGTAAATTGCTGTTGATGTTGGAAGGCTGGGGGAGGGAAAAATGCAGGCTAAGATTGGGGTCGGTTTAGAGTTCGCCGAGCCTATCAATTGATCCTTGCCGAAAACGGCCACGCTAGTCCCGGTCACCATAGCAACGCGACAAAACTTCAGGGACCATCAACATCGTAATTGCAAACCGACTTCTTGTTCACGCCAACCTGCGACAACGACACAACGACATCACATTCTCTGCTTCCTTCTTGTATCTATCATACCATCCGAAAGTTCTGCTTCGATACATATCACGACGAGCTACGACGTCCTCGCGTACGTTTTGTTTGCGCCGCGTTTGCTGAAGAGGTGGATGAACATAGTTTGAGGATCATTCACAATGGCCCTCGCAGATGCAGGAGCATCTTCAATCTCGGTCACTGGTAGGGGCGCTCTCAGTCAGAGTTTGCGGAAGCTAACAGCCATCAGTTCGTGTTCGACCTTTCACAATTCGAGAAGCCGCGCAATTGTAGGTCGTCTCGCTCCTAACCAACAACAATGCACTGACAACACAGAACCAAATGCGATGATGGCACACTATTCCTCGGTGATGGCTCCCTTGCTGGTGTTCCAACACCAAAGCTTGGGCAAAAGGGAATTCGACCTGTGATCAAGGTCCTGGACGACAAATGCCTGTATGTTTCCTCGCGGCGTCTTGGTCTTCGCAAACTGACAACCTCAGGATCTTTGACCCCCCGGAAGACAATCCAATCCAACGATTCTCGCGATCAGTAGTACCAAATATGGGCAAGAGAGTCAAAGACCAGACGTTCGGCTTCGATCGGGTGTTCGACGAAAACACAACACAAGCGGAGGTATACGAAGCCACAACACGAGGTCTCTTGGATAGCGTGCTTGATGGGTACAATGCGACTGTTTTTGCATATGGTGCCACGGGCTGTGGGAAGACACATACCATCACTGGAACCGCTCAACAACCTGGTATAATCTTCCTGACCATGCAGGAGTTGTTCGAGAAAATCGCAGAGCGAAGCGACGAGAAGCAAACGGAGGTGTCCCTGTCGTATCTTGAGATTTACAACGAAACAATCCGTGACCTTCTCGTACCTGGAGGAAGCAAACAAGGGTTGATGCTCCGCGAGGATGCCAACCAAGCGGTGTCAGTGGCCGGTCTCTCAAGTCATCATCCTCAAGATGTCCAGCAGGTCATGGACATGATCGTCAAAGGAAACGAGTACCGCACAATCTCACCAACAGAAGCAAATGCTACCTCTTCACGATCGCACGCGGTTCTTCAAATCAACGTCGCCCAAAAGGATCGAAATGCGGATGTCAACGAACCTCATACGATGGCCACATTGAGCATTATTGATCTGGCAGGCAGTGAACGTGCCAGTGCGACAAAGAACAGAGGCGAGCGACTTCTCGAAGGCGCGAATATTAACAAGTCTCTCCTCGCGTTGGGCAGCTGCATCAATGCTCTCTGCGATCCCCGAAAGAAGAATCACGTACCCTACCGGAATTCCAAGCTCACACGACTGCTCAAGTTCTCTCTGGGTGGTAATTGCAAGACAGTAATGATTGTCTGTGTTAGTCCTTCGAGTGCGCATTTCGACGAGACGCAAAACACTCTACGATATGCGAATCGAGCGAAGAACATTCAAACCAAGGTTACTAGAAATGTATACAACGTCAATAGACACGTCAAGGACTTCTTAGTCAAGATTGATGAGCAGATGGCCTTGATCAATGAGCTCAAAGCTCAACAAAAGGATGCAGAGGGTGTTGCATTCATCAAGTTCAAGAAACTGACTGAAAAGCGAGATGGCATTGCAAGGGATGGAGTTACGCGGATTCGAGCAGCGTTCGAGAATTCCGCTGCTGAGAGACAAGAAAAGGTCAACAACATGAAGAAGCTTCGGCAAATTGAACGCCGGATCGCCCTTCTATCTGCATGGATCGCAGCCTTCGACGGAATCTGCGATTCCCGAGATGAAGATGACATGCCACCCAGTCTCACAGCAATGCGTAAGACAGCTCAAGGAATTTTGCTGGAGCTTGAGAACAGCAGACAACATTACCATCAAAGACTGGATAAGATTAACTGGGAGCGCGCGATTGACTCAGCGCTGCAGAACAGTATCCGTTCACTCACCGAGGTCGACGGATCAGCGGATGGATTAGAGGTTGCAAGTTTAACTAGGGAAGCAGAGCTGTTGAAAGCCAATGCAGGCCGAGAAGCATTACGAGAGGTCATGGAGCAGGAGAAAGGTGGCAATGCGGGTCTTATGCAAGTGCTGCTATCTGCCCAATTCGACATAATTTCTTCTCTCAACGACATTCTCAGTATGAGCGAGCATGATGCGATCCAGCACGCAAAGAAGGTTCTCACACGCTTGCTTCAGACTTGCTCTACAGCAGCATCTCAAATTGTCAAGCCGGACGGCTCGCTGAACATCGTCGACGCGTTCCCTCCGACGAAACGTGGGACACCAAAACGAAAGAAGCAGCCAAACTTCACGGACTCAGCATCTCACCCAGTTCCGGTTATGCCATCTTTAGCAGCGGCAGCGCCTCAAGTATTCGCTTCGCCAATGAAATCATCGCCAAGACGACGAAAGGCAGTAGTGGGCAAGAAAGGAATATCATTCACGCCGAAGAAGAAATCTCCATCCAAGAGAAGTGTGAGGTGGCGGGATGATACCGAGTCTGGAGCTTTGGCAGAATTCGAGAAAACTCCTCAGAAGCAGCTTTCCACACCAGAAGTTTCGTCCGTCGAGCAAAGCGTCGTGCTACCAGTGCTACCTTCCTACCTTGCTGGTGATGTCTCCAACGACTCTATCGGGTCTTCGCCAATTCCAGCCGCCCCAGAGCCGTCGATCGATATCAAGCCCAAAGTGAATCGCTTCCAGGCTGGCTTCCTCTCGAAGAGGTCTGAGGGTTCACCGCCTCCACCAACAATTACCAATCTCTCTTCCTCCGATACTGATCAATCCCCTCTCCGTACCATCGATGCCAGCAACGCGGGAAATCGGTCCTCGTTACAAATTATGCAAGCCGTGGCAAATGACATTACTCCCACTGATAGCGGCAACAATTCTTCTTCGGAAGGTGAAAACAGCTGGCAAGCTGACCGGTCAGACAGCGTCAGGATTAACATGGCCTTGAAGCGCTCTGGGTCTGTTTCTCGAGCATCAAACGTACATGACTCCGCAACCAGAACCCACCGACGTGCCAGAAGCCCAACTGCAGCGACGATGGCAGGATCTCCTCCAAATGAAAACAATCTTTTTACAGCTAGCCATGCTCGAAGAATGGTCAAGAGCGAGAAAGACACTTCATTCCAAGCCAGCGTTCTCAGTCCTCGGACCGCCCCTGTCATGAAAAGCAATCGTCGCACCACCATTGGCGAGGGCAGACAGGTCAGTGGCAGCATGTCGAGCGGAGCTATCCGTCTTACTGGAACCATTGGCAGTACACCCAAGGCACGAGAGAGTGTTGTTGGTTTGATGGGCAAGGGCAGTTGGCGTTAATAATGCTTGGAGACTGTTGCTACTATTGGGTGTATGATTATTCGTAATTCGTGTATTGTTCTTGTGAGAGCATTGCATTGGAGCGCTGCATGATGATAATGACTTTCTTACATCTTTCTTCTCCTTTACAGAGTCTCAGTTCGGCGTCTTCTGTTAGGCGTTTGGCTGGCAAGAGATTTCATAGTGGGAGGACTGTACTGTATTATTGTTTCGAATCAAAAGACTTTACAAACTAGCCTCGAAATCTGGATTGTGTCCAACGATATATCTAAAGTTTATGCAATGTCTATCTACTGATTTCTTGAAATTCAAGCACTGTGCTGGAAGTCTCCAGCCTAATCAACGCTCTCTGGATATGTGTAGACTTCGTCGAAAATCAAGCTCTATCTTCCGCGAACGATGAAAATGAAAGGCCCTCCAGAAGGCCATGAGTGTGGTAAACAGCGCAACTCTGCCTTGGGAATCGGCACTATCATGACTCGCCTTGTTCAAAATTTTCCTCTTCCACCACGCTTGTTCTTCTTCTTGGAAGAGCCTTCGCCTTCGTTTCGACTTCTGTGACCCCCTCCACCGCTGTTTTTCTTCAGATTAGGCATTGCAGTCTTGTCTTCCTCCATCACTCGCTGTGATAATGTTCCTCAATAATCTGAACATATTGCAAAGCCTTTCCCCATACATCGGGAAGCCAGTAATTGTCGTTCTTATCCCAAGTAGGACAGAAGTCTCCTAATTCCAAGTGCTGTAAGGTAGGAAGCTCATTAACGACATTTTTCACTTATCTGCTACCCTCTCCTCGGCCGACTTTCCTCCGTTGCTGAGCGGGGCCATCGGGTCAGGTTAAACTAGTTTTGGACTTGGGATTACTAAACTGTCTGTAGCCTGAGGACTCATTGGTGTTCACATGCAGCATTCGGACCTTGGTGCAGACGTTGCGGATGAGAAATGTGCGTGTAGTGAGGAAGGATTTGGCAAAGCTGAGGCACTTCACGATTGTTGGCCCGTGTTGCGTGGGCTTTCTTGTTGTCTTGAATTCCCCTTCTAATTTGATGGAGGTGATTAGGGAGGCATTGCGGCGACCTGTGGTGTTGAAGAACTTGCACAAGGGGTCGTCGAGGGGGTCGGTCTCTTTTACTTGCTGCTCTCCTTTGGCGCAATGTTCATCTGTTTGAGCTCGGCCATTGCGCTATTGAAGACAAATTTGTTGTGCCCATAAAGAATTTCGGTGCCTTCGGCGTGGATTTGCTTGTTCGTGTACTAGAGGTTGATTTCGATGAAGACTCTGGTGAGAATATCTTGGATGTTGACAGTCTCAACGATTCCAGCGCGGTGGTGGATGCGGTGCTGAATGTTGCTTCACTGTGGGATGTTGGTGATAGTGTTAGGTAGCTCAGTGGCACCACCGTTAATGAGTCGCTGTTGTTCGGCCGTGGGACTGACAGTCTGGAGAGATTCCCGAGGGCATGACAAAGAGGAGTTGTAGACCATGTCTCGGACCTCTCGAGGCTGATCGAGGAAACGGAATGGGGGTATCCATTCTTGATTGTTTGAAGTGGTTGATGCCGAATAGGAGCAATTAAGATTTGATTTATTGCAGGTGTTGGTGTCGAATGGGTGTGTTGGGATGCCTTTAGCTTCCATCTGATTGAACTTTTGTTGTCATGTACATGAGCACTTCACTTTATGAATGTACCAATTCTGGTACGAACATTGAGATCGATTGCGTTCACCTTCAGTCTGGTGCGAGCCTTTGTTATTAAACAAAAGCAAATAGCTTTTATGAATGTATCGTTTCTGGCACCATCATTTAGTTGGGTTATGTTCAACTTCCCCTGTGGGGGTACCTTGCTGTAAGAACGTACCACATGAGACACGAATAATAACGCAGATTAAGAAATAAAAACTAAAAAGAATCGAAAAGTTGGATTCCGACTACCCAGAAAGCTCGAAGCCCCTCAGGAAAATAAGTTGTAGGTGAGAGTAAGGGGCTCAAGCGGAGAAGACAAGAACGGTGGGGCTCACCAAGTCAACAGTGCCACATGGAAGAAGAGGGTAAATGCGGGAACCATTCGAGTGTTATCTAATTAGCCATCCAACGTCACCAATCCCACCTTCACCTTTAATCTCGCGTTATTGTTGTTGGTGTTTTGAACTGGTGGACTTCTTAGATTACTCATACGTAGATGTGCTTCACTTGTTACTGTGCTCTATGTTCTGAGCTACTTTGAGACCATACGCAGTATTGTCCCGACTCCTGGCTCAAGTACTTGTCTATTCCCCCAACTTGCCCCGATTCACAGAATCTATGGAAATGCAGGAATGATTATAGGTCTTAACTGGCGTCACATGGAAATACGGTCAACTTTGAATTGCAGAGCTTTGGAGGAAATTAATATATTTCGAAAAGAAAGGTTTGCTAGAGGGGACTTTATTATTGAATGTCCCCTCGAGTGTCATTGATGGGCGAGTTTCTAACCTCCGCAGGAAAATTCCGTGATAGTGGGAACATTGAGTGTTCAGCCAATGACTACCTTAAAGAGGGGTCGGCGAACCAATCCTAAAGGAGGCTTTAGCTAATCGTTGCCTAAAGGACGGCTCAACTAATAATTATTTAAAAGGGGATTCAGAGAATCGTTCCTTAAAACGGATTTCCTCCAATAATTGCAAGGAAAACTCTGAGCACATGACTAATAGAGATTGCATTACTTACACTGCTTTCTTTCACGAGGTATCTGACTAATGACTGTCGTTCTAAGATCCGAACGCAAAGTCCACGTGCATTTCGCACTAAACACAATGACTCGCTTGCATACCCGGGCACTAAATCCAGTTTTTAAATAAGGTAGAAATATCTGAGTTGCTTTTCGAGAACGTGAGATAAAGTTAAAAGGGGTTTTGGAGAGAGCATGCAAGCCAGTATGAGACAAAAGAAACCAGACAAGAGAACGAAATAGCAGCCCTGTGCGAGAACTTGCACGGTCAGTTCGCTTGGAAAAGATTCATGTATATTATAGTACATAGGTAATATCAAGTTTTAAGGAGCAATTAGAGGAGAAACATTTGAAATACTTGTGCTGAAGTAAATAATTTTGAAAGCACTCTGAGCCTTTGTTTACTTCGACCCCTTTCGGAAGCATGATTAAGCGAGTATGAAAGGGGTGAGGATCAAAGAGAATTTAAGAATGAAATGAGACTGCCATTGCCAAGCAAGGCTAACAGATTAACTCAGGGATATACCGTGATTCCTCGCAAACCTTGCGCCCCCAGAATACCAAGTTGCCATGAGAAGAAGTTGAAAATCACGTGATAAACCGCAATTCGCCACTTCCGCCGACGTTGCTTTCTTATGTTTTAGATGTTTTTGACACTGCTCATTACTCTTCAACAATAGGTGGGCAGAATCAATTCGAAACGTCATCCAAATCCATGATAAGGAAGTTTCCAGAGCATGAAAACAAGTATTTGGAATATTGTGTTGGAATCTCACTCTTTGGAATCATCGACTGTGGCTGAAGCATCCCTGTCCTCCCATTTGTCAGACCTGGTGGACCCTCCATGACGACCTAGATGTGAGAGCTACAAACACAGCCTTCTTCCCTCTACAAGCTTCAATTGCTGCTTCATCAAGCTATAAATCGCACGCTTCTTCCAAGTCAACTCTTCAACCTCACTAACACAACGGATCAACCACTCAACTTGCCATTCTTCAAACTACGCACTCTCTCCCTCGCCATCCTCGTCTTCCTCATGGCCTTCACAATGCCCAGCTTCATCTCCCGGCTCACACGCCCCTTCACAACCACCACCCGACTCGGTCTAAACCCCGAATCCTCAATCGCCTCTCCAGAAGGCGCTCAGAAAGCTACCATCGCCGCAGGATGTTTCTGGGGCGTCGAGCACATGTATCGCAAGGAGTTCAATGGGAAGGGATTATATGATGCGAGAGTAGGATATATTGGAGGTAATACTGATAGTCCGAGTTATCGCGCCGTGTGCTCGGGACGCACTGGCCGTATGGTTCCCCTTCCATTCATAAAAATCAATAGAAATATGGGAACTGATTGCTAATGTGAAATAGATGCCGAAGCCCTCCAAGTAACCTTCGACCCCGCACAAGTAACCTACCGCCAACTCCTCGAATACTTCTACAAGATGCACGACCCCACAACGTCCAACCGCCAAGGCCCAGATACGGGATCACAGTATAGGTCAGGGATCTTCTATCATAATGCGGAGCAAGAGACAATTGCAAGGGAGGTGACGGAGAAGGCGAATGAGAAATGGTGGAAGGGGAAGATTGTTACGGAGATCTTGCCGGCGGGTGAGTGGTGGGATGCAGAGGATTATCATCAGAAGTATTTGGATAACAATCCGGGGGGGTATGAATGTCCAAGTCACTTTTTGAGGAGTTTTCCACCGCTAGATTAGAAGAGGCGTGAGGGTGGTGAGGGCGGCGAGGAAATGATTATGGTGATGATGAGATGACTTAGAGTGTAAATGGTATTGAAATTAATTGCAGCCTTGTTTTTCTTGGGTCACATTTTGGCCAGAAGATGGTCTTTCGATGTTCATATTTGCAATTCAGGTCATTGCTTGACCGTGGTTTCTCATTACAAAAGAGAGGAGACTTTCCACGTCTTCTTTAATAAAACAGACCCATCCCCATTGCTCCGGAACTACCAAATGTATGCATTCTCACAATTCTCATTCCACTCCTCTACTTCCTCCGACCTTGCTGCATCATCAAGATTTGAACCATCCGGATGAAGATGTTCAGGAAGTCCAACTCCAAGCTAATACTCTCGTTCACTGCGTCCTTCTGAATAATGCCTCGCTCAGCCAACCGAGCATGCATGAGCACCTTCTGGACATCATAAAGAGTGAAGCCTCCGAAGACTGCCAAACCTCCCCAAAGCCAGATATTCTCGGTAACAGCTAGTGTTCGTACAGCGGTGGCGGGAAGGACAAGTGGAGCGAATCCAGAGACAGCGACGAGTGCAACTCCTGCAAGCAGAGGCCCGCCGAGGTAAAGGTATTTCTCTTGCTTAGCAGTAGCCCCAACAAAGGAGATGGAACCCATCATTGCCAACGTGTAGAGACCGGCGCGTGCGATGAGGGCGGGAGGAGCCATGAAGAGGAGAGGCGCAAGGAGGGCGCCCTGGGTGGCGTTGAAAGCTCCCCAGAAAGCGTATTTCTGAACGTAGTTGTCCAGGCTCGTAGCTCTAGTTGCCATCATTGTACCAATACTCAATCCAAGACCACCGATCATTACAATCCATGGGTTTGTCGCCATCATTCGATACATGAACCCGCTTTGAAACATAGTTCGAGCAGAAAGTCCGATGATACCAATTCCCAGACCAGTGTGCATGAAAGTGTCGTTCAGGTAGGCCCGCTCATATGGTGGCATTCCTCCATCTTCTCGAGTTTCCCGGTTGAAGACTAGATTTATTGCGACAAGGGTTCCTCCACTGTAATCGAATTAGTACGGTTACTTCCTCAAGCAAATCCGAATCGACGTAAGACTTACAACAATGCCCCTCCAACGACAAGCTTTTGAACCAAATTTCCACCGCTTGGAGCTGCCGCAGCAGGTTGCTGATAGTTTCTTGACTGTCGGAAGGCATTGCGAGCTTTCGCGAGAGCGTTAATGGGTGTGGTGGTCCGTGAAGTAAAGAAGTTGGTGGCGGGTTTGCTGTGGAATGATCGGATCGCAGGGGACCTGAACGCTGTCTTTGAAGCTCCCATCAGAGCAGAGGTGAGCCTGAACGGCTGGCGCATCGAAAAAGCCATATTGAGACGATATTTGGTGGTATCAATCAATGATGGTTGTCGACACGGACTGAGGTTTTATCCTTTGGAGGAGGCGATGATGTCGACGCATCTCGGATTTAAGTGGCTCGAAAGCTCCAGAAGCACCAAGGGAGAGCTTTTGCTTACATATCCCTGCAAGTGCCACGTGATCATTGGCCAGGCAAGACCTGATTAAAATTCTTACGCAATCGGAAACGAATCTTTGACTTTGCTTGAGCCCACGCTCATCGACGACGACCAGTTCGGACCTGTTGCGTCTCTCGACATGGTGATATTGACTGTATTTCCATTTTTTTTGCTTGAAAGCCATCACTCCAGGGTAGGTTTGGATTACTGATGATAGAAAATCTCATAAGCAAGTGGATGGAGAGAGGGCGGGAAAAGTAACCTACAGCACCACCCTAGCGCAATCCACCACGCGCCCTTCCTCCCATCTAGAGCCTCCTGATACACGCCCGTATTTTCCGTATCTTATAGTCCAGGCCAGAGATAATAGACACCTACTTTTTGGAGGGGTGGGACAACCATTTGTATTGAGAACTTCTTCCCTTAGCACGTGAGTTCAGCAATGACTTGTGATCCAATCTCACGTGTTGGAATTGCGCGGTTTTACTTGGTGCGTTCCAGCGGAGAAAATACCTGCTCGATTAACATGAGGGGGAGGGGGACAAACCAAGCAGCATCCTCACATCCTTGCCGAAAAAACAACATATCTAACCAGAAGTTCACAGGAAAGATCTTTATCTTCCTTTCTTCATCACGACAATAACAGAACGGAACGAATGTCGTTTCGAAAGGTCTGTGCTACAGTACCAAGAATGGAAAGGGAACAAAACACATGCTGTTCAAAAATAGGGAGCGGGAAGAGAAATACCTTTTAACTCATCCTCGGCTTATTGGACTTCTGATATGAAGTCCCAAGATACAATAATGTCAGATCACTGGGCGTTTTTGATAAATGATTTGGAGATGTGTAGAAGGTAATTAAAAGGAGGGGGAGCGGTTGGTGGGAGATGTTAGGGAAGGAGAGGCAAGCTTTGTGTTTAGCCGTGGGCGGGTTTGAGAGCCGGGCGTGGCTGTTTCGGGTGCTTTCCCATCGAGCCGAAATCTGGGGATGGATGGCGGGGACGTGACTGGGTGAGATGAGATATGGATTTATTTCTCGACTGCGGATGAATGGGGGCGGGCGATTGAGCCTGAAGTGAGCGGAGTGTGTCTTTAACTTTTCATTGAATGACCGTTCCTCGTACAATATATGAAAGCATGTGGAAGTTCAGTGTACTTCCTCGAATCCTTCGAAGGTTTCCACTGGGCGGAGATCAGCGACCCTTTTCCCTTCTAGAATGATGGTGCTCAGCTCCAATCTCGAGCATCTTCTCTCTAAGAAATCGTGGTCCAAAACTTCCTTCATGGATGCTCGACAAGGCACCGAGTCAGTCAGACAAAAGGACAGAAATGACTTCAGCTCCTTACTCCACTTGTCAGGTTGTTTGAGAGCTGGCGTGCCTCGCCTTGCGATTATTTTCAGAGCTTCGAGCGGCTCTTCGCTCAAGAGTGGGGGCTCGCCTTCCATCATCTCCATGGTCATGATCCCGAGAGCCCAGACATCGACTTTGAAGTTGTAGGTTTGGCCTTTGCAAACCTCAGGAGCCATCCAGTATGGTGTGCCGATCATCGTCTTGAACTCCTCTCTGTCCTCCTGGCAGAATCCAAAATCAGCTGCGAAATGTTAGCTTAGTTTCAAATATCCGAGTGGAAAGAGGGCAGACCCACCGATTTTAACAGCCCCGTTACTGAAGAGGAGGATGTTATCACTCTTCACATCCCTATACACGACGTTCTTGCTGTGGAGATACTCGAGTCCTTGAGCAACCTGCTATTGTTAATGATCTATTTTGAAGTGGTATAATCGTCTTCCTAGACAGATTGGCCCTGGGGCACTCACCTCCTTGCAGAACGCGGCCATGTGGTCTTCTCTCAACGTAACACGGTCAATCAAGTCCGTCAGGTCCCCGCAATTAGCATATTCCATCACAATCCAAGCTTTATAATATCCAGCCTCCCAGACGGCTTCGTGGAATCTGATGCAATTTTCGTGATTCAACGTCTTCATCACTTTGACCTCCTTAATGAGTGTCCTTCTGTTGTACGGCTTCGATTCTGAAAATACCATTTCCTTCAATGCAAAATACTCATTCGCACGCTGATGAAAGAGAGGAGGAGAGGCGTTTACTTTCATCGCTCGATACACCTTAGAGCAGGAGCCTTTGCCAGCTATTGCGCACTTGCGGTAGGAGTAAGCTGTTGGATAGGCATCAAATACTTCGAGCATCTGTGCCTCCTCTTTAGGTGTCAACTTATCGTTGTCCAGTGGTTTCAGGGGTATTTTGCGTTTTGCGAGCCATCTTCGCTTCCAGGATAGCAAGAGGTAAGCTACCGAAGCAACTTGCCAAAATGAGACGTCCCCGGTCAATTGTACCGAAATCGACTGGCTGAAGTCCAAGAAGAACGACAGCGATGTCTTCGATGAAACGGAGATTTCGTGCCCCATCTTAGTTTGGCAGACTTGTTTTGCAGGGCAAGAGTTGCTGTCTCTGCTCTCAGGATGAGTGTCAAGTCTAGATATTGAGCTTCTGCTTGTTAAATTTAGAAAGTATCACAAACAAGAGTAATTCAAATTAGGACTCACATCAAGTGTTCAACACCGGTCGCCGTTGGCAAGTTCATCTTCTCAATCTCCATGTTGATATCCGAGTGCAGCCGGGATAGCTCTGGTTTACACCATTGTTCTCAAGAGCTTCCACACATTGAAAGGTCAACCGGAGAGCTTGGAGGTTCTGAATGAGACGCTGGCACCCAGCTGAGGCGCTATCTTGGTTATGGAGAGCCCTGCCGATGTTCTTGATTGAGTCAGGGACGGCAATGAGGTATCATATTTGTGTCCTCAAGGTAGCAGTTCTAACAAATGTGAGGGAGGGAAAGAAGAATGAAGTCGAATTGTTGGGGTTGGAAGCCTCGTCCAGCGTGTCAATGCTCCGCGCCGCAATGCTGCGGGGTCACAGTTGGTGTTCCACGAGGCTGCATGGAAATCACACATGATTCTCTTTTGGACGCGATCGAGGTGCATTGATTGGATATAAGGATTGGAACGCTTGGCACAAGAGAACTTTAAATCTGATATCTGAGCTTCGAAGAGTTTGCTCGATGGGCGTTTACTTCCAAGAAAGGGTATTTCCGAGTCTCAGGAGTCGATAATCCGAGTTTTCTACTGCTGGCCACAACAAACTTGTAGCTACAACATACAGGGGTTCGCTTGAAGCCTGCACCTGATGTTACCTATTCTCTTTCGGCCCCCGATACCCGACCCCCTTTTTTACCGACGACTCCTCTTTTGGCCATGACTCACTCGAACGCAGCCTTGTGAAGAGTGACTCTGAGTGGTTGCTGGTGGTACGGCTGGGCCATTCTGTGACAGGTCCAAAGCCTTGTGATCCCGGCTGCTTACCTGCACAATTTGAAATCACCGACGGGCCGGAGATAAAAAAGCCCATGCGGTTTTTGCGGTTCTGCTTTGGATTTGGGTGAAGCATCAAAGAAAGAGAAGGGCTGGGCGTCGGGGTAATTGGAGATCAGGAGATCATCAAGACGTGGAATGACTTGATTTTATAGGAAGTGAGCCGCGATAGTGGATGTAGAACCACTACGACGCGAGGGCGAGGCAGATGGTGGTCATTGATTAGTAACCAAGAAAGTTGATGGCGGTTGGCGCCAGACGTGCATATCCTTGTAGATAAACCCGCTCCATAGACATAAATGCCTCCAGCACCAACAAGGCTTAATTTAATGCCGAATTCGTTATCTTAGGCCTGGAGGCAGAAGTTCTCCTACCCTTCTTCCTGTGGTCTTACCCAAACACCACCAAATCGAGACGCATCTCCATGACAGAGAAGTGAACCCACGAGGTATCAAGCACAATGTTCGCGACAGAAAGGCCACCTGCCCCGCAGGCAGCAGCAGCCCCAGCCTCAGCCTCGACGGACACAGCACACTCTTCACCAAACCAGAGTCCCATAGAGCGGAAGGCGTCGGCTCCCCATGGCCTGAATGCAAGGAGCTGCGTTACTTGCAGGCGGCGCAAAGTGAAGTGTGACAAGCAATTTCCTTGCTCGAATTGCTCGAAAGCTGGCCAGCAATGTGTGTTCCCAGCACCAGGTCGCGCTCCCCGAAGACCTCGAACTGGTGGTAAGGTGGTTAGCGAACGCGAGGCTGAGCTATTGAAGAGGCTGCGGAGGCTGGAAGGCGTGGTGGAAGAGCTGAGTGGACAAGTCGAAATCGAAGCCATCAAACATTCCCCATCCAGCGACAACTCATCCTCACAAAGAGATGGGGATCCATCGACCGATACAAGCGGCAAAGGCACGGTGCGAGTTGTTGGCATGGACGAAGGAAGTGGAAACAGGCGAGCTTGGATCACAAGAGCATTCAGAGTTGGGGATGGCCCACCGAAGACAGCCTTCAGCGCGCATGAACCCAATAGAGCCGGGCGGTTAGTTTTGGAGGAGGGGAAGAGTCGTTATGTGGCATCTCCATTCTGGGCATCGATAAACGATGAGGTCGAAGAGATTCGTGAGATGCTGGATGATCAGGAATTCGATTCGGACTCGGACACACCCATTCCTCCTTCTGATGCGGTCACTGAGCCAAATCACCAGAGTTTCATCATGGGATACAGCAGCAGTGATGTGGATCTAAAACCTCTGCATCCATTGCCTTCGCAAATACCCTTCTATTGGCAAACATTTCTGGAAAATGTTCAACCGCTCGTCAAATTACTGCACACACCGACCATGAGCAAGGTCATCAAAGAGGTTCAAAATAATCTGGATAGTCTCAGCAGGAGTACCGAGGCTTTAATGTTTGCAATTTATTTTGCTACAATAACATCTATGAATGCTAGTGAGGTAAGCTTTAAAGCGGTTCTGCGTTGGAGCTTCCTGTTGACACTTTTTAGGTTCAAACCAACTTTGGGATTGAAAAAGAACATCTTCTCAAGCGGTATAGATTCGGGGTCGAGCAAGCTTTGGCCAAAGCAAGCTTCTTGAACACAAACGAAATCGTCACAGTTCAAGCTCTCGTGTTATTCTTGGTCTGCGTTCGAAGACACGACGATACACGCTTTGTCTGGTCATTGACCGGGCTTACTTTGAGGATTTCTCAGTCTCTGGGTCTTCACAGGGACGGATCTGTATTTGGACTTTCCCCGTTCGACACTGAAATGCGCCGACGTCTGTTTTGGCAATTGTGTATACTCGACACACGAGCGTCCGAGGATCATGGCTCAGACCCTTCAATTCTTGACTACTCCTTCGATACTAAATTTCCACTGTCAATCAACGACAATGACCTCGATCCCAACGCCACAGAACCCCCTGTTCCTCGAGAAGGAGTCTCTGAGATGACTTTCTGCTTGATTCGTTATGAGATTTGCAACCTGACTCGGAAGTTGACCTATACCCCACCAGGCGAGACGCCATGGAAAATTGCAGGAAAGCAGCCATTATCGCTTGAAGAAAAGGAAGAGATGATCAGAGATTGTGCCAGACATTTAGAGAAAACCTATCTCCGATACTGCGAAGATGCTGGACCGTTATACTGGGTTGCGGCCACGGTTGCACGACTCATCCTTGCGAAGATGTCTTTAATAATCTATCACCCATTGACACAGCCCGGCAAACCAAATAGTCTCTCACGAGATATCAAAGACCGCCTCTTCATGGCGTCTATTGAAATCATCGAATATTCCCGTATCCTCGAATCAGAAGCAAGCACAAAGCAATGGGGCTGGCTCTTCCACACATGTAACCAAACTATTTCTTTGTCCTATATCCCTAGCTCCTTACCTCACTGGTCAAGAGGATGTTTCATGCTTCCGTCTCGCTCCCGACTCGCTCCCAGCTCTCTCCTCCCTAAAGAAATACATTGCTAATTCGTTGGTAGATATACAATGGCATGCCATAGCCTATATCCTCGGTGAACTCTGCCAACGGCCCAACTCCGCCATCGTCGAGCGCGCATGGCGCGCCGTCGACGTCGTCTTCAGCACTTGGGACGGCGCGATAACACACACCAAGTCTGGCATGCTCTGGCAACCCATGCGCAAGCTGCTCGCCAAAGCCCGCCGCAAGCGCGAAGAGAACATGCGCACAGCAGCAACAAATGGCAACTCGACGCTAGACCTTGGAATCGATCAGAAGTACATGCGTCCTGAAGCGACAGCGTATTCCTCTATAGGCTGCAACAGAACCATCGCCCAAGATCGCCTTCTGCCTCACATTACAAACACAACTATGGACCGAGGGCCCAGTAATCCCGGTGCCCAGGCCCCCTCTTCAGAAGCACCTGATGCCAATACTGGTATGTACGTGGATGATTCCTCCATGATGCAGCCACAGGTGGTAGGCATGGGTATGCTGGCCCCTGATCAGATCCAATTGCAGCTTCAACAGCAGCAGCAGCAGCAGCAGCAGCAGGGAATTCAACAAACGCCTTGGCTTATGGACAACAATGCGTTGTTAGATCTAGATATGAATGCCCTGGATGGAGATGTGAATTGGGAGGGGTGGGATGATCTTGTAAAGGACTTTCAGATGGAGGTTGATAACCAGCCTGATAGGGTTGGCCCAACTCTTGGGGGGGTGGGGAGTTGGTGGTAATTTGCATTCGTTCATCTACGGATGTGGAACTCGACATACGAGCGGGTTTGACTGGGGTTGGATGCGGAATTGCGGGAGCATTGGAACTGGTTTATAGGAAAGGAGAAATGGTGTTTATAAGAATTGGCTTTGGCCTGCTTTGGTTGGAGCGTGGATGATTCGCATGCAATTTACGAACGATCTTCACTCTGGAGGTTACATTACACTCTACTACGAACGCGCAATTATCTCTCAATCGGAAGCACTTTGTGAGTTATATATTTCCAATCCCTATGGTATTTCCTATGATAGTATGGTATCTACAACAAACTGTGCCCTCCCGTCCCAAACGCCATAACGCATGCTCCCATCCAAATGCTCTTTTGTCACATTTATACTCGTCTAATCGTTCGCTATTGTCACCATCTCACACCACAATGATATTCCCCACCACCAGCCCCTGACTCTCAATATGGTATCTTCTCCTCAGCCCTATACTCCTAGTCTTTCGAAACAGCTCCTCAAGTTCATCTCCGCCTCCAACCATCACCATGCAAATCTGGTGGTGTCGCACTAGCCCGCTAGGGGTGACTTGCACCTTATCCAATAAGGGCCTGAACAAAGAAGACCCACTTCCCGCAGGCCACCCTTCCTCTTGCCATTGATCATTCTCATCGGTGACGCCCGAGATGAGGATCACCAGTTTCAGCGATCGAGTGGTGGGCGTGAAAGATGGAATATTAGACAGCTTCTCCGAGAATGTACAGCCTCCACGTCGCATGACTATTATTTCGTGCTTCTTCGCTGCGTCGTCGGGGAGTTTGGTGCGGCAGCCGTCACCGGCGAAATAGATGTTTGACCATATGAGGCTTTCTGACCTCGGTTGGCTTGGATCTGGGGCGTCTGGGACGTCGATTATGGGTGCGGCGCCCATACCTGTGGAGGCGATGGCGGGGAGGGTGATGAAGGGGTAGGTCTGTGGTGTCTCGGGTTGTTGCGGGAGGAGCGTTGCGGCTGGATCACGGAGAGCGGATGTTACGTGATGGAGGAGGGATGAGAGCATGGTTCTGTATTCGGCTGCGAGCCCAGCGGAGCTGATTTGTTCCTCGAAGACAAGGTCAGTACTGGAGTCCTCTAATATATCTTGTTTAGAGTCGGAGGACGAGTCGTAGAATTCTTCAACGCTGCCAGGAGCGCTTGAATTGGTGCCGATGGGGCTCTCCAGTTGAAGGACAATGTCAAACATCACGGAGTCCCGAACTCGAGTAAAGGAAGGGTCGGTCATTTCGCCGATCACATCTCTGGGGATGAAGATTTGCTCGTCTCGGCCCAGAGCCATGTTGGCGATATTCCAGACGCGCCAGGACTCCATGAGCGGGCCATCAAGTGTTCTAAACGGAGACGGCGATTCAAACACCATGCCCACCTTCAATCCGGATAGGCTTTTGACAAGAATACCTTCGTTCAGTCGAACAAGCCCTTGTGGACCGAACACGATAAAGTTGGATTGAACGCCCTGGGGAGTCTGTAACGGTGTGCTGACGGGAAATTCGATGCTAAAGGTATGTTTCATTGGAAGACGGGCGCAGGTCCCATTTACTGGCATGAGTGATTGTGGCAGTGTCCAGGGATAGTAGGTATGATTTGTGACTATATCAGGTTGAGATTTCGTGTTGGCCGTCCTCCCCGTCAATTTGGCCGGTTCTGCTTCTATTACGTGATGATTTTGAATGAGATGCAGGCCTATCAAGCTTGCTGCATGGAATATATCAGGCCTAGCTGCGGTTGCAGAGATTGTGAATGGAATTGGTGGAGGAGGAACTGGGCAAGTGTCTCGCGGTTCCTCGCCAGTATGAGGTTGGAGTTCTTTGCTAGCAGATCGCTTTCGCTTGATGACTAGATTTGTCTTTTCTTTAGGGATGATAAGAGGATGTCCTTCGGTGGTGAAGACATACGCAGCGTCGAGTGAGTTCAGCGGATGGTCCGGGTCCAGTAAGAGGTACAAGTATTTCGCTGTCTCCCCCAGAAAGAAACTTTCCATTCGATCGCTCATCTCGCCCGTGCGAACATCTTGAAGCCCTGACCAACCGCAAGGAGTCCAGCATCTGCGTTTGATGTCTTCTAATACCATCTCACCCACGTGAAGATACCAAGGATCTCGAGTCGCTCGATAGAGATGGTAATTCGACTCAATGAATTCTGGTCGTCCAGGCCACCATCCAAGGCCTCCTTCAACATGACCGTCCCGGACAGACCATCGTTCTGGGAGTGCTGAATATCTCGTCCATAGGGCTGTATACAGCAGATTTGTCTCAATAGCTTCCTCCACCTCTCCAGCTAAAGTCAACAAACCAGGATAATATGCGCCAAGACTGTCGATCCAATAAGCTTGCGGTGATCCAGTAGCCAAGTGAACATTAACGTAATGTGGATGATGAATGCCGCTATACAGATGTCGCTTGACAGCTGCATGTGCTTGCTGCCAGGCTGCCAAGAAGGCTTCGGGAGAGTTCTGTTCTTCCGTCAAGGGCGTGTAAATGGCATTCGGATCCAGCCATGATTGGTGAGGCTCCTTGAAAGGCACCGTCAGGTTTGGTTGGTCGTGTCCAGAGAGTAAGATATGCGTCTTCAAGGCATATTCAAAGAAACTGTCAGTGCCTGCACCAATCCCAGCATACGGCCCGATCCACTCGCCATTTTCAGCATCAACTCCAGCTCCAATAAGACCAATAGAGCTTCTTCTATTCCAAACTGCCCAAAACGCTCGTTTGGCTAGTTGTTCAAATCTCGGGTCATCCGTAAGTCGACTCAAAACCGTAAATTCCAAGACCAGACTTCCGGCTCCAGCACTGCAAGTCTCCGTGATTTCTGGTGCACCTTCTTGAACGTTTTCATCCGAGTCCGGATCCTTGTTCAAGGGAGAGTTCTGGTAGAACGGGATTCCATGACGCAGATTGACCCTTGGATACGGCATACCAGTTGCAGTATAGAATGCGGGGAGCAATCGTTGAGCGAGATCCAACGCAAGTCGTAATAGTTGTCCATTATATATAAATCCATTGGGCCATGCAATCCCCGGAATCTCACCTTTCTGAAGTTTGTGCTTTGTAGCACCTTTTGCTCGGCGAGGTGTGTATCCTGTGATGGGCAACTCCCCTGCGGCAAATAAATGCGCACTCAGCAATCCACCCACCCCTCTTATTACGGTTTCGAACACTTGGACCTTGCTGTCGACGTCAAAGCCCCGCCCTCGTAATCCTTTCCCGGAAGGTCCGCTGGTCCCATCCCCATATTGTAGAACCAACGAAGCAACCCCGTTTTGAAAGTCTTGAAGAGCTTTAGCCCCAGTTGCAGCAGTATCCAGTGGAGCAGATGCGAGGATAGCGAGCGTAGAAAGACTATCAATCAAGGTGAGAGAATAGTTGCCGAGGACATCATTGAGTTCGACATTCCGCGGGTTGCGCGAGTCTCGAGTCAAGGGAACACAGGTTACAGGACGCAGCTATGAAATTATCAGTAAAGTCCTGCTTCACCCTCTGCGGCGACTTGCCTCGTCTTCCGGAAATGCGACGCGCATGTAATTATCGAAGCCGTGATAGAACATTGCAACCGTTTCTTGTCGCAACTCTGCAATGCGGACCTGCGTCATGGCATTGGCGGTAGCCAGCCAGATTGTCGTAAGGGCGAGTAGAAGCCATCGTGACTGGTACGCTGCTGTCGAATGAGTGCTGCAGGACATACCCATCAATCCTCGCCATCGCAGTGGCATCACCGATAACTATCTTCCGGAAGGCATGTGAGCTTGAGAAACACAAGGTCGTAGCCTCGGGAGAGGTTCCTAAGTCCGAGCAGAATCCCCTCGATATCCCTCAACGGAAGAAGCTATTGTACATTCGTGTAGAGAAAGAGAAGTGAAGTGGGAAGAGTTGGAAGCTTATAAACCCCACGATCTGGCTGAAAGCTGGCCGCATGAGACCCCCCTGTCACCGAGAAAAACAGCCACCAGAGCTTTCTTTTGTTGCACACGTGACCATTACATCAAGCTTCACTTCATCTTCATCGTGTGCTTCGATACATCATCACTGTTCAAATCAGCATCATCAGTTCAAATGTTCAGATGAAGCCTGAGGTCGAGTTTCTGCATTGATACAGCTATGTGGCCAGGCTTGCAGAGTTTGTGGGGTCACAACCTTTCCCTCGTTCCCAAATGCAACTGCCTCCCGCTCGAATGCAGATCAAAGGGAAATGCCAGCGAAATACCCAGAAAAGAAAAAGTACAAAAATATTCAGATCCAGCAACCCTCTGTCTGTCCCTGGAAGTTGATCAGAAGCCAAAAGAAAATCTGATAGCCTTGTCAGCAGGTTACACTCATCGAAGTTCTCCCGTACTGATCCTCGCACCATTCCCCTCCAACCAGCCAAGATATCAGCTTCGGATACACCATCGCTGTATTCACAAAGACTCGGATCATTTTCGTTGATGAACCGGACTAATGCCATGGAAGGATCGGTCTTGATTAGTCCAAGCGACATTCGGAACCCCCTTTGCTAGCAGGACAGTTGTCATGGTATCTCGGCGGCGATGTAGAGTAATCGCCTTGATCTCCCAAACGCTGCTCGATCCAAGCCCTCCTCTCTGCTCCTTTGCTGGTCGCTCTAGAAGGGTCGTTTTTCGAACTCGTTGGAACCACAATATCTGTGGTGGCTATTTCGTTTAGTATTTGAAAAGCCTGGTATACGGACCTTACTCACTCGAAGTTCCAATATGAGATCCACTTCGGTGAGAGTAAAACGTACTTGATGCAGTTTCGGAAAGAATTTGGGCCTGCATTTGGACGATGCTCCTCGCTCATGACTATGGTAGTCATTGCCTCCCCGCAGCGGCCGCAAAATACGTCTTGTTCAACACACATTTTGCTGTTAAAGTCCATACGCTTCCTGTGATTGTGTTGTTGTGGGAGTTGGTTCCTGGGGTGTTGATGTGCGTGTTTGTGATTCCTTTTGTCTTCGCGGATGACTGTAGATGGAAGAGGGGGTCAACTCAGAATAGATGCGAGTCAGATTCGGAGAGGATGTCTTGACAGGATGGAAGTTATGGAAATCTTGAGGAACATTCCGGAATAATAACAAATCTTTGTCTGCTTGTTAACAGATCCTCGCAAGTGAGAGGGGTCTGTTGTCAAGGGTCTTGAAAAATCCGTTCCGAATTTGCGAGAAGGAGCCGGAGACGGAGAAAAGGGGGTGTCATTGTTCACAAAGCACGAGACAGAATCCGAAGAAGGAAACAAGAGGCTCTTTGCAATTTGTAGTTCTATCTATCAAGTAGGATGAGTTTCGTGCCTCGGGTCCCATAGGTCCTATACCTATCGAAACGGTCATCCCGAACGTTCTACTTTCCGGTATCTGGTGGAGGAGCCCCCACCAGTCAATCAATTTGAGAATACTTGAAGTACTGGAGCTTCTTACGATACAGGGCAGTCATGCCTCTTGTCAAATGTGTCCACCGCCACATCAATTTTTCTCCACCTTGAGCATTTCCTATGGCTGTCTTCCTCCCCCTTTTCCCTGCGCTCTCATCTATATATATTACATATCACGATCTCTGTCCAGGTGATACCGCAAAAGCTGTAAGTGATTTCTGTTTCAAAGCATATTCTAATTTGTTGAAAGTTTCTTGCCCTGGAATGTTGGCAGGATCTGAAAGGCCCAGGTGTTTCAATTTGTAAAAGAGGTATAAAACTCTTGAGTTTGTTTCGAACTCAGCATTTGATTCAAAGCAGTGTCTACAAGCTTGCTGGGGGGTCCGATTCTTTGTCGACTAGTAAGCTATTAAACTGATGTCAATACTCACACTCACTGGCTACACAGTTCTCCAGCAAGCGCTTCCATCCAGAGATTCGAAATCTCTTATTCAACCGCTATTTCTGGACTGAATATAAGGCGAAATCTCAACCGCGCCTGCAGATAATGTTGCACCTGCTACTGATAACGAGTGACCCAGCGTGAGGTTCATTCCTTGGCTTTGTTATTCCATTGAACTGTTGCTAACACTCACCAGAATTCCTCACGAGAAGATCGTAAAGATCCATGTTGGCAAGGCTCTTTCCACTAAGACTTTCATCATCCACGTCGATTTCCTCACCAACTGCTCCCGGTTCTTCTCCGCTGCATTCAATGGAGAGTTCATCGAAGGAATGACGAAGACCATGACCTATGAAGAAATGACCCCTTTAGCCTTTGGTTTGTTCATTAACTGGGCATACACACAAAAGCTGATAAATAGTTGCAGTGTTAGGGCGGTATCCGAACTATTCAACTTGAGGTGGGAATTTGAGATTGAGTGTCGAGACTTCTCCGGAGAGATTCCAAAGAGGCAAAAGGAAATGTGGAGTGCATTCTGACTTGCAAGCTCAAAGACATCATATATTGCTTGAAGGGACCACTTAATATACCATAAAAACACAAAATAGGCCTTGACTTCAAACAAAACAAAAACACCAGGTACGAAACTGCAAAAATACGAGCTTCATAAACCATAGCAAAGCACAGCTTCAGCTCCAATTCAAGTCACCACAACGTCGCACCTACCAACCAAACTGCTCGCAGTGCAAGGTGACACTCCTTCCAGAATTCGCCACAAGGTCTCCAACAACTCCACGAGTTTCCTTCATGAGGCTTTCAGGGCCACAAGCAGAGACGATTGTCCTCTCATGTTCATCAATTGCATCCACAATAGTCCGAATGGTAGCACTGATATCCGGACGGCCCAGCATGACAGGCAGAGTCGATTCCGAAGCAGTCGGGGAACAACTGCCTGGGGCAGATTTCTCTGGGTCAGCGATATGAGCGCCAGACTTTTCAAAGTTTGATGCTTGAGTCATTACTTGATGGGGAATTTGTCTCTCGCTTGTTGGGGTCCTCGCGTTGAAGGTTCGTGTTACGTAGATGGTGAGCTTCACCAGAGGAGAGAGGCTTAATTCAACGAGCTCCTTCTCGAACCAATTTTTCATTTCTAGAATATTTGTTAGGGTGGTCTAGGATGAGTTGTTAGGGATCTTACCGTGGTCCTGAATGACCCAGATGAAATGAATCAACGGTTTCCCTCCGCTTGAAGGGAGCTTGTGGATGAGATTGAGGGCGACACCAATAGTGAAAGTTGCCCCACTACCACCAGCGACAAGAACAACATGTTTGAACTTTGCGAAATCGGGAAGGGTACCATATGGGCCATCGCAAGAAGCTATAAGCAGATCACCGGGCCTTTTAGACGCAAGGGAGAACAAGTCTCTCGTAAATCCATCTTGCGAAGAGATGACAACTTCGAGAGAGCTTGTTGACAGGATAGTGAAAGGGTGAGTCTCCATCGCTCGAACCTTGGGGATCCAGAGAAAGATATGAGTGCCAGGGACTGACCGCCATGGTGTACGTCTCATGACAATGCGAATGCCACCTTGTGGGAGGGGGTAGGCATGTACGCAATTCCCGAAAGCATGCACGACCATTCTGAGACCTCGAAGTAACCTGTCAGATCCCCAGATACAAGCTGAGAAGATGATAATGTAGATTGCCTTCATCTGAAATTCTGGCCGATGCATACCAACGGCGATGATAACAAGCATAAACATAACGATATGGACAATGTAGAAAGCCTCATATCGAATGCGTCTGAGTGTTAGCGCTGTCGTCAACATAAACAGCATGGCGAAGCCAGCGACAATGCCCATAATTTGCTCTGGCTCGAGCAAATCTGAGAGTGAGCCTAGTTTTGTGTTCGTCGTAATGTACAGAACAGCATGGAGCATTGCGAAGAGGACTGTGCAGTAGCCCGCGGCTTGATGTAAGATATTCAACCGTTCGTAGGAATATGCTGTTAAGAAAGCCAGAGGGGTATTTTTCAGAGCCAAGAAAGTGATGAGAGCAATATTGCATGCCGTGATCCTGCAATGATATGAGTTAGCTGAAAGGTACGCAAAGTCGAAACCATCTTACCATCCCATTCTTGTGGCCCAGTTCCTGCGTACACTGAGGTCAAGATATTGAAGAAGCAGAGTGATGTTGATGGTAATGTAGGCTGTAAAGACAAGTGCATGGCCCAGACTAGGAAAAAGTGGCACCTTGCGGAGAAGTCCGCTTCGGACAATCCTAGATATCCCATTAGATAGTTCTAAACATGAAGAACATGAAAGTACCGTGCTTTCTTGATGAGGTTTCTTGCCAACATTCCACTGCCATTTGGGTTGGAGTTCATCAACAAACCACCGATAAAGTGTGCAGCGGCAAGAATAACACAGAGACCGGCGATAGATGCTGCGAAGTAGACAGCAGTCCTCTCATTTGCATTCTGCGTCTTGGCTCTCATCGATGCTCGAGACATTTGGAGACTATGTGCAGCACTCATCCTTGAGTGGCAGTATTGAAGCTATTGGAAATCGATTGTTTACAAAAACAATTGCTACAGGATGAAAGAGGTGATATCTGCACAATATATCGGCAGTTCCTCTTACATTTGGGAAGTTCCCACCACAAGATCAGCCATGGCCAAGGGAATGACCAGTTTCTGTCCAATCTTGGTTCACTTGATAGCGGGCCCAGCAGCATGCCATTCAGAAGCAGGGGATAAGTGCAAGAAGCAAGATAACCACACTTCGCATCCCGCACCTCCATAATCTGTCTTCACCCTGGTATGGAATCTTCAGAGATAGAGATAAACGCTACTTGGTGCAGAAGCACGCTTAGTCGGGTGCCATCAACCTCAACATGACCTATGCCTTTGAACAATTCCCGGTCCAACCATTAATCCGAGCCCAGTTCTAATAACGGAGATCAATAATGTTGTAGGTCAGACATGATTTGTTAAATTGGATTTCTCGGACGACATCTTCTCACACTTGTGTTAAAGCCAGTCAATCTTCGCGTTGTAAAGGAAGACTAATAAATTTTTGGAGATAGCTTCCACCTGAAAGGTTACATTGAATGAAGTGACATGATGCAGCAGTCGAAACCGGAGTTCAACCCGAGGAGGTACAGTCGCAAGGGTCCCCTGGAATAGGCAGGCGGGTGATATTGGAGTACATCAAGCAAAGATCGGCGAGGACAATTGCAATCAACTTAAAGGGGAGAGATTCCCGTGCGGAATATCACTCGTTTTGAATTGAAGGTGTCCAGACACTGCAAAAAGCCGAACAGTCCTAGTTACGCGGCTGTTGAGTCTGGCATGGAGACAAATCTGGTAGGTCACTACGAGATAGCCTCAAAATCCGCTAGGGGATCGTGGCACTTATTGGCACCTCAACTTCGGCAGTCGTGAATGTCATGCATGCGCCCAGGATGGCTTATCTGTACCTTATTTGAACAACCTTCTTCTTTGTGCAATGGTCATGCGTTCTTGCCCAGCCCCGCCATACAAGTAACCTAGAAACAAGGGGTTGCTCGTGGCTTGAACCAGTAGCACTATCGTGGTTCGGTCGCTCGGCTGGATCACCAAGAACATTGAAATTCACCCGGCTTGCAAATGCGCTGTTATTCACATGCAATGAATCCCATGTGTCGAGACGGCCAATGCACTTCCTTGGATCATATTCATGATGATTCAATTGGATGGGCCACCGTCAAGGACTGGTATCCTCACCAATTCACACCTTCCAGAACCGACTCTACACCCGTAAGGAAGCGACTTTGATCCCTGAATCTAGACGGGGTCATAATCATCAAGGGGCTGGATTGACTGAACGTTGTGGTAGCTGACAGGAATCCGGGGCAGATTCTTGACCCTCAAATGAATTGACAATAGCAGACCAAGAGCACTGTAGCTTTAAGAAACTAAGCGCTGACAACAAAACTTCCCAGATGACAATGTTGGTTTTATTTTTGATAAAAAGGTAGCCCGTCTTTCGCCATCCAAGGACAGCCATCGAATTGGACTTCCGTAGGGAAGAACCTGACTAGGTTAACGTCTGGGTCTGTTGCTGAGCACATAAGCACTCATCCCATGGTCGATTTGAAGAAAGCAGAGCCTATTGAGTAAAACATTAACCAAGAGCAACTCGCCACCCCAGACCAAGGCTGCCTCGGCCAGTCCGTTCTTGCTTAGTTCGCGAGCTTGAAGGTCTCTATTCAACAATGATACAGTAGAAACTCGTAGATACAGGCAACTTTGCCGATTCCAGTTTTGGGAGGTGAAAGTAGAACCGTTGCCAAGACAGAGAAGAAGAGAAACCAGAATTCAAAGTCAAGGTGCGTTTGAAAGGATGCGCTACTTGGGACACTGAGGGTTCAATGGCGCCCAGGGGGAGTGATTCGTGAAATAGGGGGAATCGTGATGTTCGTAAGGGTATCGTAATCATCTATCGCATCTACCATTATCCATATCCATCAACCTCACTCCTGTGGCTGCCAAAAAGCCGCTGAGTCGTTTTTCTTCGTCCCCAGGTCCTGGAATCCAGCAAGGACATCTTTATCCACGTTTACCACCCAATCTCTCTGAAATGCTTCCTCTCCACCACAAATGATAACCATCTGTCCCAATATTTCCTTCACGAAATTAAACGTATGGATGGTATGGACCGGGTCACGGCCAGCATGAAGTCTTCTCCGCACGTCTTCTGGGCCTTCGAATTCGTTTCCTTCATTGGCAAGCCAAATGAGGTTATCACCACCATCATCTCGGCCGCCAATCATCTCACTGATGACAGACGCCCACATGGCAAAGTAATCTTGCAAGCGCTCAAGAATAATGGGTGTCATAGGTGGTGATAATTCGAGAAGACGAGTGAGAGCCAGACACGAGAGCTTCTGGCGATCGATATTTGCCATGCTGTCGAAATGGCGGAACCATTCTGTGCTGAGCCATCTCCAGACTTCAGTAACATCTCCAACAGATGACATGACGGTGACGAAGACCGATGGATCAGCGAGTGCTACGCGTGCAAGGATGGTAAAGTAGTCGGTTTCGACAACATCGTCAAGCTTAGGGTATCTCCTACCAGGTCCAATTGTTTGATGTGCTTCCCAGGCATCTCGGAGACCTTCGAAAATCTTTTCGGTATAGCCGCTTTCATGGAGATCTTTAGCGACCTGTGTAACACCGTTCGAGCCTCCTAATGCCTCAGCTGTCCGAACCATGTTCTCGACAATTGCAGTAACCAGACCAGCAAGCTCCCTCTTGCTAACCCCAAGCAAATTTGTCATATAAGCGAAGAGTCTTGGTCGGACAGCATTGTCTAGCATAGCTTCTGGAGCAAGCAGAATATAGGAATCAACTATATTCAGGACATTTCGAAGGTTGTCTGATCCGATTTCCAGTAGAGGAAATGTACATTCGGCTAGTGTTAACACCTCAGGACTGGCAGGGGACGGCGTCTGAGTGAGGATGGTCAACCACAGATCTAGTGCTTCTTCCATGAGGTAAACCTGCATCTCCGAACCTGGCTCGACGGCTCGCTGAATAAGGGGTAGAATCATTGCGTGGTACCTCTGAGCCTGTTCCTTCATGGCTGTCACTAATGTTGACATGAGGGTGAGAATAGCCTGCTTGATAAGATGCTCTTCGCCAGAGCTTTCCCAGAGGGATGGTAGTATCGAAACAATCTCGTCGGCGAATTGAGAGATTCGATGCTCCAGGCGCACAGCGATAGCTCTGATTGTGTCAAGAATCGGCATCCTGATTTCAGTGGTCACCTCCTCCATTAACTGCAGAAGCTTATGTAAGATATCTTGAGCATATGGAAGAAACCCATCGGGGTCAAAGCTGAAGTCATCGCAAACAGCTTTGAATTGTCGCGCAGCGGTGATACGAACCACATGATCATTCGTCTCATCTTCCCTCTCCAACAGGTGCTGGAAAATCTGGTACACAAGTGGTCGGTTCTCCTCAGAAACTTTGATTGTAATCCACTGACCGAGAAGAATCGCGATTCTTCGACGCAGTACCTTGTATCCAGGACCTGTCTGCTGAACGTCGTTGACCAGAGTTGACCTGAGGAACGAATCGAAATCGAAACTTTGGAATACAACAGGTGCCGAAAGACCCATTGCAGTGTAGACAGCATCCTTGGTGACCACCGTGCTTTCATTGGTCCTTGCCACAGACTGGAAGAACGAGAGCAGGGGCTGGACCAAGAGATGCTTGAAGTTTATGACGAGGTCCATGAACAGTTTTTCTGAGCATGGTCTGACTTCGAATTCCCAAGTATCACCACCACCTTCCTCTCTGACCTCCCATTCGTCTGCATCTTCTTCCCAAGCTTCTAGATCAACTTGGCGGAAGACGAAAAACTTTGTCACGATCACGCTTGCCACCTGACCAACGAGCTCATCAGTGAGAAGCTGCGTCTTGACTAACGCCACAGCCTCTTGTTGTTCTACTTTGACTTCAGGCGTCTTGTACTTGAACGACTGCACTGGGCTGAAGACCATCTTTAAGCAAGCTCGCAAGATATTCAGACCCTTCAAGCAGAGCTTCTCCATAACTGGTCTCTCATCTTTGTCCGTGTCATCTCTTCGAGTTTTGGAGCTGAAATCCTGGCTTTCAGATCCATATAACTGTCCAAACTTGGCCACTAGACCCCAGTATGCTCGCACCAGATCCAAGGAGCTGGGTAAAAGCGCAAACGCCGCAGGATGAGAGTTAGCCATCTGAGCATGTAGCTTTGAGAACTGGACTAGATGTTTCTCCACCAAGTCCTTTGCGGGGGATACCAATACCGGGGGGTCATGTGAGACCATGTCCAGAAATTGTCCAAACTGATGTTGAGAGTGTTCCCATAGCTGCTGAACGTCCTTTGAGTGATTGGGATACTCATAGCCAGCAATTAGAAGCCTTCGAAGAATCTTGATAGCAAACAAGCTATTTTCCATGGCGTCCATAGCTCCTCCTTCATCATCTCCATTCCCATTGAAGAACCCGACCCAAGTTGCAACTTTCTCTGTATAAATTTCATTCAGTAGGAAGACGATCTCAGGTGCAACAGATTGTAGACGGATCTGGGAAGTGCGTAACCGCGCCGTGGACAATTCCTTGATTACTTGCAGCAAGATTAACATGCCCCTTCGTAGTTGTAATTGATTTGTATGGTTGACGGTTCGCAGGATTTTGATCAAACTCGTCAGAACGTCGGGCCAATCCAAGGGATAGTCAATGCGAACAACCTTGGCCACGACCAGGGCATTTTGCAGAGCAAGATTTGTTTCGACCTCTCTTATTCCGCCATCCAGTAATTGTGAACGCATCTGAGCCTTTTCTTCCGGTTGGATAGCGTTCGTAGCAGTTTTTCGCCAGTATTTGTCGATGCCATTTTTCAGTTGGATAATGGCTAGGTATCGGATTTCAGAGGGCAAGGTCTTGTCGAGGTAGACTGCCTGTAAAGAATATGTCAGCTTCCGTTCACTTTTTGGGGACTTAGGAAGGCAGCATACTTGCAACAGAGGGTAGTATCCCCTCTGTGTCTCCCATGTCTGAAGCTGTTGCGTGCCAGTCTGGATGCTGAGCTGTTGGGAAGAGCTGGCAGACTGGAGGGCTAAATAGACCTGCTGCGGCGTGAGAGGAGCTGCCTCCCCGGGCACTTCGATTGCAAAAGACATGGCTGAGCGTGTCCCAAATGAGCGAATGAAGTTGAGGTTGTATATTCTTGGTTGTGGTGTTGTCAAAAAGTATCTGATGCGAGACACGCGAGGCTGTGGACAGACCCACTTCTTTTACAAGGGTCTCAACCTTGTTTCCTCCCCGGACATATTATCCACATACGAGATTCAATGGGGGCAAGTTATTTCAATTCGAAGCTGAGTGTAGCTCATTCGACTTCTCAATCTTATTACCTCCTATTCAAAATGGTTCTGCCAATGATTAATAAGGCTCTTCGTTTCAGCAGCCTTGGCGGTGACTTGGAGCTCTTGGAGAAGGAAGTACTTCCTCTCCCAACGAACGAGATCCTTGTCAAGGTTCACGCTGCGTCAATCAATCCTTGTGATATCCAGCTATGGAGATCAGGATTAATTGCCGTGGTAGCAGGAGATAAGGGGATGGGGAAAGATTTCTCAGGTACTGTAGTATCGGTTGGCTCGGGCGTGAAAGGATGGGCCGAGGGCGATGATATATTTGGTTTACTGTTCCACGTTGTGTGTTCTCGTTTTATGCCGCAAGAATTTTACGATTGCTAAGCCTCTTAGTTCGGTCAAAGCACTTTCAGCGAGTATATCAATGTCGACCCATCAACGGACCCAATTGCCAAGAAACCCGGTTTCTTCACCCACGAGGAGGCAGCATCGATTCCTCTGGTAGCTCTTACAGCGTATGCTTGTCTTGAATGGCTCCCTCCAGCATCAAATACTCAGAGGAGAGTAGTTATCCGAGGAGCTTCAGGTGGTACAGGTACTTGGCTTGTCCAGTGTAAGTCTTCATCCTCCCCTCTTGCACGTGACAATGGCCCCTCATAATTTGATCTCTCAGCTCTCTGAGTACTTTGGCTAGCCCCTAACTCTATAATATTGAGGTCTTTCTAATTCCCAAACAGTAGCAAAAGCAACCTATAACTGCCACATAACAGCCATCTGCTCCTCCAAAAATGCAGAATTCGTCGAATCTCTCGGCGCGGACGAAGTGATCGACTACACAACCCAAGACATCACTCAAACCCTCTCATCAAATATCTCATCCAACCAAAAATATGACCTAATAGTCGACTGCGTCGGCGGAAAGGAGCTGTTCTCATCCTACGAGCAACTCCTGCACCCCAAAGGCACTTACATAACCATCGTCGGCGACAAAACCAATGTCCGTTGGCTCAGCGGGCCCATTACCTACCTCTGGAGCCCCACCCAAGTCCTCCGATACCTAAAAGGCTATATCTGGGGTCCACGCTACGCATGCGTTTCTTTCGTTACCGATTCCAGTTGCCTAGAGGCCGTGGTGAGGCTTGCGGAGAGAGGAGAAGTGAAGGCTGTTGTGCAGGAGGCTATCCAGGGTTTGTTCGATGAGAGAGAGGGGTGGAGAGTAGCCGTCAGGAAGATGGAGGAGGGCAGGGTTAGGGGAAAGGTTGTGCTTCCTATTCCTTGACGTAAATATTTCAGGGAGAGGAGTGGAGGAGCAAATAAATGGAGGAAATGGTGTTAAGTGGCCCAGTGGTATTCTTGGTACCTTGCATCAAGCCAAACTGCTGGTATACCGACTCTGGACTGTTTTCCTAAAGAGGGTGTACGGGTATTGGGGGTACCCGGATATTTGGAATTCCAGATTACATTCCTGATTTCGGCCAGTCATGTTCCTTCGTTCTATGATCAGTGGAGTGTGGGTAGCTGAATGCAGCTTAGCAGTACCTCCGTCTCCGAGTGTGGTAATCAACAATGTGAAGTTTCTTGGCATTGTGGCAGGCAAATCCAAATATATGAATCTGCTTCCCCGTCTCCCCTTCAAGATTCACGGAAGCTCTTATGTCTGTCATAGAATTTTGAAAGGTGTTAAATTTTTCATTTGAGAACGATTTATCACAACCAAGCTTTTAAGCTTTATCTGTGCCAAATATTCCTTCAATCCTGACAAAACTAACAAATTATGGAAAGAAAGCAAATCCAGTCCATTCCCAAAGCCTCCGGATATCAAATTTTATATTCCCAACAAAACGCCAACCCAAAACATCAAACAAATTTTCCACACGAGCCGTTATCACCCACTTGCATCGTCAATCCCATGCCAAACCCCCTGCTCAACGCCATTAAACAGCCTCTCATAACTCACCTCCTCCATCCCCGCCATCCAATCCACCGCCAGATCTGTCACATCCTGCACCCTTACTTCCGGCTCCCAAATCTTCAGTCCACCAGGTGGTCCAAAAATTCCCGCTCTCTCCATCCCGGGCCTAGGCATCGCAAAAACAGTCCTAGCAATCTGCTTCGTCTCCTTTTCCGTCCGTCTGCTAACCTCCCAGACCTCGCTGAACGTCTTCAAACATCCGAGTCCTAACCGAATCCGATCTCGTGTTCTGTACCATTCTGAGCCGGTGAGGACGTATGCGCAAGCGGAGAGGTTGGCGAGGGTTGAAAGCACGATGCCGCAGATTCCAAGGGGTGTGTGGTTGATGATTGAGCAGGGGAGGGCGTACAGATTTACCGCAGCTTCGGCAGCTTCAAGAGTCTTTTTAGTGTGTAGCCAGTAGGATTTGTCTTCGTTGGTTGTGGTGTCGTGGTCTGGGGGTGGTGGGGCGCAGTGGGAGATCTTCTCGATTGGAGAATGGTAGAGGCGGGAAAGGGGGCGGTGGATGTGGACAAGAAGTATTTGGAGGAAGTTGTGGGCTTGGAAGAGTATTTCGTCAATCTCTTCGTTTTTGTCGACGACGCTTTGTTTTTCTTTTGGGAGGTGGAGCTTCCAATTGACGAGCATGGCATCTGCATTGGCTACAGCAGATTCTAGGTATTCTCTTGGCGTCGTGTCCAAGGGAAGAAGGGAGCCCGAAATCCGGACTAGGTCGATGAGGTACGCATATGAAGAGAAGACTGGCGTCTCGTCTTCAAAATCTCGAGATTCGTATTCGTCCAACGTTTTGGATCGGGGGATTATCCCCTCGTAATCACATTCTTCACACGGGATCTCGACATCTGCTTCGATGGAATGTAACCTGTGCATCTGGTTAGTATCCCGCCATTGTTCCAAGAATATGTTAACATACGTGAACATGGGAGCCCTTCTCATAGCCGCAAAATATGCATCCGAGATATACAGGCCCCAGAACGTCCTCCTCCATGATTCCGCAAGCACGGGATCTCTCTCCATAGTTGCGAATGCTCGGGACTGCATTCGCAGGTCAAGAGCGAGATATATGGCTCTATCTAGAATAGCACGGCCTTGTTCAAGTTCTCCGTCGCAATGAACAGCAATAGCTGTCAAGAGCAACATCTGAACTGTGAACCCATTCGGAGGCAAATTAGGGACATCAAGCTGGCTCATAGCCGCAGCATAGAGTTCTACCGATGAGACTTCCAAGGCATACAAAGACCCAATGTACTGCATGATTGGCAAAAGATGCTTCAGAGACTCCGGGTCAGAATGAAGTCGGTTGCGAAAATGGTACTGAGGTAAGAGATATGGATGCGCTTTATGGAAGAAACTAATCGGAATTAGCAAAGCCCCATTCATTTAAGGGATGCGGGTACGTTACTTATAGTATAAATCTAGTAGACGTGCTGTGCTTGACCCTTTGCCGCTCAATCTCGAGATGGAGCTTGTAGGGCTCAAAGAACCATCAGAAGGTGGTCTGGAATAAGAAGCGGTTGAAGAACCTCCGTTAGAGTAGATGCCACCATGGCCGCCACCGTAAGGAGGACCACTTCGTGGACTTTCTCTACTAGTCTCACGCATCGAAGCTCGTTTTTGTGGAGCATTTTTATCTCTCATGCCTCTGCGAGATTTGGCATAGAAGCATGGTTTGTCGTCTTGAAGACATCTACTGCAACTGGGAGTTTCCGCTCCACATTTCACATGACGACTTCGACACTGATAAATGGTCAGTCGACTTTCGTTTGGTACCTTTGTCAAGAGGACTTACTGGTACACACGCTAATGATACTCTGACGCCGCCTTTTTGAACTAGCTCTTGGCTCTGACTTTGTCCACTCGATGAGTCGTGCGATGGCGTCGATCCTGTTGATCCAAAGTCGAAAAACATAGACATTATGTCCTCACTTTCGTGTGACGAGTATCTGTCAGATCCCGTGCCGCTGGAACACCTGCCATCCATTCTAAATTGATGTCTGGACAATTGCCTTGGCCGCAAGAGAATGCTGAGTTTCCCGGTGTAAGCTACGCCGTGGACCGAGACAAGATTGCTGTGTTAATCACAAGAATATTTATTAGTCGCAGCGGCTTCTCTAAAGCTCGAGTGAGAGCTTGCAGTAAAGGTGGAAGTTGAAAGAGATTTGAGAACAATGGGTTGGGTGTTAGAGGCAAATGCAGTTGTTGTATAGTTTCCGCTGCTCCGGTACTAGCCAATCAGAGCCACTGTTCGGCAGGTTTCGTCTCGTCAGGACTTCGTACAGTCAGCGAAGACTAGTCAGCAGAAGGGCGGATGCTTTGAAGCTTGTTTTGGATTCAACTTTTGATCCCTGGCCTGGCATCCGAGACCTACCGGGCTCTCCGCACTACTAACGTTGTGCAACCGGGAAGGTTCTGCACAGGCCTCAAAACCTTCTTTTCTCAGCTCCTCCATTTTAAAGCCGTTTCTAGAGCATCCATTCTCCCCTGTGTAACTTTGAAAAGCGATTACTCTACGACAACAAGATTTTACTTGCGAAGAGCGTCTTTGATGATGTCGACTATCACATCGTGCAATGGCGGGGTCTCGTCTCGCACCCCATGCTTTCAACCACGGGTCTCTATCCTCAAGGTCCAAGAAAATGATAGCGGCATCGGCCGAAGATTTTACGAGCCCTCCAATATCGCCTGTGACTACCTGATGTGGCTCTCCGGTGGGGCAACAGAGCTTTGTGGGTTGGAACCGGATTGCAGGTACCTGCAGATGCAATATGACTGTGTTCGAACAGGGACGTGGCAGTTCTCGGAAATACCGTAGCTGCTGTATGCATACCATCGTACACATGCATCCCTGATCTTGGCTTGAGGAAAGATTAGACAGATGCACTTGCAACTTACCGGTAGTTCTACTACTTACTTTTGGTCTACTTCCAAAACCCTTCCTTTCTTATTGGCATGACTTCATCAAATAAGTTCGCCGTGTTTATCTACGAGGCTGTCGACTTCAGAATGTAGGCATTCCCACTGCTTTCTCGCACCTCAACACAGATCTGATTTTGCGGCCCGACTTCTCTTAGAGCTCCAATCAGAGGATTCTACAGTCAAACAAACTCATCGCTAGCAGGGCTGAGATCCGATGGGGGCGACCGTCTGCTTTGGGGCAGCGTCGCCTCTCTGTCATAGTAGAGGAAAACCGCGAACAGATTTACGCGCATATCGGAGATAGATAGGAAAGCATCTGAGAAGAGGAGAATTTGATTGGAGATATGTGCGAGGTGCGATATTTCGCCCCAAGTTGAACATAGACACGAAAGAAAGAGCAGCATACCGAAACAACCCCGACTTCTACAGCCCCCAGCTAGTATGCTCCCGAGTGAAGAAGCGGTCAACTAGGAACTAATCAATGCGAAATACCAGCAAAAAGAGGTCTTCGTGTCACTAACATCGAGAAGAACAGGGGTATTGGCGGCTGTTCGCACGACTCTCACACCGCGCTGACACGGGACACTTCCGATGGAGCAAGAGCTCGGAGCTTGAGAGCTGGATTCGACGTCATTGTCTCAATGCTTTCCCAAAATCCGGTCCATCAGAATCTAGCCAGTTTCATTCGACGCGTCTTCGTTCTGTTGGTGGGTCGGGTACTGCACCGGGTATTTGAACCCTTGTGCAGGATTTGGAGGATGGTCGTTGGCCGGGACCCAATCATGAGCAGAGTCGTATACGGAGGTACAGCCCATAAGTATTACGACGCCACTTGCAGGGATCTCAATTTTACCACCTAATGTTACAACCACAACGCACCACCAAAGCACAAAAAATAGATTGATGTATAGATCCCCTCTTAGGGATCATTTTAGTGTTTAAATAAAGGCTTTTGGTTGTGTATAGGAAAAGTTTGAGTGTTGAAATCGCGTGTGGCGTTCAGACCCTTGTAGTGGCGTCGTAATACTTATGGGCTGTACCTCCGTACAAGTCCGCCTTCCGAACCTGCATCCGAAGATGCTCTGGCCAGGCTCTGGGATCGTCGGGGGTGGCCACCAATGTGCTGCAGATGGTTGACTCATCTTCTTCCCAGCATCCTGAGGAGCAACGTGAATGAGGATCCCCGCGGGGCCAATGCTTGGTAATCCAAGAGCAGAACAGTTTCCTTCTGTTCGTGGGGTAAGTGGCTAGGAATCCGAGACTAGTCCCTTCTCGAGCATGGGAGAGGCGTTCGCACCAAGTGCCAATCAATGCAGCGTGACTGGGTGGCAAGGTTGAATGAAGTTAAGGACACCTGGCAACTGACCTGGCTGACTGTTGAGTCCTCCTCAAGTTCTGGGACAATGTTCAAGAACTGAAATGAGGCATGTGAAGTGGCTTGAACTGAAGGCTGGTTCAGGCTAGGGGTCGCGAGTCGCGAACTTGTGAGCCTTCCATCGCTCTCGAACAATGCCAAATCCAGACTAGTGGCCTTTGAAATAACCTCGGCGCAAATCCGCAATGGCGTAGCTCTCCATGGGCTTGTGAGCGCGTTGGTAAATTCTTACACTTCATACCGAACCAGAGCCTTCTCAATGCTCCCTCGATGACGTCCAACGATTTCGCTCTCGCACAGCAGAGGCTCGCAGCACGACGGCAAGCACGAGAGGCTGAAGCACAATCTCGCGTCGCCGCTCAACAGCAAGTTTCACGAGCCTCAGACCAACTGAGCCGATTACCCTACCCTTTAGGACGACTCGGTCAAGCTGGAGTAGCAACATGGGACAGCATCAGAGGAAGAGAGGGCACCCGGCCAGCGTTCAGGGTTGGGCAGGTTGACGCCGAGCTCTTGGATGAGGAGCTGCTGTCGCTGCTAAAGGCACAAGTTGGAGAGGCGTTGAAATATTTCGGATCACATTTGCAAGATGATTGGTCTGCGGAGATTATGCTTGCCCTGAGAGCAGTGCTGTTCAAGCTCACTGTCTGGGATCATGATGCAACATACGGTGCCGCATTGCAGAACCTGAAGTTCACAGATGCGAGGAAGAACGGTCCAGTTTTGGTCTCACCATCCAAGGTGCAGAAGACGCTTTATGGACTATTTACCGTTGGTGGGAAATATGCCTGGACGAGATGGGAGAACTGGCTTGTCGATAACGACAATGGCTATGATCAGCCAAGCCCCACCCTGCTCAAGCTATCACGAGTATCAGACGCCGTCTCAACCGTGCACTCCACAGCAGCTTTTACTTCATTCCTCGTATTCCTGGTGAACGGAAGGTATCGAACGCTTCTGGACAGAGTGTTGAGGCTACGGCTGGCTCCTCCGACCAGTCAGGTCAGCCGCGAGGTCTCGTTTGAATATCTAAACCGACAACTGGTGTGGCATGCATTTACAGAGTTTCTGCTCTTTGTATTGCCATTGGTTGGAATTAGTAGATGGAGAAGATGGCTTGCCAGAGCATGGCGGAAAACGAAATCTATCATGAGGAGTGGTGGCGAGGATGAGGAAGAGATCAAGTCAGGAGAATTTGCTTTCCTACCAGAGCGAACATGTGCCATTTGTTACCAGGACCAAAACGCTACATCGACGTCCGAGGCTGAGGCTATTGCTAATTCTGGAGCATCGGGAATTATTGGCTCAGCTCAGACAGATATCACAAATCCCTACGAGACCATCCCGTGCGGCTGCATTTATTGCTTTGTCTGCCTAGCTGGTCGTCTGGAGGCTGAAGAAGGAGAAGGCTGGACATGCTTAAGGTGCGGACAAGAAGTGAAGGAATGCAAGCCATGGAGTGGGGACGTGATCGAAGAGGTTAAAAAGACAGCAACTTCGTCAAAAACGGTTGGGTTTTCAGAAGGGCCCAAGGAAATGGCGGAAGTTGAACCGAGTCCAGAAGTAGACGAGATAGCCCACGATGTAGATTCGCAGACTTCAAAAGATGACGACTCTGCCTCCCAGTCCTCGGAACTTGGCGAGAGCGAGGCTTATGATGAAGAGGAGGAAGGGGCTATGGATGACGACGACGAATGAGTTGATGCTCCAGTCACATTGAAGCTCATGCAGCCACAGCATAATCAGTATTATCAGGCGTTAGAGATGTTTGAGGCAAATGATACCACTATCCATTTCACTGGGCTTCTCCGCGTTTCGCCTTTTCAAACTAACTTAGGTGAGTCAGGAATGTTCCCCCATATCCGGTCAGATTGCTATCGATCACCCAGACATTTGGTACTCATCATTGTTTGTGTTCTGTTTTCTTCCAAATGTCGATGCTGAATATCACGTGAGCCCAGTGACCTCATTGACCCCCGGACGGCACTTGAGTAATACACTAGAGGTAGCGTCTGAAATCCCCATAAACCTTATTTCTACCTGCCTCCTCTGAAAAATATAGTGACAAGGAAGATTAATACCATTCAGATTCATTGAGAAGTCTGTTTTTGGGAATGCTGGTCATTCCATGAAGTTGGCAGACTAGAAATGAGAGGAGGGAAAATCTAAAGAATACAAGACTACGGCCGGAACGATTTGATAATATCGCGACTTCGGGATGTGGTCACAATTGGAACCTACGGCACCACATGTGGCCTACTTGACTCTCTCTATGTTTCTGATCATATACGCTCTGTTCTCGCTCTTCATCAGAAATGTATTGCATCTCTCTGAACCACCTTGTGAGTCTCTTACCCGAACTGCTCATTCTTTGACCTCCTTATATCACAACCGCCACCTCGCCTTCACTGGAAATTCTGGACTAACCTCATGTCAGTGGCCGTTCTCTATGGGATCATACTTGGCCCTAATGTCTTGAATATCGTAACGCCCCGCCAATGGGGAATGAACGACCAAATTCTCCAAGAAGTCACTCGCATCATCGTTGGAGTTCAATGCTTCGCAGTTGGTATCGAGCTACCCAAACACTACTTTAGAAGACACTGGCCCTCTGTGCTCTACTTCCTGGGCCCAATCATGACCTTCTCATGGGCCATAACAGCCTTCTTCGCCTACTTCAGCTTCCAAACCAACTTACCAACCGCCTTAATCATCGGCGCCTGTCTAGCCCCCACAGATCCTGTGCTCGCAGCAAGTGTCCTCTCGAAATCACGCTTCAGTCAGCGAGTTCCCAAGAGGTTGAAACACCTCCTATCCGCCGAGTCAGCCTGCAACGACGGCATCTCCTTCCCATTCCTTTATATCGGCCTCTGCGCTCTAAAATACTCCAGCACAGACGAGGCAGTCAAAGAATGGATCCTAATCACCGTCCTCTGGCAATGCGTCTTCGGCATCACCCTGGGTCTCATAATTGGAAATTGTGCCAACAGACTCCTCCGTTTCTCAGACCAACGAGGCTACATTACCAGACCATCCTTTGTTGTATTTTACCTCCTTCTCGCCATCCTTTCCGTAGGCGTCGGATCGTTCCTCGGCAGTGATGACTTCCTGGTGGCTTTCGGAGCAGGTATAGGATTCGCCCACGACGGCTGGTTTGCCAAGAAAACAAAAGAACTGCCTTTCCCAACAATCATCGACCTGGTTCTCAACAGCACTATGTTCGTGTTCTTCGGCTCCATTATCCCCTGGAAGAAATTCCTCCCTAGCCACGTAACCCCGAATTGTGGTATCTGGCAACTCGCTCTCTTCCTGATTCTCGTTCTAATCTTCCGTCGGATACCTGTTGTGTTGGCGATGAAGAGATTCATCCCTGATATTAGAACCTATCGGGAAGCGCTCTTCTATGGGCATTTTGGCCCGATGGGAGTAGGAGCTTTGTTCCTTGCGATGGAGGCAAAAGTGGAACTGGAGCCGGGGGATGGAGTGCCATCGCCGCGTCCCGAGCACAAGCATCCGCTTGGGAGTAAGGACAAGCCAATATACCTTGTGTGGCCGGTAATCTGCTTCGTGGTGTTAGGGAGTACGATTGTGCATGGATTGAGTACGGTGGCGATCAGTCTGGGTGGAAGTATCGCGAGGAAGAGTGGTGAGAGAGCGCCACTGTTGGGACAAGAGACGGATGCTCTGGAGCATATGGACCATGGTGTTGGCGATGGGGGTAGTGAGCCTGATGTCAGTGGGACTGACGAAGACTGAAGTCTATGCAAGTATTGCAGCACTGCGCGTTGGCGAGGGGGCGTTCGGAATGAGAATATATGGCAATGCGAGATCCGGAGCCTTCCATAGAGAGAACCGCCTATCCAATAGACACACTTTTATCCTCCAAATCCGCAATCTCCTATTCTCCGCTGGCGTGGTTGCGGAAATTCCGCCCCGGCGTTCGGAGCGAATTATTTTTCGGCTGGCTGGAAGCCCTTTAAAGTTTTAAATAAGCGGTTTTGTCGTCGCTATTGCTTCACGGCCAGTTAGCTGAGCACACTACACCTGGAGCTGTCTCTCCTAAACACTGCTAACAGTGACGTTACCGTCGGTGACGACTTTGGGGTAAGAAGGGGTCCACTCCTTCTAATTACCGTGCGATAGCAAAACCTTCGAAGACTTGTCTTCAAACCAATCTTTGTAACCCATTACGCATTACGCGTCAAAACTCGAGTTTAACTCAATCTTTGGAACCCACTACGCATTGCGCGAACCCTCATTTTTTTTGGTATTTTTTTTTTTGAGTATATCTGCAAGCGAGGGATCGCTTAGCAGGACTGCGAATCATCAACACTTCACGTGAGCCAGCCTTGGACTATCGTGAAACACGAAAAAGTTATAGGTCGAGATCTAACAGTTCGAAAAAATCCAGTGCTTTAATCTCATTGAGTTTCGCCTTCTCAAGGCTGTGATCTTTTGAAGTGTTATGCTTGACTATGTACGCTGCATTAAGGGGTAAAGGCATTCGGAAATGATGCCACATAATCAAGGATCCCAGCGCTATTTTTGAATATTGCAAGATTGGAGACTGCGTGCATGTGAACCAAATAGTCCCATTTTCCTACCACTCCGCCGTTCCCTTCGATATCAGCAGGCTAACACCACAAAGCCAAGAACTAGGTTCCTTCCTCCCATACAAACTTCGGTTTCTTTGAAATCTCTCGCAGCCACCTTCGAAACTTTCCCATTCTCGACTCAGCTTCGAATGTCAGCCCTACACATTCGCGACGAAAGAAGTAATCATTCCCTCCACCAACAATCGTCGAATGGACATGAACAATCTTAGAAGAAAACCCCCGCGATCGACCAGCTCCACCAAAGGCGAGAGGGAACGGCTATCATTGCAGAGTAAACCCAGTTAATGAGCACCATTGCGTCAATATCCTGAAGTTGAGTATCTCCCCGCAACACTCTTGTTTATGAGAGAGCTGACTTGGAGTTTAGTGAAGCCTGAATTCTCTCTGGCGCTCTCCCGGATGCTTTCGTCTCTCACGAAGTTGTGGTGTCTTTCACATTCAAATATAGTTTCTTTTCATCCGGTGTCCGAGAAGCAGGCATTCGTCGTAATCGTAGGTGCATTTATGGAGGCTCGAAGCCTGAGGTGCCTGCCTTTGACTTGCGTGATGTTCATTGGGCAGATCTGCGATTGGTTACATGCACTATCACGGTCTATATGCAGAACTGTCCCCTTTGTACCTGTCCCCGTCCTTCTTCTTCAGGTTTCAATCCAGAAAGGAATCATCACGCCCACTCAAATCAAGAAGTAGCTAGCAGAAGTGGTGCACCGAGCAAACTTCATTGTTGGAGTCCTGCCTCAGGTCTGAGAACCTCAAGGTTCAAGGTAACCTCGGAAGGGATCATGGTTGGGTGGGGTGAAGCACCTGAAGACTCTACTGCTTATAACTTCTTCTCGAATTGAGGCTCGAGGCCCTGTCTCGGCTTCGTTGTTGACTTCGGACAAGCTCCTAGGAACAGGTGGAACGGAAAGGAGAACCGCTATTCAGCAGTGTCTTGGCCCTCTCGCTGGTAAGGCATTCAAAGTCAGCATTCCCGTCTATGCGAACGCATTCCTATATCTCGAAATGAACACCTACGAAGAAAATTCCAAGAGCAGACCTGGAGTGGGCCCTTCTGCCCGTCGGGGATGGACACGAAGTCAGTCCAGCCGCTTGGGTCGAACAACAAATAGCGAAGTCCCACAAAAGATCACCTCATCTTGAAGGTAACAAAACAGAACCCCACCGCCCTCAACTCGGAAAGAAACCACCGCCTTACAGTCGGTCCTGTAGACCGACTATTACCCTTGCAGTTTCAGTACAGGGACTAGCAAAAGTGTCCACATCACGAGTTTATTACGTTTTGAAACCTCGCCTCTCGAAGTAGGCTCTTCGCCTCGCGACGACGAAGGGAAGCGTAGGAAGGGAGCGTGACTGAATATGTGAATTTTTGAAGGGGAGATGGCTCTTAATGATTTGGGGGGAAGGGCGGGGGAGGACGGGGTGAAGTTTAGCGGAAGAGAGAAGAAGAGAAAAGAGGGAGGAGAGTTGAGGAAATGGGTGAGAGATTACCACGGAAACTTAGGAGGCTTTTGGGGAAGGGGCGATGTTGGGGATAGTGGGAAGATTCAGGGGGAAGGAGCGACTCGAGTGAGCCATGTTGCATCTTCTCAATTTCCACACATCCCTCACTGAGTATACGCTGATGTACTCGGGAAGACAGCCCGTTCAGCTGACAATCCAGTGAGTTGATCCCAAAAATGCAGCCTTGTCCGAACCTAAATTACAGCACTCGGGTTTCACTGGCGGCAAATCGTAATGTGCCTTCACCACCGGCACTATTTTCTACTTAAGCCGTCGAAAAGCATTTTTAGCCTTCGTGATCAAGTCTTTCTTTCTTTGTGCCCATGGCGGACGTCATTCCGTTACCCCTTTGTCTCACTCGGAAGCGAGCGCGAAACGGGAACCCTAACAATAGTCCCCTTTCTACCCTGCCTCACTTTGATATTCACTTTCTCTCTCTCTTCGCCTTCGATCCCACCTAAGTTGATGCACTGTTTCTCTTGACCTATCACGTGTTTTTGTTGCACGACGTACGGTATTCAGTCCCACGAATTGAAAAGAAAGGCGATCGACGAACCGACGATTACAACTTAACCCCTCTATCCCTCCTCCCGCTCCCTTGCACTCCCGCACTGGGCTCAAGAACAAGGCGGTTATTTATTCAATACTCGTATTCGCACTTATCAAAAGTTAGAAACATCCTTTTAATTTCTTAATCTTAATCTTCGCCCCCTCTACTTTCTTTATGCGTCTCCTCTTTGTCTTCGACCCCGCAATGCCAATTCCCAGCATATCACTCTTCACGAAATAACATTGAGAGTGAGGTAGGAATTGCATCTCAATCAATTCGCTGTTCTTTTCTGCATATCAGGTATTGTGGTTACCTTTGCATTGCAAAGGTTCTATGGACGGAAACGAAGGCGAAGGTCATGTCGATTGAGCATTCGGCGAATCGAATCGATATGAATTGTAGGGTCAATACAAAAAGTGAAGCAATGCGACTTAAATCCTTGAACTTTCCTTGCTTTATACCCACCAATGACGTAAAAAATTTATGAAATAGTAATTATTATTCTGAGATATTACCTTTAATACATTTCCACTCCCATTCCCAACGTGTCAGATCAAAGACGAAGTCGAGTGTGTCGACAAAGACAAAGCGACAAAGGAAATCGAATCTCCACTACGGGCGGTGAGCGCTAAGTGGATGAGGCCGCATTTTCTACTCGATAGATCGTATTGTTTGAGTTCTAGAGAGGTAGGCTAGAAAATATGATTGAAGTGGATTTTGAAGCAGGGAGGTTGGGGTTGATGGCGGAAAAGACCCGAATAACCTGATTAAGGTTGTCTTGGGTTGGGTTGTGCTTGAAATGGATCAGCTGTACAAGATACTCGGGGCTGATATCCGATTAATGCAAAGGATAGAGAGGGGTGCATGCAATGCAAAATTTCATTAACGAATGGCAAGAGAGCAGACTCGGACTCAGTCCTTGAACGTGATAGTTTTCGTCCGCATCCATTCCTCCAAACCAATTGCTCCAAACCTCCCAAATCCGCTCGCTTTCATACCTGCAATCATCAATCATCGTCCAGAAAAAATGGTAGGTGATTGGAAGGTGAGGGGAAAACTCACCACCATGCGGCAACGCCGTCTCATCATGCACCGTCATGCCATTAATATGCACCGCACCACTCTCAATCCCCCTCGCCATCCGCAGCCCCCTCAGTAAATCTCTCGTGAACACCGCAGCCGAAAGTCCATACTCGGTATCATTTGCCAGCTCCAACGCTTCCTCCTCACTACTCACCGTCATGACACTAACCGTAGGCCCAAAACTCTCTGTGTAGAACAGATCCATGCCCTTCTTCGTCCCTTTCACCACGACTGGCATCATCTTCGTACCCTTACCCTCTTCATGATTACCGTGGAGGATCGTAGCTCCCTTCTCAACGGCGTCTTTGAGCAAGCGCTGGTTTTTGGCGACTCCGGCACTGTTGATTAAGACAGGAGGCTCTGCCCCCTCAGGCGCGAACCCAGCTGCTGCTTTCTTGAACTTTTCTTCGAATTCCTCCGCAATCTTCTCGTGGAGGATGATTCGCTCGGTACTCATGCATATCTGCCCACTGTGCTCGAAACTTCCTACAGCGCACTCCTGCGCCGCAAGGTCGAGATCGGCATCTTCCCATACGATAGCTGGTGCCTTGCCTCCCAGTTCCAGAAGAACGGGCTTCAGGGTTTTCCCGCAGAGCTCGGCGATGATCTTCCCGACTGCTGTGGAACCGGTGAAGTTCACTTTCTTAATGATGGGGCTTGAGATCAGGTGTTTTGTGATGGAGGCTGCGTCTTCGGGGCGGTGGGCGAGGAGGTTCAAGACTCCGGGTGGGAGGCCGGCTTGCTGGAGGGAAGTGACGATGCCGGTTGAGCACATGGGTGAGAATTCTGGGGCTTTCAGGATGGCGGTGTTGCCTGCTGCAAGGGCGTAGATTATTGCTCTGATGCCTAGGATGTAGGGGGCGTTCCAAGGAGCGATGGCGAGGATGACTCCGTATGGTTCTTTCAACACGAGGGCAGATACTCCTTCCGTCGCTGTTTGAGGGATTGAGCCAGAGATGGAGGAGATTCTCCCAGCAACATCGCGCAGGATCTCAGAGGCGAGGTTGAGGTTGAATGCTCCCCATGGTGCAGAGGCTCCCGTTTCGTCAGCCATATATTTGGTCAGTTCTTCGCGACGAGAGTCCATAATCTCGGCTGCTTTGATGAAGATATCGCGTTTCTTGGAAGGAGGAAGAGTCTTCCATTTTGGTTGGGCGGCTTGTGCTGAACTGAGAGCCGCATCGGCGTCGTCGATTGAGGCGGAGGAAAAGTGGTGTAAAAGTTTACCTGTGGCCGGAGAGTAGACGGGGAAGGAGTTAACTGTTGGATGTGGTTTGTTGGATATTATGAGAGGGTGGGTGGGGACTGGTGTCCCGTTGGAATCATGGGCGTGGCCGTTGGTGAAAGACATTCTGATGCACAGTAGGATACGATTTGGAAATGGATTGAAACGTCGAAATTTGGAGCTTTGTAGTTGTGGAGATAAAGCTATTGAAATGCCCCACTTGACAAAAACCAATACTGTTTGAGTGCTCAGAAGGGATGGTGCTGATAAATAAAAGCCTTTGAAGCATTGCACCTCTCACTCGGGCCATTGACCTTTATCTAAGCATCTGTAATGGTACTTCCGACGCCGTTGAGTTTTCGTGAACGATCAAGTCGCAACTTGACCTGTTGGTGGTCCCGAACAGCTCCGGGGTGGAGGAGGGTTCCGCAGCGGGGTGTTTCTTTCTTCTAAACGTAAAGAGGCGAGCTAGTCCTATTCGGGAATCCATCGCGGCAATCCTCTACGGGAGAGTTGGATGGATATGAATATGGGATGAAAATATTGGCGAAACGAAGAATAGGAAAAAATTGAGAGTACAGGTGTAATAGTCGTTAAGTTTAACTGAACGGGACGGGTGGTGAGTAATAAACTTGCAGATCCAGGTGCCGCCAATGAAGAAGCTCGGAAGGAAGATCCACCAAAATCTGACAGCTTGGCTTGACTGGTGACAGACTTATGTCATGGGAATTTTATCTCTTGTGGACAGCAAGGACTGGGAACGACGCTTGTCCAGATGAAAGGAAGATAGTGTTGCATGAAAACATCTGTACCATGACATCTCGTTCCGATTTTGATTCTTTTCTTCATTCATCCCCAAATAACATTAGCTAATAAAGCTAGCTCGATTTTCGTGATCGTTTCTAATTCTAGAAGTGAAGATATTCCTCTTCTGCCTTACTCAAAGGGAAGAGTATCCGCTTTATGTTCCCAACCGTCATAAAATCATCATATATCCATACAATAAAAAAATATACACATCAACTCTTCGTCCAACCCGCCAGAGACCTAGCTCGGAACCATGCAAGCCGCCCCATCACACTGAGGTGCGAACTTCCTAGATGTAATGGGCTGTGGAATCAACTTATTCGCCAGCAGATCTTTGAAGTTCCACTCCGGTGCGCTCTCCGTCTTCCAGCACCAGAAGATCCACCCTATATGAGCCTCGTAAGCATCCAACTGCGCCTCGACGAAGTATTGTAAGTTTGTCTTATCGACCTGCTTCATGGTAGCTACAGTGCCAACGTCCTTTCCAACGCAGTCTCCAATGTAATAGCTCCCTCCAGTCCCGGTGAAAGTACCGTCATATCGAGCTCCGGTTCCGAGACCATTCAACCACTTCGCGCAGTCTGTTTGTGCCCCTGTCCACTCGCCGACTATGGCCCATTTGTCTGTGCCAGCCAATTTGCCCTTGTTCGAACATGCGTTCGCCACGTGCTCGCAGGGCGTCCTGGAAAGTTCGCCCGGAGTGAAGACTTGATAGATGTGGGTGTCGAGCATGACGTTGCCAACTCCTGTTGCACTGTTCATGAAACCGTTCCAGTATCCACCGATATCTTTGAACGCGTCGTGGATGACGGTAACAGTATTGGGTGTCTTGTCGTGGATATATCCATACCCATCATAATAGAACTGTTTGGTTACGTCCATCTTGATGTTTGGACTGAAACCTGCAGGCTCATTGAGAAGTTCGATCGAGGTCACAATATCCATGAAGTTGTTACTCACGGCCCAGTCAACAAGGTTGTGGATAGCAGTCAACGTTGTCTGTACAGTATTGCCCGCTTGCCACTGGATTGGGCCAAGGCGCCCGCTGTTGTCGAAGCCGTTTTGAGATCCAGGTGCTGTAATAATAATGTCAGAAGACTGTTTACTTCACTTCTGAAAGGATCCTACCTCCGTGCAAATCGAGTAAAACCTTCAGGCCATGGTTTCTCGCCCACCCAAGGGCAGTCGCGAGGTACGGTAACTGTCCCTGTACGTATGGGTCACCGTCTTGCGGAGCAAGAGCCCAGTAGCCAATTGGGATTCGGACTGTATTCAAGCCAGCAGCAGCAATCTGCGCAAAGTCGTCTTCTGTGATCCAGCTGCCCCAATGTTGATCCAACAAGGTTTGGGTTGCGCTCTTCCCCAGACTTGCTGAGAGTGTGTATTCGTCAATGACTCCACCGCCATTCGCATACGGTTCGAAGATAGAAGGAGTTATCCATGGCTCCAGAACGAACCATCCACCTAGATTGACGCCTCGGATTATGTAGTTGTTGTAGTCGATGCCGTCTGTGGTTCGTTCTTGTCTGCTAACGCGTTAGTAGCAAGAGGGAAAGGGGGTCTGGAAACCCTTACAAAGGTGACGCTGCCACCGTCAATGACAGACAAGCAGCTGCAAAGGTGAGATCTTTGAAAAAACCCATTTTGATCATCGTGTGCTGAGAAGATTCATGAGGGAGAGTATTCAGAGCAGACGTTCTAACGAACGGCGAGGAAGCAGGGGCCAAGCAAAAAAAATCAACTTTGATATCAGCCTGAAGCTTGGATGTGGCTAGTGAATGCCTGTTGGGATGGGAGCAAACAGGGCGACAACAAGCTTAAGTAGAAGAACAGCGGGGCTTTACGAAATGCTTTCCCCGCAAAAGTAAATAGACCGAGAGCCAAGGCCCGGGAGGCGCGAAGCCAGGCTGATCGTTGCTGCAAACGGGAGGAGACTCACCGTCAAGTTGGCGCGAACCTGTTGATTTGGACCCACCATATATCACGTTCACAGTTCATATCACTTGAGCCGGAGGGCGCTGTCCCTGCTTCTGGATCGCCATTCATGAGTCGATGACTGCAAGATGTGCTTCTTTGGTGCCAGCGCAAGTGCAAGAGTGTCGTGCAGCTGATGCAGGTGCTTCTTTCCCAGGGTCCAGGTGGCTGCAGTGCGGCTTTGAAAGTGGGCTTGGCATGTGTGCCAGTCAGGAACACGCGCAGGTTGAGGTGCATTCCCCCGCATTCGTCTGATTGGTTGCGTGGCCATGGTTCCGATGAGATCCAGTTATCGCAGCCATTAAGAGGGCTGTAAGGCTGGCTAAGGGGAGATCGTGTCTCTATCTGGTGACCTGAGCATGGGGAGTCAAATCGATGCAAAGTTGCACTCCGAGTTTTCGAGCTAGTCTCAACTTGTACCATAGTAACGCGAGCTGGTGGATGACATCGCTTTCAGCGCCTGGGACTGGTGCGTGTTCATCCTGGTTGAGATCGACAAGAACTGGCGTCATGCTCGTCACGTTCCTATGCGAACTTCAAGTTGGAACGCCCCTCACTTCGGCTGATCATAATTTTGTCGCTTCTGCATGGACAATGCCGAGGCGTCAATCAACGGCGGTGGCGAAGCACGGTCCAAGGGGCGTTCAGCGTTCTGCAAGAAAGTCGGTGATACTACTGCATGTACAGTGAAGTGACACAGTATTGGTACTTGACCCCGCCAGCTTGCGTTCCTAAAACATCTTGATACCTTGACAACTTGACATTGAGGCACAGTGCCGACCCTCAGATACCAATGCGAGTTTTCCATGGGGCAACCTTGTAAATTACAGGCAGAACATATTGATATTGATAAGGCACTCTCCGATGCATTCGGTACAGTAAGGGTCTTTTAATAGCTGCTGAGGTACAGGAGCTGGCACAGCAATAATAATGGGGGCATCGTCGCACAGGAGCTAACCTGGTGGCAGACAACCTCCACTCCGAAACACGAGCCTTTCCGAGGCTGACTAAGCTAAACCCCCACAACGTTCCTGCTACTAGGAGCGGCCGGCCTATACTTTATTTGCATTGACTTCAAGATTGACGTTTCATCTGACTCTCAGGTAAAGTCAGTGAAATGGTCTAAGGACCATCTGATGATTTGGTCAGCCCCGAGATCGTCTCGCAGGCGGCGAAATCACGCCTCTCTCTATTATCTTGGGTCTCAACACTTCCCTCGTAAACCTCCATGCAATCGCAACAAAAGTCGGCAAATCCCCAAGATCGGCGACCCGAGACAGCATCGAAAACTTTAAATCATCCTTATCGACTGCGCCTGTTTCACAGTTTATTTGTAGCACTCGAGATGCGTCTTGCAGAGACTGTGCGCCGTTACGAGTGCTCAGCCCCTTTTGATGCCTTCGCAAAGCCTCCCATAAATACAGTACCCAGATCTTCAATGCCATTCCTCTCGTCATTTCTCCAATGCCACAACACTTGTGGAATCTCCTGAAAGGATTCATGCTTTGATTGCCGCGGAACGTTGGGTACAAGCGCGCTTGCGCCTCTCGCTGCTTTGCACAAGCGGGGTGACAGAGCCGCCTCCTTCCCTCGAGATCCGTCCTTAGGGATGTCACAGATCATAAATCTGAATGCGGATCAGACTTTGGAAGGGCCAGATCTTATTTAAAGTTGTCCCTCATTCGATTTACTTAATTGGATTTGGAGCTGCCACCATGCCGTGGGTCGACGACGGAAGGACACGGTCACGTGATATGGTAGTGAGTTGTGTTTCCGTTTTATTTCACGCTCCTTGAGAGGGTCCTGCTTCTGATTTCTGTTTCTTCTCCTGTTCGGCCTTCCATTGTTTCTCCGCTTGGACTCGACGTTGTATAATCGACGGGTCCAGGAAAGGCTTTGGAGTTTGAAAGGAGAACTCGATGACTGGTGCCGAGTGAGTAAGAAATGGACTTATGAGTGCATGGACTCACCTGGAATATCAGGTTCTTTGCCTGTTCTCACAGATACTTCGTCCTTTGAAGCGGGCTTCTGCGTATATGATGTAGCTCGGAGTTGAGGCTCTGGAAGACAGACCGGGCCTTTGAGTAGCTCCCTCTTTGGAGCCATCTCTCCTCATCTAGTATTGCAATTGATCAAAATGTAGTCAATGATTCGTTGAAAGATGAGGTAAAGCAGGGTGTGGTATATATTCACCCCTTTGATGATGTTTTCATCGGGGAAGACTTTCCCTGTTCCAGCCTCATTACTTTGGCGGTCGCGTAATTAGCGCCGAGAAAAGCTCTCCACTTGAACTCGAGACCCCTCCTTCGCGATATCGGGCACTCACATCAACCCGAGCGACACCGGACACCTTCAGTGCAAAGCAACGCACTTGCGTGCCTTACTCAGGCTTTGCAATCAAAAGCAAGTTCCGCGGCAGTACGGAGTGCCTCTGACGCCCCGCATGGAAGCTGGTCAAGGAGCCATGGGTGGTGGGGCTGCGAGCCCAACGACGAGCGTCCGTCCAGGCACAGGAGGGAGCTACAACAAGAGGAAGAGGAGCGGCGCCGAGTTCGAGAGCAGCCCTGGCTCTGGCGGAGACGACAATGAAGATGAAGGGGAGAGAAGACGGCAACCTGGTGTCAAGAGAGCTTGCAATGAGTGTAGACAGCAGAAGGTGAGTCAGAAATGAGAATCGTAAATGCGACTCGACGACGACCCCAGCCATTGGGAATCTTTCAAAAACAAGACTGATTATGTTCATCTATAGTTGCGCTGCGATGTGATCCAAGATCCCTTCACGACTTGCTCGCGCTGCAATCGATTGAAGCTTGAATGCAAGATTGAGTCAAACTTCAAGCGCGTTGGCAAGAGAAGCAAGCATGCAGAGATGGAAAAGCAAATTGAACGGCTCCGACAGAGCCTACAACGCGCCCAAGCTATGGGATATGTGATTGAAGATGAGGAAGAGCTTGATTCCCCAATGGCGAATGGCGTATACTCGAGGAATAACCAATCGTTCATGGGCTCAGACGAGGCTGTCTCATCACTCCTACATCTGAAGCAAGGCGGATCTTACAACATGCCTCGAATTGCGCGGGAGATTGAGAATGTAGGATTGACGGAAGATGCTATCAACCACCTCTTCAATGAGTTCTGGTGCTATTATCATCCGTACCTCCCATTCCTCTCTCCTCAACAAACTCCTGATCAATACTATCAACAACATCCTCTCCTATTCTGGACAATCATTGCAGTTGCAGCTCGTCGCTATACTGCTGATCCGGGATTGCTCACTTCGCTCATTGGCCCAATCACAAGATTACTCTGGACAACTGTTGGTGAGGTCCCAAGTAGCCATTATGTCGTTAAGGCGTTGTGTTTGCTTTGCACATGGCCCCTCCCTACAAGCACTACGTCTACAGATCCAACACACATCTTGTGTGGTGTCATGATGAAGACCGCCACTGGAATTGGACTTCATAGACCGAGTCATACCCAAGATTTCTCCCGCGTATCTGTCGAGCTCAACAAGGAGCAATTGCATGATCGAGTAACAACTTGGGCTGTTTGCAACATTGTCGCTCAAAGCATTGGTACTGGCTATGGTCAACCAGCTTCTACACTCTATGACTGGACTCTCGCCATCAGACCCGGTGACGACGGACCCTTCGTTCTGTCACCAGAGCTTGAAGCACGTCTACAAATCGAGCGATTCTGCGACAAGGTCTCCAAGGAGATGTACAGCAACGCAACTGATCCGCGAGGAGTGGCGGGTGATGAGCTAAGAGCCATGTTGACTCGAGTATACCGACGAGAATATAATGAGCTCCAAGTCTCAATCATGTCAAGACAGGATCTATCAGCAATCGTCAACCTTCATCTGAAAGCTGCTGGCTTGCATCTCCGCCTATCTGCTTTCTTTGACTCAAGCACAACTCCAGGATACATGGATGACCTAATGGGCCTATGGCGCGCGGTCCTTGCGTTCTTGGACCTCGTCTTCGAGCTCGAGTCGCCGACGGCAGATAACATGAGTGGAAACATTCTTCGTTTCGCTTCGAACTATATCTTACAAATGATCAACGCAGCATGTTTCGCTCTCTTGAAATTACTTAGCTCGTTCTTCTCTCGAGAGATTGAATTCGAGCGAGGCCGAATACTCTTCCACCGTACCATTCAAGCAATCCGAAGCATGAGCGTCATCAACAACGACCTCCCATGGAGACTTGCGGAGTTGATGGTCCAAATGTGGAACGGAGCTCGCGTCGAGCAACGGAGCCGACAACAACAGATGTCCAACAACGGCAACGGCAACGGCCAGGACGCCCGAGCCGTCATCGACGACAGCCTCCAACTCAAAGTAAGATGCAGAATGAGCATGAGCCTCGTCTTCGACTCGATCTGGCGATGGCGCGAGGAGTTCCAAGCTCAAGGTCGCGGAAACCTCGAAGGTCAGCTCTCCCCGTTTCCCCCGTGGTGTGTGAGAAGTGAGAAGCAAGCTTACGCCTATTCCATAGCAGCCATGAAGAACCCTACAAACCCCGACAGCGCAGCCGAGTCCTCGGCGTCGTCGACACACATGGACGCAACACTCATGCCTCCGGCTCACCAACTGCAGAACCACCTCCTCGCCGCGGCGGGTGCCGTGACTCCAAACCATGGCTTGCCGAGCAGTAGCATGATCAGCGGCAGTGTCGGCTACAGCGAGAGCAACTACGAAGTCTTCGACCCGCTGAACTGGATGCTTGACGGCCTCGTCGATTTCCCATACTCCTACGCCGCTATACAAGGCTTGGAGGCCAATGGAATGGGTTAGACGGCTCTTTCTCTCGCATGACCCTGCTACGCCAGACCAAGATTGACGAAGCCATGAACAAAATATATGGCGGGCTAATTGACCACGAACATGAAATGAACGTGCTCGGTCGCTGTCGCACATGATCACAAATTGGCTCGATCATCGCGAATTGCTCCCGTTTTTCTTTTCTTCTACTTACATATGAAAGCGTACACAGTCGCCTTGCTAATACACCACACGCGAACGATAAATACGCGCTGGCCCTTTTTTCTTTCTTCTCGCGTTGCTTTGCTTTGATTTGGAGGATGAATACCCTGATGGATGAAACGCAATTTGCACGACCTGAGATGAAACGGAGGCAATGCATGTTGAAGGCTGAATAATTTTTCTTTTCTTTTTTTTATATTGGGATTCGTTTGAGTGTGGATAACTAAAGTGGTAAGGTAGCTAGCTAGCTACTATACTACGTAGGGCTGCATTCAATCATTGGGCTGGGATTTGATGGAGTCATGATTGGAGAGGCGTTGCTGGCTTTGAGTTTGATGGTTGGGGTATGGGAGTAAATAAAAAAAAGGGGAGAGCGGAGAGTTGCGGAATATCAGGGGGCGAACGGAATTAAGTCAATGCAGCCAAAGATGTAGCCAAAACAATGAGATCAGATTTCTTGTGCAGGTGGTGGGTGCGTGTTTTCCTTTCTGCGTTTGATTAGAGGTAAGTCTTGTGGGTGTGAAAACTGCGGGTATGTGGCTCGTTGAGAAGAGGCTCTGCTGAAGGAATGGCACCGAGGGACAGTGGGTGCCAATCTATTGCATGTGTGATGGATAGTGGTTGCCAAGTCGTGCCTGCTGTAGGCGGTGTATGGGGGGTTCGGGATTGGAGAGAAGGAGCGTGTGGGGAGTGAAGGTCGTAGTCGTTGTCGCGTGCGAGTTGGTGGAGGATATGCACAACGTGAATTTTGCCCAGGGCTGCAGAGTTGCTTGATTGATGGTGCTGTCATAGCATGGCCTCGAAAGGGGCTCGCCGCTGGAGGGTAGCTGATTCGGCTGTTGGTTGGCATGTTGTGGGTTTGTGATGAAGGTCGAGTACCGGTCTGCCGTGCGCGACTGAAGGCCGCTGTAGAACTCACAGCAGATCGACTCGTGGCAAGCTTGTGCCCTGCGGCGAGAACGTCGCGAGCGTGTTTTGCCGACTTTTAATTGTTTTGATGTGGCCAAAATCTGTGTTGTTTTCGCTCGGTTTGGAAGGTGGCCGTGAGATTTGGCTAGTAGGCTCGCGCGGGTCGACTGAAAGGCCTTGTTATGATGAGCCGGTTGAGCCACATTAATATGAGCTTTGAGAATGGCCTGTGGTATAAATATCGAGGTGTGGTGTCATGATTGTTCTTTGGCGATTGGATCCTTTCCATTGCTCATCGTTTGTGTCTGAACACTTTGGCTCGGGATCATTCTAGAACATTTCGCCTTTTGGGACGGGAAGTTCTCCGTGGTGCCGTCTCAGGAAGGTTATGGTGTTGATTTGTCTCCATTCATCGGGGTAAAGGTGATCGGCGCGGTCAGACTCTTTCGTGTTGAGCGTTGGGTGTTCGAGAAGCGGAGCTGTGATGATGTGCGAGAAGGCCAGAGAGATAACGGCAGACTGGCAGTCCAGTAAATCGCCGGAGTGATGCAATTGACATTCATCTTGTTGCTTTCTTTTCCGCCGTGGGTATTTTCCAAAGTCTACCAGCCGCATGATACTCGTGTCGCGCCGTGTCGTGTCGGGTCGGCGAGTCAAGTTTTGTTTGCAATTCATTGTCGTGGGAATTTCCATCGCCATCCGTCATTTCCATCGAGACACATGTATCTAGCCGATCTTGATGATGTGATAAATAAGGCTCGTGTATGCAATATTGCGTGTCGGATTCGATAGCGCCTCCCAGACTTTGTTGTAGGTGGTAGTTGCGATGCAATTGTCTCGTTGAAGGGGTTTTACGCCAAAAACCGAAGCCAATCTCGGTCATGGGTGAATTGCGCCTCGTCATGCAGGTACTCTTGTTTCGTCAACACTTTGCTAATCCGAATAGAGCTGCACAGAGGTCATCACAACTCTCGACGTGATCGTAGTTGGGAAGGGAAAGTCTCTGTCGGCAAGATAGGAGAGGACCTCACCCAGATGCACGGAACCCACTTCAGCGTTCGCACTCTTCTTCTATTCTCGGAATACTTCTGATGTCTCCTATTTTGAGGTTGGTTGTCCCCGCACGCCTCATTATTGTAAGGTCAAGGCTGATATCCGTGTACTCTATCCGCAAATCCGGGATCATACTGGCAAGGCACAGGATCTACCTCGTCACCATATTGGCCTGACTCAACATGTGAGGCTTCCTTTGGTCGGCAATGGGTTAGCCACTGCCTTTGCCGTTTTCCGTCCCGCACCAAGTGGTACCTGCAACATAGGCGCCCATGTTTTGTTGTCTGCGAATCAGCCTGGCTACTACGCCAGACCTCTCCACACACCTGCATCGAGGGGGCCATAGCCTCGGTCAAACTCCAGGTCTCGCGGTTTTGAAAAGGTCGCAGTTGCATGAATTCAATTTGGATGAGAACTCAACTTACTCCCAGGAACCCAGAAAACCCAGGAAAGCGTTCCTCTGCTCCTTCCATGCGCAGTCGGCCGTTTCGGAACTCTGAACTGGTACTCGAAGCTGCAGACCCAATTCCCAGCAATCTTGGTTGACGCACAACGACCAGGCACTCGGCTCGAGTGTCATGCTCTCCCTCGTATGCCGATCTCATCGGGGCTAGATGCTTTTCCGCACAGCTCGGTGCTGCCCGCGTTCATTGGATTCTTTTCCGAGCAATGACATGGTGCTGGTTCCTACAGAAGGTGTTTCCCTTGGGTATTTATCCACGATGTTGATTTTCCTGGATAAGGAGCTGCTTTTAGAATTCCTAATGAATGACCAAGACTCTTAATCAATTTCACACCTGCGCAGTGGCTGAGTCTGCGGACTTCACTCCATTTGAGAGATGGATCGTTGCCGATGGGACGATCCCTCGGGCTCGTCCCGCCCCTCCGTATAGCGACAGCTCGGAGAGTTAAGTGCAGCCCGGCTCATGGGACCCAGGCGGGCTCGGTGGACAATTTACCCGGCCTGCAAAGCCCTGCATTCGTGATTGGTGTGCCGACGCTTCAATGAGATTCGTCAGATGGGGGTCCAGCATGAGTAATGGGCGCTGCCAAAGAATCATGGGGCCTTGTGGCATCGACCACTGTAAGGGGAAGGCTGCCGCAGCTCGATGGGAGTGTCTGCCTTATTGGCTCGGGGGCCAGATGCAGACCGCGTGAAACGGGTTTTCTGCGAGAGCCAGGTGCGCCCCCTTTTCCACTTGATCGACGGTACCGCATGAAATGGGCATCATGTGCTCACGGGCCAATCGGGCGGCGGGATGACGTTTTTTTTTGGGGGGGGGAACCCTCCTCTCGAATTGCTTCTGTAATATCTGTTGTGCTGGGCGATATCCGGACTGTCCGATTGTGTTCGGACGAACGTGTGTGGTCGAAGATACGATTGCCGCCTGTCCCCGCTGCAGGTCGGCGTCAATTGCGCTTCTGCTGGCCTTTTCCCCACCACGCGCAACACTTGCCAACAGTGTGTGCTACGCGGCATTTTGATTGAGGGGGGAGGGGGGGGGCTGAAGTGTTCCTGGATGGCTTGAGGTGAAACTGAAATCCCATCCCAGCGTTCTGGGCGTGCTTCGAGTCTCAACCGATAAGGCCGAAAGACGTCAAGGAAGGATGGGGGGGAAGCGCTGTGCAGCGTCCTCCAGGAGCCTGCTCGGATCGCTCAAGCCTCATGCAGCCCCATCACAACATGAGAATGCGATCGCGCTGCTGGGAACAGCATCTGCTGCGATGTCTGTGTGTCTGCGGTGTCTGCGAGGGGGGGGGGGGGTTGTCAGGCATCCAGGTCGGCTGGGCGGCGGCCCCAAGGGCAGGGTGGGCATCAAGGTAGTCTGACTGAACTGCCACAGTTGGAAACAGACGAGTCATCGCCGCGGTCGCGCGGGAACAAGCGCCAGAAATACCTCGACTGCTGCAGCTCTTCCCGCATCGAGTATTTACACCCTGCAACGACCGCACGCACCTGGCTGGATCCAGCAAAGGCCCAGCAAAAGCCCAGCAAAAGCCTGCCAAACGCCCGCCAGCTATCGCGTTAATTTTGCAGGGCTGGTGTTGGTCAGCATCGACTAAACACCGGCAAAGCTGGTGTGCTGGTGAGCTGTGCCGCGACTGCAGGAAAGCACAATATGGAGCGAGGGAGCGCGCGGTTACGAGGACGCCACGCTGCTCGCAAGGCTCCCCCGCCCCTGCCGCCATGCACCAGCTGCCGCTCTCATTGGCCCGTGGGGCTGCTAGTGACCCGACAGCTTGGGGGGCCAGGCATGGGGTCGACCAGACTGTCGGGTCCGGGGACTTGGTCCTGATCAATCACCGCCCAGCCGTGCACACCACCGCGCCGAAACACTCGCTGCAGCCCCCAAGGGTGCCCGGGATTTCCTGTCGCTGCCTGGGTGCCGCACTGTGCGATTCGATCGGTCGAGTCGCTCCAGGTGAGCGATCCGTCCTGAGTTCTGACAAGGCTGATGGCACCGTTCACGCGTTGCGTACTGCGTACAGTCGCGGGCCGCATCCAGCTGGCCAGACAGCCAGACCGCAAGACCACAAGACGGCTAGATAGATAGACCGCCAGACCGCCAGAGAGCCAGAGAGCCAGACAGACAGATAGACAGACAGACAAATAGGACTTCGGCCTTCGGCCTCGCCGTGCCGTCGAGCTGCACCAATTCCCGCAACTCTGGTCCTTGCTATGATGCCAGCCGAGTCAGGAGAGCACTACCAATCGCTGTCGATTTAAAGACTGAGCATCAAAGGCACCTACCTGCTACCTACCTACCTACCTACCTGCCTACCTACCTGCCTGCCTATCCATTGCACGTAACTCTGCTGCTCTCTGCCCGTTGCTCAGCTGCCCGTCCCGGCTGCGCTTCATCGCCTCTCGCCTACACAGCCACTCCCCGCTCGTCAACCAACGCATATTTGGCGCTGTCACACACGCCTCGCACCCCTTCGACTCGACCTCCATTCTCCCGCACGGCCATGTGGTGAGTGGGTGGTCGTGCTGCCCCCTCGCTGGTCTTGCAAAAGTGCCGTGCCCAAACTCGCTTCTCGGCCACCAGTAAGAGCACCCGGCGCCTACCTGACAGGGCCATCCTTGAGGCGACCAGAGGGTAGACCAGGCCACACATGCTCAAGCACCCTTTCCTCACTGCCCACCTATTTCGGCCGTTATTCAAAGACCAGGGCTCAGGTTGCTGTGCCCCGCCTCTGGGATAAACTTATAGGTCTTCAAGGCAGCTCTGCAACTCAGACTCCTTCGCCCTAGCAAAAACGGCCCTTTCCGTCGTCTCCAGGATCTTCTCGCGAGGCAGTGTCCTTCCTGGAGGATGTCTATATAATTTTATCGGCTCTTCTTCATGGTTCGATGTTTGTTGATATGAGCAAGAGCTCCTCCTATCTGCCTCTGATTCACCAATACCGATTCTGTTTGGATATTCTCAGCTCGGGCATTCACCTCTTACGCAATTCCTGACCAGCTTCCTCGATTTTCAAGCTCATATCGGTCTGTCTGGTCGGCATTGTGAGTCAGCCAGGCAGCTTTATCATGACCATGTCCGAACATCTTTATCCGACTCATTCGGGAAGACCACAATCGCAAGCCCAGGACTTGACCCCATATAGTGCTGTATGTCTTGAGGAGTGCTACTCAAACCATTGGAAACATCTGCAACGAGCCTTGTCTGACTCGAATAATCAGGTCTCATCTTTCAACCTTCCGGCCCACTACGACTCTACTCTCATTACTCCCGTGTCCCTGACCTCATCTCCATCTATGCCAACCAAGTCAGCTCCAGCGATGAAGCAGGGAACAGAGATCAAACTGTCACCAGCAACTCTGTCTCCTCGTTATCATCTGTTTTGCCCGGATGATGACTTCGCAAGTCCCCGCTACAATCCGCCAATGAAACTCAAGGACCCTTCCGGCATACTTCAGATCTCGACAGCAGACAGTTCTTTCCCTGCATCACCATATGTTTGCAACTCTCCCTACTATGGATCGTTTGGAGTTTCCGCAACCCCTCATTCTGCCAGAACGACAAATTCATCACCGGTTGTACACACCAGTCCCCATAGACACTCTGCCGGCGGTCTCAGCAGCACTGGTGGTCATCATTCCCGCCAGCAGACTCCAGCAAGCTATCGAGCCAATTTTCAAGCTCCCATATTGATTGCCCCCAGTCCTGAGACTCTCCGGCCGGCAACGAACTATGACCGTGGACCCTACCGACAGGACTCGCTTCAGTCACATCGATCGGCGCAGTCACCTCCCCACTCCCAAGGACCTCCAAAAGGGCCTTTTACACAGAACTTGAGTCCCATACATCCACGAGGGAAAAAGAGAAAGGAGCCTCCTAGTGATTACGATGAAATTTTGCGCTCTGGCGACATCAACGAGGAAGAGAAACTCCTACTTGAATTATCTCGCGGCAAAACACCATGGAAGGAGGTCGCTGCCAAGTTCGGCAGAATCACCGGGCAAACCAAACGAGTTGCTGCTTTGCAAATGAGGAAGAAACGGTTGTTGGAAAGACTTCGGGTATGGTCAGACACGGAGGTAGTTTCCTCACCCCGTACTACCTCCTGGGGCCTATTTGAAACAAGGCTAATCAAACAACAGTTAAAGGCTCTGAAGCTTGCGCACGAGGATCACGAGAAAGGCAAGTGGGCTTCAATCTCCAAGGGCATGCTGAAGCATGGTACCCAAGAGAGATGGTCACAGGAAGCAGTGCAGAAGAAATGGAATGAGATGTACCCAGACCAGTCCTCGTTCAGCTGCCCTGAGTACGAGATCGTGCCGAGGAATTGCCATCGAGCTTCTTCGGATCTCTCAGTTGGCGATCTCTCGGCAGGCAACAGCTGTTGGTCTGACGAGGGGGACAGCAGCACTCATAGCCTGCACGAGTGTGATAGTGCGACATTGTTGTCAGCACTGTCCCCTGCCACCATGGATGAGGTACGGACTCGAGCTCTGAGTAATGCGAACGCTCAAATTCAACTACAACAACAGCAGCAGCAGCAGCAGCAGCAACTGATATTCGAGCAACAAAACCCACATCAGAATCAGCATCCACCGCAACATCCAAATCAACATCATCATCAGAATGGTTGGGATTCAGGACCTTAATGTCCACACCACTCTTTTCAGTTACGTTCGCTCGATTATGAGATATCTTTTTGCCGAGGGAGTTTCTTCAAAGACATATTTGGTAGGGAAAGGATTAAGAGAACATTGAAATGGCGCTGGGAAGATACCAACTGGGCGGTTTCTTTTTTGGGGCTCACAGTCAGCCAGCATACTTTTCATTGTATAATTATTAGGGTAAAATTCATGAGATATGACTGCTTTGAATACAACAAAAAATGGGATCATCTTCCTATTTCGACTCGGTTCATTCGCATGCCTCAAAATGTTTCCCCTGAAGAAAAATCTGCAAATTCCACCAAAAAACTAGGAAATGGGTCAAACGGTTTGCTCCAATGACCGCGTGAGTTGAGCCGCCCGGCGCCAAATTTCTGTGCCCACGCTCACCGCGCCAGAACGGCCGAGTCATCACACGCCTACAACAAGGTGCCTTTCATGGGCGCTTATTCCCATGCTTGAGAGGCGTTCCAACTTTCCCTCCCCACAACGGGTGGAATGCACGACCGGGGTTCTTCCCTCAGAGTGTCTCACTGCGAGGATCAGCTGTTAGAGTTTGTGGGCAAACGCCACCAAGCACAACCTAATCACTTTACGATGATGGGATAGCATGCAACTTTGCCTGACCAGCTAACAGTCAATGTTCTTGATGCAAGTCATCTATCACCACCTATCAAATTCCGAGAAACAAGAGATAAACAACAGAGCTTGATAGTGCCTAAATTTCCTTTTCAGCGGGAGGGAATTGTGATCACTAGGCGCAGCAAGAGTTCCGAAAGTAGGTCTTCTCCGCTCTCCCCTGTCACATAACGGTTTCTCCAAGTCCCAAGAGCTGGGGGCCGTCGTGCTCGGCACTGGGCCTGAAGTTCTCCGTTGGGGGGAGGCTGCCTACGCGACGTTGCTCCCCCTTCTACCCGCACGGCGCAGCTTTTCTCGCCTTCTAATTCGCATACTGAAGACGGAGAAAGCTGGAGGTACCGAGATACTGGTTTTCATTTATGATTTTGGGGCTGCGTGTTAAGTTTGTGCTCGGCAACCTTTCCCTTCCTAAAACCTTATGGGTGTTGGCCGTGAACTGGTCTGTGACTCTGTCCCCCTTCCGCCTCCCGAACCTTATGCATCCGCCAGCTTCTGAGCACACCAGACTCTGGCAACCTATGAAGGAGAAGATTGGCTCTCTCGAGCCCTTTCCCATCCTGCAGTTTCTTCCGGGGCCACTTCCGTCTTGGGAATTGGGTTTTCCCCCCATCACAACAGAACTACAAGGAGAGAGACCCGAGCCAGGATTTCAAACGGTAGCTTTGCTTCCGGTCGTCTTCCTGCTTCTGGGAAATGACGAGGAGATACAGGAAGAAAATGTACCGGGGCCACTGCCTGAAATGCCGTCCCTTGCCCTGTTCTGCAGTCTCTGACTTGACGTTGACACATCACATCTGGGATTTAAACCTCGGGAGGCAGGAATCAAGTGAGCTCGAATGACACATGACGAAGACGGTCGCTTGACGAGATATACAACAACCGTTTCCCTCCTCCACAGTACCAAACATCCAGGCACCCGCAGTTCAGAGTCACAACCAAGGTTAGCATGGAGAGGTAAACCGGGTGTCTGGACTCTCAGGCGTGCTGCACTGCTGCGTTGCAACGCTCATACCGGCCGATCTCAAGACCGACCTCGCCTCTGCATCGCCGCTCGATCGATGTCCTGATCTTGTGGCTTCCATGAGTGATCTGACCCACCTACGTAAAAGATGTACTTGTGTGTAGGACAAAAAAACCGCTACCCTGAAGTGTGTTTCTAGCACGTTCGCCTCCACGAATTCCAGCTCTCTTATTCCCTAGTGCCACGTCTTGCGGCGTCTGTGGATCCAGACAGGGCATGGGTTTATTTACCTCAAGTCACCAAGTACCGGTACAGTGCTGTATCACATCCAGGCCGGGCAGGGATCCGGCATATTGTTCCGCCCAATCGAGCGATTTGGCGCTTGCGGCTGTGTGGCCATGAGACATAAGCTTTCTTTTCGAGGGTGGGGGGCCCGCTGGAGGAGTGGTGATCCATCCACGACCTCGCCGAGGAGGCAGGCAGCCATAAGGGCTAGCGTGCGGGGTTTATCTTCCGCTGGTTTGAGGGTTCCAAGTTTTCTTGCTCTTGCAGAGTGAGGGGAGGGCACGAAAGAGCTTTCTAGCGGGGATGTGTTGAGAAAAGGGGGTTATTTTAGAGAAGTGTATTATACCCGCGTCTTGTGAAGCGGCCTGAGAATCCCAAATCGTGCTGTTGACGATGCTTTGAAGGTCTTGGCGAGGTGTTTTTCTGAGGGTAGAGGTATGGTGATGGATTGTGATACCGACAGCTTGGAAATTGGTGTGATTTCAGAGGCAGGTCGGCCTTAGGGGCGCACCCAGTCAGAAGCAACAGAACACGAGCAATGCCTCAGCTGGATTGCAAGACCCGTAACAAGACAAGCTTGCGAATGTGATTGTAAAGTCGATATTCATATTATCTTCGGAGTCCTGATGTCTGCTATGAAGCTTCAGAGATAGACCTTGGGAACCTTTATATTTGGATTTCACTCTGGCCGTTTGCCAAGGACTTGTTTCTACTTTTAGAATCCAGCGCAAGAAAAGAGGTAGCCGGTTTTGACGTTGCTTCCTACTCCCGATCGGAAACAAAGATGCTGAGGTCAGGACAAGAAGACAGAGGTAGACTGGAATCGTGGCCTCGAGCTTCTTCTCCATACCATGTTTGCAGCCTTCTGAAGACATCCACGGGTTTTCCCCCATTCCAACGAGCTACAGAATTAAAGAATCCCTCTCTAACGAAAGTATCTTCCAATCTCCAAGCCCCCGAGAGAGAACCAGTGTAGCGAGTCTCCTAACATTATGTTTTCTGCTCACTAGTGTCTTGGACGGCGATAGCTAACAGAATGGTGAACAAGCAGGATCCGTCTTTATCCAACAGCCTTATATCTTCTACGATGCTCGTCCCCCTATCGGTAATGCGACACACAACTTTTTCCAAGGTGTAATGCCACGAAAGTTACTATGTCGCCTCTTCCTTTTTCACCGACCCACCGAAGCACGAACCTCCATAACACTTCAAGATTCCAGCACTTTATTGGGACGGCGATACTCCAGCACTCCCACACCCAACTAGAGAATCTTCAGCTACAACTGCCCTTCTTCATCGCTTCTATAACAGGCTTTTGTGCGATGCTGCAACCAGAAGCTCCTATCCATATTCCGGCCTTCGCCCGAGCATCCACTTCCTTCTCCATTACCTCCTCGACAACACCCGCCGAACGACCCTCCGTGCATTTAAGAGGCACAAGACATCATATTCAGAGCCATAATGGACATCGTGGAGGATTGTTGGCGTTCTACGGAGCATACGGTTCTAATCGCTCTTGCGTCCGCAACTTGGAAGCCGTCGAGCTTCTAGAGTTGTATCTTGTGCTTGAAGTCACCATTAGCTAGAGGGAATAGCGTACATATAATTGAGTATCTGATAGACATCCTGACGGTGTGTCAGCTTGTGGGAGTGCTTTACAAGAGAGAAGTGGGCTTAATCTCAGTGTCTCAGATGGTCGAGAAAGGCCAACCTAGCTACAACGCAGTGATTCCTTCCGTGACATGAACTCAATTTTGATCCCATATAGAAGTCTACACCATTTTAAGCTTTTGGCAAGGGGTGCAACAGAGTTGGCAGATAGCCAGCAACAACCTCGAGCATCGCTCAACTTTCACGTTCCTGCCTTCTACGGAGTTTCGCACAGATTTCAGAAGTCGGGGGCGTCGAAGAGAAGCGCTCATACCACCGCCGGGAGCACAAAGCACTAGAGAAGGTAGTAGGCTACCAATTTATCCTCTTCGACAACGCTGTTTGCGAATTGATTCACTTCCAATTTTCAGGCAGGAATCAGGCATCAACACCCCCCCTTTTTCTGTCCGAATTCGTCCGTGCACTACTTCGCTTGTGCCTGGCCTCGCCTTCCTCAATCGCAAACCACGACCACTGAAGTATTAGAATGGTTTGTAGGAATTCGAACTGCACAATATCAGAGGTTCCAGTCATTGACCCGAGTACCGAAGAAAAACAATGTCGTTCCTCGTGTCCACCCCTTTGTCAAAGCCAGAAACCCTCGCAATGGCCCTTGGGAAATACCAAAACAAATCCCGATATTTAGCAGTGGAAATCAGATGAAAGACTGTCGACTTTCATCCCAACTGCAAGAACAAGCTCTTACCGCAGGAGCACATTGACGTTTTGAGAAAGAAAGGAGAAGCAGCTTAGCGAGCTGACCAATCATAATTGAGAGATAAATCATGCCCACCGCCTGCCTTTCATGGCCTGGTTTCTGCCCGGTTCAAAGCCCGTCCCATGTGGACATGAACCCAGACTGAACGTGACTCGTCCTCGAGGATGCGCACATCCAAGATGGCCTCTCCTTGAAGGCCAATATGTCCTCCAAGATGAATACAAAAGGGAAGATTATGAGGAAGCTGCTTGGCCAGCCAACCACGACCACTCACGAGAGTATCGATACGAGCAACGTCGACTCGCCCCAGCTCCGACCGAGCGCATCGCAGAATACGATCTACCCCGCAGGTGCACCCATCACCTGCCTCGATCGGTCCGCGGATGGTCAGCGAGCAGTGATAGCAGGACCCAAGGTCTTTAAAATCCTCAAAATCGATGGATCAACTATCACCCAAGAGCTCGACCTACGAGCCATTATCTCCTCCTTCGCAACAACTCACGACCTTTCCGCCGCCACCTCAGATCAACTCAACATAAGGGCAGTGACATGGTCGTATGGAAATCTCGAAAATATAATAGTCACAGCTTCTGGAAATGGAAGAATTACAGTATATGATCTCAATCGCCTAGGAGAAGGTCTCGAGGTTGGGCGCATTCAGGAACATGCGCGGCAGGTTCACAGACTCGCCATTAGTCCTTTCAAGAACAATTGGCTGCTCTCTGCAAGTCAAGATGGAACCGTGAAGAGTTTTGATATCAGGACTCCAATTCTGGGACGCAACGGCCCAACTTTCCGAATGCTGCAGTCTTTCAAGTGCAATGCGGATGCCGTCCGGGACGTCAAATGGTCGCCAACAGATGGGATGGAGTTTGCCTGCTGTACAGACGCTGGAGTGGTTCAGAAATGGGATATCCGGAAGCACAGCGCCCCAGTCCTAAAGCTCCCTGCTCACCAGAGCTCATGCTTCTCCATATCATGGCACCCGGATGGAGAGCATCTCGTCAGCGGGGGTCTAGATCAACTATGCCATATATGGGACATGTCGAAGAAGGCCGACAGGAATCAGAAACCCCGATATACTTTTGCAACGCCTGCTCCGGTTTCGAGAGTATCTTGGCGGCCGGCATACTGGTCTGCTACGGCACAAGGCAAAAGAGCAGCCCAAATTGCGGTGGCCTATGATGATGCCAATCCGGCCAAGAACCAGACGTCGAATGTGCACATTTGGGATCTTGCGAGGCCGGCTATGCCGTTCAAAGAAATTGAACAGTGGACTAGTGCGCCGTCAGGCTTAATTTGGAACTCGAGAGATCTTCTGTGGAGTGTCGACAGGGAGGGCCACTTTACACAAACCGATGTAGCTTTCGTGACAAAGCTCATAGATCGCAGGAGTCTATCAAGCTTCTCCATTTCACCTACCGGGCATAGTCTTCTGCTGCTGGAAGAACGACTATCCCCGCGGCGGGCTCGGCCATCTATCACGTCGCCAGAAGTATCACCAAACTTTCAACATGATGGAAGTGGACCTATTTTGAGTGTCAGCAGGAGTGATTCTGAAGAGGATGTTGTTGGTAGTTTCTTGGGCCCAAGGCTGCGGAAAGGTCATCGAAGGCGCAATAGTGGACGATCAGGTCAAGCACTGAGCACAACACCTCCTAGCAGTACCGGGATGACAGAAAATAAGATCATGTCTCTGAGTGATGCCGTGGAAGTGACTGGGATCTACAAGCCTCAGCAGGTTTCGGCTCTTGGGCATGCACCATCAACTGCGAAGCGAGTCACATACAAATACTTCACAAATCGGTATCTGTTTCCGCTTGCTAATATGTCCGATGATCGGTTACTGAATGTCCGGACGACTTCGATCACGGAAGCATACGCTAGGGCTGCTGAAGACATTGGCCATTTCCGTCTAGCCCAAACCTGGAGACTTCTGGGCTATACAATGAGTCTGCTGCTCGTACGGCGCGCCGAGCACCATCGTCAGGCACGACTAACCGTTCAGAAGCCTGAATCAAAGGAAGGGCACCGGGAAAATCCTTCTTCCGCCTTGCCAACTCCTTCTCAAACACTACGAGGGGAAGAAACGCCTCGAAAGCTACCTCGAGCACAAACTCCTGTTGATAGTCCGGCATATCGAGGTACAATATCGATGATTGCTGAAGAATTGGAGAGTACCTCGAATGTTGCAACTCCGCTTGTTCGCCCCGTCCGCGATTCCATAGCTAATGAAACGCGGGAGGCTATGCATACTCCTATGATCGACGAGGAAGACGATCTCAAACTGCCTGATGCCGTTTATCCTTCTACTCCAAGCCCAATACCTGTCCCTGGAGCTAGGCAGCCACCTGAAAATTCGGCGCCGAGTGTTGAAGGTTACGACTTCTATGGCATAGAGTCTTTCGCGCCTCCATTGGAATTTGGCGCTCCTCCAAGAAAACCTCCCCTGAGATTGGATTATCCGCAGCCCAGTCACCCGCCTCGAATCCAACCACAGCGCCATGATTCTGGAGAAAGTTTCCAGATGTTTTCAACGTCGGGAGATTCTGGGCATGGCCAATGGATGAGCTCCTCTGGTAGTGAAGGCCAGAGTGCCATCAAAGAGCACGGTCGCTCTTTGCGAGATAGAGTAAATAGCTGGGAGAAGAATCTCTTGGCAAGCTCGAAGCATCGATCAAGCATTGACTCCGATGCTCCCACACGATCCGAGATTTCGGACGGACATTTCACTCCCCATTCAAATGGATCTTACGAGTTTCTCGACGGGAAACACCATGGCTCGTCATCTCCTCCAGTCTTGCGCCTGCATGAAGTATCTACACGACCGGTCCAAGACAGAACACCCTCCAAAATCCCAACCAGAACAACAACACGCAGTCCCTCCATATCTGAAATGACATCTGAAGACCCAAACCTAATCAACTCCGATTTCCTCCCTTGGCCAAATGACCCCCCTTTCCTAATTGCGCCAATGGACCCCACTCCCCTGATCCAGCGGACCTTGAATTTCGAGTCTCAAACCTCGGCCCTCAACGCCGCAGTCATGGTTCTGCTCCTCCGACCCCTCCTCCCCTCCTCCGCAATTGACGAATTCCAAGCCGGCGCAATAATAAGACAATACCATCAACGTCTCACAAACCTCAAACTTTTCACCGAAGCGGCGCTGCTGCGTAATCTGTGCATTCCTAATTATCCCACAGTGTTCGCAACAGCACAAGAAGATATCAAGATCGGCTTCTTCTGCACGGATTGCCACAAACCGCTTGAAAACGACCCTCTGGTCCCAGGCTCGGAGTGGAAATGTCCACGCTGCAAGAACGAGATGGCTCCCTGCGTCGTCTGCCTGAACCGCGAGCTCGAACCTGATGTAGAATTTGAGAAAGCAGATGTTGGGTTTCAGTCAGGCGTTTGGTGGCTATGTCCCGGCTGTGGGCACGGCGGCCATAGTTCTTGCATGCAGGCCTGGCATTCGGGGCTTGAGTTTGGGGAGGGAGAGAAGTATAGTGGGGGATGTTGCCCGTTGGAGGGCTGCTTGCATCCTTGTTTGCCTGGATGGTGGAGAGAGAAGAGGGCGGAGGAGAAGAAAGTTGCGCGGGCGAAGGAACTGGACTTGTTGGTTAGGGAGAATAGCAGGCAGGGGAGTGGGAGGGGTCCGGTTGTAGGTGGCAGGGGGCAGGGATTGGTGAGGAGGGATAATAGGGAGGTTAATCAGAGTAAGGCTGTCGAGGGTGCGAGGGTTACTTTGAGTGCTGGGAATTTGTCGGGTGGGAGTGGGAGTGCGGGGACGGGACCGGAGAGGAAGAAGAGTGTCAAACTTGTTGCCCCGGGCGAGGAAGGGTTGGGTGATCATGGGTTGTAGATGAAGACTTGGATAGGAAGGCACTTTTTGAATTGGCGTTGGAGAGATGACTGGATGATACCCGTCGACGTTGTTGCTTTGCATGGCGAGGCGTTTGGGCAGAGTCAATGTTGGATATAATCACGAATGTATAACGATGCGTCAACGATGTTAAACGATCATGGAACTTGTACATTGGATATATGCTGTGTTCAAAACTTCTTCCTCTTTTTCACAGGCGCCTTGGACTTCTCCTCCAATTCGCGCTTCAGTTGAAGGCGTTTCTTATCCGCTCTCTCTTCCGACGTCTCTCGAGGCGGAGGCGTCTTTTCTTTCTCAGGCTGCACGCTTGCTCTTCCCCTACTCTCTTCTGCCTGCGAAGGACTACCTTCCTTCTTTGTTGCAGGCGGCTGGTGTCTATGCCCAATTGCACCGAGTTTTCGGTTTGGAGTTGCGGAGGTCGAAGCGTCAACCTGTGGCTGGGCCTCCTCGGCAGGAGGTGGCGTCTCAGCTCGTTTCTTCCTCCCTCCGATCTGCCCAAGCTTCCCTTTCTTTGCTTTCGGCGCTTCTGGGGCTGGAGTTGTCTTTGCAGGCGGTGGAGAGATTTTTCGTTCGGGCTCTGGCTCTGGCTCTGGTGGTGGTAGCTCTTTTTTCCCTCCGATCTGTCCCAGTCGCTTTTTTGGCCGGATTACCTTTTCATAAACAGGTGGTGGTGTTGGAGAAGCTGTGCTTTTATCGGTATTCGCTTTGAGGGGAAACGAGGCCTCACCTGCTGTGTCTTCTTCGTCGGGAGGGTCGATTTTTGCGGCTGCCTTTTTGGATCCGATGGCGCCGAGTTTCTTAGGCTTCTTCGGCGAGGGATCGGCTTGAGGTGGAGAAGCTGGGAAACTGTCTGGTATCTTTGACCTTTGAGTGGGTGCATCAAGGCCGCCATCGTCGTCAGTTGAGTCGTTTATTACTGGATTTGAAGCGGCACGCTGTGGTGACTTGGTGAGGTGCGGAGGCGTTGCTTGAACCTGGAAAGCGTCGTCTTCGATGGTTTCCTCTTTTCTCAGGGGTGGTTTTGATCTCAGTGGAGTGTTGCGAGCTCCTGATGCACCGTTGGTTGAGAATTTGCCACTATCAAGATTGATCGTGATACCTTTGATAGACTCCCACCAACTCTCTTGGTCCTCAGATCCAGCAACACTGCCCGCAATCCCGAAGGTATCCGCGCTATCAGCCGCAAACATATCTCCAACCAGCGCTGCAACATCCCGTGATATCTCGTGATTTCTGCTCTTCTGCCACGTCTCCAGGTCGAACTGCCCCAACCCTTTGACCCTGCCCTCGGCACTTTTGCGATCCACCTTCCGTCCTATCCTCCCCGCTGCCTGAGGGAAAATCTGTCCCAATTCAGTCCCTTGCCCCTCCAGTTTGTCTAGTAGTTTCTGTATTACATGATCCTTGTCCTTCAGCACCTCAACTAAGCTGGCCACATCCTGCGTCTTCGCATGCTGTGCCTTCAGTAACGGGACCATAAACTGACTTGTCATTATTGACTGCGGCGCGGCGGCGAGCTGAACAGGCCATTGCAGCGGCGCAAGGCCTCCAGGAAGCTTGACGTTGATGTTGAGAGTAAGAGAGGGACGGTCCGCATCGGCCCTGATCGTCAGAGCTAAGGTTGTGTCCTTCCCGCCTGCAAGCCCCAGCTTTATTTTCTCTAAGAGAATCTGCAGCTGTTCGTTATCGCTGGGGTCGATGCTTGTGTCCTCTGCACGGCTGCGTCGGATGATATCCCGCCGGTCCAGACATTCGCTCCAGATGTACGCAAGGTCTGTCAGGTGGACCGTGTAAGAGGCGGCCGTGAATGCTTCGGAGATCAAGAGAGCCGGCAGATGTGCGCCGGCAGATGCAGACAGGTGGAGAGGCTTCCAGGCCATTGCGTAAAATAACCTGTAGATTTAAAGGGTCTGCTGTGTTCCTCGGAGATCAGAAGATCCGTGTCGTTGCCTCGCGAGGCTGTGGTACGTTCGGGGCGAAGGGTTGGGAAGATGTTGAACGAAAACGGTCTGAGGGCGGCAGACTACATTTATGATACACCACGGACCAGGGTGATGGCGTGCATTGCATGGTAGCACACAGTGGTAGAGATAATGTGGCCACGCGGTGTTTTGAAGGTTACATGGCAACGTGTTGTTGATCTTCATCAAGGTTGCAGCCTTGGAATTAGAGTAACTAATCAGCCTCGTATCGCGTATTTCGAAACGGAGTTTGCCATGTGACGAGGACCTTTGGTCTTCTGCTGATCTGGCGAAAGGCGAAAGAGTTATTATATATGAACCGGTTCTTCTTTGATACCAAGTTCAGCTAGTATCAATAGTTGGGGGGATGGTTTTCAATTTCAGATCAGAGAGGTGGATCACGTGATATATTAGAAAAGGGGTAGCTTCAGGGGTTCAGGTCCGAGATGTTTAGCGATGACTTAAGATAGAAAGTAATGTATCATGCTATCATAATTTAATACATCATACTTTCCAATAATGCTGCCCGTTCCCTAAGCTTAACGTAAAATTGATCTCGTTCCAAAAGCATCCCTCATTGCTCCCGGCACATCTTATCCGCCGTCTAGAAAACGAATGTCAGAGAGGGAGACGTAAGATTTGAAGACCATACTCACATAAGAAGACGGAGTCGTGTTGACATAGGGTGGAACATTCAAAATCCTTTTCGCAACCACCAGCTTCACCTCCGGAACATGTCGTTCCTCAGGCGTAACATTCTTGTTCCTGAAGTCTCGCAAATCCCTTTCCGCTCGCTCCAGGGGCAACAAGTCTTGCGGATGAATATACTCAACTTCACCATCGCCCCCATCTTCAAGTTCTGGGCTTGGTTTTCTGTTCTCCCATAATCCAGAAGTTCGATTCGACCAGGATCCCGATCAAGTCCTCCATCCGCGCCATTATGACTTAACAGCACCTCCTTCAAGCTTTTGAACTTTGCCAAGTCCCTTCTCAGCCGATCTCCACTACTCTCGTTATGGCGTTGGTCTCCATATCGACCGTAATCATAATCAGCCCATCCTTCAATGTATTTGGTTCCCACTCACTCGACTTTCTCCAGATCGGCCATGACTTCCGGTCTCAACGTATGACGCGTCCAAGTACCACCAAGAGGACAATTACACCATTCCCAAAAGGCTCTGATATCGAAACTGTACCAAGGGGCAAAAATAGATTAACGGGTTTCAAGTCCGCATAGACATTTGGCGTCCCGAAAGCATGACCGGTAACGCTGCAGCGCAATTTTCGGTGACCCTCGACAGACACTCAATGCTGCCGGATTCGGTGTATGAAGATTCTTTGGAAAATACAAGACCGCTACATCCTCCGCCCAAAAATCACTGCTGTTTTGCATTTTTGCCGGCCTGGACACAAAGTCCGAGGTCCTGGCAAGGAGTACTCCCAAATTCGATTTCTCAGCTCCATTGGTATTTTCCGAACTTCCGGAATGGAACAATAGCAACCATTCTCTTTTTCTGCTGGACTTCAAGTCTGCGCTCGAAGTCAAGAGCTTCGACTTCAGCGGTCTTGCGTTCCTCGTCGGCTTGGCTTAATCGACAGATGAGGTCGTATTTGGTTCCCTTGTGATCCAGCCTTCGATATTTGCACTCCTCTCGGAGGTCGGGTGCTTTCTTCCAGTCATGGCTGGCTCCGTCGAACACCATTAACCGTAGATTCTGAAGCGCATAGAGGATTTAGGGAAATTGTAGAAGAGGAGAGGGCGAAATTCGTGAGGTTCACGGAGACGCGACTCGTTCAGAATGTCCCGTTTTCTTCGCCTCGCTCGCTTCAAACCTGCGCTCAAAAAAATACAAGCTCAAAAAACATAGAAAATAGATTTAGCAAGCAAAAGGCCAGGACCCTCGGGGGGTCCCTTAGAAAACACTCATGGTACTTTTCAAGTCGCTCCACCTCAGAGTCGAGTACTGAAGTGGGTTTTCGTGTGTGATGTTGGTAACTACTGGTCTAGACCTATCAACCTTCACTTTGAGTTTGTAAAACGTAAGTTCCCACACCGGTCTACACTTAACCCCCTTCTCAAAGCTTGTTGTGTCCGAAAAATGCTTATTTGAGTGTGTTAGGGTGGGTCCGCGAATTGGGAGAGCACACGTGATGCTTTTCTACAGAACACTTCCTCTCGCTTGGACAGTCAAAGGAAAGGGTTTCTTGTCATTATACATATTACTTTCAAAACTCTCCCAATAGCTACTTTTCATCTTAATTAAATCCCAAATATTTCGTGTTGCAAGTGACATCCAAATTCGCCTGTGGAACATTTAAGCAATACGCCTCATCCGTGCCGTTTGGACTGACAACATTAATCGCACTGGCCACAATATTATTGCAGACCGTTGAGCTTGAGCAAGCAAATGTGCCAATCTCAGGTTGGTATTTCTTGCTCGTCTTGCCATTGAAGTTCTTGAAGAGGATGTCCGTGATGGTGAGCGGAGATGGGAATTGGAGGCAGAGAGTCAAGTTGGATTGCCCGTAGCATTGATCAACCTCGATTGCGTAGTCCACGTTATCGATTATCATGGTGTCGTAGGTGATATTCTTGACCATGCCTGATCCGCCGCCGCCTTGGAGATCTCCACTCAAGGCTGAAGGAGTGTTTGGCCAAACTTTGATACGGGCTCCGTCCTTTTATTCTGTCAGTATTTGTTTCTTTTATTTAGTGGACGGAAGACCTACAGTTGCGTTGTGCAGCGATGTATTGAAAACATAGATGTTTTCCACGATGTCAAACTCCCCCTTGTATTGCCCAAGAGAACCAACCGAGATGCCGTGGGAGCCGTTACACCACATATTCTGCACCAGCATATCGGTACTGTTGGGCTTGAAAGACACGCAATCTCGAAGGTATTAGCAAAAGAGTTTATCCAGTCAGTAGTACTTGCCGTCTCCATTGTTCACCACAGAATTTTGGATCACGATATCTGAACTACGATAGGTATCCCAGCCATCCGTATTTTTCGCCACATTGGCGCTGATACTGCGTCCAGCGATGTTGATATTGTCAAAAATGACATTGCTAGAGTTGGCAACGAAGTGGTAATATTGAGGCGAGTATCTCAGCACCAAGTTGCTGAGGATTGAGTTGTGGAGACCGTCGATGCCGATCAAAACCGGCCGGAGAGTGTAGACGTTTGCCGCATAGAGATCGTACCAGATTTGTCCGTTCCCGTCGATGGTTCCGCCGCCATAGATGTTGACATCGTTACCTCCAAGCTTGAAGAACGTGGTCACGTTCTGAAAGCCGAATCTAAAGGAATTTGCCTGCCAGTACACGGTGTCGTTTGTAAACTGGATGTACGATTGGATATCTGTAGAACTCGGTCAGCGGATGTCCTAGACAGCGGTGATTTAACTTACCAATATCAATGTGGTTGAGGAAGGTGAGGTCGAGGGCCGTGCCGATTGTATATTTCAGTCCCTCAGCAAAGACAACATGACCTCCGTTGTTGCAATTATGAAGGGCATCGAGGATGTACTTGGAATCATCAGTCACACCATCATTGTGACTCTTCACATAGCAGACCCGGTTCCGTGGAGGAGGAGATGGCGGAGGCTTGGAGGGATGAAGCGGATGGCACGAAATTGAAGGCCGTGATGAGGTATGCTCTGGAGCCGACTTTCCCCCAGCTCCTTTGGCCCACTGCTCAAAAGCAGCCCACGTTGGGCTTGCAACTGCCACTGTTGCCGACGCAATAGCTAAGATTGTCGTGAGCTGGAACCGCATCTTGACAAGTTGTACGGTAAGTTCAATGCAATGTCGTCTTGGGAATGAAGCTGCAGCAAGTCGTAGCTGGGGTTATCATGTCCTATTTATTTCTATTGGTATTGCTCCATGGTAGCTCCGCGACGCAGCAGCGGCGGGCTGCAAACTCTAGGATGCGGTCTTGGATATTTTTCCGGAAGGCATCCTGTCCCCAGGAACGTGACGATGGTGACCAGGATCATTTACCACTTTCAGCCAACCACCGCATCGATAGCTGTGGAGAACAATTACTGATGCGGCCGGCTGGGTGAAGAGCCTCGACCCCGCATGGAGATTTCCATTTAGACACCGTTTCATTTGATGCTATTCGTTGAGAGAATTTGTTGCCAGGTACGGAGGAGGCTACCCTTGCAGATCGTCGAGCTGGGAAAAAACGTCATTGGTGGAAGTTCGCCAATGCTGGGGACCGACAACCCGAGCTGCTGGACCTTGAGGGGTTCATGAGCCACTCCGAGGAACAAAATGAGACTTCAGATTGTGCTTGCGGTCCATAGAAAATTTGTTCCGAAGAAGAGGACTGTCGTGTGAGCGGATGTCGGCCGGAAAATCTGACGATCGATACTATCCCCCCTTTCAACGTTCTCGAATCTCGATGGGTGGGTATGGATGATGGATTTCATTCTTGGATTGGATAATATCCATGGGTGGTTTTTATAATCTCAATTTTAGGGATATCTAAAAACTAATTAATACCCTGGTCCTCTTAGCCTTTAATAAGCTATTTTAATAAGAAATTTTTTATTTAACTTTTGTCTTCACGAAAAATTCTGGCCTGAATTCTAGAAGGCAGCACAAACCATCCATCCATTGAGAACGTCGCCCCCTTTCATTAAATGTAGCAGTGGGTCCTCTTGACTGGGGTCTGTATGGTAGAATGTCTGTGCTCTGTGGACCCACTGTTACATTTAATTAAGGGGGGGAGCATAGTACAGTGGACGACGGGATTTCGACCTCCGAGGAGGATAAACTTCGTATAATTCGTTTACTTTGTAGCAGGCACAATAATTCCAAGACACAAAAGATCTGCTTTACTTTAAGAAGTACTATCTCAGCAAGATCCAAGAATTCTATTAGCTGGTTTCCCTGTTAGGGCAGGATCTTCCGGAAACTGTTTTGGAACTATTACGCCGAGGGGGAAGTAGGAATTATAAAGTCAGGAGTAGACCTAGACCATTTGGCATATGGAGTAGAGGTGACCTCTCTCAACCGCCCCAGTGTGGGGTTGAAACTGAAGCAGGTTTAAGCGAGCCCTCGGTTCTCGGAATAGGGGGAATCTCCGTAGATCAACAACTCGGATAGATTGCCATTTGGGTCACCTGATCTTGAGAGGGATCGAGGAATCCCCAGACCCCAGACCCCAGACCTCCTCCACTTTATCCCCCAACCACATCCCGGCAGGCTGGAAGGGAAGCAAGGCAAGGGCACGCGGTTAGTTCAAACGCTGCAGGCGCCTCTTTCCCTGTTTAAGCGCCACCCAACAGTGCCACCACCCCTACTTCAACACCTATCCGGAATTCTCTGCATGGCATCCCAGGCCGATCCCGGGACGATTGCATCTGCACCGCAATCGGTGACCAAGATCCCAGTTGCCAATAGCTCTCCCGAGCCAGCGGGTGAAGATCTCACAAGTGATTCCTCAGTTTCTTGGGAGCAAATCGAGAGTCTCCAACCGAGGGGCCGGGTTCGGAGAAATCCAGGAATCGGGGAGGCCGGTGAGGGTCAAATAGCAAACCAGCGCCAAGAGCGGCCGGACCATGCTTGAACATGGTACCAAATGCGGACCAGGGGTTCTTGAGACTCAGCCTTCCCCAAACGTGCAGGAAAACAGGCTCCGGCCCGTCCGTGGTGCTTGGTATCGGCCTGCTGGTGTCGAAACGCGTTGTCTCGGCCGTCTGAAACTGCCGGCAAGTGCAGGTGGCTGGCAATGGCCGAAGATACTCGGGAATGACAAAACTGCCCAGGGCGCCGCTTGTTTCTCATGTCGGGGTGAAACCCGAATTGGAATAACGTGGGGAAGTATACGAGGTGCAAATCCCCGATGATGCGATCCAATTTTTGAGACGAACATCCCTTGAGATCACTTTCCTATCAACGTGGCACAAGATCTTGATAGTGTACCAGAGAATCTAAAAGTTTGTGATTGAGACAAGCTGTCGAATGAAGGACTGGAAGGTTTTAATCCGAGAGATTTGATCGTGGGGTCCTTCGTACATTATTGCATGATGCCTGGTCATAAATATCGGCTCTACAATCCTTGTCAGGTAAAGCTGCAAGTCATTCCATTGATCGATGGAGAACACCGCTCACCTGGTGTTCAAGAACAGAGGAACGAATTATTTCAAAGTGTGTCAACACGTTTTTCATGGACCAGGATCTTAGTCTTATATTGGTTCAAGGATTGATATTAACTCTAGCGCCAGAGCCGTGAATTGTTACGGGTGAGCACTGTGAGCTCTTGCCGTCCCGCACTTGCTGAAGAAAGAGGGACCCTCTAAACGTGGGGCGGGAGGAGTGATCATCCAATGACCAAGAATGCCAAAATCCGCCGCCATGCAAATGCCATGCGGCGGAAGGCTCCCCGACAGCCGGTGGCTTGAAATTGTGTTACACTGCGCTTTGTTTCGCCCCAATACAGACGCTCAATAATCCGTGGTACAAAAGCTATGCAATGTCCAATACTTCCGATGCTCCATAAGGCTGCCGGTGACTTCTTCACCGCTGTTAGACTTGAACCTGTAAATGCTCAAGCTCGTTAGCTGTAGGCATTGCGAATACTGTTTGGCCGCTGGCATGGCATCCATCAGGCTGAGAGCCAACCAAGTTTCTACCCACACCCACTTGAATCACTTGCATCTGGTTGAACGACCTCGCAGGAAACGATCTATCAAAAAAGAACATTATGACTGTTATCTGCCGATCATGCTTCACCTCACTTACAGCTACCAATCCTCTTCAAACACGTCCTGCGGACACATCAAATTAGATCCTGCATTCTCGAACCCTAGAACACGGAACGCACTCCATACCCTCAAAGAACCAAGATCGCAGATCCACGAACCAAAATTCAAAGTCACAACGATCAACGCATAGCCCAATTATTCCATGTTCCTGCTCAGCATCAATGACCAAAAGCAAAATGCGTCTATCGTCTCTCATAGCAGACATCCTCCACTGTACACGTCGGAATACCAGATGATCCCGCCCTCCCGGACCTTGATTCGGCTTTGTCAGTAAGGATGATTGGACATCGGATGCCCACTGTGGAAGTGGGGCTCCTGGCCGTTACTGAAGAGCGGGCCGTCATCGATATAGACACCTTGAACATCTTCCAAGCCACCAATCATTTCTTCGAATGGCACCTCGGGCTGTTCGAGCTTGGGGAAGAAATAAGGGGGGGAGAACACAGGCTCTGGGTGTGGCGGCGTCAATGGTGATCTTTGTCGTTGCTGAGGAGCATGAGGTCCTCTTGGATACTGCATGTTGGAAGGCATTCCGACGCCAGGAGTTGGTCGTCGCGAGACCGGTCGCTCCTTAAACCTTTGCCTCCCGTGTCTGGCGTCTCTTAGGGCGTGGCTTCCCTTTCGTCCTGGAATTTGCCGTGCGGGTGCTGGGGTATCCATCTTCATGAACTTCTTCGTGTTCGTCCCCTTTCGATACCTCGTAGTAGATTGAACACCATCTTTAATGGCGAAGTCTTCAAGAACCCATTCTGTTGACTTTTTGGTCTCGTCTCCAGGAACTTTTCGCTCAGTTTTCTTGAAAGCCTGGAACCCTGTAAGCACTGTAGAGAGAATAGCACCATATGTAACGCCTTACCGCGTTCATGGACAAGTTGTGTCGAATACTGTTCATCCAACCCTTCGTATCCGAGCTTCCTTTAACTGTGTTCTCTCGAAACCATTGATATATCTCCTGCAAGACCATTGAATGATTTGATTTACTCATGAGTGCCCGATAGATCAACTTGGCATAGGGTTCATCGGTGGTTGGCTCTTCACCCTCAGTGGCTGTCATCTCCCGAGAGCTGTTGCCGCCATCTTCAGAAGTTTCGCTTGATGGCAGTCTGAAAGGGGATGGTTTATCGAACAGTATGCTGCCAGTAACGACGTCATGATCTATCACTCCCCTTGGACTTGTGCTGATGCTAAGCCGGGCAAAGTCTCGCGAGTTGTCTATAGTATTGAAGGCAGTGGTTGATCTTGCGGATGACAGCAAGTGAGCGCCAGGCTTACAGGGTGGATTCACCGTGTAGAGGGAAGAACGCTCATAGCTATCATCCAAGGGCATGTTGTGGTCGTTGTGGATTCCCATATCAGGCATGCAGCGCGGTGTGTCGTCGAAGCTCATTCCCCGTAGGAATTGCGCATCGTGTATGTTGCTGGTGATTGTTGGTGAGTAGTCGTAGTAGCTATTGGTATTCACATCATCGAAGTTACAGGATATTTGATTCGGATCACCCCACTGAAGCGAAGCTTGAGATATCGACATCTGGTTGGTGAGGCTGTAGCTGCCAGGGAATAGGTTCAGTGCTGACGAAGGATGGGGAGTCATGAAGCTTTGATCAGACTGTGTTCGAGGTAGGCCATCAAAGGAGAGCGGTCGATGGGTTGATTGCAGAGAGTCGGGCGTCTCGGAATACTGGAAATTCATTGCGAGCCCGTTGTCTTGAGGTCGGTGGTAGTACTGCCCCGGATTCATAGTGAAACTGAAAACACAACTCGCCGCTTGTGATGTGGCTAAGAGATGAGTTGGTCCTTTCACTTGGATTGCTGAATTTTACTGTACCACTGAGACAGCGATCGAGTTCGGAGATTTCGAATAATTAGGAATAGCAAAGGAAACCGATATAGATATTCAACGAGAGTATCTGAATTCGGCACTTACCCGAACAAGGCCACAATGACAGGCATGCAGGAGGGCGTGCCAACACATGGACACAAGCTCCTGAAGTGTGATGCAAGCCTCGTTTGTTCGGAATGGAACAGGAGAATATGCCGGAGAGACTGCCCACCCCTATCACCTAGGGGGGTTTGAAGCAATCGCTTGCCATCTGGTCAGCACAAATATAAGGCACTAAACTCTGCACGCGGTCTTGTCTTGTCATACGCTCGGCAGCCTGCAGTTTACAACGGGTAGATGAATCAGGAGAGAGAAAGGTAAATTCCTGAGCTGGGAGAGAAGTGGGGTTACACGACCAGCCTCGAGCAGGCTTAGCGCAAGCAATTGTTCGGCCGTTTGAGTGGCCTACCTCAATTGGTGCATTCGCTTCTGGCGTTCTTCTAGAAGTGTGTGGCTCTCCTATCCCTACCCATGCAGGAGAAGGCATTGTCAAACCATGCTCCTTGATAATTGGTTGCTGCAATGAGAAATGCTGCTAGCAGCGGGGACCTGGGATTTACCTAAGAAATTGATGAAGGGGGGCACAGGGTAGCCACATCTACAGCAGGGAGGAATTCCACAGCGGCCCAGCTGCATTAACAAAGTCCATAAGCCAGGGGGCGCTGTTCGATTTCTGATAGAGTGTGGGGTTGGCCGCTATTATCTCGCGGTTCTTACTCTCTTGGTCATCAATGTATGCACAAGACCATGGCGTGGCTCATCAGGAGCGGGATCTACCTACCATGCCAGAAGCGTTGCTTCACAGGGTTTCTTGTGTGACACATAACACGTGCGATTGGTCTGGGGTATCATTTTAGTCAGGAATTGTATTCTGACTCCTAAAGGATACTTTTACTTCCCAGATAAATGTTTCGAAGTCTGTTCCTCAAGCAGACTTCAAACAATCACTTCCGATAGTATATCTAAACCATGAGTCAGCAAATACTGGATGGATCTTATATGGTTGATGTTGACGAACCTTTTTGTATTGAAAGTGCAATTGGAGAATGCCCTACATGCCATGTATCAGTTTCCAGGATCAGGGAGAGAAGTGTGTGGGGCTCATCTGAGGGAGCTTGAAGATCGTTTGTGGAGGACAATACACTTACCTTGTCAAAACTGCTGCGAAAGCCGCGATCTCTCTTCGCACTGTAATCCCATTCTTTGTCCACTATACGGAAAGCAATATCTTCGTAAGGCGGTCCTGCAATGAAACGAATCAGACAAGTATCTTCCTCTCCAGCTGGGGCAAAAGATTCTCCACGTCTCCGACCATGCTCTCTGATGATCTTGAAGGTTGGTGCCTTGGATTTGTCAATCAAATCGGGATAGAAGATATTGAATTTGTATCCCTGAACGACCTTGGGCGGTGGGTTGTCGTGATCATAATGGGTTTGATTGTATTTGTTCCATTCATATCCCATCTGCACACGATTGAAGTAGCGAGGTTTTCTTGGTCGGTATTTGTCTGCCCATTGGGGTGTCGATGCAGTTGTGACAGCTTCTTCTGCGGTGAAGATTTCCTCATCCTCGTCGATTCCACGAGCAACCTCTCTCTCATACAATGCTTTTGTTGCCTGAGAAAAGTCTTCGTTGACAATGGTAGAGAATCGCTGGGTTCCTGGAGGTGCAGAACTCGTAGCTGCGCTAATGGATTTACTACTGGAGCTTGTACCTTTTTCAGTAGGTGATCGTCGCAACGGAACATAGCCAAGTTTTAGGACTCTGCGACGCTCGGCAACAAGCTTCTCAAGAAATACTGATTCATCAATAACCTCGTTTGACTTATCTTCAGAATGTAGTTTCAAGAGTGGCTCGGGATCATATTTTTGGGAGTACTGAAATATCGGTTGTCGTCGGACAATTGGTGAGACATTCGCTGCGTTGTCTCGGACATCAGCGCCTTCTTCGACAACATTGATAGGTCCAGCTAGCATCTCCTGTAGCCTCGAACGAACGCCTTCTGCATCCTCTTCTTGTTGTTTTCGGAGTGTGTCGAGTCGACTGTCGAGAACTGATTGATAGACCTTCTTTAGCTTCGCCTTCGCTTTGTAGATGAGGAGATTTCGCAAAAGTTGCTCCCAGTAATCAACATCGATTGGTTCGTTGGATCGGAGCTTTGCGCGAATTTGTTTCTCCAAAGCCTCCAACTGCTCGTATGTCTTTGGTCCCAATAGCTTGTCAACGTCTGCTGCCACTGAACTCACGGCGCGTCCTTCACGGCCTACTGGCTTAAGCTTTTCACGACGATCGTTGCATATGATCTGCATTGTCTTCCAGTAATCTTGATTCTTCTTGTTCGTTTCCAGAGCAAGGTAGGATGCGATGTTCATATCCAGCTCGACCAACTGTGCGTCATTAAGACCCTCGAACACCCCCTCCGGATCAACAACATCGTGCTGAACTTCCTCTTCGTCATCATCCAGGAGATCTCTGTCGGGGTCTATGACCCGGAGAATGACTGCAAGCCAGTCGATGGGTTTTGCTCTTCCTTCTCGAACTCGGATATCTGCCTTCTTCTTTGCCTGTTTCAAGACGAAGCTATCTTCTTGTGATACCCACTGCCGTGTTTGCTCATCTTCCGTCTGGTTGTTTCGAGGAGGCCGGACGTCTGGAGTTCGGCTTCCTGAGCCCGTTGGTCGATTCGGTTTCGAGACGCGGGCGTTGTCGTCTCTCCGGGGGGCTGTGACATCTCTTGCTGGTGATTTCCGACCTGAAATCATGGCTCTCCTTCCTGGATCCATGATCGCTGCTTGGGATAGAGAATACGTTAGGATTGATACCGAGAGCACGTAGATCGAAGTCCCAAGGCTTTTTTTCTGAGTTCAGCTAGCCCCGCCTATGTAAGGACACTATTTTAGCGCCAATCTAAAATCGCGTCGCCTCATTGGCTTTCCTCCACCCCAGGCCGAGCACAGACAAGGCTGTAGCCTGTAGCCCACGGACCACACTTTGTTGAAGACCATATCAGCTCCCTCCAACAACCTCTTCTTGGCCTCCTCGAATATTACGGCACGCTGATTTGAGCGTACGACGACACGTCGATACCGCTGAACGCACTCGCCCTCCTCGAAGCTTCCGTCTAACAATGGCGATTCTGCATGGCTGCCCCGGCGTCAAGGTGACCATTGTGTCGAATGGGCAGGCTCTCAACGAATATCCTGACGAGGATATGGCATTCAACAATAAAGACTACTCTGCCCCACTCTCTCGACGGGCCATGGCATATATTGAGTGTACCTCGGACACTGAGTTTGGAATTAAGTGGGAGATCACTCCCGAGTACAAGCCGGAGGTTCCTCACACGCACCTTCGATTCCGCTCCTTCCTTGATGGCAAGAGAATTGGAGGTGACACCGTCAGAACATCCCCGTCTAGCTCTTGGAGCGCTACGATGTCTGATACGTGTGATCGTATCAATGATCACGAGGTTGTTTTGCGCAAGTTGATCTTCAAAACTATCAAGAAGGGTAGGTAGTCCTGCATTTTGCAGAACGTGCAACTTGGCGCAGGATAGTCATATCTGATGTGTCTTAGTTGACGATATGGATTCTGCAAGAGTCAAAGCCGACGCTAAGCTCGCAGATGGACTTGGTGAAATTCTGGTTGTTGTCCACCGCTGCAACAAAATAGGCTCCGTACAAAACTCTCGTCGGCACAACCCTGCTCCGAGAACTCAAACAACGACTGAAATTGCAGAGAAAGCTCTCAAGGGCCGAGCGATTTCGCATGGCGTTGGGTAAGTAATACTGCGCTTAGTTGGCCGAGTTTCTAACCCGATGTTCAGCTTTGGACCAGATACGCGGGTTCATAGACCCCAACACGCCTCAGCCGCAAAAGTGTCATACGTCGATGGCGTGCAACTCCCTCTATGTATTTTCAGATTCAAGTATCGCTCCCGAGGTACGCTGTATCCTTTCTGCTTCGCTACTAGTATACTTACTGGGACTCGCAGAGGCTCTCCAACAAGAACTCATAATTCCTCGATCCCCTTCGCCAGATCTTGTTATTGGCCCTCTCAATCTAAGAAACGAGAATAATGCCAATGCGTCTCTCTCAAAAGAGGAACGCTTGGCACAATTGAAGGTGAATAGCCGCACTTACTCTTTCCCTCCGCCATGTTGACTTTATGCAGCGAGAAATTGAGGAGATAAAGTCCGAAGTGAAGGATGAGGAAGGAAGCCAAGCACCCCGAAAACGGGAACGAGATGCTTCTGGCGAACAGGCCGGGGGACGGGCCAACAAGGCTAGTCGACATAGTCGTGCCGAGCCCATTGAGTGTATTGACCTAACAGAGGACTGAGGGTTGCTGTCATACATGATGCGTTCTACTTTTTGGACTGCTCTCGTTTGTTTCGTTCTGGAGTTGGCTTTGCAGTTGTTCTCACAGTCGTAATGGGCTTGTCTAGGCCAATGGGGAATAGGAGATGGTTCTTGCTTTTACAGATTTCATACGATACCCAACAATTAGCCCATCGGTCATCAGTCGAGCCTAGTATTTTAATTGGCTTTGCTGCTTTTTCAATGGGATAAATACTTCCCACAAAGCAAGAGTCAATTCGTGCGAAAACCTTGATTTGATACACTCGGATTACGAATGCTACATCATCCCAGGACCCATATGTGAACATTATGACCGAGCGCCAACCAGATGCAACGAACCAGATAGCCAGCCACCCATTCATACAATTCATGGTCTCATCCAACACTGAGCATCACACACGCTAAATCGCCACACAAACACCACACATACATAGCATCATTTGCCGACCCATCCATACATAACCCCGTGATTCCATTCACACAGATCAAACATGCCTTCCTCCTTCCCTCTTGTCAACCAAACAACAATCATTGCTCGTAAAATCATCACCTCAAACTCGGCTCCCTCAAACTCCCCTTCTTCGTCTCAAACACCAACCCCTTACGCCCATAAACCCTTCTACTCCTGTCTTCCCCACCGCCATCCAACCACTTCTGCAAATTCTTACACTGGCTAACATCAAAGCTCTTCAACTTCGTGCAGCCCTCTACCACAGCTTCAACGCCCACACCCGTGACTCTCACACATCCGCGAACAGACAATTCCTGGAGCTCGAGGAGATGCAGACCGATGCTGCGGAGTGAGGAGTCTGAGACAGCGGAGCCGCAAAAGGAGAGTTTGAGGGAGGCGAGTTGAGGACACCCGAGGGAGAGGACTTCGGTTGCAGTGTCAGAGAGGGCGCAGCAGAATGACTGGATTGTTGTTAGGACACACTTCACGGAAGTCTCAAGCGAGAATGAAAGCGGGGGCATACCAGATCCAACTCCCGTAATCCCTTGGCAGCATTCGTCAAGTACACAATAGCGTTGTCCGTCAAATACGTACAATCCGCCAGAATCAACCTCTCCAATTTTGCGAACTTGTAGATACTCCAGTGCTGGAAACCGCCGTCTGTGATTGTAGTACAACGCGTAAGATCGATCGATTGTAACCTCGTGTGAGCGTGAACAGCCAAATGAGCCATAGAGCGATCAGTGACATGCTTGCAATAACTCAACGTCAATCTTTTCAAATTCGGACACCCAACGACTGTTCCCACGGGAGGAGAAGCCGTAGCCTGCTGCACCTGCTTTAACCTTGCATTTGCCTGCTGAGCTGTACTTTCCGTAACAACCCAGCCCACGATCCGCGCAAGCAGGTTATCGCTGACTTTCCGACAGTTGGAGAGATCAATTTCTTCCAAATTTTTCGCATTGTTGGCCATTTCGAGCACGGCGTTGGCGGTGATATCCCATACACTTTTCATTTTCCAGATGTGCACGTTAGAGCCGCATTGTGAGGAGAGGGTGGCGAAGCCATCGTCAGTGATGTGGAAACAATTGCTTATATCTATTGTTTGAGCGCGTTTCCCGACGAAAGGGCATATTGCGTCGGTCAGGGCTTTGTTGGTTACTTGGCGGTTGAAAAGGGAAAGGTCGAGAGTTTTGCAGATTTTGGGTGAAGTGGTGAGAAGTTTGGACCAGTGGAGAGATATAGATCGTAGCCGCATAAGCTGGTAGATGTCCAGATAGGAGAAGATGAGAATCAGGATTCCGTCCGGTAATATACCTCTATTATACTGGCTTGGCCGCCGTTGAACGATTTTCGGTCTTTTCGGACGAAAGCTGGAATCAGGAGGCGTGATTACGTGAGTGGATTTCGTGGCAGGTGTTGGAGTCTGTGTTCTTGATCGCGTCTTGGGTCCTGGGCTGGACTCTTCTGGAGGAGGTGTCTCTGGGAGTGGAGGTGCCATGGAGCCTCGTCTCCCAGATCTTGCTCTCATGTTGTCCATGTCAACACTCAGGAAGGGGTCTGGATCCAGAGGTTCCAAGACCTCTTTATCCTCTGCGCGACTTGGCTTATGAGGACTCGCCGGCTTCGAGGGTGTGAACGTGACTTTGGGGAGAGCAGATCGAACAGGAGTCGATAAGCGGTCGTCGATTTCCAGCTTGTTGATGGACGGTGAATCCGCATCAATCATTGTCACGTCTTGGTCATCTGACCTTCCAATCCGCATCTTCGCAGTTGCTTCGACCTGTTTCCGTATATCTGGTGAACAACGTCTCCAAAGCTCCTCAAGCACGTCCCCACTGATCATGAGGCATTCAACGGTGGTTATAGCTCGCACTGTTGCCGTTCTCCTCGGGGCCAGGGCCAAGCTAGCCACTTCTCCAAAATACTGGCCTTGCTTCAGCCTTGGTCTGATAAAGGACAGCCGAGAGCCCGGATTGAAAGGTTGCCCATTCATACTCTCGTGAATAACTTCTGCTTCGCCGCGAACTATGAAGTAGATCTCGTTTCCAGGCGAGCCTTGCAGAATGATATCCGTGAAAGGCGCGTATGTTCTCGGCTGAGCATTCAATCCGAGAAAATGGAGAATCTCGGGGGGTAGTGTCGAAAATAGAAGCAGTTCCTTGAGCGTTTTTCGAACGTTGACGAAGCCGCTTCCCAAAGCACTTCCGGCAGCCGGATCCTCAATGCCTTGAGGACTGGGTGATTTTCGCTTTTTCGTGTTTATCGCCGCCCCCTTTTCAATCACCCCAACTTCTCCGGTTGAGACTTCGCCTGGGGCCGCCTCGCGCGCAAGCTTTCCACCTCGCGAAGGAAGGGTAGTCGACGACACCACCTTTGGACCCCATCCGCTTTCTTTCCTCTTTTTATTCAGGATTGTCAACCGCTCTTGGGCTTCTTCCATGATCGCTTGTTCCATCTCCGGGAAATTCGGCAGTTCTGCCCGGAGATCCTCCTTCTTCAGCACGACCAAGAGACATTTTGTTCTTGCGATTATGGTCGCCGTTCGGGGCACATCCATAAGGATTCCAATTTCGCCAAAGAAAGCTCCCGGCCTCAACTCCGCGTACGTCGCTTCCCCATCTCGAGATGTGACCGCCACCGCACCCCGCACAAGCCAGTACATGGCTTTCGCCTCATCTCCTTCAGTGAGAATGACATCGTGTGGCGAGTGAACCTGGGGCCGCAAGTGCTTGCCAATAGCAGCCAGAAACGAATCTGGTGCAGAGAGGAAGAGGGGAAACGATCGGATACGATCCACCAAGTCAAGCGGCATATCAGGGATCGTTGACGCCGTCAGAGGGGACGGGCGCACAGGACGGGCCGGGTTCGTTTCGATATTGAAAGAACGGATCAGGGACAGCGAGTCTGGGATTGGAGCTCCATTTGTTCTGAATGGAGAGCTTGGCCCTCCCCGATTCCGGCGCATGGCGAAAGTATGTGTCTCAAAAAGGGTTCTCTCCGCCGATTCTCAGATGTGTATTCCACGGCCTGTCGGCCGTCTTGCCGTTTGGCCTACCAGATTTGAAGGCCAGGTCTGCAGACAGACTTGAAGATATTATGGAGCTTTCAAGTCTCGGCGCGCTTGAGAGAAGATGTGGTAGATTCGCAAAGTTCGGAGTCGAATTGTGTGCAATTTTCTCTCGACATGTACAGAAAAAGTTTCGCAGAAAGGTCGTCTCTTTGTCTGGTCTGTTTCCAACACACAGGGGATCGTGCGCCGCGTCTGCGAAATATTGTCAGCGATTTCTTTTTCAATATGCGGGGATTCAAATGCAAGAGCTCAACGTCAGAAGAGGCTGAGGGGCGTAGATGAACGCACATTGTACCGGCTGAGGGGTAACTGGGAATCGCTGAGGTCTGGAGAGGGCCAAAAGTCTCCAAACAGCCAAGGGGTTGCCCACGAAGACGGTGAAGTGTGTAGAACTAGATGCACGGGGCACTCTATGGTTGAAGGGCTCCAGAAAGTTTAGCACGAGACGGACCGGTCTATCAGCCTGCAAATGGACTGGGCTTGGCTGGCGAGACGAGCTGCGGAGCTGCTGTCTGCGGGAGCAAGCGCTATGACGATTATGGTGTATCGTGATTGACGAACATGTTTTCTTTTTTCATGCATTGGAGTCCCTCAGCAATCACGATGCAGCAGAAAGGAGAGCCTTCGGTCCAGAGTCCCTTTGCAGCGCAGCAATTGAGGCTTAGCTTAGCATCGTGGAAGCCATCTTTTTGCCTCCCCCCCATTTATGCATTTTCCTCAGCTTCTGAATCAGCATCTCGGCACCCAAATCGTCGATTTTCCAGGGGTCTGCTTCGCTTGCGCACTCCCACGCGCTGAACGTGCCCGCCAGCAGATTGGCTTCTTCCATTTCGCTTCTAGAAGGTGGGTATGTCATACGCAGCCTCCTGATTGGCGACCGACCGAGGCCACGGTTCGGTTCCCCCGGTTAATGGCAAAAGTTGAGACATTCCGGGAAGTTATAAAACAGAGTATTAAGAGGATACAATTGCATTGATCATTTTGTTGGGCGAGCAAAAGTTGGTCAATGTTCAAGGTCGTGTCAGTGTTGGAGTGCCATGATTGGTAGGTGAGAAGGCTGAGCTTTTCAGGGGCTCAAACCGGTGAACTTCGCACTTCTGGAGGTTTCTCCTGTGTGGCTGACTGTGGCGAAAGTTCTGAAACATTTCGGTTTCTGTGAATATCTTTTGTTACCCCAGATTAGCTTGAGCTGGGATATAAAACTATAAATATCGCCTCAAACTTTTAGGTACCAGCCGCGAAACGAGGGGGCTGTTGGAGCTATCATGGTCCAGTTTCCCATTTCTTACTGCTTGTGAGAGCTTGGCTGATAGGTTTCCATGTTGTGAATGGGACACAGACGAGTTGGTGTAAGAAGTACGTATCTGTTTCTCAATTCCCAAAGGCATGAAACTTGGGGCAGTGTTGACATGAACAGCAAACCCGAAACTATAACGCGGCGATGAAGTTCACGATGACGGATGCTAAAGCCGTGACTGCGGGGGGTCCGACGACTTGCACAATTGCTCAGATTGTAATGGAGGGGCCTACTGCTGGGAAAGGGGGAAAGGCAGAGGTTGACGAAGACTTTCGGAGGGGCTTGTTCGGGAGCCTGGATGTTTTTTATTAGATGAAATTATGGATTCTGTGAGATGGATAATTGAAAGATCGTATTTCCCTTGAGATTGCTGATCATTGAAAGCATCAAGTGATAGTCTCTTGGGATGGAGGTGCTTTTGAGAATTTGAGACGCCAAGACATCGAGAAAAATTCGAACGCGAAGCCCAAATATGGCCAAATCAAGGGATCTTGATCAACTTAGACGTCTGAGTATTGTTGAAGCCATGGAGAACAGCGCCAGCTATCTCGTGAACCTTTCGCATTCCTTAAGTCAACAGAGGAAACGTCATCTTCTCTGAGAAGTCGCCCTTGGGGACAGTCGCGTTGCCAACAAGGGGAAGCTCATCAGGTTGGCATATTGCCCCGACTGGTGGCAAGTCGCCAGTCTGGAAATAGTTGCAGATGAAACCATAAGTACACACTGATGGCGATTGTCCAGTGCAGTGCTGAGACAGAGGTTAGCCTTTTCACGTAAAGGAAGCACATCAGCTTAAGAGGTAGACTTACTCCTTCAGAATTCTGCTGGAGGACAACGGAGCCGCGGAACCTTTTAGACATAGCATGCGCGCTGTATATCCCGTTAGTTCTGTAAGAGTGAAAGTTTGAGAGATTTACTTTGCCACGGGGGTAACAGGATCTAAAGTATTCCCAACCCACAGAGAATTGGATGTAATGTGTTATCCTTGATTTCATCTGATCTCAAATAAGTTTGGTTTAAACTCTCGGAGGTAAGGGTCTTACCCGCTATGATCCTCCACTTTGGTCTAACCTTCCAATGACTACAAGGCATAGTGACTGACGACCAAAAAGTCCAAAGTATTTGCTTTGCTGATAAAGTGCTGTGATATTCCCTTTGAAATCCACTTTCATGGAATTAGAAATATCCCTACCATCTGAACAAAGTATAACTCTGGTTACCTCTTCGCCTCCTGTCGGTGGTTGGCATGAGCTACCTCCGCTCTTCTCGTCTTTGGCATCAGTCAGCGGGCAAGTTCGCTTGTAAGCATTTTGCTTGTACACTGCAAATGCGGTACCGTTGCCATGCACAAGATCCGCCAGAAGCTCCGCCATCTCTGGAAAATAGTGTAATGGTCGGTATAGCATTGTTCGAAACATCGACAATACGTCCAAATAAGTGACGATCGCAGGACTTCAGGTAGAATTTCCGGGGACAGAAATCGGATCCTCGTGGAGAGACGAGATAAGTGACTCCACTAAATTCTGAATATCGGATGATGATGAATTGCCGATGTTCATGGCACACTTCTCTGGCCTTGCTTCACTGCAATACTCGTAGAATTTGGACATGATTTTATCAGTGTCGTTGAGATTCCGCATCCACCCTGTGGGGTAGTAATCGTATGCGTCTGCCACACCATCTAAGACCATTCGTCCAACGCGTTCCGGGTACACGGCGGCGAAAGTTGCGCCAAGCACCGTTCCGTAGGAAAAGCCCCAGTATTGAAGTTTCTCGTCGCCCTTATACCGTTTCGTTCTGTCGAGCACCGCTTCCCAAGCAAAAAGATCTCCATTTTCCTTTCTAGAGGTAGTCGACTTTCCTTCCTTGCTGGCAAGCCACAATTCCGCTGGCTTGTTCCTCCACTCGGCATGTCTGTCGATTATTTCAACCATATCCCTGACTACAAGCACAGTATTCATATGCTTCGCAATCTCGTTACCCTTAGCACATGTTTCCATCAATGCCTTCCATCTTGCCCATGCTAAGGAGAGCGAGATATCAGAGGTGTGATCAATCCCACCAACTTCCTCCTGGTATCTCCAGAAATCGTAGGACAATGCATCGTGGAAGCATTCCAGATGAGGGGTAGTGTTGTTCACACCACGAGGATCCCACGAGATGAGGTCGAAATATTTGCCCTCTTGAGTTGTCCCAGCAGATGAGAGCGGGTTGACGGCTTCGGAGATGTTGACGGCTTCTCGAAGCATGAAGTTGATCCCGGAGCCACCCGGACCTCCTACTTTACATTAGAACGAATACACTTAACATAATACTAAAACGAGTGTGAAGCTACCAGGGTTGAGCAAAATCGCGCCACCATATCTGTAATCAGTGATAGGGACTGGAGCTGGCATTTTCATAATAGCAATTGCGACTCGAGATCCGTTAGAGCTCGTTGAATTCCAGTCTATTGGTACACTCAGGCGTGCGCATTGATAAGTGCCAAAACAGGATGTATAAACAAGACTTTCCGAAGGTTTGATCTGTTGATGTTAGCGTCTGGTGTGAAAAGGGGAAGGAGCCATTGACTTGCCTGGCTCCAACTGAAATCATCGGACTGGAGCGGTGAATTAACAAAGGGTAGCCACCTGCTTCCCTGACCTCGATTCATATACCAAGGCAATCCAATGCACGTAAGAAAGAAGAACAATCCCCATTTTGGAAGCTTCCGAGTCCTGCGGGGTTGGGGGTGGGTCGCTGTTGAAAGCTCGAGCTTCTCCATCTTCAAATCTTCTTGAACTTGAATAAAAGAGTTCCTGAGATCTTTCTGGAAGCCCACCGTGGAAGTGTGGTTTGTCCGATAGAAGGTTTATCCCCAGGCAGATGGATTGACGCGGCAGGCCATGACGTCCGAATATATTGAGCCACTTTGTGTACTGAAGATGCCTGGATATCTTCCTGCAGCGAGCTCAAATAGGCAGGTTGCTTCGCTTAAGGCGGCTTGGGGGAAGGGGGGAAATCCTACCCACTTAAACTTCACTTAAGACTCGACGCATGTGTGTATTTTCTTCCGCAAACAATTCTCTCTCATTCAATCAATTATCCCATCGTTCCATCATTTATCATGCTCACAGTATCTCTTCATCATTCTACTCGGATCATGTAGCGCTTGCGGAGTATCTACAGTATATGTTAATTCGCCTCGGTCCAGTTGGTGCTCCAGTTCCAGTTTGGGGCAAAATGAATGAAATTTATAACCCAAAAACCGCATGAAATACGGTTATGAAGTCGAATCAATTATCTTGTTCGGAAAATGGAGAGTGTTTAGTCTCCCGCTCCCATTTCGAGGACCTAGTGGAAGGAACGAATGACCTTTTCGACAAACAATTTCGACCCAGAGAGAAGAGACTAGAGGACATCTTGAAAAACCAACCCCGGTGACTTTTCACTTGGGTACACCACCTTTTAAAGCTTCATCCTCAATTTTCTCGAGAACAAGGAACGTGTGGGGAATGGCGGAGGCATTTTGTGTGAACTTTGGTCCACATTCAGCCAGAGCAAATACGGAAGGACAAGTTGCGCAAAGAAAAGTAAAAGGCTCGTAATACGGTAATACCAATTAAGTAAGCAAGCAAGATAATCCTCGTCGGATCCGTCGCTAAGAAGAACCAATCCCCAACAGCTCAACCAATGAGTTAATCTAAGATCCAGCTGCAGAAAATGAAACTTGCACCTAGAGACGTGTGCAGCAAGTTTTTGCTCAAGTTATCAAACGTCCAAATTGTAGCCCTTCCTTGTGGGATGTCAGGAGAAGAGCCTCGCTAATGCCTCGGCGCCAAAAACACCACGGCAAGAACCACAAACGACCCCAAACAACACCCGGCCCACAACTTCGTCCAGAGCAACCCTTCGAACCCAAAAATATTAACAGCCTGCAACACCGTCCCACGAATAGGATCCCAAAAGCAACTGGGTGCTTCTCTGCCGGACTATTCTCAAGCGTCTCAATATCTGACCAAGCCGACAGCGAGCTCGTTGCCAGTTGATCAGCAGAGCTACTTGACGGGGTGAGTTCCCATCGAAGAGGTGCATAAAGAGGGAAAAGAGCACTTCGAGGCGTCGGCTACACACATGAAGGGCGAGCTGCGGGAGGGGAAGAGGAGGCTGGATTGTGAGATTGGTGTCGAGGCTCGAGGTTGGGTCATCGTGTTTAGTGCTAGGAGGATGCGGCCGAGGAAGGCGCTTTGCCAGGAGACTGGGGGGGTGATGGTGAAGGAGTTGAGGGGATGTCTTGAGGAAGCACGTGGGCAATGGTCCCAGCCTTATTGGGAGAAGCTACCGGGATCTGTAGCGAGCCCGACTGGTAACGTTGCTAACGCGATTACAACAATACATATGTACACAAAGGGAATCTTGGTTGATGTTCTGTTGAATCAAACTTGACACTGGCAGGAGAGATCTTTCGTGGGATGTCAAGGAAGTTTTGGAGGCTGAGCCAGCCACGACGCCACCCACTTCAAGCGGACCAATGACACATGCTCTCCCGCAGTCCACTGGCAGGTCGATGTGCTAGAGACTTGGAAAGCAAAAGCAATCGTGATGATGAGTAAGCTCTTGAAAGAAGTAGTCAGACGAGGTGAGGTACATTTAATCAACGTCTCCACTTTTCTGCCTCTAGAAAAGGGGTTCGCTTCGCTTAGCCCCCCTTTCCCCACAAAGCGAGATCGGGCTGGCAAAGCCATGGCGTTTAGGGCTAACCTAAATTCGGGGAGTCGAGCGTGAGACTTGATCTGCAAGGATTGGCGGGGCTTGCCTCGGAACCTTTTTGCTATTTTAACCTTGGGATAGAGAATGCTCGACTAAAGGACATCTCTTCTTTTTAAGCTTGTTTTAAATACACTTTTTGTTTGTTTGTTTGTTGACTCGCTTAAGACAATTAGCCTCCTTTCGGGGTGCTTACAGTAAGCTCAGACAAGTTGACTCCTTAAAATTACAACATAGAAAACTCTTTCCGAAAAGGAGAAGGAAATCCGGACAATTATCCTAGACACCGACACCTAAAAGCAATGTACCAATTTGCGACTGCACAAGCAATATCTGGCTACCACTTTTATGAATACTCCCACACTCGCGAATGGATACTGCGATATTCTCGCAGCTGTATCCTGGACTTGCCTCAGACCAAAGTAACCCGCGTGCTCTCAACCCCATCACACAAGGTTTGAACCTGGTTTGAGCCAGCACAATCACAGACATACCCAACCCTCTCGAAGTTCATACCACCATCAATCTGTCTTACCACCAGCAAGAGCGGAGACCATTTTGGCATGTCTCGGCGACCCGGAACCTCTGGCAACTGCTTCTCCTTGAGCAATATACACCAAAACACTTTATCCGTTGTTACCAAACCGCTATCGTCGGGAGAAAAGACGTAGCAGATCCTGACCTCTCCTTGCCGCGAAAAGAGCTTGCCATTATTTCCCATTTCGTGGTCTTTATCGATCTGGAGCTCTATCATTCTTCCCTCCAAGGAGATGTAACCCCCTTTAACTTGCCCATAAACATCATCAGATAGACATTCGATACCATAATCCAGAACCCGGACGTCCCAAACGAGCTTGCGCTCACTAAAATAATCGAACCAATCGTAATCCACCCAGCTGTTTTGAGACGCCCAGGACCAACTCGGGGCCTTATATGGCGTCACTTTGAAGCTCTGTATCATACCGCTTGCCCGCCAGCAAAGCCTGCAAGGAAGATTACCGCTCCATAGGCCAGCAAGGTAGCGATCTTTTGTGCGAGACCCAAATCGAGCTGCCAGGCCTGAGATTGGTGGTAATTGTCCTTTGCGAGGCTGAGTTCCCTTCTGGAGTATGAGATTACCATACCATGCCACAACTTCATTGCTTCGATCCACAGATCTCTGGTGAAATCTTCTCGTCGCAGTTGAGAGGTGAACTTTAGTTTTGGGTTGCTGTCTAATATCCTTCGTTGGATACCAAGGTCCGGGGTCGTCTCGAGGCGACGAGTTTCTCGACATTCAAATGTGACTTGGGATTGACCAAAACTAAGAGTCCGTGGAGCCAGAATTTCCTCTTGGTAGCACCAAGCTCTACGCGACAGCGTGTTTCTCCCCAAAGAAGAGGAGTCACTGTCAGCTCTGGGTCGAATCCAGATAGCATTGGAAGGTGACGGATGTTTCTCACCCACTTGGTACATGTGGGGGACTTGAATGGATATTGGTCGGGTATTTAAAAACAACTCATAACCGTTCGCAGCAGACGTTGCTGCAATATTGAGTATGGCGTTCCTGTAGACAGAGCACATTTTTGCCGACTCTCGAGTCTGGTCCGAAGGTGAGTCTTGAATGATACAGAGAGAGTCGATCCAAAGGTATTGGAGACCGAGACTTCGCGTCACGTTGATGGCATCTCTAAAAGTCTGGTTCAAGGAAGAGAGGGGGATTGATCGCTTCCGATAGTTCAAAGTATTCATGGTGGTTTGATTGTGTTGGGTCCCGCCCCAACAATGACTTAAAGTTGCGTAACGTAAGGATGTAGGAGCCTCTTCTGTTTGACCGGTTTGAGGGTTGGTTTCCTTATGAGAATCTGGGGGGATGCCAAGTAGCCGATCAAATGGCAATTCTCCAGCCTCTACGAAAGACAGCTCTTTCAAGTCATCCTTGGGACCAACATCAATGTGTCTGGTTGGTGAATACCCACCCATCAAGGTATGCCTACATTCCTCGTGAGAGTCCAAACACTCTTGCACCCACCTCTCCATGATCTTGCCCGTACTTTCGGACAGTGTATAATCACCCAAGTGCTGGCGGCTTATCCATATTCCCGTGATTGCTCTCTCCGCATCAAATGCCTCCGGTAGATCGGGATCCCCAAATTCGTACAATTCAAATTGCGTGCGCAAATTCCAGTCTTCACCACTACAACAAAATCCCCAGCAACAGTCGCTATCCAAGCTCAGTTTGAAAACAAATGGTCTAAATTCTGAACCCTCCTCGTCATATTGCAGCAGAGATTTCTTTCTTTGCCACGTACTAGTGATCATTTTACACAACGAGCATCCATCGTTGGACGCCCTACATAAATCGGCAGGAGTCTTGTGGTGGGAGAACCTCAGGTCCGGGATTTTCAGGTACTTACCGACCCCAAACTTACGAGGGTGGCTGAAGTCCTCTGCCACTGATAGAATAAAGGCCTCTTGCACATTGAGCCAAGTACCGAAAGACTGACAGGAATTGCAATACGAGATATCGCAACAATCGGGAAGAACTTGGGATTGGCAGGACGAATGATCTGTGCTGGATGTACTCGTGAGCCAACCCTCGCGACCCTTTGAGATTCCTCCCTTCGCTCATCGGTAGCTGCAACTCCAGAGTCCCACAAACTTAGCGAGCTGGCTCGATCCAGCAGAGGAATTGGCTGCGAGTGTCATGTTGATTCTGCGAGTGCGATGCGATATGTGCTTCGTGATCTAAAGTGTTCGGCGAGGCAGCTTCGGGCGCCGCCGGGAAAGAAGGGACTCCAGGCCTGCACCACTGGAGAAACTTCTAGCTTTATCTCAAGAAAGGGTTGCCCTTAACTTAAAGGGCCTTGAAGATTCATTTCGGTTCTCATGTCTCGATGCCTAGAGTACCCTGGCTCAAAATGTGATCTACAACTTGACTACCCCCAAAAAGCGCCACATCCGTGGCATTCAAAGCGAAGTGAAGGGCGAGTAGGAGGGGCAACGCTTCCATTACACCACAGCCTCGCGTGCTCCCCACTCGGAAGGCTTTCAGGGAGAGCTTGAAAATTCAGGGGACGAATGTTTCCATGTTTATGGTACAATATCACTTCTGTAAATGTGATATTAACTGTATTGTGAATATTGAAAAGGACGAGGCTACGTCAGGCCGCAAGATACAGCCGCTTCATTTGTTCTTTCCACTCGGAAGGTCTGCTGAGTTGCAGGGTGGTGGCTTTCTTTGTAGCCGCGAGGCTCTTTCCCTTCGCCGCCGGAAAAAGTCGTTATCCCGCAGCAAAAGATGTGATATTAGAATATCATTGGTTCGTGCCCAAATATGAACATAGAGAACACAACTCTCCTCTAGTCCTTCACCCATCAGAACGCCGTAACATCCCAAGACCGTTTGCTCCCTCAACTCATAGCGGAGCAATTAACCCACCGAGCCATCAAGACAACCCAATCAGGCAATCGGAGCGCCCATGTCCTCCATCTCCTTAACATACTTCTCCCAGTTCTCAATTGTCGCCCCATAAAACTCCACATGCGCATCCGCCAACGCCCCAAACTGGCTCTTGAACTCAATCCTCTTGATGCGCTCGAAATCCTGCACTTCCTTCACAACCTCCTCATCGAAGGCCTCAGTAGTCTTCTTCGCCTCTTCGACTTCGCGAGTCAGTTCTTCTATTCTGAGTTCGAGACGTCGGAGACGTTCGCGGCGGGATTGTTCGTGGTCGACGCCTCGCACGTCTTCGATCTTGCTCCGAATGAAGCCGCTTGGCCCTGTGAGGCCGCCTGCGCCATGGGTTGCGGCTAGGACATCTCTGTCGGAAGTCGATTTGGTGAGGTATTCGGTGAGTTGTTCGAAATCGAGTTGTTTCTGCTCTCGGGCTTTGAGGAGGTTCTTGACTGCTGCGCTGTATGCCTGCATATCTCGTAGACTGCCGAGGTAATCCTGATCTGTGTGCTCCTTCAACGTCTTCATTCCTGCGGAGGTATCTTCCACGCTGGCTGCGAAGGCGTGAACTGATTGCTCAACCCCTTGCTCCATGGTAATCAACTTTTGGAATTGCTCTGCGAGATCTTTGTAGTCTGTCTCCAGATCTCCTTCTCGTCGGGCTACCCGAGCCACAATCTTCTCTACATGGCCAAGATCCTCATCAAGCTTATCTGACTTCTCCCGGACTTCAATGAAACGCTTGTCTGGCTTGTGTACTTTCGTAAATGCGTTTATGAATGTATCTGTGAAGTTGTCGAAGACGCCTACTGGTCCTTGCTCCGAAGCTGATAAACCTCTCTGCTGGCGTGTTTTCATTGTTGCATTCCAGTCCACACTTTCGAGGAAGATGGTGAGGAGAGCAGCTCTCCGAAGAACGGGATGGAGCGCTAGTCGTGTAAGAAATCGTTGAAGGGAGTTGGCTCGACGGTTCATAAAATCGGGTCCGAATCGATCGCCCCGGACATATTCCATCTTGTGCTTGTCGGGTAGGGGAGGAACGGCACTCGCTGGATATTCTTTGCATAAGCACTTCCACAAGAAAACGAAATCCGTAAATCGCCGGCGAACAGTCGTAGTTGGCTTCTGGAAGGTGGGGAAATTCGTCTGTCCATCTTGTCAGTGATGGCCTCAATCTTTCCACAGAGGACAAACGTATGTAGTAACCAAGTAGGATACATAAGCGTCCTTTGACCCATCATTTTCCTTATTGGGACTTGAGACTGTGCATTCGAGAACCCCCCCCTCTACTCCAGCAAGATCCATCGGATCAGCATTGCGCCCGAGTTGCCCTCCGCTCTCACGTCTCTTCCCATTTGGGTTCCCTGGCCCAATATTGTCACTTTCGTCTCTAGGGCTTGTAGAAAAAGGTGCAGCCCCTCGACCGGCTGGATTGTTCTGCCATGAGATGTTTGCGAAGTCGTCGCGCTCCATCTTGGCGATCGCTCTGCGGGGCAGCTGGAGTTGGTTGGAAGCCTTCCTTGGGATGTTGTAAGTCTATGGGGTAGGGGAATTGTCGATGGAGCCGTTTATGAGGCTCTAGGTGCCATTATTCATAGGAAATTTAAGAAGCAAACAAGGTGCTGCAGTCTTGGTGAATGCATGCTCCAGATGCGAGATGGGGCGGCGTCATTGTCGGCTTGCACCTGCAGTACGGAAATCCATTCAGGCAACCACGTTGTTTGTCGAATGACCGTTGTTCGCTTGGTGGCTTTTGGCCAGCGGATTGTCTCACAATTTCTCAGGTCTCTGAGATCACAATTCACTCTCTGTCAAGGAACACTCCATATGTTTGATCTTGAGTTGAATCTTTTACATTGCTGAACTTAAACGCCCAGCCATTCTAGCGAGGTTCTCTATGATTCGTCCTGTCCCTTTATATATCCACATTCCATGCATTTGACCCAGTCCCAGAATGCTTTAATACAACAAAAGAAATGTGCGATTTGACGCATCCCGATTATCGGATTAAGATGGCTTCTTGTCAGAACTTAAAGCCTCCATCTTCTTGACCTCAGCTGGTTCCTTCTCACCTTCGACAGCTTCGCTGGCTTGGTCATTGTCAACGTTCTGGGCCTCTGCCTCCATTCTGCGTTCCTCTTTCTCATCAATATCTTCATCATCACGAGGAGTGGCTCTCCCAGACTCCTTGTTTTCCTCATCCTGCTCATTCTCTTCTTCAATGAGATCTTGTTGCTCCTTGAGAACCTCAAGACGCTGCTTGTTGGTAGCTGCACCCTCTGCATTATGGACTTCCAGTTCAATTTCGTGGAACAACTCCTCAGGGATAGATGACAATACACCAGTAAGCGCGTCAATCTGGGAGTGGAACTCGGAGTCGCCCTTGCCTTGAGAATACATGAAAGCATTGCTCAAAACCAAAAGTGTAGATGGTACTCCATGCTTGAGTCGTAGGTCCAACCAAGATTGAAGATCATCCCGTAGTTGGCCAGGAGATACCCCGTGGGTTCGAAGTCCACGGCTCATGCAGGCAATTTGTAGTTCTGGGACTGACAAACTGTCGACACCTTCGTAGCTGATTGCGCGGTCATCCCTCTTGATCTGCCTCATACGATGGCGAATTTGATATCGGAGCATCATATCCGTGCCGAAAGTGTTGAGGTTCATGTATCTACACATACCAACAAGCTGAGGTCGAGACAGATTGTCTAAAGTTAAATCATCCTTGAAAATCTTGCAGACTTTGATGACTTCCTCTGGTGTCGGTGATTCTCCAGTTGCACGGACTTTCCTGAAGAATTGTGTGAACTCCTCCTTCTGTGCATTTGCTGGGGTCAATGGCAACCCAGTTTCCTTCAAAGTGTTCTGAAGGAAATTGCTGACTTCTTTTCGGGTGGCTCGAAGACTGGTGGCCTTCTTGTCTTTTGATGTCTGACCTTCGTAGGTGCTAGGAAGAAGATTGGGGAACAACTTCAAGGCGACTGGAAGCAAAAGCTCAGCGAATGGTACCAAGACGAAGACCGAAAATGGAACTAATCGGGCAATATCCTGAACCGTTCTTTGTAACTGTCTGTGTTCTCTCCGACTGAGTTCGTATCCAGCGGCCATTTTCAAGGCCAATCGCGTACTAATCTTGACCTCAGTTGCCAGCAACTTTGTTCCATCCCAGTAATGTTGTGCCTCCCGTTTGACCTTCTGCATCAACGTCAACTTCTTTTCTTCTTTCTTGCCATCCTTCTGCTCGACGGCCGTTGCCTTCTTCCCTGCTAACTCCGACAACGTCAGAGCCTCAGTGGCATCGGTTTTCGGGACAGCAGTAGCCGTATTCGCCGGAATCGGATCTATCTCATGCTTTTCCGCCTGTTTTGCAGCGGCTTTCGAGGCCGCATTTGAAGCAATCTCAATGTCCTTGAGTGGCTTCTTTGCCTGCTCAGCGTTGAATCCTGGCGGCGGACCAGCCGGAGGTCCTCCACTGGTATGTGTATCCGTCGATACTCCACGGCGAGGGATCAAAATGGCCAGCGCTGGCATCTGGGATGGGAGATTTCGAGCATTGCGACGCAGGAATGCTGTGTATGCAGAGGATGGACCGGATCGAGGAAACGCGCGTGCTGTACCTCATCAGTTTACAACATTCTCCTAGAGAGACTCTCAACAAGATATTCCGCCTTACCTCCGGTCATGAAGGATGCTTGGGCCGCATTGCGGACGACGATTCTGGAAGAGGCGCTCATCGTTGACAGTGAAGTGTCGTCAACCAGGGGTTGAATAGGGCCGGCCTAGAGTCGCAAAGGTTCGCAGCAGATTGTGGTGGTTTAATGTTGATAGAAAGGTCCGACTGGGAGCATCATAGTGATGGATTTTGCAGAGGGGTGCTTACAGACCCGAAATATGGATCTTCGAACATGTGTTTGGCTGCCAATCGATTTCGGGCGGAGTTGGGGTTTTGCCTCCGAGGCACGTGATGGAAATGGAAATGCAGCCAGAACGTCATTCCACCGTTTTGAAAATGTTGAACAACGAGTTCAGGGCCATTTGAGTTTGAGTTCTCTCTAGTTATGTCTTGACCGCCTTACTCCTTTTTCGAAGCTGTTCCTTTTTGGATTCCCAAAAAAGACATTCAGGTACAACAGGGGTCTCCGGAGTCCGGACGCTCGGGGATCTCCACTCCTCAACGCGCGGTCAAGGCGCCATAAGCCCAGCCCGCTTCTCAACAGCTCGGTTGCAGGCGTCATTAATCACTATCCCCCGCTTTCTGCCATTTGATATCGCACCACAACTCCTGCAACGTCTCCTGTTTCCTCCCTCCCATCTGTCCCTCCCTCCCTCTTTCCTTCATCATCATTCTCTGGAAGAGTCATTCACTATGGATATTCTCTAGCGCACTTGAGAATAGCTGATTTAGCTTGATTGTCAACAGCATTTGCCTGCCGGGAGCAGGATATTCGACTGCGCTCCGCGCGACTAAACTCCGGACAAAGGGGATCGAGATAGGCAGCACGACACCATCTTTGCTTGTACGATTATATTGGGTTATCATCCAGGAAAGCAAAATGAGGTTATCAAAAGCAGCGCGTATTATTTTGGTCGGCGCACCCGGCGTTGGGAAGGGCACACAAGCAGAACGGCTCCTTCAGCGATTTCCCCAACTCTCCGCAATTAGTTCCGGAGATCTGCTCCGCGATAATGTCAAGAACCAAACTCCGCTCGGTATTCACTTCTTTCTCTTCTACTAAGGTCAAGCAGCTAATTCGATTCACAGGTATCAAAGCCGAAAGCACAATGAGGTCCGGCGCTCTTGTCCCAGACGCCATGATTCTTCGATTGATCCTCCACGAACTCAAGACCCGAGGTTGGCTCTTCCCACCCGGTGGCCCTACGCCAATGACACTCTCTTCAGCATCCATGTATGCGGCTCAAGAAGACTTTGATACTGATTCCTTCGTTGAGCAACCATCTCTTGCATACATGAGCGCCCCACCACAAACGTCCGATGACCCTTCAGCATCCTTTATCCTTGATGGGTTCCCTCGAACAGCGGGCCAAGCTTCGCAACTCGATAATCTGATTCCTATCAACTTGGTTGTTTCTCTGAAGACTCCGTTTGAGGTTATATTGGAAAGAATTGCAGGAAGATGGGTCCACGCTCCTTCAGGACGGGTTTACAACACCACCTTCAACGCGCCCAAAGTGCCCGGCAAGGACGATGTCACCGGCGAGCCATTGACGAAGCGGTCTGATGACGATGAGCAGACATGGAAGACGAGGTTAAGGAAGTTCGAGGAGACCAGTGAGCCTCTGCTTGAGCATTATGACCGGAAAGGCGTTCTATGGACTGTCGAGGGGAACAGCAGCGATGAGATTAGCCCCAAGCTGTATGATGAGTTTGAAAGACGGTTTGCTACTGGTGCTTAGAGGATAGAGAGCGATTGATGGGCTTGGCGTTGATTTTGGGAATTGGATTCGGACAGCGGTGATCTTGTAGCATATTTGTAATTTTGATTATGATCTTCATCTTCAACTCTACCATTGTTTCATTATGAAAGGCTAGGAGATGCTTTCTATATTTACACTACTCTGTACGGCCAAGTGAATGTCGGCTCAGCCAATCGAATGATTTGATAAAGACCATTGGTCAATGTAGTTCCATTGTTCAAGACGTACAAACCAAAGCCAGTGCTTCTATAATCCATTATGTTCTAGAGTATTCAAAGCTTTTAGTACCTTCACAACTCTTGCAACCTACAAATCTTTGGGGCATTAAGGTATCTCTTAGTCGCTCTCCTTTCGTTCTACTGACGCTGGGACTGTGTGGCGTCGAAAATTCCAGGCTACTTCGAGTCTAATTCCAAGCTCGTCAAGCACTGATTCAACTCCTCTTAATCAGCCTAGCCTACATAAGGATTACACAGTGGGTTAGCAGTATTTTGGCATTGCGCCGCCGCGCTGCCATACAATCTAGTCGAGGTATCATAATCGGGAACAGTTCCCAAGGCGTCTTATCTGGTGTCGTCCGTAATGATGCTGCATTGCCTGGTGCTGATCTGGTAATGGATCGCTGCGCAGTTGAAGATGTTGTCGCAGTAGTTGAGGCAGCCGTCGAAATCGGTGCTTGGGATAATCTCCTATAGTCCGTAGAAGTTTACGTACGGACTGCAGCAGGCAATGCTCTAGTGGCGACCGCAATAAACGTTGTATGGCCCGGAGTTTGCGGAGCCGCAGGGGATGGCACATGCTTCCGGTTAGTCGTGATACACCGAAATCTGGGCCGAAAATCAAACCCCCATTACTTTCTTTAACAGCCAGCACACTTAGGTTCCCTTAAAAAATAACATCAATCAATGTGCATTCCATGGGATTACCCTCGATAAAATTGTAAAAACTTGATTGTCATTGCTATGGAAGTTAATATACAAACATTGATTTTCGGTCCGGATTTCGGTGTATCACGACTAACCGGAGGCGCGTGCCTAGATTTCTGCCCAAGGATTTATAGTCGCTACAGTACTGTAGGGCCTCCGCGTCTCTTCTTTCCTCAAATTATCCTTCTCTGGTAACACAGCGGTCTCGGTCAATTGACTATATTACCTTTGATCCGTGATGATTTACCGATGAACAAGCAGCATTTTCTAGATATAGAAGAGTTCTAGACCTCTGTATCGTATGCTAGCTTTTTCCTTGCGCCCTTCCGACTCCCATAAAGCTTGACCGCCAAAAATACCAGTAAAGTCACAAATATTACAGGTACAAGCGCAACAAAACAGACCCAGATATTCAGACCAGAACCGTTGATCTGTTGAATATTCATCCCAAATATACCCGTGACGAATGACAGAGGCACATAAATAAATGCCAGAAACGTGAGCTGACTCCCTCGCCGGGCTTGATCGATGCTCAGACTAGACTGTTCGATGCTCAATCGACTGTCTTGTACGCTGACAGAGCTCATGAATAGCTGGAATGTCTCCATTAGGAAAGCTTCGAGCTTCGTAGCTTCCTCGATCAGGCGTTTCCAGTTGTCGATTCGGATTCGTGACGACGAAGTCCACAGTGGATGTGTTGCAAAATACTCCTTCACTGTTGCCGGAATATACATTTCCGTCTCAATTAATCCTGCCTTGATGTGGGCAAGGTCTTCTCGTCTGTCATGCAACTCCGAGTTGATCTCCAGTTTAGGATTCCGGATCTCCCTAAAACTGATCCGCTTGATTTCCTTGTCAAGATATCTCAAGTTTTCTTCCCACAGACAGCTTACTAAAAGGTATATCAAGGGATGACAAGGGAGAACATCCTGACTGGCATTAATCTTGTAATGACCTTTCCTGTGCTCTCTGTAGTCAAAGAGAACCCTAAGGTGCCAACTATGCTGGCAGAAAGTCTTGAGATTTTCAAATACACTGTATTGGTTCTGAGAGACATGATACAGCTGCGGCATCTCGACCCCTCCTACTGGTTGAATTCATGAATCTCAAAGTAGGAAGTGATCGTGAATGAGTCTCGAGAATATTGGAAGGGAATTTGATCGGTGCATCAACAAGAAACAAATCTGAACAAGGATGCTTATTAAGGGAGATCTGCCGTGTCTGGAGGGGAATTACTTACACATCGACATAGTAGGCTGACAATAAGAAATCCGAGTATTCGATTGCATTGGCCATTTCTTGTCCTTGAAGCAGTGGCGATAGATGAAGTTCGGAGAAGAGTTCAGTTTCTCAAATGCTGAAGGTTCAAGGCCTGGGATCTCGTTGTGATATTCGAATACGCCATCCAAGTGCCCAGAACTATCTTTTAGAAAACATGGTGCTCTGGATGCCAATAAATCCTTTGGGGCAGAGGACTCATCATCACCTTCAGATGATGAGTGGTCTGGCGGGGGCCAATCCCACTTCTTCGACCACCATAGTTTGTCCTTGTCCGGATTTGTGGCATGCTCAATAAAGAACATTGGGTCAATCCCCCATTCTGTACCAAGCGCTTCAACATATTCCGTAGATATATTCTCGATAATGCAAATACTCGGCTTACGACTTTCTTTCAAGCCTGCTGATTGTGCAATAAGGTCTTCCGGGCTAGTGATCGGGTAGTTTTCAAGAGTGTTTGTGTATGCAACTTGAGTCAGACATGATCCTTTAGACTCAAGTGACCATTTGATGTGAGGGTGTTCGGCCAGGAGGCTCTTGATTCTGGAAATGTATGTTTCATGGACTTGTTTCTTATGTGAGAAAGTAGGAGCCGGCTGCAGATTGGTCGCTGAGTCCATCGCCATCGTCTAAATCTTGAGAACTGCAAATGATTGTGGGGTTGTTGCTTGAAGACACTTTGAGACTTGGGAAATTAGAATAAGCGTCAAGTAATAACAAACCTTATTCGCAATCCTGAGGTGAAGAATTATGAAGGCACGGTAAGTGTGCGGCTGAGATGTGCTGTCAATTGCCATACACGTGATTCTCCCCTTTTGGTTAGCTCAGCTGAAGAGGCATAAACCCTCCGCTGAACCGCACTTCTTGTACTTTAGACATCTCAATTTACATCAACTTTACCCTCATATTTTGAAGCCTAATTACATGCCAAATACTGCCTTGTTCATGCAATTGTCATGTGCTGCCTAAGTAGCCAAAATCAGGAGTCAGGATAAGACCAGCGAAGTGAAGGTGGGCACGGGTGGGTGCCTAATGAGCCCGGTTCATTAGTGTGTGCGCACAGGGCGCATTTTCCTAATCGATAGGCTCTTAACAAAACACTACCGCTTACTTCGTATGCCTCTCAATACTGTAAGTCCTCAGGCAGAAGTCTACACTGACTGTGCAGCAAGGTTGCTCACTAACGCAGGTATCTAGGAATAGGCTAGCCATAAACGGTTGGTGTCGCAAAAAATGTGGGTCGAAAAAATATTAATGAGAGTTCAAAACTGAAGTCGATTTCGAACTTTACTGTACGGTGCTTACTATTTAGGTGGTTAGTTAGCCGATGGTGGTGGTGACCTCGATGGTGAGGGTTGTGTATGCTGTTAATTTGCTGGCCGCCGACACGGTTTACTCTGTTATAGTGATGCTAACTGCTTCTATAGTCACCGTTGAAGAGACACAAACGATAGAAGAGGTGATGGTAACGGTAACTGTTGAGGGGGACGGCGTGACGGTGTATTCGGGGAAAGAAGAGAAGTCAGCTTTGTGCGATGACACTGTTGCTGTACCAGCGCCAGTCCCAGTTATGGCACGTAGACAATTGTCCTCTATCTGTCTTCTCTTTTCCGGTCCTGGGAGAGCTTTTGTACGTACCGCATTGCACACCGGAACAGTCATAGCAGACACAGAGGCCCCGGTGAGGGTCTAAACAGCGGCCGCGAGCCTCATTGTACAGTAGAGGTGAAACAACTGGTGGTTGGTACAAGAGTATACTTCATTACTTTCCGCTCCCAGAACATTCGCGAGATTATGTTTTTATAACTTTTATTTTGGTCGGACCCAGGAACGACTAGGCGCAGCGTTTACAGTCATTTGTTTGGAGTAGAGACTGGGCAAATTGAGATGCTTTCTAGTGCTGAGATCTCCTTTACCTCGCTCAATCGCCTTCGGCTCTCGTGACAAGCTTGAATGTCAATTATTCGGGTTTGATACTCGCCCAAATTGGATCACTCCCCCTATTATTGGAAGGTCTATGCCACGTTCGGTGTCGACTAACGAAACGCGGTACTCGCCTATTCCACGGTCTGGGAACTATTGTGGGTGGGGACTAGAAGCTAGAATCCTTACCCTGCCTTTCAGCTGCACCAAACATGATCCTTTGGGTCTCCTATCTCGTAATAAGTTGCAAGATTACTTGAGAATGCACGCGAAGCGCCTTCGATATCAAATTGTGCCACATGTAGGTTGGTATGCTCCCTTCGGCTCGCGCAGGCTCCGGTAGGCCAGCCCCTGAAATAAGCGAGAGCTGATGAGGTCGAAGGTGTGCGAGGAGCTTCTTCTAAGTGGGAAGGTATTGTAATATAGGCCCGAGCACAGCACTAATTAGTCAGCTCTCCTTTTCTTAGATCCAGAGGCTCTCTACGAGCTTCTAATCAGACAACCATTTATGCAAATCACTGTTCCTTACTCTCTGCAATAGAAGGGATGCTTGGTAAAAGTGCAATATGTTCGAGCGAAGGCGTTGGTTCTGCGAAATGGGACTCTTTGGGTTGAGGTGATTAAATGCGCAGTTGAGAAACGGCGGATTTGAAAGCCCAAGAGGATCATACTTCCTTCCTCTTTAATGGGTTATCGTATTCCCACTTGGTACATGCTGGGTGGTGAAGTGAAGAGGTAGCTAGGATTTCAATGTACCGAAGAAAGTGGTAGAATGAAACTCTTCACTTGCTCATAATCAGAGATTCAATACCATGGCAATGGTCAAGTAACTAATACAGAATCTTCGATGCAAATGCTCCTATTTAAACGCCTAGTCACTAATCCAATCCCAAATGGCGTTCTTCCCAAGGGCTTATACACAGCCGCCTACTTCTGCAATAACTTCCGTTCCGCCTGCGAGGTCTTCTCCTTGCCGGCCTCTTCTTCATCTTCATCGTCCCCGATCACATGCCTCCCCTCATCGTCACTGTCCTCATAGAGCCTCTTCTCCTGCTCATCACCACCCTCGATACCGTCTACATACTCTCCCTCACTCTCGTCTTCGCTGCCTGCTGCGAAAGCATCGTACAGCTCGCCTGCTCTTCGCTTGCCTCCCTTCTTGCCACCAACTTTGCCGCCGCCGTTCAGGCCGTCTGCTTCGTCTTCCTCGAGCAAGTCGAACTCCCATTCATCTCTGGGGTTGTTGCGTAGTCTCTTGCGACGGGCGATCCAAAGGTAGATGCCTATGGCGGCCCCGAATATTGCTATAAGAGCTGCGGAGCCATAGATCCAGATTTGGGTCTTGGGTGAGGCCCCAAATGTTGGGAACAAGGATGGCAGCCAGCTGGAAGAGCTGGTCGTTGCAGCGGGGTTACCGGTAGAGGTAGGAGTATTTTCGTCCTCGGTTGTGCCCGAAGGCTTTGAGTTCACAGGTCTGTCTGGGTGGTCCGTAGGATTTGCCATTAGGTTGGTCTGGGTACTGACAGGAGCCAGTGTTGTAGTAGTCCCTACGATGGTGGTGGTGGAGATGACTTGATCGTGGTTGTCATCATCATGTTCGGAAGGCATTGGGAGGGGAGTTGCTTTGGAGGCGTCGATGGCTTCACCCCAAAGTTTGAGATGCCAGTCAACGAAGGTGCCATTGAATTCGTTAACAATAGTGTCTTTGACAACAATGGTCCATGTACCGATTCCAGATTCACCCCTATGAAGTGTTAGTTGCAGCAAAAGTTGAAATCTCGAATGACTTACCAATGAACAACCGACATGAACGTCCAGTCATCATAGCCTTCAGCAGCGGTATCCAGTTTACGCGTTGCAGAGAGGTGGCTGACGACTTTGTCGGGACTGACAAGATCGACACTTAGATCTCCTCTTCTCGTGTGCGCCACATTCATCGTGACAGTGACATGTTCAAGGCGTTCGAGATTTGCTGCTTGTAGCATTTCGGGAAGAACTTCAAAAGATACTGCCAACCCTTCTAGTCCTTGTGGGATCGCCTGGTTGACGTGAATCCATGGAGAGTAATACCAAGCTTGTGGCTTGACATTCTTGAATGTCTTGGCAGCTTCAATTGTTGCCCAGCTATCGATTTTGCCATATCCAAAAGTATGGCTATACTTCAGTCCAATACTGGTATCTTGCCAGTCTCCTGTCTCCAAATTGACAGGCAGAGCAGTTTGCATAACTAAATATTGCATGTCTCTCCACGTCAAATCCGGCCGGATTTGTAATACCAGGGCGAAGATACCAGCTGCTAAAGGTGCAGCTGCTGAAGTGCCGCCATGTCCACTGTAGCATGCATTGGCACCGACATCAGTGGTGTGCTAAAGAGCTGTTAGATGAAACCAAATGTATATGAGGCTTCGACTTACGATAGCGTCTCCACTTCCACTGCTGTAGGTTACGACTAACTGTGCGGAGCACTTCTCGGAATAGTATGGGTGAAGGCCTTTTCGGTCAATAGCACCAACGGTAATGCTATAAATACTGTTCGTGTACCCATCGAAATTGCAGTTGTCCTCGTTGCTGGCGCCATTTCCAGACGCAAAAACGTAGATGGACCCTTTTCCTGCTCTCCCATTCTGGACAGCGTTGAGCATTGCTCGCTTGATGAGTATACCAGGGGCGTCCATAGATCTTCCATCATCTGGAGGGCCCCAAGAGCAGGAATAAATTTGATTATGCTGGAATGCGTAGTTCATCGCCACAGCTTCATCCGCATCACTGATCATCTTGGAGAGAATCCGAATGCCTGCGATTTTCGAGTTCCAAGCAACGCCAACCCCGCAGACATTGTTCTTCACCGCGGAAACCTCGCCAGCACAACGTGTGCCGTGCCTGTCGTCTGCTAACCGGGGCTTCGGCTCCAGAACATTGTCGTTGAAGTCGTACGACCCCTCTGCAAAATAGTTGTCTTTCAAGTCGTCGCTATACATGTCCAACCCATCGTCGACTATCGCCACAGTTGCGTTGTGTCCTGTGATGCCCTGCATCCACACATCCGTTACGTTGACATCATGACCGACTTGCACCGGGTTGAGGAGATGCCATTGTTCGTGGAATATAGGATCCTGTATCCCCAGAGCTGCCGCAACGGCAGCTTGCTTTGCAAGGACAGCCTCCGCCGGTGATTCCTGTCGCTCTTCAATCGGCGCAGCATATCCCGCAGGTGGCGGAGGTAGCGGTCCCCTCTTCTCCATTCGAGCCTTTATCTTCTGTTTTTGTGCAAACTTGACTCCATCGAGGATGTCTGATCCACCAATGGATCGTTTTCGCCGCCTCCGCTCTTTCAGTGCTGTATGTACAAGATCCCCTTCCTGCTTATGACATGAGAATATGTGATGATCTTGTAATTCCCCAAGCTTGCCCTCGTACGTGAAGCCTAGCTGGAGGGCTACCTGCGAAGGTGGAGTAGTCGAGTCGAGATGGAGAACATAGTAATCTTGAGCGTCGTAATCCCGAGTTCGAAGATTCGAGGCAGATGCCAGGTAACCCAGACCGATGAGGCCCAGAACAGAATGTAATCTCATGGCGCGACGACGAGCACCAAAGAAGTGTGGAGAATCAGGGTCCAAGGAGAACCTCGAAGGTGCCGAAGGAGGTTTTTAATAGCGAGGTGTCGAGGTTTGCGCATGGATGGCGGGCGGTTTCAATACGGTGAACCGGGGAAATCACCAAAACGGGTGCCTTCTAAGGTAATGAATTAGGAAGCTGGTACAGCGGGCTGTGCCACATCGCCCGTTGGCTGCAGAATTGAGAAAAGAGTGAAGCTGGCAGATTTGAGGAGATGTAACAAGTACCGTGTCGAGGATGTTCAATTTTTCGATGTTTGGGGTGGATGGAGGGTGGATGGATGCTGGACGCCCAAGCTGAGTGGCCTTGGCGGTTTCACGAGTGCATTCGACGCTCCCGAAACAAAGCGGCCAAGACGCTCGGAATAGCTGCACAGCCACAGAAGCCACAAAGAGAAACTCCTTCAGCTAATCCTTGCACAGCTTTGCTTTTCTTGTTTTATTGCTTTCCGTACGTCGACTAGCCTGGTGAGCCAGACGAGCGTGCCAGCGCACAGACGCCGCCGCAAATACCAGCCTCATATAATTTTCTGGGGGAACCAAGCTTGACCAACCTCCTAATATTGCAAGAGGCACTGGATCTCTGCACTTGTTGCAGCCCCAACTTTCTGGGTTTGCTCTCCACTCTACCATGAGCTCATCATGCATCTGCGAGGTCGAATTCCCAACTATTCGCTGTGAATCGTCTTCCTTCCGTCCCGGCGCAATAGCAACGAAAGTGTGATGATCCATGACATTAGGTTACAAGTTTAACTGCTAAAACTCGACAGCAGATCCAAAAAAATCCTCCAGAATAGTTTGAACTTCACCAATTTGAAACGGTAGATTTGCGAGAGTTTCTTGAGCCTCACACTATCCAATTCCAGCCCAGACTCGAATAAGCGCCATCGTTGTCGTTCGCAACCAGCAGCTGCCAACAATGGCGGCTCCATATTGGGGGAAGCTACCACCGGCCAAAGTCACTCGAGGAAACTCACTTAGACGAGAAGATGAGCAAATGCCCAAAGGAAACAATCACCTTGCAATAGATACAAGCGTGGCCGGCGACCGTCTTTCGAATCGGTACTCTTTCCAACCGCAGACTCAATCCAGACAGAACAGGTACTCAACACATACCGACGCACCCACGCTATCTACACAAAGCCCTTTTGCTTCACCGATTGCTTCAGAGTTTCGTGGAGAAGGGCTAGCACCTCGGCCTCCATCATTTCAAAAGGGCGTCTCGGAAGCACAATACAATAGGGACTATCTTGAGAAACGGCGACGTCGAGAAAGTCGAAATAGAGACGAAGTTTATGACGAACCCTCCGCTATACCCCCACCAGCTGCGCCAGATGCACCGAGACCTCCCCCTCCAGTCAGTTACAAGCAACCGTATATCAACGGCCCCCCTTTGGCTCAGTACGCAGCCCCCACGCGAGTAAGATCCACGAGAAGGTCCGAAGGACCAGTGAGCCCTGGCAAAGCCGCACCAGAAGAATACTATCGATCACATACGAGAGAAGAACATAAATCTGTTGATGAGGAGGGTGTACTTTCTAGAAAGGTGGAACCGAGCAACGGAAAAGCTGCTGTGCGATCTAGTGGCAGTCAGAGAGAGAGGCCTGAACGTCTTGATTCCTATGATTCCCAACCGCGGAAAGGCTCTCTCTCCGAGGCGGACGCAAAACGACGTAAGCCATTCCATACTTCTTTTTGGTTTCTTCGGTCATCATCTCCATCCCTCGTTCGTTATGGGACATCTGCAAAGTTACGATATTTGAACTTGGGACGGCAGTCAGCTTCCAATGATACCAGGACTGGTTTAAATCATCACTGAAACGATAATTACTAGGAATGAAATAATCAACGCTAACTTCACCTAGGCAGAGAGTGGGCACCGGACAGGTCTCCTCTACAGAGGCTAGAGCTGACTCTTGACAGCATAACCAAAGAAGAAAAACGTGCGCGTGTCGAGGAGGCCGAGCTTCTTGCAAGGGAGGCGAAGGCAGGTCGTGGTGGTGAAAAGGCGCATCAGAACTCCGTCCGATTCAGAAATAGACCTGTAGCAAAGGCACCTGAGCCCGGTTCCCAGTCGCCACCCCAAAGTCTTCCGGAAGCAGGACTTGTCCGGAATCTAAGCACCAAACAGAAAGATCAATTGCAACGGAGTGGTACGATGGAAAAGAAACGGCCGGTCGAGTCTGATATTCCCTCATCGGGTGATGCCAGCCGAGGGTTTGACTATGAGCCAGGGGACGCGAAACCAGCAAACTTAGGGAAGGAAACTGCCATAACATCGACTCTTCAGCGTGGACCGAGCTTTCGCGATCGATCCTATCTTCCCGTGGCTGCGGGATCTGCTGTAGCTGCAAGTGCTGCACTGAGTCGCAGTGGGAGCAATAAGCTCAAGAAAGCTCCGCCTGGTGATCCATGGTTACATCGACGTATGGAGGGCGAGAAAAAGTACGCAGAGGTCACTGCACCACGGCAACCTCACCCTTCAGTCAGTGACCGTCCGCAAACATCAACTTCAATGGCTGGACCCTCACGAGACACTGCCTTCCGAAGTCACCCTCAGGTCAAGGAGAAAGAACTTCCAACAATACCGATCGAAAACGGTAAAGCTCCTCCTCATGCACGTGAGTTATTTTTTTTTCATGTCAGATCTCGAGGCGTGATCACATATTGGGAATTATCGGGTATTAGAGAATATCTCATGCTTGCTTTTGTCCCGATTATTCGCCGGAAATACATATTTCCATTTCGGGGGCATGAACTAACATTGTCATATAGTTGACTACCTCGTAGGGGACGAGTTAGAGAACAAACCCGTGCGTCGTGGAACTTTAAATAAGATTGAACAGCTTACAGGCGAAAAGCGACCTATGCAGACCTCAACATCTGCTCAGCCCGGGAAAGAAATCCGGACAGAACTTGTAACCGTCAATGGCATTCAGTATGCAGTTAACCCAACTGGAGACTCAACGCAACCAGCAGCACAACCAGCAACACGCCAGCCGCCGACCGCTCGCCATCTCCTCCCAGATCTCCTGCACCACAGACACGAACAAGCACATGGCCAGGGCGTCTACATGCCATCAAGGCGCCTTGATGAATGGAAAAAGGGTGGCGTTGCACTGCTGGCAGGGCCATTACTCGACCTTGACGTAGTTGATCAATCTGAAGCAGAAAAAGACAAAGCATGGTGGGAAGCAGGAAACACTGGAAAGAGGTAAGTCCCTACTGAGCTTAAGCCGTCTACCATTCGCTTCTTATATTCAGGTGCGGTATCTAAACCCTGTCCTAACTTATTCAGACGACGGAGCTCGACCAGTCAACGGAAAGCAGAAGCATACGATGGCGAGTACGATGATACCAGTGGTACGCCCTTCCAAAAATCTTATTCGAGCGACTGTGCAAGGTGTATCTTCGAGCGGGATCAAGCGGACAAGGCAAATCTTGACACGGTTGAGACCACTCTAGGAATTGAGGGCGGATCAGCTGGGAACTCTCCTCAAGTTGAAACGCCCGGCACCCTTAAAGCCAAAGCTTTTACTTATTTTCATTCCCCCAAATCCAATCTACCTCCTCTCAAGCCCCATTTACTGACGTGTCCACTGCGGTCTATCCGCGCTCGGCCTGATATAGCTCCCACAAGATTCAAGCCACCTTTGTTCCTCAAGAGCGGGCCACTACTGCGTTACTGTGGCTTGCGTCGAGATCGGCCTAAAAGTCGATCTGGGCGAAACCACGTGCAGCCAGAGCGAGAGATTTGGAGGGGCAGCGTCATGATTGTCACCCAGGATGCTCACTCATCATACGAACTTGCTCCCACTCTCAGACTGTTTCTCCAGCCAATGGAATTATTACCTCCTCCACCAGCGCAGGTAGATGGCGAAATTGATGAACTGGCTCCTGAGTATATCGATCCAATTGCTGGACTTCCGAAAATCGGAAGAGATGGACGAACTCTCTACATCAGACCTGTCGACCACTTAGATGAAGCAAAGGATTTGTCTCGGGAAGACTCAGCTGACGGTCTCTACGAAATCAACAGAAGTCCCGTCGATGGTGCTACTGATCGCAAGCAGACATTGCAATATGACGGGGAGAAGGCTGGAAAATACAAAGAAGTGCGCGGTTTCCGTCTCCATGCTGAACAGGGCGTCACTTTCTGGAGGTTCAACCTGGAAATTGAGCTTCGTGACCAGCAACAAAGGATCGCATATCGCATCAATCGAGGTCCAGCAACTGGCTTCTGGGTTCCTGCTCGAGATCAAGCTATGAACATCATGTTCCACAGTTGCAATGGCTTCAGCCATGATGTCGACCCCGATCTATACTGTGGGCCAGATCCGATGTGGCGCGATGTCTTGAATACGCATCAAACTCAGCCATTTCATGTGATGCTCGGTGGCGGCGACCAAATTTATATGGATCGCGTCATGGAGGACACGAAGTTGTACAAGGAGTGGGCAGAAATGCGGGACGAACACCACAAGGAGAAAGCTCCGTTTACTCCTGAACTTCAGGCAGAGCTTGAGGCATTCTACCTGAATCGCTACTGCCTGTGGTTCTCACAAGGCCTTTTCAGTATCGCCGTTTCTCAAGTTCCGATGATCAATATCTTCGATGACCACGATATCATTGACGGGTTTGGCTCTTATCCGGACCAATTGATGAGCTCACCCGTATTCTCGGGCCTAGGAGCAATCGCCTTTAAGTTTTATATGCTGTTCCAACATCAAAGTAGCATTGATGAGGGTGAAGAAACTGAACCCACTTGGGTTTTGGGAACACAACCAGGGCCTTACATTCAAGAAATGAGTCGGAGCATTTTCACCCATTTGGGTCGAAGCATCGCCTTCCTTGGTCTCGATTGCCGAACTGAACGAATGAACGATGAGATAGTCAGCGCTGAAACTTATCACAAGGTCTTCGCTCGTCTTGGGAAGGAAATTACCAAAGGCGAGACCAAACATCTCATCGTGCTAGTCGGGGTACCGGTTGCATACCCAAGAATGGTGTGGCTTGAAAACCTGTAAGCATTGTTCCCATCCAAAATAGTATCACTGACTGACATCTTGTAAAGTCTCACTTCGAGAGCCATGGAACCCATCAAAATGCTGGGCAGGGCAGGGCTTTTAGGTAAAAGCCTCCTCAATCATATGGATGGTGGTGTGGAAATCTTAGATGACCTTGATGATCACTGGACTGCAAAACACCACAAGGTGGAACGCAACTGGTTCATTCAAGAACTACAAGATCTAGCGGCCGAGAAGTCTGTTCGAGTCACAATCCTTGGGTATGTCACACCGTGCTAAATTGTCCTTTACAAGCAGCTAACTTGAATAGCGGTGATGTCCACCTCGGCGCAATTGGTCAATTCTATTCGAATCCAAAGTTGGGCCTCCCTAAAGACCGTGATTTCCGGTACATGCCCAATGTTATCTCTTCAGCAATTGTCAACGCTCCGCCGCCAGACACGCTTGCCGATCTTCTAAACAAACGGAACAAAGTCCACCATCTCGACGGCGACACGGACGAGGACATGATACCGATTTTCACTCATGATGTCAATGGAAAACCAAGAAACAACAAGCGTCTGCTTAATCGGAGAAATTGGTGCTCCATCCGACAATATAACCCGGAACTGAGTCCACCTCCTACACCGCAGACAGATGGAAGTCCCAGCCCTCCGCCCAAAGGAGGATTGTTCCGGCGTCTTTCAAAGTCTCGCGGCCCAAGTTACCGTTTTGATGCTGCACCAAGCGCACCACCTCTATCCAATCCAGGTTTCTTCGGGAGAAAAGAGTCTACTTCACGACGTGGCTCTGTCGACTCTCAACGTCCAGGGGTCCTGACAAGAACTCTATCTCTAACTCGCAAAGATTTCATGCCAGCTACACTGTTCCGTCGAAACAGCAAGCGGAGACCAGATGATGGTGGTATCAATGGGTATGGTGCCGATAGTGACGACGATATATCCCATTACCAAAACAGATCAGGAATTAGAGGAGGGAGCGGGGGCCGTGACGATGATGACGGCTACTTCCCAACTATGCCGGCACCAACCGGACGAGTAGCCGAGCATCCTGTCGAGAACGCCTCAACCTTCGTTGCTGGAACTCCGGTTCTGAAAGGGCTTGGTAGAAGCCAGTTTCATCGCACGCCTACTGGGTTGTCCCAGAAACAGTTAAGGAACGGTGACGTGCACGAGATCAACCTTGAAGGCGGATTGGATATTTGCTTGAACATGGAAGTGAGCCCTAAGGACCCCGCTGGAATCACAATGCCATATCGATTACTAGTTCCAGCACTTCGGTACGATGAGGAGGAGGAGAATTTTGATCAAGAAAAGATACATATAGGTGGTTTGAAGAGACTCTCTTCAGTGATGAGGAGGAAGAGGTTAGACAAGGGGAAGGAAAGGGCAGAACCAATGTGAACAACCTTTTGGTTGCTGGTCATTGTGAAGACTCGACGAGATGATGAGCTGAGGAAACATATGGAAAATATGAGATGATAGATGGATTGATATTACGATTCAGCGAGCGTGCTCTCAGGCATTGTTTGAATGAAAAGATACTGCGATTCAGCGAGCATTCTTTCAGGCATTGACTGGCTCTGTATGAACTATCCTTCTCCTCCTGCAGAGTATGCCCTGTTGTACAGTACTTCAGGATACGTAATTTCGTAAATTCCCACATGTTCGTTATGAGCATTCAGTGCGAGTGAGGCCCCCTACTTCGTACTTGGCTACCTATCGGGAGTATGAGGTGAGACTCTGGATGATCTGCTGTGCTCCTGAAACGACGAGCTTCCTAATTAAGACTTAGCCGGATCTTAGTGACATCCTCTCAGTTTCGCAAATACAAATACAAATCCCCCATCGCGAGTCGCGGCCCGCATTCTTTTACTTGACTTTCGGCCGGCTCATGGAGTTTGGAGCAGGGATATATTTGTCACCTTGGCGTAAATATAAAAAGAGTGCCCGCTCTTGATCGGAGAATTGATCCCCTCCGTTTGACACTCTTCACGTATATAGATAAACTTAACAAAGCCGACATAACACCCTCGTTCAACGCTAACTCGATAACTTAAGCACAAACATGGCTCCAACAATAAAAGAAGGAACCGTCCCATTCGATGTCCCAGCTGCCGGCAAGCCATGCGAAACCTGGTACAAGATCGTGGGTGAGCTCTCCTCCCCCCGTACTCCCCTCATCACGATACACGGCGGGCCGGGAATGAGCCACGACTACATGATCCAACTCTCTGAACTCAATGAACTCTATGGCACCCCAATCGTCTTTTACGATCAGATCGGCTGTGCTCGATCTACGCATCTTCGCGAGAAAGCCGGAGACGAGACTTTCTGGACCGAGCAGCTGTTCTACGATGAATTGAACAATCTCGTCTCAAAACTAGGCTTAGTGGAGAAGGGATACGATGTGCTTGGTCACAGCTGGGGCGGCATGGTAGGTTCGACGTGGGCGGGCACTAAGCCGAAAGGCCTTAGGAAATTGATTCTGAGCAATAGTCCGGCGTATATGACCGGCTGGACGGATGCGTATGCGCGGTATCTTGAAGAATTGCAGGAGCCGGAGAAAGGCATTATCAAGAAGGCGGAAGAGGAGAGGAGATTTGATGGCGAGGAGTTGGAGGAGGCGATGATGGTTTTTATGAAGAAGCATTCTGCAAGGGTCATGCCGCCGGAGTTTTTTAAGAGCTTTGAATTTGCGAAGGAGGATGATACTGTGAGTGATACGATGTGAGTATCCTTCTTTTGCGTTTTAAAGGATAAGGGAGATGGCTGATTGGTGATTAGGAGCGGAAAGAGTGAGTTTGTCGTCAGAGGTGGCTTGAGGGAATGGACCGCGGCGGAGAAGTGCAAGGGAATTGAGGTTCCAACGTTGGTCATTAATGGAGTCAATGAGGGAGCTAGTGATGAGGCTATCAAGCCGTTCTTGGACGGGATCAGGGATGTGAAATGGGTTAAGTTCCAGAACAGCACCCATATGCCGTTGTACGAGGAGAAGGAGCTGTATCTCAAGGCGGTTGGGGACTGGCTGATGGGAAAATAGAGCTGTTCGTTCGTGAGTAATGAACAATTACGAGGTGTAGAGTATCTTGCTCAAGTGGCCGCCGGAAAATAAGAATTCCAAGTGTTCCATTAAAAGATGTAGTTTCCAATCAAGGAAATGAGAATCATAAAGCCCAAATGGCAGCATCCGCTTCTCTCATAGTCCCATCAGTCTCCAATTTATTCTTTGTCAACATAGCGGACTCCTTTGCGAATTTCAACTCGGTAATGGCCGTTGAAATCTCATTAATTTGCTCTTGCAAGGGCTTCTCCCCACCACGTTGAGCGGCAATCGCATCTTTCAAATTATTGAGCCTGTCAAACAATTCAAACACCGAATCTTCAGCTAGACCCAGGAAGTAATGGTAATGAAGATGAAATGGTTCTAACACATCTGGACGGAGAAGTGGTTCAGGCTTGTTTCCTCGGAAGGTTGCGTCGACCTCCTCGAGCAATTTGCGAAATTGAAAGGGGAAACTTTTCCGGTATGCTTTCTCTATTCGCTGCGTGTCTGTCTCGAGAATCCCCAGGCTCACTCTGAGCATCTTAGCATGTGATTCGGGATAGTGCTTCTCGTTGTCGACGTCCGAGAGATAGCTTTCATACAAAATTAGGGCCTTGGCGTTGAGGGACTCCTCAGATGGAATATTGAATAGTCGAAAGAAGGGTTGGAGGATGCGAATTTTTGATAACCAGATCGTCATTGCAAGCATTTGCATTTCGGTCGTCAGGCTTTCGGTTCGACGAGCCACCAAGTCAACGGCCGATATGATCCAAAACTCGCAGTCCTCATAAGTGCCGGCAGCCATATTCATGTCGCCCTTGTAAAGCTCCACCCATTGGTGCAAGGGGACAAATGGGGAACCCGAATAGGCAGAGGTAGATTCTCCTCCGAAATTTATATCGTCGGACCTTCCTGCAGAGGACGAAGCATTCCAGAAAAATGGCATCGAGGATTTCCAAACACAGTAGTACAATGCACCGATGCAGCTGAAAGCAACCAATATCAGAAGCATTCGCTGAAAGGTTGACCCGTTCGGTAGTGCTTCAACAATTGCGTCAGAAATTCTCTTCAGACCTTCCGCGAAGGCATCTTTGAGAGCGAGCATGTCTTCATCGTCCTCGTCGGGTATCACCTGAGGATCCAACTTTCCGTGTGCTCGAAAGGTCTGCTGTAGTAGAGTTTTAAGTCGAAGTCGCAGATGCGGGTCTATCTCGGGATTCCCAGGCAACGGAATGCGTGGAAGATCCTTTATTATTACCAGAGACAATGCACGGACATCGCCTCGGTTTAGAGGACCCCCTTTAGCTAGGCGAATCTCATCAAGCATGAATCTTGAGGAATCATAAAGGTTCGTGAACTGAAGTACTGCACCGACTGGAGGAGTATAACCACCCTCGGCGTCTCGTGGAGCCTCGTAATAGCCATTCATAAGGTGGTCAAATTTGTCTTGCGAGCCTTGATTATGAAGGGAATGACCACCGTTGTTTTTGCCCCATTCGAGGTAGTTGAGAGCTGCTATCGCGACGTCGAGTTCATTGAGAACAATTTTGGCTCGAATAGGGTTCTGTAAATATCATTAGTTCGACATGGCTTGAGGCAACAACGGATGCCTGCTACGAACCTTGATCCGACACCGAGTTTTCTTTCCAACAGATGATTGGACAATAGGAGAAGATTTGGATGTATCATCTTGTGTCTTCTCGTCTTGTTGCGGCTCCAGTTTTTGGGGGTCTCCTCCGGTGACCCCACTTTCCGGCTTTTTGTCGGCTAGCCTCTCAACAGCCGGTTGCTCAACGTTAGGTGTCTTAGCTCCCGATCCACTATTTTCTGTCTTTTCTTGTGCCTTGTGATCTTCTGTATTCGTCACTTTCTCTCTCTTCGATAAGGTATCTGCTTGGACTTCCTCCCAGCTCTCAGGTGAGCCGCTATCTGCCTTGCTGTCCGCAGGCATCTTGGTTCGCACTTCATGAGCGGCCGTGTTCGAATGTCCAATGCTCTGTAAATGAGTCAACAACGATCCATCTGTAATAGGCTTAATATCCATACCCCGGCCTGGATGCCTGAAGTGCCCTCTGCTGGAATCGCTGTGTCGGGCTGACTATTATCCTTCACAAGAGATTTCCCTCTGTCACGGTACTACTTCTCCGGCATGATCGAGTGTAGATGCTGCATGGATAGCTGTGCTAAGTCCTCTGGCTGCAAATTAAGTGGTGTATAGGGCATTTATGCCGAGAATGTAGATGTCAATAAACAATTCGTCCAGGAATGTACACTACTGGGGAGAGGAAAACTTAGGAGATGCCATTGTTCAAGCCCTTGCTAAACGTTCTAGAATGTTGCAAGAGTAGTCTAGATGTTGTAGCGGTAAAGTCCATGCACGCCGGTGAATTGGATCACTCTTCTTTATTGACACTGCGAGATTATGCAGCCCCTGTCTTTGGAGCGAAGCAGCCATTACGTACCATTAAGCGAAATCTTGTAATGAGTTTCACATATTCAACATTTTTGTTGCCAAGAGATCTCCAGTCGTAAACTAAAGTTTCTAGACATACACTTTCTTCAAAATTGTTTACGTGGTGGTCTTCTACCAAAAAAGAGTGAAGTGCAAGTCTTTTTGCATCCTGAGCTTAAGCGAGAGGACTTTGTAGATATTCGAAGCAGGGCAGCTTACTGTAAACGAATCTCCATCAACTAGAAAATGCTGCTGCTCAAATACTGGCCAGAGAAGCACCTCATTCAATCGGAAGGCAGGGGAGGCAAGGTTATATTGTACACCGGAGGCGATTCACATACAGCCTCGATTACTACTTGTCAGCTGCTTATTCTGAGTGATGAAAATGAAGACACACTGGGCACAGGGCTACTCAGCCCATAACTTTAATATGGCATACGGCGAGAAGATCGGCACTCGCCAAGGAGGTGATATTTGCAACTCGATACCAGCAAACGTCTCACAAGCACGTGAGGAGATCAAGTGTGAAACCTTTGAGTAGTCCATGGAGCGCCTGACAATAATCTCACACCACGTTTGCGCTTGATTCAAACCAGAGGATAGGAATTGCCTCCCAGGAAGCACCCAGAAGCCTCTTCCATAGTGTGCTATCTGTACCTTCAAATATGCCAAAGCGAAGCGCTTAGCTCTAGCTTAATCACCATGACCACCGACGATCTGAAAAGTTTCTATCAATACCTCACCGAACCGGGTGCTCCGTAAAAGGCCTCTCTTGAAAAGTTGGTATCGCAAATAGAGCTTCCTGAGGCAGGCTCCTTGGTGGTATATGCGGAAGAAGGAAATGTTATGGGGAAGGTCCTCACGTAAAAGCGCTGCTTCTTCGTGTCTGAAGTTTTTACGGATGGCTCGCTCCTTCTTTGCAGGTGTTGCAGAGGCATGTGAATCCGAATTTCCCTCTGATATGGGCTGAGTGACATCGGCACGCGCCACACCCATAATGGATTTCCCTTCCTGCCACGATGTCGCCGATGATGTTCTTGCCCGTGTCGAACCAGCGGCCGAACCCATAGTTGATGGTGATTTCCTCTCCTGCATTGATGTTTCGGATGAGGCGGATTTTGCCATCTTGCAGTCCATGATCCCACCAGTATTCGGCGTTCGGAACACAGTCATGATTGATCAGACCGATGGTGGGAAAGCTCGCCCAGAATAGGTCTCCAAATTCGTCCATAGTTGGAAATATATTCGATAAAGCGCCTTGCTCTGGGGTCTGGTCCGCGACATCCCCTTTGTTTTCGTGAAGCCTGAAGAATTCATCACTCATCGTTGGGGGGTTTGTTAACAAGGACCAAATGTTCGCCAGGGCCATATCAGTAGGGAATCTGTGGAATGGGTGTTCGGCGATGATTCGAGTCCCTTTAGGAAGGTTTCTAATAGCGACTAGACCAGCCCCTTTCCCCTCAATGTACTGGACAGCTACGAACATCCAGAAAACTCCCTGGAGGCCCATAAAGGACGGTATGGTCATTGGAGGGTGCTTTTCTGCCGCGACACTGCAACAGGGAATCATGATAGCTTGAACAATGCTGCCCCCAAAGTTTTTGCTTGAAAGGTATGCCGATGTGTTGCTGTGTGTGTTTTGATGCAGAAAAGAAAAGCGACACAGAGACAAGTCTTCCTAATTGCTAAGTGAGAGATAACAGAAGGAGCTACTAGCCAGGAGTTTTGCAGACCTTGGCTACCATATGAGGAAGGAATGACTGAACATGGCACCTTCCGCTCTCTTCAACGCCAAGAACTCCATACCTCGCAATTTAATGCAGTAATGATAAAGAATAAGCCCAAAATGAAAGCAGGAGACTGTAACCACGGCATAAGAGTGATCCCTGTCACCAAAGCCAAGAATATTATATCATTTTCGCAAAAGCGCGATTGAAGAGTCTGCAGTGAGTCCATCTACCGTTTTTATACATAGAAACTCCCATAAACGAAAGGAAATGCCAAAAAAGTGCATAAATCGCACCTTCCTCGGAAGCCCAGAATCTAGCTCAGGTAATCCAGTCCTCGAAACAAATTCATCCACAGACAGTTCCGCCTGGAAAGTCGCTGGCTTCGATCCTTGCAACGAGGAGGGGCTGATAGTTGCTGGCCATGCTGTAGTTCCGCTGGCGCATCTAGAAGTTCTAGCAGGCCTAATCCGTTTGTAAGCCCAAGCCAACGACCTTCAGCAACGAGATGCTGAATCCAAGTTCGTTCAGCGTTGATGTGAATGTCCCGGAGTACACTCGCGCAGGCTTGGCTCCATACTTCTTCTCCAACTGAACTGCAATCTCCATAGTGATGGCTCCCAGCTCGAGTCCACTCAGACCCTCGAGATTGTTGACCAGGAGAACCAGCTCATCACCGCAGCAATTACCGAGAACGAACGGTCTTCATCGTTCCAGTCCAGAAGTTCTTATGGCATGGTTTCCACAATATCGAGCAGGCCCATCTCAAGCTTGTGAGATCCAAGAAGCTAATGTTCATCAAGTCCGGTCCCCGACCCGAAACGTTCTGTGGCTAAAAGTTCGTCTGACTGCTTGTCTTGAATTGGCTGATTCGGTATTTTGACGTGCGAGATAGCAGAGCCAACAGAGAGAACCTGATCAGCAGTCAATCCGGCAACTCGGATGTCATCATCCAAGGTTGCTCTGGGCAAGTATAGCAGGGTACTCAGACAAATGGATGATTTAAGAAATGTTACCCAGTAGCAGCAAAAGCTCCGGCAACTTTTAAAACCAACACTATGCCGGCAATTCCGCTTCCTTCATGCTTCTGTGCCCTGATTCGTCCACGGCCAACACCATCCCCGACAACCACAAGCTCTGTCCTGATCCCAGAAGTTTGAACTTTGAGATGGCCGCTTTGAAGTTGGTAACATTGCCTTGATTGCTCGTCATCAGATTGATTAGATAGGAAGATGAACAATGAATTACTCGATGATTCATAATAATCGCAAGAATTCCGTGCTTTGCATCCACCTTAGTCAAAGCAACTTCGATCTGCGCTTGAGAAGAGGTTGACAAAACCTCCCCAGACATAGTAGCCGCAGCAAGCATTCCTCCGCCTACGTGACCTGTGAAGGAAGGTCCATGGCCGCTCCCGCTTCTAGAAATAATGGAGACCTTTGGAGGATAAGCTGACAACTTTGTTCTTGTGTCAACAGACAGACTCGGGACTGTAACTGCAACACTCCGCAGCCCACTGCCGATAAGTATCGCCTGATTGATGATGAAGTGTTCATCTACTTAAGGATCAGTCTTGTGGTATTTGGAGTTGAGATGGGGACGAACAGCCAATGCTTCCTGTTCGGGTTGAGATCCCAGTTAGTGGTTCAACATACGGGTGCAGCAGCGGGTTGATGGTTGGCATTGTTTTGGCGAAAATCAATAAATGCCTGGATTTTCAGTATCAAATATAAGTCTGCTGAGACATTGGACCAAAGGGGGATCTGTGGCGGCCTTTGTACGCATAGCGTTTTCGGGCGAAGGATGACATGTTGAGCACTTCACAACTGTCAGCCCACTTCAACCGACTGCGCTCGCAGCTTCGGCTTTCGCAATGTTTGAGCTCTTTCCAACAAAAATTCACACAACTTGAGAATTTGCACGTGATATCTTTGCGTTCTGGCTTCCTGGTGGATATTTGACCTGCTGTCACATGTCCGCGCTCACTGCGCAGCCACGAGAGTGCGCTTTCACACTCAAAGGTTGAAAGGTTGAACAGCATGCGGTCAAAGAGGCTGCATATCGAGACTGCCTTGAGGATGAATCTGGGATCTGACCTGCTCACTCGATTAGAGGATTCGGAATGTGATGAAAATATATGAAAGAGAAGAAGGGTTGGCGGTAAGGTCAAATTAAAGCTCCGATAATTAACCTTAGCGCCTTGGTAAAACACCACCTCGCGTCTCCCAACCTCACTTCATCACTCCATCGCCAGCGTTGCCGTCAAAACGAACATGGGATCTTACTCTCCGAGATCCTCTCCTTATGTACAGAAAACGTGTTCCCGATTGATCTCAGCTTGTCACAATATTGGCTACTAGCCTCGACTCTCGTTCTCTGCTCCCCCTGACATCGCGGGGCCGGGCAGGGCGCCGATCGACTTTAGTTTAAGTCGAAGTCGAATTTGTAGGTATCTAAAGGTATTTGGAGGTGCTTATCAGATTTTGCGGATCTAGCAAGAGGAGCAATCGTATCAGCAAGTGCGGATATAATACGCAGTTCTGATCGCACAAGTCTGGTGAAACAACAGCGATGCGTCACACAGACTACGTGGGGTTTGCTGAGACCTCTTAAATACTTTCCGAATCGTTTGAGCAATCCCCGCCTTTAGCTCTTCAAGACCCGACTTTGTAGCTCAAGACAGCTTCTTCGACTGAGAGGAGAATGCAATTTGGCTTCATTTCTAGCTCTTGTCCAGGAGTTCTTTCAATCGTTGCAGTTGTGACAGCTTCACGCAAGGCACCACGAATGACAGCACAGCTCGGCTATTAAGCTGGGTTCATATCGAGGGTTGAAGATCGACTCTGCAAACTATGAGTCTCAGGGACCAGGGTCGTCCTTCTAAACCCAGATATTTGAAAAAGGAAGGAGTACCGCCCAAATGTGCGCCTCATTGAGATCCAGCTTACTATTTTCATGTCAGAAGGCCTTCAAGCGTTTGCAACACTCCAGTCGTCTGGTATCCTGGTGCATTTGCCGGCCGCGACCCTCCACCAAATCCTCAAACCTGGAAGATGCGGGGTACTGGGACGATATAGACCAATCAATTCTGCTTTGAGAACAAGATCACCGGTTTAACTTGATTTTTGAATTGTCATTCTATCAATTTTCGGGACCTTTCACGCCATAAACGGAGAGTTGGTAACAACAGCTGTTGTTTTTACACCCCTGAACGCGGATGTCTCAGCCGCGCCGTCATCCCTCCCGGGGTATCAACATTTTCTCTCATTTGCCAAAAGGTATATGATGTGTCGTAGGTCGCATTACTCAAATGAATTTCAACTTTACACAAAGTGGTCACAATCATAAAATGGTTTCAAAAGGATTCAGCTTTCGGTCCATTGGGATAATGAAGCCCGAGGGTGTTCCTGGCTCCTCAGCTACTGCAATTGGAGTTGGCCTATTCGTTGCCTTCGGTGGCATATTATTTGGGTGAGTATCTAAGTATTGGCAAACTTCTGCTCCTGTTAATGGTTGGGGTAGATATGACACCGGAACTATTGGAGGTATCATTGCTATGCCGCACTGGTTGAAGACTTTTTCGACTGGCTACATCAATCCCGATACCAAAGGTCCCGGGATCACTGCCAATCAATCCTCTCTGATTGTATCAATTCTCAGTGCGGGAACTTTCTTTGGTGCATTAACTGCAGCACCCACGGCGGATTTCACGGGAAGAAGGATGGCTCTTATGATTACACTTGTTGTTTTCTGCTTTGGTGTTCTCTTGCAGACGATTTCGGTTGCGATCCCTCTCTTCGTGGCCGGTCGTTTCCTTGCTGGGTTTGGTGTTGGCCTGATCTCTGCATTGAGTAAGTATCCATCACTCGAGGTGTTTGAAATAGGACTAATGATAATTTAGTCCCTCTTTATCAATCAGAAACTGCTCCTAAATGGATTCGAGGAACGGTTGGTAAGTACAAGATTCATCTCAAAGCATGCAGCGCGTCCTAACGATATATAGTCGGCGCATATCAACTTGCCATTACGATCGGTCTCTTGATCGCAGCAGTCGTCGACAACGCTACCAAAGACCGCGCAGATTCCGGCTCGTATCGCATCCCGATCGCCATACAATTTTTTTGGGCCATCATACTTGGAGTTGGCCTCCTTTTTCTACCCGAGACACCTCGTTATCTGATCAGAATGGGCCGTGACGAAAAGGCAGCCAAATCACTATCTCGCCTACGTCGACTCCCAATTGACAATCCATTCTTGATCGACGAACTCGCAGATATCAAAGCGAATTATGAGCACGAGTTATCCTTGGGCACATCTTCATACAAAGATTTCCTGACCTGGCACACATTGGGCAAACGTCTGATGACTGGCTGCCTCCTCCAAAGCCTTCAACAGCTCACCGGCATCAACTTTATATTTTACTACGGAACTTCGTTCTTCACGAATTCGGGAATCCAGAACCCATTCGTTACGACTATGATTACTTCTGCGGTCAACGTTGCGTCTACATTCCCCGGCCTCTATCTCGTCGAGACGTGGGGACGTCGTCGTCTGTTACTCTTCGGTGCGATAGGCATGTTTGTATCACAAATGATTGTCGCTTCTGCTGGAACAGCATTCCCAGGCACAACGAACATGTCTGCACAGAAAGCTCTTGTTGCTTTTGTCTGTGTCTACATCTTCTTCTTCGCCTCATCCTGGGGACCAGTTGCCTGTAAGTCCGCTTAAGCCAGCTTCCCACTCTCATCCCAATCTAGTCCTCAGACCAAAGCTAAGTCGCATTCTAGGGGTTGTTACCGGGGAAATCTTCCCTCTCGGTGTCCGGGCAAAAGGCCTGTCTATGACCACAGCTAGCAATTGGTTGCTAAATTGGGCGATTGCCTACTCCACGCCCTACCTTGTCAATCCTGGCCCAGGCAACGCAAATCTCCAAGCAAAGATCTTCTTCCTTTGGGGTGGATGCTGCCTCGTCTGTGCGTTCTTCGTATGGGCTTTAATATATGAGACCAAAGGACTCAGTCTCGAAGAGGTCGATGAGATGTATGAGAAAGTTGATAAGGCGTGGAAGAGCAACGGGTTTGTTCCCTCAAGGGAGTTCAGGCAGGAAGACAAGAACACTGGAGCAGTTGGAAGTGGCAAAAAATTGAAGGATGATGTGCCAGTGGTTGATCACTCATCTGAGCATACGGAGGTCAATGGTGTGACTACCGAGTCCTCGGAGTAATCGGACGAAACGGTTCCGATGGGAGATGTTGATAACGTGTTCAGTTACTAATGACCTTATGTACCAGTAGTATCAAAGAATTCTTTATCATCGAGATATCAGTCCTGAGATGAATAATTGCACCATGTGCCACCAATGTTCCGTGGGAGCATGGTACAACTAATTCCCCCGGTTCACCAAGTCCTGCTTATCACGTGATTGTCACCTCTGTTTCTTGGGCCGAAGAACTCTCCCACCCCATCTTTGCAGTCTACTGCAACGATTAAGCTCTTGTCCCTGCCCAAGAAAGTGTTCTGCTATAGATTCCATGACAGGCCGACACCCAGAAGATCTCCAGGTCCCCTATCACGTGAAACGGAGTGAAGCGAGGAAAATAAAGACCTTACTTTTCAATGACAGTGGGTCATCTTCTCGAATACTTCATTTTCCAGCGCCGCAAAATCGTTGCAACGGGTTCCGATACGACATCAGGCCATGTCATATGTCAATTATCTCGAGACAAGCGTCTCGTACCATCTCCAACGTGTCATTGACACGCCACCTTTTGGGCCTTTTAGTGGCCTCGGCGGCGTCAGGGTCCCCAAGCCCGCATGCATGAGCCCCGCCATCCGTCGCGCTCTCAACTTTGCGCTGCACATGGGCAATCGTGATCAGACAAGAGGTAGACAGAATCTCTTGCGCGTGTTGCATGTTCGGTGATCGACCCTATCCACTGCAAACAACGCTTCTACCTCAACTAAGCAGGGAGCATGGGGATGCTCTGACTGCATCATGATCTTGTTGCATCTTTTCCTGCACCTGGACTGCTCGACTCGGCCAGGATCGCCTCAATAGGTTCTTCGGCAAGTCATCCCATGCCAGAAGTCACCCCATAAACCGAGGATCGCGGTATGCTCGTTCAATCGAGAAAACAATAATCCGCTGCGGTGGGTAAGTACCTGAGTTCCAGCAAAATTGTCTGCAAATATCAGACCACCTCTTACCCATCCTGCACGACTGCATGACCCCTCCAAGGACTGATAGCTAAGCTAACCCCTCCCAAAATTTCATTCATAAGGCGAGAGCTGTCCACTGCCCATTCCCTTTCAATTCCTTCAAGCAACTCCCTCTCAGTTATCGAACTATCAAAGCTGCTCAAGCTTAATTATCGAAACCGCCAAACAGCATTTAAGGCTGTGAAGTGAATACCCTCACTTCCAATTACCCCGCCATAGCAATTGGACCCTAAACAACCCACCAACAACAGTTTCACCGAATCATCCGAGAAGCATGGACTCAATGCCAACAATGGTGGCACCAGCTGCTCAAGAAATTGAGCCTGCTGCAAAAGATGTTGAGGTCAAGAGCATATCTCCTTACGGAGTTGCTCGCTCAACAGTTTCCGGGAAGCCCCTCGACGCTGAGGAAATCCGCAAATATGAAGCTTGGTTCAAGGCCAGCATGTACCTATGCCTTGGCATGCTCTACCTCCGCGAAAACCCCCTCCTCAAGGAGCCTCTCAAGGTCGAACATCTCAAAGCTCGTTTACTGGGCCACTGGGGATCTGACGCTGGTCAAGCTTTCACATGGATGCACTTCAATCGTCTTATCAAGAAATACGACTTGAATGCACTCTTCGTGTCCGGCCCAGGTCATGGAGCTCCAGCTGTTCTCTCACAATCATACCTCGAGGGTGTCTACTCGGAAGTCTACCCAGACATGGCAGAGAATGAGGAGGGCATGAGGAGATTCTTCAAGCAATTCTCATTCCCAGGTGGAGTCGGATCTCACGCCACGCCCGAGACCCCAGGTTCCATTCACGAGGGTGGTGAACTCGGATACTCAATTTCCCACGCTTTCGGTACGGTCTTCGATAACCCGAGCTTGATCACATTGACGATGGTTGGAGATGGCGAGGCTGAGACCGGCCCTCTTGCTACCAGCTGGCACAGCACAAAATTCCTCAACCCAATGACTGATGGTGCAGTCCTTCCAGTACTCCACCTTAACGGCTACAAGATCAACAATCCTACTATCCTCGCACGTATCAGTCACGCAGAATTAACGGCACTGTTCGTTGGTTATGGTTGGACACCATATTTCGTTGAGGGTAGCGACATGGAGAGCATGCACCAAGCAATGGCAGCAACACTTGAGCACTGTGTGTTGGAGATCAAGAAGTGCCAGAAGCAAGCTCGAGACTCCAAGAAAGCATTCCGCCCCCGCTGGCCCATGATCGTCCTTCGAAGTCCTAAAGGTTGGACTGGTCCAAGAAAGATTGACAGCAAGCTCCTCGAAGGTTTCTGGCGGGCACATCAGATCCCAATCCCCGATGTCGCCTCAAATCCCGCACACTTGAAAATCTTGGAGGACTGGATGAAGGGCTACAATGCAGATGAGGCTTTTGGCAAGGATGGCAAGTTGATTCCAGAGTTGAAGGCTCTTGCTCCCACTGGAAATGCTCGCATGTCTGCCAACCCAGTCGGCAATGGTGGACTTCTCCGCAAGCCTCTGGACATGCCAGACTTCCGCAAATACGCCCTTCCCAACATAGAACCTGGTATTTCGAATCTCGGCAGCATGGTCAACATGGCAAAGTTCCTCCGAGACATTGTCGCAAAGAATATGACCAACTTCCGTGTCTTCGGCCCAGATGAGACTGAGTCCAACAAGCTCGGCGAGATCTATAAGGCAGGCAAGAAGGTCTGGATGGGAGAATACTTTGAGGAAGATTCAGATGGAGGAAACTTGGCAATGGAAGGCCGTGTGATGGAGATGCTGAGTGAGCATACCTGCGAAGGCTGGATGGAAGGCTACGTTCTCTCAGGACGACATGGTCTTCTCAACAGCTACGAACCCTTCATTCACATCATCGACTCTATGGTCAACCAACACTGCAAATGGATTGAGAAGTGCAATGAAGTCGAATGGCGTGTCAAGGTCGCCTCCCTCAACATCCTTCTCACAGCTACCGTCTGGAGACAAGACCACAACGGCTTCACCCATCAAGATCCTGGTTTCCTCGATGTTGTCGCAAACAAGAGCCCAGAAGTCGTGCGAATCTACCTCCCACCTGACGGAAACACTCTCCTCTCGGTCACAGATCATTGTCTCCGCAGCACCAACTACGTCAATGTCATCGTTGCCGACAAGCAAGACCATATCCAATACCTCAATATGGAAGAAGCAATCGAGCACTGCACCAAGGGAGTCGGAATATGGGACTGGGCCAGCAACGACCAAGGTGAAGATCCTGACGTCGTCATGGCATCCTGCGGCGATGTCCCAACCCACGAAGCCCTCGCCGCTACCGGACTCCTCCGCGAACTTCTCCCCCAACTGAAGATCAGATTCGTAAATGTCATCGATCTCTTCAAGCTCATCTCATCTGTGGACCATCCCCACGGCATGTCAGACAAAGAGTGGTGCTCAGTCTTCACGCAAGACCGCCCCATCATCTTCAACTTCCACTCGTACCCATGGCTCATCCACCGCTTGACCTACAAGCGACCCGGCCAACTTAACCTCCACGTCAGAGGCTACAAGGAGAAAGGCAACATCGACACCCCTCTCGAGTTGGCCATCCGAAACCAGACTGATCGGTTCTCGCTGGCGATGGATGCCATTGATCGGATCCCGACGCTACATAACAAGGCTAGTGGTGTGAGAGAGAAGTTGCTGAATATGCAGATTGCGGCTAAGACGCAAGCGTATGAGAATGGTATTGATCCGGCATATATCACCGCCTGGAGATGGCCGCATCCCCCAAAGGAGTAAATCGGTAGATGGCGGGCAAAATTGCAACCTTTTGATACCTGTGGATAGATTTGAGGTGGTAATGAGGACGAAGCAACGAGGCGTTTCTGGGTACATAGCTTTGGAAATTGAGAAACTTTTGCATCATCGTTCTGTGTGCGTGCTTGCATCCTTCTGTTCCAGGTGCCTACAATATCTGTACATCTCTTCTTCCACCTCACTCGTGGTGTATTCTCTGCTGCTTTCCATTTTCGCTTCACCAAGTGGCCCAGTCCACCTCTGTCCCGAAAGCCGATCCCCAACGATTTCCTGTCCTTCCTTGTTGCACATCACAAAGCTAGGAATGAAACTAGGAATGCGGGCCACCTCTCCTCTCAAGCTGGTCTCAACTATTTGAAGTCTATTTCCAATCTTTACTTCCTTGTGGCACATCCAAAAGGTTCTTTGTCCCAAACTCTTGGAAATTAGCTTCCTCTCTTACACATAATCCCTTCTCGACCCCGAACATTCTCCAAATCTTTCTCCCTTTGTATATTATCTGATGCGTCGAGAAATGCGAAGATATGATGGTATGCAGGGAAATTCGCTCCTACCCACGCCATGATTCGAGGAACGGCCCGTTGAAAGTTTCCCGCATACAACTCCTTAGCCTCCGCTACCATCCCCTTATTGCAGAAGCAAGATCTAAAAGTTGATGACGTCAGAATCCTCCCACAGTCTTAGCGGCTATTCAGTGGTTTGTTATTATACATTTTAGAACCAAACCGTTGAACGGGAACTAGGTAGGCAGGGAGGGGCGCTTTAGTTCGGCACCACGGATCCTGCCTCGCCTCAAGTTCTCTCAGGCGATATACTTTCTGCTTTTAGTATATTGTGTTTAGCGACAGGAGACCCGGTAGTATTTGTGTGTAGGGGTTCTATACTAGGCTTCCAACTGAGAGACGAGCAATCTGATTCTTAGATTTCTTGCAAACTGCAAATTAAGCGAGATGCCCCTTATTTTCAATCCGAGGTCGCTTTTTCTTCCTTTGCATATTATACTGATGTAAAAGAATAAAATCGTTGCCGCTCAACTTTGAGCATCTATCGGACATATACTCGTGTATCCAAAACTTAAATATTATTATTTTCAATTGACTTGGCTTTATTTTGATCATGGCCTGGCCCCTATCCAATCAACTGTACGCGAACTCAAAAATTTCAGCTTGCAAAACGGACGCCAAATCTCACGCACACCTAGATGGCCCCATCTGGCCGCTCGGAAAATGGATGCAGGTGAGAGAGCACGGACCCAGAGCTAAGTACACAATGCCTCTATATTCGTTCTGAAGCCTTTAAATTCCGGATCAACAAAGTACGCCCTGAACATCGGATGTCATTTATGAAGCAGCGTACATTGCCCAGGGGTTGTTCCGATTTCAAGCTTAATGTCGTAACAAGATTTTCTCGCGCTGTTCAATATCGTGCGTGCAAAACATGACGTTCCGCCTCAAGTTCTAATCAAGAGAGACAATGATAGCAAGGTCAAAACAATGCTCATGTGGTATCATTACTATCAGCAAATCATCTCTTGATATTCTCCCTCAATCCCCTCGTCCTCAAACTCTGCACATGCGTATCTCTAAATGGCACACTCGCCATATTAAAATCTCTGTTCCCTTTGCCAACATCAAGCTTCACACCTTTGGCTTCTGCACTGCCATTCTCCAACGCCTTCCTAACAGCCTCGCTCTGCGCCCCTACAATTCCGGAATCCGCACTCCCCCTCCGACTCCCGATCTCGACCTCCCTCCCAGTTATTAGCCCCCTTATCCCGCCTGCTTTGCGAGCAGGTAACTCGCTGCTCCCTGCACTGCATACATAAAGTACGTATTTGAGATTCGGGAGCGTCTGTCGAATATCCATTACTTTTAACCCTTGGCTCTCGGCTAGCCGTTCAATGTTCTTGTTTAAAAGGAAGACGCCGTAGTCGAACCGGAAGCGGACTGTGCCCTTCATGTACAGGGGGAAAATGCGCTGATTGTCCTGCAGGATGGAGATGGAGTCTTGTATTATTGAGCGAGAGCCATATGAAGTTATTGGGTACGGAAGCGGGACTGAGAGGTAATATTGTAGCAAGTCTACCAGACGGGCAACATAGCCAAGGGCTGCGGAGATGATGTCTTCATCTGCGTCTTCGAAGATGGAGTTCGGGAGGGGAAGGCCGCAGATGGTGAAGAGGAGGGTGTGGGTTGTTGCTTCTATGGGGTAGATGGCGAGAAGCTCTTCGCATATTCGTCTTCTCTGGCCATGAATTTCGGATGTGGTGGTTTGTAAGAGTGTTTTGCAGTTCGAGAGTTTGTCTTGGGCGTTGTTTATATCCTCCAGATATTTCAGTTGTAGTTCTTTACCGGTCTTAATAGCTTCCGTGCGTGATGATATTGAGGTTTTGAGCTCGGCACGCCTGCGTATGGAGTTTTTGAGCAACTTGCGTTCAGAAGCTACGTAGCGTGATGCAAGAGCCACCTCCTCCTCTGCTTGTGGGGATTCATCCACAGGATTCGAAAGTAGAATTTCGTTGATTTGAGCAGCTAATTCTTCGCGGGTGGCGAGAGCATCTTGAATCGATTCGTCAAGATTGGACAGGCGCATGAGCGCACTATATGATGATGTGGGTAATGAGGGAGCGTGTTTCGGGTTCGGTGGTTTTGACGCGAGATCAATTGTGTAGATTCCATCGATGAGGTGGAACAGAATACAATTCGGTAGAAAAGGGTGGTTTTCCAGAGTCCCAACAAACTGCAGCGACTGTAGACTGACTTCTTCTTCAATAAGAGGCACAAAGTCTTGTCTCTTGACCCATAACCTGATTGTAAAAGTATCGAGTCTCGTCGTCGCGGGCCCAAATCCGGAGAGATCAAAGAATCGAAACGTAGGATTCATAGCCCTTTCCACAACCTCGCTGATGTATATCGGGTCCTCCTGTCCCTTCGCATGCAGTGTAAAGAACGTATCGGCTGTCCTGCTGTCGATGACATCTTCGAGCTTCTTTTGCCGCAGATCCGGGCTGGCACCACTCCAATTCGTACTTCTCCTTCGCAGTTTCGGTGGTCGCAGGTCTCCTGACGATTGCGCATGGTGGAGCTGTGGTTCGCGCAGAGCTTCGAGCTTCTGAGGAGTTTTATTGAGAGCTGCGTCGTCAATTGTCTTGCCGCGTGGCCGGGAAAGAGTGAGATTCCGCAGGTATATCCCTTGCAGATGCCGTAATTTTCGATTCTGGGGCAAGAGTAATGGCCGCGATAGTTCGGAGGCCATACTGTTGATGAGAGAGGATTTGAAGTGATGTTGCCTCGATCGAAAAAGGTTAGCTGTGTCGGAGAATGAAGATGCCGAGGGTCAGCCTCGTCTCGTGAGGCTTAGAATTTGAGATGGATGGAAAGTGGTTGATCAGCAAAACTCGCAAGCAAATCTGGATGACGAGATTTCTCATGTTTATTTAAAGGTCTGGTCGAACATCGCAGGAACATTCATTATAGGAAAAATTTATATTTTGAAATATCAATAAAAAGCCTGCCCTGACCCCTCATGATTCCCATGCCACGCCAACTCATTCATCTCCTTCCAATAATCTGCCTGGGCTTACAGTCATCCTCCACAACAGGATGCAGCATGATCTTATTAGGAAGATCTGGTGTATTAAACAAATACCCCTTACTCCAATCATAGCTAACTGCATAAGCAAAGAGCTTTCCATTCATATTAAACGCCGTCGCAGAAATCTGTCCCTCAACACCTGGATACAGGTTCAGCCTGCACTTAGTCTCATTGTCCCAGAATTGGAAGGTGCCGTCAGAACCGCACGTGCTGAAGGTACCATGAATTGGATGAACCGAGATATCGTTGATGGTCCACACGTTCGTTACATTGTCGGTTGGTTTGTCTTTTTGGCGGTGGCATTTGAAGGAGTAAGATTTGCTGACTAATGTTAGTTGTGAGTATCATTAGAGAGCTTGAGAGACTGACTTGGAATGGTCTTGATCAGAAGTGTACTGGAACGAAACTCTGCCCTCAATACTTCCAAGGGCAAAGCCAGACCCATCGAGAAAGCATGTGACGACCCTGCTCTGGTGGTTGAGCGGACTCTGTCTTGTTCTCCATATCGCACCCCAGTGTTCTAGATTCACAAAATGGTTTTGCCGATCTGCAGTTACAACAACAAGCAGCTTGTTCCTCGCATCCAGAGCATACACCCATTCAGGAAGAGCTAGCTGCGCTGCTGGGGTTGCTAATCTCAGGTCCCAAAATTCAACTGTTCTATCCCAACTACCTGTAACCACCATAGGGGCATTGGTGTTTGGCGCATCGAAGAATCGAACAGATCGGATAGGAGCGTCATGGGCGGCAACTTGTTGCGCGGGAGCTCCGTTCGCACCGAGATCTAATATTCGAGCAGTTTTGTCTGCGCCTGCTCCGACAACCTTTTGACCATCCTGACGAAATACATCATCAGATTTTGAAGGTGAAGAGAAGAAGAACACTGACTCCTGACCAGTGGCAACTGAGCACTGGTCCCCCAAATTCAATTGCAGCTGCAACGACGCCAGTCCGGCTTTTCGTAATATCGTAGATGCGGACTTTGCAGTCCCAAGATCCAACAGCAAGGTAATTCTCGACTGGTGACCAAGCCAACGAGGATGTACTGTCGTCTGGTGGGGAAATAAGTTGTCTATCATTGCTCAGATCACCGGGGACCTGGCGGGGGCAAAGCCATATTGAATCTGAGATGTAAGAAGTAGAAAATGTCTCGCCTTCGACATGATTAAGGATGCAGGAACTCGAGCAGGTTCCTCCCTTATAAAGAATTTGCGTTCGATCCTGCCTTGCAGGGCGTCAAATCGAAGATTCGCATTAATCCCTGTCATGAATGCTGAACCGCAAGCCACAAGTGAGGAGCGATGGAGCTTCACGTGATGAACTGCTTCGACCCCACTGGAGATGTTCAACAAAGGATTTTCCTGCTCTTCAACTGACATTGAAGTTTTTGAGGTGATACGTGCCACCACCATGTATTGGTACATGGATGTAGGTCAAAATAGCAACTCTGCTATCATGTTCCGACTCCTGATCTTCCCTGCCGTATGGAGAGCCTACCTTGGGAACTGTTGAATGACCCATGACCCATCAGACTTGAAGCAAACAACTTTTTGAATGAGCTCTTTGCTATGTGCCCCGCCAAGCCAGTGGTTGAGTGCAAGCATTAGAACGCTCCTGCACCAAATCCTCGATGCCTCAACATATGTACTTCCTCCAAAGTGGTATCTCGCCCATTATAATTCGTAAAACGCGTCGCAGGTAGAGGAGATGCTGTAATGCAATGCTGTCTATGTTGAATGCCGCCCAAACGCCAAAGAAACCCAGCAACGAAGTTCGAACGGTGGTGTTATTTGCCCATCATATCGTCCTTGAGAAGTGTGACTACAGGAGCATCGAGTTTGTCCCGTCCCTTTAAGAAATCGAGTTCGAGAATGAATAAGAATCCGATCAGATCACCGCCCAGTTGTTTGACGAGATTACCGGCAGCTTCAGCGGAACCACCTATTGACTTATGTTAGCTCATATACTTACCCACGAGGCGGCATGTCTCGCAGGACAGCGCTCTTACCAGTGGCAATAATATCATCAACCACCAGCACCTTCTGCCCTTTTGCTACAGCGTCGCTTTGAATTTGAAAGAAGTCCTGACCATACTCCTTCTCAAACACAGCCTCCTTGGTGGGACCGGGGAGCTTTCCTCGCTTGCGGACTGGTGCAAAGCTGGCACCCAGTCTTAATGCCAGACTGGGACCAAACAAGAACCCTCTTGCATCAAGGCCGACGATAACATCCGGTTTGACACTATTGTTGAAGAGGAGGACTTGTAGTTCGAGAGCGCGGATGAGTGAGGTGTGAAGAGAGTGAGACGCAAAGAGAGGAAGTATATCAACGAAATCTATGCCGGGGATGGGAAAGTCAGGAAATTGTCGAAGAGCGGCCCGCAGGCTTATCTTTGTACTGGCGAGTTCGGAGGCACTGGTGGCAGAGGAGGTGGGCTGGGACTCGAGTCTCGTGGCATTGTCTGTGGTAGCTGATGTGCTTGCCGGAGGTGCAACGTGAGGTTGTTGCGTGGGCATCGTGGAGAGAGAAGAGAAGCGGCGGGAGGAGAGGTGAGGTCGGTAGTCAGATATGCAAATTGACAAAAATTTCCTGGGATGGGGAAGGCGACGGTCGTTCGGGGGTTTCTATTTGGCTTGGATTGGCGAAGGATAACTCTGATAGTGGGCTACCCCTACCAGTGGCAGGGAGAGGCTGGAAAGAGCAAATAAGGTAGGTAGCAGCGCGCTGCTGGATGGGGCAAATCTGAGCCGTAGTGCGCCGCGAGGAGTGGATGGCTGTGGCCGTGGCCGTGGATAGGGTCCGGATGAGAAAGGGCCAAGAGAGCAGGGCAGCGGCGACAGCAGCCACCTTAATGCACGCTGAATCGTGGGCGATGGGTGGTGAGGTGATACCCGTTCGCGGAGGCGGAAACCGTGCTATGGAGGGGAATGGCTGCGGAGGGCTGCTGTGGAATGGTGGTGGTTGTGAGAGGAGACGGTGTGAGCGTGGAGGGGTTTGTTGCATTGGAGCGGCAAAGCCCAGAGCTTCTTTAGTTTTTTGCCTGACTAGTAAAAAGTCTGACAACGCATATCAACTGCATGCACTGTATCTCAGCTCAGCTCTCTCTTGCTCGTATCTCACTGTACACTTCAAGAGGGGCATTATGGGTGCAATATGCACTCCACAACAGACTCGTCGTCCACTCCACCCCCTCAACATGGCGCAGAGCCCAGATATAAAAAATATATACCAAGTGACACATTGTCTCACCCAAAGCCCCGATCCCCACTACAACACCGCATCAGCTCCCCGAATTCCGGCTTCCATGTCGTGGAAACAAATTTCTCGAGCAGCCAAAAAAAAAAAGCGTTGAGCCGATGAGGTGATTCTGCCATTCTGCGCCTCTGCGCCTCTGCGGCCAATCACAGCTGTGAATCCAGTCTTCCTCAACCTCATCCTTCCCATTTATCCCCTTGGTGGATGCCGACGCTCTGCCCCACGTCGTGGCTGACAAGCCGCCAATTCCTAAGAGTCATCCGTTTTTCACATGTCCCTTTTCCCGCCTGCCCTATGGGGCTGATAAGCATCGAGCACTGCACGCTTTCTTGCACTCTTCTTGCTTTTGCTGAACGAGCACATCGTGGTTCCACGTGGCGGCCTCGCCGAAGCTGGGGGTATGAATGCCCAAAGTAGCACAGAAAACAAGAGCCATTCTACAGGCGTCCAGGGCCGTCAAGGAATCCGGCCCAACATGCCTGTGTAACGAGAAGACTCGAGGCCCTTGAGCTTGGGCTTGGCCGATGAGGCACGACATTGCTGGTCGCATAATCGTTATCGATAAGTATGCATCAGGGGGGAGCCCGAGCAAGCCACGCATGATCCCCATATGCAGCTTCCGATCGGAGAAGATGTGATAGAGTTTCATGTACTATGAGGTAAAAAGACGCATAGGGGCGGGTATGGCTTGAGACTGAAACTCTGGTTGTTTTGATAAATGCGCTCATTCTGTCTGAAATTCGGTTCGAGCTCTTTGCGAGATATCCCGTTTATCATCACGTGAAAATGGACCTGTTCGAGACTGTTCTCCCCAGTAATGTATCCGCTGAAGATTGACATTGCTTGAATAGTCCCACCCGAATCACATCCTAACTAGGTCCATGCTCGGCACCATCGAGATCGGTTATTGTACTAATTTTAGAAATATGTACAAAGAGAGTAACCCGGTAACCCCTGAGCAAGTCCATTGACTATTCACGGAAAGAAAACGTTTCTTCTTGTGTCTGACCGTGCAGTTTCGTTAATTTTACAAGGAAGATTTGACAGTTGAGACATTTGACAAGTCGAATTGAAATGTGATCAAGTCGGTCGGGGTTTTTTTGCAACGTTCCGATCCGATAATCTACCTGAGCCTTCATCCCACCATGGCCCCTGATTGTAGTAACTCTGACTACCATATACTCCGAATCACCCTCTTTTCAACATCAAAAATTCCTTGCCTCTACCAACACACCTTCGAGAAGGTGGAAATATCATAGCAGACGCTGACCTCACTATAAAATCTGGGGGCTGGACGCCTGAGATGCCGCAACGTGGGGGTCGGGGTTGTCGTCGTTGGAGTGGCCGCCACTGTTGATGGTGATACTGGCTCTGGGGAATTTTTCGAAGTAGGTGCAGGATTGTGGGGGATGCTGGAGTGGTAGACGGAGTTGCTGCGGATTATGAGCTCGAAGATGTAGGCGTTGTAGAGGATGCAAGGGGAGATTGGAACGTCGGTCACCGGCAGCACCGTCGATTGAGTACTCTTATCCCCCCATCGGAACACGGAGTCAAGGTCCCCTTGCACGTTTATCTTGGTTGGTCTTCTCGGCCCCATACACGAGGTATATCGTCAAGTTCTTTGAAAACGGAACTACAATGCGAAGGCTCCTCTCTGAGGCTAATGACTTCTCATTGACCGGCAAGGTCTCATGAGGTGGAAACGACTGTGTTGACATGATAACGATGGTATGATTAAGGGTGGAAATCATCCCTGTGCTGAGGAGAACCCTTTGAAGTATCTCTCTGCATGCACAACAACTCGACGTCTGGATTATCAAGGACCAATTCCTCCGCTGATGGCTGAGAGATTAGATTTATGACCAATAAGAAACGACTGACATCTAAAAAGAGAAGATGAGGCTGAGGATGCAATCAGAACAAGAAACACAGCTGACTGAAAAGAGTTCCGTGGCTGCACTTGGCAACGGGAGAGAGCTGTACTATAATAACGAAGGGAGGCAAGGAGAGAATCACTTTTCAGTTTGGAAGCTAACAGTGGCTGGCAATTCAACGGCAACATCGCTTTGCATGATCTTGTCTCTGCTATTGCAACGATCTGAGAACTAGCATTTATCATGATTAGTATGAGACAGAGGCGGCTGAGCTGGGTTGTCATTCAGGGAAAAGCAAACACACGCGGCCGCTTTCACGTGTCGCGCGTCATTGGTACCGGGATTTTGCCGTGCTTCACAGCTCTGACAAAAACTCTCGAACATTACAAGGTTTCACTCCACTCTTGCTTTGATAAGACGATGTTGAGATACGCAGCGCGAACTCATACATATAGCCAGAGCAAGCAAGTCGAATAATGGAATGCCGTCCTTCTTTAACTTCCAGCAAGGTTCTGAAGCGCGCGGGGGACTGGGCACTGAATCCTCCCCTTTACTCGGACGCTTCCGCGCTGTTCCGGATGCTCAGAGAATAGGGCGGAGGAATAGCTATAGGAGCACTCTGTTTGGGAGCTTTGCTGGCCGAGGATTTGGATACTCGCGGGTTTTTGGCGATGGAGATGAAAGCGATGAGGGCGACCTTCTGGAGAATGAGGATATGGGAGCTTTGAGACGATGGGGAAGAGCACAACGAGATCTATGGCTTGAACCGAAGCAGGCAGCGGTTGGAAAATTGGTGGATAAGTGGTGGACGAGATGGGCAGTGTTGGTCATCCTGCCGGCTGCGCTGGCGGTAGGCTGGTGTGCTCTGCCATTCCCACAATACGATTTACCGGATGAGGACGGAATGCTATTCAAATTTGATGAAGGGCACAAAGTACCAGGTCACGGAGAAGCCCGCGTCGAAATAAACTTCTGGAATTTCTTGTTTGTCTATTATGGATTCTACAACATCACGGCGTTGATGTGGATCACAAAAGTGTTCAATATCTACAGTCTCAACTGGTCAGTCTTCCCGATTGCCCATGCTCTAAGCCCTTACTGACTTTAGAAGGTGGCCAGAAAGTTTTGGTTTCCCGTTGACCGTGTCGATCATCGCCGTCATCTCTATCGCGACGCCGATCCCGATATATTGCGTCCCTGAAACACGGTGGATCACATCGCACAATACGGCTTGGATTTGTTGGACATTCTTCACCATGGCGATGCCCTTGATAGTGGCTTCTGTGATGTTGCTTTATCACGAGCGACACCTCAGTCTCCGCACGTCACTGTCAGAGACGCAACGCATTTTTACATCCTCTTGGTGGACAGGGGACACAGAAACAGTGGCAGCACGAGACAGACCTCGCAGGGCTAACGTCCAGCAAGCCGCTTTCGACCCAAATGCTCCTCTTGAAGTAGCCTTAGCCACAGACAACGTGCACCGGACTCGCGCTCAAGCATTAGCTTTGCGGAAAAGATGGCTACCAGCTAGCTTTCTGAGGTTCATCTGGTTCTGCGCAGCGCTTTTTATTGGTATGCTGGCGTACGTAGTGGGAGAAGCCTACGCCGAGACGTATTTGAGGACCTTGCCTCATAGTACCATACAAACCATCGTCTACGTGTATACATGGGTCATCACCGTTCATTTACTGGATGGGTTGACAGGGTGGATATTAGGAGGAAATGAGGGTGAGAGAGTGGGAAGTTATCCTTTGGGTTGGATCTTCAAACTGTATGTTCTCCTGAATGCTTGCATAACTACACCAGCTAACCCAGAAAAGCTATTTCTCTCTAACGTACCAAACCTACGTGCGCGCACTGTACGCCCGTCTCCGCTCGCCATCACAATTCGTCTACCTTCAAATTTTATCTTCTTCGTTCCTCATCATTCTCTTCCCGCTCACTATGTCCAAACCTTACCACTACGTCCTAACGCTTCTCTCCATCAACAACCAAAGTCTTTCGGCTTATCAGAAGTTTGCAGCGAGGAACATCTATATCCGTTCTCTTGCAGAATGCGTGTCTATGCTCGCCTTCCTAGGCGCAATTCTCGTATTGCACTATGGGGCCAATAAAGATGTATATCCATACTTCGCCTTCGACCAAGTCATGGATGGTCCGGGCGATGGGCCACTCAGCGGTGACGGATACGATTTTGGCCTCACATTTTACGCCTCAATCGTCACCTTTGCCTGTGAATTGGTAGCCGCGTGGATTGTTAGGAGGATTCTGTGGTATGGTTGGAAAATGGACGTGACAGGAGAAGCCAAGCAAGATTTGGGCATGTGGCCAGAGCTGCTACCCACAGGAGTAGTGGTGATGGTGCACGTGCTTCAGAATATGTTCTTTTCGATTGTTCGTTTGAGATTTCATTGATTGCATAGCTTGCAAGAAGGTTTTGGGCATTCCTCAGCGTTGGAGTTGGAGGAGATTGTTTTCGATGCCCGAGCGCTTTTTGTCTTGGATGCCGTTTCTCTATACCCATTGATAGTTGTAATTCAGGAGTAGTTTCGATCCCCCGCTGTTGTGATTCTTTTTGTTGATTTATATATTATGATCCACCCGGAATCTCAACACACACGGGTGTGGTGCCTTTGGGGAGGTGTTTGGCGATCCAATCACCCCTTTTGGAACGGGCCCTTTACTTCGTACTTCCTTTCGCCGCAATACTTCCGCTTGGCATGCGGGGCTCTCCCCTCAGCCGCCTGATCAGTCAAATTTATCAGAGAACCTCGATCCTTGTGACCTCACCCCTGCCGTCTCAACTTCTGTCTTATCCGAATGCAATGTAAGGGCTGCCTAACCTTGAGATTTGTTTTGATCGTTTGGCACTTCCCGCCCCTTGGTGAGCCCCTTTTCAAGCTCGCTTCCGATGAAGCGGCCGCGGACTCATGACTCAGTCAGGTCAACCCTTTCTTCAGATGATTTTCCAAACTTCTCGTATGCTCCAAAATTTCAACCTCACATCCATGACGGCCATGGAATCATGATGTGTTTCCATCTCAACTCAGCCTCCGTTTGCTTCTCCCTTGCTTTTAACTCATCTTCCCTCTTTCGCTCAGACTCCAGCTGCCATTTCGCCATCTCAACCCCTTGAACCAACTCGGCCTTCCTCTCGTCCTTCACCTTCCTCTCATACTCCACCTTCCTCTCATACTCCACCTTCCTCTCATACTCCACCTTCCTCTCATACTCCACCTTCCTCTCATACTCCACCTTCCTCTCCCGAGCTGCGCTCTCTCCAGCAGCTTTTTTCGTCGCTTCTGCCGCTGCCTTGGCTATTCTTCGTTGGTCAGCATTGAATTCGGCTATGGCTCGCCTTTTCTCCTCCTCTACTTTCTTTTCCCATGCTGCTTTATCCTCTGCTGATTTTTTTTACAGCTTCTGCTGCAGCCTGCTCGTCTCTTGCCTTCCGCTCCTCGATTTGTGCGGTTGTTGCCTTGAGCACGAAATCTTTTTGTGCCTTCTCAATCTTTTCCGCCATCTCCGCTGCTTCCTTCTCAGCTTTATTTGCCGTCTCTTTATGCAGGTTATCATATTCCATTTAAAGGGTGGTCGAGCAAGGTGTTCAGGATGGTAGTCATTCTAACCCTACTTTGCGGCCAACTCAACTGACAGCATTGAAGGGCTTCTTCTATGTATAATTGAAGCATCGGGAAAATTGTGAGAAATCTGTTATGGCGTGTGTGTGCTAGAGTAATATGACAATGAGATTGCGTTCTTTTGATGGCGCCGTCGTGTCGTGCCAAGTTGAAACCATCAGTGTTCAGGTGAATGGTCCCTACTTCAATAGACGATACCGAAGCGCATTCTCGAGTATTCTCATCGTGGGTCTGGCGGGTCTTTTCAGTGTCTCTCAGAATTGCTTCTTGCTCTGCGACTGCAACGCATTGCGAGCAGCTCCCAATTTTGTATTTTGCGGCAGCAAAAATCCCAAAGGAGTTGCACCATTCCGGTAGGAGCTTAGCAACTTCTCGGGCCTTCACAATGGCTATCAAAGAAGTCGGCTAAGCGACCAAGGACCTGTGGTTGCGAGAAGAGGCATACCTTTGGACGTGGAGAAAACATTGCCTTCGACGCGAAGCTTCGACGATTTGTCGGCCAGATTAATGGCAAGGCAAGTCAAATAATTGGAAAGTAGGGTGGCGTTTGTTGGAGAAGGAAACCGTGCTCTCCTGAAGATCTTTATGAGATTAGCTCTCCGAACGCGCTCTAGCGACTCACACGCGAGATCACATGATCAGATCCCCACTCCCTTGGTGCTCCTCAACTTTTTTCCCCTTCGCCTTCTCCTTTCAGTCTTATTTCCTTTGCTTGCAGTAACGTTGGGCAACACAGCGATGAGAAGGGGTAGTGGGAGGTAGAGCCGACATGGGCAGGATTTCCGCACCCTCAGGTCAGAGAAAAGGGGCTCGCTTATTCGTTAGTGCAGTACTCTGTTAAGCAGCAATCCCGAACATCAAAATCATCGATTTCAATAGATCCTCTATACGGTCATATCTTTGGTTGGTCCAGTAGACTGCCAGGCCTTTCAAGTAATGAGACTTTTAAGCAAAGACTCCTACGCAACTTACAGCCGGCATCGAGGCTCCCTTTTGACGCGAGGAGCGATGACGGAGGTCGAGGCCTGCTCGATGGGGGAGACAGACCGAAGATGGGATTCCCATCTGACTCATGATGAGTTTCCTTAGTCTGTCTGTCTTCAACACATGTGGAAGAGACTTGGAAGCGGCACGCTGAATAATTTCATGCTTCCTTTACTTCAAAATTAAAGATAGAATAACCACTGTCTGTACGACAACTGGCAATTCGTATTCGCCAAGACCCTCCAAACTCCAATATATTGCACATGAAAGGCTTTAGACGTATGGTTCGCCTTGCAAAGCCAACAAAGCAAAGTGCCCTCCCACCACTGGCCGTGCAACGAAGTGATTATCCCTACCCTCAGTGGCATAACTGTCAACATCTCAGCATTCATACACAGTATCATTGAAAGCTGGCTTACTCTCCATTACGCGTATCATACAAATCCGTACATGCGGTGTTTGTCGGGGTCTCATTAATCCACTTTGCCAGATCCTGAATTAACATGTTTCTCGTGCTCTCACTCGAAATGGCCGCGGCCCACATCTCCCAATCGCTTTTCGTATAATTATGTCTTGTGTCAAGCGGAATGCCATATTTCTGCTCAATAATTTGGTAGAATGCACTTTGCATTTTGTAGATGGACTGTGGGACGAGGCTGAGGTTGAGAAGACGGTCGGAGTACAGGTTGTAGAGTATACCATGGGTGTCGTTCACACCATAACTCAGGGTGGTGTGCGGTGGTTTGGCATCAGCGGCGATGCCAAGGACTTGCCAGTTAGAAATGTAAGAGTGAGCTATGTTTGCGAACCTAGCCCCGTCAGCCGCGTTTCCTGTCAAGTTAGCGATTGAAGCCATGGCTTCGATTCCAATAATTCCTTTCAGAGCTAAATTCGTTTGGTTTGAGAGCCATCCCGCGAAGTCGTCCGTGGACATCTGGTAGGCGGGATAGAGGGCTTCCTCAATGAGGTATTGAGCCCATTGGTTGAGTATCTTATAATGCATAGTAAGGTAGGTAATATCATTTGTTCGTTGAGCGTAAGCCAAAGTCATTATGATCATATTCCCACCTACAAGCCATGGCATCAGCATTGCCTCGGGGGAGAGAATTGCAAAAGACAGTGTCTCGTGAATAGCCTACTCTCAAGACATAACATCGAGAGGATAAAGAGCTCGCAAGACATTCGAACAAGGAAATAATACTCCGAAAAGTTGAGACTTACACTCTTCAAGGGGCTGCCATTCGTCCTGGCCGTCAGTATGGCCCGTGGCATTCGGCCAATGATAACCCCTGTGTAGCGAGGTAGTTAGCAATTACTCGATATAGATTAATCTGGGGCAAGTGTGGCATTGTATCGAGAGGATATCTTGTGACTGCTCAGAATAGGAAAGGGTTTTCTCTCCCAACACCTACAGATCATGCATTGAGTAGTTCTGTGGAAATTGTCCAGACTCTTGATTCTCAAAGAGAGGGTCAAGCATGAGCTTTACCATCGATGGCTCAAGATAGAGCAGGATTGGAAAGAATGGGTAAATGACGTCCACAGTTTGGATGTTCCCATCAGAGCTAAGTTCCTTGATGAACAAATACTGGTTTGTCAGGTTACCCACCAATTGCGTTGCTCCAAAAGCCTGTCTAGCAGAAAGGGAGGTGATGATAACGTAGTCATGACCTCCAGCAATGCGAGAATCGTTATTGATTTTGTAATCGAGAGCCGTGGCCGTAGCATTAGCAGTAGTGAAGTCGGTGTAGAAGAAGGAAAGCTTTATCCGTTAACGTTGCCTGACCTGGTAAGGCTCACTTACAGCATCGGTCTCACTCGGGAAGTAGCTCTTCCACAAAGAATTCAGAGGAACGTTGCCTGTCTGGCCATCAAAGAGAATGGCTTGCTCCTGGGTGAGACCCAAGGCGAACAGAGTGCTCACAGGAGAAGTGATAGAACCTAGATCAATGGAGAATCCAAATACAGGGAAGTCCTTGTTTATGGGTCGAAAATGTGTATCTTTCGTGTTTGCCAACTTTCCGTTCCTCTGGAAAGCTCCATGAACTGCTTTATCTGCGCCAGATTGAAATGTCACGCCATCCACCTTTTTCGTCGCCCAAAACCAATGACCCCAGTCCGCTTGGTCATTGGTCTCACTGAAGAGTAATTGTGTCTGTCGATATACCCTGTGATATGATATTCCATCGTTGGTGGTGTTGAAATCCCATTGGGCGACACTCGAATGGTCTCCGGCTACCCATTCTTGGGCAGAATCAGCTGAGGTTTACAGAAACATCGGTGAGGTCTTACCAGCAGAAATATCTGCGTAAAGTTGGACATCGTGCGGGTTTCCATCCTGCGACTCAACGGTGACCTCGAGATAGGAGAATACCAAAGACTGCCGCTTCTGATCGCCTGGTGTGATGGGCGAGAGAAAAGTAATGGTCATTTCGACTTTCCCACCAATATCCATAGAGAACACACTCTTGGTCGAAGAATACCAGAAATGTTTTTGGGTGACGGTGTGGGTTCCTGCACCAATGGGGTCTCCCATCCAAGTATAAATCGTGTTATCCACCCTGATCATTCCATTCCATCCAAGTGTCTGGCCCCTGATTGAAGTCAGATTCGGCGGAACCATAATCTTGAAGTCACTTAAGCCCAAAATGTAGGATACTGCCCGGCCAAGTAACCACCATTTCCACAACCAGCACGTTGGACAGCGTTCAGGTAAGGAGACTTGACGGCAAGAGGAATGGCCGGAGGCCTTGCAGGATAAAAAGAGGATGCGTATGTGAGGCCCAGCAACAGCAACGTGGCACACAGCGTGACAATTGTCTGGCTGATAATCTTCATCTTTTCGAGAGCTGAGAAAAACGGCCGACAGAGGGAACACACTTGACTTGAGAGGTGGAAGCCTGCTCTGTTGGAGTACGAAAACAAGACCCGAGAAATAGGCTATTGAAACAAGAGAAGTGAGGCTGAAAACGTTATGTGCAGCCGTATGAAAGCAAGGATAGTAGTAAAGAAATGATCGAGAGGTGGCCGTAGAGTTGGCCATAAGGAGGAAGGAACCTTCAAGGCGCAAAATGAAAGACTGGCTCGGAGCCAATCCACCACCCAATCCGAGGCAGGAACGACATTGAAATCATTATATGAGGCTAAAACGGAAATGACTGTTGTCTTAGCGTCTCTCGTCGGAACACTTATATGCTGGAAACAGAAGGATATTAGGGAATTAAGGAATGAGGACAAGCCGTGACGATGCAGAACCCAATTGCTTACGGGCGGCTAGTCAATGGACTGCGATGGTGTCTCTGACGGCATCGATCGGGCATCTCTGGGCCGAATCATGAATGAACGGGCGAATTGCCATTGCATCTGGGCAAAAGGTGTGAAGAGAGAAGACGGAAATTGTTGTGACATCGAGATAGCTCACTTATGGCAAGGCTTAGTGAGCTCTCCTCGTTTCCCCGCCCAAAAACGTTGTAGCGCCGGTATTCCAGGGGGCGACTGCTAATTTTCAGGGGGCTTGGCGCTGAAGGCTAGCCTCCACATCGCTAAATCTAGGACCTGAAGCCTAATAAAACTCGCTAAAGCCTCACTTCTCCAGCCCCCTTTCCCTGTTCTTCGCCACCTCCTTCAACCTCTCACCCTCGCCCCTCGACCACTCCAGATAAATCTCAACACCAAGCACATGAATCACCAATCCCAAAAACGCACAAACACCATACACCAAACTCAACATCGAGAAGATCTCCTCCGGCCGCATGATATTTAAGCTCGCATTAACAGCAACAAACACCTCTCTCCCACCTTTCTCTCCGAGCTCCGCACACGACGGATACCGTGCCAAAAGTCGAGGGAGAGAGCGAGTGAAGTTGCATGACAGCGTTTCATAGGTATGCAATATCTCTGCACAAGTGCTGACCGTTTTGTAGCGGTCGGGAGAGACCTGAACGATCGCGAAGGAGAAGACAGCCATCAGTATCCTCAACGTCAGGACCTATTCATATCAGTTTAACACCTCCCCGCCTTCCCTCTCTAATTCTCAAATTTTACTTACGGAACAGATGTGACACCACGCCCTCAACATCCAAACCCGATGCCGATCAACCCTCCCTGCCCGAATCGCCATCCAAGCTTTAAACATCGAGAACGAACTAATAATAACCAATGTCCCAAACGAAGTCTGAGCAGTGATCGTCCCGCCAAAGGAGCGACGGGTTGCGATCATACCACCCACGTTCCCCAGGCTTACGCCAAGGATCAAGAGACGTCCGAGCCAGCGATGGAGCGCTGGTGTCCTCGCTCTCAGCCGGGGGAGGAACTGGAGTGGAAGGAGTATTCCCACAGCTTCACGATATAGAATTATCGTTACTGAATTTGACTAAATTGGGATAGAAAGGAGAAGGGACATACGAATCATCACCCAAGCATGCCACCTCAGCCCCCACCCCAACCACCACGTCCTCTCAAACCAGAACTTCCCTCCCGGAGCCTGGGGACGCATCCACGTTGCCTGGCTCATGCTAAACAAGGCAAATACACCAACTGTGCCTACAAACAATACAAAGCTTTGAACACTTGTGAAGCCGGTCCATTGCAACGATGCACGTCTGAAGCGTGAAAACAACATTGGAGGCGGAGAAGAAGCCGAGCGAAGAAAAGAGTTTGATGAGGATGGTTCTGATTTAGTCTCCATTGTGAGGTTTGAATAAAGGAGAGTGGGAGGAAGATGACTGGAGAAGATCACTTGATTAAGGGGATTAATGTGAGGTTAGAGGTATGGCGTTTTGGTGGCTTGATTGTTGCTGTTTTGGGGATGTGGCGCTGTGATCGAGGTAACTTCCATGGATGAATTCCTTGGCTTTTGTACATTATTGATTGGCAATAAGTTGCATTACTACTTAATGAAGCACTTCATGGCATCATTTCTTGCTCTTCCATTGAGTTTACGTGCTTTGAAGGTCGAGGTGTTAAGGTTGGACACAGTCCACTTGGTACCCCATACATTTTGGAACATACCGCCCATTACTACAGAAGCCATAATCAGCATGTCAAATTCATGAAAGAAGTTGGACATCGCAAAAGACCGTCCCAATGCATTCTTTCTTCCAATTCCTAACTTCCCATTGCCAATACAATGACCGACTCCTGTCCTTCTTTCCCCAGCCCCAATTTCCCAGACACTCTCACCTTTCACTATCCAAGTCTTGCCTTAGGAAGACCTCCTTCCCTTAGCCCCCTCCAATGTTAACGGTCAATAAAACCGGACTCCCATCACTGACTGCACCACTCTGATCCTGCCCACCACTTGGTCCCACATCATCGTACGGAAAAGCGTAACCCCTCGCATCCGTATTCGCCGCATGAACAATCCTCGAATAATGATTCGTGGGCGCCCTCTGATAGTAACTGCTCTCAACTTCTCCGTTCGGCTGCTGAGAGTTAATCAGCAATGTGGAACGATTGAATGCTGCCGCGAGGCGAGCAGTGATGGCTCCCATTTCTGCTGTGTTGTCTTGGGAGGCTGCGAACGGCCCCGTGCTGCAGGAGAAGATATCACCAGCCGAGGGCTGAGAGAATGTTCCCACGCCGGGGAAAGTGAGGAGGTTGTTGGTTACGGTGCCTGCCACGGTACCCCATTGAGCTTGAGTGTCGACCATTAAGGGAGCGCTGGTGTATTGTGACCAGACTGCCTGGACGTAGTTGTTGTAGTATCCTGAGAAGAGACTGGGGTTCATCACAATTCCGGTGTTTGGACTCAACGCTCGAAGATTGGTGCCGTTATTACTGACGATGAGTGTGTCCCAGCCAGCGCCATCAGCTGCATTTTGTGCCTGTAGCCCGGCACAAATGGTTTCGAGTCCATTTGGAGGAATGCCAGTCACATGCTGAGTTGACCCGGAAGAATTTAGCAATAACAGCGATATTGGGAGGCAGACGAAGTCGACGTAAGTAATATTTGCAAAGAGCTGATACTGATTGAATGTGAACTCGCAGAAGTCCCAAGTCTTCTTGAAGTTCGGATCAGACGGATTCGAAACCGACGGTTCCACCAAACCTGGACCTGGGTTGAGGAGGAAGGTAAGTTTGTCGTTGACAGAGAACCAGAGTCGGGCTCCTGCGAGTTGAGGCACGGTTATCGTGGTAGTCGAGCCTGGAGGACCAAGTGAAATGTCACAAGGGACGGCTAGAGGCGAGCCGTTTGAAGACGGTGAGACCGGGTGATATGCTGTTTGGCCATCGGCCTGGAGTATAAACAGGAAGTAGTTGTTATTGATATCCTGCCCGGTAACATAGGCGTAGACATTGCTAGACGTCGTTCCGTTTCGCAGAGCAATATTGAGAGTCTGGGGATTCGACATGTCGTTTAAAAAAGTGGAATAGAGAGGCGATGATGTTGAATTAAGGGTACTCGTGATGGGCGACGGCAATTTGCTCACTTGGATATGCCAAGCACCTTGGTAAAGAAAAATCTGAGAGCGACCCATTACTCTGTAGTCACTTATCTATAGTCTTTCAAGTCATCGGCCGGCAAGCCACATGTTCAGTTGTGTTGTCTGTCAACCGGAATGTTTGTTTGCTATTTACCAAATAGGAAAGGGCTAACATGGCTGAGTAGTAAATGAAGCTACGACAAAGAACAACCTGCGCCGCTTCAGTCAAGCTCGATTGCCTTCTGACTACACAAAAACGTAACGAAAAGTATCATAAAAAGAGAAAGTCGGGCTTCAGTTGGCCCGTCAAGCGCCAAATCTGCACAATGATAACATTTCCGGCAACTGACGCAAAATCGCGATTGCAAATGCACGTCACTTGAGACATGCCGATGGCGATAGGGTATAAAGATGAAGGTTCAGAGTCGAAATTGGCTTGTCAAAAGCTCTTTTGTCTCAGTGTCCATAGTCGTGTGATGCATGGGGTGCATGACCCGGTCGGCACCCACAAGGTCAATATAACGGCCCGAAAGAACGATCAACTGTCTCGCCAATGGCCCGAAGCACCACCTCTCGGTCAAGGTGAAGGAACCTCTCAAAGTGGGGTTAAAACACCTGTTTCCCTAGAGAGCACGTGACTCCAACCCAGCCCTGAGGTAAATCGACCAGAGACTTTCTCGTCTGATCTGGTAAGATTCATAAGGTTCAGAAACTTGCAATACTGCAGCTCGCAGGAGACTTGAACATCGGATAATCTTGACAGTCGGCTGTTCTCAAACTTTCAACCCCTATGCCATGAGCAACACCAGCAAAGTCCAAGCCGAAGTCACAAAGCCTTGACCAAACCCAGCAAGTCGACTGCGACAAGCTTTAAACTCGAGCCACCAAGAACCAGAGTTCCATCGAGCACTGCAAACGAAATCAAAGACGAACCCAAAAGTCGACAGGGAAAGGAGTCGAACTGCCTCTACAACATCGAAATATTTGGCCCCAGCGCAAGGTAAAAGCCCGAATCGGAAGACTACAAAGCCACCCTCACACCAAACGACTTCCACGAAATCCAAGGTAAGGCTCAAGGTTTCAAATAGTAGAAGAAACAGTGTAAAGAATAAGTGAGGCCCAGCCGAAAAGCAGCCACGATTGTAAGGGTCAGAAAAGATCGAGGAAACAGGATGCATTCGAGACGCAATAGAGGTTTGGAAGTATCGTGACAATCAAAGCCATGGATCACGAGATATCGGATATCCTTTGCCCGCCTTTCAGCCTAGAGATCAAGACCTCACAGCTTGCCGGAGAGTTCCTGTTTCACAAGAATCAAGCATGCTTCCTTGGTCATCCGGACCATTCAATTTGGACAGGTGGATGACGGGCGCGGGTGGTATCCTGAACTCTTGAGTAGTCACAATAGAAGAGAAGCCGTGATATTGAAATAATATAAAAACGGAGTCCGCAGTATATACATCGTCGATTGCGGATGAGTGAAAGTGAATGCGCAGCCTCCCGGGCTGCGAGGAGAAAACTCGGGCATTCGGCGAAAGTGGGGCCGTCGGGACACTCAACGCCTCCAGCAGCAACACACACCCTATACCACCCCTATATAATCACAGATCCACGATATCACTCACTCCAATGCATCGACTTGCAGGCTGGTTACACTAATCTTATGATCTGCGTGCCCTGGTATTTATCCAGAGCTTAAATCAACGACAAACATGCTTGCTAACGTCGCATTCGTTCGTGTTCCCATCGTCAGTCATTTACTCATATCCTTCCATGATTCGTGGGCCGTTATATGAACGCAGCCTTTTGTCCACCCCTTCCATTCCGTCTTATGCACCACCGACCATTGAAAATATGAACCTATTCCGAGCCGCCTATGCCTTTTTGTTTTCGTGCCCCGCCGCTCTATGCTTGTGTTGTACTGTACAAATACAAAGGCGGTAAAAGAGATTATTAGGAAGAGCCGTGCAAAGCTTTGAAGCCAGCTGATATCAAACTCCGAGGGCCGGGGGGTGCATCTGCGGTGCCGGTCCAGTAGAATAACCCCTGTTTAGTCAGCTTTGCCTGTTGCTAGAAGAGAGAAATACAGCTTACTCCTAGACCCTTTTCGATGCAATAGTTTGCTTTTAGTTTGACTGTCTCGGGATTGTCGTAGGTTATGAAACCGCCATCCTCACCGGTACAGAACGCAGCAACGACCCGAGTGTTCACGATTTCTTCTGTGCCTTGGCGTGGTAGCTGTTTGTATTCGAAGGTTCCTTCTTCGCCTCCGTGCCCGTTGAAGGGTTGTCCTGGGCCAGTTGCACCTAGGAAGGACCGTCCGTAGACAGGGACACCGAGGAGTATTTTGGTGGCCGGAAATCCGGTAGAGATTACGTAGTCAACTGCTACAGAGCCTGAAGCTTCACCAGGATTCCCAGGGAACAGCTGGGCATGGTGTCCTGATGTCTGTGACCATGGACCTGTGAAGTCATAGGCCATGAGATTGAGCAAATCAAGGTAATCCTGGGCTTTGTAAAGGTCGATGTGCTGCAGTGCCCACTGCCCGGCTGGTAGAGCCGCTGATAGGATGTAACGGTCGTCTGGAAGGTGAAGTCGGATAGCAGCTAGCAATGCAAGGAAGTCTCTGCCTTGCTCAGGGTTGGAAGGATGTTCCCAGTCAACTTATGCGGTGTCAGTAGAAGCCTCGAGAGGTAGTGATGCAGACTCACTGTCTATGCCATCGAAGCCGGAAGCTTCCACGAGCCCTTTGGCAGACCTTCCAAAGCTGTCTCTTGTAGCGGCACTGGCAGCCACGGTCACGAAGTTTTCACTAGCAGCTCCTCCACCGATGGATAGAATCAACTTGAGATAGTCGTGTTCCTCCTTCAGACGCATGAATGATCCCAAGCACCCAGTTGCTCCATCAACAGGCTTTTGGCAGTCGGCCCATTCGTCACTGAGCTGGCGGTTCTGTTAGTTTCGAGATCGAGATCCTCGGAGGAAAAGACCAGCTTACGAAGACGCCACCGTCAGGAGAAACGTGAGCAAAGGCATAAAAGACGTGGCTAATGCAGTTGTAGTTCAACGATGCTGGTGTCTCATCCCGATAAACCCGATAGCTCGGATAGTACACGGCGTTCTTGCGTGTAAGGTCAGATATGCTTGCGTCCAGAGACGGCTGGGAAGGCCTTCGTGGTGCGTTCATTGGAGGTGGAACTGGTCCATGGTAAACCCCTGTCATCTTGGAGGTATGAAGAAATGTGCCGCCAGACGAAACGCTTCTAAAATCGTCTTTTGCTTCGAAGGCCACGCCGAGAAAATGAGGGAAAGGGGTTGTATATTGGCATTCTGGATATTGACACTTCCAAATCGGGCAGTGGGGCTATGCTTTGTTATGGTCTGCTCCTTCTTCAAGTTGGTAGAGAAAGGAGGACCCGATTCGTCCGCGAGGCTGTATGCAAAGATCAACCAGCGAGGGAAGAAACAAGGACGGTGGAAACTTCGTAGTGAAGGGTACACAAGAGAAAGTCCCCATATGCAGACTTATACATGAACCGGGATAGTCTGCTCAATCAACTTTGCTCACGGTCACCGCCGAGCGGGCCGTCGATCTCCCCAGGGTGGTGAAGTGTGGCAGCATCGACTGGAAGTCTGGAGACGGTGGGTCAGTGAGGTGTGTGTGGAGAGTCTAAGGTCTCAGCAACATTGTCGGCCAAGAGCGTTGGTGGGCCAAGTAAGATCCGAGGCTGGTCATGCCGAATGCTCTCCTGAGTGCCTATGACGTGCCTGAACTGAAAAGAAGTGAATTTGCGTTGCAGGGCAACACGAACATGACAGTCCGCCGGGAGTCAGCAACGGCTTCTTGCTCGATTTGCTTGATACTTCTTGGTCCGGGCCGAAACGAGACTTTCTAGAAACGGGGCTGGTGGGGAAAGCAGAAGCTGAGGCGGGCAACAATGGAGGCTGCGTTTTCGGAGTTGGAGGCGTGCATTAGCAGCATTGTCCATGCGGTGTCCATGGGTTAGTCTAGTTGAGGAAATCCTGAACTCCCTTGGATGCTTCGTCACGTTTGGCCAGGAGGGCCTCGCTGACTCGCTCATCCGTGGCTGCAGACTCCAATTTTCTATGCCTGCGATATCAGTTCAGCAGCCGGGAGGAAGCCATGACACCGCACCGCACCGCACCGCACTGTGCAAAGTCAATATGGCCACTTAATATGGCTGAGCTGAGCTGCCACCCGGCTGTGGACGACGGTCAGCAGGGTGTGAGAGTTGGAGACCGAGTGAGACAGTTGAAGCGGGGTCAGTCATGACAGAGGCAAATTTTGAGGCCAAAATCGATGTGGTGGTTGTGGCCTCCACAGCGGACGCGAGTGGGTCTCCAAGGGGGCTGTTCACGACTCAGGAGCTGCTGCTCGGCCCTCTCCCTCACCGCAGGTCCCCCAACTTTGTATTAATTGACGTGCATGATGAAGTGACTCGCAGCAGCCTCTCGTCATCTGAATGTTTAGACGAGGCGGCGCGTGCTGGCCGGATCAAAGCTCCAAAAGCGAGCTGCGGAGCCCATGGACTGGCCAAAGTTTAAGTGCCGTGAACACGCCGGGGTGGTGACGGCGTCTCGGTTCCACGGTGAAGGCGAGGCGCTTGATGAATCAGGACGGGGAGGCTGTTATGGACAGGGAGCGGATGGTAAGTCAGAGAATGCTTGGGACGGAGGGGTGTGTCCTGGGGCTAATCAGCACTCAGAACTACCTACCGCCTCGACACGCTGGCAGCCTGGCACGGCTCCTTTACGCCCTCGCACTCGCAGCCCTGCGCCTCCAACCCAGGCGCAAAGGCGTTGTTCGGTGCATATTCCGCACCCCTCTGCGGCGCTGTGGGACCGTGGGAGGAGGACCCACGCCTTCGGAACGCAGTGCTGCTGTGATTGGCGCGCAAGCCAGGTCGGCCAGGCTGCTCGTCTAGATTGCGGGATGCCCTTTTGGAATCTGCGAGCGTGTCTGTACTGTTCTGTTCTGTGTGCTGGGAGATGGGGACACGAACGAGCTTGCAGATGGAAGGCGGATCTCCTCAGCCGGCAGGATTAGTAAACGGAAGAAGGAGGTTCGGAAAGGGGGAGAAGGCGCTCGCCTCCCACAAGGCTGCCAAGGCTGCCGTGCCGTGTTTCTCGGTACCAGATTTCAAAGGAAACGTGGGTGGGACCTCCCGTATCCCGTATCCCGTTGACACCTTCGACTGAACCTCACTTTGATCCTGCACTTGTCAACAACTCGCCCGTCAAACCTTCCATCTACGTCGGTCTGCCAAACTCCGGAAGTAGCTCTCCAACTGTCGTCTGGCCTCGTGACACATCATCTCCGCATTCTTGGCCACCTCACCACCCCCTGCAGCGACCAGCATTGTGCAGACACGCATAAAACATCCACCACCGTGCCCCAATCCAGCATAAACTTCACGGAGTCTCGCAATTGTCCTGCACCATCTTGGACCGGTCTGTCGTCAGACGCGGGCCTACTCAGGGGCGGTCTCGACCAGGCGCGGAGAAGCCGCTGTTTCGATCCATTTTATCAACCAGCGCATCAAAACAAACGTCTCTCCATTCCCCACAATGGCTGGCGTTCTCTCGTTGGGTCCGGGGCCGAAAGACCTCGCGCGACAAATTCTTGAACATCAAGCTCCAGAATACAAGTTCGCGTTCTCGCCCTTCCTCCTCCAGCAATATCAACACGGCCTTTCACCAAACCGTCCAACATGCAAAGCCTACCTTCAGGGCCACTGCCCATTGGGCTCGGCCTGCCCAGACAAACACACTGCCGTGAACAGCAACTCGAACTTCAACAACCTCGTCTGCAAGCATTGGTTAAGGGGGTTGTGCAAGAAAGGCGACACTTGCGAGTTTCTACACGAGTTCAACCTGAGGAAGATGCCGGAATGTAACTTCTTTGTTAGGAATGGGTACTGCTCTAATGGTGGTATATATCCCCCCTTCCATTTCTCAAACAAGAAGCTGACTATTATTGAAGAGGAATGCCTTTACTTGCACATTGACCCCTCTAAAAAACTACCTCCATGTCCACACTACGAAAAAGGATTCTGCCCTCTTGGACCGAATTGCTCGAAAAAACATATTAGGAAGACTCTTTGTGAGTTTTATCTCGCTGGCTTCTGTCCCGATGGCAAGAACTGCAAGAAAGCACACCCCCGCTGGCCAACCGAGCTGCCCAAGCCGACCGTCAGGGTAGAGCGTGATCCCGAGGAAGTTGCCGAGGAGCAAAGAATATTGAGAGAGAACGCCGAAAGAGAGGAGCAGCTCGAACGTGAGAAATACAATGCTGGCGAGGAAGGTGGTGGTGGTGGTAGAGGAGGTGGACGAGGAAGAGGACGATGGCATGCATACGGTGGAGGGAGGGGCCGAGGACAAGGCCAGAATCGGAGAGGAAGAGGTTATAATGGTTAATGCCTTTCCGTCCTCTAGCATCCCACGACAACGGAAACATCCAGCTCGGCTTGCATGAAGCCTTGTGTTCGGTAAACCACGTGTTTTCCCATCAAATTCCCCATTGTGCGCGCATATCCATATGATTCGCAACGCAGACGCCTCAAACCTGCAGGAAAAGTCAGGTTAACGCCACAAAACGAAACGCATGAATAAGAAGTTCGATTAAGCAGCATGTCATCGCGACAGCTTCAATACAGCCCTCGCAAGCCATGAGCTCGAGCGTGCAAACAGAACACATAAATCTCAGCCCCAGATGAATAAGCCCAAGCAGATGTCTATTTTCATAAGCGAGATGGAAAAGGGGACGACGGTCCGGATGTTTGCCTTTCTCCATTCCGTCTCCCGATCTGTAGGGAGGGAGGAACACGCCCTATCGCGATTGCATGTGGTTTCCCGAGATGCGTTTTGCTGAGTAGTGGGCATTTACGAGGAATCGTAGTTGAACTCGGGCCGAGTTACCGGAAAGCCTCTCGGCGATGAAAAGGGTCACGGAAGCGAGATGGCGTTCTGGTTTCCGATAGCTTCGACCGTATAATGAAATCTCATGAAATTCGTCGCTTCGCTCTGCAGATTGTGATAGATATCCTTGACGGCAACTTATCACCTAGATTAGCACCAAAGTGAGTCCCAATTGACCACTGGTGGTTCCTTAAAGAGGAGAACATTGTGTATATTGTGTCGCTCTCGTAGAGATGAGCTGTCATGAATGGAGATTCCCTTCCCATCTACCCAACCTAAATCGACCTAACCTCCTAATTTACTTCGACTCTTCAACGCCTAAATCTCAATGCTCGCAACCCGGTAAACAAGGCTCATCCCGATGCTCCCCATAAACAGAAATATACTCGCTCTCTCCTAGCTTCAAACCATGCACATTCCCATTTCCACCATTTGAACTGCTGCCGGGGCTCGTGCTTCTGCTTCCTAAGCCCTCACTAGTCCCAACGGCGCGTCCAAACTCCTCCTTGTCCCCCACGCCTCTAACACCCATCATCCATCCTACCAACCCACTAGGAACCCATCGTCCTACAAATCCATAGACTCGACTCCCCATTCCAACCCTCACCACACCTCCCTTCCCCCAGATCATCGCATCAAACACTGCATTATTTAATTCCCGCAAACTGCTGCCCTTACCAACTACACCTCCCCCACCAGTCTTCGAGGTGACGGTAGCGTAATTCTTGCCATATGCGTGCCGAGCACTTTCTTCCCATTTTAGCATCTCTGCGCGCTGGGATGAGACTGTGAGTTGCCGGTTATGTGAGGCGAAGGGTGAGGTGTCAAAGGTTCCTAGTTGAAGGTGTGTAACAGGTATTCCAAGTGGTTGAAGCTCGGAGGAGAGAACAGAGGTGAAGGAGGAGAGGGCGGAGACTATTGCTGATTCTGGGAGGTGGAAAGCTGGGTTGAGGTTCGAGATTATTGAGGGTGTGAGGACGAGGACTGAGGGCTTGAGAAGAGCTGCCGATGGGCCGGTATGTTGGTGGGGGTGTGAGAGGGGGAGGGTTTGTAGGAGTGGGAGGAAGGTTTGGAGGGTGAGGATGGGTGTTAAAAGGCGGGTGTTTAGGAGGTCGGAGAGTGCTGAGGGGGCCAGAGTAGCTATCGGTAAAGAGGGGTAGTTCGGTGTTGGGATGAGAATCAGGGAGCGGAAATTTAGATAATGTAACTTTATGCCTTGAGCTACGGCGTGTGGTGCTTGAAGAAAGGCTGTAAAGCGGTCGATGGATCCGCGGGCGCTCTCGGACTGATGCTTTGTTAGTGATGTCCTTGAAACAAATGGAGATGAGTTTACATCTACGATATCAATCATCAGCGGTTTGATATCTGGCCTTGATTCGTTTTGGACGAGGACTTCTTCCTCGATTGTATTGCACACAATGTAGACAATAAATCCTCTTCGCTCTAGATCTAGAGAAATGGACCGAGTAATCGGTTCAGATGGGGATCCCGCAACGACCACGACCTCGACTCTTGCACCATTAGGAGCCCTCTTCGCTCTCCTTTTCTTGCGGTTCGACTTCCTTTTTATAATATGATATGTAAGTCCTCCAGCGGCGATCATAATAACAGTCGTCAGGATCTTGTTCTTCAGAACCCAGTCGTGAATTTGAGAATATGTTGAAGCGGCACATGGGAGTGTGGCCGTCCGCGGAGGCGGAGGAGGTCTCGGCCTCGCATTCTCGGGGATCCATTTCGATGAGGATAAAGCTTCTCTCAATGTGTTCGCAACCTTCTCTAAATGCTTGTCAACGTAGTCAGCCACGTCGTTCGAGTATCGACGTATGTCATTGGGAACCGAGGAGAGCTGTGGAGGAAAGCGTTGTTAGATTCCTCGAGAACCAAGATGGTGGGGTAACTAGCTACTTACTATATCGAGGAACGCTTGGTCGTCTGCAGACATGATGTTGAGTGTAATCGTGGTGGACATGTGTTGCTGCTGGAGTCGTGAAGCTCGAGAGAGCTGTGAGGCGGGGCGGGGAAGGCGGATGTAGCCCGCTCGGATGCCGAGAAACTCGTGACCAACCCCATGGGATTCACCTCTCTCCTTCCTCATCTGTCTGTATTCCATCGAAATCTGTCCTCAGAGTGCCCATCTATGGGCAGGGTGACCCAAAGCATGTATTTCACTGGCCGTAGATACTGGGCCATATGTAAGCATGAACCACTCTCAGACCTTGAAGGTCCCGTCCATGTTTGAGACTTCTCTTCCATCTTCACTCCTTTGATTTTCTTCAATATCCACAAAGATGTCTGATCAGGGGAAACCAAAGCTCAAGGTTTTTATCAAACCTCAATTTGACGAAGCTCATGAACCTGTTGGCCTCGATGTTGTTTTGTCTATTGAGTCTCCGGACCTTGCAGAAGGCTCCCCCATCGTTTCATTCCTATCGATTGTCAAGCCTGCTATTAAAACAGGTGGGGTCAAATGTTCTGATGAGAAGGGAGAGCTGCCCGCCACTTACAACGCTTTGGATAACGGTGCCGGTCTTAGTTGGACTGTTGGACGCCAAACCTGCGGAGAAGTGAAGCTTGAGTACAGTGTCTTGCCATCATCTGATAAGACACCACTTGGCCTTTGTTGCGATCAAGGAGGATTGCTAGGATCTGGCTTGGCGGCCATTCCCACTCCTCCAGCAGGCAAGATCTATCGCAACATTGTTGAATGGGATCTCAGTGAGGCACCTGATGGAACCAGAGCTGTGTGGACATTCGGAGAAGGTCCAGCACCAGTGGAAATAATCGGGACTGCCTCTATCTTGAGCGACTCCGTCTATATGGTCGGCCCTATTCATAGCAACCCGCCGACTCCGATAGCTGGAAGTATTTCAGACTACTATGGTTATTACTGGTTTGGAAACCTTCCGCCTACTATCAAGGTCATCAAAGACATGCATCACGCCCTCTTTTTGAAGATATGTGACTTCTTCGAAGAAACGCCCTCAGCGAGCAATCCCTATCGGAGCTTTGCCCGAAACACCGGGCCACGAAAGTCTTTCAATGGCAGCAACTTCACCCGCAGCCACATCTTCGACTATGACGACCAGATCGCAGAGGCAGAAGATTACGATCTTGTTCGCCGTCTAGCCTACGAAATGGCCCATAATTGGCTAGGACCACCGGTTACTGACGGGATCGACTGGCTTTACGAAGGCATAAAGAACTGTCTATCTATCTACTTCCCTTTCCGCAACAAGTTTCGAACTGGGCATTACTTCCAAGCAACTATTAACATGCTCTGCACGAGATATTAGACCAGTCCCCTTATCAACCTCCCTCATGAGGAGCTCCTGAAGCTTGTTCCTACGGATGAGTCTGCGAAAGAGTTGTTGCTAGCACGAGCTTGGGCATTCGTCGTTTCGATGGATATCCGCACACGGTGGTTGGCTGTTGGTAAGATCATGCGGCCCATTGAAGATCTCGCCATCAAACCATTCTCAAAGAGGCGAGCAACTGGCGAACCGCATGGAATTGATGAGTGGATAGAGCTGTTACAGCCGCTGTTGGGCGAGGAGACGAGAGAACGGTATGAAGACATGCTCGCCGGGAAAGTGATCCTGATTGATGTTCGGCTTTTCGGTGGTGGGGGATCACATATTTTGAAGCAAACTGATATGGAGTTTCTTGATTTTGGGATGGATAGGGAGAGTTTTGAGGAGGGCGTGGTCAGGGGACTGAAAGCAGGTAGTAGAGCCGAGCAAGCGGGTTTGAAAGAGGGGGATAGGATTGTAAAAAGTTCCTATCTTTGGAGGTGCGTGGATCACTTTGAGGAGAAGATTACGGTAGCGGTTGAAAGGGAGGGAGTGGAGATGGAGATCAGGTATTGGCCGAGGGGCTGTGAGATGGCAAAGAGTTGGCAGATGGTCAAGTGGATGATGAATGATCTCTGTACTGAATTCGAGAGCGATTTAGATAAGGAAAACTCAATCAACACCCCTGCAGCACAGATTTGAAAGTGTGTAATGGCTGGTATACGGTTATATTAGGAAAGTTAGACTTTTAGATTCGGTGATTCTTATTCTCTATTAATTCTGCAGCTCAAATTCTCGACTGGAGATGATAGTTTCTACGCATGCTACTGGAACAGGGTATTGAAGCCTTCTGAATATTAAGGATAAAACCAACTCCACATTAGAACACCACATGACAGTTGGATCAAGGATTATGAGACTCAAGAGCTCGTTCCAACGAAAACGACTAGAACAGCTGCGTACGCAGCCACTGCTGCCAGAAGCGTCCCAGTGGCTGGCGTAGAGAGGATTGCCATAGCCAAAGCAAACGGAAATACTGACAAAGTAGTGAGAAGTGACGTTAGAAGGTGTTTGTAGAGTACCATGATAAGCATAGGGGTAATGGCAGCAAATCCACCAAATATGGCCATGTGTAGTCTCTTCCAAAAGGCGCCAACTTTGATTTCCTTGACATGAGGTTTCCTTGTCCGACTAGGTACCAGTGGGAAAATTGCTTCCCCCGAATTAATGGCTTTGTTCATTAACTCAAGATCGAGGGGTCTCGTAGAAGTGATGAGGAAAGGGTCGAAGGAGCGGGTTTCCCAGCCTTTTCAGAATGTCCCACCATGTGGTCCTATCGCGAAGAGAAGCAGCTATCTCCAACGACCAGCAAACCAGTATTCCTTGCATGACCAATCAGTTGTCATTTTAAAAAACCCCTTACCGTAACTACTCAGCGCGGTCCTAATTCTTGAAATTTAGTCTGTATCAACAGTGTCCGTTTGTTTGATCTTTGCGACCTCTTCCATAATCTCTCTCTGGAGTGAGTACATCGTCATCCTGTGCAAATTTCCAAGGTTGATAATCCACTCCTCCTGATCTCGATGTAGGTGTGACCGTAGGACTTCAGTGGTACTAACCGGAGTCTCATCGATGATGTCAACCACAATGTTGTTGTTGTGTCTGAAGCATTACCGAGTTTGCGTCCGATTCAAAATTTTATGCGGTACCCGGGACTCTTGGACTATATGTCGCAGATCACCCGTACTTGGACTGCTTAGAGAACTTTAAATTCACTATATTTTGAATTACGTTAGGTACAGGAAGAGCTTGTGGATTACGTGGTTAGGAGAGAAATAATGCTTCTGGAATATTCCAGTTACGCTTTGAAATCATTTAGTAGTAGTAACATAGCTCCAGGCGTATAGTATATATACATTACTACCCCCAAGCCCCTCTCTATTCAAGTTATAATATGATATATAGTATGAACTATGAAGTAGTTAAGTACAACAGTTTTTGACGTCTGGAAAAGCCTTCTATTTTAAGTGCCCTACGCAGCACTAAGCAGCAAGTACTCTTTCGAATAATTTCTGGATATTGTGTGAGACTCATCTAGACAGTGGGCCTTCATTGCAAAACATTCCTTACAAATATCAAAATCTCCGCGATTACAAATACTGCAATGATAATAAGCATCTTTCTCTAAGATACCTAAATCACAGACGTCGCACCATCTAGTGTTTTTATCGGCAAGGACTGAAATCGTGGTAATAGGCAGGCCGTCTTCTTCAATAAATATGCCATTTTCCCTATACTTTTTAAGGAGGAGGTCGGCGATTTCAAGATATCCGTTCTTTTTGGCCCACCATAATGGTGTCCGACCAAAATTATCTTCGATATTCAAGGCATGGCCTTTGGTTAGGAAGAGCGCTACTACGTCCCCGTGTCCCATCCTTGCTGCGATTGATAGCGGTGTCGAGTTATAATAGTCCCTTGAATCAACGTCAACTCGGTTTATAGCGAGCAGCAGTTCAATAATAGCCTTGTTTCCATTCTTAGCCGCGTAAAACAGTGGGGTCCGACCAGTTCTATCCTTTAAGTCTGGTTCAACACGGTCTACTGCAAGCAGGAGCTTGACGACATCAACCTTCCCGTTGCTTGCAGCTGAGATGAGTGGCGTCCATCCGTGTTTATCCGCAACTATCACGTCGGCGCCCTGGTCAAGGAGTAGCCGGACGACCTCGACGTGCCCGTTCCAAGAGGCACAGTAGAGCGGTGTCTCTCCCTCAGAATTAGCTACTGTAATATCAGCGCCCCGGTCGAGAAGTAGCCGGATAACCTCGATATGCCCGTTCAAAGAGGCACAGTAAAGTGGCGCCCATCCGTCAGAATTAGCTACTGTAATATCGGCGCCCCGGTCGAGAAGTAGCCGGATAACCTCGATATGCCCGTTCCAAGAGGCACAGTAGAGCGGTGTCTCTCCCTCAGAATTAGCTGCTGTAATATCAGCGCCCCGGTCGAGAAGTAGCCGGATAACCTCGATATGCCCGTTCCAAGAGGCACAGTAAAGTGGCGCCCATCCGTTAGAATTAGCTACTGTAATATCGGCGCCCCGGTCGAGAAGTAGCCGGATAACCTCGATATGCCCGTTCAAAGAGGCACAGTATAGTGGTGTCCATCCGTCAGAATTAGCTGCTGTAATATCGGCGCCCCGGTCGAGGAGTAGCCGGACGACCTCGATATGCCCGTTCCGAGAGGCACAGTATAGTGGAGTCTCTCTGTCAGAATCAGCTGCTGTAATATCGGCGCCCCGGTCGAGGAGTAGCCGGACGACCTCGACGTTCCCGTTCCGAGAGGCACAGTATAGTGGTGTCCATCCGTCAGAATCAGCTGCTGTAATATCGGCGCCCCGGTCGAGGAGTAGCCGGACGACCTCGACGTTCCCGTTCCGAGAGGCACAGTATAGTGGTGTCCATCCGTCAGAATTAGCTGCTGTAATATCGGCGCCCCGGTCGAGGAGTAGCCGGACGACCTCGATATGCCCGTTCCGAGAGGCACAGTATAGTGGAGTCTCTCTGTCAGAATCAGCTGCTGTAATATCGGCGCCCCGGTCGAGGAGTAGCCGGACAATCTCGATATGCCCATTCCAAGAGGCACAGTATAGTGGCGTCTCTCCCTCAGAATCAGCCGATATAACCTTGGCACCCTGGTCAAGCAGCAGCTGGACGACCCCCTCATGCCCGTTCTGGGCAGCCCACGACAGCGGCGTCCGGCCATAGCTATCATTTGAATCAGGGTTGTTGCTACCAATTAGGAGTTGTACCGCGTTGTCGACTCCAAAGTATGCTGCTAAGTGTACCCCAGTAATTTGCTTTGGACTTCTTTGACTATATTCCACTTCATCTGACCATCGCTTTATAGCTATTAATGCTTGACTTGATGCCTCGACTTGGGCTCGCTTCTGAAGAAATTCTATAACGCCTTGATACAAAGTCGAAGCCTGCCGGGCATGATAACCCCAGTAGTGTGCAGCATAGTCGTACAACTTGTTTAATTGAAGCCGCTGTTCAAACTCCTCGTCGTTTTGGCAAATCCCACTCTCGAACTCGTCAAATGAGAGATACGTAACGCAGATTGTCGTAATATTAGCCTCTGCATTTGGAAACCACTTTGTCCGTGTCCGGTCAAAGTATTCCTGAGTCGTGTAATGAACCAAGCGGATAATACTGCTTTCCTCATCAACTGTGACTAATCCTGCACACACAGATAGTATGTCTTCGACCTCTGGAAGATTATCTTTATCAAGCTCAGAGTCACCAACTTCTATAGCAAGGGCGTGTTGGAGTTCCGAGGTGGTCAACGGTCTCTTTCCACATGTAATCCAGGACAGGACTTGTTTGGCGAGCTTTTCCTGGTCTTCTAGTTGCCCATCGATGCGGTCCATTGCGTCCTTATATGCACAATCATATACATTCGTTCCGGTCGGTAGCTTTGCAATAGCGGATCGAACGGCTTTAGGTGATCTCTTTCCAATCAGGGAATCGAGATAGAGCTGTGCAAGGAGGAACCTTAAAACATGTTAGCGCTTCGGCTTATATACGGACATAGGGAACCCACATTCCCTTTACTAACAGCACAATCCCAGTCTTAATCTCCTCTTGCAGGTCCGGGTTACGTCCGACGAACGCCGGGAGTCGAAACATGTGACTATCGAGATATCGTCGCACGTCTTCCTCACTAGCACGAATCTCTAATGAAATGCTCCCTTCAAACTTCTCTATAACTTCGGGCATAAATCTTGAGGTCGCAAAAATGTTTGCTCTTGAATTCGCTTGAGCTAAGAAAATCTCTGTCAAGAGTCTTGTTCGGCAGCCATCAGTAGTTCGACACTCATCGAGTGCATCAATAATAATAAAGACTTTCGAAAATATTGCGGTCACAGACTGGAACGTTCTCGATATCTCGTCAAACGATGGTCGTGTTCGTTTGTCCCTGTGTTTTTCATGGAGGGTCTTCACACTCTCTGGTAAGAAAGTCCTCTCCTGGCTCAATTGTTTCAACAGGCTTGCGAGCAAGTCATCGACCTTCTGCTCATCTTGCCGCCGGAAGTTGCAATAGAGGTACGCAATGCCAATGCTCTCATCATTGCGGAAGCGAGTAGTAAGCTCCTGTACGACAATGGATGTGAGAATTGTCTTCCCGGCCCCAGGAATTCCTGGACAGAATAATGTCTGCTTATCGGTCTCTAGCCATGCCTGGAATTCTGCTGAGTCTAGAAGCCATTGGCCAGTTCCTGCCTGTCGGCGACTGACGAAGTCGTGCTGCTGAGCAGTGTAATCGGTAGGGGTGAGCCAGGTGAGAATAGACTGACGCTCGTCACGTAGTTGCCTGTCTTCCTGTTCTTTTCTTACTCCCTTGACCTCTTGATATGTTGTGCCCCCATCTTCGCGTAACCTTTTTAAACTGGTTGTCGTCTCATCCTGCCAGTCACTAGCTTGTTTGAATTGTTTGTTCTGCTCTTTATCTAATCCATCTAGCTTCGCTTCGTTATTTTTGATGACGACGTGGATATCTCGAAGGTCTTCTGCTACGTTGCGGACGTATCGTTCTACTCCGTGGAGAATTGTTCTAGGCAAAAGATAATCAGGAACGGGAGAATTAGGTGGAGTGTGGGGAATACCGTTGGTCGGTGTGCAAAGCTAGCACAAATAGCTCCTTGGCTCCGCCCAAAGCCTCTAGCGACGTCTTTACCCTATAGTCAAACTTCGATCCCATAACGTGCTTCCCAATGAAGCTGCTTTTCCCCACAAAATCTTCGATAATATGTAGCGCTCCTTCGCACTGTTTGAGTACGGGCTTGAGGGTTTCCAGACTGCTGAGTCGCGCTTCGTCGTCATCGTAAATCTCGAGGTGTGTTTGGAAAGTTTTCACTGCTCCAATGAATCCATATAAAGCAGTTGTCATAGAGGCTAGGCTAGAGGAACCGAATTCAGATGGGCCTAGAAACTTTCTAGAAAGCTTTAGACATGATCCGGCGAGTTGGATGACAGCGATGACGCTGGCGGCAAGGCTGAGTCCGTCCATGTTTCGTCGACGCTGGCTAGCTCTAGTTGTGATGTCAAACGCAGCTCTGCTATCCACGGGGAAGCAGGTTGAGCGAAAATGATGATGAAAGAAGATTGCTTGCTGGCTTCGCAGATGTCGTCCGCACTCAGCCTCACGAGGCTGAATCCAACCTCCCAGGCAGATTGGGGCTGGACGCATTGGCCGCATCACCGGGCCAGGTGTAATCGTCAACAAATTGCGGCAGCGACTGACCCGACACATTCTTACCGCCAACGCGAGTATCTGAGGTCTTATAGAGCGTCTACTATTGAAATCCACCCATTTCTATATACTCAGGAATGATCCAGATCGAAATTAGAGAGGATGGGGATTTTTTGATGTGGTTGCTCGGGCTCTTGGACTGTACTTTTTCTGACGAATGAGAGCCGTTCCAGAGCACTGCTTTACTCCGTATGCTCAGAGACAGAGACCAATGGTAGCACCATCGGGAAATGCCAGCTTTCGATTACTGTATTGGGGAAGCAAGGCTCCGGTTTTTCACCGTGCGGCAGTCCTCCTTGAGGAGATGAGCACAAAAGTGTACTTCTTTGAACTTCAACACCTCCCTTAACATCTCACACACAATCACCACTCGGTGGATGCCGCCTATGCATGCGCCGAATATTCAGGTGTGGCGTTGGAGGGACTCTTGACAAATCATTCGCGAGATTCACAGCCAAGCCATAATAAGAAAGTCTGGGTACAACTGATAGAGGTATTGGTTAAGATTCTCAGCAAGTTTTCAACATTCTCATCGAGTACTTGTTTTTGAAGCAGAGGAGAAAATCTGGAGATGTCAGGTTTCCCCCGAAACGAGATTAAAATAGCAACTTTTAGCGAGCGTACGCGCTAACACCCGACACCCGAGAAAGGCAGCACTGACACGTCTTCAGCCTTGCCTTCGTGATTACAATTCGTCCAGCCCCAACTTCATTCACGGCGCAGGCATTCTGGAGGATTCTAGACAATCACATTCCTTCCTTGAACAAAAAGATACCCCCTCCTATCTTCCTCATCGTTCTGGGAGGTTTTCTCGAGTCAACAGGTCTTCCGCCACTTTCCCCGAGTCCAAGACCATCAGCCTTGTTGGCACGCAGGCAAAGATGCCGCCGGAACACGACGCGCTGATCTCTCAATACTCTCACCTGAACACCTTCCCTCGCCAAGATGAAGCTCTTCACTCACTGCGAAAGATCGCATCACTGGTTAAACCAATCATGAGAGTGCGCAGCTGGAGAGTAGGCACATTGACAGAATTTTACCCCGACCAGACCAATCTTTTAGGTGAGAGAAGTGACTTCTGTCATGTGCTAGATGCTGATTCTGCTAGGACTTAATGTCAATCATGGAGAAAAGATATGTCTTCGACTACGATATCCTGGAGACAAGAACCAGTTCCTTCCTTTGGAACAGGTCGTCGATACCATGCTCCACGAGCTCTCACACAACGAAATCGGCCCGCATAATGCTCAGTTCCATGCTCTTTGGGATCAACTCCGAAAAGAGTATGAAGGTCTAGTTTCGAAAGGATACACCGGGGAAGGCTTCTTGTCCGAAGGTCATAGACTCGGTGGCCGGCGTATTCACCGAGACGAAGCTAGGCGGATTGCTCGTGCGGCCGCCGAGAAGAGACGCACGCTCTACGCAGGATCCGGCCAGAAACTTGGTGGACGACCAGTCGCAGCCGGAACCGACATTCGAAAGGTCATCGTCGACGCGATCGAGAGACGGAACACGGTCCTCAAAGGATGTGGTTCTGGGAATAAGGACGAAAAGGAGATCAAGGACCTTGCCGATGCAGCCACAAGGAACGGATTTAAGACGAAGGGCGAAGAAGATGAGGCGAATGATCGGGCTATTGCTCAAGCCCTCTGGGACCTTGTTCAAGAAGACGAGAAGGAGGAATATGGTGAATCATACGTCCCTCCGACAGCATCGAATCCAACAGGCAATGGTGGCGGAAAGGTTGGCCCAGAACAAGCCATTAAGCAAGAGCCACCCTCTAAACCCCCAGCTCCTGCCCGTACAAAGGCACCTCCTATTAGACAACATCCTGATCGACCTGTCAGTCGTCTAGTCTCCGAACAGACAAACAAAAGACCAAGAACAATCCCGAAGAAGTCGGATACCTATGCCTCTTCCTTAACCTCAGCATCAGCAACCGCAACCGCACCCAAGCCAACATTTGTTGCAGCTCCAGATCCCCCTTCACCCGAGCCATATCTTGATGGATGGACCTGCCCAGTCTGTACCTTACACAACCCCATCAGCTTTCTTGCCTGTGATGCGTGTACCTTGGAACGCCCACCAGAAATCACCAAGCAGATAGTAGAAGCGGACCGCAAGGCAGTCACAACGACGAAGCCGCCAGGCCTACAAGATTCTTGGAGATGTTCGAGATGCAGCACGATTATGGAAAATAAGTGGTGGACTTGCTCGACTTGTGGGAAGTTGAAGGATAAATCATGAAAAGCATTTATTAGATTATGAGACCACGAGAATACGAATTTGGTGCGGAGTTTGGCATCTCCTTGCATTTGGGAAAGGAAACGGGAATACCGGTATTGTGAGCGCTCTGCTTTCTGCATTGAGCAGCGCGCAATGTGTACATGTGCTAGGTAATTAAACTGATTTGCAACTCTGCTTATCCAATCTTTCTATGTTTTTGTTTCTTGATTAATCTCCTGGTCGCTGAATCAGAAATCTTATTCTGGATCTCCTCCACCTTCGAATTCCCATTCTCTCTACTATCTGTCACTCAGCATTTCACGAGTTTGTGAATCTTGAAAATTCCAAGCAAGACCTTCGTTTTCTCCGGTATATCGACTATTATTTCCAGAGCATGCAAATTACTACTTCTTTGCTAACTATGCTTTCCACTAACAGGAATGTGAAGTACAAAATTGTTTGCTGCTCCAACTTGACGTTTGCTATCAACCGTCGGAATTCCGCTCAGCGTGGTGGAGTGGGTGGGGTAGTGGGGTAAGTTAGACCCCGCAATCGGACTAGGGTGTAATCAGCGTTCCTTTTATACAACATCTCCTACACATCCCTATCCTGTTTCTGCAAAAGTTTTATCATCTATTTTCAATTTCAAAATGGCAGACCTAAAGCCCCCACAAACGACAGCTTCAAGGCTCCGCGCTTTGCTAGCTCAAGAACATGGAATTGTGGTGTGTCCAGGGGTTTACGATGGCTTCACAGCTCGACTTGCCCTTAATGCCGGGTTTAAAATTTTATACATGGTATTACTGTTCTTCAAATATTTGCTTTGCAAATGAGAACTGATCTAAGTAGACAGGAGCAGGCACCACCATGTCACGTCTTGGGATAGCCGATCTGGGCGTTGCAACTATGAACGATATGCGTGATCACGCTGCCATGATCGCCAGTCTTGACCCTACAGTCCCTTTGATCGCAGATGTTGATACAGGCTATGGCGGTACTACCTCCGTTCCCGGAACCCTGAGCTCGAACTAACAATGACAGGTCCTCTTATGGTAGGCAGAACAACAGCCGCATATATCAATTCAGGAGTCGCTGCTTTCCACCTCGAAGATCAAGTGGTGAACAAGCGTTGCGGCCATCTGAAAAACAAAGAGCTTGTCGATGAGGATACCTTCACCTCCCGGATCCGCGCTGCATCAAACATGCGAGCTCAGCTTTCCAGAGATATCGTGATTATTGCACGGACCGACGCTCTCGCTTCTCTAGGTTATGAAAGCGCTCTTTCACGATTGCGGAAAGCCGTGAAGGCTGGTGCTGATGTTGCGTTTCTTGAAGGCGTAACGAGTGTTGAGGAAGCGAAGAGGTTTTGCGCGGATATGAACGGTGTGCCGTGTCTTTATAATTGCGTTCCTGGGGGCGTGAGTCCGGTGTTAAATGTTAAGGAGGCGAAAGAGTGTGGGTATAAGGTTCTTATTACGCCGATACTGGGGCTTGGGGCTGTGTATGAGGCGGTTAGTAAAGCGTACAAGGGGCTAATGGAGGATGGGGATACGAAGGGGAATGGGGTTGCTGTTAGGACGTTATTTGAGAGTTGTGGGTTGGATGAGGCGGTGGAATTTGATGTGAAGGCTGGTGGGAAATTGTATCAGAATGGTGTATGAGGATCAGCGAGAATTCATGTCTCTTGTTTTCCGAAGCCACGCGATGAAGCAATGATAAATTATCTTTCCCCGCTGAGCAGAGCTCGAGGGGGAGGATTTCACCAAGTTGATCAAAGTGATTTAATTGGGGCGGGATGACGACGTTGCTGCCATGGAACTGCGTGCTGTCTTTGGAGGATGCTTCAAGTTGGGAACAGTCGACTGGATCTTGGAAACGCAAGCAAGTAATTTACCAGCCCTGGCATACGTAACGGCATAGCTTGGTCATAGATGAGAAGCCCTTTCCATTCTGGGAAATCCAATGATCTCGGGAGGAAGTCACAACGTGAGGATCATCAACTCAGATTTGAATTTAATAATTATCTGACTGTGTCATCAATGCTCCCACTCCCTTCGCGCTTGCCTCCAAACCTCCCACCAATCGCACCAATCCCCCCAAATCCACTCACTGCAACGAATTAGCAAGATATGTCTTTGGAGAGTAGAGAGCCGGGAGCGAGCTGGGAGCTTGTCTCATTCTCCCAACCGATGGATTAGGGAACCTGGGGTACGGAATAAAGAAATATCTTGCTTACTGTCCCTTCTGAAGAACTTTCCGATGCTCTTCAGGTTCCCTTCCACGGTTGCTTTAGCATCCTCACTCATCGGACTCCCCACCCGATCACTACCAGTACCCATCCTCTCCACTCCATCCCTCGCAGCACTAAACAGCTTCTCCCCAAAACTGGCAGGATCGAACCTCGTCTGCAGATTCGAGACGCCCGATGCAGCACCCAGTGCTGAAGCTGCACCGATTCCTAATCCTCCACTTCCAATACCACCAGAATTCATCAGCGGCGTCAAGAGAGGACTCATTGCCACAAGCTGCCCATTGGTCTTCCCATCTCTATGCACACCAAATAGTTCAACGAGAGAGGGCTGATCTTGCTTCCTTACACCTTTCAGCTCGAGGATTTTGCGGAAATTCGTATCGGAGCGATCACTGATGTGAATCAGGTAGGCTTGCACGAGACCCTCGGGGGGCGACGGCCGGACTTGAAGGGTTTTGAGGAGAGGATCGAGACGGCCCATGCTGTGGTTTACGCGCTTGACGAAACCGGCTTGGGTGGTGGTGGATGATGAGGCTGCTGTGGGTGAGTGCGAAAGAAGGGTTGTGAGACCTTTCGTGAGCACATATTTATCTAGAAGCATCTGTGACCTGTCAATATATGTCATGTGAGAGTAAGAGAGGGGCACCAACCTGTTCTGCGCCAACCTCTGACACCGGCCGGCATTGAACAATATTTGCGATATATGTGGTTGCCAGGTGCTCCACAAGATTATCGCAAAATGCTCTGGCATACTGCTGTTTCCCGACCAGAGGCAAGATCTGCTCCGCTTGAGCATTGACATGCTTCAGTAGCTCAGCAACGTAAGAGCTTTGATCTCCCACACTTTCCATCTTGCTCCAGTTTGTATTCCTCATTTCTCGCCATGAGGCTTCACAGTCGACTTCCACTCGATGCACCAAAGCTAGCACTGCAGCACTTGCAACGCCCATGAATGCATCTGATTGAGGGGATAGGTCAACCTTCGGTGCGAAGTCGCTGTCTATTCGCTTCTTCAGGTTTTCCTCCAGCTGTTGGGAGTTTGCGTGCCAATAATCCGCGGTGTTGAGCACTAATATTGTGTTCTGGAGACTCGGGCCTCCAGGTACTTGCAAGAAATGCAGAAGAACCTGTTGAGCATATTCGTCGAGGTACTTAGCAAGCGTTTTTGAGAGGTCCAGTAGACGTTCTCCAGTAGATAGCTTGGCACATTGTGCCAAGGTCGTCTTGTAGAAATGGAAAAGTTCGATCGACGACGGTATTACAGCTTGAGGAGAGAACTCCTCGTCGGGTGGAAGTAGAGGTTGATTCCGGTATTTCGGAATCATCGACGCCAATTGCTTGTCTTGAGAATCAACCCACAGACTGAGATATGGCTCGAACGCCTCCGAAATCGAACGATCAAAGGTGTGAGGTTTGTCTTCGATAGAACTAAGTGTATCGATACTTGCTCTAGGCTCGCTGGCGAATCTCTTCTCCAGGCTGTGCTCGAAATCCATTGTCTCTTGCAAACAGCTCAGCAGCAAGTTGACATCGATTTTCGCACCATCCGCCCGCCTCATACTTCTTTCCAAAATTCCCTTAAAATCATCTCTCGTCCCTTCACAGAAGGCGTTCGCCAGCACCTCATTGACCCTCCACTGTAGTGGGAAAATACCGGCATGCTCATCCTCATAGGTCTTCAACATCCTCCGGAACCAGCTGTACCTCCTTCCAATATTATCCAAGCTGCCAGCCTCATCATTGCCCCTGAAAACCTGTCTGTATTCCCGCAACTGCGTATTGACATACCAGGTCACCAGTCGCGCCCTGGCATTTTCTCCAAGTGCATCCATAACAAAGCAAGCTTCTCCTAACACACCCTTCTTTGTCGCAACCTCCCCCTTCGCAAACGCCATCTCAAAGTCCTCACAAACCTGCTCCAGCAACTCCCTCTGCAGCTCCGCCACATTTCGGCTCAGCGTCGCAATCTGGTCAATACTCCTATAGCTGTTAAAATGCTTCATAAGCTGCAGCACAGCTTGTAGCAAGCTTGCACAGTCCCTGTACTGCCGTGACTTCGCCAGCCCTCTCAGTTGTTCGTAAGCTGTCGTAAGCATCTGCAGCCGCTTCAAGGCCGTCATAGATAATGTGAGGTTCCGCTTCGTACCATCTAGTCGTTTGATCTCTGCCGTCATGGATGTAATTGTTTGCTCGGTCTCGAAGGCTCGCGTTCGCACCGATTCGACCTTGCGGAAGAGCTGGGCGAGCTCGTCTTTGGCGGATTGCATGCGCTGGAGGCTCGAGTCATCGCTGGAGGCTTGCGCAGCCACGAGGGCGGATATGGAGGTTGAGAGGTCATCTTGGTGGGCTTGAAGGGCGGACGCGGTGACGTTTATGGAATTTAAGGTGGACGGATGGGAGAATATTGTATTGAGGTGTTCAATTGGATCAAAATCGACTTCGTAGAGAGATAATCAGCATGGAGTTGTGGTGAATGACAAAGGTCCAGCTTGAGGGAAGGTAACCTACCAGCATCTAACGACGGCGCTGCTGATGCACCGTTCATGCTGCTAATCCTAATTCGAATAGGACAAATAAATGGCACGGCCTGCTCTTAAGACACATAGATGACGTCGTTGGAGCTGTAGCAGTCAAATCGTTGTGGCTCCGTGTTGAATTCCGGTGGTGAGGTTGAGATTCGTGTTCACAGAAAACTCGCATAAACTTGCATAGTTTTATGAAGAATAAGCCCCTTTCCCCTTTCTTGCAGCCAAGCGAACAGGACAAATGAACCACAGGCCGATATCATTTTAGAAATGATTAGATTTCACTTCAATATCTTCCACTGATACGAGAGCAACTGTGTTCTCTATCTCATTAAGGAGTAAGCAGTCTTGTGAATTACTCGTAGTAGGAGCCTGGAAGAATATAATGTCTATCATCTAATCTATCTTTGTTAAACATACAACTTATCTTTCTTCACTTTCGTTGTCTCTTCTAGCCGCGCAAAAGCTAATCTACCAATATCAGGGTGCCCTCCCTGGGCATAACTGACATCCCCAAGTCGAACCTTCACTTCCTTCACTAGTCGCGCCTTATCCATGCCATCCATGTTGACACCAACATCCGGCATCCGTATCCAAGGACTCTCTTTGGCCAAACTGGAAACGAATCCCAGGTAATCCGGAACGATAGTCTTCCTCGAGAAGATGACTCCCGTAATGGCACCAGCCAGCATCACAACCGTTGAGAAAAGGAACACTCCAAGCCAGGGGAAATAACAATAATAAACCTGAGCATGAGTCGTCAAAACAGCAGGGACCGTAAATGCGGCTGTTTGGTTCTGAATCATGGCGGCAAGTTCAGCTCTACTGGCTGGAACAAAACTGGCATTTTTGCCGCCAAACAGGTTTCCTTGCATGCCTTCAAATGATTCACCGATGAGGAAGACAGACGCATTCCACGTACTCCCGTACACAAACGCAGTTAGTATCTGGCCAAGCCGAGTCCCGATGTCGCTCAACTCAACTTCAGAAAGAAAGTTCGGCAAATCTCCTGCCCCGAGAAGAAGCGAGTTATCGTGGTCAATCACATTGATTGGGTCCATTGGATCATAGACAAGGTAATTCTGGAGCTCGTTGGTTGCATCGTGGATAGGAGTGATGTTTTTGAGAAGGGAAGACATGCCTAAAGCCACCAAGGGAAAGTTGAGGTACGTGATTTCCGGTGGCATATGGGGGAGGATGGAGGAGCGCTGAGCAGTCACCTGACATTGCCGAGTATTTTCTGTCTTCATACAGAAGACCTTGGACTCAACGTACTTCTGATATGGGTTGCAGAAAACGGTCGTCGCGTCGCCGGGGTCTATTCCATCAAATTCCTGGAAGGCAATTGTACCCGCCTGGATTGTCTGGCTCATAAAGTCTGGACTTAAACAATCTGGGCAAAACTGTGGAGCCACATAGGCGCCTTCACTGGTGCCGTTGTAGGCTGTAATGTCCACCCCTCTATAGCCTATAATCCAAGGGTCGGTAAGATCCGGATCCTCGGCACTGAAATAAGGGCCTCTTGTCGAGACGAAGGTTGAGTTGATACGTGGCCCACTGGGTCCATCAGGTCCTTCCAAACTCTCGAAGGTCTTGTTGGTGCAGGTTAATTCCATATAAGTTGACTCGATATTGAAAGTAGTGTTTCCGTAATTAATTCCAACGACCGGAATTCCGAACAGGGAGGACCATATAAGATTACCATTGGCTGTTGCATTCAACGAAGATATTTGCACCCAACCTTCACTATCTGGGGCAATGCCAGAGGCAAGAACGCCGGACTGATAGGGAATTTTGACGTTTCCATTGATGTCCATTGTGCTTGCTTTAACTTCGGACGGGGCAATCATCATCGAGCCCATCTCAATCGCTAGAGAATTGAACCATTGCTGAGGAAAGCTTGAACTCGAATGGGGGTTAGAATAACTCTGCTGACGTGAATTGACGTAAGCCACACTGGAGACGGATGAGGTAGCCTGCACAGGCGTGTATAATATATGCAAAATGCTTTGGGCGCCGATCGGTGAGAGTGACCAGATAAAGATGATGAGAAATCCAACTATGTTGAAAGACCGAAGTTGTACTTGGGTTGTAAATGCGCTTGCGACGGTCCTGCTTCCCATCAATTGCTCCAGGACACCAATCGTGGTTCCTTGCTCGAGCTTCCATGTCGCGTACTTAATCGCTGCTCTGCCAGTGATGGCTGCAAAGCAAATTGGGAACAGAGTGGTAGCCTGTAGAATACAAATGAGCCGAGATTCATTTTGAAGAGCCTGCCAGATTAACTTGCCCCTTTGATAGAATGGTCTAAGATAGAGAACTGTCCTTCGTCGACCACCCTTCCGTTAACTGCTACCACTGCGGCTGCGAGAACGAAAAACGGGATAGGCAGCATGACCTGCACCCCGTCAAGCGCTAAGTCCCACCACCTCCAACCTCGGATGCCTTTGTAAAGCCGCTGTGGTCGAGCCGGCCATGGTTTTGCTTGTAAACTTGAGGGGCTGTGTGGGCTCTGAATGAGTAACTTTTCCGAGGGCGTTCCAGACTTTGAGAAGAATGTATCTGTAGACTCCTTAGGAGAGGCCCCTTCGATAGTAGAGGCCTCATCTGGAAGCTGTTCTTTCGACATCTGGAAAACAAGCACAGTCACAAGGACTGGCGCAAAGAACGAAGTTTCTTTGGTATAGTGTTCAGTCTCGAGGAGGGGGGCAAAGCAAAGGCCACCCGTTTAGATATACACAAGATAGTGCAGGGTGGCAGCCGGAATTTCGAAACCTTATCGATGGCGCACAACCGTTTGAGCAAGTACATCGGCATGTCGTGGCGGAGTGGGATAGCAAAAGCACGCAACCTTCAACGACGGTCCAATGCCTGTTACCATTGCCAAATATCAAGCTTTTTGAATGCTGCTGAGCACTCATAGATCGCCTTAACACGGCCTTCTCAATTGAATCACTCGATCCCAAGAGTCTCGTCAATTGCTTAAGCAGGAAGTGAGATAAACTGCTTTCGCCCTGTAAGGTTTGTAGAGCTTCAGATCTCCGCACGGACCGGTTCCGATCTGAGACGCGCATCGTATGGTGTGCATGGCAATCCTCCAATCTGCTTGCTGAAGCAAATCAGGCTAATTCAAACCTGGGGGAACAATCAAGGTTCGGGATTTACCCTGAAATGCACGGTTTCTTGAAGGTCGAGTGCACCCCTCCAAGCCGCATCTCAATCTCCTATGCAGCTCTCAAATCGAAGCATCTTGTGTCTCTGTCCGACTGCAGTGGTACGAAGTGACCTCGGGGGGACTCTCTGCCAGCATCCAGTTTTCAGAGGGGCGAGAACTGGCTGGAGCGACAGCTTCGTCGATGGGGGTGGATTGGAAGTGTCTGCGAAGAGAGGGGTGGTTGAGAGAAGCTTGGTCCCCCCTTTTTGCCCCACCAAATTTGATCCCAACTCGCCTCGCGGGTAACGGCCTGCTCCCGTCAGCCTGTGCTTTTTAGGCTCGTTTTATCGCTTAATTTTTGCTCCTTCTTCAAAAGGCGCAGTTTAATATTAAGTAGTACGAAAGGACAACTTAATAGAACCTTGTAGAATATAGTTCTCTGCGAAAATTATACTTGATGTATTTAGGCTTTGAATTTAGAAACAAAATCCCTGGAATTGAGAAAGTTTAAAGTTCCTTCGGGGGGCTTCAGGCCTGAAAAGCACAGACTTACGGGCGCAGGCTCGTAAGGCGTCAAGCCCTTGCTTCGCCGCAACATCTGTCCGAGCAACTACAACTGCAACTGCAACTGCATGACTGCAAGGCATGAAAGAAGAAAGCATATTTTTGGTGCAAGATACGAGCAGTTCAAGCACCGTTGATGTTGACATTTGATGTCACGTGACCACTCGTACCCGGATCTCTTTCAGCTGCAGTAGGCTGATAAGAGACCTCGAACCTCAAATAACTTGTCCTCGGCATCTCTGAACGCATAAAAGTTGAAGTTTGATCCATCCAATCAAGTAACATGGTTAAATGTGCCCAAGCTGGCTTTTCTTGTAGGCATGCAACACTGTACAATCTGACAGGAGAAGGTAGCATTCGTCGAACCACAGCGCCATCCAAGCTGAAGATAAATCCAAATATATGTGCATTTCCAGGGCATTCCTCAGACCAACTTTGACTGACATGATACAGTCAGATCTCGCGGAAACAATCTATACAAAGTTGATTCCCTTGCTGCTTATGGAGTTGGACTCGAGTTCCGTTAGACCCGAGAAGGACCGTTTCATGCGCTGTACCTTTGTGGTCAGGCTGGTCGACGAGATGGTGTACAAGTTGTGTGAAAGATCAGGGTAATGATGAAGAAATTTATGTTTTGCCGTCATATATGAGAGTGCTTGTGCGAGCTTTAAGGGCCATTGTAACGTTCTTGTATTTGAGGTGGGAATAGACTTTTAACCTTCCGAAATCAGGACTTCGAATGAGACAGAAGTCCAGCGGTTTTTCGGAAACAAGCCACCTTTCTAGGTTTTGATGTCCACAAATTGCACACAAGCCATGCTACAGCCTGCACTTGCACGGGTTCATGAAATTGCTTAATGGTGCTCGGACTTGCGAAACCATAGCTCTCATGAACAGCGGTCCTGGTACTTGTAGACAGGGTGCAGAGTCCGTACGAGGAGAGTCGGACGAGGGGCTACAAATCTTTCTGTCCCCGTGCTCGAAGCCAAGGTGGACCAACTCGGGCCTCAGTGGCTAGAGAGAAGATTCAAGATTCAAGATAACCTCAGCCTCAAGCACATGAAAAATATAGACCCACTGCCTGGACAGGGCCTCGGCGCTGTCCCAGTATTTGAGTTTGCTGCTGACTGATCAGGATGGCGACAGCCACCAGAGCGAGGCTGAGTGGGGTTGGCCGCTGGGCTGGCCAGACCGCCTGGGTTTGGAATCACTCGCGTTCCTGGCGGGAGCACGAAAACAACACGACAAATTAGAAATCAACCGCACACGAGAACGTTCTCCCCACAACAGAAAACCACTCGATTCCTCATCCTCAACTTGCTCTCCAACTACAAATGCGCGACACTGCGTCATTACGAGACTCGTAAAGGAAGAATTGACGTTAAAAGACGACAGAGAAAAGACGGTCAAGCTGTTTTCCTCGGCGCTGAAACGAACTTTGCGCTCTGGTGCCTCGGGACTTTCGATTGCGGCTGCAGCGAGTATACAACAGAAGCCGGTACAGAAGAAGAATAGTGCGAGTCTCCTAGTCAGGAGCGCGGAGAGAAGGATGCACAGCAAGGTTGTTAGTGAGTTCTCCCTTCAGCTGGATGGTCTTCCAACGAGGCTGCGAGTGGCCACAAGGCTGCCGTGAAGCTAGACATATACTGACTGGTTTGGAATAGTCATTGGCTCCGGCCCTGCAGCACATACAGCAGCTGTGTACCTATCGAGAGCCGAATTGAAGCGTATGTTGCCCTTAATTGTAGTTCACGGAATGTTACTAATAAATAGACAGCTGTGCTCTACGAAGGCTTCCTTGCAAATGGCATTGCAGCAGGTGGACAATTGACAACTACTACGGACGTTGAAAACTATCCTGGCTTCCCAGATGGCATTGGTGGGGCTGAATTGATGGTAGATCTCCCCCAAAACTGTACCGTATGTTGACATACTAACATTCACAGGATGCCATGCGCAAACAATCTGAACGATTCGGCACCCAGATCATCACCGAAACCGTTGCCAAAGTAGACCTCTCGAAACGACCTTTCAAATACTGGGCCGAATACGAAGAAGACAAAGAACCCCATACCGCGGACGCGATCATCATCGCAACAGGAGCCTCAGCTCGACGATTGGGTCTCCCAGGAGAGGAAAAATACTGGCAGAATGGAATCTCCGCCTGTGCAGTCTGTGATGGTGCTGTTCCGATTTTCAGAAATAAGCCCCTGGTGGTGATTGGTGGTGGGGACTCGGCCGCTGAAGAAGCTATGTTCTTGACGAAATACGGATCGCATGTCATTGTTCTGGTTAGAAGAGATGTGTTGAGGGCTTCGAAGACCATGGCGAAACGATTGCTGGCGAACAAGAAGGTCACTGTGAAATTCAACACTGTTGGTCACGAAGTCAAGGGCAACGAGAAGGGATTGATGAGCCATATGGTTGTTAAAGATGTGAAGACTGGGAAGCTGGAGACCCTGGAAGCGAACGGGCTGTTCTATGCCGTTGGCCATGATCCTGCGACGGCGCTGTTCAAGACCCAAATTGACACCGATGAGGAGGGATATATTGTGACAAAACCGGGAACGAGTTATACCAACATTGAGGGAGTGTTTGCTGCAGGTGATGTGCAGGATAAGCGATACAGACAGGCTATTACCAGTGCCGGTAAGTCCCCAGACTCTATCTCTTTTACATTTGCTAACAAATATAACAGGTTCAGGATGCATAGCAGCTCTCGAAGCAGAGAAATTCCTCGCTGAGCAAGATGCCGAAGTCGAAAACGATCTCGACCAAGAGAAGAACGCTGCAAAAGGCAATAACGTTGTCGTACCGGAGTACAGATCCAATCCTCTTTTGTAGAGCATGGTTTCATGATTTGAATTCTTGATTGTTTTGATGGCATATGTTTAGAGAGACCTTGGTCATAGATTTATACTTGGGCATGGTTTGCATCGAAGAATAGAATCTTCGAGTCCTAGCTTGCTTTCTGTTTGTTTGCTATGTCCCAATTTGATTTGACTTTGCCCAAAGCTGGCTCGTGAGCCATTCACAAGCCCAAGTGGTGCTGCTTCTCGATCCCTACGGTTGTAGCTTGGCATCGCGACAAAGGATTGTGGCAGTGTCTTAAGGAAGTCTGTCTGATTCAGCTCATCGCGAAATCACACGAAGGACAAAATTAAGAAGGGTCCTCGCTGCAGCTTACTTGTAAATGATAACTGGCAGGGCTTGAGGGATCCAGGACTCCGGACTAAGATGGACGGAGATGAGAGAAGAAGGCCCTTAATCCGGCTGGGGGAGCCGTCTTGATCACCTCCACATTGATATCCTACTGATATAAGCAACTTTCCACAACAATTTCGGCGGCAGTCACTCCTGGTCTAAAGAAACGCATAATACCGAGATGGGCCAGGTGATTCGTTTGCTGAAGATTTCAAGGGTTTCACCGTGCCTATTGAACCCAAAGGTACTTCCAAAACTGTGCCCCGAAGTCATTTCTAATCAACCTCAAGAGGACATATAGTATAAATTCTCTGAATGTCTAGTCAGGAAACCATGTAGTTTGAACTCGAAAGAGCAACAATATTTCAAAGAGGTGTATACAAGATTTCAAGAGGCTGAGAAGATGTATGGCCAACAATGTATGTAGATATCTTTCTCATTTCCCTAAAATTTCGAGTACAACGACATTCGAAGCACGAGAACAATGATGCTCCAACTTCGAGCACCATCAGCTGCGATTCATACTCAGTGTGTCAAATGATTTGATTTGATTAGATTAGAGCCTCCTAATTAAGTTAAATCAAGTCATATAGTCCCTCACCAAATCATACTTAATAATTATAATCAAATATAATTTAAGTATATTTAATTATTTGTCATGTGTTTAAGCACGTGACTTCTCAACCTAAGAAGCGGAAATAAGACAAAAAAAAGGTTAGGGCTAGCCGTATTTAGGGCCGCTTAAAGCTATCCTAACCGAATCTAGCCTAGCACCGCTTCGTAAGCGAAGACGAAGGCGTTAAAATATATTATTACACGTGCCATGGCTATCACGTGTTACTTAGACGCAATATGCTAGGCTATATCGGGCTTGGCTATTTCGCATGCTCACCTAATATGACGGACAGTGTCACATGGTTATTTTAGGCTAAGTTGCAGGCTATCGCATATTATACCCGCTACCGAGGATATAGGATGTTGCAGTAAATGCGGGTGTATGTAATATAGTTATTTCAGATATCGATGGGAGAGAGAGGTGTGGCACGGATTGTCAGAGCTAAATACAGTGGGTATTATCACGTGATATATTCCCACGTGACTGGAGTGCAGTGCCATGCAACATAGAAGCTTTAGATAATGTGACGGCGGAGCGGAGCAATAGACGTATGGCATAAAGATCTTTTTTCCTGCGATGCCTCACTCTTCCCCTTCTCTCTTTAGCTTTAGATTCTACAAGACAAGAAAAGAGATCTTTGTGCCATACGTCCATTGCTCCGCCCTGCCGTCACATTATCTAAAGCTACCCGTCCGTACATTCTTCCACCAGTGGAAACTGGACGAACGGGTAAAGAAAGAGAGATGGAGAGGAGTGGGCATGGTAGTGGATAAGTAGGTAAGACCAAAGCCACTAAAACGCCGAGCTTAGCCTAAAGTAGCCTGAGACCTAGCCTGAAACCACCATGTGACGCCAGCCGTCACACCTGCGGTGCGCACCTGTACGAAGGACATACTTCTCTTCTTAGTTTAGTATTCTCGGAATAAGAACCCTTTACCTTGCTTTCTAAGCCTAGAGCCAGGCCTTATTACTTAAGAAATTCATAAGTTTTTACTTTCATGTGATAATTATAATCCTAATCGAATCAAATCACAGAGGGGTTCGGTTGATGCTCCTATTGTCTTATGGGGTGATGGATTATGAAATGCATAGCATGGTCTTACGGAGTTTTGTTGACTTACATACCCAGCGTGGCGTTTGGGAGACCATTTAATTACAGATATGAAAGCTTCGCCTCAAAACAAAACGAAACGAGTATTCAGGGATGAGATTTCCAAAATCTTTGCATTTTCCTGACTGTACTGTACTGCACAACCCTATATATCACAGCATCCTTCGGATCCCCCTCAAAAATTCTTCTTCACGCCCCGCTCACCAGCAGGAAACGCAATGAAAAAGCCTCTAATTTTCGCATCACCTGGAAACAGTGTAATACCAGGGACACACCAGGCTCACTCCCTGCGCAAGCACAGAGACCTCGCCCTCTAACAAAAAATAGGTAATCCGAAATGAACGGTACGTCGCAATGCGACGGCGCCAGGGATTAAGCTGGGCAGAACAGATACTACATTTGATCTTAGCCTTGAGGGCAGAGAAGATGAGGAGGAAAAGGCTTTTGGAAGAGGAGAGGGGGTTTATATAGGAGAGGGGGGAAGGGTGTTTGTCTTGTTTGCATTGTGAGGAGAGGGAGGGGGGTGAGTCACGGGCAGTGCGCAGTGCTGCCTAGCAGTGACACATTTATGTTTTTGAGTCAGGATTTGCGACGCGGAATACATGATGCTTCGTGTTGCGAAAGAAAGAGGTGAGCAGTAGTTTTACCAACAAATATGTTTTGGTAAAAGGTGGCGTGGAGGGGGGTAATGTGGTTGTCATGAGGAACGTTGAGAGATTGTGAAACCCTGGAAACGGTGATTTTCTTAAACAGTACTTCCTCAGAACATTAGAAAATTTCGATCTCGGCTGAAGAATTCTAACAGAAGACACCTGAGAAAATAGACAGCCTAATCATCAAATATGATTTCATATCCTAGCCCTCCTCCGTCCTGGGCACCTCATGAGGTCGACCTTATCATACACGTACCTTATGCGTTGTTTTACATATACAGACTTTCCAACTTCTGTGGTTCTCCAAGATGAATACATTCGTCCAATCTGTCTTGCCTGTCCTTCGAGGCAGACCAGGCAGTTGAAGCAGTCAACCACAAATGCCGCGAATCGAAGCAGACGCCATACCCCAACCTCTATCCTACCAATGTCCAAGTCCCAAAAAATATACTTTCAGCGCTTCAGTTTTGTGATGCTGACAGCCTGAATGAACCCCAAGCCGTACCGGATGTCCCCTCACGCCAACCCATTTTTCATAGCCGACTTCCTCAACTCGCCCAACTTTTCCTCATTCATAACCTCCCCATCCCACCCAATCCCCGGCCACCCATTCGGCAGCGTCGAGAAAGGCGGAAACGGCCACCTCTCCCCACACTTCCCCTCCTCACTACACTCCAACCCACAAAGCCCATAAACCTTACAATAACACAGCTTCGCATTCGGGCAATGCACAGCAGGCCGACCGAAAATGATGTGCCAGCTGTACTCCAAAACCCTTCCGCTGACATGATCATCCAGATGCGTGTTCATAATCCAGTTCCTATACCTGTGGTAGTCAGAGATCGGCCGTTCGCGGATCTTTTGCCGAGTTAGAGCGAACTGGGCACAGCATGCTACGCCGACCACGTCCGGGAGGTCTTCGCCGGGAAAGAGCGCTTTGAAGGCGGCGGGATAGGCGATCTCAGTCGTTTTGGCAGACTTTGGGTCTGAGGGAGCTTCCTGAGGGAGCTCGGTGAGCTTCAGCTCGGAGGGACAGCCTAGGGTCCATACGCAGCGGAGGTTGGTGTAGCCCTGGGAGATTAGGTACGGGAGTTGGAGACTCTGTAGTAGTGGGACTCCGTCTAGTATATATCAGTTTTAGACGTCTTGGAGATTAGGTGACGAGGAGTGTACCATATATTGGGTCGTCGTTGTGCCACTGATATCTTTCGCTGTGCATGAATACCATGACGTCAGGAAGTTTATCGTAGTGGTCAATGATATACCTGTAAAGCATGTTTAGAATCCATCATGTATAAGCCTTGAGTGTAGACTTACGTTAAGTATACCATAGCCTCGCGACCCTTATTTTTAGGCACCGTGTACTGAGCCTTGGGGTCATCGACCACATATCGAATGAGATTCCAGCCCGGAAGATGTTCTTGAATCCAGTTGGTATCATCACTCTTCATACTTGCAACAACAAATGCTTTCGGGCCTGAGGTTGAGATGTCTGTGATTGGGGAGTCATGTGGGCGAAGCCAGGAGGCTCTCAAAACAAGACCGATGACAACGAACGCCCCGAACCCAAACAGGACACGACGCAGCCTCCGTCGGCCGTACAACGTAAAGATGCCCATATCATCGCTCATGACGGTTGTTGATCCCAATCGGCATGAAGGCGAGGCGTGAGGTAGGCCGGTCAGCTGAGGTGTTGGGTCTGATGTTCTTCTGCAGCCTGCTTCTAGACCACAAGTCTGGCCAGCCCCTTGAAGGATGGGGCGCAGTTTACTATTTTCCGGGATGCTGAATAACGGATCACGCGAGGCTGTGACTGGCGGCTCTCGGCTCTCGGCTCTCGCAGTCTAACCTTAATTGCTTAGCTCCCAGTCCTCGTACCGGGGACCGACACTGGCCAATTGTATCTATTAGCCCTGCCGGAGACAACCAAGACCTAAGGCCAAGATGAAGAAGTCCACTTCGCGCTGATGCTAGTTCCAAGCGCGACGTGAAAACAAGATGAACGCCGGCGGCTAGCCATCATACGGAGCTCAGCCTCTACAAGCGCAATCACTGAATTATGAATCCTTCAAGTTGGAGCATTTCTTACCGCTGGCAACTGTGGGCCAGAGTTGAAGGTAATATGCACAGTTATGTAGTTTCGAGGGCAGAACTGTCTCGCGTCTGTTCGAGGCTGCGAGGAGAGAGAAAGGGGTGACAGATGATCTTCGTTTCACTCTGACACCTGCGAACCCAACGAGAACGCAAAGCCTACGGCTAGTGCTGACTTCCCACGGAGCCAAGAGCATATTTGGAGTCTAGTGGCACAGATTCTCGCTACTTCGATTGGCTGGATCTGATAGCGAAGACTTGGGCTCGATATCGAGGCTTTTTGTATGTGCTGTGCCACTTACTACCACTGGGGGGAAATTCCACATCCGGGTTGTCATTGGGAATCTTAAATAGTCTGGAGCGCAGCTGGACCAACAGTCTTCTGTTTTTGAAATTCCTTCTTCGAGTCTGCGTTGTGATCTGAGGTGCTGTACAACTTTAACGATGCAGGTTCTTCGGATTCAATGCGCATTTGTGCTTCTTTTTGCAGCGCTATGCTGTCTGGTTACTGCCATGGATGGATTGATTGATGACGAAGAACAGTATGGAATAATAATGGCGAGGATGCCTTTACTGTACCAAGAGTGGGCTTTGACAAAGAGGGATGTCTGCGCTGATGCCATTCCCGGGACGAAGACCTCGATATGTACGCCAGGAAATACACTCTGCTGCACACCCAACAACACAAATTCCGCCTTTCCGCAATGCCAAACAATTCTGGGTTCAGGATACTGCTGTTTATCTGCAAACGGTTGCTACATCGATACTCCGTCCGATTGTGCCGCATCCAATTCAGTTCCTTGCAGTAAGTGAAGCATTGCGGTCTGTGAATGCAATTGACCGCTAACATCATCATAGCAATGCTCGCGGCTGGCACGACCGACGCGTGTTGTCCGCCTTTCACAACAGTAATGTTTCTTGAATATATTGCAGATGAAGGAGTACTCACATCTCAAAATAGTGCCCCGCCAATTTCAATCAATCCTCCACAGTTCGATGCAACCTCGCCCAAAATGTTGGATCCTCATCCACGTCCTCGACGAGATCCTCAACAACGTCCTCGAGCACGAAATCATCTTTCTCTTCTGCTACCAGGTCCAAGACCACCTCTCAAGCTTCCGGCACCCTCAGTCCCGTCAGCGCAACAAGCAACGCTGCTTCAGCCACCGGGACCATCACAGCCTCAAGCAGTGGTCTCTCACCCGGCGCAGACGCCGGCATAGGTGTCGGCGTAGCGATCGTCGTTCTCGCCATCGCAGCACTGGCATTCTTGGCATACCGGCGGGGAAAGAAGAAGGGAGCAGCAGCCAGAGCAGCAGAAGCACAAGCTGCGCCTGGCACGCAGATGTCACCAGTAGTGGGACAACAGCAGTACTATGATCCGGCGAAATATAGCGATGCGCCACCGTTCCAGCAAGGGTTTCAACAGCATGAACTCCCAAGTCAGACGACGCATGGCCGTCCTGCTGAGTTGGGTGTCGACCATGAACAGCATGAGTTGCCGTGATAGAGCGGTGGGAGTGGAGGTTGTATATAATACTCAATAAATCGCTCGCCATTTTGAGATACCATTTGTTGCGTTGGAATCGGCCGGATTTGAATGGGAAAGGGTTATTAGAGTTTGGACGATCGATGCCAGATGGGAGGATTACATTCAAGAATTTCCGCCTCAGATTCAGATACACTGTTACTTTTCTAGGGCAGGATTTTGATTTTTGCCAAGCAAAGAAAACATGGAGTTGGTTTACAGATGAGGAAGGGTTAAAGGCGTTCGGTTGCGCCGCTAAATTGCATTTGTTGTACCTCTGGTACATTTTCCCAGCACCGTGGGATCGGATTGTAGGGGTGGCATGGGCTATTATGCCTTAGGAACAAGCTTTCAAACTTGCTTTGCCTTTCTCTGTGCTTGTGGTGGAGCATTGCGATTTGTCGAGTTTTGCCAAGACGTTGACTTACTTGAAGAGCCTCGACTCCAGACCAGCAACAAGCAACGTCGATTATGCACATCTCAGGGGAACTCGAAATGTTCTTTCAAGACTTGCCGAGGGCGACGCTGTGGAATCGGGTCAGTCTGCACAACAGCCGTCTCTCCACCCTTTCTGATTGGGCAGCCCTAAACCATGGCTCAACGTCAGGCGATCTCCTCGCAGACCTCGTATGTTAGCTCCCACCTCTCTCTCTATATCACCCCAGCTTCACTGTCCAAAGTTACTATTTACTTCTAAAGGTCCAAAAAAAAATAAGACATCTAAGCCCACTCACCCATCATTGCTCAAAATGAAGATCCTCCTCACAGACGCAAGCGGCTTGACCTCCCGTCAAGTCTCCACGATCCTCTCCCAAAAGCACCACCAGGTCCACGTCCTCTCCCCACCCAGCTTCCTCCTCCTCGCAACCCTCACCTCCCACACCACAAAATCGCACCCCGTCCCCGCCTTCTCCGCCTCTCCTTACACATGGTTAGACGCCACTCTCCAGGTCCTCAGAGACGAGAAATTTGACGTCCTGCTCTGCACCCAAGAACAAGTGTCCATCATCTCTGCTTCCTCTCCTCTTCTCGCCTCTACCGGAGTCAAATTCGCAGTCCCGGAATTCGAAAGCCTTAGGAGAGTGATGGATAAAGTATCCGCTTGTCAGGCATTATCTGATGCCGGGCTCCCGCAACCGGAAAGTGTGGTGTTGAATTCGAGTTTAGAGACGTTGAGCCAGTGCGAGGCTTTACTTCCAGTGTATGTGAAGACACCGATTGGGACGGCGAGCACGGGTGTTCGTCGTGCGGCAAATTTGGATGAGCTGGCGTCGATTATTGCAGATTTCGTTGCGAAGGGGTGTTTTGATGATGGAGGGGAGCTAGTGGTGCAGAAGGAGATGCAGGGCAGTTTGTTGATGGTTTCGGGTGTTTTTGAGCATGGCAGACTGAGGGCTTGGCATGCTTGTGTGAGGGTCAGAGAAGGGGTCGGAGGGGGCGCGAGTAAGAAGGTGAGTTTGCCGTTAAAGGCTGTGGGGGAGCACTTGCAGGGCTTTGGGTGGTTGTTAAGTTGGCATGGGGCGTTGAGTATGGATGCGATTTTGGAGGGAGGGAGAGCCTGGTATGTGGATGTTAATCCGAGGATTGTAGAGCCCGTGAATGGCCTTCTTGCTGGTGTTGATCTGGTGGAGGAGCTGTTGCAGGTCAGTCTAGGGGATAAGGTGGAGGAGGAAAGGCCGCCTAAGCATGGTATTGAGGGCGTGGAGACCCATCAGCTGGTGCTGGCGATGATGAAGGCGGCGGAGGAGGGGAGGGTACAGTTGTTGATGGAGGGGTTTAAAGCGCTTATGGGGTTTCACGAGTATGCTGGGAGTAGGGAGGAACTCACACCATTGGACAGTGATGTTGTGTGGGGGTTTCTGAGTCTTGCAGGACTGTTTCTGGGACTCCTTTTGGGAGGGGCCTGGGCGGTGGAAAAATTGAGGGGAGATACCATCAGAAACTACAATTTAAGTGCAAAGGGGTGGAAGGAGATCTTAGAGAAGGTAGACTCGGGGAAGGAGGAAAATAATCCATAATGTTATCGATCCCGTCCTCTCTCCTCTCTCGCTTACGGATCCCCACTCTCGTATGGTGCTTGAAAATTGTCAAGCGATATTAAGAGATACCACAGGAGAAATTAAACGACACCAATATCCCAGGTAGCTGCCCCTTCTAAGTAGAGGTCCTGCAGAATATTCAGTCACGACGTTGTCTGACACGGAGCTGGAAATCTGAAATCAAGGCGCAAAGCCTAGCAACTTGATTGACCCAAGAACGTAAAGTGCTGGAAGTGGCACTGTGCCATGGGGCAGCAGGAAGTAAGCTACAAACAAGCACTACAGACTCCTTAGCTGGAATTTATCCATCGAATCGTCCCAAGGTATCTATATCAGCATTCCCGGCATCCTCACGCAGCGGTCTTCAGCCGAAAGTGTCTCCCCAAGCCATTGCAAGGCATCCACCCAGAAGAGCAGCCCAGTCATTGCCACACAACACTCTCCAGTCGAAAGAATCTCCCCTAGTCATCCAGGACCATCCATAAGAGTAGTCCACGCACATTAAACTCTGCTTTCCCCTTCCCTGGAACTGTGTATCGCGAACCTCTTTCATCTGCTCCTTCCCGTTCTCCAGGAGCGCGTTGTTTCGGGGCTCGAGCTAACTCCACTCATCTGGGCTTCGACAGTGTTCTTAGCTGCCTTCTTCTTCTTGCTTCCACCCTTCTTCGGCCAGAAACCACTAGGGCGAGGACTACCCATCTGAGCTGCAGTAGTCGAAGTATCCAAGTCAGATGAATCCCCATTCAAGCCGCTGTCATCCTCCATCGTCAAATCATCGCCCATTGTCCCACCGTATCCAAGAGTCTTCTCAATATCCCGAACTTCGCGGAAGATACCAACACTATAGCCCATGGGCGCCCAAATCGTTACAATATTCTCGTTGGAGGAATCGTCGTGCTTCTGCAACGCGTTTGAAATCGTCATTTCGTCATGCTCAGCCTGTCCAGCCGAGGCCATTGCTAATTCATTGTTGTCAAAGATGAATGAGGAATTGTTGGGCGTTTCGTTTGTTGACGAGAACTCGAAGAGGGAATGGTCGTAGGACATTCTGAAGCCACTTCCCGAGGTTGATAGAGGGGGTTGAACCAACTGGTCAAGGAGCTTGGGTCCTTTCTCAATTGGATGTTGGAAGAGAGGACCTGGGAAGGTATTCTCTGACACCATTTCAATGCCTCTGCCACTCTCGGACTCCGATGCCATGGAATCCATTCCAAGAACGAACTTCTGCGGGGACTCCACTCGACTATGCTCCTTTCCTTCCCATCGTCTCGTATCGGTGTCATACTGAGCCCTCGGCTGCTTATCGTTTGGTCCGTATGGAAAGGCGTGTGCTCGATCGAGTCGCGACTGTTTACAAAGGTCAGCTGAACTTATTTCTACATCGTCGGGAATAAGTGGCAGGACTTACTTGCTGGGCTCTACGCTGACTACGAGAAGCCATGGTACCTTAACCACCTTTCTCAAATAGAGGCTTTGGGCTTGATGCTCGTCCACAAGGGTAAAGTATTCAAAATAACAGCGCTGGCGTTGACGCTGTTCCAAAGATGAAGAACCTAGCCCCCGAAGCCATTACCGACTTTTTTGAACCACTCAACATCGCCTTTCTAAATTTCCTAAATTTGTAAATGTGAATGACACTCATTGACGTTCCACATTTCTGCCACGCTTCACTCACGTGCCTCCCTCGTCCATCCCGCGATATCAACACATGGTGTGGGGTGAGAAAGAGAAATAGTGAAGGCACTTCCATTTTCTTCTGAAGTTAGAGAAATCGTTCCTTGTACCAAGAAATGTGGAGCATTCGGATGGAGTAAGATCAACGTTGAGACATTTTATGAACTAGCTTCTATTAGAGATCTTTGAGCCAACTTGGCAGTCGTTAGCTTACTTGGCTGAGGGAGGGGGCTGCACTTGGGAGCGTAAAGTATTAATTGCACAAGTCACATTCACATGAAACATTAATCACGGCGAAGGATACGGCTAGTTCGCAGACAACAAGGAGACTTTTATTAGGTATTAGCGGAGGGGTTGCCCTAGTGGCAGATTGCAGAAGGACAGTCTGGGTATAGGGGTATCAATACGCAGCAGAAATGCAGCGCGACCAACGACAACGACAACAGTAATGCAAAAAAATGAGAGTGGTATCAATCAATCAACAATCTTGGGGTATTTCAAGGAGATCCGTTTTCCCGACGACAATGAACTCGTTCCTCCATCACTGAAAACCATGCGATTCGAAAGGTGAGTTGCGAATTTATGCAGAGGCGGCAACCGGGGCAGGGGTCTGCTGGACAACTGGGACAGGCTCAGAGACAACGGGCTCTTCAGCAGCTGGAGCTGGGGTGGCATCAGCGGGAGCGGCGGTCTCTTCCTTGGCGGCTTCGGCTGGCTTCTCGGCCTTCGGAGCCCTGGGAGAGGTCTTGCCCTTGACAGTATCGCGGAGCTTGGCGAACGGGGACTTTGGCTTCTCGACCTCCTCGTCGCTGGTGGCTGGCTTCTCCTTCTTGCTCAACCATGGGAGGGACTGCTTGCGGGTCTTAGGAGCCGGGGTCTCAGTGGCAACCTTGGTCTCCCCGTTGGTGGTGGGAGCGGCCTCGGTCTCGGCGACGACGGGTGTCTCGCTGGTCTCGACTGGGGGAATGACGGGAGCAGTCTCGCTCACTGGCTCAGCATCCTTGGGAGGAACGACTGGGGCCTCAGTGGAGGCCTTCTTCTCCTTGCCGAACGAAGACTTGAGGCTTCCAAAGATGCTGTTGCGCTTTGAAGGAGCTGGCTTGGTCTCGGTCGGAGCAGCGACAGGCTCGGTTGCTGGGGCGGCTTCAGTGGTCTCTGGAGCAGCAACGACAGGCTCAGCAACAACGGGCTCAACTGGAGCAGCAGGCTCCTCAGTGGTTGGTGCAACTGGGGTGTCTTCCTTGGCAACCTCAGGCTTCTCTTCCTTCTTTCCAAGCCCGAAGCTACCAAAGATGGAGTTGCGCTTGCGGGATGCGCTTCGGCTCTTGCGAGCCTCCTTCTTTTCTTCCTTCTTCTCTTCCTTGTTCTCCTCCTTGGCCTCGGCCTTCTCCTCCTTGACGTCAACGCTCTTCTTTGGTACGGCAGCAGCGGCAACGACTGGCTTCGTCAACTCGCTGTGGCTCTTCTTGTATTCCTCGGTCTCGGGGACGGTTTTTGCAAGTTCCTTGGCCTCCTCGATCTTTGTTTTCAAAGCGACGAGCCAGCTGTCACGCTCAGAGAGGGTGGTTGCTTGGAAAGTGTGCTTGTGTCCGCCAAGGCTGAATGAGAAATCGACAGTGCCATCTGGGGTGAGATCGGAAACTTCGGACTGGAGAAGGGGAAAAGTCAGCGCATGATCTAGTAAGATTACTCATGTTCAGCGGGAATAAACATACCAGGTTGATGATGCCAGCTGGAGTGGCCTTCTCAGTGGGCTTCTTGCTAAAGTACAAGAGACCCTTTCCGGTATGTGATGACCAGGCAGCGTTCTTGTTGGCAACTTCTTGCTGCTTCTCGCCGCGAAGATAGCTTGCAAGAGACTTGTGCTCAACAGGCTCAGTTCCGAACCAGAAAAACTTCTTCTGGAAGATGAAGCTCCTGCAGCATAAAATTAGCCCACGGTCATCAACAAAATGGTGTCATATTGCGCGGAGATTGTGCGTTAATGAGTTGGTAGCGAGCAGCGACGTAACAACTGCCGTGGAGCCGTGTAAATAAACAACCAAGGGCAACGAGCTCCAGGTTGACGAATAACTGGAACTCGAAGCGGGAACCGAGCAAATAAAGCTTGTTGCTGCGTAGAGTGGAGATTGAAGCAGGCAAACAAAAAAAACTTACTTGAGCAGGCCAGGTCCCTTGTAGCCAAGAGTACCGTCCTCCGCAGGCGGCTTTGCCTCCTCCTTAGCTGGGGCAGCAGGAGCTTCCTCCGTCGTTGCTGGCTCAGTGGCTGCAGGTACTTCAGTTGCGGCCTCTGTGGTCTCAACGGGAGCAGCCTCAGCAGCTGGAGCTTCGACAGGAGCTTCAGGAGCAGCAACAGGCTCCTCAACAGGCTTTGCGACTTCAGACATGTTGATGGTAGGTCAAAGGGGACTGTTTGGATGAACAAAGGTGTTTGCTGATGGGATGGAGATGGAGATGGAAGAGTGGAAAAGTCCTGTGATTTTCAAGAGATGGGATGGGATGGAGGAAAAAGCTGGATGGCGGCCGGCGGGAGTTTTTATTGCTTCGTAGCAAGGGCGCCGCGCTAGGCGAAATGAAAGAAATGAGCAAGCACGATCAGCGAGAGGCTGGAAGACAAGCGACGGCAGGCCAGACAGACAGGCTAGTGCCAGGCGAGGAAATGCCAGAGCAGAAAGGCTGCGCTCGCTACGCTGATTGCCGCGCAAATGGAATCTTAACTCTACTAGTTCAAGGACGGCCAGTCTGGCTGCGGTCCCCAGCAAACACAATCAAAGCCTCACAGCTTCACACTTTCACACTTCCTCCAGCCGCGATGACGGTGATCTGCTGATATAAGATGGGTCCTGCATGAACAACACGAGTCTGCTCTCCCCTTGGGTGTGCATCCACCGTTGGCGAAAGTATCTCGAGTCGTCCCCTCGAGGTGCCCACCACCAACACGCCATCGAAGGTTGCAAGATCGTCACGACTGATCATGCGAGCACTTTGTTTGAAATGCAGCAACGCCTTGTTCCGCAAGGCAGACCCGGCGCCTCATTGGCCTGCACCGCCAGCCAAGGGATGATTCCTCCCACCCTCTCGAAGCACCCCTCCATGGCGCTGCATGATGGCCATAGGCAAACGTTCACATGCCCCAGGACCTCACACTAAACGGTACAACACGACCCCCGTCCTCGCCCCCGAGATGAGAGCAACGACTAACGGGCCTGACTGTCAGACTTTCCTACGCCGATGGAATCTTGCTGACCCAACAACCGCGGCCGAGCCAGGAATTCGAGCTCCCGAACGCCAAAAGAAGAGCCTGCGAAATTTGACGCCACCAAACAAGATAAGGGCCGTGTGGCCCGAGCAGTGCAGCTCTTTGTCCGCCCCCCTCTGACACCCGTGACTTGGACGATGTCTTCAAAAATACCTGGGTACGGCAATCTGGTTTACGAAGCACCAATTGTCCATACGAGACGGTCTGGCGGCGGCGATTCGGGGATACGCCACAAGGAGGAGGGGAGGGACGCTGGAAGTTTCAATGGCACGAGTCCATTACTCCGTAATTCAGGACCACACGGCTCTTGGCAGGCTGGCAAGCTGCTGCACGCATTAATAATAGAAAGGGTATTCGCGGTCCTCTGCGGAAGACGGGGCGTTTCGTTTCAAGAAGAGCAAGTGCTGCGAACCTCTGGCCGCCCTTTGGCCACCATGCAGCCATCCAGCCTGCTTCTGCAGGTTGCGGAGCTGCTGTTGGACGGCTCTCCTGGGAGCGGACTCGCGAAGGCGTTGCTGGGTCGTCTCACTGGCGCCTCTATTTCAGACCTCAATTTCCCTGCATCAGCGAACAACCCCGTGCACCCCCTACAAGGGCCCACAACGGCCCACAGGTGCCCACAGGTGCGTCCAAGACTCCAAGTCCCGGCAGAAGCAGACGTTAGTGCTCGAGCAGGCATAGCGGCTGCTAGTCATCCAATCTTGCAGCGCTACTTTCTCCGCTAACTTCGCCCGAAGCAACCCTGAATCGACGTCCACGACTCCACGCTCCTCCAGTTATCTCAGAGATAAGTTTTTCATAAATCTGCGGACCACCGCTCCACTCGATTTCAACGAGACATCTGCCTCCTCTGCTCCGACCCTCCAAGAAGCGTGTTCAAGCAGCTTTCCAGGATTCGACGCATCTCGACCTGCACTCAAAAGCAATTGTTTCAACCTCCAACCTCCCGGCCAGCCCTTCGGCTCTCGCTTCAGCACTCTCGAACGCCGCACCGTTTATCGCGGGGTCTGCATTTCGATTGTCTGGCAGATCTACCAGGGTCATGTCATAATGCATCTCAAGCCAGTTATTCGAGTCCATTCGCTGCAGGGCGGTCAACGGCCAGCATGAGCATACGCTCTGGTCTCGACTGCCGACACGACATGCCTGGGGAGATGGCGACAGCGTATCAGGAGACGGGAAAATATTAAGGGACATACGGAGGTTCGTAAGGCCGCTGACCGACAGATAAGGCGACTAGGTCTAATTGGAGATCAAATCATCAGGTTCTCAGCAGATTTGGATGAAAAGAGGAGAAGAGGTCAACATGACTCGCTTTTCACTGAGTTTTGCCTCTTTTTCGGTTATTGCAGGCTTGCTGTTCTATTTCTCTTCTCATCACAACTGTCCTTGGTTATTTCTAAACACTCTCCCCGTTTCGTGAAAAGAATTACTTCCAAGTATCGGTTGAAATTCGGGATGGAACGTCCCATCAAACAGAGGTTTTCAATGAGTTGTCTCGACATCAAAGCGCTTGGAGTCCAAACTCTAGATGGATAGGGGGGTCGACTTCAGCGCGTGATTTCAACCCCTCACCGCTAGATTCCGACTGCGTCCCGAATTTGGTGGGTAGATTGATCGGAACGATGGACCGACGCTGTGACGAGAGAGACGAGCTGGCCAGTGAGAAGCCTCCCGTCCGGGCGGTTGAAGAAATCATGCTTTTTTTGTCTGGGCTGCGGAGAAGACAATTTCCTTACCCACTCTTGATGAGACATGGGTAAAACCATCAATTCGAGTTTTGTCATCATGTTATTGCGAATAGAGGGAACTTCTTGATTGGGAACTTGAAAGCGTAACTTGCTCTCAGCGGGCACATTCATTGAGAAATATCATTTTCGCGCGCACGTGATTCGCCCCCCTCTTTCTCGTTTAGGATGCTCCTTACCTCCTGATGAATCGCGTTTTCTCCACCGCAACTGGCTGTGATCGACACCAACTTTCGTACCAAAATTCGAGCTCCATGTTGAACCTCGACTCACCCTGACGTTCAGCAATTCATCTACACACCCGTCTGCGTTCCAGTGGGAGCTCCGTCAAGGACGGAAGTCGCACGGTAAGGGTGTCTGTAAGCGGAAAGAATCTTCAGGGATACAATTTCTTCAAGTCCAAGATTTTGGATTTGGCGTACATGTTCTACCCTCGCTCTTTTCTCCGTCCATATCGCAATCCATCACTTGACAATCCACTCAAACAATTTTCTCATCATTACACTCCTTACATTCCAAGCACATTCACATACACTTCAACATATTTCATCATTAAGTTCACACCGCTCGTTATTCGCTTCGCCCTACATCATCCCACACATTCATCTCTCAAAGATCCACGGAAGTATCATCTCAAGTGCTCCTTTGATTCCACCCAAGAAGATCACCTCTAGATCCAACCGGTCTTTCGTTGCTTCTCCGAACCTCAACAACATTCGGCCTCTTCTGATTTCATATTAGCGGCGGGAAGTTTGAGCACTCAACGAACATTGATTCAGATTCAGCTGTGCGCGGCTGCCTTCCTTCGACGTCCACACTCCGACTCTTCCATCTGCTCTTCATCCGTAACCAAAACTTTCAACAATCTCGATTTAGAAACCGACACTCGAAATTCGACAGCATCAGACTCTGCCCAAGGCTTGGATAGTCGATGCGTGCCCATTTCGATTCTAGATCAAAATAAACTAGGGCTCGCAACCCCGAATCCTTCATTTCCGAGTCCACCTTTCCTGCCTATATCTTACTCTTCCTCCATTTCTCGATAGCAACCTCACCATCCAAAAACCACATCACATTTTGATGTCGCCTTCACCGAGCGTGTAGCTAACACCTGGAGCACAACATCAATCTCGATATTCGTTCATCTCGCTACCACCATTTATCCCATCGAGGATCAAGTTCGACTATTCGAGAGGACTATCCCGAGATTTGATATCTCCTCTTTCAAGCTTCTAGGTTCATACCACTGCATCTCCTAACAATTACACCTCTTCGACGAACTCCTTCGTCCTTCCGTAAAATAATTCTCTCTTCAACCACTATTCCTCGTCGATTTCATTCTTCCACCACGCCAACATTTTACCTCGACATCTACTTCTTACCTCGACATCTACTTCTTACCTCGACATCTACTTCTTCAACAAACCCTTTTCTTCACAAAGTAATCGCTCATACAACTCAACCCTATCCAAGCCCTGCCGTCTCGCATCCGTGCCACCTCCACCGAATACTCAGCGCACTCAAGTTGAACTAACATTCAATATCTCCCAAACCTATCAAGTCCGTTGGAATTCTCAGTGATATTCTTTCACTCACCTTGGGTACGTGTATGCAATTTCTTTACTCCCCATTTCCTCTGCATTAGCGATTCTAGATCCTAGATCTGCTCTTCTCAGGTCGTAATTTGCAGCTGCAGAAAGAACGCCAGCCAGTGTTGTGCATTTCACAAAGAATTGTTAGTGTACTTGCAAAATGGGCTTCCTAAATCAGCCAACCGCAAGGTTCACTGTGTTCGAACATTGTTCACTTTCGTAGTCGGACATCGTTCACTCTCGTATTCGGGCATCGTTCACTTTCTCAATTGGACATCGTTCACTTTCGCTTTCTGCTCAATTTGGGATACCATTCGTTTGCCCCTTATCCTTTACGTTTGCAGCCGCCTCAGTTTAGAGGAGTGCTCGCTTCCTATCTTTTCCTCTTGTACCAGCCCAATGCCTTAATCTGGAGTAGTGCTCGCCTCCCCTTATCTTTCTCTTTCATACTCGCCTCAATGCTTATATCTAGGTTATGCTCGCTTTCCCCTTATTATTTTCCTTCACACCCGCCTCAAAGTCCTAATCTGCGGTTGTGCTCGCTTCCCCCTCAACTTTCTCTCGCACCGCCTTGACTCCTTAATTAGTAAGAGTTCTCGCTTCCCCTTTAATTTTTCCTTTGCACCTGCTTCAATGTCTCAACCTGTGGTTATTCTCGCTTCCTCTTATTTTTTCCTTCAAACATTATTCGTGCTTAGCAGAAGACTTTGGTTATTTCTCTTTTATTCTAATGGCATCGGCTTGTATTTCAGAACCGCCCACTCGCTCTTTACTATTGGAGATTCTCACAATTATGAGTGACACGGCTGTCCGCTTCCAACTCTTTCATTTCGCATGCATTTCTAGTGCTTGCATAAGAATCAAAGGCATTGGGATTGCATCCGAGCCTTGACAAAGTCAACTCAAGTAATGATATCTTGCTATCAACTGCCCATAGAAAAATCTTCTTGTGGATCTCAAACATTCATTACATATATCTGTCCCTATTAAAGGGGTTTGTCCCCTTGCTTCTAGTAGCATATGCCTCTTTGGAACTCAGGATCCGTTAGGTTAATGGCTTATGTGAGCACATGCCGATTATTTTGTCCAGTTCCTTACTTGGCTTAGTTATTCGTTGCTGTAACCGTTAGTCCGCCCACATCGTTCATGTGGATTCTTCGGATTGTATTAAATTGCTGGGTTGCACTGCCAGAACCTGGTTACAGAAGACAGGCACTAGCTCTCCATAACCTTCCGTCTCAGATGCTTCTTCTAGCAATACAATATAGCATTTATCCTTATTTTACCTCGCGCTACCTATTAGCCTCTTCCTTTTACTTCTATTTTCAAGATAGCTTAGCCGTTTACGACTTTGATAATTTCAGAACCCTCTTCCTTCCCCTTCCCCTTTCAAGATATCTCAATCGTTCACTGCTCTGATATTTTCAGGTCACATAGCAGGATACTAACTTTTTCAAAGTCCTAATCCAACAATTCATCCTGGCCACCATTGGCATTACAATAGGAACGGCTTCGTCTACAAGCTGTTCCTTCTTTAATAAAAGCACCTCTCCTAATCATCTATCTCCTCGTCAACAATCTCTTTATCAATCAACTCTTCGTCACTTCCACATCAAACAAGGTATGTTTAAGTCTCATAATCAGACCTTTGACCCCCCCTTCACATCATTAAGCATTTTTCAAACAAGACTCCTCATAAATTTGCCACAACCCTTGCATCGCTCACCTTTCCTGCTATTCTCAAACATCTACCCACTTGCATAATATTTTTCTTTACATTACCTTCTCTGTTGTTTATCAATACCCTCAATAACATTATTTAATTTCCATCAGCGCACCTCCTTCAGTATTTCTCCGCAACCTGAACTCCATAACCTATCTACGTTTTGTTCCGGCCAACGTAAATTGACTTATATTCAGATCATTTGCACAATGGCTTGCGATCCGACAACAAAGAAAGCTAAGAAGCGTGCAAGAGAACACGCAGCTGCGGCAGCAAAAGTTTTCAAAAACCATGACCCGTTGTGTGGGAAGACTTGGGCTGTCACCGAAGAAGAAAAGCAAGCTGCAATTGATCGGGGATTGGCCTGGGGCAACGAAAATGGGGCCATCAGAGTTGCGCATGCTCCAGATTCCCAAGCTAATCCAGCGGTCTTGGAGGGAGGTTGGGGAATAGGTGGAGTGGTAATTTCCAAGACCGAGCCAACTGGATGGCCGGACGGTATCAGCACAAAATACGAGGAGGGGAAAATTCCAGAGTGGATTGACACTACCCCGCCTAAGACTGAGGCAGAACTGCTCAAGGAGAGAGTCGACAAGGCTTTGGTTGGCTGGCCATGGAAAGGCACTCCATCAAAGTTGGCCTCCACGGTAAGAACCAGTAGTTCTTGTTCTCAGCCTGAGACTAACATTTCCTAGGCACCTTACACATTCAACGAAAATGTCCAGTTCACACTGCCAAAAGCAACTCAAAGCTCCTTTTTGTTTGTCAAGCTATTCAGTAACGATGTTGTTTTGGAGAAGGTTTGCCATCTGCTTTTCCAACATCATGACGCTGCCTGGAAGTTCTCTGCGACCTGCAAGGAAGCATGGAGAATCATGAGATGGAATATAGTAAGTTGTCTTTCGGGACTTTCATAACCACTCCGCTGACTGCGTAGGATACGTGGGACATGACTGAAGGTTACTTTCATAATTGTGAAAGGCCGAGAACTGGTGAGGCCGCACCCAAAGATCCATTCGACCAAGGATCGGTCGCCCCAATTGTTATGGTTACTCCAGTCAGACGCGAGACCGGCCCGGCAACATATGTTGTGCAAATGCAAAATCTTCATAAGTTGTGTAAGTGCCCCAAGTCTTGAGATTTATGAGGCACGCTGATTGGTCAACAGGTGTATCCATCAACAATTTTGCCGATTACTTCCAGAATCTCCAACTCCATCGAGTCCCTTTCCTAACCACAGACCTTCTCAGTCTCCTGATTCCTAAGATGAGGAATTTGAAGATCCTGGGGATCTACAAATGCCAGTTGGTCCATGTTGGGGAGACTATGAAGCTTCTCGATATTATCAAGACCGATAGACCCCTAGAGCGGGAGAACCAAGTATCGTTGGACTTTTACCCCAACTTCCACCTAGGTCCAGTCGAGGAACCGGGCAACCCATACTCCGTTGGAGCTTATGGTGTGACCTGGGACAATTGGAACTTTGACACGACTCGGGCCGTCTGGTGCCTAATAATTCAGATTATTCCCAAGGCCCGAAGCCAAGGCATTGATTTCGAAAGCAAGCACAGCATGTTTCGGCAATGGATGGAGCATGGCCCTTGCCACGAAATTGAAGAGACAATCGCTGCATTCATGACTCCCCTAGCACACGACAAAGATAAATCAAACGAGAAGGCCATGAATATTGAGACGCTCAAGAAGGTTGCTGCTATGGTCAACTACCACCGAACAGGTGGGAAAATTGAAAAGCTGAAGCAAGTCAATCGACTAGGAGGAGGTTCCTTGGGAAAGGTCAAGCAAAAGCTGGATAAACCAGGAGAGGCCGAGATAGATCCAGCTCTCTGGTAAGTGTCGGGGTCTTTCAGCTATTCTATTAACATTGCTGATGTTCTTTCAGGGCTATCACATCTCATAAGTGTACCACCTGTAAAGAGAGTCTTATGGGAATCTTCTTCTCATACACTCACATCATGGAACGCCAGACAGGTCTGAGCCCACACATTTCCTGCGCCGGCTGTCTACTCAATGGTGTCCTTCGCATGGAAGCCGACCACTACAAGCAAGAAAAGAGAGATATCATGCGGTCTTGGCTTGTCGGTCCTGATGGGTTGAACAAAGATGATCTTGGCAAGGCGCTTGCAGACTACCACAATCGACAAATCGTACTTCAAGCCAAGCAGCTTGCTGATCAGCACATGACGGATTCGACAACTGGCTCTGACCCATATGACAAAGAATTCAATGAGCGGCAAAAGCCTATCACTATGAAGGAGCGAAGTGGAAGGACAACCGCACTTCAAAGGTCTCCAGAAATTTATAATCAGGCACCCGGTACAGGCTATGATTACATCAGAGTTGAAAGATACGATGGGCATGGCCTTGGCCACTGAGCTGGTGAAGAAGGACCGGGTTGAGTTTGCTTTATGAAACTGCCTTCTAAGCTCTCAATTCCTAAACCTCAATCCTTACCTCCTCTACAACATCCAGATCTCCCGCTACAGCCCCACTTCTTCCACTCCTGCTTGATACACATATCAACTTCTCTCGATCTCCGACACTGCCATTCCTCATAATATCCCCATATTGCGTTGATTTCTTTATGCTTTTTGCAAAGACTCTTCACACACACCACACCTCAACACCATGGCGCACATGTCAACATCTCGACTATCTCATGAATACTTTGATTCTTTCCAATTCCCTGTGTGCCACCTCATTACGTCACAAACATAGCCTAGAGTTCCTGATGAAGATCCCTTATTTTACATGGCACATCTCAGCACATACCAGCACATACCAGCACATACCAGCACATACCAGCACATACCAGCACATACCAGCACATACCAGCACTTAATGAATAATTTCCCCAAATATCATTGCGATGGCTTTCACAGATGGCTCTTGGTCATCACGCAGAATAGACAAATAAACTCGCGTTGACTCTCCCAAGAATTTCCAAGGCACCTTTCTGTGACACACTCGTGGCTTCAAACTCCGCCAAGTACCTCTCAGACTTCGCAAATTCACAAAAAGAATGGAAACACACCTCACAGCTTGAAATCTCATCAACTGATGCACCAGGATGTTTTCATATGAAGGAGATCACTAACCCCTTCTTATACACAAAAAAGAGAAGAGACCCAAACCCAAGACTAGCTAGGATAGGAAATTAAGACACGGTATTTATCATCAAAGCATCCATCATACATTCCATTTCACTCCTCCCAAAACCGTGGACTCCTCTTCTTCCACCTCCCCTCAAATATCTATGTCAACAATCCACCCTCATCTTCAATCCTTGTTCGTATCACTCAGCGCCATCGGCTCTTTCCCTCCTCCCCAGCCCTCAACGGTAACTGCCTATCCAGCGTATTGAACGCTAACGTCCTTGGGGTATACGGTTGTGCAGGAGTGGCGTTTGTTGTTGGCAGAACACGCTTCATCTCCCATTCACGGTCTGAGTTGTCGGAGAGCGGGGAGTGCTTGGTTTGCATGTCATCGATTCCGATTTTTGACGCTGCGCGCTGGGAGGCGGTGGGGATTAGAGACCAGATTCCGAGGAGGAGGTTGAAGAAGAATATTGTTCTGTGGAGTGTTAGATTTGCATTTTGGGAGGGGGGAACCGGGGTAAGGGGGGAAAACGTACAACATAACCACAGCCACGGCGAATGATCCCTTTGCTTGCAGGCAATACCCATAATTCCCAGACGGCCTTGCATACGAACAGCTCTTCGTGAGATACCATGCTATGTTCGAGGGATGCTTTGGATCAGAGTGATCGGGTCCCATTTGGCCGTACACGGAGACTGCCCACAAGACGACGATTGGCAGGTTGGCGAGCGTGCTGAGGATTGGATACCAGATGTGGAGGATGAACATCGCGGATTTTACGAGCAGTACGAACATGGAGAGCACGGAGACCGCGACGTTGAAGTCTGTTAATCTGGTTTGAGTGTTAGTGTGAGTTTCTTGAGCTGATTGAGAAGACGGAGGGTCATACGATTGTGACCATACGAAGGGGATCTTCGGTATAGGACGGTAGTTTGCGTAGGCGTATAGGACTTGTAAAGGACTCGAATTGAAGCCGTTGTCGCTCCCTATCCCCCACAGCTTCGTGCGGTATAGATTAGGAGATGCTATGCCGAAGAGAGCCAATGCCGGCACCGTTCCTGCGAGCTCAATCACCATCAAGGCGATGAGCACCTTTGGCCACTTCCATCTCCGCTGCAAATGGGGTAATCCGAGCCTGGCCATCGTGTCTGTCGAGGTCCTCGGTCAACCGAGGGGACGTGACGGGACGGACGAGAAGGCTTGCGAAGGGAAGAGAGGTCGAATGTCGCTCGCTCTGCTGCTGCTGTCGTCGAAGTCGACGTCGAGCTGGTCGTTGAAGCTTCACATTGAAGAGGTCGGAAGAGGCTTCGTTGAGGGCCGCCGCCTGGTATTATGGAGGGCCGCATCTCGACAGGCCAGCGCAGTGCGGGCAGCCCGCAAACCGCCAATGGCAGCGCCGTGGTGGGAGTGAGCACACATGCAGCGCTTATGTGCAGGTTGATTTGCCCCTGCCCGGCCAATCACAGCGGTCCGTAGCCTCCGGAAGATTGGGCATCTTCAGCCTAGGGCCGAAAGGGGCTCCCTAACCGAGAATTTTGGCCTCCCCCTCTCCACCCCTCACTGGCCATCACATTTTGCTGCATCAGAAATGTACCGGCCGTCGTATCACCATCTCACTCAGCGCCTGCTCCAACTTCTTACGTCGTTAATGTCGGGGCAAAGTCACGTTTTTGATATTGCCCGTTTCCAGATCCGGGGTGCCTCCTTTCCAATGGCGCCAACGATGGCGATACGATCGCTCCCGGTTCTATGGAAATCCATGGCCGAGGACGCCCTATCAAATGCCGAGAGTCGTATGTTCTCGTGCTACGTCGATTAGTGATAAGGGTTTTGGAAAGTGTCAGCTTCGGTTGTTCGAACTGGTTCCCGGCGCTGACTGCATAAATAGAGACGAGATATGTGGAATCTCGGGGGCGGTATTTTTGTCGAATCGCTGCGAGATGATGTCTTAATCTGCAGGATCCGAGTCTCACTTCCAAGCCACAAAGATTCATGCTCCAAGTCCCTCAAGTATTGATCATCCAAGGCACGGATTGAAACCGAAGCATTTTTTGTGGTAGTTTATGAAACAATATATAAAGACCTTCGGAGGAGGGATGTGGGTTGCGTGAGTTTCAAGCTACAATATCTCATCCTTGGTGCAAGACGAGACTGCGGAAGCTCAAAAATCCCAAGTCTTTATACTTGTGGATTGTAGGGACTAATGTGCTTAAAGAGGATCTCACCTTAAGGCGAATGTTGAGATCAAGAATTTTGATACATTCGTCCAATATCCTAAAATCATTCTAATATTTAAAGAGACGACTGCCGTACAGTATATCAAGTTCCATCTGAAACCAAGATGGAAAGAGATTTACTCTCATCTCTACTTGGATGATTGGCTGCATGTCGCAATCAATGTATCAGAGATTTAGGTACACTGAGACCTGAACATTCATTTCGAGTGACTCGAGAGGGGCCGAGATGACTGGGGAAGTTCTTCAATTCAACCCACCTCTGCAAAAAAAAATTGGAATGCATCACAAGCGATGCCCTCAGCTCGAAGGACCTACACTCTCTTCTGTCCCAAGTAGAAGATGTGCTGCTATTTGTGCGCTGTGTTGATCTCGTCATGTAGGATCTTCAGTCCAATGAAAAGCAATGGTCTGTCAGATCAACACCATGAGTGATGTTCGGCAGTGCAGTGACTGGGTAATGGTTTAATACATACATATTAATAATGGCTGGCACTCGCTCTACCCAACTGGCTAGATTCTGTGCGCCTAATATGGATGCATCAGTGGTATATCCTAAACTTACGTCTTAATTTGATGTGTTTCGTAAATGCAGCAAAAAGCCAAGGCATAACAGCCCTTCCGTTAACCTAACGCCGTCTGCCTCTCCTGTGTCTTGTGTCCAACGCCACATTTCTATATATGCACCCAAACTAAACCCGAAAATGCAAATGTAGTATAACTAATTCATTGATTCATCATCGGACTATAATGTGTTTGAAGAGCCCAGCTGGGGCTCTGTCTTATCTGTCGTTTTAGTTGTAGGAGCTTTTGTTGAGTTGCTTCTTGTTACGAGTTCGTCGATTTTGGGGACTAATTCGGGCATGCGGAATGGTTTTGAGACGATGTCATCCTGGGGTTGTCAGCATTGGTATAGAGAAATTAAACAGAAGGGCTTACCATTCCAGCAGATATTGCAGTCTCGATTTGCTCTAATCTTGCGTTTGCAGTGACGGCAATAATTGGGACATGCCTGACTATTGTACCATCCGCTTCGAAGTCTCTGATTGTTCGCGCGCAGGTGAGTCCATCCATGACCGGCATCTCGAGATCCATCAGGATAACTGCAAGTTCGACGCCAGTTTTCTCCTGGCCTGACCAAAAGGTGGAAGTCTTCAAGAAGTCTAGCGCCTCGCCGCCGTGGTTTGCAAGCTCAGTCATGAAACCCAGGTTTCGCAGCTGCTTTTGCAAGACTCGCTGGTTGACAAGGTTGTCCTCGACTATCAAAACCTTCAACTTGCTGTGATCGAGCTTGGAGCTTGGTGGCGGAGATGGTGAAGAGGCCGAGGTAACAATGGGGGTCTTCTTATGACCAGTGGTGTTCGAACGGATAACCGGTTTCCCAGACGAGTTCTTCCTACTTTCCAACGTCACAGCAGAGTTCGACGAATTTCTTCTCAAAGAGTTGATAGTCGTCGCAATCGGTGTATCGGCAGTAATACCATCGACCTTCCTTGCCTTCACGTAAAATGCGAATGTACTGCCAACGCCACGTTCGCTCGAAACGCCAATCTCCCCTCCTTGAAGCTCAGTAAGCTCTCGAGAGATGAAAAGGCCAAGACCTGAGCCTCCATATTGCACATGTGTTCGAGGCGAGGCTTGGCTGAATCTCTGGAAGAGGAGGCTCTTCTCCTTTTCATCCAACCCCCGCCCAGTATCCTGAACCGCAAAATGCAGGTAGAGCTCTTCGCCATCGCCCCATTCAGGATCCTCGGTAAAGAGGTCCTTACGTTTAGAACGACTAGGAAAGTACGCCACATCAGAGTCATTGGCGCTAGGACGCTCTTTACTTGCACCAACACTGACAAGGATAGCGCGCTTGTCTTGGCCTTGAGTGAACTTTATAGCGTTTGTCGTCAAGTTGATGAGGACTTGAAGAAGTCGCGTAGGATCCAACTTGACCCAGTCTATGCTTAGATCGAGGTAGGTTTTTTTCATCCTAAATTCCATGGCAATGTCATTAGTAACCAGTTCGCCTTCGAACATTTTAAGAGCTCTTTGGACAACAGCAACCTTCTCGCTGGTTAGCAGGCACTCGATGGGGTGTTTTTTTTCTGGCTTTAGTTTAACTCACCGGCTGCACAGCAACAGGGGTAACCATTAGAAGTGCCGAGTCTAGCTTAGACAATGTGAGGATATCATCCACGATGCGTTTCTATTTCAGAAATCGATTAGAATAGTTCACAGTGTGAAAATTAACGGGTACCTGATGTTGAGCACAGAGAGAAATCGTCTGAGCGGCGTCAATACTGCCCTCCAGGATGTCAGACAGCCTCTGGCCGGACTTGGCTTGTTCCTCTAGTGAACGAAACTCAGAGAGGGAGCTGGTGATCTCATCACTGCATTGCAATATTGCCGAGAGTGGGTTCCTCATTTCATGACTAGTAAAGTTAGACAACCAGAAAGTATACAAAAAGTTGGGGGACACTGACGAAGTCATGTCAATGAAGTTCTCCTGTTGTCGCTTCAGCTCGATTGCTCCCTCCATTCGACGTTTCTGGAAGTCCTCGGCCCATTTCTGTTGGCTAATGTTGGTGATACTGCCGAAAACACTCTTCAGTTGCCCTTCGCTATCTCTCTCAGGGTAAGCGCTCATTAGAACCCATGTGTCGCCTTGACTGCCGTTACGATCTTGCCAGGGCATTTTAAATCGGAACTCGTGTGTGACAGCAGCCTTTTTATTGACCAGAGTCTTCCAAATGGTTTTCACGCTTTCTCTATCCTCATCTTTAATGCTGTCCATCCAACTTTGTACACTATTTTCAGTTCTTGGGTGTCTCGAAATCTCCCCTACAAGTCTTTAGCATTGCCCCATTGCAATTGTGAAATGCTCGATGCAGCAGTAGTTGCGGAGAGAGACTTACACCAGGTGTCGTTGCTATAAGTTATTTTACCCGTGGAGTCCGCAATGAACATACCGACAGGGGCGAATTCGGCCATTCGTGTGAACTTAGTTTCACTCTCTACAGCTTCTTGTGTACGTAAGTCAAGTTGTTTCGATAACTCTTGACGATCCAAAGCAGCGAGACGGGCAGCTCTTTGCCCTCGTCTGATTTCGTCCTCAAACAAAACCACAGATGCCATGGAAGTAGCAAGCTGTCGGCTTAGCAACTGTATGAACAGACTGTAGTCGTCATCGTAGGGTCGCCGAGGGTTGATCCCCATGACCAGAAAGCCCAGAATATTGTCGCCAGTCGTGGGATGAATGGAGCAAACTACTGCGGACCTGCAGGGGTCGCCCCAGCCTCGCCATTCCAAGCCTTCTATTAAGTCGGATGATAGGGTGTTGTCTTCGGTCGTCAAGAGGATAGGCTTATCAGTCTTCATTGACTCTCGCAGATAGGGCGCAAACCCTTCATCGCTCGTCTTCAGATCCAGAGGGCTGACCGCCGCCTTATGACCTTGCGGAACTCCTAGAGTGCCTTCGAGAACTAATTGAGGGGCCTGGGAGAGTGACCCTGAGTGCATCGAACTCATATCGCTATCTGTTTCTTCGCTCACCGAATAAAGGAAGACGAATGGCACATCGTACTCTTCTTCAAGTTAGTTTCCAGCTTAATATGATGACGCCGAAGTATCTTACCGTTGTACTCCAAACCCTTAATCACTTGACCCCAAAATCCCTTCACTTCTCGAGCAGCGGCTGTCTTCTCACCAACTTCTCTTAAAGTGAGCATCCTTCGCTCGGCTATTTTGCGACGAGTTTTCTCAAATGCCGGATTGTATAGTCCTGACACTGAGCCATTGTCGCCCACAAGGGGGATTATCGACCATGAGAAGTACGACTCTTCCAAAAATCCGTTCCGTCTCAGGAACAAGCAGTCGTCATCTTTCATCGTAGATTGGCCCGACTCTCTGGCGCTTGAAAAGACCCCTTCAATTTCAGGCCATATTTCAGGCCACGCTGTTTTGTAACTTTGGCCCTAAATGGAGAATTAGCTGAATATAAGATCGATATCGTATCAGGGTTTAATACCATTAAATGCGGATGTTTCTGTCCAGCCAATAGAATATAGCTCTCATTGTAAATGGCACTTTGGTAAGTCAGTTTGTTCTCCTGTACTACGTCTTAGGGATGAAGACAAGTCCACCTCGTTGGGCTGTGTCGGCAATACACGAGGTCAAACAAACGAAACATGGCATGATTCTGGAAGTCCACTTACGTGTACTCTTCACCCCAATGCATTGCGGCAGGATGAGGGCTTCCCATTATCAAATTGCACATTGCTCTCAAATCAAAACCCCAGTTTTCCATAGGACCAAGAGGCGTAGCAGCCCAGTCAACATTTTTGGCAAACTGAATATGCCTGGGTAGAGCCGCCGACATTGGAAGTCGTGTCCAGTCAAAGGAGGAGCTTTCCGGGTATCTCGTTTGCATCATCTCAGTGGCTAACACCGTGCTTTGAGCAGCTATCATTGTTTGCTTCGGAGCACTGCCCTCCTCATCCTCTTCAACTAATGGGCTGGATACAATCTGCAGTGGGGAGGAGCCGGCTGTAGATATCAGTGGAGGAACAGCGTCTCCAAAATAGTCGGATGGTTCGAATGGCTCCGCCAGAGGAGAACGAAACAGAGTCTGTAAGGTAGGACCTCGGGTCCGCTCACTAAAATTTGATGAGGCGCTCAAGGCTCCATTCGAGCTTCCTGATGCAACTGTAGGAAGGCTGGTGCCGCTGGCACTTATTAGGCGAAGTCTTCTTCGCACGGTCGAACAGGACCAGGTAACGCCTCTGTAGGAAAATGATGGTAGGCAAATATCCAACGACTTGCCATTCTTGACAAAGCTTAGAGCCCATGCTTTGAACTCTGGAAAGTCATTCGTAACAGCAATGCCAGGACTATCCAGATCAGCCTTCCCAGTGACCATCTCCAGTATCGATTCATAGGCGCGGAGTGCTGCATTCGCAAAAGTAATCTGCAAAGGGCCAGGGCTGAAGTTCGCAGGATTGGCTACGTCGATAATAAATGTTGGCCGCTCATCCTGTTCTAGGAGTTCAATAATGCCAACGCTACCCAATATTTGCATCCCAGCCGACGGCCTTGCCTTCGGATCCGGACTTCTTGGTATGCTATATCTTTCAATGGATGTCCAACTCCCAGGTGTACTTGTTGAACGTGGCGGAGACGCCGTGCTAATGCTGCCCCTCGCAAGCTTCAAAGTCGTAACGCCTCCAGGTTCATCTCGCGCCCTGTTCAGCATTGTTGCAGCAGCTTCGGAAGAGAAAGTTGGCGGCAGAATTGGACGTTGTCTCGGACTGTGAGAGAAGAATAAGGGTGAAGGCGGGGAGGTCAGCTTCTGACTAGGGAAAATGTTATGAAAAGTCTCGGCGTCGAGTGTATATTGCGGGCTCAGTTTTGGACGGCGTCTTTTCGATGCCGGCTCTGTCCCTTTATCCTCAACAACTCTTGGGTGCTTCGAGGCATGCGTCGTTGCGAGTTGACTTGAGGGTAGGTCTGGCTTTCGAAAGCTGTTTCTTGTGCTTTGTAATTGGCCTCGTAGCGCTTCATCGGTTGAGATATTCTCTGCAGTGACTTCCAACGACGTGCGGGAAAGTGAGTCTCCCCCTCTGCCACCGATTGTATCAGGATTAGCCTTTCTTCTGAGATGTGCAGTCACTATCGCCTCCTCCTCTGATTTCGCCTCCAAGCCCGTCCCCTTATGAATGTTGCCGTCTCGTGGGCATGGAGACGGAGGTGCAATGGGCTTGGTGAGGTAGGGAGGTTGGGTGTGTTCGGTGTGCGGAGGAGTGCTCCGCTTGAGAGATGATTGGCGTAGCTCTTTCTGGGATGTGAAAATGGACTTGGGCTTAGAACTCATGAATGTTAGACAACCTTGCGTCCCAAACGCGATATTTCTCGCCTTGTGAAGACGACCTTGGAAAGTTGTAGGTCGCCTGCTGGGGCCTGGACGCCAGATACAGCAGGACAGTGCAAGGAGAATACAGTTCTCGTCCCCCAGGAGTCAAAGTGGCAGCACTTTTAGACCCGGGCCTGGGCCGGCGCAAGGGCAAGTGCTTGCGGGGCCCTCCGCGCAAGAGGGGGAGGGTTCACGAGGAGCGGTGGTGTTCGAAGAATGGGGCGGCTGCAAACGGTGCGCCGATGACCACGTTTGTCTCGACTCTCGACCGGGGTGCCAGCGTTCCAAGGTTGAACAAGGCGTTGTGGGCGCGGGGCTTCACGTCGATGCCATGTATTATATTGGTCGGTCTAGACGGCGCGTCAGATTTGGAGATATAATGGAGTGCCCCCTTCAAATGTGGATAGATACAAGATGACAGAGGGGGTGCTGTGAATCGACAGTCGCGGGGAGGGCTAGAGAGCTATGGAGGCGACAATTCTCGGGCCGCCAAGTAAGCTCCAGCACCGGGGGCGATTTTTAGGAGCAAACGTCCCGCAAAGCTCCCTCGACTATGGGTCTGTCAAGTCAACACGGGGCCAGCAGCTTCGTTGTGATCAAAGTCTACCTGTCGATTGTACTGTGCTGTGTCCGGCGCAGGGGTCCCAACCTCGATCCCTACTTGCAGCAGTGGGATCAGATATACAGCGAAGCGATCGGAGATCGCCCCGGCTGGGAATGGGGGTTTGTCCATGCCATTTCTTTCGCCGTGACCGCGATCCATCTGATTCCTCTCATTCCTGCGCGCTTGTCCGGACATTTCTTTTGCCTGCTTTCTTCTGAATGCGCCCGAAAAAGTGGTCTCATTATGAGGGATCAGTAATCATGAGCGTCCTGCAAAGAATCAAAGAAGCAATTCAAAGAATGGGTCCCTGACATGTTGCTCGTGGATTGGACCAGGGCCGTGTCGTTAATGACGACAGTGGGGCAAGCAGGATGGCTTTTTTTCGTTTTTCGATGGCAACATCCATGGGACAATAGCCGAGACCTTATGAGATCTGTGTAACGTACGGCCGAATTGGGGGTGGCGCCTGTTGCTATATTTGGAACATTTTGCTCCCTCAAAAAATTTGGGTTGTTGTACCGTCCTTCTCATTGTTCCCGACTAACGTCTATCCCTGCGTGCCGAGACGCACCCTATCTAACCATTCACGATTCGTACTTGACCGTCCATCATATGCTGCTAGTAAACATCGAGCCGCTTCACATTCACTGTTTTCATCAACCATCGGTTTTGCTGCGCATCCTAGATCACCAATTTGACAGGCCTCCTTGTTGTGGACGCTCTCATTATTGGCAGAACCGATGAAATCGCCTTTTAGAACCAACAAGGACCGCTTGAGCCTGTACAGCGTCGCCACAACATCACAGACCGCTTGCACGCCTGATCGGTAAGCCCCACGGTGCGATTTTCGAAGAAGCGGAAATCGTAGTGTGTTGCCCCGCCGAGAATTCGGTGCTTGGGGCCTTGCCCAATTTCTTATATTGAGATAATGTCGTCAGATTGTCAAAAGGAGTATAATATATCTCCTGACTAAGAATATCTTTCGTCTCTGTCGAAAGAGCTTCCAAAAGATCCTTATTCCTCACAAAACTGGTAAGAATTTCGTTGAACGGACTAGCTCTGAGTCCAAGCATGTTTACCTAGTCAAGCCTGACAAAATGATTTGCCAAGTCTTTGTACAGTGTGTCAAATGAATAGAGTAGAATAGAATAACAGCCGTTACTCTTATTTTATTCAAGCTAAAAACCCGTTACTCTTATTTTATTCATATATTATTCAAGTTATTTATGAATAACTTGAATAACGCACGTGATTTGCGCACGTGATTGAGCTAGCCTAATCGGGTAAGGATTCGGGGGGGCCCGCACCTAGCGTTACCTCGCTACCTAATCAGGTAGTAGTGGTGCTTGGTAAGCGAATCGAACCTTAGTGATAATTAGTTTATTTATTATAGAAAATCAGTATTTAAGTAGACTTATATAAGTATTAGCTTAGCTTATATAAGGCTACTTAATAAATACCTTAGTTCTTTTTTTTAAATTTAAATATATATTAATTTACTATAATTAATTAATTTCTATATAACTTCTATATAATTATTTATAGTTATTTATATTATTTATAAATAATTATTCTATTTTATTTAAGTTATTTAAGATATTTATTACTTATATTCTATTTAAGTTATTTATGAATTATTTATAAATAATTTAAATAACTTAAATAATTCTTTAATACTATTATATAAGAAGGATAAGTTAAGTAAAGTATAAAAGATAATTTATTATTATATAAGGGAAATACTATTTCTAAAGTATTACTTATATTATATTACGGTAATATAACCTCTATTATTTATATAATAATTACCGCTACCGGAAATACTAATAATATCTATAAGGTATTTATTAGTAAGTAATAAGATAATAGAATAAATTAGTATATTATAAAACTATAGTATTAAATTCAGTATAGAACTAATCTCTATTCCTCTTATAAGGTCCAGGGAAGCCCCTTCTAAATAGGAGGCCCCGATAGTATATATATAATTAGTAATTTATAAGCCTAATATATATAATATAAATAGTAGTTAGTTAGAATATTAAAGGATACCAAATTCCCTAATTAATACTCGTAATATCCGAGGTTTATTATATACCCTTAAGTTATATATAATCCTATATATATTATAACTATATCCTTTTTCTAGGATCTTGTTTCTAAGATCTATTAATTCATTCTAGTAAATATTTAATTAATTAATTATTTAATTAATATAAACTTCTAGTATTTTGGGAAATAGTTTTACTAATATAATCTAGATAATAGATATAAAAATTATCTAATTAGATCGGGACTAAGTAAGTAAGAAGAAAGGATAATTATATCTTAGATATAGGGGCTAGCTAGTAATTATAATTTCGTTTGGGATCTGAGTATTCTAATTAGCTCGATCCAAAGTACTAAAATACTATTCTATAAAATTAATACTATTTATTAGATTTTATATTAGAATAATCTAAATAGCTATATAGAAAGTATTTAATAAATATTTATATAAAAAACCTATATAAATATTTCTAAGATCCTAGAGATTATTTATAGGCTTCTGAGAATATATATTAATTAGTTATACTAGTTTCTAATTAAGACTAGTATAAAAACTAGTAGTTAATTCAGGTAATTCTTTACCTCTATAAAAGGACCTCTTTATATTACTATATACTCTCTTCTTTTCTAATAACTATATATATAACTTTTTCTATTATTGCTTTCTAGCCTCTTTTTTTGCCCTTTTCTAAGTTTTCTTTAATTATTTTTAATTAATTTTATAATATCTTCTTCTGGCTTTATTATTTATTCCCGTAATAATAAGTATAAAAATAACCTTATAGCCTTCTTTCCTATTACTAGTAGATATTTGAAATATTTTAAGTATTTACTTATTAATTCCTTTACTTTATATATTATAATACCTAGTAAGAAGAATTATAACTATTATAATAAGGGTTCTAAGTCTTATATATTAGTAAGTTCTTTAGCTTTAATATCTATTAAAGCTAATATAATTTTAGATTTCTTATTACTTATTAGAGACTTACTAATTCTAGGAAAATACTATTATAATCTTTAAGAAATTTCTTAAAATATATCCTAAATAGTATTATACTAATAAAAATAATACTATTAATTGGGTTTTTAAAAACTAGAAAAATACTAATAAGCTTTAGAATTCTTCTTCCCGTTTTAATAAGACAAATAATAATACTATTTGGGTTAGTATCCCAAAAATAAGTTTTTTTTAATATACTTAGATATTTACTAATTTTTTAAAGAAATACTATAATATTTACCTTTAAAATATTAACCTTATTACTAAGCTTATTACTGAAATTACTAAATAGTTTACTACTAGTATTTTAAATACTAATAATATAATATTTATAGCTATTCGGGACCTAATTTCAGAAGTTTGGGCCTTCTATAAAATATATATAGCTATTATAAGTTTCTTATTTACTTCTCTTAATATCCTTAATACTAATATTATTATAGTATAACTATATCCTATTAAGAAATAAGCGGATTCCGGAAAATATTAGCTAATTCTTTACTAAGTTCTAAATAGGGCTAGTATTTAGTATTCTTATTTTGGGAATTAGGAATTTATAAGAATTAGAGTTTATTTATTTAAAAT